TGTCGGTTAATCTTAATAATAATCTCGCGGTATACCTGGAGATAAACTGGTATATATAACTGTATTTATATCTCGCGCTTAAATATTTTTTATAGCTGTTTTAAGGATTACCGGTGCCAGGTCCCGGGATCAGAGCCCTAGATGAATATATCCTCCTGGTAGAAAAAACGCGCGGGTGGATTAAACAGTAATTTTTATTATATCTGTTATGTTTTTAGCTATTACATAAATAGCAGAATAAGCTATAAATACTATATTAACAGTTTTCTAACCTTCTGCGGCAGATATCGGTGGATCAGCTTAATATTATTACTAACGTAAAACCTCTTATGATATGCGTTAACTACTGCTACTAGCCTATCTTTAATATATATATTACACTGTCGGTTAGTTATTATATTAATATACTGGATACTTAACAGCTCAGGCGCCCGCGCCGGCTGCCTGCTACTTATTTATATTAATATAGCTAGCTTTTCTTTAAAGCGAGCTATCTGCTGGAAGTACTGTGCCACGGCCGGGGGGTATAGTTAATATTAATATTATTATATAATTAAGTACGCCTGCAGTGCTGGCTCGGCCTGTATCTGATTATAAATTTATTATTACTTATTAACCAGCTATTATGTGCGCCTGTTCTTTAGGAAGCTTTATCCCACTATCTACTATATAGGATTATTATAAATAATATATTATAGGATAGCTAGGATCTCCTGCGCCTGCCGGATCTTTAATATATTATATAAGATTTATTATGTGGCCCTGATTAACCTGTGTATGAATCTATAGAAATCACTAATAATAAACCATAAATATTAGTATCTGATCTTCTTACTCCCGTGCTAGGTAATATGCCCGGCTATTATAATATTATAATAAATCTTTAATTTATATATCTGTCAGTCCAGCAGTATCTGTATCAGCCCGGCCGTGCCCTATATTATAAATATCTGTATTATTTACTCGACCTGCTCCTAAAATAACTTATTTATACAGTAAATCCGGGAAGTTATTAACAGCTGGGGCTCCTAGCTATTAGCTTGTATAAATAATATAAAGGATAATAAGGGGAGCGGTAATACTTTAATACTCGGCTTATAAACAGTCTTCTTATCCGCACTATTATACTTTTTGTCCGGTACTAAATTCTTAAGTATATTATCCGCGCTAGCCAGTATTTACTATATACAGCTGGCCCGCCACAGCTAAATCTAAATAATTATTTTAAGATTTAGATTTAGCTATAGCGCCTTTTGCACTACTATAAACCGCGCTATCTTAATTACCCGCGATAAAATTAGGGGGTAGCTCTCGGTATCCTGCTACTGGTTGTAGCTCCAGCCCTATACTACTATAATATATATAAGTATACTCTTATATTTATATCTCCGCTGCTTCTGGTTTAGTAGTTTAATACAGAATTTTAGATATTACTGCTTTAGCAAATTTATTATTTATTTAATTATCGGATCAGTCTTAATACTTTTATTCTGTGACTTAGGCTTGGACTTAGGCTTAGGCTGCGTGACTAATGCCCATAGCTGCCGCTATTGCTTGCGCTACTGGGGAGTTATCCTATATAAGAGACTAGTCTACTTGTAAAAAGCCTGCGTGCGGGTAATAAACACGAGGATCTGCTATTACAGCTAAATATATTTAATAATATTATCAATATTTATATATACCTGTAGTGGCTGGTACGAGGGCGCGGCTCTAGTATTAGACTGAACTGTGGCAAATTAAATTAAGAAACTATTATACTAGACTGTCTATTAGCACTTGCGTATAAGCTATTCTATTATTATTTATAATTAATATACTTCCCGCTCAACCGGATTATCAGGCGCTATAATATTCTCCTTAGTCTCAGGCGTAATAATATTATATATTAAATTATAAAGGGTGATATTTTTTAAATATATAGTCTACCTGGTCATCCGGAGCCACAGGTTCATATTAATAATCTTATATACCTGGATAATCTCCTGCGCCTTATAGGCAGCCTAAATCTTAGTCTATATAGTCTTAATTTTTTGCAGTGCCTGCTCAATCATGTTAGGATTATTAGGGGAGAAATCTTTATCACGGATAATAAAAATGTTCTGGGAGCCATGCCGGGTAGGAAATATGCGCTAGTATAAAACCAAGGTATATGCTTATACGAGCTGGGAATCAGCTTGTTCCTGCTCGGTCCGGGAAATCCGGCCACGTCCGGGATACTAGGACTATTAATATATCTTGCGCTAGTATTCGCGTATGGTTTTAATATTTTAGGTTATGTACTAGTACTGGGGGCCCTGTTGGTATAACAGTTTATTAATATAAATTAGTAATTTAGTAATAGACTGCTCTAGCTACTGCGGCCAATTAATTATAGTAGGCTTATAGATAAGATTAGATTATTATATAACTGCTTTACTGATCTGGACGGTATCTTAATATATTATTAATAAATAGATTTTATTTTTTAAATAATACTAAACTTTTTTAGGTTATATTCTATGCCGGCATATTTTGCAGATAATCACTGGTAATATTTTTACTTATATAAAAATTTGATATTTTATAATAGCTGGGTCAACTGGCGTAGACGAAGAATAATAAGCTTAATATAAAATAAGGATTAAAAATAAGTCAGTTCTTGTAACGGGGTGTCTGGGGGGACAGATATATATATATAGATTTATAGGTAGGTTATTATCCTGATCGGTACCCTAATAAAATAATCTTTTACTAAAAACTAGCTTTTATAAATATGATTCATAATAGACCAGCCTCAATTTTTAAATAGTTATAAATAAGTACTTGATTAATATCATATCTGATTTTAGAAGGAATCAGAGTATAGAAACTAAATAAAAACTATGTGATAAATTAAAGGAAAACTATATTATATTGCTGATCAAGCAGCTAATTATAGGCTGCCTTACTCGGCACCCTAAATGTAAATCACATATCTTTCCCCAGGGCCTGTGGGTTAGGAATGTTCTGGGAGCCGTGCCGGGTAGGAAATATGCGCTGGTACGAAACCAAGGTGTATGCTTGTGCGAGCTGGGAATCGGCTTGTTCCTGCTCGGTCTGGGAAATCCGGCCATATCTGGGATACTGGGACCATTGATGTGCCTTATGCTAGTATTTGTGTATAATTTTAATATTTTGGGTCACGTATTAGCACTGGGGGCCCTGTTGGTATAATAGTCTATTAGTATAGATTAGTAATCTAATAATAGGCTGCTCTAGCTGCTGCGGCTAATTGATTGCAGTGGACTCATAGATGAGATTAGACTATTACGCGACTGTTTTGCTGATCTGGACAGTATCCTAGTGTGTTACTGATAGATAGGCTCTATTTTTTAAATAATACTGAACTTCCTTAGGCCATATCTTATGCCGGTATATTTTGCAGATGATTACTGGTAATATTTCTACCTATATAAAAATTTAATATTTTATGATAGCTGGGTCAACTGGCGTAGACGAAGAATAATAAGCTTAATATAAAATAAGGATTAAAAATAAGTTAGTTCTTGCAACAGGGTGTCTGGGGGGACGGATATATATATATAGATTTATAGGTAGGTTATTGTCCCGATCGGCACCCTAATAAAATAACCTCTTACCGAAAACCGGCTCCTATAAATATGATTTACGATGGACCAGCCTTAATTTTTAAATAATTATAAATAAGTACTTGATCAATATCATATCTGATTTTAGAAGGAATCGGAGTATAGAAACTAAATGAAAACCATATAACAAATTAAAGGAAAACCATGTCGTATTACCGATCAAGCAGCTAATCACAGGCCGCCTTGCTCGGCACCCTAAATGCAAATCACATATCTTTCCCCAGGGCCTGTGGGTTAGGGTCCCAGCAGGATAGAGAGGATTAGTTAATAATTATATTTATAAAAGAAGTTTATATAATATAATAATCTTATAAGATAATAATTTTTATGAGAAAAGTAATTTTACAAAATTTAATAATATTAATTAGTTAATCTTATAAGATATCTTAGGAACCAAGGCCTTTGAAGAAGGGGGGTAATTATAAGGATCTATATAAGATCTTTTTAAAAATATTTAGTCAGAACAGGTGTTTAGTTATAATCTAGTAAATATATAATAAAAATATATTTTCACAGGGGTTCTCCTGAATCCCAGTAATAATATCTTAAGTAGAATATATTATATGTTTGATATCCCTAGCTAATTGCTTTCACGCTGCCTTACCCTTAAGGCACCAAGGTATTCAACCTTATATTAGTAATAATAAGAAAAAGAAAAAAAAAAAGTACTAAGATAGTTTCTTTTAATAAATTAATAAATTTTAATACTAAAAGTAATACTAAGAAGCACTAGCTTCTAAAGAATAAAATATAACTATAGATATTTAAAAAGAAATATAAATATAAAAAAAATAATAATTTTAAGTAGTATTAGAAAAATAGAGTTAATTTAATTTAAATTTATTATTATTATAATACTACGAAGAATCTATCTATATTAATTTTTTTATATATAACTATAATACCTAAAATTACAAATAAATTTATATTAATTATACAGTCATAAGATTCTTCTCTGTTTGTCTTATTTATACTAATATAGGTATCCATAAATTACCTATAATAGGTTATAGGTTCTCTTTTAAAACCCATAACCCATTATAGGTCGGAGGTTTGGACCCAAAACCCAACCCATCAATAGATTTTATATGGGTACCCATGGGTACCCATGGGTCCTGCCGAAGTCTAGCGGTCTTATTAAGAAAGAACTTTTAAACAATAATTATAAATTATAAAAAAATAATAAAAATAATCTAAAAAAAGTACGTGATTTAAAGGGCCTGTCTCTATCCATCTATATAAAAAGAGTATTAGAAAGCCTTTTTATAATATGTCACCTGAACTATGAAGTTGGTGGATAGATTTACATCGATGATTGGTGTTCGGCCCAACATGCAGATCCAAATTGCTGGCGCCTGATTTTACAAGGTGGCTTAGGCAATTGCATTCGTGGTTCAAGGAAGATGCTACTTGTGTTTTGGTTTCAGTACTTGGTGCAGTGATAAAATCGAAAGTCGAGCTAGATAAAGAATAATACATCTGTTCCAGATTATCCAGCATAACATCAAAACAAAATCCATGCAGTTGTCGTACCGGAAGAACCCATCTTGGTCATATTTCAAATTCGCCGAGACAATGTAACTTTGATGCCAGTCTGTCGAAGGAAAAAGCTATTGTGCGTGCACCACTCCTTCTCCGGATGTGAAAGCTTGATATCGTAGCGCGACACTAGGGTAGAAATAACCTTGTAAACTTCTAACAGGCCCAGATGCTTTCCGATGCAGACCCGGTTTCCGGCTCCAAAGGTCAAGTCGGCGGCTTTCATCCGTCGCAGACGTTCCTCAAAAGCATCTTCCGTCTCTTGTGTCTCGTCGCGCAACCATCGCTCGGGACGAAAAAGTTCAGCATCCTCGCCCCAGATGGAGCTGTTGCGACCGATGACATATGGGTTCATACCGACAATGCAGCCAGCGGGGACATACCGCCCGTCGGGCAACACCAGACCATCCTCTGGCACGTATCTTTCGAGAAGCATTGCAACCCCCGGGTGGCATCTCATTGCTTCACGGATGACAGCATCGAGGTATGGGAACTCCTTGGCGGATTTATACGGTACCACCGGCGGCTTGGATTCCGGGTCGTATATGGGGATCTCAGTCCTCAGGCGGTCCCAAACGCGTGGGTGCTTCAAGGAAAAATACAGCACCGCATTCAAGGTGATGGCCGTGGTGTCGGCTCCTGCAATCATATTAATCATCAAATACGAGACAACCTGCGTATCATCCACTACGTCTGGGAACTTTTCCTTGGCCTCGATAAACTTATCCAGGAAGTCAGGCTTTGTGGGATCATGATAATCCAATTCTTTGCCCTGAAACCGGTCCACAAGATGCTGGATGGATATGTTGGTGATGTTGCCAAAGGACGGCGGGCCGACACGGTAAACGGGGTTCTTATCCAGCAAATGATCGAGGATAGGCAGTTGGCCCACCATGGAAAAGTAATCCATTGCCGTGTCCGCGATGCTCAAGGTGCCGTCGAAATCGTAGCCCTTTTCTAAGTAACCAATGGGCTGGCTGAAAGTGGCCTTGCCGACCACGTCCCATGTATCTGAGGACGTTAGCTGGGGCCTTTGAAATCCTGGGGCGGTTGGACGAGGGTCCAACTCACAGAATGCTATCCATTCATCAAGCTTGCAGGTCTTTGTGGCGCTGGACCCATCGATGAACTTCTCCTCTAGGCGCTGGCAGAGGTACCAAATCATCTCATCAATATGCGGCTCTAGTGGCAATACGCCGGTCATGGAATAGTGCTTCGAGATGGGTCGCTTTTTTCGCGCATGGACCTCGGGGTGGCATTCGCTGAAGAGATTGTAGATGATCTTCCCATTGCTTTTGGCGCTGCTACCGTGGTAAAACTCGGTCTGTTCTAGATCTTTAATCGCAGCACCGACTCGCGCAAACACGGGGCCCCTACCTTGAGATAGTCCGCTTTGGTGTTGTAGATTGTCTTGATCAACTCGGGCATATCCAGATCCAACACATTGGGCGCAATGCGCACCACCGGACCGTACTTCCTGTGAAGCTCCTGGATGACGAGGTGGGATTGCCCCTGGCGCACATGAAACATCCGCCACAGATTCGTCCATCCTATGAGAACGGCCGATGTGAGCACAAGATCGACTGTATCAAATGAGAGCGATCGATCTCAGGAGGAAATCGTATGTCGTACCTGCAAGAAAGGGACCGGGGAAGCAGCGGAGAGGGGAAACTAGATACGCTGCCAGATACCAAGCAGGCAAAGCGATCAGAATAGCATAGATGAGCACCGTGGCGCTCTCTCGGACACTCGAGGGTGAGACTGCTGCGACAAAGACGTCCATGATCGAGAGAAAATCCTGCATCTATCGACAAGGCTTTGTGACAGAGACCTTGCGCTATACGCAGAACACGCAGTAGACAGGCAGCAGTAGGTAGAAATGTCGGCACTTCCAGTGGTGGGGGAACGGCTTCCTCCCTGTCGCTCCCCCGGCAGGGTCTGTGATCCACCTCGAGTCCGATTCGGTTGACTACGCCTTCTCCAGACAGGTCTAGATCCTCTCCTCAGCGACGCACGGCCGGGGTGTCAAAGTGCGCCCCCGTGGCGCTATTGGCCTGTGCATCGCGCGATCGAGCGAATGGCAGACGGGAGACGGCGCCTCCAAGGCGTCGGTGGAGTCGGCCGGAATGCCGCGATGACTTCCCCCCGTTGACTCAGGACAATGACATTTGACACTAACACTGGACCAGGGAGCACGGACGCCTTCACCTGTCCCTAGTCCTGTCCCAAGCGAACGCCACCGCGTCCCATTATCCAGTCAGACGGCGTGAATTTCCCGATCCGCTGTTTCTTCCTGAGCCAAATATAGGTGGCGCCCAGAGAGCGACCATACGAATGGACCGGAAGTGGAAATGAACCGCAGTAGGTTTGGACAGTTGCTTTCTCTTCTTGGGATACATCTCCTCTCTCGCAATCGCTGGCAATTGGGAAGGACCTGGCATCGCCCGTTGACAGCTCACAATGGCTTTGTTTATTCCCTCTGCGGTGGCCTTCATCAGGGGCCATGGGTTAGTCGACATCATGTATTTGTATCGCAGAGATGCCCTGGTCTGGGTGCTCAACCCAAATCCCTCTCGGTAGATCCGGCCCTCATTAGGCGCTCCATACTCTTTGTCTATTTCTCCTGAGCAAACTTCTCGGACTTTTGCCACTGAAGATGTTGGCTGGTCAAGGTGTCAAGGCCGTTGCAGTAATGTGGGCAATGACGTTCCTCTCCTTCATCCTAGTCCCTCTCCGGCTCTATACGCGGGTCTATATCATCAAGGCCGTTGGGGTGGACGATCATATTTTCAACTTGGCCTGGGTGAGTGAAACCAAATCGGAATACAGCATCCGTGCTCGAGATACCGGTCATTGACTAAGGTTGTAGGTATTTCTTCTTCTCTACAGCATCTTTATCACCATCGCCGGCATGCACGGATTTGGACAGCCTATCACTGCCCTCGCGATAGACGCCGCCGTCCAAGCTGTCTACACTGAGATGATCGGGCAGACTTTTGCCGTCCTGGGAATGGCCATTGCGAAGCTTTCGTTGGGGTTCTTCCTGCTCCGCATCGTCATCGAGCAATGGCATCGCATCTCCATCTGGATCTCGATGGTCAGCCTGTCCCTGGTGTCTCTGGTGACGGCCGTGATTTTCTGGACGCAACGCCTGCCGTCTAACTCGATCTATGATCCTCGGGTACCGGGGCGTACTGTCGTTGCTGTCACTCCGTTTTCCGTTTTACTTGGGTGTAGGCATCCCCTTCTGCGTCAGAGCATTCCTCCGGTCTGAATCCTCTATGCTAAACATATCTTGCATCCAGCCTGGTGTGCCGCGGTGGATTTCTACTTCGCCCTTCTTCCCTGGATCTTCATCTGGAAGCTGAACATGAAGTTTAAAGAGAAAATGTCCATTGCAATCAGTTTGAGTCTCGGTTTCGTGTAAGTCACGTCGGAATCTCCCTCTCTCCAGCACTGACAGGTCTTTCATCACCAGAGCTTGTGTCTGCGGAATCATTCGGACCATCGAACTGGGCGGGTTATCCAGCGCCAACTACACAGGTTAGTTGCTTGGTTCTGACGTCCCCCACAGCAGCCATCGTCCTCAACTGACCTTGTCCCATTGATTCACTCCAGAGGATACGGTCAGCCTAGTCATCTGGTCGGGGGTCGAACTGGCCGTGACCCTCATCTGCGTTGGTATTCCCACCGTACGGCCCCTCTATCGGACGATCGTCCACGGCTCCAATCTGGAGGACTCAGAAGGCCGATACGTCAAATACGATGATTCCAACCAGTCCTCCCGCTTCCGAATGCGGAATCTGGCAAAGGACGACACTCTGTTTAGTGTCGTGCAGGAGAGCAACACGGAGTCATACATCACTCGTGATAATCAGAGTGACGAAAGAATTCTTCCAGGTCAGTATGTTGATAGTCATGGCGCTATTCGCATTCGGGATGAAGTGCGTGTTGAGAGAGTGTAGAGTCGGATACATGCCAACCTCCTTCTATTTCAACTTTTCTTGGTCTTTTTGGTTGGGGTGGATTTCTGTGTTTGCAAGACGGATTCTACAAGATACGTTGTGTTGGGGTCTTCAAAATTTGCTTTTATCTCCTTCAGTATATCTCTATATTAAGAAGATACCACGCGTTGAGGCTTTCTGATCCGGAAAAAAAAAAGTTGTCACAGCCAAAGACGGCATTGCCCAGCTTGAACTGCCAGTGGACATCTCTTTTATGTCTGAACATAATGCTGTAAGCAGGCACTATGCTGTCTGCATAATTCCAAAGGGCTCGACTTTAGAGCCTGAGGCACCATAAGCCGTTGTCCGGGGAAAACAGTTATATTTAGCAACGTTCTTTAGCGCATTCAACTGTAGAATCACTGTCATACATTGCCTCAGATTTCCAACTGCGATATATTGTGAATCCCGGGTCTAATCTTGTGCCGCCCCCGTTGCTCCTTGTGGTTATTTATGTGTATCGATCTAACCCCCTGGCAAAGAAAGTCAGCCAGCACCACTGCCCCTTGGTTCATCAATTGATGGACTTGTCCTTTTTACGTCTCCGATGCGACCGGCTACTCATGAGTGTGAAAGCATAAAGTGTGCGGTATTTAGTCCACTCCATTGATGGCGATATCACAATGTATTGACTAGGGGGCCTCCTGTTCAGATTCTTGTGCATGCACCTGAGACCTCCAAATTTCGCCGCATGGAGGTTCTGACAGACATGGAAATTATAAGGACCATTTGATCGACCCAAAACGAGGCCGTGTAAGACACTTTGCTTAACCATTATTGTTACTGTGAGCAGTTAGCTTAGTTTTTCCCCTGCAGTACGTCCTTTTTCGCGTCCTTTCCCTAGGGAGACGGCGTCATGGCTCGATTCTCGTCGGTTTAGTTTGGCTTCTTGCATCCAATATTGAAAGCACTTGATCTTCCCTAGTGGTTTCACTTTCATTCCTCTTTGTAGGGTGACAAAGTTTATTAACGGGCTGGATTTTGAGAACGAGTCTGAAAGGCAGCCGGTAATGATGATCTACGCCGACGGTCCCAAAATTCGGATGAAGATCACCACGGCAGATTGAATTCTCGCCTGGCGATAAAAGAAAGCTCGATTCTATCTGTTCGCCATTCCAAGCTACGACAAACTCTCCACCCATCCTCATGCCCAGCCCTTTGTTTCTCGGCTCCCTCGCCCTGCTGTCCCTACGCGTCTGCGCATCCCAGGGCCAACCAGCGGGGCCACTCTATGCACGTCAAATCGACCAGAATGATAAACACTACTATCTCGGCTACCGGGACTCCGACTATAGAACTCCATGGGCCAAGTACTTCAACGATACACAGCCCGTTCTGAGCCCCGAGTTAGTATCGGGACTTGAGGTATTTCACCGTCCAGTTAACGCCCTCTCCACCATTAATCGATATCTAGGAGTCTCCCTATCCTGGGAGTCTTGCGGTCAACATAACGGCCGCGTCACAAGCTCTTAATTCCCCGGGGTACTTGAAGCTGGAGAACGGATATTCTTTTCTTCCGGACGGTTCGTTAACACTGAATATTCGCTCTGATGTTCCCAGCAACGTCACGGGGGAAATGTATGTTTTGCCCCTTATATTGAACGTTCAAAGTCTAATGGAGTCAGGCTGGACTTCTGGTTCTCCTGGCATACCAACGACACTAGCAAATATAAGCTCTGGAACCCCGGGGCGCACCAGTATGCCGCCATCAAGCCTCTTTCACCGGGAAAGTCAGCGCAACCAGTCTTCGCCGACCGGTACTGGAATGTGACTTCCTTCGTTGATGAATATATCGGCTTGACTCCATACAAGTTGTCGATTGGGTTCTTCGATCCTGAACTCATGGGATTCTCCAAGACAAATGAGAACTCGGGGGTCCTTGGGATGGTGTCTGCGTTTGTTTCTCTTCTGAGCTACAGTGAGCAAGATGAACCGGAAGAGGCTAAACACGGATTGACCCCCCTATCTGCCGTGCTGGTACACCAGCTTCGGGCAAAACCAGACGGCTGCGGCCACGAGGTTCGCTCTCGATTTTGGTTTGGAAACCTCCTCGTGTTGGGAATGTCAGTCGCCGGAGGTCCTAAAAGGTTGGCCCACGATTTGTCGGTGCACTGCTTTAATGAGATGAGCCATCTGGGCACATTCCTACCAGACCTATTCAACGAATTTCGCCATGATGTTGCTACTGGCTATTAGGTGATCGAATATAGGATAACCCGAGATTGGGATGAATGTCAGGCACGATAAATTAGTTCGGCTTACTATCGGTCTTGCATTGGCATCGATTTGCCCAGCTTACAAAAATACGTTAGATAATTGACAAATATTTACCTGATCATAAGGCCTTCATATCTATAGTTGAAGAAATCAAAGAAAAGTAAAAGTCAAAATTTGCCCAACCCGTCTATGTCTAAACAAAAGAAAATAAACAAAAGAAATTCAGCATCGCCCTGTACCATCCATTTGGTGCCAGACTATATAAATCAGTGGGATGGTGGCTTATAAAGTATCAGACCCCGTTCTAGTTGTTGCTGCCGTCAATATGCAGCCCCTGCTCTTCGAAGTAGTGAGGATAATCCGGCGCTTGGTCGTGGGGGATCGAAGGTGCAAGCGTCTTCAATTTCTCTTGCAATTCCGGATACACCTTGTCAGCATTGGCGAGCTCGGTCCACATCGATACGTAGAATCGAGCATAGCCAGATGGAACTGGTCCAGTTGGAGGGCGGTGGTTTCTATTCAGACGCACAGAGAAGAACGCGATAACCTGGACCACCCGGTGGAGTGAAGAATCAGCGGTTAGGTGAGATTTGTTGTTTTCGTGCTCGTGAAGGGGAATGTCAAGCACAACCGTCACCTTATTGCCAGTTTTGCTGGGCCCATGGTCCACTTCGGGAGCCGGATGGTCCAGCACAAAGCCTGCTTCTCGCAGGTTCCCCTTGCGGATGGGCACCAGGTCCACCTTCTTGCGGATAGGCTCCACGTGCACCATCTTGTCGTTCTGAGTCGAATGAAGAAGTTTTCGGCGAGCTTGAATTGACGAGGCAGTACAAGGATGGTGGGAAGGATGGTAGGAAGAATGTTGAAAGGGATGATGAGAATGATGGTGAGAGCCAGAGATACATGCAAAGGGAGGCCCTTTTATACCTAGGAGACGAGCATATGGTGGATCCAGTTCTTCTTTTGTCATCAAAGCACTTTGTGCCATTAACAAGGGCACCACTGTACAGTATGGGAATATCTCGGGCAAAATCAGTGGCTGATCATTGTCACAAAGAGCTTTAGGAGCATGATCGAATAGTCAACAGTTCAAGAGCGGAAGTTCCAGGAAGTAGCTTCTGGAGATAGTTCCAAGTCATCGGACTTTTCACAAGTTGTCAAAGAAGTCTTTCACAATAGCATTGTTGGTACCCTGAATGTTGCAGATATCGTGGGGGGATACTGGCAATGTTCCCTATCGTTCTTTGGCAATTATACACTAAGAACAAGGACACTAACATAATGAATCATACTATCAGGCTTTTTAAACCAAAGTATCAGTCTACATCTATCTGTTTGACATGAACTTAGCCCCAATGTCCGCTAATCGTCAGGCTTTCTCCATTTCATCCCCGGGAGACAATCAACTGCTCCTTGCACATCAGCACAGATCCAATCTCGCCATCGATCCAATGGTATTCAGCGAAACGTGGTGACGTTTTCAAGGGAAGGCGAGGCGGGGGGGCGAGATTTGGACCGGAACATCCCGTGAGTTGATGTCAAACGCCGTTCTCCAAGAAAAGCTCGGTCGACATGACATGATTTACAGGGACTTTCCAAGACAGCTACGTCGATGTAGTGGGTGTTTATCGATGGACGGAGCACACATTATATTGGGGACCCAGAAAGTTTGTTTAAGCCCGTTCCTGTAGGCTGAACAGGCATGTTCCGAGCCCGTGGGTTTCGAAATCACAACTTTTTGAATGGCCTCAAGTCCGTCTTCAAGCGGATTGATAAGGCCAGTAGAGCGGCCACCAGTGCCATTCCTCCGGCGTAGAAGATGGCCGGCCGATAGTTCCCGATGCCCCCGTCCTCGCCGCCCGACGCCCCCAGGATGTATCCGGCAATCGGCGCGCCCTATAAGATACGGTCAGTGTCATCCACGCCGGAAGATGGAAGCGATTCTCACCAGAAGGTATCCGCCGGCCCAGCCGGTCACCACCATGCCCATGGCTACCGAGACGCGCGCGGAGCCGAAGACGTTGCCCACGACCGTTGGCATCGTCGAGAAGAAGCCGCCGTTGGACATACCGTTGACAATGACGAAAACGACCAGGGGACCGATGGAGGTCGACACGGGCCAGAGGATCAGCATGCTGAGAGCGCTGAGTAGCAGCGAGAGAAAAAGCGTGTTCAACGGGCCCAAACGGTCGCTGCAGAAGCCGCACAACAGTCGACCCAGGGCCGACGAGAAATTGAAGGCGGCCACCACGCCCGCGCCCGCACTGGAGGCCATTCCCATCGAGTCCGTGTACAGAGGCAGGAAAAAGGGCGGCACCAACAGCGGGAAGGTGGCGATGGCTCCGGAGGCGAAAAGCAGCATGAAGCGCACGTCGCGCAGGAGGCGCCTGGCGCGAACAGTTGTCAGTCTCGATCGTCGACGGTCGTCAGCACAAGGGAGATGACGACTCACCACTCGATGAATGCGCTTCGGGGAATGGGAACGCGTTGTCGGATCAAATAGGCCGCTGGCAAGCCGGTTCCCCAGACCAGAAACCCCAGGATGCGAAAGGTCCATGCCGTGCCGACGCGGTCGAGCAGCGCATTCAGAATGAAGCTGATGACGGCACCCCCGAGGCCACCTCCCGCGTACACAATCCCATTTGCGATGCCGCGCTTCGCTCGGAAATACTGCGCCGTGATGATGGAGACGACCATGAAACAGATGCTCGTGCCGACACCGACGACGACGCCGGCCGTCACGAACAAGGCGCCGACGTGGCGCATGGCAAAGCCGCTCAGCACTTCCCCTAAGCCGACCAGGAAGATGCCCGCTACGGCCGACCGCTGCGTGCCGACCTTGCGAATGAGACGCGCGTCGACGATGCCCAGGAAGGAGATGCAGGCCGGCGCCAGAGAGCCGACGAAGGCCAAGGTGGACGAGGAGGCAACGCCCTCACGCACCAGGGCCGCTTGTAACACACCCCAGCAATAGGCGGTGCCGATGAACCACCAGGTCACCACGGCGCAGGCCGAGATCACCACCCAGGCATATCCACCATCCGGCACCTCCGCGTCGGCCTGCAGCGAGGCCTGCAGCACCTCGTCCGTTGTCGCGGCGGGTGCGGCATCTCCGGTCGATTTCGGGGCCCCTCGTTCTTCGACGCCACTCGTCGGTTGCAGCTCAATGCCGGTGGTGGTGGACTGCTGGTGCGACGCCATTTCCGGCCGAAGAAGTTCGGGATCTCGAGGGGGTGGATTGGTCGGGGTGAAGGGCGCATGGAGAGCTTTATGAGTCGTGGTCGGGTCTGCAGTCGTGGATCGAATTTCTCAAGCTAGTGCGCCCGTATCGAACGTCGTGCATCCGGATTGGCTCCCCTCGAGCAGACTTTGGCTCTCCGAGATGCGATCTCGGGATGACCCACGGCTCTGCCTGTCGCCCGGCTATCCTCGGCGTCCTGGGCATGACGTCGCAGAGTTTACATTCGATCTTGCGTGCGACATGACCGCATTTTAAGTCGATCAATCCAATTTTAACTGCGTTGTACGATTATCATACACTTCCGCGAAGATTCAGGACTAGAGCATGTGCAAGGATAGCCCGAGAGCAGGACATGGGGAGATGACCCCGTGAGGCGGAATGCCCTAAATCGAGCCACGGAATGGCCGCTGTCACTCGCAGGGCGCGATCGACCCACGCCACAAACCCGTCGACGGCCTGGATTCCCGGACTAAGACTCCGTAGATGCGCATGATTCATCCGGTCGACCATTGCCAGCAGAATGCCACAGAAACTGTCGAAACTGCGGTTACCCGCACCCCACCGGAGTGGTCGCGCGTACGGAGTAGAGTCATGAAACGACTCCTGCGCCATGGGGAAGAATGGGGGCTGTGTCAACTATCAAACACACTTGCACGCCCTGTCGAACAGTCTCAAAAATGGTCTTTCCCCCTGCATCCCTGCATGACGCAGGAGTCGGGCTGACACACGCCAAGCGTCCGCCTCCTCCGCCGTCGCTTCGGCATCTGCAGCCATTCACGATATTCGGAATTCGACATGCCACGCAGCGGACGAAAGAATAGAAAATAGAGATAATGAAAAGAAAAAGAAAACTCTAATCATATGCTTAAATGTATGCTAATGAATCCAGTGGAGACATCACTATTCGAATTCCCTTCACCATGCTGCCGGCAGCTACACGCGACGAGTGGAGAAACCAGATTCCATCTCAGAGATTATATTATACTAGGCTAAGATAGAAAACCTGTCGGAGGTCAAACATTCGAGTCTCGATCCAGCGCGCGGATCATGCCGTCCAATCTGTCCTCGTGTCATGTCCTCCGTCCGATCGACATCCGTGCTCGCTCGACGTTTACAGGTTGCCCTGGCCGGCGTTGGAGGCGGGGCCAGTGCCGGCAGAGTCGGCCTTGGCAAGGGTCTCGCCCTTGAGGTTGGAGAGCACGTCGGTAGAGGTGCCGGCAAGGTCGCCAGAGCTGGAGAAGGAGTTGGCAACGCAGGCGCGGCCAATGTAGTCGCTGCAGGTGGAGGAGTCGCTGCTGGACGAGAAGAGGGCACCGGCCATCGAAGACTCCTCAACGGAGGCAGTCACGTCGGAGAAGGTGTTGCCCTCGGCGAGGACGTAGCCACCCTCGCCGATCTCGAAGGCGTGGTTGGAGTTGTCGTTCCAGTAGTTGTTGACGGCGTGCAGGTAGGTGTTACCCTGGACCTTGGGGGCACGGCCGCTGGTCTTGTACAGGTAGTTGCCCTTCATGGTGACCTTGTCGCTGGAGCCGGTCAGGTAGACGTTCCAGTAGTGGTGGCCGTCGCAAGTGGCCGAGTAGTCGGACTCTCCGTTGATGTAGTTGTTGGAGAGCGTGACGCGGTTGTCCGCCTCAGTGCCAAGCACGTAGTGCTGACGACCGATGCGAGCAGTCTATCCGAATCCATATTAGCGGCTGCTCCGTCCACGCATCCCAAGAAAGAGGCACTTACCGTAACGTGGTCAATCCAGACGTTGTCAGCCTCGTTGATGGTGATGGCATCACCACCCCAGACGTACTGGGGGTTGATATCGGTGACGGCAATGTTCCTATCATTGTCCTGTTAGCCGCGGGTCCCTTGCGTGAATCAAATCGTCCCCGGCGCACTCACTGGATGATAACGTTCTCAACGCCGTTGACAATGCGCAAGCCCTTGCCCTTGATGGTGCCCTTCGTTCCTTCTCCGATGAGAGACTTGTTGGATCCGACGGTGATACCGAGCGAACCGGCGTTGTCGTACTTGACGTCGGCGGAGGGGGCGTCGGACTCGTAGTTGGTGCACCAGTCGTCCTTGTTGATGGCAAGCTGGCAAGCAGAGCCGGTTCCCCAGGGAGCACAGCCAGTCTCGGAGGTAGTACCCTCAGTGCCGGTGAAATCGAAGGTCTGGGAGAGGACGATAACGCGGGCCTCGTCGTCACCGAGGTAGGAGACCAGCTCGTCGGTGGAAGAAGGGTAGACGGCAGTGGCGCTGCCACCACCGGTAGCAGCAGAGGCGAAGCCCTCGGCGGTGCCCTGCACGCCAGCAGCGGCCATAGCCTTGCAGCTGAGGGCGGCGATAGTGGTGAGAACGGCGGCGTACTTCATCCTGGAAGTGTGGGTTGGTATAAGGTTGATTATAGGGTAGTGGGAGAAAAAAGAATGACAAAGCGGGACAAAAGAAACGAATGAATGACCGGAGTGAGTTGGGTTAGAGAAGAAACGTTCCAGAAGGGCAGATCCGTCGGCACTTATATAGCTTTTCGTTGGAGTGGACGACTCCTTTCTGCCTCCGTGAAGTCCCACGGCCGCCGACTCCCAGACGGAACTCACGAAACCATCGTTTGGGAGGAGCAAAGCCTGCGGTAGGTGGGTAAACCCGGCCAGGGTTATCCCGAGCAATATCCGTCGTCGAGGAGTTCCAAACTGGACATGGTGAAGGTCGATGCCGATCCTGGAGCACAGCGACATGGTTTGGGAAGGAGATCGACAGCGTTGAAGCCGCGTCTGAAACATCCCCACCGCGCCCATCCGGTCAAACCTCCGACCGATGCCCCGTAGCAGTCCGTACGGGCGATAGGGGCCACCGCCCAAAGTGCTTAATTCCTTTAATTAATCACAGGTGGTTGAATGTTTCGGGTTGATGGGCGAGTGAAAGCGCTTCCTCAGTCGGAGCGCCCACGTTGACGCCCTCGGAAGTTTCCCGATTGAGGCTAAGGCCATGACGCGGCTCGACGAGGCCGGGTTTTAGCAGCATCACGACAGAATGGCAGATGTCAGATTCTCCGGCCTCGATTTCCCCGGTCCTGCGGCGTCGCGAGAGCGTCCGGATGGCCTCGAGGTCCAGACAACGGGGATGTGCATGGCCGCAACGCCCTACCGCTGCCTATCACCCGGCTGGACAGAACATGTTCCCTCGCCCGAAACCGCAGTCTTTACTTGGAAAAGCTATCGAGCGGCTGATCATACGAGCCGTGTGGCCCTCCTGGGCTCCATTCGAAGTCTGGGTACGGCGGGTTGCGCTCCACCACAACCCTAATCGATTAAGGGCGCTCCACCGCTGGCTTTCTTCCTCCGCAATATCCAGCGCCGACCGACGAGATTAAGCATGCATATTGCATTCCACAGTTCATCAATCCCGAATGCTCTGAATGGCTGACTCGTGGGCGCTGCCTCAGCACCCAATTTGCCCGTCGACACCATGGGCTCCACGAGCCTCGTTCAACATTCGGCCTCACCTTCTCCCTTTTCACATCCCGACCTCCTCCGCCACCGTCTACTCTGCGGATGCCGGCTCTCTCGGGGTCTCACCTCCCAGGCGATCCTCATTACCCAACAATATCAACTCATGGTCCGATATTGCATACTGCACACCTGGGTTGACCGTAGTGTCTAGTCCGGCATCATCCTGCGGTGGAAACCGATGATCGCAATCACCAAAGGAGGACCGGATGGCCGCCGTTGCGGTGTAGACTCTACTCCATACACGGTGGCCTTGTTAACCTTCTCGATGGAAACCGGATCCGAACGGGGAGAGTTTTGTTTCCCAACGTATTATCTAGTGATGCTAATGGCTGACAATTCATCGCTCAACAGACCCTCGCCCACCAGCAGTGCAATCCGGGCTCCGGACGCCCTGGCATGTACCAAATGCTAAATTGACCTCTCGGGGTCCTGAGGAAAACCGCCGGCTACCCCCAGTCGTGGCGGTCAACGTCGATTGGATCGGCCTCAGACCTAGCGTAGGAGGTTCTCTCTTCTACAGGCCTTCTTTGGTGCTCGAAGGAAGGACACCTTTGTTCTCAATCACATTGCGATGAATAGCCATCACGCAGGGACTTGTCAGTAGTACCTGATGACTACCAGTAGTCGACAGATCTTGTCACGCGCGTCCCTTGTCTGCCGCCGCCGAGAATTCTGTCGATACAGGGATCTCTTCTCTCGTATCATTCATGGAATAACTGGCACCACTTTCGTCCGGCGTACAGATGATGGCCAAGCGTTCTTGGTCCTGCCGGATTTGATGAGGATCTTCCACGGAGTCAGCAGGATGGGCACTTGCAGCTTACCGGCATTGTCCCTTCACCTGCCACAATTCAATTGGTTCGAGATCAAGTGCAAGATGCCCAGATTTTGGCATTGTGTCCTTATAGTCTATGTTGTGTTTAGACGATTAGTACAGTGTTATGGTATAAGAGTTTCTCACGAAGATAAAGATGAAGTAATCGTTGCGCTTCCAGTACTTACGAAGATGCTGTATCAAGCCAGCTGAGTGAGTACAAATATGTGATTATATCTGTTCTTGAGAGCGGTGCTTTAGTTTTCCTCAATAGATGGACATTTCAATTGAGCATCTTTATGTATTCTACATGTTAAATCACAGGTATGAAGGATGGTAATTTTTCTGACTGAATATATGTGCAAATATATACATATATATATATCTTGTCCAAGATAATTCAACATGCCTGTCAGTCGAGGGCGAATATACACCGCAATGCTCTCGATAACTACTCTTAAGCTATGGAAATATTTGATACATAGAGAGCATCATCAAGTTTATAGAGCAACATCCCTAGCCACCAGTGTTCTGGTAATTCGAGCATTCTCGCGACATCGAAAACCGACCTGCTGACATCCATTAGTCATGAAGTTGACTCGCTGACCAAACGGTAGGATGAGTTAGAACCTGGAAAAGAGTGGAAAACAGGAGAGAGACAAAGGGCATTGGATGCATCGGCTCCACTACTTTAATTAGAGTGGACCCACGGGACCTTTTCACTATTTTAGTTCCTTGTCCTGCCGCGCGGATCCATTCCTTTCTCGACCAGGGGATGATGTGATACGAGCGAGAATTCATGTGGTGCGTCGGGATTGATGCAGGGGCACCACGGCATTTCAGAAAATGTCAAATTTGCAGGCCTTTTCACGTCACCGTATGATATCAAGTTTCATCGGGCCGCTACGAAGCACTCCATCCTGCTTATAACCAGGATGGGCAAAACCGGGACCCCAAGAGGGAAAGACTGCCGGCGGGGTTCTGGGATAACTGGGCCAACGAACCCTCGTCCTTGTCTCGTAATCCGTAGTAGATAAGGCAACGACCATTCGGAATGCCTGCACATTCCTGCGTCTGCGAGGAGTGAGGACAGGGCAAGGATCAACGCAGTGATCGGAGTGGTAGGAAATCCTGCACAGGCCTGCGGTTCCTGACAACCATGCCGCTGACATTCGGAGCATTAAACTCCACGAGATGGAGGAAACCGGGTGAGCGTCCGTGGCAGACGGGGTGCATATAAGGATTGATAATATTACTCCGTGTCGAGACCTCCGATCGAGCGATGCCAACGCGGCCGATCTCATTCTCCGACTGCTCCGTTTCTTCCACCAATCACGACTGGGTGGGCCCAAGAACTGACTCAAGAATTCAATCTGGGCTCATACGGAGTACGGAGTAGGAACGCTTGGAAGGCTTTCTTTGTTCCATGTCGTGGGATTTGGTTTCGTGGCTGAATGCCAGTGACTTTCATCCTCACTCTACGTACATTACCACGGAGGATGTCACATTTTCCCCGACATTTGTTTTCAATAGCATGTTTTGCTTAAGGGTCTAAACACAGGAATTTGGCATTTTCACTCGATTTGGGCGCGTGTCGCTCGGAATATTCTCAAGGGACTTGTCAAAATTTGAAGACATGGCAATTGAAACCAAAAAGAAATAATGCGGTGGAATTACTGTAAGGAGGCCGGATGTTAATATCGTATACCGAAAGAGACTGATGATCAATGTTTAGCAACTCGGAAATATGACATTGATTTCATTCCACTTTGCCCGTCTTGCGTCTTCGAACCCTGATCTTGACCTCCGTCGGCTTGTAGAACCAGTACGCCGTGGTTTCTAGATCCCCATCCGGGCATTCAAGATCCAGGTCAAATGATCGAACTAGCTCTGGAATTACCTTGAATATTTCGCACAAGGAGATCTGAAAGGTCAGTTATTGGTCAATTTGGAAGATCTTCCATGCACAGTTATCATAGGGATTCTCTTACATGTTTTCCCATACACGTTCTCGAACCTGCTCCAAACTACAAATTCGTCAGTACCAGGGGTGGTCAATTTAGAACATTGGGGGGAGAAACAAACCTGAATAATATATTGAATCATCTCATGAGCCCCGGGGCTCAACCATCTCTCCGGTCGGTATGTGAGAGCGTCCTCGCCAAACACGGACCGATCCAGATGCACGACTGCCGGGTTCACGCCGATCCGAGTTTTTCCAGGGATCCAATACCCAGCTACTTCGCAGCCAGGATCTGGCACATTACGCGGCAAGGTCAAGCCGACACTTGGATGGATCCTCATTCCTTCTTTGACGCATGCATTCAGGTACGGCAATTTGACCGCTTCGTCATAAGAGATATATGGCACGCCGAGCTCACCATCCTGTGTGGCACGATCCACCTCACGGCGAAGAGCTTCGAGGACAGAATCGCTCCTGAGTACATGGTACAAGATCCCCGTCAGGGCGATGGCTGTGGTGTCGCTTCCAGCAAAACTATCTTGATGGTTAATCAATGTGCGCGAACGACATACTTATGGGCCTGCGACTTACAACGCGCCATACGCCTCTAGTTTAACGTCATCAATATCAAAATCGACTCTTTGGCCCTCCTTCTGGTATATCGTAAAGACCTTGGTAAGAACATCAGGCCGCTGGGATACTACGTCGACTTCTTTGGACTCGAGACGATCTTCAACCGCAGCGTCGGTAGCTGTCGTCAGACTTCTAAAAGCACCCAACGAGGCCCTCATGCGTGAAGACAGAAGACCACAAAGCATAAATAGTGGGCGGACGTATTTTGGCATTACGGCCGACAAAGTCATGACGGGAATTAAGGCATCGGTGGAAGACAAGTAGCCCAAGTGATCTCTTTGACTCTCGAGAAATCCGAACATCTTCTCAAAATAAAACTCCCCAATGACATCATATGCGTACCTGTTAATAGGCTGTTGGTTAGGATGAAGAGCTGCCTCTGTGTTGGGCGCCACTCACATTCGCGCCCATTGAAAAAGATCCACTGCTGCTTGTTGATCTGCCATTTCGCCAAATCGTTTTAGAAGGACCTCGGTACATAGATCGACATACTTCTCGGCCTGCAGAATACTCGTCATCGAGTAGATATGATTGACAATCTTCCGCCGACTTGCATGGCTCTTTTCATCGGTCGCAGTGAAATGATCGGGGTACCTTGCTGTCAGAAATGGGTGAGCTTAGGCCAGTGCATAATTGCAGGGTTTTGATCGGTTCCTACCAAAAGGTGAACGAAAAGGTAAATAAAAGTCGGTCTGCGATAATCGATGATTAATTACTTTGGACACGAATGTTCAGGATAACATATTACCTTGGTAAATCCTGATTTGATGCCGTAGATTCTCTTGATCGCAGCTGGATCGCTGACTGCAAGTTCATTCGGCGCAATACGAATTACAGGACCTGTCGATGTTCGATCATTATGGTGCCTATATCAAAGGGGCACTCAGACTGACCGTATCTCATGTGCAGCCTCCGCTGCTCACTCTCGGCATGTCCTCGAGCCACATGCATCACGATCCATAACCTTGAAATGGCCGCAAGTGGCGGTCCTGGAAATCTTGCCAGTGGATGAAGCCATTTGGCGTAAAATACCCAGCCTACCCAGTATAATCCGACCGACAATGCCAGGCCTTGGAGAATAAGTTGGGTCTGCATTTTGTCGCTCAATGCAAGGAGTGTCCGAGACGTGGAAGCTGAAAGTGTGCCCCCGAAGTTCGTAAGCTGGTTAGCAGGCCACGCTATTGGAGAAAGTTATGGTTTGCTCGGCGCAATATCCACCAGCAAGGATCACAGCGCCGGCGTTCACTATGAGGACACCGGCTTCACAAAGTAGTGGGTCGAGGCTTATGATCACACCAATTGTCGAATGGGCGCAAATGAGCTTTCCTTGGCTGCTTACAGGGTACCTGGCAGCCAACAATAAATGCTCTAGGGATAGTCTTGGGCCCCAATGAGACTGTTACTTGCATGTGTGGATCTTTCCCCCTAAACAATTCGGGTGTCCATTTCCATACGCAGTACACAGTATATTGGTGTCTGTTGTTTCTCGCGCTATCATGCACGTTGCCATGCTAGCACGAGTAACCCTGGCTGGCGCCATATTGGACAGAAGGATGTTCATTTTTATAAAAGCATTAGTGATGTCCTCGCTTTAGGGGGATTAAGCAAATAAAGAGAAATGTCTACCTGTATCTCGCAACCTGTATCTCGCACCCGAACAGTCCCTGTCCTTCTCTTCCTTTCGCTTTGCCAGCCTACCGCAAAATGCAGCCCTTCTGGAAGGCTATGGTAGTTATTGCCTGTCTCCTGCCCCAGGCAAACGCTGAGACAGGTGTGATTCCTGCGTGTGCGGTAATTCCGTTTGTTTCCTGCCCGCTCTTTCGATTCTTTCTGACGTAATTGCTTATTCCAGAAAAATTGCATTTCCCTAGGTCAGGAGGTTACTTCCTGTGATACTTCCGACACCACATGCATTTGCACGGACACCGGATTCCAGGCAGATGTCAGTACATGCATTGCGACAAATTGCTCGTTAAAGGAAGCCCTTAGTAGGCAATACAATTCTGTCGTTCCCATTTACTCGGCGGGCTAATTCGGTCAGCAATGCGCAATTTGACCAGTACAGAATGCCACGAACCCATTCGTGATGTTTCCCATGTAACACCTCTTGTGACAACAATATTTGGCAGCTTTGCTATTACCGCAACTCTTATGAGAACGTTGCAATTCCGAGCTCATTTTGATATTGAGGACGTGTGTGCAATTTTGGGTCTAGTAGGTCTCACCCCTAGCTTTCTGCTTGTCTCGACCATAGTTAATGCCCGATAAGCTGACTGCTGTGCCAATGGGGGCACTTGAATACCCTAGTAAGCAGCCCATATTGAGAAATATCTTAAGAATATGCCTGCTCACTATGCTCATGTTTTCGAAATCAGTGTCAACCGATGGTTTTGGAAAAGACATTTGGACAGTACCATTTGACAATGTTACAAGAATCGTGAGAGTAAAGAGCAATTCCAGAGTTATTATGACCGAATTGTGACATTGAGGCTAACTAGTGCACAGTACACCTGGATCACGCAACTGCTATATATTGCTAGTCAATCATGCGTAAAAATGGCGTTTCTGTTCTTATGCCGACATATCTTTCCCAACGAGGGCCTAAGGAAAGTTATCCATCTTCTCATGGGAATCGTATCGGTCTATTGCATTGTGTACTTGTTTGGTCTTGCATTTGAATGTCTTCCGACCTCATATATCTGGACTCAGTGGACGGGAGAAACCATGGGCCATTGCTTGAATTTCAATGCTTTCGGATGGTCTTGCGCCATTTGGAATATCCTTCTGGATTTGGCTATCATGGCAGTCCCTCTTTATGAGATCAAACGGTTGTCGTTGCGCAGTACGAAGAAATTGTTGGTAATGGTGATGTTTGGGGCTGGATTCTTGTCAGTTGCTCTCTTGCGCCCGATCCCGGTATGAAGTGATTTTGACTTTGCCTCTTTAGTGTTACAATTGTCAGCATTATCCGATTAAAGGCGATAATTGTCTTTGCGAGCACAACCAATCCTACATGTGAGTCCTATACTGTGCTTCCAGGCCGTTTCATGTCGCTGATATTCTTAGATGACAACGTGCCAACGGCATATTGGTCCGTCATCGAATGCTACGGGTCCATAATCTGTCTGAACATCCCGGCCATTCGGCGTTTCTGTAAGTCATGCATATCGGGGTGTGCAATTCTCACGAATAAGGAACCTTCGGATCTCCGCCCGGTCTTGTCTGTGCAGGGTGGCGCTCCAAGGCATTCTATTTCAGGGGTCATCGGCAATATGATGGGTACGAAACCTGATCGCCATGACGATTTGGACGGTATAGAGCTACTTGAGAGGACAGGGCCAGAGAAAACAGTGCATGTGACTTGATATCAAAAAGTATTCATCCACCACATCATACTATGCAGAATCGAAAACAATCGATGAACAACGTATAAGTAAAGAACCCCGATGCATAATTAAGTTACAGACTGGATGCGTTCTATCGGCAAGTTCAGTGAAACCAACGAGTCAGGTTATCTGACCCACAAACTGCCCATCTCTAGCGCCATATCCCACCAGATTCTGCTGACGTTTTCCTTTCTGAGGTCAGCAAAAAGGCCGCTTGATTATTGAAGCTTAGAGATAAACTTGGCTACTGCGCGAGCGGACCGCTTTCCAACTAATCACGCAATGTCAAACACTTATTAGTCAGGTGTGTGCCAAATTCCTGAAGGCAGGATTTGTTATGTTGACAAGCGAGAGCTCCTAAAGATAGGGAAAGGGAAATATGGGTAGGGAAAATGTCAAATAAATAAAATAAATTTGTTCAGTCGCTGAATTAAGTGGTTTATTTATTTACATTTATAATAGTATGACTGTGGACACCCTGCGTTCTTCCCGTGGGGGAAAGCGTTGGGATCCCAGCAACAAAGCCCTATTCACATCCCGAGGTCGGGAATCACCTCAAAGGAATGACCGGCAATCCATGCCGTTGAAACAACCCCGCGAGGATCCAAGCGATCACTGATCAAGACCACCGGCGGGGATGGCGCGGAGCGAGGTATTTACTGCTCGGTGTAGTGGCAGCCGTTGGGGTTGGAGGTGGGGATGACGCGAGCGGCGATGCCGACACAGTTCTCGTTGCCAGCGGGGTTGTTGACACCGGCGGAGGCCCAGATGCTCCAGGCACCGTCGATGCTGTTGGGGCAGGCAATGGGGCTGCTGCCGTCGAAGGTGAGGTGGTTGTCCTTGATGGCCCAGCCCTTGCGCTCACCGTTCTTGGGAGTGGGCTGAGCACCGGTGGTGTAGCCGATCTTGCCCTGGCCTATGATGTAGTTAGCGTCAGATTCGATCGATCGATCTCAAAAACGGCCGGTGGTGCCGAGAAAAACGTACCCATGCCGGAGCGGTCGACGTAGATCTCCTGAGGAGTAGCGGAGGCGTCGTAGAGGTAGAGAGCACCGTCCTGGATGTAGAAGGTGGCGGACTGCTCATCGGGGCGAGCGCAGCTGGCGCCCTGGTTGGGGAGACCGGCGAACAGGCTGCCCTTGGCGGCGTTGAAGCCGGCGTTCTGGACGCCGGTGCCAGAGTGGATGGCGATGACACCGAAGGTGTTGGCCTGCTTGGACTCGGCGGCGGGCATGGCAGCAGCGGTGGCAGCAGCCGCGGAGGCAACGAAGAAGCGAGAGAAGTGCATGGTGGCTAAGTTGGGGTGGTTGGTTGGTTGGATTGAGAAATGGAAGAGATGGAAAAGATTGCAGTGGATGAAGATGGAGAGTGATTGATGATGAATAGCAGCAATGAGAGGAGGGAATCAGGCCGCCTTTATAGCCGGTGGGAGAGCAGCGATCCCATCCATGGATCCCAAAAGCGCGCATCGAGGAGGAGTTGCCCCTGCAGCGTTCGGAGTAACCTGGTGAGGCGTATACTTGCCCCCGTTCTCCCTCAGCGGGAGATGCCGTCATGCCGCTCGACGGGACTAAAATCAGGGCCCGGCTATTATTAGGAGCAGCGCCCGCTGATTGGCCCGGCGGCGCATCCGTGGAGCCGCTAAGGGCTCAACCCTCGCGGCTTGTTTCGGATGAGATCCGCCCGATCGGCCAGCAATCAAGACATTGTCTCAACTGCCGCCTCTTGGGTCTCTCCTCAGCTTCTTCATCCTTTCTAGTTTCCTGTTTTCTCCTCCTCTCTAGTCCGCTTTCGGTTGGCCTCCGGTGGGGGAGGGCCCAAAACCATTGACAATAGGCACAACTCAGCCTTCATGTCTGACCTGCCGTACCTTGGTTGTCTCAAGCCCAAAATAGTCTTGCCCATAGCCAGTAGGCTGTCCCTTCCGAAGCTCCGAGGTTCGTTCCGTCGTATGATTAGACCAATCCTCGCCGCGGCATGGCTGCCAAGTCGACTGCCCCTCGTGGAGTGTGGCTAGAGCCTCGGCCGGTGGCATCGTTGCCACTCAACTCCAGACTCTTTGCTTGGGATCGATCAGGGTCTCCGGGGAATCGAGCTGGAAGTCCCTGGGGAGTCAAGACGCCATCCTAACCTGCGCGATTATTGCCCACAATCGCATGAATTTCCAACCAACCAAGTAAGTCCTCCGAGGGAGCACTTGTTCACCATGATTTGACATGCCATTGACATCACTTCTTGCCACAGCGCACGCCGGTGTGGCCTCGTTCCCTTCATTTCCCCGAGTGAGACCTGTTGAGACCTGGTCTTGCAGGACGGAAAATGATACCCACCTTCCTAATTAAACCTCGTCCCCGAGATGTGGGGACGGGCAGATCTACGCCGTACGAAATGCGAGGTGCCTCTCTTTCGATCATGCTGCCAAACTGGAGGTTTTGCCATGGGGCAATATGCTTCTCCCGAGGTGGCCAGAAATGAATGTGCCTGCCGGTTCTTCGTAGAAGCAGGCAGAAGAGATACGGTGGCCAGAGAAAGTCCAACGCCCGAACTGGGCTGACTTTGACGTTTCTCGGACACCTCATGCCACGTCGGCTTTTGGCGAAAAGACCGACCATTACATGTCGGGGCGAATGCGATGTCCCCGATTGCTTGAAGCTTGAGCAACACCATGACTGAGAGAGCGGGGGACGGGAGAAATCGACACATCGTAGTACCATGACAGCGTTGACAAGTCATACTCCGGAGTAACAGCTACCGCTTTATCCAATCATGAAGGCAGACACGCCTCGTGCCAGACAGGTCCACGTTCCCGTGAGGTCTCCAATCCGATCATAGTGTACCGATATGATCGTCCCATTGCGTAGTTTGCTTTCCCTTCTCTCGATTGCTTACACGTACGCGCCATTTGAGATGCATCGAAAACCAAGTCCTTCTACTAGCATGACATGGCGGTCCCCAAATTAATCAATGGATTGACAGCCATTGGAAGACACAATCGAGGTTCTGACGATCCCAATTAACTACCCGTCATCTTTGGCCATTTGATGGCCTTGCAATTGAAGCTCAATTATTGTTGGGGAGGCATCTACTCCGCCAAAAACTTGATTTCATGGTACCAGTAATTATCAATGAGTAGTATGTAGCTGTGCTAGGAGTATTTAGTATCAAGTGGCTCATGTGAGCTTTTATAGAGAGATTGTGTTGTCAATTCAGATTACTCGAAGCGGTTGATCCAACGATATCACAGCGGGCGTGCGGATATATATATTGCTGCCAATTGAAAACTAGTAGAGCCACAAGCCATACATGGTAGCCTCTGAGACTCCATCATTTCGTTCTTCCCTGTGTACCAGCTCATCGTGCCATATTTGTATGCCAAATTCCAGGCAGACAGGGTGCGAGGGATTTCGTCTTGAAGCCGGCGAAATTGGTGGCCTGAGGCTCCAAGGCAGCCAGGCGGTCGGCCGCTGATGGCATCCATCGCGTCTTCTGCTTCGCGTCTCTCTTCTCGCGCATCTCCCTTTCAATGGTCTTCCATCTCGCCCCCTTACAGCCACTTCCAGATCCAGTCACGATGGCATCCGCACTGTCCTCTATCCGATTAACAACGGATATTCCCTGCGAATGAAACCATCTCGAACCGATCATGTCACCGGAAAACCGCCGCAACGATCAAAGCCGACCGGAAATGTGACGAACAATGCCCGCGTCCCCTCTGATGTCGAATATTTTGTCGCGACCACCACCTGCGAGCAGTGTTGAACACGTATAGTGTGATATAATCAACAAATTTTGGATGTTTGCCCCACCGGAAGAGAGTCGCGGATCTATCACGTTAAGCAGCTGCAAGTGGACAGGGGCGATACAGTATGACTGACCGTGTATACCTACTGAGTTGACTACGCCCACCGACCGGTCATTCGACTGGTATCCGCGAAAACTATGCAGGTCTTTGTACGCCAGATCGCGAACCTGCAGACGCCTCAGCCCTTGATCATCCGACCACAGCGGCGACGTTGGCAATCTTTTTGGCATAAATGAAGAGGGCCTGGTGTCGATTTATCATCTGCGATAAGGCATCAGAACCCCGTACAATCGCGGATTCATGGGCTGGAAGAGGGTCCTGGACCCAATCAGTGCGCGTCCTTATTGATAAATCGAAACAGAGGGCAGTCAGGAGTGGAAGTCTATGGATCGGGCCCGTGGGCTGAGAATGGTCAATTTCTTTGCTTGAATTACCCCGGCCGATGTTTGGTGATTTGCGCTTGCGTCAGGCGATCGGTGTGACTTTCACGGGGATGAACCATTTTGCTTCAGTGTGTGTCATCATGTTGTCGCTGGCACCGCAGTCGTGCCTGGCATGAGTGAGACGCTATTGTTTGCATCTATCAACATATTGCTCCGGGCGCTTAGGGATATGGATGACTTCTTCCGGTGTTATCCAATCTGGCCTATTGGTAAGTTTTCATCTTTTGTATTCCCCCCTATTTCTACGGCTGACGACCGACAGTTAGAATTCTACCGAGGAAGACGAGAATCGTTGGGGCATGTCAGCTGTGGTTGATCAACAAGCAGGAAACCTCTCGTCAACATGGTGGCCTTCTGAGAAGAGATCTGGATTGGACCCTCCTGTTGTACCCGATACGGCGACAGCCCGCATACCGACAGCATTACTTCACCAAGAGAAATAGGTTGCTTCTCCAGCGGTAAGCTTGCGTCGTCTCCCAGAGACTGGAACACACTAAAATATCGAGCTGAAATAGGCTTTTCTTAGACAAGCTGTCATTCATCATGATTCCAGGAGAGACGATAGAAAGCCAGTGATGCTGGCCAACTTGCGCGCTTCCTTGTGCATCAGCCAACATGCATCTCACGGCCCTTGTGCCGCAGCACAGTCGCGTTGCCCCACGGGTAAGGAATTCCAATCTTAACCAAATCGCGCTATGTATTTCAATTTCTTGCCTGCCTGGTTTCTTCTTCTTCTTCTTCTTCTTCTTCTTCTTCTTCTTCTTGCCGCTGCCTCTTAAAGAGCATCCACGAACTGTCTGCAATGGCCTGTGAGAATCCGACAGCGGATCCGCCGTGCGACTTAGTTCTCCTATGTTTCCCGGGGTTTAGACGCATTTTGTAACCCAAAAGACCCAATTGCGTTCCTATCATGAGTAGATGAAGAGACTCTACACGACTGCGCTCTCACGGAAACTTGATGGATGGAGAGCATGCCGCCTGTATCCGTCGCGCTGGCATGCTAAATTTCGAGGATCTTTATCACGTCCTCGGCAATCGCGTAGAAGAACGCAAAAGAGTCCCAGAACTGTATGGGGTTTCCGTCGGCGACATTGGGAACGCTCACCTGTTATTGACGCACCAGCTAGAAGACAAATGGACACTAAAGTTATATGAAGCGTTGAGCTCTTTATCGGCGAATCACCCGCAGGACCAACCCCTACTAGTCGAAATCATCTTGCAGGGTGAGCGTGGTACTGCTTTTTGTATGGAGACTCAGGCTTAGTCAATCCTGACTTTTCCATGCTGCTCGTCTCGTTCTATTTCCTGTTCAGTGATGTTTCTCGACCGGAAAATCGCCATTGATGTTGCTGCGGATCCCCAGATGTTCACTGATGAGTTTGCTCTCGAAATTAATTACGATCCTGCTGTACGAAAGACCTGATTGTTTATTTCGGTCGAGGATGAGCCGCGGGCAATCTAATGTCGCAGTTTGATGATACTATCATATTGTTTTTTCGATGTCTCTAAGTCAGAAGAAAGTTTTCTGGTAAAAGGGCACAGAGAAGACGAAAGACCAAGGATTCGACTGTTTGTGCTTCCGCCAGTGCCTCCAGATTGAACAGCTCTCAAATAGACATACCCCAACGGCTAGAAAATATTTTGCGGGATTGCCAGATGGCCTCACCTCGAAAGCGAAAGCGTCGCCAAAGATTGCCTTGAAACTCAGTGTCAAACTTTGCCTGACGTTTCGGTGGACACCGCAATCTCGGAGACATTCATTTTCTGGACCAAGTCCCGGCAGATATCCAGACGTAATTAGAGCAGAATACCTCTTTTGAAGCGTGATATGGCAATCGCGTCACATTGTGCAGCGAGACACTGCTCAACGGGAACCCTGTGGAACCCGCATAGGCTGCGTGATTGACGAGAGTTGCAGACTTGGAAGTATCAGCAATAATCAATATGCTGCGGATGTCCGGCGGTAAATGCTAAGGCGATAGTTCTACCAGCTCTGAATCTCGGCCGTCATAGTACCGCTATTTCAGACACGCGTCGAACCTGGAGATGCTCTGGTAACAATGATGCAGTCCGTCCTATTGGCTGCTGGCTCATGCGTTGAAAACCACAAGTTGATGGCACATACGAGAGGAAGCCGAGACGACTTGCGGCGATTGAAGATGTATACCGTGCCACAGCACATGCCGTTCACCAGGAGGAGAATGTGATGCTGCATGTTGGGCTGATATAGAGCTGCAATATCTAGCCCTGATATGTCCCGCTGTAGAGTCACTCGTTGCTGGAAACCTGGGCGACGCGCTTTAAACTCAACAATGATTATTTTTCCATGCTCTTCATGAGCCCTTGCCAATGACTGCGCCATGTGTTATCTCGATCGGAATTGTGAAACCGACTAGACCGATGATGATGGGCATTTTGCGGCTGGTGTGTTCGGAGTGCGAAGCGAAGACCAAAAGAGCTAAGCCGAATATTTGAACAGAGGTCTTCATACTCGATCGAGGGTTATGTTTCCAGGCGGAACAATGCAAAGAGGCTGGTGGTCAATATTGCCATTTCGCAGAGAAGTGATCCCCTAAAACATCGTTCTCGAGATGACTCCCTAAACTGGATTGCAAGTCGAGTTGGGATTCATTCACCGAAAGGTCTAGCTAATCGTTTGATTATCCTGATCAGTGGCTTTATCAATCGTTCGTCGGCAACATGCACGATGTACAGTATGTTTCTGCGGCCAAATTGACCTGTTTGCTCGGGCGCTGAATCTGAGGCCGACTATATAAGCCCGACCACTCGAGTCCAAAGAGACAGATAAGACGATGAAGGTAGAAGAGGAAAAGCATTGTGGCTTCTAATTTATCATAAGCATGGTTTCAAAAGTAGAGGCAGCTGGCAACGAATGGCACTCTCACGGCGAAAATCATTCATACGTTACGCACAGAACCAAACCTCAAGTGGACACGAGCGTTTTGGTCCAAGTAACCATGGTGCATGGTCCAATGTGTTTAGAAACAAGCACCGGAATGGAGCGCCTGCGTTCCGTTGCCTGATTCCAGTGCTCTTACATGCTCGAGGAATAAGCTGACCGCGGACATTTGACATACGCAGACGGTTGATTTGACTTTGATGAAGCCATGATTGAACCTTAAACAACACAAAAATTGTCGCACGTCGCCTATCAAGTCAATGACAGCCACCTAGCGCCAATCTAAATGGGTTGTTATCTCTCCTTCTACGGTTCTTGAGACCTACCGCTGGGCGGTTAGGTTGACCGCTATGCCTGTCTTCGTACTCGAGGGGTCTTCCTGGATGCTCGCCCATTAAGGGGGTTTGCCTCGGTCATTACGTTTAGCCTGCACTACCGGTGAATTAGCCGCATTGATAGCCAAAGCCGATCCCCTTCGGCCAGGAGAGGCAAGCAGAGCCGCCGCTACGAGAACGTCGGTGTGCCCGTGCGGGTCATCTCCAGCCGCAGGCAATATATGACACAGAAATTGCAGGATGCCATGTTGTACGGGACACACTGCCAGCCCGTCCTCGGTCTACTTCGTGAGCTCGTACTCGTGGTGATTTGGTCTGCTTGTTGTGGAATCCGAATATGACCGTTTCCATGCCATCATCAAAGCGTCCCCCCTATATCCACCTCGGTCCACCGGTTGACCCCTCCAAGGGGATTTCTGGGATTTTTGGGAAGGAGGAAAAGGAGATCATGGCGAAACCTCGGCCGACAAGACCCACAGTCCTGCTTCAAGCGGCAAGAGAGGCCTCCGATCCTCCTGTTCGCGTCCTTGACATCGCCATCCTCCACGTGGAATCACCCGCAACTTCCTCCATGATTTGCAGGCACACCGTGATGTGCATGGTCAGTGTGCTTGCTATGCAATCCTTCCGTTGGATTGATTCATTGCAATGCAGTCGACATAGAATCCAACTCTGACGGTGGAGATGCTGGCCAGAAATGCGGACCCACAGAGGGCCCGTCCGGTTATATCCCTCAATTTACCTTTGAAGTTTCTGTTGGCAGTTGAAGTCCAACCCCAGTTTAACTAAACCACCTTTTTCTCCTTTTTTTCAGACGCCCGGAGGTCGCCCGAGTCGGTGTTCGTTCGGAATCCCGATCCGACGTAGCCGAGTAGGGTCTTTTCCGGAGTATTTGGTATGCATTAGTTGTGAGTCGTGCGGTGCTATCGTACATGGAGATTTGACAAACAAATTATTGTAGTTGAGCCATAAATATTATCGAGGATACCATAGATCTCATCAAGATAGAAAATAAATACATAGTACGGAGTGTGAGGGAATAATTAGGCATAGCTAGAGGCCCGACAAGGGAAATCCTTCTATTGCTTCTCGATCCATTTCTGGATCACACCGGCCACCTCGTCGCTGTTTTTCTCGAGGAAGACCATGTGGCCGTTGCCGTGGATACCGAGCTCACCCAGCTGCATGTGCTCCGCAGAGACGCCGGCCTGCTTCAGGAACTTGACCGTGCACCAGTCGTAGGGCGCGTGATAGGAGGACTCGGTCGTCACCACGACAACGGGGACCTTCTGCAGGTTGACCAGCTGGCGAGGCGCCGGGTGGTCGGCCTGCAGCACGCACTCGTCGCGCGCGGTCGAGTTGCTGGGCAGCTTCTTGAGCGCGAAGTCGGTCTTGGGATCGGTGACGGCGGGCGAGTAGGTCAGGGGAATGTCCGACAGACCGTAGGCCAGTGACGAGGCATTCGCCGTGGCGCCGTTGAAGGGCGGGCCGGAGGGCTCCAGGGAGACGATGGCGTGCACCTGCTTGGGACGCACTTCGGTCAGGATCCAAGGCATGATGCCGCCCTGCGAGTGCGACAGCAAGATGACGGGGCAGCCGATGAGGTCCAACAGCGCCGCACCCGCCCGCTGCACGGTAATCTGCTGGCCCACGGCCTCGCCGAAGAAGTCGACGGTGGAGGCGTAGTAGGTGTCGAAGATCTTGTCACCCATGACGCCGGTGCCGGGCCACTGGGTGTGCAGCGCCGCCTGAGGCCATTGCATGTACTTCTTCGGGGCCGTGAACAGCTGCTGCAGCTTCTCGGCGCTGTAGGTCTTCATGGTGCCGTTGCCAGGGACGTGAGGGCTGCGACCCCGGAAGGTCTGGTCGAGCAGGTAGCACTCGTAGCCCTGCTCCAGGAAGTACGAGGCCCATCCGCGGCCTCCGTCGGGCTTGTTCAGCCAGTTCTAGGGCCGGGTCAGCATCGCGCGGTAATTAGGGTTAAGCTTCGGGTTTTCTGTATGACGTACGGTGCCTGTCTGCGCCTGTCCGTGGATGAAGACGATGGGATGCGGCTTGGAAGCACCCCCCTCTGGGATGAGCTTCTCCACGTACATCTGGTCCGCGAACAAGTGATCGCCGTCGGCATTCTTCACGTACTGGCCACCCACATAGAGGTACTCGCGCTGGTAGGCCACTTCGGAGGAAGTCGAGTTGTGGGCGACGGCGGTGCGTGCCAGACTTGCCAGGGCGATCAGCCCGGTCAGAACGCCTCGGGACCACATTTTGGGCTGCAGGGAACAAATTGGCCGGAGGAGGAGGATCGAAGTAAAAAAGGCGTAGATTGAACAGGGATCAGAGAAGCGCGAGAAGCAGCAGAAGGTTCTCAAAAAGCAGAGCCGGCCAGTCCGATCGCAACAGCCGGGTGGAACCACGCGAGAAGCGCATCTCCACTGCACAGCCGATCCTCATTTCCCACGGTCAAGCATCCACTGCATTCCACGGCGCCGGAGTCCACCCGAAAGTCTGGTGCGCCGCCGTCAGCGAATGGAGGTCGCATCATCGATCGAGCAGTTGGGGGCCTGGAAAAAACCTAAAAGGTTAAAAGCATCCGACCCCAAAGACGAAACTTAGTTGGCCTTGGGTCAATTTGTGCCCATCTCCGAGGCTGTTTCTACCAGCGTCTCCTTGCCTCCGTGGAGTGCCTTTTATTATCCGCGCCGTCCGCTTTTCCTGGACCCCCCAGATGGCTGACCTGGTCCCTGCTCGTTCATCATGGCGAACACGACGCTGGTGCTGCTGTGGCTTTTCACCTGGCTGACGGTCGCCCTGATCGCCACGCGCCTGCTGCTGCGCAAGGTGCGCCGCAAGCCTTTCGTCCTCGGCGACTATCTGTCCTTCGCCGCCATTCTCTGTGCGTTAATCCGCCTGGCCCTAGTCCATGTCATCCTCATCTGGGGCACGAACAACATGCCGCCGGAGATGCGCGACTCCCGCCACTTCACGGGCCACGAGATCCACCAGCGTGAGATCGGCAGCAAGTTCACCCTGTGCAACCGGGTCTTTTACAACTCCTAGTATGGATCCCCTGTCGTTTCGAGCCGGGTAGAGCGCGGTCGATGGAGAACGCACGGAGCGGAGGAGCTGACTCGTGTTATAGTCTCTGGATCCAGAAGATTGTCCTGCTGGATACCTACCGACACTTGATTCGAAACCTGTCGTGGGAACGACCGACGCTGCTGGCGTACCTGGCGATCTTCGCAGGGACGTATATCACCGTCCAGGTGGTGACTTTCACTGAATGCGATCCGTTCGACCACTACTGGCAGGTATTGCCTGACCCAGGTATGCATCAGAGATCCTTGGAGTTGCCATGGTAGAACGAAACGATGACTGACGCACTGCAACAGGCACCTGCTCCCAGGCTCAACTGCAACTGATCGTGCTGGGGGTCCTCAATATCATCACGGATGTCATGCTGATTGCACTGCCCATCCCTGTCCTGGTCATGGTCAAGCGGTCGTTGGCCGAGTATGTCTTGTCTTCTCGCTCTCGTGTCCGTTGACCATCCACTGACTGTGTGCACTATAGGAAGCTGCAGCTTGCCGCCCTCTTTGCCATCGGTCTCTTTATCGTGATCATCACGATCATCCGATTACCGCAGAACGCCGAGCACTCGACGGTGCAGGTCAACCGCACGACCTGGGCGAACGTCGAGCTGTTCGCCGCCTCCATCGTGTCCAACGCCCCCGTCCTGTACGGCTTCTATCGCGGCGGGCGCGAGAACTCGCGCTCGAGAGCCACCAACACCGGCACGGGGCCGCACTCGTCGCGCGATCGGGCTCTGGCCTCGCAGGACCAGCCCTGGGAAATGCACAAGGTCAACCATCCGCGACGGACGTCGGCGCTGGGGTCTAAGCTGGCGGCGCGCCCGGCGCATGTGTATACGGAAATCCACGGCGAGAGTAGCGTCAGCGTGGAAGCCCGAAAATCCTGAAGAAGGCCTCTCGTTGGAGGCAAAATAAAAATAGACCGTAATAATTGAGATAATACATGGCGACCTAATGATGAAGAGCAATTTCCCTGCATATCGGACTCCGTAGGATTTGGCGTCTTCCGCTCCATTTGAAGCACGGAAACCGACGTGAGCCAAGGATGGAGAGAGCAGCCTGAAGACCCCTTTTCAAGTCGGAACGAGCGCCATCTGCCTATCAAACCCTCTGGCGTCGCAGTTCCTGACGAATTGGCTGGCTTGGCCTGGCTTGGCGCCTCGGGCCTCCCACGGGCTTCCGCGATGGATGTCGATCTGGAGATCGGCGAGTGGGATGCAACCACGGCATGGCTCTGGATGTTCTCGCAACTAACACTGTGAACGAGGGACATGCGAGCACAGCACCGTGAACAGAGTGCTCTTGGGAATCAACAGGACGAAAGGAATAGGACGTTTCAAAAGACGCCGCCCTCCAGCAGGATTTGGTGGGCAAAAGAACCCCGGACGGCACCAAAATCCTCGATGCAGCCGATCGCTAACCGGGCTCAGCTGCTGTCACACAGCCTTGTGCTGCAAGGATATCCGAAATTCAACGGGGATTCCCGCTCGATGCAACCTGGGGGGTTGTCGCCTGCCATCGTGGCTATAAATTGACCGGGGGTTTCCCCAAAGGATGCACTCTCCCTGGCTGTGTACCACCCTCCATCCTTCTTCCTATCCCAGTTTCAGTCTTCACCATGCGGTTCCCCCTCTATGCCACGGCGCTGGCAGCTACTGCCTCGGCTCTCGTCATTGGTGAGCGAGCCTCGTCCGAGGATCGCTACATCCTCGAATTGGCGCCCGGCGTCACCAAGGAGGTCACCGAGGCCGAGAAATGGGCTCTCAAGGCTGTGAGTATCAGGATCTCCTAGCAGGGGAAGTGAAAGGTGTTTGCTCACGTCATTTCTTCTTCTGCAGGAGGGCAAGCAATTCTTCGACATCACGGACGAAGTGAGCAGCATCAAGACCGCCAACGTCGCCGGCACCGAGGACTCGCAGCAACAACTGGCCGTCACCTATCCCAGCAGCGCGCAGTACAAGGAGACGGTGAATAAGCTGATCCCCGAGTTGAACAAGGCCAACTTCCAGACGGTCCTGAAGCCCTTCTCGGAGTTCCACAACCGCTACTACAAAAGCAACTACGGCAAGCAGTCTTCGGAATGGCTGCAGGCCCAGATCCAGTCGGTCGTGGATGCCAGCGGGGCCAAGGGCGTTACTGTCAAGCCCTTTAGCCACTCCTGGACGCAGTCAAGCATCATTGCCACCATCCCCGGCAAGAGCAGCAAGACCGTCGTCCTCGGCGCCCATCAGGACTCGATCAACCAGGCGTCCCCTTCCACGGGTCGAGCCCCCGGTGCCGGTATGTCGGACAGACGTCGTTCTCCGCCGATCGCATTATAGCTAACATTGATTGCCTCTTCAGATGACGACGGCTCCGGAGTGGTGACCATCCTCGAGACGCTGCGGGTTCTCCTGAAGGATCCCAAGGTAGCGGCGGGCGAAGCGCCCAACACGATTGAGTTCCACTTCTACTCGGCCGAAGAGGGCGGACTCCTGGGCAGCCAGGCGATTTTCCGACAGTACTCGTCGCAGAACAAGCAGGTGGTGGCGATGCTGCAGCAGGACATGACGGGATACACGGAGGGCACGACGAAGGCCGGCAAGCCCGAGGCCATCGGCGTCCTGACCGACTACGTCGATGCCGGACTGACCAAGTTCCTGAAGACGATCATCGACACGGTGGGTTATCATCCAATTCGGATATTTTGAGGACATGCGGACTGACCGGACTTGCTTTCCCTAGTACACGACCATCTCGTGGGTGGAGTCGAAGTGCGGATACGCCTGCTCGGACCACGCCTCGGCCAACCGCTATGGCTACCCCAGCTCGTTCGCCTTCGAGTCGGAGTTTGGAGACGACAGCCCTTACATCCACACGGCCCAGGACACGATCAGCACGGTCAACTTCGACCACGTGCTGCAGCACGCCCGTCTGTCTTTGGGCTTTGCTTACGAGCTTGCCTTTGCCTCGCTGTGAGGACCGAGTAGGAACCGGGATTGACGCCACGAAGGATGAAGCAATGGCTTTGAGGACTTAGTGACATGCATTAAAAGAGATTTTCTTGTTGACAGCAGATTCAAATCCTGTAGGGACTTCGTAGGTTTGTAGGAACCGACGCTACCCTGTGGTCGACCGGGGATTTCCACGCCGTATGAACGAAGGCCAGTCCAGCGTCCAGTTGGGAGTTGACGGCGATAATATGTTGATCATAGGGTATATTTTCGATGAATACGATGGCAAGGCCCCGTAGTCGAGATATACTCAGGTGTTGTGCAGCATTGTGTCGTGCTGCGTAGCAAGAGGTGGTTCCTCCATACACCACTGGGCAAGGAGGGGTAGATGCAGGGCAGTCCTTGGCAGATTTGGACCTCGCGCCCTGGGATCGTCCACTGAGAGCAGCAGTGGAATCATCTCAGCTGACTTGGCGCATGGGAGAGAGAGAAAGGAGGAACATTTCTAGTGGAAGAAGGAAAGTCACGAAACGCCACGCGGATCTGATAAGGGAAGGCGTCCCCCACTGCCGGTGGGGGCCGATTGATAACAGACGATTATTATGATTATTATGATTATTATGGATTTAGTCCGTTAACTTATTATACCGCCAGGATTCCTCCGTCCTCCGTCCTCTTCGACCGGTCGCTGCCTCTCCTCCTCCCCCTCTCTTCCCCCACTCAACCCGCCATGCTGAATCCCTCTCAGTCCGACCGTGCGCCTTTCAAGGTCCTGGTCGTAGGAGGCTCCTACGCTGGACTGGCTGCCACGCTCAACCTGTTCGATCTCTGCCAGGGTCGTCGCTGTCGGTTCTCGCTGGATCCGGCCGACGAGGGTCCTCCACGGAAAGTGCCCGTGCAGATCACCGTTGTGGATGAGCGAGATGGGTACTGTATGCGCGTCCACTAATCAGATTCCTTATCGATCTTGGGATGCCATAGTTGACCGCTTGTGTGCTAGACCATTTGATCGGGGTGCCGCTGGCCATCGCCTCCCAGGACTACGCGCATGCAATCTGGCAGACATTCGACGACATCCCCGCCCTGCAGGCCCCGGAAATCAAGCGCATCCAGGGACGAGTCGTCCATGTCGATTGTCAGGCGAAATCGGCGCGTATTGAAGGCATCGCCAAAGGGAGGCCAGTGACGGAGGAACGATACGACTATCTGATCGCCTGTTCTGGCCTGCGCAGGGACTGGCCCAGCGCTCCCAAGTCTCTGACGCGACAGGACTACCTGGCCGAGGCAAGTCGATGGGTCGAGGACGTTAAGAAGGCGTCTCAGGGGGTTGTTGTTATCGGCGGAGGTATGTGTCCGGCTGTCTGGATCCTCGCGTGTCTTCACTGACAGTGGATGCAGGCGCCGTGGGAGTCGAGATCGCGGCCGAGATCAAAATGATGCAGCCCCAAGTCAAGGTGACCCTCATTCACTCACGCGCCCAATTGCTGTCCTCCGAGTCTCTGCCGGACGAGTTTAGCACTAAGACGCTGAAGCTTCTGCGGTCGGATGTCGACGTCATCTTGGGTGTGAGAGTACAGGCGACGACTGCCAACGAGGGCGACTCGTCGGGGTACACGCTGACGCTCTCGGATGGCCGACAGCTGCAGGCGAGTCATGTCATCAACGCCGTGTCACGCTTCTCGCCAACGACGTCTTACCTTCCAGACGCCGCCTGCGACGAAGAGGGCTACGTGCACATCACGCCGCAACTCAATCTCTCCGGCGACGTTCCCAACGCAGGGGACCATTACGCGGCGGGCGATCTCGTGCGCTGGTCGGGAATCAAGCGCGGAGGAGCTGCCATGCATCAGGGCCATTATGCGGCCGTGAACATCCACCAGAAAATGTACGCGCAGCTATACGGGTCTGAGACGGATCCTCTCCAGCTGGCAGAGGTGCCACCCATGATGGCTCTGGCATTGGGGAAGCAGGCGGTGGGATACTTCCCAACGACTGGGCTTTCGGAAGGCCCCGAAGTGCTTAAAACTTTCTTTGGTGATGATTTGGGATACATGAGTAGGTTCTTTCGCTTGTTCCTGCAAGGTAGATGATCTGAACTGACTTATTTCGCAGTATGCTGGAACTGGATGCGCTTGGGGGAAGCGCCACCTGCCGAGGTGAGAATTGAATCAAAGACTGGTGCAGCTTAGAAGCACACAGTATAAATTATCGGGAGATTTTACCATCTATTGTATCTATTGTATACATATAGAGTCCGGGGAATCCATGATTACAAGCAGTTGACCATGAGACATGAGTCGGGGACACACGAAGACTGGCAATGTCCGTACAGACGAGCTATCCTGAGTCTAAAAGGATAGCTTGTATCCCAATAACTTCCTGTAGTCTGGCAGCCTGGGTGGTATCAACGCCGATGTCAGAGCCCCGATCTTCCGCGGAAGAATCAGTGCAGCAGCCGAAATGAGGAAAACAACGCGGACACGAGCGCCACCAGCTCGAATGCACCGGCGATGTCAGCGGTGGCGTCCAGTCGGACTTCGCCAATTGCCTCATCCCCAGCAGCCTTTCCAGACCCCGCACAGATTCCCCGCTGGCCAGATGCCCGGGGAGACGAGTATAAAAAGCCCCTCGAAGACTTGTGGCTCCTGCGCATGCCGTGGTGGACCGAACTACTCGGCTTGATTCTAAGTTTATCGGCCAGTAATACGAATAACCAGTGATTTCCAAGATGCGGACCCTCTTGCAGCCCGACCTCACTTCTACCTGCCTGGAACTGGTCGATCGACCGGTTCCAGTCGCCAACCCTGACGCTGGCGAACACCTCATTCGCGTGCATTGCACGGCGCCCTGTGCCGGCGAGCTCTTCTGGCCGTCGATCGTCTCGGTGCCCGACAAGGAACCCGTGCCCTGCGACGACGTGGCCGGCATCGTGGTGACCGCGCCGCCCGACTCGTCCTTCCGACCGGGAGACGAGGTGTACGCGCGCAGCACCTATTTCCGCCCCGGCTGTGCGCGCGACTACACCGTCATCGTGACGGACGAGCTGGCGCGCCGGCCGCGCAATCTCGGCTGGGTCGAATCGGCCGCCACGCCGCTGTCCGCCGAGACGGCCTGGCAGGCGCTGTTCGAGCAGTCGGGCATCGGCGGCATCGACAGCGACGCCTGGAAGGGGAAGCGGATTCTGGTGACGGCGGCGTCGGGCGGCGTGGGCACTTGGTTGCTGCAGCTGGGACGCCTCGTGGGCGCGCAGGTCATCGGCACCTGCGGACCGACGAACGTGGACCTGGTCAAGGATCTCGGGGCCGTCGAGGTCCTGAACTATCGCGCCGAGTCCCTGAAGGCGTGGGGCCAGAAGGACGAGAACAAGGTCGACCTGGTCATCGATTGCATCGGGGGCAAGTCACTCGAGGACGCCTGGTGGTGCGTCCGAGACGGCGGCGTCCTCATCAGCATCTATCAGGCCCCGGATCAATTGCGACCGGCGGAGGTCCCGGCCCAGAACGTGCAAGAGATCTTTTTCATCATGAAGCCGCGTCGGTCGGATCTGGAGGAAATCACCAAACTGGTGGAGGCGGGCAAGTGTCGCCCCTTGGTCGACAGCGTCTGGCCGTTGGAGCAGTTCCAGGCGGCCTTCGACCGCGTGGGAAGTGGCCACGCGCGAGGCAAAGTGGTGCTGGATCTACGGCTGAATGTGCCCCAGGAGTGACGGCATGGCATGTGGAAATGGAACTGCTCAAATAGTCTAGAACTCTTACGCCGACATAGTAATAACACTGGGTGTACCCCACAACTCTCCCCGGAGAAAGCTTAACTAGGTCGTACATCCCTATGGAACGCCTCGATAAGCCGTGTTGTTGTTGTTCAGCATCTCCATGTCCTCCGTGTTTTCCCACTGCTTCGGCTGGCGGCTGGAGACGATCTTGCTGGGGTGATAAAGGTTGAAGATAATGGCACAGAGGAACATCAGTGCGGCGTCAAAGACGTACAAGTAGGCTTCGGTTCCCTGCAAGAAGCCGTCACTGCCCTGGACATACTCGGCAACTCGATAGACCGAGCGCACCATGATGAGCACGCTGACGAGGTACAGCACTTTCATGTATTTCGTCCATGGGACCTGCGTGGCCACCATCTGGTGCATCGGGGTGGCCAACATGCGCCGGTGGAAAACGATGGACACGACGATGAAGAACCCGAAGAACACGATCTGCACGAACAGACCGACGACGATCATGTTTTCGCCGAGATCTTTCTTTTCTTTGCTATCTGCCTTGGCCAGCAAGCCTCCTCCTGCGCAAATGTTAGCGGTCCGCTTGTTGCACGTCAGCTTCGGGTTTTCATACCTCCGCTCTGGATAAAGAAGGATAGAACGTCGCCGGTCACGAAGATCTTGGTCAGCCACGACGGCCGGATGAGAGAGACGGAGCCGGCGTTCAGCATGCGAATGATGCGGCCAAGGATCATGTACACCGAGGCAGCGAACAGGGCCGGAGCCAGCAGCAGCATCAGACTCTGTCCGATGTAGGGCTTCATCGTCCAGTCGGGAGTCTCGGTGGAACTGATGAATCGGCACAAATATCCCAGGGCCTCGACTATATCCATGCGGTCGAGATTAACGGATTGGTCACTTGCTTTGCATTCGGAGAAACGTACAGATACCGCCGATGATGAACGGAATGAAATACCACGTTCTGGATCGGAACATCTGCCACAGATGAACCACCGTCGTCAGGCCAAAGACGGCAGCGAAAGCCACGGCGGCGGCGCCGGACGGATCGTAGTGGTAGAACTTGTAGCCCATGGTCGCTTGCGGAATCCAGTGGGTATAGAATCGCTTCAAATGAGAATTTATGGGACGACAAGGCTGGCGAAACAAATGACGAGCAAATCAACCGTTAACGAGAGTAAGAAAGAAAATCACGGCAAATGAGCGACTGGGTTCGGACAATTCTGGCTTCTGGCCGGATGGTTGCCCCGGAGTGGACATGATGGCCGTGGTATATAACAGAGAACACGGCGGATCAAAACGGCAGCCTAGATGGGCTCACGTTGTCTCGACCGTTTTGCGAGTATCAGATTCCGTCGGTGAACTTCCAAGAATAAATCGAAAGACCCCGAAGAAGAAAGTCGAAAAGCTTCGGGAGCGACGATCCGTCCCGAAAAGGCATGGAATACGAAGTACGACGGCGCCGGAACGACGCCGATAGCGTCGTTCTTCACCCCCGAAATCTCTATCGATACGTATACGAGACCACTTTGACAGGGCCGGTTCAAAGTTAGAATTCAAGGATTCCGGGGGGATTCCGTCCACGTGCAACCATGGTTCCGGCCCTGAATTCGAGATCGAACAGGGGCTGGTCGAGAGTCGAGATGTCGAGATGTCGAGATGAAGGGTCTTTAGGGCGTCGCAGGTCACGTGGGCCGACGAGTCGCTCGTCGACGACTGCCTCGTATACCAACCAGCACCGACCGAGTTCTCCGTATCGATTACCCAGTTCATCCTGCAACTCCCTGCCATCCAGATCCCACCGATCTTATCGAGGATCCCAAAATTGGCCAATGACCCACCAAGGCCGCCAGGCATCCACCCGCACTAGACCCGATCGGGGGCGGCGTACGAGAACGAGTGTCGCTGCGGTCGAGATTTGCCCCCAAATGCCTCGCGTTTGGCACCGTCCCTGAGCATCTAAACATGGCGACAGTGGGTTCGATCGGTTTTTCACCATGCCCCAGCCCCTCGAAAAAGGGATTTATATCTCCAGGGTCCCGCTTGGAAAGTGGCATCTTTCTCTACTCTGCGATACATCCATCCAACACTGCGGCACGCTTGACATCTCCTACGCCATTCAGTGCCTCCTCTCACCAGCTTGCCTGCCATGGAAAATTTCACATTCTACTACTATAAGCCCTCGGCGCCGGCTGCGGCCATCTTTGTCGTTCTCTTTGGCCTCAGCACGCTTCTACACTTCTATCAACTCATTCGCACGCGAACCTGGTTCATGATTCCCTTTTTCATCGGCGGCATTCGTACGGCATCCTTCCCCGAGCTGTACAAGAGAATCGGACACTAACGAGCTTCTGATATAGTCGAAACCATCGGATACGTCGGTCGTTTGCTATCCTCAATAGAGTCTCCCGATTTCACCAAAGGTCCCTATGTTATGCAGAGCGCCTTGATCCTGATCGCCCCCGCCTTCCTCGCGGCCAGTATCTACATGACCCTGGGTCGAATCATCGAGATGCTACAGGCGGAGAAATACTCCGTCATCAAGCTGCGATGGCTGACCAAGATCTTCGTCGCCGGTGACGTGCTTTCCTTCCTGATGCAGGCATCCGGTATGTCCCCACCGTCTGGTCACATCCAGTCCACAGACCCACGAGCTAACTATGACAAGGTGCCGGTATCATGGTGAAGGACTCGACAGACCCCACGACGGGTGAACGAATCATCATCGGTGGTCTCTTTGTGCAGATCATCATGTTCTCCCTCTTCGTCATCACCGCCATTGTCTTCGAGATCCGAATGGCTCGCGGCCACCTAAATGCCTCGCCCGAGGCCTCGCGCATCTGGCGCGGACACATGATTGCCCTTTACGTGACCAGCGCTTTCATTCTGGTCCGGTCCATCATCCGAGTCGTCGAGTACCTCGATGGCTACGACGGGTATCTGATGCGCCACGAGGTGTTCATCTACGTCTTCGATGCGCTCCTGATGTTTCTCGCCATGTGTGCCCTGAACGTGGTCCATCCCAGCCATGTTAATGCCTTGCTGGGCCGGGGCGACCAATATATCGAAAAGGTCGTCATGACTCGCAAGTCCGTTGGCGGCCCGCCGGTGGAGATGCATACCGCCATGGATGTCTAAACTGTTAACGGCCCTAAATCTTGACGTTCTTATGACATATGCTACTGGTAGATTGGCAATGGTGTGTAATATGATTTGATTCTTTCCGGAGTGAGATAGGGCTGGCGTTTTGGGAGACTATATTCTATGATTACTAGCAGTTATTTTCAAAAGTTCTGTTCGACCAAGCATCTTCGAAGATCCCACGTATCGTAGCAAGTTAAATCTGCAAATTCACACCTTGGCATATCCACAACGCCAAAAGAAAGTCCGTGGTGTTCAGCGTGCTGTTGTCATTATTTGCTGATTGGGTAATCACATTGCGAACTACACAAGCTCAGCTTGGTATGGTTGGGGCAGTCCTCTAGGAAGCCACGCGGCAGTGACTCGAATCTGTGAATAAAGCTGTTTGTTGGTGCCTAAATCACACCCTCCTGAATGATCTTCAATGCCTCCTGGAATTGGGCCCAAGCAACCGACCAGCTTTACTGCGTCCTACTCCGGAGTAGTCTTCTGTCACCGACAGGGCGCACCCCATGGATCTCCACCTTTTCCAGCCGTTGAATGGCTGAAACGACCTGTGGGGGCCAGTGGATCCTTGAACCCCTAGCCGGATGATTGAATGTGATGCACACTAAACTAAACGCAGTAACTGGTCAACTACTGTGCAATACGGAGTACTTAGTTATCAAGTACTGAGTGTTCTCATTTATGGTCGACATTGCACATGTGAAAAATGTTTCCACCGAAAGTATTATTGATCAGGTGGCAGAAAAATACGGGTGTTTGAGAGCCTGCCAGCATTAGCATGCCTTTCGTTCTTCCAATGCAGAGGATGATCAGGACGTACCTCGATGGCAGATATGCGCTGGCTACTTTCGTAACACACCAGTTGACTCACAAGGTCACGGCCTTTAGAAGAAGCCCCTTTGAGAATGCTGTCCCATGGCTGGGCTGGATATTTGTAAAACTGTACTTTGTCCCAGTCTGGAAGCTTTTGAGTCTCCTGCACCATGTGTCAGCATAACCCGGATCGAACGACATTGGTGCCGCCAGTTCATGACGTACCGGCCAAGTATCTTGGTCTGGCGTGCCGAGAGTTGTAAATATAGACTGAATGAGGGAGAGGTCGCTACCCAGGGGCCCAGAGTCAAACAACTGCTTGTGCCCGACAGAGATTGCTTCTGCAACGACACATCCGGCTGCCCAGAGATCCAGGGCAGCCCCATAGCTCTTGAAGCCGAACAATATCTCCGGGGGCCGGTAGCAGGTGGTCCCTACATCCGTGATCTTTTTATCAGCCGGCTCGGACCGTGGTCCTTCTTGCCAGGCAATTCCAAAATCGGCAAGGTACGCCGGGCCGTCGGGAGAATCCATTAGAATATTGGACGGCTTTATGTCACGGTGTACGATCCCTAGTTCATGTACGTGGGCTAACGCACTGAACATGTCTCGCAGATGGGACCTCGTTTGGCTCGCCGTGACCAGATTCCGACGGAGCAGCTGTTCGAAGTCATATTTCACAAACGGGAAAACTAGGACGAGTCTCCCTCCCTCGAGTTTCAAGGTCTCTATCAAGGGGATTATGTAAACACTGGCAGCCTTCCGTAGAAGCTCAACCTCACGCTGCGCGTCGTGGGGGGCCGTCAAGAGGTGAGGGATGGTTACTTTGACGGCAACCAGGGTGCCATCCTCGCGTCTGGATTTATATATGGTGGAATGAAGCCCGTCGAAGTGGTGCATGCAGGAGCGATACGGGCCGATAGGCTCACCTGCGGTCCACGATCCTTCTTCGGGTTCAATGGACACTTGGTCGGGGCTACTAATTCGGGGAGCTACTGACCCGAGGGACTCGGCAGCATCAATGGCCTGCTGGCAGAGCCGGTCGTATTCGGCCTACGCATTACGTCGTAAGAATGTGGGCCTGTGGGCAGAGAAATCTAGCTACGCACCTTGGAGGTGGCGCGGTCATAGGCCTCGCTCTCAACTTTCTTGGCCTGGGACTGAGCCTCCGCGAAGGCAGCCGATGACGACACATGCTGATAGGCACTGGTCCTGTACAAGACCATAAGGACGGGAAAGCCATATGCGTGGGAGAAATCTCGTCCGATGCGTGCATGGCAGCAGGGGCGGTACAATCGGGAGGTACTTACAGAGATTGGATGGCTGTCAGCCGATCGGTGAAGCCCAACGCCTTTTTCCAGTCCATGGTTTTGAGGTAGAAGGCAGAGAAGGTAAGAAGAGTAGAAGAGTAGAAGAGTAGAAGAGTAGAAGAGTAGAAGAGTAGAAGAATGTCCGAGAGAGAGAGAGAGAGAACATGTGACACCGGGACTCGGCGAAAGGTCGTTCCGGGTGCAACGGGCAATCGTCATCAGCCATTCGACGCCTCCTCCACCTTCTTCCGTCTCGACTTCACCTTCTCTGCCTGCCGTCGCGTGCAATCGCTCGTTTCTCTGCCGACAGATCCTGTCGCTCTGTCATCCAATCTCTCTCCTTGCTCGACCTGCTTATTATGCGCCCCCCTAGCCCTTCTTTCCGCAGCTGTGACCTATGAGTATTGAGCAATGGACCTCTCACGGCAGGAGTATCCAGCCTTGCTGGTAGGCCCCCGACCCAATTGACCCCCCTGCCCAGCTCCACCCTCGGCCTCGATCGGTCACGCCATTGGCTTGCCAATTCCATCGGCTCGTTCTCTGAACTGCTATCTAACAATTGTTGTCGTCTTCTCGTCACCAGGCCTCTTTGCAGCCCGGCCAAGCTACAAGCGTGTTGAACGATCGCATTCGCGTCATCAACCGAGTCAATACGGATATCGCGGATTGGCTTCAGGTACGACTTCCGACCGTCCTCCGCCCTCTTCTAGCATCTCGCGATCTAATTGCAGCGTTTGTGACAGGAGCGTCGTCGGGTCGAAGAGGCGTATGCCCAAGGCTTACGGAAGCTTGCGACGAGACCACAGCTGGACAATGGCGCCGCACTAGGGTAAGTCTGGGTCGGTCCAGCGAGGACCGGGCTTAGAGACATCAGGTCACTAACGGTAGTGCAATTGCGTCGATCAGGATCTTCCAGATACCATGGCAACGGATCATCAATGCCGCCGAAATCGTGGCTTCTTCGCACGAGGTCTTTGCGCAGAAGATCGAAGATGACGTGGAACGTCCTCTGAAGGAATTCAACACGAAGAACCGGGAACTGGCTTCGATGCCGGGCATCCAGAGTGATATTGCAGGGCTTGCGAAGAACCTGGAAACTTCCCAGAAGAAGGTGGACAAAGCAAGGGAAAAGGGCCCGAAAGGCGCGGATAAACTGGCAGGCGCTATTGCTGCGGCCGAAGAGGTGCGCCAGCAGTGGGATTCGAGGGCACCTTTCGTGTTCGAGCAGCTTCAAGCGGCCGACGAAAGCCGACTGAATCATCTACGAGACGTTCTAACTCAGCTCGAGACCCACGAAACCGACCAGGTTGAGCGTTGTCGTCAGGCGGCCGAAAGCTGTTTGAATGTGCTTTTGAACGTCGAAACCGCAGATGAGATCAAGACTTTCGCTGCAAAGATGAATGGTGGGCGCCCGGTTGTTCCGCGAGAGCAGGCTGTCTCGCCTCCTCCGACCGCTTCGGCCGCTCCTCTGCCGCCTCCGCCGCGCATTCCGGACGATGCGGCCAGTCAACGCTCCGAGTCGGTTGCTGCCCCTGCACCGGCCAGGGCTCCTACTGGTAAGTGGCTCGGTGCCTACCGATTCAGTGGCCCCTTCTCCATCGCGGCGTCGTGCTAACTCGTTGGGCACTGCCAGCCCCCGAGCCTCGCCATAACACGCCCCTTGGCGGCCTCAAGCGTCTAGGAACCGTCATGAACCGACGAAAGAGCATGGTGCAACCGTCCGGAGGCCCTTTCTTTTCGGAGAAAAAGCACCGGAGCCCCTTCGCTTCTTTCATGAGAAGTGATTCTGCTCGTGACACGCAGATTCCCGAGTCACCGCCATCGACCGCAGATCGCCCGGGCACTGCCTTGACTACGCAGGAAAGCCCGCAGGAAACGCGTGAAACGGTCCGCAACGCCAGCGAGCCCAGTGATCGTGACGGTGCCGGCGCAGGCCCCTCCAGCCCTGAGCCTCAGTCGGCGCCTGGAACCGCAAACGGGACTACATCTCCGGACATTACTGCAGACACAGGGCTGGCGACTGCGACCTCTAACGAGGTAAGTTCTTAACGGACACATATCGAGCATGGGAGACTAATGTCAAGAAGCAACCGCGAGTAGACTCGGAAGGATTCACTGAGCGACCGCAGACCATTGATGAGATCACCAGAGCTCAGAGAGAAGCGATGGGGTATTTGAGTTCCCAGGATCCCAACCATGGCACAAAGACTGACTATGTCTGCAGTATGGAGGAATCGGGAATGAACCTCACTATTCGAGACCAGCCGATATTCGAAGATGAGGACCAAGCGAAGCAAGCCATGGATGATATGGCTAGCCAGTTAAGAATGGTGAGTATTCCTTTTGGAAGCGACCTCTTCTTTGCTGTACTGACATGCTCGGCAGCGCGCCCAACAAAGCGGCGGCATCAGGCGAAATGTCGGCACTTTGCGCGGTCGGCGCGATGTGCGAAACACCGTCTTCATCCCCAATCCTCCCCCGAGCAACGAACTCCCAATTGCTCCATCGGCGGCAGACGGACCGACTCCAACATCGCCCTCATTGCCATCGAGACACGCCCTTTCCCCCAGTAATGCTACTGATGAACATACTCTCTCCGATACAACCTCTGTTCGCTCGGGGCATACGTTGCACAGCACTCCTGGCCCGGTGGCACACCCGGAACTACACGAGCCTGGCCTGAACGCCTCCATCATCGAAACTGTGAACGCGTGGTTCTCTGACGGTGCGGTTACCAAGTCTTTCGTTGTTGGAGAGCTTGCATTGGCATACAATCCGGCCCCGGATGTTTCGTCGGACCATAGCCGGGTTCGCCTGGACAACTTCCAAGTGCTGGAAAAAGTGGCCGCGAACCCCCATTTTGTGAGCGAAGACAAGGACAAAGATCAGTCCGAGGAGAAGCGCGGCCAGTACACCATCTCTCTCTCCAGCATCGCTCGGTCCGCCCCGTCGGTGGCCTTCAAATACCAGCTCCACATTGATCCCTCGGACACTTCCGCCTACTGCCCGGTCGTCTTCAAACCGGCCTGGAACATGGAAGAACACCAAGCCAGCGTGATTGTGTTCTACTCGATCAACCCGTCTTTCGCGGCATCGATGCAGACCGAATCCGTGGTGCTCAAAAACTTGGTTCTAACGGTGAATCTCGATACCACCCCGGAGGAAGGTCGCGAAGTCGTCCATGCAACCAATGCTGTCATGTACCCCAACACGGGAGCATCCTTCCGTCGCAAGCATTCCGCGGTAACCTGGAAGATGACTGAACTCGAAGTTAAACCCAACTCCGATGGCAAGTTCCTGGTTCGGTTCTCAACGGCGAACAGTTGGCCGCGCAAGGGCAAGATCGAGGCCAAGTTTGAGATCCACTCGACCCATGCCGGGTCGCGTTTGGGAATTAGCGCTGCCTCTCAGATGCCGGAGGTCGCGCCGGATCCCTTTGCAGACGAGGATTCTAGCGCACCGGCTGCCGATACTGAGTCCTTGTGGAATGAGGTGCCAACGGTCCGCAAGCTGGTCGGAGGCAAGTATGTGTCGTCTTAGACTGCATGCCTCTTCTTGAAACCGGGTTTGGAGCACCAACTGCTTCTCAGATCACTAATGCAATCTAACTACTCACGAAACCAATCCACTCCCAATGCCCACGGAGCCATTGATTGCAACATATGGTGCAAGGTCACTAACCAGCTGTTGCCTTCTTTTCTCTCTTGGAATATTCTGTTAGTTATTCCAACGAAGTGACTCGGCGATCCATAGCCAACGTTATCTCTGAATCACTCCGGTACATAATTAGTCCCATTTGTCTGTAACGGCGCTTGTCTTGCTGTCTTTTTGTTCTCACTTTTGCTTTTCTGTGTTATCTTATTCCCCTAGTTTATTTTTCTTTTCTTGTGCAAAGTTCTTCTGTTTACTTGGTCACATAGCATTCTTGTTTCCTCAACTCCCTCCCCGTATGACAACCGACTTTGTAAATACGTTTCCCTGTTGAAGGATTTGTGCACTGCCGTACACCTCGGATTGTTGGTGTATTCTGGTTTTTATTTTGATTTGGACTGTTCTTGTCTGTCCTCTTTCTCTCGTCCGACACTACGAAAATGATAGAGCAGTAGCGACGGACAAATATATCAACACATCACTTCATTACGGGCTTGATCGAGGTGAAAGAACACTCCGTAACTTCCCTCAATAAGCTATGGTGAATAATTGCGCATGATTTGGAGCCACCTACAGCGCAGTAAATAGACCGACGAGACAGACAAACGAGAAAGATAGCAGGCAAGAAAAGGAGAAGATGGAATAAGGAACACGGCACAACCATGTCTGCGCCGGGGAATCGTACATCCATAAAAGTAGCCCAAAAATATCAATAACACGGGGAATCCTAATGGTATATTATTTTACACAAGAAGGTATCGAAAGAACAGAAAGAAAAAAGACCAGCAAGATTACATGCGTGCAGCTCGTGTAGTCTTATCAAAGAAATCTAACGTCATGGCGGCAAGGAAACAAGGGATATCTTTGCGTTCCTCGACCCAGAATTTAATGAGAGGTTTGATCTCCATGGCAAAGAGACTGTTGGGCCCGCCGGAGATCTTCATCGTGCCGTTTTCGCCGTCGAAGATGATGGAGTTTTCCTCGCCGTTGCCCATGCTTCCCGGTCCGGCGGAGTCCCCAGAGGCACCGTCGCCGTGTCGGTAGGCCGGCGAGAGATGGAACATCGAGGTCACACGAACGCGGCCGTTCGGCAGGAAGTCTAGCTTGTAGCCGAGCAGGGAGGCAACGGCTTCGCGGAATTCCGAGGATTTGGCGGTCCAGATCTCCTTCAGGCGGCGCATGCGTTTTTCTTTGTCGGCGACTGTGCGCTCCATGTCTTGGATCTCGAGCTTCATGCTTTCCAGGGTGCTCACGGGGACAACGGTGGCATCCCCCTGGCCACCGCGCAGCTGAGCAAGGAGATCCTGGTTTTCTGCCTTGAGCGTGGTCAGGGTGGAGAGTTTGATCTTTTCGGCTTCGGCGGTAGGGTTGTCGCGCAGCTCGAGAACACGCGTGCGAGACTTGGCTTTTAGAGACTTGAGTTGCGATCTGGCGGCGTCAAACTCTTTGCGTAGGAGGGCGGCCGCTTGCTCGGATTTGGACAGCGCCTCTTGAAGGGTTCGGTTTTTGCGAGAGAGCGCCGAGACGCGCTCGTTCTCAGCCTCGCTTTCGGCAGGAGAAAGGGGTCGCTTAACGCCACGAGGTTGCGCATCTTCCTGCGGTACCGATTCGCGTTTGAAGAGCTCTTCGTGGGCCTGCTCCAGTTCCTTCCTGTATTGATCGACAAGCTTCTCGAGATTGGCGATTTGTTCGGATTTCTGCGCATCAAATTGCGTCTGCTCGTTCATCGTCACTTCCTCCGCATCAAAGGCTTTCAGTTGCTCACGAAGATATTCCACTTCCTTCACAGCGAGTGTTCGCTGACGTTCAAGTCGAGCCTTGACCCGAGTATCCGCCAGTGCCCCTCCGGGGGCAGCGCCGGCATTTCGGAGCTTTTCAAGCTCCTGTCGCAAGTTGGTTCTCTCGTTTTCCAGGCCTTTGATGGTCTCGTCCTTCTCCAGGAATTGCGCCTCAACATTGCCCAGTCGGTCGACAAACGAGGCCTTTTCAAGACGTTCTCGTAGCAAAGCCTTCGCGACATCTTCCGGAGAGCTAAATTCCTCGGACTGGTCGCTGTCCTGCAAAAGACTCGCCCAGGAGTTCCTCTCATCCTCCAGCAGCTGCTTCTGGATTTGCAAAGTGCCAAGCTCCGATTCCAGCCCTTTCATCAATTGTAATTGGTTCTCCAGCGACTTTTTCTGCTCTTCAACCACCTCGACGTTCTTGTGCGACTTCCGAAGATGCCGCAGTTCCGCCGTTTGGTCGCGATTTGTGGTTTCCAAATTCCGAATGTGGTTGACCTGCTCCGAAAGCTCCCGTTTGAGGACGACTAAGGTCTCTGCGTCACTCCCTTCGGCTTTCAGACGAATGTTCTCGGTCTCCAAGTTGACGACATCGGCTTCTCTTTCACGGAGCCTCTCTTGTGTAGCTTGCACTTCGTTCCTCACGTTCTGAAGATCGTTCTGTAGCTCTTCGACCGTTTTCTGGAGAGACGATCGGATTGTTTCGAGTTCGTTGAGTTGATACTTGAATTGTCGCTCATGGTCGAGCGATTGCGCCTTGCTATCTTCGGCATCTTCCTGGAGACTTTGGTTCTGATCTTGCAGGGACCGGATTTTCCGCTCCAGGCTGACTTTGTCGTTGAGCGCCTGGTCTTGAATCTCCTTCATTTCCTTCGCGAGCGATTCGTACTTGTGGTTGGCCCGATTGCTGGAGGTATCCGCAGCCTGTTACAACACGGAAAGTCGTCAGCGTATCATCGGGGACATACATGTTTTGCTCTTGACAAACCTGGGCCTTTCGAAAGTCTGCATCCCGCTTTGATTGTAGATCCCGCAGCTCCTTTTCATGGCGCAGCACCATGAGGTCCCTCTCTTGCTTGATGTTCTCCAGCTCGTACTTGAAGGTGCTGCACTGCACACGCAGCTCGTCTTTCTCCGCATCTACCAGGATAAGTCAATTGCACGATTCGGTTTGCACGGTTGGCGGAACATGGGCTTACCGTGCGTTGGAGGATGAGAGGGGCGGGTGGTCTGTCGCAGGATACTCGGAGCTCTGGGAATCGACAGAGGCGAGGAGTCCCCGGGATGAGACCCGAAAGACAGACGGGAATTCCTGCTCGAGTTCATCTAGAAGGCGTCAGTCAATCCCCACAATCATTGCACCGCACGGGTGGGCAGGGGCCTACCGTTCAGCATCACTCGTCAGCCAAGACCATCAATGAAGTCCACCGCCCTGGATGATCGCAGCAGTCACAGACACCGACAGAGGGAAGCAAAGTGCAACCAGCGCCGACCGCGAAGGAAAGAGGAGAGGAGAGGAGACGCTTTCCTTTTGCTTTGTTTTCCGGCGAAACGGCCGGACGACGGCTGAGTCAGCGCACTCACCGCCCGGACAGGCCGGGCGTCCCAAAGCGGACTAGCGCCCAAATTTTGAAGAATTCGAAATTTTGCGGGTTTTCGACGAGACTCCGACGACAACTTCAACCTCCCCTCACGCCCCTCCTCACCTCCCCCGGTTCAATTTCTCTCCCCGTGAGACCAGCTGTCAAGATGGGCAAGGACAAGTCTGAGAAGAAGGACAAGCGCGAGAAGAAGGAGAAGCGCTCGGAGAAGGACGGTGTCCACAAGAACGGCAAGAAAGACAGGAAGTCCAAGGACAAGACCGCGCTCGCCGACGCCGTCGAGCAGGAGCTCACCACCAAGGTTCTGGATGGAATTGACCAGGCCGTCGAGGATGCCCCCGTCAGCGGCATCGTGAAGGCTGAGATGGAGGTTGACGTTCGCCCCGTTGGCGCCGTCGTCCCGTTCGCCAGCCCTCTGGTCGAAGACAAGTCGGCGAAGAAGGTGCTGAAGAGCGTCAAGAAGGGTAGGTTCACTTTTTTTTTGCTTATATTGCTGCTGGCAGACTACGCGAGCGCACTGTTCTCGTCTGTCTCTTTTTATCCTGCCCCAATTCCATCCCAGGCGGAAGCTCTCTTCTATCCACCTTGGGGTTTTTTATTCCATTCCTGTCGAATCTCAAATCCAGTTTCAAGTCTCCGCAGTGTGCTAACTCAACATCTTTCCTTCAACAGCCGCTGTCAACAAGTGCCTCAAGCGCGGTGTCAAGGAAGTCGTCAAGGCCCTCCGGAAATCGCCCGTCCCTGCTCCCAACGCCCCCATCTCCATCCCCAACGGCATCGTCGTCCTTGCCGCCGATATCTCGCCCATGGATGTCATCTCCCACATTCCCGTGCTCTGTGAGGACCACGGAATCCCTTACGTCTTCGTCACATCCCGAGCTGAGCTCGGTAACTCGGCCGCCACCAAGCGTCCCACCAGTGTTGTCATGGTCGTTCCCAAGTCGGCCTCCAAGGGCAAGAAGAAGGACGAGGATGACGACGGCGAGGACTTCAGCAGTGTGTATGAGGAATTGGCCAAACTCGCCCAGAAGGAGGCCAAGCGAGTGGGTGTTTAAGAGTGTCGGGCACTTCAGGGTCCGGACTGTTTCTTTTATCTTCTAATTTCAAGGTCTTTGTTTTTTTCCCTCGTGTTTTACTTTCTTGTCTTGGCTCTTGGTATGGCTGTACAGTTCCACTTCGTGTTGTCTGATCAGACAGTGCATGTGTTCGAGGGGTTCTGGCCTTTGGGACGTGTTCATGGGTTGAGCTTTTATGATATGTCCGTTGCAAAATTTGGCGTTCTCACATCGGTGTACGAAAAAAAGGCAGGAAAGTGTGGAATTGAAACCATCAAATTCATCGGATTCCCTTGTAGACGGACGTCAGTGTCGGTCTTGAATCATCAGGGACAATCGCGTCGTGCACGATTTAAGAACACTCCAGGCCCCTGCAGATCGGCCCAGTCTGAAATATCCCCCTTCCCCTATCTAGACGCCGAAAACAGGATCAGTAGCCTCGGTCGGTGTAAAAGATTCAATGTCCAGCCCTCTGTAGAGACGCGGTGCATTGACATGTTATGTTCAACGATCAATAGCCATCACGGCAGCAAGGGATGCAGAAATAATCGACGATCCACCACGAACCATTGGGCGGTCCCCTCCATGGATCTGCACCAATAGGGCCTGGAAACGAAAGTGTCAAGGACGCAAGGAGACTGGGTGTCAGTGCCTCGAGCCAGGCAAACCTGCAGCGGTGATGCATTGTGAATTGATTCCTACGGTGTACAACGCCCATCAGGGCAAGACCTTCATAGATAGGTATAAGTACAGCTTCAGCGCCGCTCTCTGGAGCCAAACGTACACATCGTGTCCATGCCAGCTTGGATCTGACATCTCACGCAATAAAGGGGCCAATATGTTGCTTTACTACTATCTCTCGCTTCTACTCGGGTCGGTGTGTCTTGTAGGGGGGGCGCCCATCACGCAGGCTGCTAGCAAACATCCTCAAGATGCGAGTTCGTCGACATCTAACCTCCATGGTTCATCAGCATCCTCATCCTTAAGTTCCACGCTCAGGCGACATGACACATTCCAAAAGGTTCGGCCTCTGATATACTACCCAGCTAGTAGAAGTCACACGCCGTCTTCACTACCAGGCTAACATCCTGCCGCGATAGATCCACATCACCAACACCAAATCGTTCTCTCTCAACTCGCCAGCCCTGCCCAATTCGAACCTTGCATACGAGCCCTACCACTGGCCTCGCAAAATCTACGGCTTCTTCGTCAACCATTCCCGACACCTCCAGGCAGCTGCCCACGCCACCACCGACGACTCCTCCAACGACCACCAGCACTCAATCATCGGGTCCGGATGGCTGCCGGACAGAAAGAAACAGGATCGACCGATTGAAAATGGCTCGGGAGTCGGGGCCACTACGACGTCGACGCAGAGACGGTTTCCCGCCATCTACGCCCTGATGCGGCACCTGCAGCGCACGGATCGGGTGTGGGTGCCCGTGGCGCTTTTGTTTGTGATGTCGTGGTTGGCGGTCATGGCGATGGGGGTGGTCGAGTGCGTTGGCATGTGCTGGGAGAAGTCGATGCAGAGGCAGGGACGAAGGCGTGAAGGGCTGGATGGGAGGGTTTTGTTCGACGAGGGACTTTTGGAAGAGGTGGTGATCGAGGCGGTGCCAATGGATGAGGACGATGAGGATAATGAAGCTGGAGGGGATGAATATGGGATGTTGAAAAAGGCATGATGGCGTTTCGAGTTGGTTTCTTTGCTACAACAGTGAACTAGAAACATAGGATATTTTGGTTGAAATGTTCAAATTCATCTATAATACATGGTTGCATCCGAGAGGCTTGAAAGTAAAGGAACGATCAATGATAACCCGCTCAAAATCTTTTCATAAACCCATAAACAATTCGTCAAAGGAAATCATGATTTATGCTCGCTGGTCGGACTGGAGGTGCTGGAAGGGGTGCTGGTTGTCAACTCCCTTCTGGCGAGGACCTCCACCGGCATCGGGACCGCTCTCGGCGGCGGTGCGCTGGAACTTGTGCTCGGCCGCACGGCCGGGGTCGTTCTTTGAGCCAATGTCGGTGCCGAAGCTGGCGTTTGGCCGGTCACCTTCGAAGCCGCCCTCGGTCAGGTTGACACCCTTAGGCTGCGCCTTGCCGTATTGAGCGGCGTCAGCATACTGACCGGTAGCATCGACGGCGTACGAGGGAGCCTGACCACCGTTGTACTGGCTGTAGCCACTGCCGCTGGCCTGGGACTTGCCAATTCCAAGTTCCTGCTTGGCCGCAGAAGGGCCACCGACGTAGCCGGACTCAGGCACGTGGGGACCGGGATAGTTGCCCTGGCCACCCAGGGCCTCGGGGTACTTCTCCTGGCGATCTAGGTTCTCGCGGGCAGCACCGACCCGGGCGGAAGGCAGCTCGGTGGCGCCGGAGGCGTTGGCGGACCGCGAGCCCGGCGCATCGGGCTGGGCACCACGGTTCTCAGAGAAAGCACCGCCCTTGGTGGCGGATTCGGCGGCAAGAGAGTCAGAGGGGACCGGTCCAGCCGGCTCATGGATGGGGTTGCGAGTAGCCTCGGGGTCAGTAGTGACCTGGAACATTGTTAGGCACCAAATGGAGTTGCGATAGTAATTGCATAGCACATACCTTGGTGCTGGTAGGGCCGCGGGAAATGGGCTGTCCTTGAAGATCCATTTTGATAGAAGTGATTGGCGGAGTTGAGAAGTTGAATAAGATGGAGGAGAGGAGGTTTGCGGTTGGTATCGGATTAAGAGTCCTGGTAATTCGAGTTCAATGAAGAATGAATTGATATTGACCAGAATGGCCGGTGCAATGGCAGAGCTAAATAGCTTTGCATTGTCAGTGTCAACGACCTGCTCGGCGCTGTAACAGTCTGGGTGATGTCATTCTGACGGCGCCAGTCCACCGTTCCCAGAACCGCCGCATCGCAGCGACCAGCAATGCCAGCAGTTGGTACGTCAACGAAGGGCCATTCCAATGCCTCCGAAATTCTCTAAGTGGCGCAGATTGGCCTCAGACAAGAAAGACGAATCCACTTTGTTCCAGGGACTTGGCATCTAGAATCTCATCTGAGGGGCGCACCAGCGTAGGGTGTCGATCGCCAACATCATAGAGGTCTGTTAGATCCTGATCCACCGCTGTTACCTCATCCGGGTTCTGAAAATCTGGTCTCCCACGGTATGCTCGATTGCGTTTTGATCCTCGGATGGTTGCCATGATCGTTTCGTTGGAACGCAGGCGCAAATACAGGGCACATTTGACGTCATATCCAGTCATTCGATGTCAGTAATGAGTTATCGTTCCTTCTCGATGATTGTACTGCAGCGGATAATTCTGCGTGATTCCATCTGCACGAGAGATGTGAGGCATCCGGACTGTTGGCTGTCTGAAACCGTCGTTGGCTTTGGAGCCGAAGTGAAGTGAAAAGGCAACTTAATCTTGACGGCGACGATCCGCCAGGCCCTGGTCACGTGCCACCGTACATCTGGGATTTGGCCTTCCACCAAATCAATTGAGACGACCGCTTTGGATTAAGTAGGCAAGTATCCAACTATTTGAATATCTGCTCCATGTACCATTGGAAATGTGGTGCTAAGATCAAGCATCGATTCCACATGCCCATCCACCTGCAAGGTCGGCTACGAGATGCTCTTATATACCAAGTCGGGATGCTACAATCCAAGAAAATCTCAAGAAAATCATGCGGGAAAGTACCGGTCAATTGAAAATTACTAGTACATGCAATAAAAGAATCGCTATCTTCATCATAAGCCGTGAATCACAGTAGTTCACTCCCAAAACAAAAGACAAAAAAAAAACAGTCCATCTCTCATCTACCGGGCCAGGGCATCCCGGGGAAGACCGTCAAGGCCTTCCTTGGCCTGGCGACCGACGTGGTTCAAAGGTGCGGTGTTCTTGTGCAGCTCATCGCCGGACTCACGAACACTGCTTCCTGCCGTCGCGGGCTCTCGCAGCGCGCTGTTGCCCTCGAAGGAGACGGGGCCCTCCGTGCGGCCAGAGCCAACGTTGACGGTTCGCTGGTCGGCAGAGTTCCAGTCACTGGGCTTGGGAGGCTGCTCGGGAAGGGGAAGATTGGCCTTGGTCTGGTCGATGTCGGCCTGCTTGTTGTTGTTGTTCTCGAGGACGGACTAGATCTTATGTTAATATCGAACGCAGAGTGTTGATTTCGGTTGGAACAAAAGTAACTGACCTTCATGGCGGAGACATCAGAGTCCTTAGGGATGTTGCCACCGTGGGCATTGGCGACCTTGGATTCGGCCTTGCGGATGTCTTCGGTGGTGGTGTGGAAGGTGTTGGAGGACATTTTGGTATGAGAATGTGTGATGTGTTTCGAAGTTGAGGTTTGGGTGTGGACGAAAGCGGAAGCGTTGGCTTGTAGTAATTATGATCGATGAAAATGACTTTTGAATCTGCTAAAAAAGATGTAACTCCTGGAAGAAGATAGCTTATTATAAGTTGGGCGGTCGAGCATCCCTCCCAGGCAAAGAGGTAAATGACGTCTGCTCGGCGATGATATCATCCAGACTGGCCACGCCTTGGTTCGCCTTTCTCATCATAACCTCGCACTGGGAACGCTACGGCGGGGTCAGTCCCAGACCACAACCCTGCATCAATGATCAAATCGACGTGTGAAATCCAATGGGAGAATCCTTGCGACTCCATGCTTTCGTAATGGCGCATTTGCCGTCACCGGGCAGGTCCTACCGGGCAACCTGGAGGGCTAGTCTGCTCCCATCTAATCCCTTCTCCCCTATTCCATTCCAAATGTTCTGGATCCGTTACTTCATGTTCCTTGTCTAGGCGCTAATCTGATTTTGGACGTAATCCAAAAGCTTGGTTGGATGGGACTGCAGAGCACCGGAGGAACATCAAGTAAGCCCTACCTGCGAAGCCCTAACTAAACCCAGTTTCGACCATCGACCATGGGAGACAACTGCTACGAACCAGTCATCCATTCAGTTTGAATGTTGAAAAAAAAAATGTAGAAGAATCAATATTATAACAATTGAATGGGACAACTAATCGGCAAAAGTTGAACACCTTTACACTATTTCAAAGTTCGTAATATAAAATAAAAACCAACTGTTTCGCTCAATCTCACTCGGGCCATGGACATGATAGACCAGTGAGACCACTGATCTATATATATTTCAGCCATCTGTCAAAGTCACATTTCTCAACTCGGTAAAACTACAGACCGGCATTCAAAGACCTTACCAAAACGCCAGTCACGTCGTCTCCGACTGATGTCTGAATATTCCTAAAACGCACTGCTGCTAGTGCTGAGAGCAATACCAAACTAACCAGCTCGGTTAACCTATGAATGCCTGTCTGCGAGTGGCTACAAATATAGATCGCCCTCATGGTTGTTGAAACACACGGCAGCGTTTTATTCAAAAGTCCCAGTCATAGGACCAATGAGCAGACCGATAAAAGTCCCGCATCACTAGAGTTCCGATGATTGACATTTAGTAAGATGACCCTACATCTATTCATTCAGCATGGTATATGGAGTAGAAATTATAGCGAATTTGTGTCGCGAAAGCTGTATTCCGCATACAACAGTCATGCGCAGTTCCCTTGTCGGGCGCAAAAAGGGCATGTATCCGCCGCATGTTCACCAACATACTCGTTCCCGGACAGAAGGATCTGTCTGACGTGTTCATAAACATCTTACATGGGATAGATAGCAGGCCCGACTCTCGGCAGGAGAACCCAAGCCTTGGGCGTGCCATATCACGGGCAGAAGGACGACCCGAGGTGGCTGTACTTTGTGACGTCCAAAATTAGATAGGCGAAACTGTAATCAGAGACATCGATTCTCCTAATTCCAATGTGTTCCAACTTTTGGCTTGCCGGGATTTTTGCTTCTACTATTGGCAATTCCAGAAGAACGATAAAGCCGGCTCAATGGTTGAAACTATCTAGATATATATCGCGGGCAGACATAGCATATGCAGTGCAACTGCATCCATAGATGACATCACGAGGATCGGACATGCCCGTTGATCCTTTTTTTTTTAACACTTTTTTAACTCGCTCGGCCCCAAAGGTTCGAACTCAGATTTGCGAAGTGGATTCGATCGATTTTCAATGCGGCGGGATCCATGGATGGAAGGGTTTTCTAGAACACATCTTCCGCCGCGATCCATGGGTCAACACGGTATAAAATACAATAGTTCTATACACCTGTCCAGTCATCCACCTATCATCTGGATATCATTGCCGCTCGTACAGGGGACTTTTAAGGTCGTGTGATGAGTAGATAATACGCCGCATGCAGGGGAAAGAGAAGGAAGGGAAGGAAATAGCTATCAGATCAATGAAGGTGGCAACGCGGGTGGATACCAATATCGAATCGATGGTATCCCTTGCGCTCGGATCGGTCATTGGGCGCCCTTCTCGTTATAGAGATTTCCATCAGCAAGGTGCAAGGAATAGCTCTGTAAATCATCACACTTGGTTTATTTGAAATGAGATTATTTGTTATCTAGGTGTACATATGCTAGGGGAGTGCTAGAAAGATCAACACCTGTCAACTGTACTATGAGACATTACTGTGATTCATGAATGCAAAATTGAAGTCAATCTTACGAGGCTGCATGTGGTGAATCTGTCATTTCAGTGCCACCGCAGCATCTCCATGTCCTTGGCCCCAGATGCTGCCATGCCAGACGTCGCCGACGCAGTCTGATGCCAGATCTGCTTCCAAAGTCCTTGTAACGAATCCTTCTTCGTTCGAATCGATGTAAAGTGTTCGACTTTCTACCGAAGGGACTGAATTTCCATACCTGAAATTCCAAGCGAGACAGATCATAGCTTATTCTCATGCGCAGGGCGACATGGCCACGGAGTGTTGCCCCGTTGATCGATTCGACCCCACCGATGTCTTGATTCTCGAATCCCGACTTCTATCTAGGGAGATTTCAGAACAAGATGATCCACTCTCGACGTCCAACACATGAGACGTAGGTGTCAGGTTGCCATGGTGGAGAGGGAGGCGACCGTCCGATGTCTCGGAAAAGCCGCAAAGGCCGTGAATCCCACGTCAGGCTCCGGAGAGCGTTCTGGACCGCTGGGTGCTTGTGCTTTTTTGCCCGAAAACCGTAGTAGATGGCAGGGTCAGCCGTAGCCGGGCCAAACGACCAGGCGCGAGTTCGAAAAGGGCTGTCAAAACTGGAAATCCGGCGGCGATGCACCTAGCTCGTTTGGTAGTGGAGCTTTATGCAACCCTCGATAACACGTACTGATCGCAGAGAGGATGGCGGTCCGTAACCCTTCGCCATCCCTCGCCTGTCCGTCGGCGAAAAAACCATGGTAGAATCCTTGTCTCTTCTTTATTGCCCGGCCAAGTGTGCAAGAGCGATGATCATCTCAGATCCAACGCTGGGGAGAGGAGGGAAACCCGGGGCAACGGGATTAGTGTGCGTTGGACGGTCAGCGTCTCTCCGCCGTCAGCGTCAAGTCGGGGGTCACGTGGTAGCCATCTGACGATGTGCGGTGCTCCGGACTTCCAAGACTTCCTGCCTCTTCCCAGGAGGTTTGAAAGGTCGCATCACAACCAGAGCGCTCAGTCTACTCCAACGGCACGGAAATGGAGGGCCGTCGACCGGCTAGACCGAATACAGCGGTGACTGGCATCCCCCCCAGACGAACGGTTCTTGAAATAGATACGCATCACCCAAACCATCCATGATCGACCAACGTACTGAGTAAGTGCGGTCCAGGTGGCGTTGGGGGGGAGAAGAGCGATTGAGACACATGGGCGACAACTTGGTTCGGTCGGCGAGGATAACGCAGGCGGCCGACCAATCAGCCGGGCGAATGGGACACCCTCTTCAGCGTTAGGATGCAGCGCTAAGGTAGGGGCGGAGGGGAGTCTGTCAGGGAGGTGGTGCTACGGAGTCAAGACCTTAGTCCCTGGTCTTACGGTGCACTAGGCGCTAGTCGGTCGCTCGTGAGGAGAGGAGGGGGGGCAACCTGACCAGGGGTTCCCTTCCTTCAGGAGCTGGACGTTATTTTGAGGGGATGCGAAACAATAGTATGCCTGGCCTGTGCAACAAGCAGAAACAATGGGGGAGGCGGTGATACCAAGCGCGGGCGATCTCTCCAGGGACGAGCAAATAATTGAGGCGGATCTGCTATTCTGGTGGTGCCGTCGGACCAACGCTGGAAAGGGCAGGCAAAGACCTTCTCCGTCGCTCGAGGTTTCAACCATCCCCTGGTCAAGACGTGTCAACCCTTCCCAGAGGTTAGCAGGGATCACCTCTTGGCGGGTCCCCGTCTAGGGAATATTACGGCGCCGGCGGAGCCAGTGGGAGCCCGCGAACCGCCAGGAGGTAATAAAACTAGAGCCCGACGCGGTTAGGCGCGCCCCACCGGCGGTGGCGCTCGGTCGCCTCCACCGAGACAAGCGAGATTTCACTCGCCCCGGCGGCCCTGCTGATTGGCCGCCGGACTCAGGTACGGGCACTTTAGTCTTTTCGCCCATGGGTGCCTGGAGGGATTTCTCCGGAACCTCTAATTATTATCACCCGATTATCATCACCGCGATATTAGCGTTAATATTAATAGATTAACGGGCCGACGGCGACGGCGAAAGTCCATGAAATGCGATTACGAGGTACGACGAACGGGTGAGGCATGGATCAACTGCCCAGGGTGTCCGAAACGACAACACGGAGTACGGATCCGTACCGAGGAGGTGTTCATCGTGAGACCATCCATCTCGTTTTCGATTGTCCCTGATGCTGCATAGCACTCCATCCAGCGTACTCCGGTAGATGGGTTGTTTTCACCCCCAAACTCAATTATGCTTGATTCGTCCCTCCCATCGGCCCCAATCCCAGGGGCTTTTAAGCTCGTCTCGCGGTGGCAACCTAGTGGTTTGCCATGACGTCTTTGACTCGCCGCGTTCGACAAAGGAACAAAGGCCCTCGAACTTCGTCAGGCGGTTCTGAGCCAGCCCGGGAAATGAATACGGGAGAGACGCAGCCGTCCGACGGACTCTCCACCATCGAGTCCCCCCGTATACTCCGGAAACCGACCTGCATCTCAACGAGACTAAGCTATCTTAGTCCAGTCGCAGTGAAGGAAGTAATCGGAATGTCACCACTCTTCAGACGAATGAGTGACGCCGCGGGTTATCAGCTCTACGGCGTCAGGACAGACGGCGCCAGCCAAGTGCCCAGACTAGTAACTAGTACCTACAGTAGTCGAACCGATCCTCAATCTATTGCGCATCGATAGGCTGGACAAGTCAGGGCACGTTGACCATTTAATATTTAATATTTAATATTTAACATGTATTATTTATTTCCATAAATCCGGAATAGTCCATAATCGTTCACGGCACACCCGGCGTAATAAAACAGCGCGTACGAGACGGTACCCCCCTCTCCTCTTCGGTGGACGGACAGCCAATCAGGCAGGCAGGTCTCCTCCTCCCCACCCGGTTTTTTAGGTTGGCTCTGCTGCAAGTCAGCCATTCCATTATTATTTTCCACTCCCTCGCCAGCAGACTCAGTACGCCGTAATTAGCACCCGTCACTCCAACTATCATCTCTCCTTCCTTCGACCTCATTTTCCTTTTCCCAGGTTCATCCTCTCTCCTCTCTTTCCTCTTCCCTCGCCCTCTCTTTCCCTCCTCCCTCTCGTCCTCCCTCCCTCTCGATCTCTTTCTTCTCCCTCTTTTCTTCCTCCCACCCGTTCCTCTCTATCGCTCGTTTTCATTCGTTTTCTCCTTTTCTTCCGACCACCTCCGTACTTGCTGGCCTACCCGTGGCCGTCCGTTCCTTACGATATTCTTTTTCCAAGCCTGCACGACAAATTACTTCGTCGCCTTGTCTTTTTTTGCACGGATTTTTGATTTCGACTTACTTTTTTTTTTCTTCTCTCTTTATTTATTTCATTCGACCGAATTTAACTCAAGCATCGACTGTCAACTTTTGCCCCGTGCGCTGGAGGCTTTCCATTCTCTCCTCCCCTTCTCCGTGCGGCCTTTGCAATTTTATCGATCCTCAGACGCTGCTCTGGACTACGTGACTTGGGTCCGGGCATTTCAATGATATCCGTGCGAATTTGAAGGCCTCCAGACAAAGTCTTATTTGGTCTGGAGGTCCCCGTGCGTCTGGATCACATCAACTGTGAACGCATCTCCCACGGGGTTGATCGGATACCTCAGTTGACTCGAGGTGGGTGTGAACTGGATCTTCTAACGACGTCGACTCTCGGCCATGGCGTCGATCTCTCTTCCCCTGCCGCCTCAACACTCGTCAGCGTTTTCTCAACACTTCGAACCGCTTGGCCAACCTCCCAGCGGACGTAGCCGCCGCCATCCAGCCATGTCTGCGCCGCTTCCGAATCCTCCATTTGTCTTCCCCGCCCGAGACCCAGACGCAATGCCTCAGACGGCGGATCCCCCGTCGAATGCCCGCCATTCACTTCCCGCCTTCTCCTTTAATCCGGGTGCGCTACAACCCACACAACCCGCCGTCCCGACGCCTCCAGCGAACCGACCGGTCGGACATCGCCGGCGATGCAGTGAGTTTGTCGGCGGTGAACACATGGTCGGTCCTGCTCCGGTGGAAACCGGTCAGAAAACCGAGGAGGACTCAACTCCCGTTCCTGGCCCGGCCCAACTCCCGGCCCCGGGACCGGGTTTCAGTGCGGTCGGCCCCGGAAGGCGTCGCCATGCCCATCGTCGCTCTGCGGCCGTGTCGAGCGTCGATCTGACCGCCATCTCGAATGCCTTCGGTCCGGAAAGCTTGATCGGAAGCGCGCCATGCACGCCAGCAGACGGAATGCGGGATCTCGGCACGTCAGATACTCCCCACAAGCCCATATCCTACTCGGCAAACGCTTTGGGTCGACCGACCCCGCCCGCCTCCCCCCAAATCACCATCAATGGACAGCCTCCAAACCCTTCTGAGTCGGAGACTCGCTTGGATCTTCCCGCAGTCGAGCGGCCTCTCTCCGAAGTCTCGAGGGACTCCGAAAGCACAATCCAACCCCCCAGTGTCGTTAGAAATAATGACCCCCCGGCCCCGTTGACAAACGAAACATCGCGTCGTGCCAGCCAGAAACCCAGGCCTCGACCAAGGACTGCTGATGCGTCTCTGATGCTGGACTCGGGCGGTGGTACGGGAAGTGACGGTCTTTCGCGATCAAAGCGGCCACTTTCAGCGGCCGGACATTCGCGGTTCCGCAAAAGCATGTCCGCAGGGATCCTTGATGCGGCACTGAGAAAGAATGCCGGAATGGGTGGTGACAGTCACTGGCCGGATAACTCGAGGATATCTTCGTCCGATGACGAGAGCTCTCTGGCATCCGTCGAGGATCATGGAACGTCAAAGCACAGCTCCAAGGCCAAAAAGCGGCAGAAAAAGGTTCGCTCGTGGGCTGGAGCAATTCTGACACGAGGCAAGGGCAAGCGAAATCATTCGAAACAGGACACGGGGCCCAAGTCGGCTCCTCCGCCTGTACTCACCCGGACCAATTCAGACCTAGGCTCAGGCTTGGATGTGGATTTTGACGATGATAGCGTTGTCGTCATTCGGACTCCCACCAACCCCACCGCCCCGATGTCCCTTGTCAACACTGACGAGGTCGATGCGCAGCCGTCGCTGGAGAGCTCCTGGAAGCCAAGGAGCTTTTACGAGCAAGGCACGCAGAACGATGCTTTGAGCCCCATTATCGACCTGGATGCTGCGTTGGGTCCCTTCAATACACCCGACATGCGGTCCGGCCGTGCTCCTGAGACTGGGTTTTCGGCAGCAACAAAGCGGATGTACAGCGGTGGCCGACGAGGCGAGTTTGTTGGCCCGGAGATGCGCTATCATCGACGCGCCGAAAGTGCCCCGGAAATGCCTCCTGTCGACCGCAGCTTTTTGAACAACCGATTGGCGAACAATTCAGCGATGGAAAACCCCGACGTTTTCTACGAGGAGGAAGAGGATGCCTTTTTGGCGGCGACAAGCGAAAGTGATGAGCGAGCATCGTCACAAGCCGTCGCAGGCGATGCCGATAAGCAGTCGCTGGAAAGCAAAGAAAGCTCCGACACTCTCACCCATCAACCGGGGGATGGCTCAACCGATCCGCAACAGGCTGGCCTTGGGATCCAAAAGCACGAACTGGCCGGCGCCCCGGATTCCCCGGTCACATCCACCCCCAAGGAAGACGCCAAACCCGCAGAGCAGCCGACTGCCGCCGATCCCCTCCGGAACGCAAGAAACCCCTTCTCAGCCCAACCGAGAAGTCCGGTGGACTTGATCAAGCAAGAAGACTGGCTCCGCAAAGTGCCGGTGCCTCCTAGTCCAGACATTTCACCCCGTTTCCTACCCGCAGACCATCGCCCTGCGACCTCGCCGATGGAGTTCACTCCCAACATCCCCCCGCTGTCCCTGCAGGGCGTCAGCTCCGCTTCGAACTCCTCATTCCCGTCTCCGGATTTCCCCGGCTCGTCCCCCGATTTTCCTCGTTCGATCACCACTTCGTCCACCACCGATCGCAACTTCTCGAACCCCTCCTACAATCCGTCAATGGAGTTTCCCCACGCATCTGCCGACGACGTACCATCACTGACCAGCAGTGCGTCCACGACAACGAATACGTTGAATCGATTTTCGGCGACATTCTTCCAACGGCCTCGGTTGTCAACCGACCGCTCGGCGTCTTTCTCTGCCGCAGTCCACCGACGAACCAGTCAGGCCAACGCTCCCAAGCGGTCTAGCCTCGCTAGTCTGTCAAAGTTGGTCGCAGGGCCTCACTCTGAGCGAAGCAAGCTGAGTCACGAGGAAAAGCCCCCCAGTGACGAGCCTGAAAAGTCCAAGAAGAAGGGTCGCCGGATTAGTCGCTTGATGCACTTCTGGAGAACGAAGGACAAGGACCGGTTGAACGAAAATTCTTTTCAGGAAGAACGACCATCATGAACCGAATCGGAAAATGGATAACCTGTACATAGCCAACCTGTTTACGAATCGTTCGACATGGTCTTTGCAAGATCTTCTTATTGCGCCTTCGACTCTTTTTATATTTCTTCTCCACTTAGCCTTTTTTTTTTTCTTCTTTTATTTGTTGGGGTAACTGACGAATCTCTTTTCTCGGTACATGTTAACAAGCGTAAGAGTACGAAAACTCTTTTTGATTTCTTTACACTTTCTTGTCTCTCGTTAAAGTCCAGTTGCAATTTGCGGACATATCATCTTTCTCACTTTTTCTTTTCTCTCTTCCGTTATTTGGAGCCTGTTTTCTTTTGCGGCTTATCTTCTCACTCTCCGGCGGTTCAACGTGCATCTGCCTTTTTTTTTTTTTTTTTTTGATCAATATACGGGATATTTGTTTATGTGGCGATTGTCCGTGTCGACCATGTCCAATTGGGATCATTCCTTTATTCTCATTTCACTGCTGAGAGGGCTATCTATGGAGTTTAGAAACTCGCGAGGACATCTGAGTATTTCAGGCTTTTTTGTTTGCCTGCAGAATAGCATATCTACATTCCTTGGCCACTGGCTATTTTTACCTGTAGACGAGAATAATCTGGTAGATGATGCTGTAAACAAGCCCAAGAAAGGAAAGGGAAAACGCTGGTGATGATTTGGGAGAAATGGATTCGGGTCCGACGGGCCGCCGCAAACGACCCCGTCAAAAAATATACATCTCCAAAATTCCTCTCCACTTCATTTGCACCTTCACCTCCGATTGCTACTTTCCCTCCGAGCTCAACATGGGACCACCCCGACAAGGGTCCTCCCAAAAGGCCCCCAGAGGAAAGAAGAAGCCGTCTCAGACGCCTCGACGAACCAATCAGGGCAAATCTGCCCCGAAAGAGAAGGAAGAGAGCTTGATTGATCTCTCCGCCACCATCCCATTCACTCTGCAACAATTACTGCTGAATGTATTTAAATCGGCATTGTTGACCACAACCGGTCCCACCAACTCTGAGCCCCGCCAACTCGACACCAAAACCCTTATCCAGACCATCAAATCCCACCTGTACAACCGGGACTTCGACTCCGCCTTCACCGACGCCAGCGGCGACCTGCTCCGGGCCTACGCCCTGCGCTGGAGCTCGACGCGAGCCCTGGGCTACGCGGGCATCTTCAAGGCGCTGTTCAAGGATGTCCTGGAATCTCCCCAGGCGAGCCACGCCGTGAACCGGCATGTCGTCTGTATCGGCGGCGGTGCCGGCGCCGAGATCGTCGCTCTGGCAGCCATTTGGCGAGACCTGTTGGACGAGAGCGAGAGCGATCAGAAGGCACTGGTCGACGGAGTCGCCAACGCCTCTCTTAATGATGAAACTCCCAACGGAGAAACTGCGCCACCCTGCTCGTCTGATCAAGACCAACTGTCGACTTCCCCGGCGCCCCTTACCACGAGCTCACGGCCAGCTCTCACCGTCACGGCCGTCGATATCGCCGACTGGTCGGCCGTCGTGGATTCACTGGCGTCGACGATCGCGTCGTCAGACGTACGCGGGTCCAAAAGCCACGCGGCTCCCCTGGTCGATCCATCCAGGGGCTGTTTCACGGTGCGGGCTAGACGCTCCGACGTGCTTTCCCTTCCGGACGACCAGCTCAGGGAGCTATTGCACCTCCCTGCGTCGGCGCCTCAGCCCGAGGGAGAAACCCCCGCCACCGTCCTGGTGACGTTGATGTTCACGCTGAACGAACTCTTCTCGACCTCCATGGCCAAAGCTACGGGGTTCTTGCTCCGCATGACGGATCTCCTGCAGCCCGGTACCGTGCTTCTAGTCGTCGATAGCCCTGGCAGCTACTCGACGTTGAAGTTGGGGAAGGGGAATAATAAGAACTCCGCTTCTTCCGGTGCCGAAGCGGAGGCTGCGGCTTCAGCGCCGCAGGAGAGAAGTTACCCGATGAAGTTCCTGCTGGACCATGCGCTGCTGTCGGTGGCGCAGGGGAAATGGGAACGGGTTTTCTCGCAGGATTCCCGATGGTGGAGGAGAGATGCAGCCAGGCTGAGCTATGACGTTGGAGAGGGCGCTGGCCTGGAGGATATGCGATTCCAGGTTCATATTTATCGACGACTGGGTGAGTAAGTGGTATATCCAACTTTTCTTCTGGTTTGCTATTTTGGATATAAGTTGGATTTATGAGAGGATTGATAGACCATCATGTCGGGATGCTGGTTGAGGATGATGATCTGTTTTGCACGATATACGAGATTTTTGGATGCTTTCTCTATATTATTATATATATACATTTTGGATACCAAAGTACTACGACTGATGAATGCATGCTGCCCCAATGTGGTATGTAGAGAGGAATAGATATATGCTATTGCTACAGTCGGGTGAGGAAACGTCAGAAACTAAAAGAAAAATTAACCATACAACATCAGTTCGCCGGGGAGATCATGCATGCCCAAGATCCAGCCAGGTGTCGGAATCGAAAATAAGAAATATAGTTCAAGCCTGACCGCAAGAGGGGAAGAAAACCATTTAAAACACTCCACGCCGCCACACGTTCAAATTACTCAACCACCATTCTAACTCCGCAATCCCAACAGAAGGCTGGTGCTCTTGCCACCGTCCTTGCCCTCACCACCCGGCAGATACGTCACGTTGGGGTTGCTGGACAGGGTGTGGGCGATCTCCTTGCTGGCGTCGATGCGACGGATCTCGATGAGGCCGCTGCCGGCCTTGGCGACGGCCTTGCTGATGATGTCGGCACTCTCGGCCTCACCCTCGGAGCGGATGACATTGGCCTGACGCTCCTGCTCGGCACGCTCGACGATGAAGCGGGCCCGCTCGGCGTCCTGCTGGGCGATCTGCTTCTGCTCGACGGCGCGCGTGAACTCCTTGCCGAAGGTCATGTGGGTGATGGAGACGTCTTCCAGGGCGATGTTGAACTGCGAGGCGCGCTTCATCAGATCGGTGCGGATGCGGTTCGAGACGGCCTCACGCTGGGTGATCAGCTCGGCGGCGTCGAATTGGGCCACGATGGATTTCAGCACTTCGTTGCCGATGGAGGGGAGGACTCGCTCGTCGTAGTCGGTGCCGTAGCTCTATGTCCGGCCAGGGATTAGCTTCTCCGCCTCGTCAAAAGACCACGAGGGAATGCAAGAGGGGTTCCCCGAGCGAGGGAGGACGGACCTGATAGATGACCGGCAGCTTCGGGACATCCGGACGGTGCAGCACTCGCAGGGTCAAGCTGACCATCTGCAAATCCTTGCTACCGGTGGTGGTGGAGATATGGCGAGGCTTGGTGCGGACGTCGTAGACAATGGACCGCTGCAGCCAGGGGATCAGGAAGTGCGTGCCCTCGTTGACGACCTTGTCCTGCACACCGGACAAGCGGTCGAAGATGACGGCGCGGCTACCACCACGGACGTCGTAGATGGAGGCGTCGATGGCGTAGGCACCGGCGAACAGGCCGAGACCCCAGCGCATGAGCCGGGAAGAACCGTTGGCAGCCATGATGGGAGCAGAGGGGATGAGAGGCGGACGAGGGGTGGATGGAGGGGGAGGGAGTGATGGGGAGAGAGCGAGAGGAGGTCGAATTGAGCCGCTTTGATTTGATGATGTCGGGCTTTTCGCAGGCCGCCCCGATGCGGACTAGCGCCGAGGCTCTTCTCTCTCGCCGTTTTGGCCCGAACCTCCTCGACTTCTCTCCGCTGCTTCGTCTCCTGCTCCCTCCTCTCTTCCGCCCTTTTCTCTCCCCCGTCACGTCTCGTCGTCTTCATATCCTGCACAATGGTTGGCTCTGTGGATCCCAAGAACGGATTGTGAGTGTCTCTCTGCCTTTGCTGGTCCCTGCCCTTCCGCCCGTCGACCCCGGTCATCATGGTCAACCCTGCGTTGCCATCCGCCGGTGATGATGCCTGGACTTGATGGTTTCGACTCGATGAATTCTCGCAATGCTAACGTCTGCCCAATTGCAGTTTCATCGGAGGCTGGGGTGAACTCGGTAGGTTCCCAGACCCGGATACCGCCACGATATCCATCGCACACAAAGGCATAACACGGGATCCATGACGAACAACTGGATTGGACCTTTGATGCTTTCCCCGAATCCATTGCAGCTCTACTCGCCTCGGTGATCCCGACCGGCGAATGATGCGATTCCTGACCTAGCGAGACACTACGCCATCCGAGCAAAGACTGACCCGTGCCCTCTGTTCCTACGCAGGCTGCCCTACTCCCCAGCGCATCGCGACCTACTCTCTGTCTCCCAACCGTCAGCGCCCTCTCGCCGGTGCCTTCAACGCCGCCATCTTCAACACCTTCCGGAGATTCAGCCACCAGGTCCTCTACGTGGCCCCCCCCTTCGTTGCCGCCTACGTCGCCATGAACTGGGCCATTGAGAGGTATGTCACACCCGCCCGATACGCAATGGGGAATTGACCGGGACTGACTGGAAACCACTACGCTCCCGCAGGAACCACTACCTCAACTCCAAGCCCGGCCGTCTCGCCGAGGGTGGTGACGACGAGTAAATGCGATCAATCTCCGGAATGAAGTGAACTCTGGCCGGACGAGCCGACGCCCAGGGTTGTGAATGGAATTGTACAGTAACTAGAAGCAATCGAACCAGTTGCGCGCTAGGAATCTCTGGAAAGCGTCGTAGTGGACTTTTCTGCCCGGACGGGCTCCTTCTGCTTGCGGCGGAAGTCGCTCCCTTTCGGGGAAAGCGCGGTTTCCGTGGTACTGCGGAGGTAATTCTCGTATTTGGTGCTCTGCTTGATGCCCAACAGGGAGCGACGTGAAATAAGCCGGTCGTACAGAATGCCCTCTGGTCGGGGTGGTCAATAATTTACAATCCAGAAGCAGAAAAAAAGAAAGAAAGAAAAAAGGAAAACAGTAGTCAGTCATTCCACATGCCGCCTGAAGAACAAGGCGACGAGGGAAAAAAATAACAAAAGAAGGAAAAATCCAAAGCGGGAGTGAAAAATACCGCAAACATACGGGAATCATGAATTTCATGAATTTCCTCGTTTCCCCCCACTTGCGGCCGTCGTCTTCTTCGCTGCGACGTCTTTTCTTGTCTTCCTCTTCCTCTTCCTTCTCTCCATCCTTCTCTCCCTGCTTTCATCCCTCGCATTCTCATCTTCGTCCCTCCCACTCCGTCACCATGTCCGACATCACTCACCCTACCATCAAGGGTATGTTCCTCCCCCACCAAGATCTTCCTGATCCTGCACTTTTCACCTTCAGCCCCTCCATGCCCTGCCCATCTACCCCGCCTTGCTCTGGCAGGCCATCGTCGGTCTCAATGGGTCAAGTCTTCAATGGACGAGACCGATCGGATCTCTCTTCGGATCATTCCCTTCTTCACGCGCTTCAATTCCCCTCCGCTAACCCTCCCATTCCCCTCTAGATGGCTGGTTCTCGGAGCAGTCCGAGATGTGGCCCGGCCAGGCCATGAACCTCAAGGTCAACCAGATCCTGCACCACGAGAAGTCCAAGTACCAGGATGTCCTGGTCTTCGAGAGCAGCGACTACGGTACCGTCCTCGTTCTGGACAACGTCATCCAGTGCACCGAGCGCGATGAGTTCTCGTATGTTTTCTTCTTCCTACTGGGCCTTCCCCACATGGCCGAAAAGGCTCACGAAAAATTCCAGCTACCAGGAGATGATCACCCACCTGGCCATGAACGCTCACCCCAACCCCAAGAAGGTCCTGGTCATTGGTGGTGGAGATGGCGGTGTCCTCCGTGAGGTCGTCAAGCACGAGACCGTCGAGGAGGCTATCCTTTGCGACATCGACGAGGTATGATCGTCCATTGTCCATGATAATCCTACATGCACAAAAGACTCACCCTCTTTCTGTAGGCCGTCATCCGTGTCTCCAAGAAGTACCTCCCCGGCATGAGCATCGGCTTCCAGCACCCCAACGTCAAGGTCCACGTTGGCGATGGCTTCGAGTTCCTGAAGAACCGCCTGAACGAGTTCGACGTCATCATCACCGACAGCTCCGACCCCGAGGGTCCCGCCGAGAGCCTCTTCCAGAAGCCCTACTTCGAGCTCCTCCGCGATGCTCTGCGTGACGGAGGTGTCATCACCACACAAGGTTGTTCGTCGCCTTTCCTTTCGGCTGTCATCTGCCCTTTTCTCAATTATCTTTCCCTCTTTGTATCTTCCTTATTCTATGTTCTTTCTCTCTGTGTCTCTTTCTCTCTCTGTTTCAATGTCTTTCACTCAGTCCTCCCCCATCTTCCCCATCATTACCCTATTCCTTCTGTCCACCGTCATGCTCTTCTTATCTTGTCTCAGGAAACCTCAAAGCTAACCTATCTGCACCCCTAAACCGCCCGACCATTTCGGGATTGGTTTTGGGTTAGCGTTCCCCCTCCACAGCCGAAAACCAATGGCTGCACCTCTCCCTGATCTCCAACCTCCGCAAAGCCTGCAAGGAGGTCTTCCCCGTCGCCGAATACGCCTACACCACCATCCCCACCTACCCCTCCGGCCAGATCGGCTTCATGGTCTGCTGCAAGGACGCCAACCGCAACGTGCGCGAGCCCTCTCGCACCTGGTCTCGCGAGGAGGAGGAGCGTCTCTGCCGCTACTACAACCAGGATATCCACCGCGCCAGCTTCGTGCTGCCCAACTTTGCCCGCAAGGCTCTGAACAACTAGATTGTTCGTATTTAATTTTTCTTTTCTATGATTTAGAAATACTTATGACTACCCCAACTTTTTTTTTTCTCTCTCTGTCTTCTGCTCTTCGCTTCTGGATCTCGATCTCCAATGTTTTTCTTTCCAACTTTTGATATCTTGGGAGGGAAGACTCGTATTTCCTAGTTAGAGGCGCCAATGAGGGGGGGCTGATAATCCGTGATGATTTCACGATGGCGATATGACTAAATATAACGGTGGCCATTGTTCTCCCTGTTATGGTTTCTTCGTCGGAAAAGATCTTGCCAGGCTTTGTTCGGCTCTGGTCCGTCCAATAATAATTCCGAAGCCATCATAGAACCATACTTATGCCGTTTCATGGATGAAATCCAAACGGTCTACATGCACCGGAGTCAACAGTAAATCCAAATGAACATCGAAACAGTGGTATTCTTATTTTTGTAGACAAGGATCTTCCCTCTAAATCTACTACAGGGCCAATTCAGATCAAGAAAGATGAAACGAAATGGGGAAACAATTTTCTGAAAAACAAAATTCGTCAAGCCGTGGATTGGAATCAATAGGACTTCTCCCTGGCAGTCCAGGGATCAACATCGTCCCATATTACATTTCATAACACAACAGAACCAACGTGAACACATCATGTCGCTAGGTCATGAGAAGACATCTACAAAATCTGCTGGAAGGCACGGTTGATGGGCGAGCGCACGGGGGTGCCCTTGTAGAAGTCGATGGTGGCCAGAGCGCGCTTGCTGATGCCCTCGGGGGTGAACTCGAATTTCTGGAGGGTCGAATTAGTATACCGATGCAGGAACAGTGGGGGAAGAGGGGAGTCTCTATCTTACCTTGTAGACATCCTTGTAAGGACCGGAGGCACCGAAGCGGTTCAGGCCGAACTGCTCGTGAGCGTAGCGCTCCCAACCCATGGTGGAGGCAGCCTCGACGGACATGACGGGGATGTTGTCGGGAAGGACCTTGAGCTTGTAGGCCTTGTCCTGGGCGTCGAAGACCTCGAAGCAGGGCACGGAGACAACGCGAGCGGTGACGCCGTGCTTCTCCTTGAGGTAGGTGGCGGCCTCAACACAGATGCTGACCTCAGAACCGGTGGAGATGAGGGTGACGGTGGCGTCGGGGGCGTCGATGACGGGGTAGGCACCCTTCAGAGCAGCCTCGATGGAGTTGTTCTCCAGCTGAGGCAGGTTCTGGCGAGTGAGAGCCAGGATACTGGGGGTGTGCTTGGAGGTGAGGGCGGAGTAGTAGGCAGCGCTGGTCTCGTTGCCGTCGGCGGGACGCCAGACCATGCAGTTGGGGAGGGCACGGAAGTGAGCCAGGGTCTCGATGGGCTGGTGAGTCGGGCCGTCCTCACCCAGACCGATGGAGTCGTGGGTCGCGACGTGGATGACACGGACGCGGGAGAGGGCGGACAGACGGACGGCACCGGCGGCGTAGGAGACGAAGTTCAGGAAGGTACCGCCAGCGGGGATGTGGACGCCGTAGGCGGCGAGACCGTTCATGACGGCAGCCATGGCGTGCTCACGCACACCGTAGCGGAGGTAGCGGCCGGACCACTCGCCGATGCCGTACTCGGGGGGCTGGAAGTCGACGGCGTTCTTCCAGCGGGTGTTGTTGGAGCCCGTCAGGTCGGCGGAGCCGGACAGCAGCTCGGGGATGACGTCGTGGATCTTCTCGAGGACGGCCTCGGACAGCTTCCGCGAGGCGACGGCGGCGTCGCTGGACTTGTAGACGGGCAGGCTCTTCTCCCAGCCCTCGGGGAGCTTGCCGGAGAGACGGCGGCTCAGGTCGGCACCCTCGGCCTTGTGCTCAGCAGCGTACTTCTGGAAGAGCTGGGTCCACTCCTGCTCCTTGGCGGCACCCTCGGCGGCGTGCTTGTGGTAGAGGTCGTAGACCTGCTGGGGGACGACGAAGCTCTGCTTGGGGTCGAAGCCGAACAGAGACTTGACACCCTCGCAGTCGTCGGCCTTGAGGGGGTTGCCGTGGACACCACCGGTGCCCTGCAGCTTGGAACCGAAACCAATGGTGGTGGTCAGGCGGATGACGGTGGGCTTGTCCGTGACGGACTGGGCCTCGCGGATGGCGGCCTCGATGCCCTCGAGGTCGTTGTCACCGTCCTTGACCCACACGGAGTGCCAGCCGTAGGCCTCGAAGCGCTTGGTGACGTCCTCGGTGAAAGCACACTTGGTGTCACCGTCGATGGAGATACCGTTGTCATCGTAGATGGCGATCAGGTTGCCAAGCTTCAAGTGACCGGCCATGGAAGCGGCCTCGCTGGCAATACCCTCCATAGCACAGCCATCACCGAAGTAGACGTAGGTGTGGTTGTTGAAGAGATTGTAGCCGGGCTTGTTGAAGGTGCCAGCAGCCTGGGCCTGAGCAATGGCCAGACCGACGGCGTTGGCGAAACCCTGACCCAGGGGACCAGTGGTGACCTCAACACCGGGGGTGTCGTGAGCCTCGGGGTGACCGGGGGTGATGCTGTCGAGTTGCTGCGGGGGGGGATGTGGTTAGAGTCAAGGGAAACGACGAGGACCATCGGCAAAACTTACTCTGAAGGCCTTCAGGTCATCCATGGAGACCTTGTAGCCGAAGAGGTGGAGAAGGGCATATTGGAGCATGCAGCCGTGGCCGTTCCTGCGAGGGTAAAGGATTAGCCGCTGGTCTGTCCGCAATCTCCAGGGGAACATACGAGAGAACGAAACGATCCCGGTTAGCCCAGTCGGGGTTCTGAGGGTTGAAGTTCATGAACTTGTTGAAGAGAATGTGGGACACGGGGGCCATGCCCATGGGGGCACCGGGGTGACCCGAGTTAGCCTTGAAGGTGGCATCGACCTAGACGGAGAATTAGCATCAGAACGGGAAGGCCGGTGAAGAGTGCTCCGAAGCCCATGTTCCGTGGGGGGGGGGAGAGGGTGAGAACGGATGCCACGGAGAGAGCGAGCAGTTGAGGATTGCAGATGGTGATCATCATTTCATCTTTCCAATCCCCGAAAAGATGAAGGGCCACCGAAATCATAGCTGAAGGACCCGAAGTTCCGGGTGTTTACAGCTTGCCCGCACTCCTCCAGCAGCTTCTGCTCCCGCCGCGACAACCATGGGGAATTGAAGCACTCCGGAGAGACATACCGCGAGAACACGGATCGTGTTGATGGCCAACTGATCCAAGTCGGTGTAGCCCATGATTGCAATGTCTGTGGTGATGCCAATGGTTAGTTGCCAGCTGCCCGAATGATAGATGCCAGATGATAGATGGCAAGGCGGAGGGGAGGGGAAGGCCGACGTACTCTTCTCTCGGGATACTTTTTCAATGAAAAACAGAGAGGAAGACTGCCTTGCGTGGAGTCTGATGCAAAGACAGGGGAGAGATGGGGGGAGAGAGATGGGAGAGAGAGAGAGAGAAGAGAAGAAGAAGGGAGAGAGAAGGGAGACGAGACGGCGGAGCAAGAAAAGAGGAGGATGGAGGGGTGTCTGAACTGGGCAGGTGGGGGCAATGATGTCTTCCGGTGGGGCTGCGTCTTCTCACCGGTTGCTGCCCGGATCGTGGATGATGGAATGTATTCTCTTCGGAGGTGGTATTGAGGCACCACGAGGGAATGATTCCAGAATCAATCCTGGTTCGTGGTTCGTGATTTCTGGTTTGTGGTTTGTGGTTTGTGGTTCATGTTCTTGGTAGAGGAAGTTCAACGCATCCCACTGCTGCCTCAGGCACCCGCGGGATGATCTCAACGATTTCCCTTGGGATTCCTCCGTAAAAGACTTCACAAGGCATCGCGTCTCGCAATTACACCGATGTCCACCCCCGGAGTTTTTCCCGTTCAAACCTGGACTCCCTCCCCTCCGGCCAGCCCGACAGCATCTGTCTATCTATTCTTCCCTCCCTCTATCAGATGCCAGTCAATCCCGACACTTCACCATGCAGATCCCATGAGCTGGCCGGCCTGTGTCCCCCCGGTCTGGACTGACATCGACTGAATAATCGACATCGGCAATTAATCAAACAGAGGCCATCCCACTCTGCTCCGCAGAAACACCGCCGTGTATACGGAGCACAGTACTCAGCATTATTAGTCACCGTTCAACCTCTCTCTGGGTCCGGAGGACGCTGCTCCGATGCGATGGCGGTGGACGTGCGAAGATTCTGTGCCTTCATTTGATCGGAGACTTTGGGGTTTGGGCCATCTCGCTCGGTGCGATTACTTCAGCCCGTAGGGGCTTCTCCCACGTCTCTCACCGTCGGGTTTAGGATGATACATCCGGAGTGGTCTGTAGTCGTCTTATGGAGCACGTAGCAGGCAGAGTATCCCAAGGTCCCCCCCCCTTGCCACTTACCGAGGCATCCGATTGCCCCTCGACCTTGGGAGCTGCAACAACATCAACTGCCAACTCAACGGCAAAGAATAAGAAAAGAAAAAGAAGGAATCATCCCGGTCCATCACAAGCGCTCTCCGCCAACGAACCCGCCCCGTCCAATCCGACATGCGGGATTTGGAAACCTGCGATCGGCCTGGCTGGACTAGAGGCGACTTGGGGCGGGGGGAATTTGATATCAATTGCAGCTGCATCGCGAACAGACGAGACGAGGCCTTCTTGGACGACGTCATGACGCGCGGAAAACCAACTCTGCAAGGCCGAATGCACCCGACTTGCATGCCATCCTGCAGATGTAGAGGGGAATGCGATGCATGGCGGGCGCCGCATACGTCGAGGCGGAGAGGACCGAGGGCGTAGAGTAGAAAGGATGTGTGCTTTGTTTTGTACTTGGGATTCGATGCATTCAATCACCCCGCCTCTCTACGCGGGGAAACAATAGAACACGAAGATCGTGACGTCGATCGATTAAATCGGATTCATATACGGTGACCATTATGTACGACGTGCCTCGGTCACGACAAGGCCACTGCTCCTAAAAATACTAAATAGACCAAATCCCAAAGATAAACGCGCCCAAAAATCATCTCGGAAACCGGAAAACATGAAACATCCAGCACATCAGAAAAACAGATATATAAACAAAACACTCTGTGTTTCGTGAACGGGGCGGGTCTCCTGAGGAGCCCGTGAGGCGCAACCCAAGACTCCCGACAATTGACCAGGTATCACAGGAAGAAAACATAAACAAGAGAAAATCAACAGACACAAAAATACCCTGACTCAATCAATCGAACCCTTTGGACGCCGTGGGGGAAAGGGAAAAACAAATAATAGAACAAAAAGACAAAAGAAAACACCCACTTCATTTCCCAAACAACAAAACATCGCAAATCAAACGGCCAGTCGCCGATCCCATCCGCCGACCAGACCGAAGTCGTCCACCTCGTCTTCCACTGCCGGCATCATGACGCCCCGGAACGGATCCAAGAGACTGGCATGCTCTTCCGGAGACAGCCGCATGTCGTGATACGCAATGCCCTCCTCCGCGCTGCCCATGCTCTCGTCCGAGTAGCTAAGCACGCTTTGCGCCACCACGTCCTGGTTGGGCGGCATGTCACTGCTGCTGGTGGCCGACCAGGCCTCCGGCGAGAGGCCCTGAACCTCCCCTTGCGGTGCAGCCAGCGGCACCCCGCGAGGATCCGGTTTTTGACCGTACTCGGCGGTCAGCGACGCGAAGGGTCCGCTGTCTTCTCCACATTCCTTTCCGCCGTAAATGCCGGTGAAGATGTTCGAATACCCCCGGTCCATGTCACTGAGCACGAATTCCCAGTCCGACATCGTCATCGTTCCCGACGTTCCGTCTGCCGGAGCCGAGCTGGCGATGACCTGGCTCGGATCGTAGCCACCCGCGGGACCGGGGAAGTAGACCTTCTCGGCAAGCCCGTGGGTCGGCTGGAAATTGCCGGGCGGCAGACTGGCCCAGCTGGAAGATCGAACCCGTTGTTGGGAGATCTGCGGACTCATGCCGGAGATGGTGGCCCGGCGCGACGGGGAGTCCTGTTTGATCGAGTGGTCCGCTGCGGCATGGCCAGTCAACCGGGACTTCCAAGCCTGCATGTGCTTCTTAGGGGACTTCAATGGCTTCTGGGTGGGCGGCGACATCTCTTGTGGTTTACTCGAAGGCGCGCGCTTGCCACTATCCAGCGCCACCAAGATGTTCGCCAGGACGCTAAATTCTGCGGCGGCATGCGACGACTCAGACTCGATTTGATCGACGACGGTCGTCAGGAGTTTCTGGCTTTCCTTGACAAGCTTGCTGTCACGCTTGAGACCAATGTTCTGCCAGAGAAGCCCCAGCCCACAAGCAAACACCAACTCTTTCCGATTGACACTGACAGAGAGACACAGTCGCCGCTCGTCGAGCAGCTCCAAGATTTGAATGATGTGCTTGCTTGAGTCGGCAATAGCGAGCACGGATGGCGAACGGATGTGCTCTTCGCCGAAGCAGACAGCGGGACGATGAATCATAGAACGAATAAAGTAGTACACGAGGGACTTGGGAGGCAAATCAGCAATCGTTTCTAGTATGCGAATGCAGTCAGTACTTACCAAAAGTGGCGAGCGGCTACTCGTTACGTTCGTGCTAGGTTTATCCTGAGAGAATTCAAGACGAAGGTGAGCGGGCAACGCCTGAACCCATTGGTCCAGTTGGCCTGCAACCGAACGCAACTTCGACACGGGGATGTCATAACCGCCATCCGATGGATACAAATCTTCCAAGGCTTTGTTCAAGACCCTGGAGGCACTAAACAAGGCAATGGCGCCCGAGACACGGGTCGACTCTCCGGGAAGGGTTGGCAAGAAGCCCGTTTCCGTGACATTCTCGTCATCAATGTCCTCAGGGTACTCGGTGCGGATGTCGCCCTCGCGAAGAAGGACGGGCAATCCGGTCAAGGCGGCCGTGAAACTGTGGCTAAGTCAGAGGGTTACATTCACCCCGGTGGACAAGGTAGGACAAACCGGTCAAGGACGTATTGGCACCAGAACACCTTCTTGCGGGTCTCGGCCAAGAGGGGGTTCGCCGAGAAGCGCTGCTGACTTTGGTGGAGTCTCAGCTGGTGGCAAATGCCAACAGAAAGACTCCGGTAGCGTAGAAGGCTGGTGTAGTCGCCCTTGGTCATGCAATAGATTTGGGCCAGAACAAAGCACTGCAGCGTCGGAATGGAGATATCACTCGAAAGCAGCTCCAGAGTGGGTGACCAGTTGTCTTCAAAGAAGACAGGATCCTGGTTAGTCCTCGACTGTTGTAAATGAGATTAGCCTTTTGATCTCGAAAGCGTGCCAGTTGAGCGGGGTTCAATCTTACCACCGAGGCCAGAGCAGCAATTCCAAAGATCAAGTTCAACTGCGTCATGTCATGCTTGTTGCCCAGCAAAGTTTCCGTATTCGACAGGTACTGCTCGTAAGCTTTGAGGATAGTGGGCCTGTGCACCACTGGGTAAAGAGGGGCCCATTCTTGGAAGAAGATGTTGATGAGTTGATCAGACACCAAGCGAGGTGCGGTCTTGATTTCCCGGTCGACGCGGGAATGCGAGATGGGCGATGGCGACGCTTTCAAAGCCCGAGTCGAAACGGTCGACGGTAGTCGACCTTGGTCCATAAGTCGGTTGGTGAACGTGTCTAGGCGGGGTTAGTGGCGATGCTTTCCATCACGACACAACTTCCGAGTCCCCTGAAGGGAGCTGCACACTTACCGGAGAATCCACGAGCACTCGAAACACCGGCACACTCTGCGTCAGCCACGTCCTCTGGTTGCGAGGGCGGCGGCACCGAGATCAGATCCTCGCTAGGATTGGATGCATTGGCCTTCACGGGCACGGACGGCGACCGGGCTTTCTGATGCGAAGACGAAGAGAAGGAATGTATGCGAGACAACACGTCGATCTTCTCGTCCTTCTCGTCCAGCAAGTTCTTCAGATCCCTCACCTCGCTCTCCAGCGCTCTTACTCTCTCCTCCAGCGATTCCGTGTATCCGCGGGGGAAGGCTCGGCGACTTAATTTGTCGCTCGTCTTGCACTCGAAGCCGACGTTGGCGCATTGCGTACAGCACGGTCGGACGCCGTCACAGCGAATCTTCTTGCTTCGGCAGCGGTCACAGGCCTGGGCGATCCGGCTCTGCGAGGTGCTGCCGACCTTGATAACTTTCATGGGTAGAATTCCGGGCATTCTGGCGGGATGCTCTTACGCATCTGCCTCGGCTGGAGGCTCGCGTGTCTGGGTTCCGGATCGTCTTGCTGATTCGAAAGTCACGGCGGAATGCGGGGCGGTTGGCGTGTTTGATTTTTCTGTTCTTCTTGTTCCAGTGGCGGGCGCGGTATGGTATGTGAAAGGTAGAATCGCAGAGTAGTCGATATCAACCGGGTGTGTAGGTACTAGGTAGTCTATAGATTGGACGGTATAGAGTGAATTCTTCGGGGGCTGTGAAAGGGACGAAAGACACGGGGACAGTGGAGAGTAGAAGAGAGAGTCGAGAAGAGGAAAGCCGGGCTGATCCAAGGGCCGACCAGTATGACGGAGGAAGGAGAGGGTGGCGGAGGTGGAGGAGAGGATAAGTTCAGGCCGGGGAGAGATTTCTGCTCGTACGCCGAACGTATCGCGTATTCCTGCGCCGTGCGGGTGACGGCTGCCGGCTCGAAAAGGGGGGCGGTGGGGGGCGGCGAGTGGAGTGGGACGCTGGGATTTACGCCAATGACGGAGTGCTGCTTACGAGATTCGCACGCTCAGGCGGTCCTCGACAGCCGCGGATTCGTGCCGGTGGGGCAGAGAACGCTGGGTATTACGCTTACGGTAACTCTAATGAAGGGTCCCTTCTCTCTGCTCTCGCTGAACCAGACTTCCACCTCAGTCGTATACTTTTTCTCCAAGCACTCCGGACGGTCCTGGAACGGAACCGAACTGTCCGCCGGTCTACCCCGTACTCGGGCGATTCGCTCGGTAGTCTCTCGCCTCAGGGATGAATATCAGGATCAGGATGACGAATGGCGATGCATCCAACTATTGCCCTTAGCATGCGCGACGAATGCACTCGACTCGGCCTAGGCACCGCATGGTCATGGGTGCAATATCTCCTCCGTCGGATTTCCTCCAACAATACTGCGTAGTCTCCCGACTCGGCCAGGGGCCAGGTCGGATCGTCCTCCAGCGATTCCTGTTCTTCACGAACACGGTGATCGTACACTGGACAGGACGATTGCGTCGTACATCCCAGGGGCCCGAATCCTGTCAACCGCCCGCGACTCCGAGTTCGGGGCCTATTCAAACTATCGACCGCCCGATTAGTTCGTGATAGTCTCCCCCGGTTGGGGGGGGGGGGGGGGGGGATCGTCCACTTGCTGAACCATTAAAGCTTTTCCACAGTCGCGCTCCCAGCGGACAAGTCACTGGAAACCAAAAAGTGAAAGTCTGTCCCCCAAATGTGGATGTAGATCCTTCCAGTCTTTCCGACCCAATTGTCCCCTCTCTCCTCTCGCTGACTTGCCCTTCCCCGCAATGACGGGAGATCCAAGGCGCGAGGGTTGAAAGATAACGCAACTGCATGCCAATGCCGCCGATTACGCCGGAGTAGGCCAAGAGCGTCTGCAAGATGCAGGAGTGTAAATAATAGAAGGTCGCTGATTCTGCGGGATTTTTCCTCTGTTCTTTTTTGATTTTTATTTTTGTTTTTGTTTTTTTTTTTTCCTGGTTGGTCTCAGACTAAGAACGCCAGCGGGATTCCATCGGACAGGGACTCAATAATACTCCGTCAACATGGTTACGAGACCCGAGTCTTGGCCGAATCTCTCCGCGACGAAGGATTCCGTCTGCCATATCATCGTCTTGCCATTTCCCCTTTTTGAACGGACTCGGGTCTGTTCGAGTCCTGGTTCCGCGTCGTGACTGGCCAACGTTCTCCAGTCGTTCGCGGCTAGGGAAATCGCGGGGGAGCCGAGTGCTATCGTCCGATCCTGAGAAACGGCCAGCTAAGGATTGGAGGACAAGATTCTTGGAAAGTTGGCGTCGTCTGCGAGGTGGGGTTGGCCATTGCGTGGCGGGGGAGCCCAAAATTAACCCGGTTTGGGGGCCCTATGAGATTCCGAACATTGCTCAGACAATGGTCCCAAACCATACCCCGTAAGCCAAGGGGATGATTCAGATGGATGGACGAGAGTCGAACGACGAAGGGAGGCCGAGAGTTGACCGAGAAAAAGGGAGCGGTGGAGGCCAAAGTTTCGAGTCTTGGCCGTTTTGGGCTGACGGCAGCCGTCAACTGCCGAGGCTCCATCGGACTCTAGCATAACCTCGTCGACTACGGAACGCTGTCGCCTGTGCAGTATGCACCCAGACCTCCAATGTACACTGTACATTGTCCTGGACTCCAGCATCTACACGCCGACCTGGCCACCGCCGAGACCTGGTTCCTGGTCTTACCCACCGTCGCACACTGAAACGGTCGCCAAATAACTTCGGTAGGTTCGATCTAGCACTATCGCATCCATGGTCCTAGCTGACGCCCCCTTGCCACCCAGGCGCCAATTCCCCTGGTACTCAGATCCGGTTGAAATGCACTCGAGAGCCGGAGAACGTCATCGCACCCCGACGGTCGGGACTCAATCGCGACCCAATTCTTGGTCAATCCACGTTGTACCCCAACCGGAGAAGTCGATCTCGCCGGTTCCCTCCTCGTGATTCGATGGATCTGATGTCCCCACGCATGGATGGTCCAAAACTTTGATCGACGTTGAAGATCGGGTCGCCATGATTATCCTAATATGTCATCTATCGATGTCCGCCCTGAATGCGGAGTGCCATTGCCTTTCAATGAATCATAATGCACTGCATCGCTGGATCACGAGAAATCTTCGTCGATCTCGCCCGACTGCTGGCTGCTGAGATAAGCGCTGACCGTCGGTGTGGTCATCAAATCGTCTCGCTGCGTGGCGGATGGGAATTAGCATTCACGGGGAGGGAGCCAAAATAAGTCGGCATGAAATCGCTTACCTGTTTCGAGAGGCTCTCGATCGCCTTCTCCAACATTGTCGCTTCTAACTCTCGCAGTCTCATAACCGTACCAAACACGTCAGGTCTGAAGATTTCCCGCATAGTCTCATCCTGGGCGATCTCCGCAATCATCCCTTGGGTCTGCTGAAGCGTAAAAAACTGGGTTTCCAGCCGGTCCAGGATGGTCACGACGGCTCGAAGCTGGAATACTTCCCATAGGGGATCCGTAGCTAAGCAGTTTCTGAGACCTCCGGGGAGGTCCACTTCCTCGCCTTTCCAACTAGCTCTAAGCTCTCGTCCGCCGTCATTGGTCTGTAGCACATTGAAATCGAGCCCATCTTCCTCGTTGACGCAAGCCCACCAAACAAATGGACTGTCCCAGCTGATGCTCTGGCTATCGGAACTTGCAGGAGGCGACAGTAGCCGAACACCTGGCGCATCTTTGCAAAAGGCCAACTTTGCCATCTTCAATGGATCGTCATCTGGGATATCCAGGTCGACAACGACCTGATTGGCCGCCGTTTGGGCACGATCAAGAAACCCGTACGAGAAAACCATCTCCGATGCAGGTTTCTCATTGCCATACCTTCAACCCTCGCCACGAACATCAGCCTTTTCCGTCCCCAGCTCTGCACGCGCACGGAATAAACTGGAGACTTACGATATTGTAACCTCATCCCCAGCACTTAACTTCTTGCCCCAACGCAATCGCAGGACGGCATTCCCTTCGGTGTCCTCGTCATACAAGGCCTTCACCGCATCATCAGACGCATGATTTGCCATATCAATGCAGGGAACCATCGCATGACCGCTGCTCGGCAAGTCGACCATGCGCGACCGGTACACGGCGTCGACATATCTCCAATCGTCAAACGTAAATCTACCGGTCTCCTCATCCCACCACAACTTCTCACACCAGGGAATCCCCTCCGTGGACTTGCGCAGATGCTCAAATTCCTTCTCAAGGGAGATGACCTTCGCATCGACTGCCAACCGGAGAGAAGTGCCCCGGAGAAGCTCCAGTTCTTCCTCCGTGTAGAATGTAGGCAACGTGATCGAAGACGGCATGTACCTTACGTATTCGGTCCAGGGATTCGACACTCCGATCTTATGCGGCTCGTTTGTAGTGTCGGGACTTGTATGCGTGATTTGCATGATCAGGAAGATCAGGATTGCACCGCGCGCTGTCTGCTTTTCTCAGCCTGCACCCTTATCAAATAGATATACTATCCTCCTCTTCCACTCGGGGCAAATACCCCGCACTTGAAGACCTCATCAAATGCCATGATAGCATCCAGAAAGGACGATGACAGAACAAGAACAGAACATACCTTACCAAAATCCCCCACTGCATCTAACACCTCTCTCAGATACCGATCCGACTTTGCATGAATCTCAACCATCTGCAGCGAAAGAACCATATCCGCCGGCACGCTCAGCAGAACCTCTCCAGCATCCTCACCCCCTTCTTCATCTGCACTAGACCTCTCCTCCGTCGCTACGATGGCAGTTCCCTTGTCGGCGTCGTCGCTGTCTGTCTGCGCGAGCTTTCGGAATGCCACGCCATTGGTCGTGATGCCGTTCAGGCGCGACCAGGAAGGAAGGGTCTCGAGGGGGAGATATTCGCGTTTCATGGCGACCTTGGTATCCTTGATAATGAATAACTAGGTTAATGTTGGGTATGTCTGGGCTTTACGGTGAAGCTGTCGATGCTTGGGGAGCTCAGCTCTCGTTGACCTGAAGTTGGCATCCTTATCGATAAGAGCTCGGTTGCCCTAAGCCCTACTATCCTGTTTAGGTGGGGTATGGCTTTTTCTCTTGATGACCCAGGGCCGGGCTTGCAATGGCCAGAACTCTGAAAAGGACTCGTATCTATCAATGCCTACTCTTCGTAATGAAAGAATCAGATCAGTCAATACACTGCTATATGCTACTCTAGTTGTTATGGTACTTGCGTCTTATCGATAAGCCGGGGCCCTAAGCCCTACTCTCCGCATCCGGCAACATGAAGTATTGCAGCATCAAGACGTCATAGCATACCGGCTACCAAATGCAGGGATACTTTGATCGAAGGGAAAAAAGTTACAATCTTCGATCTGCATATACTCTAGCTATTTGCTGTTTGACCGAACAATTCAAGTTAGATTGCATAGTTCAAAGGTGATAGCTTACATTTGTCTACAACAGAATTACTACCTAGTACATAACACTCAACATGCCTACCAACCCTCGTCTGCCGTCTGTGGCTGCCATGCTGCAATACATCCCCATCTCGCGACCACCCCCTCCCTACTGGGTTTCACTACCGTCTGTCTGGGGACCTACCACAACTCAAACGCCTAGAGGCGGACAGAGGCGTTTTGAAGGTACATTAGCGAAGGATTGGAAGGGAACCGGCGCAGAAGATCACACTGCCCGCAGAACCAAAAAGGGGGACAAGACTGATCCAACCACGGACTCGTCGGCTGCGGGGATGCAGGAGAGGGAGGAGTCTGAGGGGGTTGCGCACGATGCGAAGTCGCAGGCCACGACGGAGAGAGGAGGGGCGAAACATGGGAAGCAGGCAAAGAAAGAGCACCCGAAGGCACCAGAGCCGATTATTGGGATGAATGATGAGCGAGCGCAAGTATGTGTGTCCGCGCTGGACCACGAACTCCCGTCTCCGTTGTCGAGACCAAGGCTGACATGTTTTACTCATACAGAAAGGTAGTTGATTGCGCTCTTGGGAGCCTTTCAGTTGTAGGTCTATGGGAGTGGGAAAAGTCATCTGGATTTTTTTTGCATCATTCATTACCAGACATTAGCTGTACAGAATTGTGCCACAATATTTTAACGGCCAGGCTTGAAGCTGAGCACCTATAGGAGGGAAAAGAGCGGTTAGCATTGATTCACGAAAATAAATCGAGAATGTTAATACACATACATCGTGTTTCCCGACTTCAACAATGTCATCTTCCGAGACACGCACACCGCCGACTCCTTCGATGTAGGAAATCGGTACGTCGCCCATGACCTTGTGGGCAACGTAGCCCACGGTGCTGTTTCTGCTGGGAGTTAGCAAGTCACACAGCTAAAAGGATGCAGGGAGCTTACTTCTTGACAAGGACGCAATCTCGGAATGCAGCGCTTCCGGCGCCGGACGAGAAAGTAGAGATGTTTCGGACTGGGAAAACAGGCACAAGCCCCAGGAGCTCCGCAGCTCGGGAGAGACACTGTACCACTCCGGTGGATCCAAAGCGATAAAGGACCATGTCCTTCATGTTTTCGACGCGGCTAATTTGACGTTAGGCAGACTCAGAGAGAAAATGCAATAGGGCGTCATACTTCTTCAACTTTTCATCCATCTCCTTCAATCCACCGCCATCGGCATCGCCCATATCTATGAGATCTTCTCTCGTATCTAGGAATTCGCTTCCTTCCACATACTTGATGTAATTTTGCTTCGCAAGCCTTCGAAGGAAAACCTCCGAAATAGCGGAACAAAGCACGATGGATTTCGGGTCTTGCATTTTGGCGATTTTGGCCACGTTCTGCATCCATCAATGTTAACAGCGATATAGGTGAAGAGCCACATGAGATGGGTACAAACCTTATCTGCGTCGGGGTGGTCGATTTTATTCAAAGCGAACACCGTGGGAAACTTCTCGTCGATAAATGCCTCCACGACTTTCTGGATCGTTTCATCCGACCAGTCCTCGAGGGGCTCTTTCAACCCTATTCGGTCCAAGCACCTTCCGACAATCGACGTTGTACTCCCATAACCGGAGAATTGGTTCTGCAAGGTATCCACGGCCGTCGACTCTGGAGTCGCAGTCAGTACATGTCATAAGCCTCTCGCGCAACCAGGCCATACTAACTAATTGCCATGTGTCTTCTCTTAATCGATCCCCTACGCCAATCAGCATTTATCATCGATGCGCGATCAAGTTTACTCACCACTTCTGCATCAGGTTCCCGAGAACCCACCGCACAATCTCGGAGTGCAGCCATTCAATGTCTTGCGAAGGATCATATCCTCGCGTCGCCTTTCCTGTTCACCCAATCCTGTGTCAGCTCGCTATCCTACATATATCGCGTGCTCCAGTGCTAGCAGACCTTCTGCGTCTGTTGTTCCGCTGACATCCACCACATGGATCAAGGCGTCCGCATGACGCAAGTCGTCCAAGAACTTATTACCCAATCCTCGACCTTGATGCGCACCGGGAACAAGACCAGCCACGTCGAGAAGTTCAATGGGGACCGAGCGTCGTCCCTCGAAACAACCTCCGTAGTTCGGCTTGCATTTATCCGAGACGTTGAATCGCTGACAGGCGCATTCTATTTGAAGGTAACCAATGGCGCGCTGAGGATCGATAGTAGTGAAACTGGTGTTTTTAAGGACATGTTAGAGCGCTCTCCAAGGAAACGTCGCGGTGTATCGGTTTCATAGCGAATGTCTGGACGTGGTTGAGATGGCAGGGTCACTCACGGGAAGTTTCCTATATGCGAAATCCCATAGTTAACAGACCGCACCCTCTCAGCACATTTGAAACAAAATATCCTTACCAACTTTAGAAGAAGCATCGGTCAAACTGTTCAGCGTGGTCGATTTCCCACTAGATGGCTAATGCCCCTCAGTTCGGTCAGCGGCGGTTCTTGCGGGCAGAAAGAGAGACAGACCTTTCCAACCAACCCGACCAACGGATCCCTGGGCATTTTGACCGATTTGTAGAATCCGGAAAGTCTATAGATAAGAAACAAGGCACGGACAGAAGTCTATACGGGTCTAATTGAATAGCAACGAGAATGCATTCCTGCGACAGCGGGGAAATCGCTGTAAATTCTGCAGTCTGGGATAGGAAGGCGGTGTACAGATCGCGAGAGATCGCGAGATTCCGATGGCTGCTCCGTCTTCGTTATCCAGTTCTCTTCACAACGGAAACCTGGAGGCTTTCAATCAAGTATGAAGCCGGGAAATGTAGTCGAATGTCTAATCCCATGATACCAAGTGGCAAGTGTCGGCTGAATCACTGATGGTACCCGCATGTGTTAACTTCCTTGGGAATAAGAACTGGTCACTCCCCTAGAGATCGAACCCCGCAATCCATGAATTATCTATCTAATGCATAATAATCTGAAGGATATATCAAAAACGCTAAGCTCGCTGGAATAAGCATACACATACCAACGCTTCATGATACGAGGCCTCCCGGAATATCTGTACACGGGTCAAAATGCAGCGCTAGTTTTCAACTGCGCCGGGAGAAATGGCAAGAATGACGACTAAGGCCGCTATGATCAAGGCAACGGCTACAAACGCGATCAACGCGATGCTGCCGCGGCTGGCGGGAAATTTACCACGGATGATCCAATACTGGCTTTCAAAGTAGCGATGGAAACCAACCAAAAGAATCAGGATAGCAACGCCAATGAATGTGGTCCCGAGAGGTTTGCCGATGCTGCGAAGGCGTGCCGAAGCAATCGTAGCGTGGACAGCCTTGGGGTCGTAGAATGGAGGCGACAGAAGGGGAGGGAGGCCGTGCATCGAAACCTCAGCATTCGACGTGTTACCGTTAGTAGAGCTGTTCAGGCGGAACAATTGGGTCACTGCAATTCCAATAGAGGCGAAGGCCAGCGAGGTCCGTAGCCAGGCGAGGAATGTCCGTTCTACCGGTCATCATGCAGCCCGTCAGTAAAAACGCCGGCGGCGGAGAGGGGCAAGAATTAAGCCAGGCGCACCTAATGCCAGATGATCACGAGCAACACTCCCCTTGTTCTCCAGTTCCAGACTGCCGTACCTGTCGGCGAACTGACTATACCATGACGCCTTGGGCTCTGCCAATTCTGACTGCTGAGCCTGTTGATCGGCAGCCCCGGGATTTCGGTGCGCCGAGTTCTTTCCAGGCGTGTCTGCAGAGCCCGAATCCCGATTTCTCAGGCCGTCGGTCGACTGGTAGTGGCGGTTGGACGAGTCGGAGCTCCTCACGATTGGGGTAGATTCGTTGGCGGGTTGCAGCGGGCCTTGATCAGGCGCCAGGGCGCGGTTCTGGGAGCCGAAGGAAGGCATGCGTCTGGATTCATTGCGAGACGAATGGGGGGACGAAGATCGATGCGTGGGAGATGAGGCGTTGACCTCCCTGGCGTTCGGACGGATCAAATCAGAGTAGTCCATGATGGCGTGCTCGCACGATCGCAGGGGTCATACATTGATAGCCAGCGACAACTGCTATTCGTGAAGAACGATGTGGATTTCGGAAACAAACCCCAGCTTTTCGGAGGCAGGTGGAGATTAGATTTAGGAATCAATCCGCACCCGTCCCAGCAGTCTATACTCCCTAGGGCGACTCGACGTTAGAAGAGGGAGAGATAAAGAACGCATGAGGAGTCAAAACAGGGGCGCAGGCTTCTCACAGAGTGACCGGTTCTTTAAGTTGGCCTGACTGCACCTGCATTTCTTTTCTTTTCTTAAAGCGACATCACGCGCCTTCCTGCGCCGGCAGCAACGCTAACCGCTTACGGTTACCTCATCGTCGATCACATGATGATCACAGTCCAGGCGCTAAGTCCTATTGGGGGAAATGTGTGAGCCCATACAGAAGGCGGTCGGTGTTGGTCCCCTCCGCGATTCTGCCGGCCGAACCCAGCCGCCTTCAGTCATGTGCCCGCCGTCAACTGACCGTCTTGCATGCCGTGTGAACAAGTCAACTGAGCGGTTGGATTGTCTTGACTCCGTACTCTTTTTGCTTTGCAAGATGGCTTCTCAGGTGTCCGTGCCCAACCCATCTCCGTCCGGCAAGATCGACTTGTCGAAAAAGCTCTCGGAGCTTCGAGCGAGTAATCGCAAGTCTCAATCGGCGCCCTCCAGAGAGCCTGCCCCCGTCACCCCGCCTCTCACGAATCCCCCCGATCTATCGTCCCATCAATATGCACGACCGGCGCGCCGCATCTTGTCGAAACATGACCACGAGCTCTTTCTCTCCTCGCCGACCTATACCCTAATCCTTGCGTTCATCTTCGGTCTCTCCGACTCGGTGCGGGGACGGGCCGCCACCGATCTCAACCGCCAAACACCCTCTCCCAATATCTCCAAGATCCAGTCGGTCGTGAACAACATCCGCACGCTCCTAGAACAACATCCCTCCATCGATCAAGGCGGCTCGAGATTTGGCAACCCCGCTTTCCGCGACCTATTCGACGATGTGTCCACGCAATGCGCCGCCTGGCATAGGAATATTCTGGGAATACAAGATGCAGCGGCCGTGGAGGAGGCGTCATCATATCTCATTCACTCGCTAGGCTCGCGGGACCGACTCGACTACGGGTCCGGACATGAGCTGAATTTCATGATGTGGCTCTTGTGTCTTCGCCAGATGTCAATCTTCTCGAAACCAGACTTCGCCCTGGTTGTTTTCCAAGTATACGTCAACTACATGCATCTGATGCGCCAGGTGCAAGCCACATACTATCTGGAACCCGCCGGCTCCCACGGTGTCTGGGGTCTGGATGACTACCATTTTCTCCCATTCCTGTTCGGCGCCTCGCAGCTTGTCGGCCACCCTTACATCACGCCGCTGGGCATCCACAACACGGCTATTCTCGACGAGGAAGGCGACCAGTACATCTATTTGGACCAGGTGCGATGGGTGGATAGCGTGAAAAACGTCAAGGGGCTGCGGTGGCATAGTCCGATGCTGGACGACATCTCCGGGGCCAAGAACTGGACCAAGATCGAAGGCGGCATGAAAAAGATGTTCGTCAAGGAGGTCTTGGGCAAGCTGCCGATCATGCAGCACTTCCTGTTCGGCAGCCTGTTGCCGGCCGCAGAGGGCATGGGGGAGATGACGGAGGACATGCTGGATGAACATGACCATGACCATGGCAATGACCACGCCCATGCTCAACATACCGACCACTTTGGCGATTGCTGCGGCATCAAGGTGCCGAGTTCGGTGGCGGCGGGAGAAGAGATGCGAAAACGCGTTGGGGGGACAGGGCTGCGGCCAATTCCATTTGACTAGATTACGCTGGCTTTATGATGCATGAATGGAATATGGTATTTACTTGGTACATGATAATGGAAATCACTTTCTCAGGTTGATGTCTTTGCTATTTTGACTAACCAGTGCTTTGCAGATACATTAGCGTACTGGTGTGCCAAATCATAATCACTTTCATTTACCTCATCCACTCCATTGATAACCAACGCACAATCTCATTACACTATAATCAAGATACACTAATAACTCAAACAAGCTTCAGAAAGAATGTCCACTATTAAGACCACATCCTTGGATGGAATTCATCACCGTGGCAAATGACCCTCTCAATCAAAGACAATCTTTCAGAATTTACAACTGAGTCAAAATATGAGAAATAACTTACAGATAAAACTAATTGACAATATCCAACGCATAAACAAAGCAAACTCCTTGACTCTTATCTCATGAAAATGAATACAGGTATGAGATGGATATCAATATCGCAGCTGACAACTTTACTTTACTATCAAAATACAACAGAACAATCTATGAATTCGAATCAATTCATTTCAAACCCTTTTTTTCATTTAATTGAATTTCAAGCAAACCCTCAAGATGTGTCCATCTGAAGGTAAAAAGAAAAACCCTTGTTCCCGAACAAAAGAAATGCAGGAGAAGCCTGGCCATTCAATATATTCATGACCTTACATCCCCAAATAAGCAAACAAGCAAGAATTGAGAGAGAAGACTGCATCACTTCACTGGCGGCTAGTTATCAGAATCAGACGGATTGGATACAACCTCCATCTCCCCATTCTCATGCTCGACCACCGTAATTCTATTCATATATCTCCCAATATCAGAGACAGGAACAGAGAACATCTCTAGGTTCCCATTATCATCTATGCGAATCATAGTAACGGGTTGTTCTCCCGTATGTTCCTCATGACCAGACGAATCAGAGATAACCTCCAGGTCCCCATTCTCATCCTCGATCAGCCTAAGGGGTCTTCCCCCAGGGCTCCCGTCACCCAGGGTACCAGCACCGCCATTACCAGCACCAGCACCAGCGGCATTATCACGAGCATCAGCAATAGCCGCAGCAACAGATTCGAGGATCTCCATCCTCAGATTCTCATTCTCGGGCAGATTCACATATCTGGCCACGGGACTCGCAGCATCAGGACCGGCCACATCACCAGCCCCAGCAACCGTAACGGCAACAGCGGCCAGAATCTCCAGCCGCATATTCCCTTCCGCGGCCAGAAATGCAGAGTTACCACTAGCTGCCGCCGTTGCGACCGCCGCGGCCATCTCATTCTGAAGCTGGGCCTCCGCCGCCGAATCCGATTCCTCGCTCTCCGTCCGCACAGGAGATACGGCAATGCCGCTGTTCTCCATCTCGGAGTCGACCGCCTCTTGGGCCGTGCGGAGGACCTCGGCCTCGTCTTCGTACTCGACGCGAACCTTCAGGACCACGCCGGATGCCGGGCAGTCGCTCTCGGTGCGGTAGAGAGTGAGACTCTGGTTCCGGAGGTCTTGCCTGAGCATGTCCAATAGCTCGTCCTTTGAATGGTCAGCTTGCATCAAACCGCCTAGGGGGAAGTGGACGTAATAGACGAACACACCTGTTTCAGATGTCTCGGGGGTGAGAGCAATTGGGTGGTTAGAATCGGCCATCTTGGTGTCTTGGAGATCAAGTTATCTCGGTGGTGGTTGGTGAAGAGATTGAAGATGGTTGTTGGTGAGGGGAGGTGTGTTGGAATTGAAAACGGATGAAGATGGTGGATAGAGTGATGTGAAATGGAAGATGGGCAGCTATTTATACGATTTAGTTCTTTTAGACGAGCATATTCCACATAGGAATCAAGGAATATTGCATTTGTTAAGGGGAAGTGCCATGTAATGGGTTCATCGATAAAGATGAGAAGAGACTTTCCAATAGATTCATGGGAACATCCTGCGGCTCTTTTCTAGTTATGATCTCTAGATGGAATAAATCTGAGTTCAAAGGAGAATGCCAGTCTGTCTTTATCTTTCACAGTGTAATTCCGGTAGGTCTTCGCTCATCTAAGGGGTATTTCCCTGTACTCAATGAGTTCAACAAGTTCAATATCGACGGAATCAAATCGATCAATTCATGCTTAATGCTACTTTCCTACTAGCTCTCATAGCATATCTTCTGACGACAGTAGTAGGTCCTAATAGTATAACCACATTTTGATTATTCAGGTAATCAACAATTTCACCCATACCTCACTCAAGTATCAGTTCCTAGACTTTCTTGTATCTAGTTAACAAATGCTACTCTAGGCTAAAACCACCCCCATAACCAACCACACAACGACAACACTGCTCCGGTAATTAATAAAAACAGCAATACTCAATCTAGACCTTATCCCCAATCCAACAAATCACCTCCCTATCCCAGTGGTTAGTATCAGAAATGTACACTCCTATACTACGATGTCACATGACCCGTCTAAAGCAGCGACCGCGCTAACCCACAAGGCACCTGATCGGCCCGGCATCCTCACCAGGCAGTGCGACTTCTTTCTCCTCACTCCTCACTTCAATCTCCAATTATCTAAAACCCCGAATTAATATTTGCGGGGAAAAGCAAAATGCCCCCAGGCAGCGAATACGCCTCGGGCGGGGGTGGAAAACTCAAGCTCAAGGGCTCCAAGGTCAGCGACGGCCGAGTAGACAAGAAAAAGAAGAAGGCCAAGAAGAGAGAGGAGGAGAAGAAGACGGAGGAGGCCAGGGGGGACGACGGCCACGATAAGAACAATGAAGAAGGTCAGGTCCAGGGCCAGGGGAAACCGGACGACGAGGTAACGGCCTCGACAGGGGCAGCAGAGGAGGATGGTGGCGTGGTGGTGGGCAAGACGGAGGCGGAAAGGAAGTATGAGGATGCGAAGAAGAAGAGGGTATGTTTGGTTCAGTTTTATTTTTATTTTTATATTTTTATGTTGTCTATTATTATTCTTCCATCTCTCCCTTTATGATATACTAACGGAAACCCCAGCTCCAAGAACGGCTCAAACGCGACGGAGTCAAAACACACAAAGAGCGAGTGGAGGAGCTCAACAAGTACCTGAGTCGGCTGAGTGAGCATCACGACATGTAAGTTCCCCTCGATAGAGTCTTTGGCACGCCATGGATGTTGTGGACATCTTTCGAACTGACGACATTCCAGGCCGAAGATCGGACCGGGTTAAAAGGCAGCGGTTCACAGTCCCATCACATCATTGTCGGTCTTCTTGCCGAGAGGGACGTGGGTTTCATTGTTGCTTGGGACGGGGGAGTTTTCTGTTGGTTTCCTTGGATTTGCTCGTGCGACTATACTTACTGGAGAGTAGATTTATTTCCATGTCTTTTTTTATTTTATTTTCTATTTTTTCCTAGGATGCAATTTGTTTCATCGGACGAAATGAAGAATCGCACCAAGGCAACTAGTCTGGCCAGCATCATATGACACGGCTACGTTCCGCCTGCTCACTGGCCACGACGGGCGATTGTGGCCACGCCTGCTGCCCATTCCCAGCCTGGTGGTTGGACAATCCAGGTCATCGAATCTGCAGCTGTATATACCTAAGGGCGTTTGCGTATGTGACACGGGCGACCTGAAACTCGCCCTTCTATTCATATGTGTATGTAGTAAGTGGACTGAGTGTAGTAGGGTAAAATGAAATGTAAAGTTGAAATTATCAAACAAAAAAAGGGGAATCCTGGGATCGTTGCGTGGCGGACAAGGTCCCCAGCCCAAATCAACCCTCAGGATTCATGCGAAAACTAATTCAAAACCGTATGTGACAAAACTCCGCAGAGAACAACGCCTTGCACATGATCTTGATCGGATCCAAGACTAAGATAGCGAAATAGAGTAAAAGAAACGAAAAGAATCCCTCCCAACCCATAAAGACAAGAAAAAGAAATATCAGAGGGTCACCAAGACCATGCGGCAGTTGCTAATGACGAAGTAAAATGGAAGATGAACGGATTCCGCGCGCAAATCGGACACCGCGCTAAAACTTATCAACCGGTTCGATGACCGAATCCGCAGAAAATCGTGACGAAATGAAAGGTAGTTGGATGCTGGCCGGGCGAGAACCGCGGTCGGGGAGTCTCATACCCCCTTGATGACCTGGGTGCGCTCGTTGTTCAGCTTGTCGGCATTGCGGGCGTGGGATTCCTTCTTGCAGTCCTCCAGGCCGGTACAGGAGTGGGCCTCGAGCATGCGATGCCTCGAGCAGAAATGGCCGTGGCAAAAGCTGCAGTCGCCGACGATGCGTTGGGCGGCTTCCTTGCACTCCTTGAAGTTGCAACGGGGCTTACGGGGAGCCATGATGCAAGAGTGGCGATTCGGACGGGGGGAGTGGAGGAGCTGTCGGAACGGGGCCGATAAGCGCTGGGAAGAGCGAACGGAAGGGGAGTCGTCTGGTGAGAAACGAGCGAGAGCGACTCTTTTTTTTTTTTTGGTTTCGCTTGTTTTATTGGTCAAACAAGACAACGATAGTGGTTGTGGCGATGAAGCGGAGTAGCGATCGCAGTCAGGAGAGACGCAGACCGAAAGATGGGTGAATTGAGCAGCGGACGCTTGCGGGTGACGTGGACGGCGGAGAGGTTTAAGCCGAGGAAAGGCAGAAGAGGAGGTCCGATAGAGAGATAAGGAGAGGGAGAGGAAGAGAGGAAGAGAGAGAGAGGAAGAGAGAGAGAGAGGCGATAAGGACGAGTATATATACGGGCGAGGGCGGAGATAGGGATGAGGAGAAGAAAGGAGGTGCGGTAGGATCGGGAACGGAGAACTCCAGGAAGAAAAAGGACGAACAAAGAGTGAGGCGGCAAAAGGCGAGAAGCAGCGCAAAGTCAATTTAAATGGAAGCCACGAGAGGATTCATGGATGACCGGCTGAGTCACGGCCACCTGCACCGCGCTGATCCGACGTCGTCGTCGTCCGTCGCAGGCCAACTAGTCACTGGGACTATCGGGTGGAGGCAAATCGGGGGGAGGTGGAGCCGGAGGACAGAAGAATGGACTGGCAGTCAGGATGAGGCGAATGGCGAGGAAGTCGACCGGTTGCGCTTCCCGATCCAAGGGTCGATTAGGCCCCTTTCTTGCCTCTCATGTGACTTGGTATTACTTATTCTACTGCGTAGTATTCGGAGTCCCCTGATTCCTGAATCATTCGGTCTATACGAGTCTTCCCCTATCAAATGGATATCCCATAGATCCTATGCAACGCCACGCAATCCGGACAGACAGCCGTTTTCCCTGCACGCCGACCACAATCACATCCCACCGTCCTCCGTACATACATACATATCGGCTCATGCAACTACCCTCTGCAGCCATCCATGAAGAACATCCCTCGGAGGTCCGTGGGCGACTCTGTACTCCGGAGTAAGGGAGGCGTTATTGGATCGACATGGTGTGTAACTACCTACACACCGTATCTTGTCCGGTTTGAAGAGGGAATAAAATAAAATGAAGGCAACCCAAATAAAATAAATTAGAATAGAATAGAACACATCCAAGGAATCAACCTTCGGGTGCGAATCAAACTTTTCCCGTCTCCTCCCAACCCAAGAATCCCCGAAGACAGGAAACTTCCTCGAAAATTCCACAAAACCTTCATCTCCAAACCCAACTTGTGCCACGATCCCCGACGAAACGCCGGATCCGTTCAGGCCCCTCCCCTCCTCCACCAAACCTTCGCCGTCGTGAATCTCCTCATCTTGGGCACAAACCCTCGGCAGACACCTCATCGCCGTTGCGGCCTGCTCCCGGGTTGGTTTGACGACAGGGAGGGGAGGGGGTTTATCTATTCTCTTGATTTGGCTCTATCTGAGAGATAACGGATATCCCCAGGTATACTGCGTAGATAAAAAATCAATTAATTAATTAATTAATATAACAATAAAAAGAACACAACAAATGCAAACAAGCAACCCATAGAATTCTTCCCTTTGTAAAGGAACACCTACCCACTTGTTAATGTAAACACCTCGTCAGGCGAGCACGGAATCCTCTACAGACTGGACACGACGAGGCCGCTCAGTCGATCATTGCCTCGCGACTCCTCCGTCGGGGGGATCATGCAAGGCAGGGTGGACGGACACTTCATCTTGACCCTGGCACCGTGGGGGTCTGTGGTTTCGCTTTAGCTGCTGGGTTGGCCGGGAACTAGTCGGCTGGTCTGGAGATAGTGAATACTCAATCCTCCTGAAGGATGGATATCGGCCTTGCCAACGTATTGAGGGGTTGTTGGTAACTACAGAGTCCTACTACTATTAGTCATGCCCGTCGACCTTCTCAATTTCTTTCGTTGACGTGATCAGAGTTGTATGGATGAAATCGGTAAACTTAGGACCCCCAGGGTTATCAGACAGCAAAAGGGAAACGCAAATCCGTGGTAGAAACGCCATGTGCCAATCGCAACGCACCAGATCGCCCGTGAAACCACCAGCTAAGAAGAAGAAAAAACACCAGATGAAAAAATAAATGAAACTACACGCCCATTTCTTTCTCCTTCCCGGCGTCGGGGTCCAGGTACGTTTCTTTCTCCGCCGCCTCGTACTCCCCGACCAGGTCCATGACAACGGCGCGCGCCTCGTCGAATTCGCCCAGCCCGTCCGTGAATGGGCTCTCCTTCTTGTATTGTTCCAGGAATGCATTTCGCTTCCGCAGTCGGTCGTACTGCTGGACGATCCGCTTGAACAACGTTGCGACCGACGTGTGGTTCGCCAGCATCAGTCCGCTGACCCGATGCGTGTTCTGCATGTACGGCGACTTCTTGGTCAGGGCAACCTGGATACTGGCGGGGCCCCAGGGGATGAACGACGCCAATCGCCGCTCGCGGATTCGGAGCAGGGATTTGTGCACGTCGGTCGGATCGGCTTCGCCCTGGATGATGTTGAGAATGCTCATGTAGCAACTGGATTTCGTGGGGTTGATCGAGACCATGCGGTTCTTGGGCTGCAACAGACGTCGCATGACGTCCAGCACCGTCGTCTTCCGCACCGTCTTCGCCTGCTCGATGTTGTCGCCCGTGAACGGCGTGTAGGACGTGATCAGGAAGTGGCTGCGAGGCGTCGGGATGAGGGAAGCGATGATCCCAACGAGGTCATTGTGCATGTACCCGGGATAACGGAGGGTGGTGGTCGACGCGGACATGACGGTAGAAACCTGGTGGCAATTTAGCGACCACGTTCTCTCGGGCTGCAGAGAGAAATCCCACTTACCAGTTGGTTCGTCTGTTGGAATGAGGGCTCCTGCACGTGAAGTCTGTCTGCAACGATCCTCGAAAGTGCTCCGTTATCCAAAACCACCTAAAGTCACTCTTTAGCTACTCCCGCGGAACATGTTTCATATGATTCGGGTTCTTACCACAGAGTCGGCATTCTGGGTCAATCTTCTCATCGCAAGCAAACTGTTGTACGGGTTGACCACGACATCCGCCGACTGCGTATCCGGGAAGACGGAGTATGTCTGGATGAGCTTCTTCGGAAACCGGTCGTTCATTCGCTCCAGGATAAAACTGCCCAGTCCAGAGCCAGTACCGCCGGCAATGGAATGTAGAAACATGAACCCCTGTGCCGAGTCAGCAGCGGCCGATGAAGGTTCTTGCTCAATATATTCTTACCTCCAGCGAGTCACTCCCGTCTGCTTCACGGTCAATCATGTCGAAGATTTCCTCTTGCACCACTTCGCCGGCAGCATAACCCGCACCCCAGTTGTTCCCCGCACCAATGCCTTGTTGTCCGATGAAGAAGTTCTCGGGGTTGTAAATGTTCTTGTAGGGACCGGATTGGATGGCGTGAAGGACCTAGTTTTCAGAAATCTCAGCATGTCGTTTGAAGAGGAATTTGCGGTTTCTCGAACGGGAATGGCATCATACTCTGGGTTCTAGGTCTAGCAAGATCGCTCGAGGAATGTACCGGGTATCGTCACTCTAGACCAGATCGATTAGTATTTCCTTCTCCCTAACTTGGAGGCCATAAATGCCAGCCAGCTCGACAGCGTGGAAAGTACCTGGTAGAAGAAGACATCCTTGCGATCGCCGCCCTCCGTTGCGAACTCCTCCAGGTTTCCATCCTGGCTGATTCCATGCTCCAGGCAGAGCTGCTGCCAGAATTGGCCACCGACTGCAAATCTCACGGGTCAGCACCATTAATTCGATACCTATATGCCGGCTGAACAGAGCTAGAGAAGGGCGCAAATGTGTATCGAGGGCGTTCGTACCGTTGTTGCCGCACTGGCCGGCTTGGATCGTGATTATTTCTCTGCACACGAGACCGTTGTCAGTAATCCATTCGTTGAGTAACAAGGGAGTCCGCCTGAAGGATTGGCGTAGGAGCACGTACCTAGGCATCTTGGGGAGGCCGCTGAGGGTAGTCGATGGTTTACGGCCCACGCGTAGCGCGCCGCGGGGAAACTTGAATTGGAGTGTGACGATGTGGTTGCCTCAGGCCTCCAGCAGCTTGTCTACCGCAATGCACCGGATCTGCGTTTGGGATGATTGGATCTGAACAAGAAGGCAGAAGAGCCATATATGTATAATGGGGATTTTCATATTCGTAATTCTCCATCTAATTAATACTAATTTTGACGGGGTTGGCGCCTTGGGCAGCCGGTCACGGGCCTTGCCGCGTAAACAATGCAATGCAATAAGCACATCTCCCCAGCCATGCTCTCGATGGGAGCCATTCCGTTGGAAGGAATACTTCAAGATATCTTTTTTGCTCCTCAGCATTATCTCTCTTGTCAAACGAATTGCTTCTCGCTATTGCTGGTCATGACGGGTAGGTTCAAAATCCGGCTTTGCACGCCGTTACAAGCAGCCCAGCACCGGCAACCACGCCGTCAACAATTCTCACCTGTTTGCCTTGCTTCGGTCCGTAGGCCTTGACGCAGCCTTCTCGCACCGCTTCCTCCATGCCTGCCATGCCCGCACATCCCATACAAATCGCAGTCAACGGATCGGACGTACTCTTGATGAGCTTCTCGGTAGCCTCGCTGATTCTTCGCTTCACTTCCTCCGCGGGGGTGGTATGTAGTTCAACCGCTGTAAGTCCGGTCGTTTCTACGCCAGCGAAACGACGGGTCGGGTTGTTGGCACCCTCGGAATGAACGAGCATTTCAGCTACGGCCTTGCCAAGCTCCTCCTTCCAGACACTACCCGTGGAGATAATCCCGAATGTATCATTCGCCTGGGCCTTGCCGTATCCCTGATCGCCGATGAGGTGAAACGAGCTAATCAAAGACAGCGACGTGACAACGCTGGCCTCAAAGATTCCGGTCACACATTTCCTCGTCGCTGCCGGTCCCGGAGCATCTCCTATCGAGGCACTGTCCTCCAGATTTGTAATTGCCTTTTTCAGCATACCCACGAGGGGGTGAGCGGAGTAGCACGCCACAAGGAAAGCGTCATATTTGGGTATCAATGGCTCCACGAAGGGCATGCAGTGCAACGCGGATTTCGCCGAGTCCTCCCCCGAGTTGATGCTGGGCACGCCTTCAATGATTCGGCCATCCGCGAGAGTGACGGATTCTGACGGAGCCGTGAAGTAATTGAACTGGACGTCCGTGAAGTTGAGGTTTTCCACGATGGGATTCAACGTATCCGTCATGTGTTGCGAAGTATTCGGGTTGATGACCAGGATAGCGAACCGTCTGTTAGTGGTTGGAGCCATGGTGGAGCAGCGAGATCGGCAACATCAATGATCGCGGAATGTTGTGGGAACCGGATTTGGGGATGATAGATGGCTGTTGAAGACGGCGAATTTTAGCGAATCGCTAGTAGGGAAGGAAGTGGGTGTTAGCTCGCAGTCAGAGCAGCGACGGAACACTGCATACTGAGACGGACCGCCACCGATTCTCGGACAGCAAGTCAGCTGTATGAGGGACGAGAGTACAAAAATGCAAGGGTGGTATACACTTCCTCATGGAGTTACTCGATGCGGCGGCGATTCGGGGAGAAGAAGACCAAGACTCGGCATTTGATTGCTTACTGAATGCGGGGAAGATCACATCAGCCGCTGCGTATCTCCAACATCCCACTTTAAAGTCTCCCCCGTACGACTTCGTCATTCCGGAACACACGCATCCAGAAATCGCACGGCAATCTTAAATTCTTACCAGGAATATCCTGTCCAATTGAGGTAATTCCAGAACCTCCACATTTCCCAGCTACTGCATCCTCATTCCTGGGCTGACGTGATCTCCGCATCCCCCGCCATGGTAGTAGTTCCAGCATCCAGATCGTTACACGCGCCGATCCTTCAAAATGCCTTTGGTGGCACAGAATCCCACGCCAAGGGTGATCCTGGGTCTGATGACTTTTGGCCCCGACGAGTCGAAGGGAGCCCGCATCACGTCTCTGGACGACTACAACAAATGTTTGGATTACTTCCAACAGCAGGGGTTCAACGAGGTCGACACCGCCCGGATCTACGTGGGGGGAGAGCAGGAAGCCTTTACCACCCAGGCGAAATGGAAGGAGCGTGGTCTGACGTTGGCAACGAAGTGGTATCCCAAAAAACATGGGGATCACAAACCTAACGTTCTCCGGGAGAACCTAGAGCTCTCTCTGAAAGAGCTGGGCACCAACCAGGTCGATATCTTCTACCTGCATGCTCCGGATCGCTCTGTTCCTTTTGCAGAGACTTTGGAGGCTGTCAATGAGCTGCATAAAGAGGGGAAGTTTGTAGAACTGGGCCTTAGTAACTACACGGCATTTGAGGTTGCGGAGATAGCCACTCTTTGCAGCGAGAGAGGGTGGGTGCGCCCGACCATATACCAGGCCATGTACAATGCCATCAGTAAGTTGTTTCTGAACCGAGACCTGCACCATCATAGCACTGGATCTGATTGAGATACCTGTAGCGCGGTCCATCGAGACTGAGCTGGTCCATGCCTGCAAGCGGTATGGCATCAACATCGTGATCTATAACCCCCTCGCGGGTGGAATTTTCTCCGGCAAATACAAGTCCAAGGATATCCCCGCGGAGGGTCGATACAGTGCCCAATCTGTCATTGGTGAATTGTACCGCAATCGTTATTTCCATGATGCGACGTTCGACGCCCTGCGTGTTGTCGAACCTGTTGTCGAGAAGCACGGGTTGACATTGCCGGAGACTGCGTTCCGCTGGCTTCACCATCATTCTGCTCTCAACATGAAAGACGATGGCCGGGATGGAATTGTGATCGGTGTGAGTAACTTTGCGCAATTAGAAGCCAACTTGAGAGATGTTCAGAAAGGCCCGCTCCCAGAAGAGGTGGTCGAGGCTTTGGACAAGGCCTGGTTGATCACAAAAGCCACCACTCCCAACTATTGGCATCTTGACCTGAATTACACTTACGACACCAAGGCCTTGTTCGGGTCCAAGTCAAGCGCTTAGGTGTTGCACAATCTTGACAAGTAAATAGGTAAATATATGATCCAAAACGATGAACATATATACTTCGGTTGTTGGAATTGAGACTTGCAGTGTCCCAATCGGCATCGTAGTGTCATTACTACCTAGGTAGTATGCATACTGGGAGTTAAATACAAGTCATCCTGGAAACAGAAAAACCATCGGAAGTATCATAGGCAGCTGTTGAATTAAAAATAAAAATTTTAAAAATAACAATAAATCATGCAAATGTGCTACAAATGTTAAGATAGGCTACTTGATTACCTATGTCCTCTTGCACGTACCCTTCGCTTATGTCTCTCCATATGCCGTTTTTAACCAGAGAGCTTGATAAAGCTAGGAGAAAGCTTGAAACATGCTGGCCAATATTCCATTGACTTCGATTCAGCCACTTAAAATCAGACTCGGGGTGGTATGTACTGCCCTGCATAGCCTATTGCACATGTGTCATACCCGGCTCGGATGTGTTCTACTGAGCCCGGGATCCTACAGGTTTGGTCTTGAGCTCTCCTATGTATAGTTATAGTCATATGCGTCCCTTTTTGTCCCCCCCCCCAACGAATACTCTTGAACAGAAGTTTTATCTCAAGATGGTAGGGCTTCAACGTCTCATGTCCCAATTCTCCAAGAATTCCATTCAATACGATCGAGTGGAGAGTGAAGAAGATAAAGAAATCACCCACGAATCAACGCCAAAAGGTAAGACTCGCCATGAAAAACTCAAGCAGATTCTATCCCGAGTGTCGTTACTATGGATAAACACCACGCTCCTCGGGATCACGGGGATATTCTTCTTCGGGTCTCTCACGAGAATGGGATGCCACAACACAAACAACTCACTGAGAGATTTCATCTCGATGCCCTGTAAGTAATGGCCAACCGAATGGCAAGCCCGCTTGTGAGGTTGATGGTTTTATAGCACCCGCCATGGACGATGCCGATGTCTCCTTTTCCACGGAGTGGATCGATGGCAATTTCCTCAACAACGATCCGCTGAGCATATTCCGCCAGGAACCCAGCCTTGAAGTCGACATTGCCTGGTCCAAGCTCGCCGATACGAGGCCAATTCCTCTGACACGGGAAGATGTGTTGGCGATTGGGAAAGACCCGGAGAAGTCAGTGAAACTAGGACCGGAATTCGGCCTGGGTCCGGACCTATACGCCGGTCGGGTCGACGTGTTCCACCAGCTGCATTGCTTAGATGCGCTGCGACAAGAGGCATATTTCGAGCACTACTACCACAACACGTACCCAGGCGGGTATAACCAGACCACCCAAAAGCACCGCGCTCATCTGTCGCATTGCATCCATATTATTTTGCAGAATATCCTCTGCCACGCAAATACAGATATTCTCACCCACATCTGGACCGATGCAGTCGATCATCCGTGGCCGGACTTCAATATTCCGCATAGATGCCGGGACTATCGGGCGTTAATGGACTGGCAACATCGCCATGCCGTGGACGAGGGTTTATTTGTCAAGATGAAGAGACCAGTGGGCCAGGAGCCTCGCAGGACAAGTAGCCACTTCAAGAAGATTGTCAATTCGGAAATGTATGGCCATCTTGAAGACATCATGGATGATGGGGATGTTGCATAGGATTGTGAGAAGAAGCCTGGCCTGTCAGTAACACAATGCCTAGGAGTAGATGTTGATTCTTTTATCCCAAAGATCCACAGATCATAGATGCGACGACTTCCACATCTCCAATCCTCGATGGTCTAACGGTCATGATTTCCGCTTGTCACTCTTAACGAGAACAAGCGCGGGAGACCTGGGTTCGACTCCCAGTCGGGGAGATTACTTTTTGTTTTTGCGCGGGCGAATAAATAATAGCGTCATCTCCTGGCTTATTTTTTAGTTTGATTTGATTTTTTCTTTTCTACCAGAGAATCCATGTCATTTTGGAATGTCACACCGCCTAACCCGACGCCAAAACCAGCAGAACGAGGAGGCGGTCGGGAGGGCGGTAAGCGGTCGGAGTGGCTGACATGGCCGCGAGCTGCTTCGGAACGGACAAGACGCTCTCTCAACAGCTCGAGACTCAACGCCAACCCGTCTCGCCCGTGGTTGTCACGCACTTCTTTCTAGCGTCTGCTTGCTTATCGATCTCGTCTCTCAATTGACTGTCGCTGGATCGCGTCTTTCGGAGCTATTCTTATCACTTCCCAGGTTCTCCCGATCACCCTTCACCATGGCGGACAGCGAGTTCGCGCCCAAGTTCTCCCCCTTCTTCTCGTTTGTGAGTATTTATTGGTCAACCATCTTGCCTTTACGGAATCTATGCTGATGCGAACAATTAGGCGGGTATCGCAGCTGCAGTATGTCCCTCCGACGAATCCCCAACTCGATCGATGGCGCTAACGACCTCTCGAAGATGATCTTCGGGAGTACGTCCCCTACATCTTCTTAGCTTGACAATGTCCCCCGACTCACAACGAGACAGCGATGGGAGCCGCGTATGGAACCGCAAAGGCTGGAATTGCCATTTCGGGTGTTGGAACATTCAGGCCGGATCTGATCATGAAGGCATGACCTTGACATGCTGCGATTCCGTTCCCTACTAACTGGGCCAGTCTTTGATTCCCGTGATCATGTCCGGTATTATCGCGGTATACGGGCTTGTTGTTGCCGTCGTTATCCACGGTGACCTGGACCGGGACCATAGTCAGGCTCTGTATACGTATGTTCAGCTCTGCCCTCACAGGCCCAGTCCCCTTTTGCCGTGCTGACATCCATCAAAGGGGCTTCATGCACCTTGGAGCGGGGTTGTCTGTTGGATTTACCGGATTAGCCGCTGGCTACGCCATTGGAATTATTGGAGATGCGGTAAGCCCAACTCCAAATGCAAGCCGCAACATCGTTCAGCTCGCTAATGATTTGCGTAGGGCGTGCGCGCATACATGCAACAATCCCGCGTTTACGTCGGAATGATTCTCATTCTTATCTTTGCGGAAGTGCTTGGGCTCTACGGGTAAGACATCATTCTTCGTGACAGTTCATCAGGCAGGGGATTGCTGACGCTAGCTAGCCTGATTGTTGGTTTGATTCTCAACTCGAAGTCCAGGGCTTGATCCCAGCGACTTGGCGTATTTGGTTGAATAGCATCCCAGATGTGAGTAGAACTCACTTCCTCGGATGTTGAGATTGTACCATCAAAAATCTACCATTCTATTGTATATCCTGTTAGGGAACGAGCCGGGGAAAGGGGTAGCCTGGATCGGCTTTGATCTCCTCCGCTTTTAGATCAAGGCTCTGTCACCATCCGTTCATGACCGAGGGACTATCAAGGCTAGCATGAGGCAAGGGGCGTCCCACTGAACCACGGGATAAGGGATATGTATGATTTTATAGTCAAGGCGCAGGTATTGCTCATATGCCATAGATAACCCTCCCAAATATAACGAGATACCACCACTGTTTCGGGGCTCACCATGGAACGAGGCTGACGATTAAGCTGGCCGTATCGGAGAGTTTTCTTCTTCCCCCCACAACTGAGTAACCATTATTGCTTTTTCTGACCAAGGGGGACAATCGACTTGCGACCTCGTCATGGCTCTGAACCTTCTCATGTCTTATTTCGTCTGTATGTCCGAGATCGGATCGGATTGACTTCGGTCTCAGAGCCAGTTATGGAATACCACCCGGCAACTGAAGAATGTTTCGTTGGCACTAGTGCTTATGGTCAGCAATCACATCGGAATCAAGATCCATTCACGTCAGGATGATTTACGCTAGGGTTGCCGATCTGGGGAGGTCGCCTCATGCCGTGTTCCATTTTGACCTTCTACAAATTCAGGATTTCTCATAGATAACCCCTGTGTTTGGGTTATTGATGTTGGATGCTTTCCTGTAAGCTCATTAGCAGGAGACATGGTATATCTACACCAAATCCTGCTATTGCATTGCAGACCTGCATTTGGCCTATGGAAGGTGGCTTGGTCTCTCGACCACTGCATGTTCTATTTTCTCCTCTCATCAAAACTCCAGCAAGCCTGGTGAAGGTGGCTCTTCCGCGCCTTGTTCCATTCCACATTCTCCGATTGGCATGGTCTCGAGGCTCTGCGGGCGGCGCGAATGATGACCTTGTGCTATGAACCATCCTGAAAGCGGCTAAGTATCTTATGATGCAGAGTCTATTGAGAAACACATCAGCGTACATGCTGTGTAACAGTGAACAAGCGGAGAGCTGATATCATGCGTCCCATGACGATTGGAAGACGCTTCATCCCTGATCAAACACGACGAATTGCGAGTCAGACGGATTTGAAAGTTGGGCACAGGTGACACCAGTGCGTGCCTTACTACATATTTGTGAAACCATGGACATTTGCCTTATCGAATCGCAGGTCGCTGTCGGCCTAACCCGGGTGCTCCCTTGGTGCACCGATATAATGCTACCCTCAAGGAGTATCTTACTAATGTGGGGAAAATAGACACAGATGACACAGATCCCTTGTCTAATTGACCTACTTGGATCCGGTCGAGTAGAAAAAGTAAGCTGGCGGGTGATGTTCTTCGACGGCTGAATTCTACAAGACTATAACTCTACAAGTTGCGATTGCTGGCCGTCTACCCTTACCGCTAAGGTTCATTTCCAAGCTTTCCAATAGCATCGATGGCGATTACTCGTGTCCACAAGTCTCAAAGGACGGGCGTGAGGGCGTCATTGGCGTGTGTGCAGGTCAGTATCCATTGGAGAAAGTTTTCTTTCCCGTTGTTCTTCGAGCCTGACGTGATGGAAAAAGTGTCGAAGCCAGCATGCGAAATGCGGTGCTGAGATGCCCGCCTGTAGTCGCTGTCGACAGGATGGGAAGCCTTGCTTCTATGTTCAATCTCGCCGCAGTGCCAATGCTAAAGCAAGATCTCCATCTCTTCCGGTACCAGATACCAGTGGCGATATCATATTCCCTACGCCGTTAGCATCAGCGCATGTCTTTCCCATACAGGACAGCGATTGTCTTCCAATCGAATACAGGGCATTATCTGCTGTATCACCTATGGAGGCAATGAACGTTTCTTGTCCTCCGGAAAGTGAGCATGCGGCCTGTCGCAGGTTCCTAGATGCATACTACAGGTATGTCGGCAGCTGCATTGAAATCACCAAACCATCTAGACAGTAGGATTTTGCTTAATTTTTGCTTTTTAAAACTAGTAACTTTCACAATGCGCATCCTTTCCTCACGTCATACCGTCATTTCTTGGATTTCAACGACACTAATGCCCAGTCTCTCATATGCCTTCTCCCAGTTGTGCATTATATTGGATCTCTCTATGTGAATGACGGATCCTCAACATGGCTGAAGCAGGCAGCTTTGAAGCAACTCGGTACCATGGACCTCCCGATAAGCAGCCTACCATTGGATGGTTATACCACATTGGCCTTCCTTCTTATGGCCATTGCAGCCTACGGACAAGATGATCGAGCTCAAGCGCGCTTGTTGTTGAACCGGGGCATGCAGATGGCAATTGATGTAGGGATGAATCGTCGCAGCTTTGCCTCCGCAGAACCGGATCCTGTTTGGGCCGAAAGTTGGAGACGCACTTACTGGGGATTATATATCACCGATGTGATTATTGCTGGTCTTTGGCATGAGACCAATATCGGGTTGGTTTTCTATATTGAACGATTTCGATTACCCACATCGAGGCCAAATGGTTAACCCAAGATAGTTTCTGTGACAAGGAGTCTGACGTTGATCTGCCGTCTGATGACGTTGCGCTTGAGCAGGTTCGTCAAGTCTCACGGCTCGTAACATAGGGTTCTGCTAATAATCTGATAGCCTCGCACAATCGAGCAATACGAGATTCGAGACTTCGAGGACAAAGTGCCAATCTTCTCGTCTTTCACGTACCTGATAGACCTGGTCAAGATCGCCCACTCAGTGTTGCATCTCTCTTCTCACCGAGAAGACCGTAATACTGCTGTCACTAACGCAGACACAATGCTTTTCGCATGGAAGCTCCACCTGCCGGTTGAAAAGCAGTCTGTTGTCAAAGAGGACGGAAGGGTTGATCATATCATGTTTCATGCTCATATCCTTTGGCAGAGGTATTATATTCCACACTTTCCTCGCCCCTGCCATTCCTCAAGTCTTTGTGTATAGCTTTACTGATTGTAAGTATAGTTTGGTCTTAACTATCCACCAACCTCTTTCCCGCTTTAATCGCAATTATAATGCCAATTATGAGGACAACTCCTTGATATCCCCTAGTTCATCTAGTGATGATTCGCTCTGGGAGGACCAATCTGAACGGCTGCACACCCGGAGAACGCTTGATGCTGTGACAGCAACCATGAATCTCTGCGCTCTTCCCATTCCAATCGTTCAACAGTCCCCCCTCACCGTCAATTGCGTGGCCCTATCGACCATGGCAAGCATGATGGAATACCAGTCGATGCTTTCCTCCTCCCACCCCCCTACGCGGGACAAAGTGCGATTAGGCATAGCCATCCTTAACCAATTCGCGCAAGTCTGGGCCATCGGGGTCAATACCAGCAGCAGGATGAAGAAGATGGCCCGGGAGGTCTTTACGATGGTCCGACCAGATCAGCTTTCTGAGCCCGGTTTTGCCATCGATGTGGCGGCTTTCATGGACCAGAACTTACTCTCTGCTGCAGAAGCCTGGCCGGACTTCCATTCCGTGGGTAGCTAAAAGGATGGTATAGAATATATGTAATGAGGAAATGCATTTGTATGAATTTGTTATATTATGCGATAAAGTCTCGGGACCACATTCGATGTGTAATTGTTTTACTGTCTGTCCGTCATTCGAATCCGACTTCAGTCAAATCATACTTGGAATTTCATTGACTATTCATGCCTAGCTACCAACTTTGAGTCACCTTAGATAGTCAACTGCACTCGATACATAGAAATTCCACCCCGATATGCTCGTTACTTAGTCTCTTCTCCCATATCCTTGGAAGTCACCCAGACTCGTGAGAAAGCCCTAATGACCTAGGAATGCTCGGCGTGTTCGAGCTCTTCGGCTTCAACCTCGCCTTCCTCGCGCTTGGCGTATTTCCAGGGTTTCCCATAGATTTTGTTGTCAATATCCGAATCGCGCTTCGCATACTTCCATGGGGTACCATAGATTTTGTTGTCGATTTCCGAATCACGCTTCGCATACTTCCAGGGAGTCCCGTAGATCTTGTTGTCAATATCCGAATCGCGCTTCGCATACTTCCAGGCAGTCCCGTAGATCTTGTTGTCAATGTCACTGTCTCGCTTGGCGTATTTCCACGGAGTTCCATAGATCTTGTTGTCGATTTCGGAATCTCTCTTGGTCACGTCTACAGCTGTCATCAGTCACCCACAGGGAATAACGGAAGAGCCAACTAACCAGCGCTCTCGGCTTCCTCCCAAGCTATATTCGGCATGCTTGTGAGTCCTCGAAAACAATTCCAGCGTTCAGTCTCGCATAGCTTGAGCTTACCGGCTGGGGCGGCCAGGATGCCTTGCAGGGAGGCGAGGGTGATGAGCACGGCGGCGATCTTCATTTTTCCTTCTGTTTTTATTTCTCCGAAATGAGGTTCAAGGCTTGGTTGATGATTGGAACAAAGAGAGGATTGGGATTGGGATTTGTGTTGACGGGTGAGGAGCGATGGAACAAAACAGGTCTAAACTGGGGATACTTATATCTTGACTTTTCCGAATACCTACCCCTACAAGCTACAAGTTCGGAGCAATCTTGAGACTAGCCATGTAACATGGAATGACTATCCCATTGGGTGGATTTGGTCTTCTCCAGGAGGTGCGATGGCGATCGCAGTGCATAGCCTAGGGATATTCCCCGTTGGGGGCTGCTGTTCTGACCAGTTTAGAATGCAGAATAAGCCTCGGGATATTTGTATATGTGTAGGACAAAAACATAGGCTATTAGGATAGAGGTCTTCAGGCTATGCACTCATGTTTAAGCTTTGGCTGGGTGGTGTGTTGCTGAGACGGCGCAATCGATTTGATGGAGTATCGTGGACTCAGTCCGCGTGGGGGGAACTTTTGGGGTGATACCAGACATAGCCGGTCCCTAGAATATGGAAGCTTGGTGGGAATAGGTCCTCAATTAGTGTGTCGTGTCTTATGGTGGTTGATATCCTCATACATGTGCAAACCATTCGGGAAATACTATATCCTGATATTATACTTGATTAACAGCTCAATTTACGAGATCAAGTTCTCGGGTAAATAGATTAGGGCAATGGATAATTCAGCTCCCTGTAACCTCTCTCTCGATCCCATCTTTCTCTGGATCAGAGCAGTACCGATCGACGTCTATATATCCGGCACGCATGTGCTCCGTCGCCGGCCACCCAACCTGCTTCAACTGGATATCCCCTTCGCACATGAGCCCGTAGCGAAGAATTGCAAAGCAGTGATCTTGAAAATCAGTAACTTCTCAGTTACAATGAAAGTTATTATGAATTGCCAGCTTACTGTCATGTGGCTCGGTCACAATCGTAGTAACCGATTCTTCTGCCGTCATTTGGTTATGCCATCTTCTCCAGAGGACGTGCTAAACTCGATTGCATTAGCTCTGTTTCCTACTGTCACAATGCAGTTTGAAGAGAATACCAAGCAATGAAGCCGATGGAGTTTCGAGAGAACCCGCGGATCTCCCGGGTCAGTGCTTTCGACGTGCGCAGTTGACACTCGCACAAAGTTCGCTTCCTCCAAGGGGATATCGTGAAGCCCATCTGAAGATTTCTTAGCAGGATAATATAAACACATTGGGGAAACACGCATCATACATTGTTGAACTGTATTCATAGCTGCCACGGCTCCAGCACTGGGCTCCCTGGTCTCCGACAGATTGAAAAAGTCGCCCAGCTCAAGGAATGTGCCGTCAAATCGAGCTGTCCAGGGGGTATTTGTTCGCTCAACCACTCCTGGACTATACGCTGTGAATTCTAAACTGTTAGATCCAATATATGATGCGCACATTCAATGGCATGGAAAGGTTCTTACTAGGACGAAACATGGGCCACGTCAAGAAGACCGCCGTGTAGATCGCAAGGAGAAAGACATGAGGCAGCCAGGCCAATGCACACCGCGACAGGCAAGAAACTCGCCGTTTTTGAGTGGGCTTTTCCGGATCTACTTCATGAAGCATTGGGGCTTCTTCTTTAAGACCATCAGGAACCCAGATATGTTGATTGCGCGGTCTGGGAAAGGTGAATGGTTTGAACCACTTCATCTTGCTGCCTCCAGGGTACATTGGTAGTCGTATGGAGCAAAACCTGTTGATAGCAGATTGAACGAAGGCAAAATGACTTTTAGATCAATATTCCTCGGCGAGTATCCCTCCGTAACCGCCGGTGACACAAGGCGCCGGGATAGGTAGGCTATGAAGGGTGATACACTGACCGACGATCCCGTTGGCTGGCTAAACGATCAAAGCCACCATATCATGATAGGCCAGTTGGGATTGGAATCGGACGGTGGCTGGTGGTGGATAAGTTTGATTCCTTGACGGTGAAGTTGGGGGGGAGGAACCAGCGGTGGGCGCTTGCTGTCGCTTCATGCGTACCGTCGACAAAATGCATCCCTATCATGAAGGAAACAGATATGATGATGAAGGATCTCGGTTTCTCCCTATAGATGGCAAAAAGAAACTGACACCTGAGGAACGGCGGACGAAGAGAGAGAGTTTCTGTCCGCTCTCTTGGGTGCTCACCGTCATCTTCGGATCTCTTCTTATCCTCCAGAATGTGTATTATTTGGTGCAGGAGCCGGATTGTCATCTGGGATCAGTCTACGATACAGACTTTGGTTCGTCATTGTTCTGGTGTTATCTCGATCCCTCACTAATCAATGTATCCGCATGCTAGAGCCGATGAAAGGCGCTATAGAAACTGTTCAAGTCCGATTCACGAGCCCCCTCTATATCGACGACAATGGCACCTTCCACCGACAAGAAGACCCCGGAGCAATCAGATATGTCGGAGGCCCAGAAGAAGATTTGGACGCCAACTGGGCATCCTTACTTGGTGGTATCCTCACTCTTCCCAAAGAATAAGGGGGACCGGCTAACAGGCATGCATGATGGGAGCATATCAGGTCGATATTTCCGACTCAACGACAACGAGGTGAATACTCTCAACGAAGACACTGAGCTGCCACATCTGTCAGCTTGGAACCAGAACGGCGAGGAACTATATTTTGCGGGCATCGACATGCTGCACTCGCTGCACTGCCTCAATGCGTTGAGAAAACACCTCGATCCGGACTTTCAAGACCATGTAGCGAAGATAGCGCCTGAGATGAGGCAATTGCATCTTGGTGGGATCTCATCCATCCGATGTTCGGTATTGAGAGCTGACAATGAGTAGACCACTGCGTGGAGCAACTCCGGCAATCCATAATGTGCCATGGAGATGCAACACCCGTGACCCTAAAGCCCATACTTCAGGACTCGTCCACTCCAGCCCTCCTAGGAGAGACTGAAAGACTGCATACTTGTAGAAATGCATCTAGTCTGAGAGAAGAAACTACAAAGCAGGGAAAATTGCGGGGGACAAGTGAGAGGGTTGTTGGGTAGGACTTAGAACCCTTGATTCATGCGTTGTTGACTCGATATTTATCTACTCATGCATTCCATGCCCATGTCCATTTTCGGGAGCAGGATTTATATTCCCGGGGGCATGTGGGACGTCATGTTTCTTTGCCCACTCGTGGATTTTATCGAAATGCCTACATTCCCGAACTCCATCGCCTTCTGCAATATACGTTTCGGTGGTTGCGTTCCATCCCACCGGTCCGATGTTCACGTCGGCGAGACACATGAACGATTGGCGGAGGTAGTCAAAGCAGTGGTCTGAGCAGGACTGTTAGCTCATCTTCTGATGGTCATCATGAGAGTGCCTACAAGTGTGTCGTCTAATGATATCGGCGTTTTCGCCATACTCTCCCTTGAGATCCGTATAGAAGGCCAATCGAATGCGATTCTAGAACATTACCATCAGCTTATATCTCAAGGCCAAGAGAATTATCATCACCTACCAAGCAGTGTAGTTGATGAAAAACCTCCAAAACCCCGACATAAGAGCCTGGAGGAGAGTCGTATTGCCGAGCTGTAGGCGCCCCTACATATTGGGCCTGTTGTTTGTCGAGATGGATCAATCGCACTGGTTAGCACCGTCATCAGCATTTAACAATAACCATGGGTTTGATTCAGTTGTTATATCCCACCATCCATGAGCGAGTCCCAGGCAGCATTGGTCTTTTCATCCGGCTCCCCGAAAAACTTGGTCCTTCGATCCTCAGTGATCCCCGTGGAAAATTCACGCATCTCCATTTCCACTGGAATATCGGCGGGGCCCAGAGTCTGGATGGCTGGAATGCCATTGCGAGCAATGTCCTGCTCGAGTATCGTCACTGATGCTGCAGGCCATTTCTGAGCACCCGAGGATTTTATCCAGAATGCCAACGTTGCAATATTGGTGAGAACAAGAAGCAGAATCAGGACATATTGCATTGAGATACAGCGTTTATAAAATGCTTTCTGCGGTAGGCTTCTGTTATCACTGCATTCATTGTCGATTTTGTATATCTCCTGATCCCGATCTCTCTCTTCGCTATCAACGGGTCGATATTTGTGCGCGAACATGGCGAATTCGATCAACTGAGCTATAGAACCGAACAGTGCAAAGGATACAGAAAGAACTCATCCTCAAAGAAGGAGATCAACTCCCTTCGGCCGATCTCAACGATTGCCGATGCTGATCATCTCGGAGGAATTCATGCTTGCCGGCATAGCCTATCTCTCCCGGTGGCACAACAGTGAGAACAATAACCTATCTTGTCCTACGTTCGAAGGAAAAGTACACAACTGAATTGGAACGAGGATTGTCATAATTGATGACGAATGAGGGCTGATCATATTGGTGAGAAGCACTAAGAAGTCGAGTCCCCACTGCTTGATGTCGTTCGCAGTCTCTTCCAGTCTCTTTCTGCTGTTCTCTACGATCGTTTGGAGTTAACGATGTCTTCTAAGGACAACCCACCCTGTCAGTCCGTACCAGCAGCAAGCCAGGACCTTGAGAAATGTCGAGAGGCTTCTCTTGAAACCGAGGATGGAGCTTCCACTTCCCCCAGTTCATTCATCTATCGAGACAGGGAGACATCGCAGGTCGATCTATGGTCCCATCCATCGCCGTCAAAGACAAATTCCCTTCATCTATACCGCCGTCTATCCTTTCACCTTGTCGTCACAAACACTGTTACCCTCCTATTCGCTCTCTGGATCCTATATCTCTATCGCGAGTGTCTCCAGCGAGGATGCCAGTACCAGAAGCCTAGATCCGAGATACGAGGCGTAGCAGAGATTCCGGTGGAATGGACGACACGCAAGTTTCGCACCGGAGTCGAAGAGGGAGGACTCACGGATTTCATCGGAGGTTGGAACGAGCATACAAATGCTGCCTGGGATACAATTCTCGACGGTAAGGAAGTCCAGCTCAAGCACATCAAGCACATCAGACTGACGATGGAACCAACCCAACAGCTGGACTCATCAAGCTCACGGAAGACCAAGCAAAGAGCCTCCCCTACAACACGACTAGAAACCCACAAGATCCCTCCACGTATGTCGGCGCCCTCGAGGTCTTTCATCAACTCCATTGTCTGGTGCGTGCGACATTTCTTCCTCTACCTCGGCTGGCTGAACAAGAAACTGACCGAGAACAGAACAATATCCGCCATGGATACTACGTCCCCGAGGCAAGGGATCTGGTGCCCGAGCCTGGAAAGCTCCTAACTCATGCCGGTCAGTTATTCTTCTGCCTGAACGATGAAACCGCGCTCACAATTCGCTCACCCGCGTTCTGCTCTCTAGACCATTGCTTTGATTATCTGCGTCAGAATATCATGTGCTGGTCGGATACTACCATCTCATCGCTGGCTTGGTCCACCGTCCTGGACGGTTACTATCCTCGGTTTGACCCGGTGAAGGAATGTCTGGATTTCGAGCAGATACATGCGTGGGCGACACGGAAGGAGAATTGGCTACCGAATGATCCGATTCATGAAAGCTCCGGCTAGAGAGGGTTCATTGAGTCAAGTTGATTTGTATGTTATCCGAAGATTTTATACAATAACAGATGACTACCACAGAGTGTTCATCTCCAGACAGGGATTGAATAGATCAATTTCCTCCCAAAACTCTAGTGAGAAGGCCTGGGCTGAGTTACACCGATCTAGAATCCGCCACCAAACCGTGGGCTGTCGAAATACCGGACTCATCTCTGCGATGTGTCTAGTTAAATGCAGCCACTGCCCATCCCTTCCATCGCATCTCGCGAGACCTGGCTCGTCTTGCCCCTATCCCTTACTGCCCCCAATAAGTCCTTGCCAGCTGACAACGCACCGGTTTTGACATCCAGCCAGCCCCTGACCACGCCGGTTCCAGGATGATTTGCGACAAAGATAGAGTGAGACATCACACTGGCCGAAATTGGCCCGAAACGAGCATGAATGCAACCTACCTGCAGGTCGCAGGTCGCAGACGAGATGCTTTTGACAGTATTCGGCCACATCGTAGCATTGCCCCGAAGGTAGCACTCGAGGACGAACCTCCAATTTTCCTCCCCCTTATTTCGACCAGACCTGTTGTGCTCCCCTCCAATGGAAGAATTCTCCCAAAACCGTTGATTGCCGGTCTCCCGAGGTTCAATGCACCCTCGCATGCTGCATCTCGCCCTTGCGTTTGTCGGCACTTCCTCTAGGGTCGACGAGGCGAGAGGTCGCACACCATTCGCATGCTGGGACATTGCTTGTCAAACTACCCGGCAGCTCCTATTAGTTCGACTCGAAGACCCGATATCCCTTCGGTGTAACGCATTCCAGCGGAATCCACGATCTATGCAAGGATGTCGGGGAACCAACCCCAAGGCATGACATGTTGAAACGTTCTCTCGAGTCACGAGGATATGCTTGAGGTCTAGAAGGAAAAGAAGAAGAAAAAGAATCCGCGCCTTAACCAATAGGCCTGGAGTTCTGGCCATCGTTACAGAGTGGAGAACTCTCGAGACAACTTCTGACGCCATACAAACCGTTCCCCCCATACTTGATGACTTTATTCTTGGACTTAAATCTGCACAAGACATTTTCAATGGGGTTATGCTGCAGTGATACCCTACCGTATCTTGCACCTTTGCGCCGAAAAAAACTAATCACTTGAGCCCGGTTGTTATATCCCTAAATTCAGCCGAGGCTTTATTGATCCAGGGCGGCCTGGACCCGGACCAATGCACTCAATTCCGCCACATTGCTGGATGGTATCATCTAGATCGCGGGATTCTGGAAAAGTCAAGCGCCGCATTATTGTTCAGCTGCTACTTTGGGCTTTTTTTTTTGCGTCGTGTGATACCCTGTGGGACCGGTGCTGCCTGACAAGATGAGGATCCCCCGGACTGTCCTCGAAATGATCCGCAGGTAGGGCTGCGGGGGAAGTCAACCTTTAAATTGAAGACATGGCCTCGATTCCAGACGAGGAAAAGGTGGTCATCACCGGCGTTGCCTGCCCTGCGATCCAGCCTCCCCCTGTGGCTCGATAACCATGTCTCTTGCAGTCGGCCGTGTTTCGGCACAGGATACCAACTCGACAGAGCTGGACCTCGAGAAGAAAGCTAATGTTCGCGTCACCAAGCATGCCGCCCCCGTGTCGGACCCCGAAACACTCGGGGATCCGGGCAATGCGCGCCAGTTCTTCTTTCAGAGCTCGAAAACCTACGACCCCGGGGCCATCGCGACGCAGCCGTCAGTATACGATGACCCGGACCTGGCGGACGCATACCAGCCGTTGCAGAACTGGGAGAACATCCATCGGTTCGACACGTCGGCCAGATGGACCTGGGGAGAAGAGCATGTATGTCTGTCGGTGTCGAGGGTTGTCTTCACGAGGCTGATTTCCTGCAGAAAACTGTCGCAAAGCTTGATAAGCGCATTATGATCCTCGCGTGTGTCATGATCATGGCATTGGAACTTGACCGGTCCAACGTTCGTAAGTTAGGACCTTTCTCACTGTCATGGGATGTTGTCTGACCACTTTGCTGTCATGCAGAACAAGCCAATGCAGATAGTCTTCTAGAGGACTTGAACATAACTCGAGATGGTGGGCCTCTTTTCGAGAAGACAAAGATGTAGGATGAATTCGAAGCTGACGAACAACTGGACGAGCTAGATTATAATCTGGGGAATACTATCTTCAGGTTATTCTACCTGTGCAGCGAACTGCCCGGGCAACTTATCGGCAAGTCGATCGGAGTCGACCGATGGATTCCCCTGCAAATGACCGCATGGTCCATCGTGGCCGCTAGTCAGTTCTGGTTACGCAATCGAAGCTCCTTCTTGGCTTGTCGAGCCCTAATCGGGATGTGCTCAGGGGGCTTCACGCCCACGGTGAGTCACTCAAAGGCCGGGCGCTCTAGACCGGGCTAATGGGCGCAGATGATTCTCTACATGTCCTACTTTTACAAGCACCACGAGCTGTCAGTCCGTCTTGGCTTCTGGTACGCGGCGTCGTCACTCGCGGATATTGTCGCCGGGTTGCTGGCATACGCCATCTTGCATCTCCGAGGCATTGGCGGATATGCGGGCTGGCGCTGGCTGTTCCTGATCGAGGTTGGTCGAATTGTTCATCAGGGGTTCCTTGACGTGGCTGATGCATCGACAGGGACTATTCACTTTGATGCTTGGTCTGATTGCGTTTCTCTTGCTGCCACCGTCGGTCACGCAGACTGCCAGTTGGGCGCGAGGAAAGAAAGGCTGGTTCACGGCACGGTACTTCTTCCTCGGCTACCAAGTCTTCTTGCACCTATGAAAGAAGTGAGACTGATGGACGCTGCAGGGAGGAGACAATATTGGTGAATCGCATCATCCGCGAGGATCCGTCCAAATGCACCGCCAACAGACGACACCTGCTCACTCCGAAGCTGGTATGGCGAAGTTTCAAGGACTTCGACCTGTGGCCCCTGTACATTATTGGTCTCACATTTTTGACCCCATGGAGTTAGTATCACTCGGTCCACGGTGGTTCCAAGCAGGGGTATCCTAACATCTCTGCCTGAATAGCAACCGTCTCGCAGTACTTCACCTTGATTATGAGGGATTATGGGTTTGGCACATTCAACACAGTGTTACTATCGGTTCCCTATAATGTAGGATGCGATCTTGTCGGAGGCACATTCCTCGAGGCTAACATGCTCCTAGCTCCTGGGAATCACATCGCGAATCCTGCTCACCTATGCCGCCGAGTATTTCGGATCCATTGCGGTGATGGCGATCGTGGCGCAAATCTGGACGCTTCCCATGCTCGTGTACATGAACGCGGTGGATTTTGGACAGGTGAACAAATGGGTTGCGTGGACGGTGTTGACTTTATTCCTGTCTCATCCCAGCGGTAGGCTCCCCCTTCTCCTGGATCGTGCACGGAGTGAGACATGCTGAGAACCGATTTGTAGCCCACGCCCTGCAAGCGGGCTGGAACTCGCGCAACTCCAACAGCGTGCGATCTCGCGCCATTTCGGCAGCACTATACAACATGTGTACGCAAGTGTCCGCTATTATTGCATCCAATATCTACCAGGATGGTGAGTGACTGACCCGAAGCGGAGATTGGAGCAACGGGGGCTAATCAAACGATGTGTGAATCGGTTATGTAACAGAGGATGCGCCAGGCTATTCGACGGGGAACCGGGTGCTCTTGGCCCTGGTGTGCGGCAACCTGGTCATCTACGCGGCCACCAAGGCGTACTACATTTGGCGCAACCGCAGCCGCGAGCGGACGTGGCAGGCGATGAGCGAGGAGCAGCGCGTGGAGTATATCGCAGCCACGGCGGACCAGGGCAACAAACGGCTGGAGTTCCGGTTTGCGCATTGAGCAGAAAGACAGTTCCACAAGTTCAATAAGATTTAGATAATATGATATAATGTAACATGATATATGATGGATCCGGTCTTGGCCTTAGTCATAGGAACGAACGGAGGCGACGTGTCTTGGAGCGAAGAAGAAAGAAGAAGAGAAACAGAAAGAGAAAGAGAAAGACGGGGCGGTGCTGACTCAGCCACCCCGCCCAATGGCCGGCCTGAGGCTAGCGGCGCTGAGTCAGCCGTCCGTATGCGACGAACCCGTGATGCTGGCTGTAACCTCGTGGTCTCCTTTCTGGTTTCCTTTTCTTGTCTTCTGTCTCTCTTTCTTTTTCTTCCTCTTCATCTGTCTCCCTCCCTCGTTGTTGGTGTTTCCCTGTACTTTCCCCCCCGCCTACGTGGACTCGACTTTGGCTTCATGTCGGCGCCCTCGTCCCGCCCCCTAATTCCGCCGCCAATCATTACCTAGTCCAACGTGGCCGCAACCGCCGATCAAATAAGATTATTCCTCTGCCTCTTCGAACACTTGGATGCATTCAAGGCTGCATCCGTCTTCATTCTCGATTTCCACTCCAGTTCCACCCAAGAGCTAGCGCTGCCTTTCCCATGATCGTCCTGGATGGCGTATAGATCCTCGGTCTCGACATTTCCCTCGCTCTCCCATCTGTCGACGTAACGAGACTACCAGCATTCCGATTGAAATAAGCTCGAAATCGCTGCCCTAATTCCTGTCATTCGCATCTATCGATCCCTCCCTGTGGGGCGCAGAAACCACTGAATTCCTCAAACAAAGGTTGCTTCCATTGTTTTCTTTTTTCTCTTCTCCTTTTCGAAGGGTGTGACGGAAGATTGAGACAAGGTGGCTTCAGATCAAGCGCATTTATTGGGTCCTGAGGAGACCCGGGATTCCGAGCCGGTCCTCGATTCCCACGACTTCGATGACGATATGTCCATGAATCGTCCCCCCATGCACCGACCGACCGACGGTCGGTCCCACCAGCCGCTGTTGAAAGAGGAACGGCGAGGACGAACGTCCTTCGGGAACGGTGACGCCGAAGGCAGGCCTATGCTTCACCACACCCGCCGGCCCACGATCCGAGATAAGAGCCCCGAACATGACGCCGAGCAGGCCACTCGCAAGAAGTACATGATCGCGTCCGGTTTCTTGCTGCTGAGTCTGGCCAGTTTCGTCGTGCAGACCGAGACCGCCGTGTACATCCAGCATGAGCTGCATTGGGATAAGCCGTACTGCATGCTGTAAGTTTGGCTCGCAGGTTGTGGATTTCGGGAGATTTATTCGGTTGACCACTTTTCTTCTTACATAGGTATTTGACGCACGGTTCCTGGTCCCTCCTGTGGCCCGCTCAACTCCTCATCCTTCGCATCCAGAAACGGAAGCTCTCGTGGAGTGCGTTCTGGCGACGCCATGTCTTTCTTCTCCGGACGACGGCGCAAATGGTGGAATCGCAGGACCAGCATCTCTCCAACTCGCGTGTGCACAACCGGTCGCCCGTTCGCTACATGATCAAGACCACCGCTTTTGTCACGACGGCCCTCACCATCGCCGGCGGGTCCTGGTACGTCGCCGTCAACATGACGACGGCCAGTGACCTGACTGCGATCTACAATTGCTCCGCCTTCTTCGCCTACGCTTTCTCCATCCCGCTGCTCAAGGATAAACTGCGATTCGACAAGGTGTTTGCCGTGGTGGTCGCCATTGTGGGTGTCCTGGTCGTCGCCTATGGAGATCGGGACGAAGGTAAGAAGACGGCCGACGGCACGGTGGGCAAGGGCAGCGACGAGGCGGAACACCGACTCGTGGGCAACATCGTCATCGGCATCGGCAGCGTGCTCTACGGTCTGTACGAAGTGTTGTATAAGCGATTTGCCTGTCCGCCGGAGGGTACCAGCGCCGGCCGGAGTATGATCTTTGCCAACACCTTTGGCAGTCTGATCGGACTGTTCACTCTGCTGGTCCTCTGGGTCCCTCTGCCCATCTTACACATCCTCGGCTGGGAAACCTTCCGATGGCCCACCGGCGAAGCCGCGTGGATGCTGATGATCTCCGTCGTCGCCAATGCTAGTAAGTCTTCCTGTGCCTTATCTAGAATCCCTGTAAAACCTTGCCCCAAACCACAGCAAAAACCCATATCCCGTAATCTGAGCTTAACCCACAACCCTCTTAACTTGTAAACCATAAACAACCAAAGAAACAATAGCTGACCATCTGATCCGCCTCGTTTCTCCAGCATTCTCCGGCTCCTTCCTAGTCCTTATTTCCCTCACTTCGCCCGTCCTCTCCTCCGTCGCCGCCCTCCTGACCATCTTCCTCGTGGCCATCGTCGACTGGCTTCGCACCGGCCACTCGCTCTCCCTGGCCTCCATCATCGGCGGCGTCCTCATCATGGTCGCGTTCTTCCTTCTCAGCTGGAGCACCTATCGCGAGATGAACGAGGAGCGGAAAAAGCGACTCGAAAATGAGGAAATCGAGTCCGATAGCGACGACTAGATTCCTTGTCTTTTATATCTTCGACATCTATAACTCACCTATCTCCCTTATCCACTGCACTATTTCACTAGATTCCAGTTCGTGTCTTTTCTGGTGGATTATTGGTTCATTATTCATCGTCTTATATCTCTTTTCATTTTTTTGTCATAACTCATTCATCGGCATTTGATATGTATTCATTCATGGTTGGCTGGTTGGTGTGTAGGTAGTTCAGGTGCCTAGTGTATAGACTGGTGTTTTTTTTTTGTCTTTTCAAGTGGTCGGTCGGTCGATCAGTTTTTATAGACTATCGGTGGTTATATTCTGTTTTGTTCACATCATCTCCTGACTCTCCTTCGTTGTATATTCTATTTTGTTTCATTTCAATGGGATTCTCTTATTTCCGGGGTCTGGGTGTCAGAAAGTGGGTCATCGGCTATAGAGTACTTGCATAGAGGGTCCGCATCTTGCATTATGTATGCTTGGGAAGACGTGGTAATACAATCGGGGTTGTTTTCTATGTACTAGCTACATGACCATCAAGCAAGAGTAAACAGAAGTAGGTGGATGTCTAGTCCTATGTATGTACGACGCATCACGATATCAAATCCAGACTCGGGGACGGGCCAGGAGCGGTTAGATTGTTGGTGCTGGCTGGTGCTGTAGAGATTGATGTCGACTTTGTAGTTTCTACCCGGTAAGAGTGAGATGATAAGGCGAGAGAGCAAGGGTAAAAGGACAAGGAGAGTAAGATCGGGGCACCAAGGTTGCTCAAGCAGAAAAGAGTATCGGATAGAATCAGATGTGAGAGATAATATAATATAAACAGACAGATAGAAAAAGGGTCGTAGTTTTGTTCTTTTCTTATCTGGGGCCGAGCTTGGCCAGGGCACGAGCACCCTCTTCCTCCCATTCTTGCTTGGTAACCCACATGTCCTCCTTGTCGGCGATCTAATGAGATATGGTTGTTAGTGGTTGGAACGCCGAGAGAGATGAGAGCACAATATGAAGGGAAACGTACCAGGTTGGCCAGCACGGCACCACCCAAGAACACCATGTGTCTCCGTCGGGGCGGGTCTTCGATGCGGACCTTGAATTTCTACAATCGGTGTCAGTACACTCCATAGCACATATCGGACAGTTGTGATAGCACATACGTTCAGTCTCTCCGGGTTCCCTTGCAGCACGCGGGTCAACCACAGCTGCTTCAGCTCCTTCTCCAACCGCGAGGGCAGACCGGGGTACATGCTGCTTCCTCCACTGAGCACGATGGCCTTGTACAAGCTGGAACGGACGTCCACGTCGGCGCCCTGGATGGTGTTGAAGAGCATCTCGGCAATACCGGGCTGGTCCACGTCCACCAGGTGCGGCTGGAAGAGGCACTCCGGGGCTTCAAATCGCTCGCTACCGACACGGATCACCCGTCCGTCGGGCAGGGTGTAGGACTCCACCAAGACCGTCGTATCCTCCGACAATTTCTTGTCCAACTCCAGGTCGTAGGAAACGTAGGCGAGCTTCTCCTTGATCTGACGCACCGTCTCGAAGTCGGCCGTACGGTTCAAAGCGTAGCCCCGGCGGAGGAGCAGGGCAATCAGGTTCCGGGTAACGTCCCGACCCGCGACATCCAGTCGGCGGATGTGGTGGTTCAGAACCGTCGATTCGTAGACCGGGATAATATGGGTGACACCGTCACCGGAGTCCACGACAACACCGCTGCTGAGACCTTAAATGAAACGAAGGAGAATCAGCACCGACAGCTCACCTTCCCGCCTGGGACCCGTACGGGCCGAAAGAAGATCTCACCTTGGGCATACAACGCAAGCACAGCTTGAATCGCAACGTAAACACCGCCGAAGTTGTAGTTTTCCAGCATCACCTCGCACATCTGTTCGCGGTTCTTCAGGGGGTTCATGGGGGGTTCGGTGAGGAGGATTTTGCGACCGGTCGGGTCGATGCCCATTTTCTCGTAGAAGGTGTAGTTCCATAGGTGTTGCATATCGTCCCATTTCTTCACGATACCATTTTCCATCTGTCCACCGGATTGCGCATTAACAACACGTCGGGGGTTGGATTTCCACAGCCGGGTCGGGCAGAGTGGGGGGCTACGCAGGGAAACATCAGAGACGTACAGGATAGCTGATCTGGAGCATCGATCGGGCAGCAGCAGCCTCATCTCCGCACATGATATCCTTGACGACAATATCCCCGGCCTGCTCTTCAGTTCGGAGGATAGGTCGCCCCACTATTGAGGGGAACTGGTGCTCTGGGAAGTTCTATCGCAGCGGCAGACGGTCGTTAGTGGATGGCGGAGTCTTGTCATCGAGGGTCTCGAGGTGTAAGCATACCTGCGCAGCATATCCGACCTTGAGGAAACCGGTTCCTCCGTCGAGCACTGGAGACGGGGGTTAGTTGGTTGACTGACGGGGAGCTGGGGGGAACATGGGGAAGGAGCTTACCAATGGGCATGTCCGCCATGGTGGAAGAGGGAAGCAAGGAGGCAGAGGATAATCAAGAGGACGATCGATCAATTCCGGCAAAACGAAGCAACGCGACCATGGAGGGAGGGACGCAGTATGAGGAGAGACGAGATATGACGAGGGGAGAAGGAGAAGGAGGTGTGGCTCTCCGCCCGATCGGGTGTCGTTGCCCCAGGCAGGCACGGGGAGGCGGAGCCGCATCATCAGCCACGTTTGTCTCTCTTTCTCTCCCCCTTCGGTGGTATCATCTAAATCCTAAACCAGCTAATGTGATCTGTCACGCCTGAGGACATCCTCGAAGCTCACTCAGAGCGACTTGGCTCCCGCCCCCTTGCCAATGACGTAGTATCGGTGCTCCCCTTGAAAGCTCCAGTTCCAGCGGCACAATCTCATTGTCCAAGACCGAGAGAGGCAAAGGATAGACCATCTAAATAGCGTGAATCGGCATCAAACACTGTCTAAATATCATAAACTGAATAGTAAACCGGTCCATCGCCGTTGTCCGCCCGACATCGGGCCCGCCCGGCGGGAGAGCCGAGTATAAGATAAGACCGATCCCTCGTAACAACCTCATAAACAACTACTCAACTCCCGTTCCTCCATTCCCCTTAGGTCCATCCCGGACGCCAAAATGACTCGCATCGGCTGGGTAGGCTCTCTGCAGCTCTTCCATGTCAATCTCCAGGCCTTCGCTCTGTACTAACTCCAACCAAACAGTATGGCCTAGGCTCCATGGGCCTAGCCATGGCCACCAATCTCCAACGACACCTGGCGACCAAGAACGCCCTGAACCTCGTCTACTCGAACCGGACCATGGCCCGTGGGGATCCGTTGAAATCCCTCGGTGCCACGCCGGAGTCGGATTTCCAGAAACTAGTCGCCCAATGCGGCATCATCTTCACCATGGTCTCGAACGATTCGGTCCTGCAACACCTGGTCTCCTCGGCGCTCTCGTCCGGTCAGTCTCTCCGTGACAAGATCTTCGTGGACTGCTCGACCGTGCATCCGGAGACCGTGGGCCTCACCGTCGCCAAGCTCAAGGAGAAGCAGGCGTCCTTTCTAGCGGCGCCCGTCTTCGGTGGGAACCCGATCGCCGTGGACGGCAAACTGGTGTTTGCCATTGCCGGGCCGCAGAAGGCGTCGCAGGTCGTGAAGCCCTTGATCCAGGACGTGATGGGCCGGAAGGTGATCGACTGTGGGGAGGACGCGACGAAGTCGTCGCTTCTGAAGATTGCTGGGTATGTGTTTATTTGAGCTACGGGTTCTTTGGTGGCTCGATTGGGAGGGCTGAGTTGCTAATATTATCATAGGAATATCGTTACCGTTAATATGATGGAGGCCGTAGGAGAAGCTCAGGTCTTTGCCGAGCAGACCGGTCTTGGAACCGGTCCTATGGAGGAACTCATTGGTGAGGCTTTTGGTCCGGTTGCCGGGGGTTACTCGAAGAGGTGAGTGCGATCTTCTTAATATATCGGTGGCATTAGGTCTAATGAATTGTCCATAGACTAACTACTGGCGTTTATGCGCCGCCTTTGGGTTCTCGGCCTGGATTCGGCGTATCTCTGGCCATCAAGGATGCTAACCACGCCATGGCCATGGCTAAAGACCATAAAGTGGAGCTGCCAGGCCTCGAGGTGGCGCAAGAGAACATGGTGGCCGCTCGGGAGTATGCAGGAGAGTGCCTGGATAGCAGCTCCATGTATGGAGTGCTGCGTCAAATGGCTGGATTGGAGTTCTGGAACGAGAAGAGCCGGAAGGGTGGCTCTTAATGCGATATAGATTTTGTATTGTACAAGGGATTAATGTACTGTACATCATAGATATGCTGAGCATATGCAATGGGCTATGGGGGTATAGTATCTCCGTATAAGGGTCATCTCTTCAGTTGGACCGTCAGGTATTCTAGCCTCTTTACTCGCCGCTTACAGAAGACTTTCTACGCGGGAGACTCGCAGCATATAAATAAACGGCCTGACTTGTTGGCTCGCCATAAGCCTGGTTCATCCCGGAATCTGTAGAAAGCACGCGAGAACCCACACCAATGTAACATGTGAAGGAGACGACGAATACACAAGGGCTTAAAGGCGAAGGAAATACAAGGACCCCGAGCTTTTGGTTTGAGACGCCTGTTTGTTTGTTTGTTTGTTTGTTTTTCTAGTCCTTTTGTGGAGGGGAATTCAAAATGCACCTATCCAAGTATTAAATATGAGAATCGTCCACCAAGACCCCCCATCAGGGCATGGCCTTGATTTTGGTGGTATCAACAAGGGACGGATAGGCCTCGACAAAGGCCGGTCCCAGCGTCCAGTTACTGAGATTGCGGAAATGCCGTTCGAAGACGGGGTTGATGATCAATTCGTCACAATCTCCCGTCGACAGCAGACAATCGGTCGCCTCATACGGCCAATTGACCGATAGTGTGCGCGTAAATGGGATAAACCAATTTTCAAATGGGAAATCCCGGTAGGACATCACCACACGGTCGCGCATCTGCGGCCAGGGCAGGTAGTCAATCCAGGCAGGATGCGGAGTGAACAGCTGCGATGGACGAGGGGTCAGCCAGTGCGGCACGCGATCGTAGTTCTCCGGGGTTGGGTAGATCTGCCATCGCATGAGAATGAACATGAGATACAGGACGGCCACCTGTTCCGGCAACGACGAGATGTCCGGGAACGTGCGTAGAATGTCCGTGAAAACCTTGGAGAGCGGATGGGAATACACGCTCTTTTCCGGATTCAGCAGCGATGAGACGCTGGGATAAGGCGGCCCTACCAGCTTCTGTTTGGGGACCCCCTGTGCTGCCTGCTGTTGACGATGGTGAAGAAAATCCAGCAAAATGGCATCCAACGTGCAGGTCGGAGCAATGTTCCGGATCGGGGTAAGGTGTGCAGGAAGCGTCTGATCCCCCATGGGCCCAGTATTGTGCGGGGACGAATAGACAGCAGGCGCGCTCAACGGGGGCACGCGGAGGTTGTCCGAGGTACGGCGGAAGCCCTCCACTCTGGGAACCTGTTGCGATGCATCGAGTAGGAAGTTGAAACCCATCCGCTCATCGCTTCCAAAATCCAATCCATGGGCCAGATTATGGCGTTGGTAGTCGAAGGCAATGCGAAACGAAGTAGACGATCCGGTCGCGCTGTCCCGTCGAAGTCCGCCGAACGTGGGCGCCGAATGGGTGGAGGAGGGGGTATCAACACTGGCAATGGATTCGGAGTACTGCTGCTCCGTTGACTTAGGGTTACTGGCGGGATGGTTGGATTCCAAGAAAGGTAGAGTGGTAGAAAGGGGGGGGATCGACTTTGTGCCACCAGACTGAGTCGAGGAAGGTGGAGGATCTAAAAATTGTTCTTAGTTTCAACCGCGCCAATGATTCACACCCAAGTGGTCTCCGAGTACAAGCAAACAAGGAGAGTGAAGAGAAAAGAAGATGAAAAAAAGGATGAAAAAAATCGGACAATCCAAATGGGAAGGCAAGGAAAGAAGAGCGACGAATAAAAGGGGGACTATGTCAAAAAAAAAAAAAAAAAAAAAAAAAAAAAAAAAAAAAAGGCAGGTCTTACTTGAAGGGTCCTGTCTCCCAACCAGTGGCTGGATAATATCCATGATCGATTTCAACCCCTGCTTGATCTCCCGATTTTCCGCCTGAATGGCTTCATTCTGTTTGATGGCCGCCTGGAGGTCGAGGAAAGGCTTCTGGGAGGAAAGATCGCGCACGCGCTGCTCGAGGGAATCGATGTGAGTCTTGGTCCGCTCTCGGATGGCTCGCTGAGCCTGACGATCGTTGGCGCGCTTCTTTGCCAATTGCTCCGGGGTAAGGTTGGCAACGCCTCGAGCCGACGTGCTGTTCAGCTTGCGTTTCCGCCCCGCGGGCCCGCCATTATCGGACGCCGGTGTTTCTGCATCTGCAGAGGTCCGACCGGTCGGGGTGGGAGAATCCTCCAGCTTCACGTCGTCGGGATCTTGGCTCATGGACGAAGACTCCATCGCCGGAGATGGCGCCACATCGTTCAGAGGAGGCAGGCGATTGGCCATTGCCTCACTCGCTGTGTTATCGAATCGTAACGGCCATCCAATACAGCCGGAAAAGCGGAGACAAAGTGACGGGGGCGGGGAGCCAGGAGCAGACCTGGTCAGCAAACCGAGCTGGAGTTCCGCATGGATGAAAATGGGAGAGAAGGGGAGAGAAGAGGAATACGAGGGAGAGAAAAGGAGGAGCGAGGCGAAGCGAAGAGAAGAGGAGGTTTCGGAATGGACGCAAGTGACAGTTCTGGAACAAGTGGAGTCCCGCCGAACTTAATCCTGGCCCATCACATGTTCAGGGTCTGCAGGAGTGTATAAAACAGGTAGAGATGAGGCCGAAGAGTCGCTTCGCCTCGCCGTTATATTCTGCTGGCCGAGGCCCAGGAATTAAAAATAGTCCAATGTAGTCCCAGATCTCCACCCCAAAAAACAATGTAAACGCCCGGAAGCCCTGGAATCGGCCAGCAACTGCATTTCCGATCCGCCCCCATGAAACTATTTCTCACCCGAGGATTCCGCTGGGAAACATGCTGAATGGCATGTACATTGCATTCAAGAATGCAGGAAGACGTGGAGCATTATAGACACGTAGGACCGTCGTAAGAAGAGCGCTGTTTTAAGACGACACGGCCAAAAATAACTAGACATGAAGAAGACAGACACGAAGAGAAAGGAAAAGAAAAGAAAAGAAAGAAAAAAAAGAAGATATTCACTGGATCATGTGGCCCATTTTGGAAATCTGTCCCATCATCTCTGTTAGCGACCTGCCCATCAAGCGTCAAGAAATAGAACAGAAACCAACTCACCTTCGTTCTTAAATACCCCTCGACTTCCGAGCTTTTAATGCCCATCTTTCCGCCCGATCGCCATGCCAGTGGGATCATCGGAACTCGCTCCTTCACAACCACTTCTCGGTTCGGCCCTTCCACGGCTCGCACCTTATCCGGGTTGTTCGTCAACAACCGAATTCCATGGGGGTTTGAGTCAACCCCGAGGCCGAGGTCCGCCAGCATCGCCGTCGCCAGACCGTAGCTCCGGGCATCGGCCGGATGGCGAAGCAGCAAGTTCGCCTCGACGGTGTCAGATCCCAGATCTTGAAGGTTATAAGCCTTTAGCTTCTCTCCCAACCCAATGCCACGACCCTCCTGCCGTAGATAAACAATCACACCGCCGGATGCATTCGAAGGAACGGTGAGGGCCTGCTGGGAAGCGACCACGGCCAGCGTCTCCATCGGCAAGGACATCAGCCGCGCGGCCTCGTCCAGCTGCTCACCACAGTCGCACCGGGCCGACCACGCCGTCTCGCCGGTATAGCACTCGGAGTGGATTCTCACCAGCGGTGCTTGGCTGGGGCTGCTTGGGGGGACCTCGGATTGTTCCGATACGGGCCCGTCGGTGGGAGCAGCCTGTGGACTATCGTACCAACTGCTCACCCGCCCGGGGTGAAGGGTCCCAACATATGCCCCGCGAATCATGCGGTCCATCTCGGTCTCCCCCGGGCGCACTTGGTCCAGACTTCGACTTCGGATAGTGTTTCCGAACACAATGGCCAAATGCTCCTTGTTGTCCAAATCATTGTGGTAGAGGTGAAGAAACATCTCGGCGCCATTGGTGGTGGGGATGCGAGCGCGAACGATACATTCGACGTTCGGTAGACAGGACAGCAGTTTAGGGGGTTTGGAGATCGACGTCGACTGTGGTAACTGGGCTTGTTGCAGGAGTTGCGCCGTGTTCAGCGTGCCTCCCGGCGTTGCCGGAGGGGTAAAGGACGGTGACAAGAGCGATGCCGGCACGCCGGGCGTGACGTCGCCTGGGCCATGCTCGGCATTGGCAGATTGGGCATCCGCACGAAGCTCGTCTATGCGATTGTTCGGCGCCGGGGCAGCGGCGGCTGTAGATTCTAGCGAGATATCATCGACGGGCTCGGAGGGCGTCTGGGCGGCGAAGTAGGGCGAGGCGTGCGAAGGCAAATTCGCCATTGCGGAGGATGGAGGGGGGATGAGGGGGGAGAAGCAATCCAAAACAGTCTAGAACAGCAACTAAGCAGGGTTCATCGAGAACCCACAAGCATTGTAGGTCGGGAGATACTCAACACCACAGATTGCACCAGGATGAAGGTCACAAAACTTCAAGAATCCAACAGTATAGCAGCGATGCAGGGGAACTGCAAATGACGGCGGGCGAATCTCTCGGACTCTCGGGACGGGCGGGGGACGGCTGAGTCAGCCGCCGTGGTCGCCTTAGTCACGCTTGAGTCACGCGTCTAGCAGCTTCTGCGGTCTCGCCATTTTCATTTCTAATCCTCATCACATAACTATGAGTAAGGTGGTTGCACGATGGATGTATATGCATCAGGGCTTCCGTAGTTCATCATTGTGATCATAGTGAATGAACATGATTTCACCACCCTCGCTCCACGCCACCACGACCACTCCGAGGCAAATGGCCCGCACGTCGAAGCTTGTTTATGTCTCGAGTATCGCTCAAGTATTGATCTCGACGGTTACTAAAAACCGCACGGGAAGATAGACTCGCGGGTACTTCACCGGTACCCTCCATCGCAACCGCAAGGGACGGGTCGCACAGAACCCTAATCACTTAAAAATCAGGCTTACGCCTTGGTGTCCCCAAAGTCAGATCAATTGCCAAATCGATCAGGTCCCAACATTCAGAAAATGACATAAATGCCGCGGTTGCTGCCCGCGTATCCGTCGTATCTCATGTGAAGTGGATACAGGATCGACATCGTCGCCTCGCGCACCCCCCATGGGGTTGGGAACCGGGAGGGGAAATAAAGCTGGGTGACTTCTTGCTGAATGTCAGCCAGTCGTGCCAAAAATTCCCCGATCATTTCGTTTTTCTTCTGTGCGGCCTTTGCGATGTGAGGGAAGTAGAACGGGTGGTTCCACTGGCATCATTTACCACGCATGATATATTCAGTCCCATTTGAGATCGTGCTCTTCGACCTAGTAACCTATTGTTAACTGTATTCCTCGGCTGGACCGTTGGAAAGCAACAAGTATTCCAAACAGAAGATGTCCAAGGCGGATATAGAGCAGAGCTCGGATATATCAGAAAGCGATGGCACGTCCACACCGGTCAAGCCCACTCTCTTCCAGCGATGGAAGGCCCATATGAAGAAATGGTGGTGGCTTTACCTGATCATCTTCTGCATTATTGTACTGGTGACTGTCCTGCCCATGTGAGCACCGTTCCATCGAATCTCGACGAGTTACGCTGATCAAGATATGTACAAGTATATACGTGGGAGTCCCCAACTTCGCCAATCAGTATATCAATGACCATAACTTCGATACTTCGGGCTTAACCATCACAGACCCCACTCCGGACTCGTTCCATATCCAACAATCCCAAGAATTCCAAGTAGGGGGTGGATTCAGTGGCAGTGGGCGTCTTTCTCCGTTCAATGCATCGCTCAGTGCCCCCGGATCGGACAGAAGTTTTGCCACTTTCGAGGTCCCAGAGGTCGAATTCAGCAACGGTGCCGTGCTCGACATCGACCAGGATCTGCACCTTTCTTGCGTCAGTTGCTTTTCGCAGTTGGCAGCGTCTGCAGTCTCGAGTGCGGACTTCGGCATTCTCATTACCGGAAAACCAGACCTCGAGATCAAGGGTCTTCCGACGGCTCATCTGGATATCCATAAGAACATGAAGATGCAAGGTACATCCTACACTCCATTCTATCACGCTTATCTGAATGCTTTATGTTCCAAGAACGGACTAACTAACTCGACCGAAACAGGCTACAACGCCCAGGGTAATTCCATTCTCACCAACCGTCTCTAACCGAGTATATGTATACTAAGAAACATCACCAGAATTTCTCAACCGCGACGGCGCCTTCAACGTAACGGATATAAATATCCTCGACCCCCCGGTAAACGGCTACAACGTGAACGCCACCGTAGCCTTCAAAAACCCAACTCCCTTCAACGTCCAAGTGGTTTGTCACTCTTCCCACTCTTCCTACCCATTTCACAAAACCACACAGCACAACCAACCCTCCTAACCTTCATCGAATTATCTTCCCGCAGGGCTCCGTCGGCTTCAATCTCACCATAGGTGATAACGACCTTGGCTACATCGACATCCCCGATCTAACCCTGCGGCGTGATCTCACCAACACCGATATCCTGGGAAACATCAGCATCAAGACCCTCGTGCGTGAGGGCATATGGAAATCGAGCACCGAGGAGCTTGGCAAGGTGACGATCGGGATGCGCGGGAATCGGTGCGTGTATGACGGCAAGGAGATTCCGTATTTCACGTCGGCTTTCAGGGCTGTTAACGTGTCGCTGGAGGTGGATTTGATGAAATATGCGAAATATTTATTGTGACATCGATGTGAATGCATCGGGGGAGTACATCATGATAGAACATTCGTCCAATAGAGCTTACTCGAGATGCAATCCAGATCGATTGGTTGCAAGGCGCTGTGAAGTCTTACAGAAATTGCCCCAGACTTTGTCCAGTGACCATAGACAGTTAAATCGAAGAGTTCTGCTACCCCAGAAAGATAAAATCAAGAAAAAAAAAAAAGAAAATTAACCTAGAGCAATACAGATGGCGAAACGTGTAAATCCTGTAAATCCTACAATCTATGATCCAAACGCCTCGCTTCTGATCGAGCAGTGCATTCCCAATCGGCAGCAAAATAATATCGCCCAACTCAAACTCCAAAACCCCTTAACAATGACATAAAACCGCTGCGGCCCAAAGGGTATCATGTTCTCCGGCCGGGCCAGAAATGTTGGTCCCTGAAGTGGAGGCTGTTTTGTAGACTGTTCTTCGAAAGGCTGTCTCATTTACCGGGGATGTCCAGGACAAATCGACGGTCAACTTCCATTTCCTTGTCGTCCTCCTCGCCTTCGAACTTGAGACGGTAGGTGTCCTTTCTGGACCCCATCACCTCCGCACGGTAGAACGTGGTCGTATCAGGGTACCGCGCCAGAACCTGTTTGCCTACGCCGAAGGAGGGCAACGTAGTCCCAACTCTCGGAATGGGGATCAGAGAAACGGCATTGGTTTTGTAGACAGCGCCCTGCTCGCCGTTCTCGTTCGGCTCAGGGTCCTGGACATCATACCTTGAAAGACGTACTCGGTCAATTACTTGGCAGATTTAGACTGGGGAGTCATCATACCGTTTTTTATTTCCCTCGCCCGTGATAGACTTGATAATGCACTGGATGCCCTCGCCTTCCACGCCTTGTTTGTTTTTGTTATGCTTGAAGACCACTTCGGCGCCGATAGTCAGTTGGCCCGTGCGTTCTGCCACCATGCCCTTGGTACTCTCCGCCCCTTCTTCAACCTTGACGTGCACACCTTCTCGGCTTTCCCGGCCATCGCGAGCCTGCGCACTGGAGACGCTGGTGCTGCGCTGAACGCCGCCCTTGCGGTTCGCCTTATCTGAAAAAGACGGACCCGACGGACCAGGAGAGTCGGTGGCAGATCCGTCAACATCGTTCCTCTTCTTGCGAGACTTGCCGAGAGCAGACGCGCGGTTGAGCGGCGCCTCCATCTCCGACGCCTGACGGAGAGCGGTCAACAGACCCAGATTCTTGACCACGTCACTTGGCTCATCCAGGAGGATAGCTCGTTCCTCTTCGCAGAGCTTGGCCATCTGACGATAGAGAGCATCCAGTTGGTTATGCTCGCTAAGTGTGGGCTCTGTGATCCAAGGTTAGTGCACGTTCAACTTTTACACATGGCCCATTCCTTATGTTGCGATGATGATATGATCAAGGCCATCCACCCGATACGATTAGACGCAACATGGGTTTCTTGTCCTTGGCATCACGTGGCTAAGCAAGGCAGAGGATTGTACTTACTCCCACCGTCTTTTCCGATCTTCTCGTTCAGCGTGTGAATCTGCTCGCCGATGACCTTTTGCTTGTCATTCTTCTCCTTGGCCTTGCGCAGGTCCTGTAGAATCTTGTTCCACATGTCTGTTTCTTCGTTGGCTGCCTGGCCATTGTCTCTGGGCATCGGAGGGCCCCGGGGACGATTGCGCGACATCTTGGAAGACGACGTCTGAAGCTCTTGGGGGACCACTGCCCTATCCTGCCTCTTGGGCTGCACCTTCTTTCTGCCCTTGGCCGGGGTTGCACCCGAGGGTTTGGCTTTCTCCAGTTCCAAGGCCTCCCACTCAAAGGCGGAGACAAACTCCTGGTTGGCGGTACTGCGCGTGCCACGGGCTGCACCCTGACGGAGAGAATGCGGCGTAAGAATAGCACCACCGGCCTGCGCCTTCTGGGGAGTGGCAGACGAGGGGAGAGTCTGGAAGGGCGACGATGATGATTGTTGACGAGAGGCGCGGACGGTCTTGGCGGGCGTCTCGCGGCTGTCGGGAACGCGCTTGCTGCCCCACGGGACGTGCTGATTGGAGGACTCCATTTCCGTCACGGGGTCGGCAGCGGAAGGCCCAAAGCGGCCTAGTGCGGGTCGGATGGGATTCGGAGGGGCAGAAAGTGGGAAAGTGGGACTGGAGTCCGTCGTCAACCTGCTCGTCTGTGGATTCCAGAGGAAAAGAACTCAGGAAGCGAGAAAAGTCGGAGCGAGAGAAGCGAGAGAAGCGAGAGAAGACCTGCCAAAGCTGAGCCCTGCCGGCAAAATCCCTCGTTCCCCCAGTGAATCCTGGATAGCTTCGTTGTTTGCTCAGTCTTCACTTTGACTTCACTTCTGACCGCCCGGGGAAAGAATGCGGGTGCCCTTGTTTCGACTCCAGTGTGGTGAGTGTGGATGTGGTCTGGGGTCAGATTCATGTTCTCAGAGAGGCTGACCATCTGGGGGTGTGCGCAGGAGTCAACAGCTACGACTGGGGTAGGATCAGGCAATCCCCTGCGAAGCTACGGTGAATCCTGTGCTGAACGTCAGTTTAGGAAAGGTCGGCCATGACTCTGCCGCCGCCAAATACGCAGCGACCACCGCTGCTCCTGACTTCTCGGTAGAGGCCGAGAAGCCATACGCCGAAGTCAGTTCTTGTCGGAGCCTGCCTCTGACCACCGGTCCCATGCTAATCCCTATGACGTAGCTATGGATGGGCACGCATCCCTCCCTCCCTTCGAAAGACCTCGAGACGCAGCGGTCCTTGCTCGATCTCGTGCAGGATAACCAGGCTTTGATGTCTACGGAGATCACGGAACGATATGGTGGAAAGCTCCCGTTCCTGTTCAAGGTGCTGTCGATCCGGAAAGCTCTCAGTATCCAGGCCCACCCGAACAAGAAGCTGGCGGAGAAGCTCCATGCCCGGGATTCCCAGAACTATCCCGGTAAGGATACACAATATAACGAGCGATCCTGGCGTCGGCTAACCGTCTCGTGCAGATGACAACCACAAGCCCGAAATGACCATCGCCATTACGCCGTTCGAAGGGCTGTGTGGCTTCCGTCCGTTGGCCGAGATTGCCCATTTCCTCAACGCCGTCGCACCCCTGCGTCAACTGGTCGGCGAGGATGCGGCCAGCCACTTTGAAAGTACGATCAAGGGCTCGGAGAACTCGGAGGATCCTGCAGTGACACAAAAGAACAAGGAGGCTTTGCGGGCGGCGTTCACATCTCTCATGCAGTCATCGCCCGAGAGTATCGAAGCCGCCACCAAGGAACTCATCGCGGCGGCCCAGGACTCTCCCGATAGCTTTGGCACTTCCACCAGCACGCCTGATACCGACCCGAGCAGCCCGGCCGAGCTGGCCGCCATCATCACGCGCCTGAACGGACAGTTCCCCAACGACATCGGCCTGTTCGTGTTCTTCTTCCTCAACTTCGTCACGCTGTCCCCCGGAGAGGCCATGTTCCTGAAGGCGGACGACATCCACGCCTATATCTCCGGAGACATCATCGAGTGCATGGCGTCTTCCGACAATGTGGTGCGGGCGGGCTTCACCCCCAAATTCAAGGATGTCAGCACGCTCACCGACATGTTGACGTATTCCTACGCGCCCATCGAGGAGCAGAAGTTGGAGCCAGCCGACTATCCGTTCGTCATCCTCAATGTTCCGGCGTATTCCAGCGGCTCGTCCAGCTTGCTCTACGACCCTCCCATCGAGGAGTTCAGCGTGGTGAAGACGGAGCTGAAGCGCATTGGCGCCAAGGCCACCTTTGACGGTCTGGCCGGGCCTAGCATTATCATCTGCACGGGCGGCACCGGAAAGATTACGGTTGGCCACAAGACGGAGGAGGTCAAGGAGGGATATGTGTACTTCGTGGGCGCCACGGCCGAGTGCATTATCGAGAGCACCGAGGAGGGCGATTTCACCACCTTCAAGGCGTTCTGCGATCTGACGGGCAAGGAGGACATGGTCAACGGTCACTAATCTTGTGCATAAGACGCCACCAAATGAAGCTAAAGAATCAGCAGATGCAAATATAATGGACCCCTGCAATGTTTCTGCAGTTAATCTTATTTCCGCCCCAGCCGAGGCACCTACTAAGACTGAAGCGGGGAACTCCCCGGTCTATACTCTTTCTTATCTCACCCTGCATTCCCTCCCCCTAATCCTCTCTCTTCTCTCTTTTTTCTCTTTTTTTTTTTTTTTTTTTCTTCCTCATCAGAGCTGACCTGTCAGCCTCCCTTCATCCTCGCGATGACCACCAAATCTCTCTCGCTCTCCCTCTGGGAAAGAGTCGATCTCTTCATTTCACAGCTCTCCGCCTTTGGATCGGTTCTGTGCCGCGCCCTCACCGGGGTCTTTCGCGGTCAATCTGGCGCAAAGACTTACAAGCTTCATGTCGGCAATTCGCTAATCAGAGCATTCGGCAGCCGGTTGAGCCCCAGACAGTTTCAGTACGATATGTCCAGTAGTTTCCCACCACACTAGCAGTGACTTCGATGCTAACCGGTCCTGTATAGACATGTTTATCCGCCCACCAAATCCGCCTACGAGACCTTCATGAAATCCAAAGGCATTGAGCCCGAATCCGTGACTCTTAATGACGGCGCCACAGCCCATTGGATCGGGAATAAGAACGCGAAGAACGTGGTGGTCTATTATCATGGTGGAGCATTCCTCTCCTTCGCCCTTCCCATCGTCAATGAAACCAAAATCGCATCCATCCGTCCACCCACCCCGAACTAAACTAATGAGACCAAACCCAAAGGTGGAGGCTTCGTTATCCCCGCCGCAGACGGCCACTTCGAATTCTTCACTTCCCTCGTCGCCCGCCTCAACGCCGCCAACCACGACGTCGCCATCTTCTTCCTCGCCTACACCCTCGCCCCGCAAGAAATCTACCCTGTCCAGCTGCGCCAATCCGCCGACGCCCTGCGCTACATCCTCACCGAGACCGGCCGCTCGCCCAGCAACGTAGTCGTGGGCGGCGACTCTGCCGGCGGAAACCTCGCCCTCGCCCTCCTGCTGCACCTCTCGCATCCCCACCCGGATATCGAGCCGCTCGGCCATGCGCTGTCTAGTCCCCTCGCGGGCGTCGTTGGCTTCGCGCCGTGGGTCGACTTCGGTGTCGACGGGCCCACCATCCAGCAGAACCGCGACAAGGATATGATCCCTGAGATTGCGCTGGTGAATTGGTCGCGAGAGTATCTGGGCGGGAAGGAAGGCGATGAGTGGAGTGAGCCGAACCGGGCGCCCGTCGAGTGGTGGCGAGATGCGCGGGAGAAGACGCAGCGGTTGTTGTTTTTGACTGGGAATGATGAGATCTTGTTCTCGGCTATTGATGCCTTCGTGAAGAAGGTGCAGGTATGCTCCCTCCTCCACGCACCCTAGCACTTGGTTCATTCCCCTGGAGGATATCGGTTATGGATGGTCATGGTTGTGATGGACCATCAGATGCATTGCTTGATTTGCTCACTGATTTATAGACGGTTGTGCCGGATGCCACTTATGTCGTTGGACATCGAGAAACCCACGTTGCACCGGTTTACAGCGGCCAGTTCCTCAACGAGGAGACGCAGCAAGGTAAGGCGCTGGAGAGCTGGTTGGCCGCTCTATTCTAGCGCAACAACATTGGAGTTCCTTGTTTCTCGTTTCTTCTTTTTTGGATTATCTCTGCCGATCACGATCTAGTTTATGATCTACAGCGCAATACCCAGCTCAGCAGGTCGCACGACGTTGGAAAGCGACAGAATGTGTAACAAGCTCAACAACCATGGTCGAGTCTCGTCTTAGTTTCTTTCTAGGTATCACAAATAATAACGTCTATTGGATGCAAGATACTCTTTCCACGGAGCTAGATAGAAAAGGAAAAGGAGAAGGAAAGGAAAAAGGCTTTGCAGATAATACCTGATAATACAATCGCTACGCCGTCGCATAAATTCATTGCACGATTAGAAAATGAAAACATCAGAGAAATCAAGACGACACGCGCGCCGAGTACTTCGCGGCAGCTGTGTCGAAGAAGTCGCTCTTCTCCTGGACATCGGCCAGGAGGGCGTGCGAGGGCTGGGCGTTTCGCAAACGTCTATAAAAAAAAAACGGAACAAGTTAGCTTGACCGACCCCTTGTCGAATGCAAATCAATCAAGGTATACGTACGCCTCCAGATCCTCCGTCGGCTTTCCAGCCAGCACATTCAACACCACCGTGTTGGCAATCAACTCGGCATCCTCGGGGTATTTCTCCAGCGCCGCCGTCAACGCGGACTCGGCCTCGGGCAATCGACCGAGATGAAGCTCCGCGACGGCCTGGCCGACGATCGAAAGGGGCGCGGACGTGCTCGGCGCCGAGGCCAATTCCTCGTAAACGTAAAAGGCAGACTGGTACTTCTCGCCGCCCTAAAGAACCATTAGCATCGCATAAAGAAACTAAGCAGGAGAGAGGGAAACGCACAACTCTCATTCCAACCCACGACTCAGCCAGATTGACCAGCAACGAATCCTGAGCCCAGCGCTTGGCAGTCTGAACTTCCTTGAGGGCGAGATCGGAGCGGTTCTGCTGCAGCTGGATCTGAACGATCAGAGCAACGCTAGAAAGGATACCACAATCAGCACGACGCCGAACAGCCATTGTGACGGAGCACCTACGCCTCCAGATTGCCCTGGTGCTTGGTCAGCAGGGCGAGGGCCTCGTCGCTCTTCCCCTGCGCCTGGAGCACCGTGCCACCGAGGACCTGGACGGTGGCATTGTCGGGGTAGTTCTCGGCGAGGTCCTGCACGAGCTGGGAGGCGGAGTCGAGGTCGCCGGCCGAGTGCTGGGCCAGGGCCTTGACGGCGGCCAGGTCGGGGGAGTCGTCTTCGGCGTCGACGGTGGCCAGGACCTGGGAGGACTGGCCGAGGGCGATTTGAGCGCGCAGCTGCAGGACGCGGGCGGGGAGGGCGTTCTCGGGGGAGAGGGCGGAAGTGTCGAAGTCGATCACTTCTTGGTATTGGCCTTGGTGGTAGGCATTGTGGATGTTGATGAGTTCTGGGGGGGGGGGGGGGGGTGCGGAGATGGCACAGGTCAGTCGACTGGAGAGGGGGAATTGGAGGCGGAGCGGGGGAGGGGAGGGGAGGAAAACGTACCGCCTTCCGCAGAGAATGGATCCATGGTGACTCGAGTCTTGAGATCAGGAATTGAGATGCAACGTGGAAAAGGAATGTTCCTCGGAGGACGAGATATACTCGAATACTAGACCTTCGACGGGCGGGAAGTCGTCACGTTGTCATTCCCAGGACGGCAGGCGGTAAGCAGGCAGCATCCGGAGTATAACAAGAGTATAACAATTCCCAAGGCATCGACGCTACAGTTGCTACAATCTTTACTTCTACTATTATGAGGATAATCTTGATACCAAGCTGGCTGTACAACGCCCGGATGGATGAGCGTTCCAGCCGCGTCTGTCATATTTATTAAAACAGGAAGAAGAAGGTAACGATAGACAGGTCCGAGCTAAGGACATCTTCAAGAAGCCTTGCAGACATCGGACAGGATTGAATCAATCGATAGAGCACACTGCTTCCTCGAGGAGCGGAGTGGCCTTTAATCCAGTCTCGTACATGAATTCCTCCACCATTTATACCCGATGATGCAACCAGTCCCGTAGTGACGCCCTAAACAATGCGACCGTCCTGCTCGACGAAACGAAAAAGAACAAAGGAAATGAGAATAGAACGTGTGAAATGCCACCGGGATTCCAAATGGTGAGACAAAATCATATGCGTAAGTAAAAAACCAGGAATCAAACAAGTACAACAAGAGCACAGGTAGAGGGTATCGCCACATCAAACAAAATAATCCAGTCGCAAACGTAAAATCAGAAAGATCAGTCAGAGCGTCTTGAACCTGCAATGGCGGTGACGCAGCAATGCATCGCTTCCCGGTAAACAGAATAGAAATAACCATAGGTTTCCTTCGGACCCTCCAGTGGTAACCTCAGTAACCGCATTGCGCCCAAGGTCCCGTAGCAAAAAACGAGCAGAGAAAAAGAATGAAGGATGGAGGGGAGCAGGGAATCCAAGAAAATCCGATGCAATCGAAGTTGTCATAACGCCGCACCTTTTAATAGCACATGAATGGTTGTGTGGATGAAATAAAAGAAATGATAGGACAAAAAAATACAAGAGAAATGAAATAGAAGGAGGACGGATTGGAGAAATCCAGCCGCGAGGTCAAGGAGGTAAAGATGCGGTGGATGCAGTAGAGATAGTCGGAGTCAAGAGTGGCGAGGCGTCTTTATCCTCGATGCTCGCCGGGGTCTCGCTGCCCTTGTCGGACTGCAAGTCCTTCTCGCGTTCTGTCGATGCAGTACGCTTGAACACGGTCTGCCCGATCTGACGGAGAATACCCATGCGTTCGGCACGGAGCTCATCGGGATCGACCCGGTGCGCAGGAATTGGATCTTCTTTGGTGATCTTGCAGAACAACGTCGAGAACAGATACTGGTCGCCGCCGCCGTCATACAAGGGAAGGTAGCGATAACCTTGGGACAGGCTGCTGAGTTTGGCAGTGAACGAGGCCAGCTGGACACAGTTGTTGCTTCCCGTGCTGCGTCCGTCCACAGAGCTCCAGACAGTCCAGCGAACGAACACCAGATCAGGATACTTGGTTTCAAGGGAGAGCTTGAACTGGTCGTTAAAGATGGGACTGTACCCGTTGCTCTTTTCGACTCGTGTGCGCCGACGATGAGGATAACCGATTCCCGACATCCCGTTGCGAGCGGAGGCGTTCATTCCACCCTGGCCAAAGACGAAGCTCTGGCCTCGGTCATCGGCGCTGAACATCTCGATCTCAACATATGGATTGATGTTGTCGTCGGGGCCAATGCTCCGAGGACGGGGCAGCTGCTGGGCCGAAATGACGTCGATTGAGAATCGCATGATATTCCACTGTCGGGCCTTAGGGTCCGCTTCGATGGGAATATTCGGAGTGCGCAGGGTCTCCGGCTTGAGCACGTAGCCGGTGCGGTCACTGCCGGCAGCAAACATGGCCTGGTTCATCTCCATGCCAACATCATATGTTTGCCAGTTCAGTGCCGCCATCTGGACGCCACGTCGCCAGAACTTTAGGGGATCGAAATTCGAGGATCTCAGCCGGAAGCCGGAGGGATAAACGCGAGTGAGGTATTTTCGGTTGTGCTTCTCGAAGAGAGCTTTGTTTTCGGCGTCGCGGCAAATGCTCTCGAATGACCGTTCTGCAAATGAGTATACGTGGTTGAACTTTTGGCTCTCGGCGGACGAGAAACTGTGCCACTTGTATCCTCGAGTATACACTCCCAGGTCCGAGAGAGGCTTTGTGATCTTACTCTTCTGGCGCTTCTTCGGCTCTTTCTTGGCCGAAACTAGAGCCCCATCGCTATCCTCGGTGGCACTACTCAAGCTGGTGGTGGTGAAGGATCTCCTGTCCTGGGTCAGGAACGAGGAGACCGTATCTTGACCGATCGTGGAGGCTGTGGAAAGGGGCGGAAGGCTTGCGAGTGCCGAATTCTCGGGGGCTGCCGGGCGTATGAAGGGAGAGCTGGAGCTGCGTTTGCGTCCTGCCTCACCAAACGACATCGCCGACTCTTGCCGCATCCCCGCCTGAGGCTCATCGCAGGTTTTGACTTTGACAAGAATACGACCTTTCAGCTCCTCGGGGGAGGGGAGAACAAAAGTGTTCGTCAGCAGCTGCTCCAGCACGAGTTGATCCTTGAAGGTATCCTTCATGATCTTCACCATGGCCAGTTGCTGCTCCGAATTGCAATGAACTTCGAGCGACAAGATAAGAGGAAAGTCGGTGGTGATGAATGCGTAGCGGTTGATGACCGCAATGCAATCGGCAAACAGAACGCTCGTAGTCATGGTTCTTCCGTGCGACACAATTGGCCGGCCATCGGCACCATCCCAACAGTCAATCTCCACACAGCGACACCCTTGCGACAAGGCAGTGATGTATGCTTCGGTGCTGGATGCGCCAGCGACCTGGCGTCCCAAAAGGTATGTGTTATGTGAGCTCGAGATGAAGTACTCATTCAATGGCTGGTCGAATCTTGCTTGCGGGGGGCGAGAGGCATAGATGCCATTCCAGGAAGAGGCCATGAAGGATGAGAAGGCATCCAGGCACATTCGCGGAACTGGCTCGTCGCCGGATTCCGGGATACTCGGGGTGCGTAGCTTTGACTTTCGGACAAATTTGTCAAACATCGAGATCCAATAACTTCGGTCGGAATCGACGTCCTCGTGCTGCACGTCACGCAGGAAGGCCAAGAACTCGTCGAGGGTGAGGCCCTCATAGTCCGAGGCGATGCTTTTGAAAATGGCTCGCACATCCTTCCGCTCTTTCAAGAGCGCAACAAAGTTTTTGAACTCGTCGAAGTTCAGCTTTCCCTTGCAGCCAACATCTGCCTTGGTGAATTGCGTGTGAAGCATGTTCTTAGAGCAGTTGATGTGCAAGTTGTGACAGATGCCTTCGACAGCAGCGAAGTCGAGGCGCTCATCTTCGCCAGATTTGTGAGGGAACAAACGGGACATCTCGCGATGCCAGTGCGCTTTCAAAGCGGCCTCATTCTGACCGGATCCTGCCAGGCCAGCCATGAGACCAATTCTGTAGCGCGAGATATCTTCGAGGGTTGTCGTCCAGAGCTTGAGGATGTTATCGTTGGGAGCGATGAGATGTAACGTCTTCACAGCCCGCCCCTTAGAGCGTTCAGCATCAGCAATAACGATCGTGACCCAACGGCTCTCGGCATCCTGCTCAACCTGATGCTCCTCGCGGTAGTTGCGCGCATCGGCACCCACACGAATCTCCTTGATGTCGTCGATATAAAACCGTTTCGCGGGGTTCGAGACATCCCAGTAGACTTTGCCGGCGTCAAGATCAAGAAAGAAGCGAACGTGCTTGCGTCTCTTCTTCGTGACCTTTTCCAAGACAGTGCCGGTATGAAAGCTCGAGTCGACCTTGGGTGCGACGGCACCGGCACTACGAGCAAGTCCCGCAGGGCTGTCACTAGGCAAGCTGGATGCATCCGAGCCACACCAAGCACCGAGAGAGTCCAGAGTATCGTAGCTGTCCTCCTCGTTGCTGGACTCGAGTGCATTGTCGCGGCTGTTTTGAGTTCCCGTTTTGCTGTCACTGCGTCTCCGCATGATTACCGGACCGGAACTGCGGTCCCGTTTCTCATTGTGGGAGGTGGATTGCCGTCGTCGAGTAAGTTTGTTGGCTGCGCCTCGCGAGATTCGGCGCATCAGGCCGGGACCTTTGTTGTTGACAGCATCACCGGATCCCGAGGCGGTAGCAGTCCCCGGGAAAGCCATAGCAGATTCCCCGTCCAAGGGAACAGAAGGAATGGAAGATAGTCGGTCTCGGAGCCCGTCTGAAGCGAATTGCGAAGGGGTCATTGAAGGGCTGGAAGCATTTGAAGGAGTATAGGTTGGGTGGAGTGAGTTCGGAGTAGTAGTAAGAGAAGAGGCGTATGAGGGACCCGAAGGGGGATTGGAGGAGGAAGGAAAAGAGGTTACGACATGGTGTAGTTTGGGGGATTTGGGGAGCGATGTAGTCAGTTTTAAATTGGCGTTGGTGTCGCCATTCATAGTCGAGGCCGGCGAAGTAGCGGCGTTAGCCATCGCGGCTACCTACCAGGCGTACCACCCGGCTGCGAAACGTGAGACTGTCGGCCTGTCGTGAACCGTGCCAGTGCCTGAGTCACCTGAACTCATAAAAGGACGAATGAAGAACGCGGTAGGAACTAAGCGGTCGTGTTGGTGCTGAAAATGGCGGCCTATAGCTGGAATGCAATACGAGCCAAAATAGGGAACGTGTCTGGCTGAGTGATGCAAAAGCCACGTCCTTAGCGGGATTGCTGTGGTTTGGATGTCTGCATCTTGGCCTGCCTTTGATGCAATGCAGAGTGCCCTGCCGGAGAGCGCTCGCGAAGGGGGAGAAAAAAAAGATTTCAGGTCCCTGATAACAATTGAAACAGACACCGGCGTTGTGTAACAATGAATCGACGAAGGAGATTGCTGGAGATTCCGACGTGGGTTCGCTTTGCCCCCTTAAAAGAAGAAAATAAAAGAAATAAATAAATAATCGAATCCGACGAAAAGGAGGATTGATGACTTGGCTTGCCGGGGGTGATCACTTTCGGAAATCGGTCTTCGTCACGTTCCTTGATATGCGCTCCGCCGGTCCTTTTCTTGATTTTTCTTTTCTTCCCTGGTTTCTCTTTCCAGTCCGAATTCTTTTTTTTTTACCCCTCTTCAATTTGTCGATCTTCCAGTACGCGGGGAAAGCTGTCTTTCTGCAAGTGCAAGCAAAGGATGCGGAGACGGACCAATTGAGTCAAGTCGATGCCGACGGAGTAAGATTGGGCCTTTCCTTGCTCAGTATTTTTGGATGGAGGGAGAGATAGTGACCAAAGAGAGGAGAGGAATAGAGTAGAGCATGCAAGTCAAAGGTCGGACGCGCTGCGCATGTGTTTAGTTGTCAGCAGAGCCCCTCCGCGTCCGAAGTGATTGAACAAGGAAATCAGCTGTGCGCTCGGAGGGCGTGATTATTCGCCAGCAGCCAGAGAAGGCTGAGGGAGAACGGACAATCGGCGGCGGCGACGAGGATCGGAAGCGCAATGCAGGATTGCCTGCCAACACAGTGATGCAGGCGGTCCAAAGAGGAAGGGCGCGCGGATGGGCAATCGGAGATTGGACCGAGTCAGGAAGACGTGAAGGTTGCGACAGCTTGTCTAGTGCGGTTCAATGTCTCGCGGTTTCAATGTCCTGCACGGTTACGTGGAGTGTAGTAGAGGACCTGCAGCAGAATTCCGCCAGGATGTAAGTCAGAGATGATCATGCGACGGAGACGAGGCCAGCGTTATTCCTGCGCCCAAAAGCTCGGGATGCAACTTGCGGGAGGCGAGGGCACAGACGATCTGAGTGGATGGGGAGTCAAAAGAGATAAAATAGAGTCCGACTCTCTTCTGTCTCTTATGGAGATTTCCATCAGGCGATTGACGGTTTGGTTGGACAGAGAGAGAGGCTTGGGGGTAGTTTTTTTTTGGGGGGGAGGGGGGGAAGGATTTTGGAAGGCTCGATTTCGAAGAAACCGATGGATGTTTCAATGAAAGAAAGCTGCAGTGGAGACTCACCGTACTGACGTATTGGCAGGTAAAGGGCTGGTACGGTAATGTGCTCGCCGTACGGTGACCCTTACGCGTACGGACCGAGACGGGTACCGAAATGGACGAGTACCGTATCGCGGTCTCGGTACCTTTTTTTCGGTTTTTTCTAGGCGGCTTGACTGGTCGAGGCGTTCTGAACGAACACGAAAACGGAAAATTACACTGCGTCAGCGCACTCGTCCCTTCTGGTACCAGAGTAACGATGATATAACGTGATGAACGATGATGGTTGTGGTGATGATAACAGAGGCGTCCGGGATTTGGACTGGGAGGGGTAAATTAAGTAATGGTCAGAACAAAAAAGGATATCTGCAGTAAGATTCCAATCCCTTCCGGAATTGGGGAATGCTAGTGAAATTGATCGTTCGCAAAGAAAAGACTGATGGCAACGACCCCTCCTCGGAGACGGGCGGAGACTACGATCTATATATCCAGAAGGACGCCGGGAAAGGGATGATGATTTAGGTATGTAGTCAAATCCACGGGGAGCGGTCGTTGCTGGGCATCCTCGTTGAAACTCGGAGTCTGTCACAGCTGAGCTGTTCAACGGCGGCCCAAGAAAATGATAAACTTAAATTCCGACCTTTTTTTTTTTTTTTGGGCCTCCTTTCCGACAGGATAACCTTGACAGGATGGCATTGAAACTCGAAATTCCAAGTGGTTGGCGTCTACGTATTTTCAACTCTTCCGCCTCAGCCTGCGTATTATTACCGATCTACTGTCTTCTCGGGCGGCTGAATGCAAGTATGGGGCCAGGAATTATCAGGCAAACGGTTCTACAGAAGAGTGAGGTGATGCGATGCTGTGCGGTCATTTGTTTGGAAGATCAACCCGAACAATGGAAAGACCCTGATCTGCTCTTCCATTGGATGATCATCCCTTGAAGGATGTCACTGTCAATCTTGCAGGTAGGCCAATCGATGGGAGGCCTAGTGTTTCAACCTTTCCCCTCCCTCTCCTCTCCTGGTAGGGCATACCTCATCGATATTACGGAGAAGGAGAAGAAAGGGGGAGGAATGAGAGATCGCTTCCCACCGACTATTTGCCTGACTCCATACATGTGCGACTTCCCTATAGGTGGAGGGGTGGATACCAGCCCAGCTCAATCTCATCATCGTAGTCTGTCTGTAACAGATTCATGGCCTCCTTTCGAGTTTCCAGCGCCAAATCCCCACCGACAGTCCCGTCCGTTCTCCATACACGCAGAATACGGAGTAACCCGCCCACCGTCATTTCAACTGCATTTGCCTTGCTGGAAGATCCACCCCGGCCCCCCTTATATGGGCACTATTATCACGACTATCCGGAGGACTACGACGTAAGTAGTTAATGCTGTGCATTATCTTTGATTATTTTTCTGTTGATTATTATTATTATTACTACGGAGTATTCTTGCGGTGGTTGCGACAGTTTCGCTCCTCAGTTTCGAAATACAACCTTTTTTCCCAGGCACCCGGCACGGCGGTCATTCTGGGGAAAAAGTATGTGGATCTTGGAGATCCTCCTTTTTTTTTGCTTTTTATTTTTATTTTTTTTTTTTAATTTTCGTTTCTTGTCGCTCGTTGATGCCCGTCGACTCCTTGTAGATAATGACGGGGTATTAAGGCATGCCCGAGGATTATGATGATTACTGCGGAGTATTATTTTTCAGATATGAAGGGAAATTTGAAGGTCGGACTAAAGCACCTCACCAGGAGTCCATATCCCTGTATGCCTCCTCCTAGTCGGTCTAACCACTGCACACCATTACTCCATACTTTAACCAACTAGCATGGATGTACGCAGATGGACCGACCCGACAGTCGATCCAATGACAAAATTGCTCGACGTTCCGACAATCGGGTGCCTATCACCTGATGCCCGGGCCGGGTCCAATGAACTCCCGTTTCGTCTCCTGCATGTCCAGCGGATTGCAGGGTGCAGGGTGCAGGACGGAATTCCCAAGCGAAGCGGGAACTGGAGGTGGAGGGAGGTGGACGGGGGAGCAGGAAAGGAGAGGAAGGGAGAAATTGGCCGAGGATGGTGTTGCTCATCCCTATTAATGCAGCGGTGGGGACTGGAGAGCCGTGATCAGGAGAAGTCCGTAAGAAACGCTAGAAGAAAATTTTTCTTTCGATTGAGTCACTGCAGCGCCGACCGAACGCGGGGGAAGAACTGTGGTATGTATGTAATACGTAATAACGTACGGAATGAGTACAGTATCGTATTGGTACCCGGAGCTATTCCAAGCAGGTAAGCATCCTGAGGCTGAAGCCGTGGCAGTGAAACAGCGGTTGGGGCGGTGCGGGCTGGAGGAACGCGAATCCCGTCCTCGACAGTATCGACTGCCGTTCATTGTCAGGTCTGCTTACTCAAACCCAACCAACCCAACCGATGGCTCCCGGAAGAGCGGTCAACGGGGACTTCGCTGGGCGGAATTCCTACGATCCCAGTGCTCGTTCCATTGGCTGCCACATTGCCTCGTCCTGGTCCGGTTGGCAATTTTTAGATTGGGCGGCCATGGCTGGGGGACTGGTGATGAGGGATGACGATCGAGATGTCGATGCTGACTGTTTTTTAATTTAGTATTATTTCCTTTCTTTTTCTCTGCCCTATAGGACCAAGAACATGGGAGCTTACTTACCTAGCTCCGTTTCTTCCAACGTGTACGGACTACGGAGTAAGTAGGTAAATGGGTATTTTTAGGCACTAACAAACGAGACTACGCGCCTTAGTCCCTAGCTGCTCTTGGCGGTGAACGAGGAAAAAGAAAGACGAAAGACAAGGAAAGAAGAAAAAAAAAAAAAAAAAAAAAAAAAAAAAAAAAAAAAAAAACAAAGGAAGCAAGCGACTGGTCAGTAGTGATGCATCGTCCCAGCCCAAAGGCATCTGCAAGACAACCAAAGAAAATCCTTCGCGGGGGCTTTTCCAACCCCGCACGTCGCTGAGTTGGCGATTCTCTTTTCCCTCTTATCTCCTCGGTTCGGCCTTGATTTCAGCTGTGTTTCGTGCGCCCCCCTGATAGATGGAGCATATTATCTACACGATAGGCCGAATCTCCATCGGTGGACTCAGTCCGCGTATCCCCTACCGCCCATGGGGCCAAATGACGACTGTCGGCGACTAGAGGAAAGTCGGCGACTACGGAGTAGTGGAAAGTCGAGTGGAAAAATTAAATACTCCGTAAAGCAAAAGCAGAGCGCAAACAAAGACATGGAGCCATATCGGATTATTACTGGTCACTCTGGCTAGAGGACGGTTTAATTAGTGGGGATTGCCAACTTTTTCCCTTCCATCCCATCTCTTCAGGAAACTTACGGAAGGGAAAGAATGGCAGAAGCCAATGACTGTTGAGTCTATAAGCTAGAATACGACTACGAGGTTACTGCGTATGATGGTTTCCCGTGCTATCCTCCATATGGCATCTTCCTGCCATGGAAGGGATCCCAGGAAATCAGGTTCGTCAAATGAACGGACATCGCATCGCTAAGACCCCTTTGCCCCCTCCCCCATGGTCATCTATCGAAAGTTCTTTCAATCTTCCATGGAGTCAGCAAGGTCTGATTAGATTAACTATGCCGGCCAACCTTAATGTGTCTCAGTATCCTGCGCGTCTCTAAGCCTGTTGCGGACAAGGAGACTCGCTCCTCCAATGATAGACGACGTCAGGATGCGGATGACCTGGCACGTCCGACGTCCCTGCAAACAAATGGTGGATTCCTGTCCAACTTTTCCTGAAAAGCTAAAACGCCGCGAACTAATGGCTGGCGGCCGTTGCTGGGGACGGAACGGTATGTGCGCAGGATTGGATATCTATCTGCCTTGAGCCCGGAGGATGGGCTATCCCATCGGCGTCAAACACATGTAGGACATGTCGTCGAGCCTCAATCAAGAATTCCCGATCGATCCACACGCTAAATTGATATACGCGGTTGTGGCGGAAACATCCTGGGAGAGAATCGGGGGGTTGCGAGCATCGTCTTCCGTATTGACGTCCTTAACCGGTTGATGACGCAAGGGAAAGAAAGCTGCAGATTCCTTACTTGCGTCGCCGTGCATCCAGGATCAACCATAGGCTAACCATACCACATGCGTCGGTCGTATCGTCGGCATGCACCGTGATAACGAGGAACCCCCAGCAGTAGCATGGCGTGGGATGCCTTTCTCGGTAATGCCCTCGCTGATAATCACAGCTGCATATGTACGAGTCGACGTAGGCAGTAAGTTGGGGGGATTATCTACGACCCCTCCCATGCCGCCGACAGTCGCGATGATCGGAGGGGCCAGGTAAAACGAGCGTGATTTTAGGTTGTCGCCGTCTTGCGTGCCTCAGGAGTTTTGACCGCTTCCCCGGTCACCTTCCTCTGCCATCATCAGCCCATGAAGCGCGGAAGGGACCCGACCAAGCGGACTGGTGCTGATAATCCTGATGATCCCGGTGAGAAAGGAGGGGGGTACGGTCCTTGTTCTGCCAATCCGTTGCTCTGTCGCCTCCGTAGTCTCTTTCTTTTCGTTCCCAACTCCGCCGTGGGCATCATTGACCGGCGCTGTGACGTGCCACGAAGTTGCGTTCAAGTCGAGGGGATCCTCCAGGCAGCCATGGGGGCACCCCGTGATCCGCGGCGTATCGCCTCATTCGCGCCGGCACCACCGGCTTCCAGTGGAGGTGCCATCAAGGTAGTATCCGTTCGCGACCATATTTGCAGGTATTCATTATGCGTAAAATTCGCCATATTCCAGGGGGGAATACCGTACCTGGTACCTCTAAGTAGGGCATTCCTTGCTTCTTAGGCTGCGCGAATATGTATCTAGTTAGCGCCCGGGTGGATGATATTGTTCTCATGATGATATGCAGTACGCCAGAAGCATATTATAGTCCATATTATAATACCACCTCTAGTATAATGCTGAATCGGTGATAAAATATCAAACCCCCGCCCGAGCGCTCCCGGGTCAAGGCCGGCCATTGGCCCACCTCCGTCGGCCTCGTGGGGGCTTCTCCCAAACGGTGGCCCACTCTTGACAGCTTCCAAGCCTTCCATCGTTGTCTTCCTTCGCTCAGGATCTTGCATCCGAGAACTCCTGGCTACGATCCCACACTTCCCAAATTTCACGGTGGGTGCGATGAACCCTTCCGGCGCCTCAGAGAATTCACGCCGGTCTGCTTCGCCCCTTTTCTTAGAGAATGCACCAATTGAGAAGGGGGAGATACCGCTTGTTTGATTTATTTTTATTTATTCTTTAATTTTTTATTTTTAAATATTTTTGGATGAAACCACTCTCGGTTTCTTTTCTTTCTTTATCCCACTTTCGTCCTTTCAACTCGCTCACCTACTTTTACCCCTCAACTTTAATCATTCGAATACGGAGGAAGCGACGCGAAGATACGGGTTACGCATGATAGTATCATATTGGGTCGACAGCAGTCAATCACCTCATTGTGAGATTACCAAATCCGACGGGGTTAATCATCCGATGGCTGAGGAGGTGATGACATCATGGACGATAGTCGCACGCAAGAGAGAAATAGATCAATGGGGCCTCTTCCCCACTGCCCAAACGGGGCAAAGGGCCAAAAACTCCTTTTTTTTTTCCCAGGACAATGGATGGTTACCATACCAGCGTAGCCCGTAACGCCCCCGGTCACGTCATTACCAGGCCGCTGTCAATACCGTATGGTCGGTACCAGAAACCCGTCCGTTTCCAAGGCGTACGGTATGCACCTTCCGGGATCAAAGGGCAACCTCACGTTAGTCCCTTAGCGCATAACCCTATCGTATCGCAGGCCCTACTTGAGATTAATGTTTTATTGGCCCCAGTCCCAGTAGGGGAGACACAATTTCGGCGCTGGATCTTCAGGAGGCCAACCGATTCCCTTCCTGGCCTGTTGGATCGCTGTCAGCCATTGCGGCGGACATATGACAGCCCTCTACGCAGGACTGAGTACTCTGGCCGAATTAATTACATACCAGGTCCCAACTGGATGGAACGTTGCGCCTCCAGAGCCGGGGTTCTCGTCCTGATTGCAATCCCCTGCCGGCGGCGATTGGCACCTCCAGCACCTCAGCTGCAGCACAATACGTGATGGCGAGGTGACACGGCCTGGATGTTAGCTTGGCGTCGGCTTCCATTCACTGTACGGAGGAGATCGATCCATGGCGATGAACATCCTCTGGTACTGGCAGTCTGGTACAGGGCAGATAGTAAGGTAGTCCAGACGGAGACCGCCAAGCTCCGTCTCCGTTCACCCATGAAATGCAGGTAAAGATTCTTAGGCGTTTCGAGTACAGTAACTCCCGGCCTGAGGCCCCGAGGAGCCTCGTTCCTTCGATGCGTCTTCGATGCTTCAGTCGAACCTTCTTCTCGTCTCCCTTCTCATTATTCCCTGCTGCACCGCCGTGCGCTGTCATCCGCTGGCCGCCTTGGTTTTCTCACCTGCAGCGATCCGTCTCATGGTCGACTTCTCAGCCAGCCAGCCAGGATGAGAAGGGCAAAACGTGCCGTGGCTTGCTCCGAATCAATAGTGGCTCTGGACAATGCGACCTGCATGACCCCATCCCCGTTCGTTCGCAACTCAACCTCCATCCGCTTATCACCGCCTCGTGATCTGTAAAATAGTGTTTGTCCTGGGGTTTAATAATCACGCCGGCTGCATTGCATGTAGACCTTTCTTTGCCTGGGACCTCGCAGGGTCAGTGCCCACTTTCCTACGCAGGGCTAATCTCGGTCCTCGCACGGCATGCTGTCGCATCGTCTGTACTCATTGGTCGCGATGGATATGACTCATGACGCATTTTCTAGTCGCTGCCGTCGCTATCGTTTTTTATCACATCATCCCCAGCCCGTGCATCACCTCATTATCGTCTGACGTGTGATTGACTTCTGAGGCTGTCCGCTCTGGCCCGGCAGCCTATGGAGTCCGAGGACGATGTGCGAGCAAGGGTCTAATCGTCCAGACCTTGGTTCCAGTGGCAGGCTTAGGGCAAGGCCCACCGTGGCAATGCCAGCGTCGGAGCCTCGGGGCTGGATATCCGCTGCTGCTGCGACGGAGCGCGATATGAGGTTCGGATCTAAATTCTGTTAGCCCCGGTGTCAATATCCATTATTCACTTTTTTTACCCGAATATCCTAGGCCGCTGACCCTGAGAATCGAAGATGCTAATTCTCGGCTCATTCTGATTCTCTAGTTCGACGTTGTAGTGTGATTCGGATTAACGAAATGTCCAATTTACAAATCTTTTGAGCACTCATACTTTACTCATATTCTCATATTTTTTTTTCTCTTTACTCGGATCGGACCGACAGCAGCGCCACATCCGTATCCAAGCATACAATTATGAACCGAATAATGCATTATGCGCTGTTTGGAAACGGCAGTCGGCAATACGAGGCTTCACCTTTTTTTATTCTTTTGTGCCTCCACTTCCCTCTGACGGAGGAATGTATTGGCTTGGTGTCTCCATAATGCGAGGCGTTTGCCAATAGGCGCATTGTTCCACAGTTTCAGACATGTCTGGAATGGAATCATCATCGTCATTGGGATCCCACCCGTTGCTTCCGTCGTTGCTGCTTGAATCTGTCTCGGATCTCCAACTAAAAATAGCCGTGGTTTCTGGAATCCTTCGACGGGCTAACCCACACGGCACACAAAAACCGTGGGATTTAGTCGCGGGCCAGCGGCGGTGCCAGCAGCCCTTTCTCAACGCCGCTCAATCGCATTCCAGCCCTGGGCGCGCGGTGGAATCCGGAAATTCCTAGCGAACGCGCCCCACGATGCTCGTTGACGGCACATTGCGCTCCTCCAATGATACCATGCCGGGCAATGGTGCAGAGTCAGCCTGGAGATTATCAGATTCCTCGGCTACGACGGGAATTTGATCGATTATTCGAATTTTTCGGTAGAATGCTTCGTCGCAACGTGTCCTTCTTGGCCCTATTTCGAGGGTGGATTCGCTCGATGAGACGTCTCGACGAGACGCGCCTTACTTCGCCTGCGTCGCTCAATTCGGCGCGAGGCTTAAATTTATTGGGTCTAAAAGTGCTGGGAATGGTAGGACATGACTGGTCTCTCGGTTCAACCAAAATGTCACGGCTCGTTCTCTTTCTGCCTTACGCCTGCTCGCCTGCCGCTTGCTCCACTTTTCATTAGAAACGCCCTTCGTTGGTATTGCAAGGCTCCAATCAACTTGAAACGGCCGCAGAAAGCTTTATGTCGGTTTGGCGTAAGAGTGTTACGACTTCAGCAAGGCCGACCATAATATGGCTCGACTCTACGGAGTAAATGTCATGAGAGATGCATGCCGGGCGTCCACGTCAGACGACGTGGCCTGTCACTTCGGATCATATAGAGCAACCCAGTCTAGACTGCTCCTCGGCCGTGAAGCTTCGGCAGCGCCGATAGAGACGTTGACACCACTAGCTCGCTTAACTAATTGAAGATAGGTGAAGGCGATCTTCATATCCCGCCATTTGGTCCCTTGCTTCCTGCGCATACAGCCCCTTGACGGGTGAGGAGACAAAAAAAAAAAAAAAAACATCAGACCACACCTGTGTGATATTTTCCTCCATCCGAAAATTATTAATTCATTTAGGGACATTCGGGCCATCATGTGTTCCACGAAACTCGGGAATGTGCCGTCCGTTACAAACTTGAACCTTTTTTTCGGACCGCGAAGATGATCTCCCCTCGTCCGCCAATATTAAGAATAAGCGGACAAGTCGCGACGTCTCTCGTTTCCATGGTGCTATTTTGCGGGAGCGGGAGCGGAAGCCCCGGATGGAAAATGGACAACATGAGACCAATTTTGGGCTTTGACGAGGTTCTAGGTTTCATGAGGCGATATGACTGACTCGTGCCGGCCTTTCTGAAGCATACTACGTCGAAGGCATATCCGTCGCCGTCTGAATGACTCGCGACGGGACTGGGACTGATGCGACAAGGAATTCCTTGTGGTTGGACTGAAACCCAGAAATGTCGCAGTCCGTCATATTTACATACCGGGAAGTCGTCGCCAAGAATCGACGTCACTGACCTCGATTCAGAACAATGGTATTTACCACTAACGCATTCATCTAGACCTATGAGTTCAAGGTGTAATGCTATGACAGGAAACATTACTTGCGGGCTATCATGATAGGTATGATCCTTGTCAACCTAATGCTATACTATAAGCAGGGCTATCAATAGACCGATCGGATATCTATATTATAAAAGACAAGTATTTTATATAGCCAGTCTTTCAATCAAACAAGCTAATCTTGTGTCTCAGGACAAATACACGAAGACGTAAACAAGCTGTCCCTCAATACCACTTCCATTTGCAAAACCATTATCCCCGTAGCGCCGTGACATACCCCGACACACAGAATGAGCTGATCAAGATCGATTTTCCCGGCGTCTCGCCTCGCCGGAGTCGTGGCGTTGGACTGAGTCCCTAGTTATCTTCCCACCTTAGGCAGCTATGGATACTTACATGAGTCTATAGAAACTATAGCTCATCTGCACGAGCCCGACTAGGTCGCACGCGTGGTCGACGCTCATGCGCCGAACGTCGTTGATCGGCTGGATCGAGCCGCCGTGGCGTGCGCCCCGGACGACGGCGGCGATAGCGCGAACTAGTCCTGAAAACGAATGGCAGGCGTACGCGCGGGCTCAGCACCGACAGCTTGGAACGTGTCTGAGCGTAATTGTGATAAAGAAATTCAGCCGCACGGCTTTGTTGGTTTCGTGTGCCGCGCAGCATCTCCTTGTCATTGAGGGTGTTGCGTTGGCTCTCGAGGACAGCGTCGAATGGGATATTCTTGGATGTCTGATTGCGGGATATGAGATGCAGGTATACCCTGTAAGTGACAGTGCCTGAACTAACGTATGGAGTGGCTGTCATTGCACTTGCCAGGATTGAATGGCCACCGGCGTCAACGGGACCATCCATCGGTGGTTGGGATTTCGATCGGAGCCAAGGCTTTCAAAGACGAATCTCTGCTTTGATGAAACATGCTTACAAGCTAGGTGTTCAAGGGGTGGCTGCTAACCTTCGCTTGATAGATCATATCTCTCCGTGGTGACTAGGTTCATATCGAAGTTGGTTGGCTTATACAATGAGGTCTATTATTCAAGACAAAGTAGGCTCCTCGAAAACTCATTTGACCAAAAACTTCTTTTGGCAAGATATGAATGTTGTCAAGAGGGTCGTTTCAGGGGCCTAGTCATTTATGAATAGCACAAGCGTTCTGCGTAAATAAAACTAATGAGTCCTGAGCTTTGTATGTCCATCGTCTCTTATCAATGCATGTTTGTCTTTACCTGATCTCTCGGCGACCGTAGTTGAGCTCTGTCACTTCTCTAGGTTCTCTCTATAGTTCTCTCCCTCGACTTCAGTACCCTACAGACCAGTTTACTGAGATCCCAAGAGGTCCAGCCTGACGGCCCTTGAACGGTAACTTCCTGTCTGACCCTTCTAGACCAAATTCCTGTCTAGTAGGGCCGGATCTTGGGTCTAGAAAAGCGATATCACGAAATATGGGCAATATAATAGCTGGTTACCCCTTCTGGGCTTCTCATGATCGCGTGCAGGCAGAGACAACCTTCAGGACGCTCAGGACTGCCATAGTTAGGGCTTCTCGTTGCAAAAATAACAAGATCTGTTTGCATCTGGGGGACTCTACGTGCAAGAAGCTTTACATGAGGGCCGGTCGAGAGTTGAGCCAAAGAGCCAAAGATGGACATATGCAAGAGCCCTCTGCAGGAACAAGTTGAGAAGCTGTTTATCCCACTGTTGGTTGGCTTTTAGAACGAAGGCAAGAAGTAGCCAGAAGCTGACTGCCGCATTTTATACCTCGTTTCTGTTAATATTGCGCTGTGTCGGAATTCTTGGGATCGTAACTCTTCCGGAAGTCAACGGCGTGCTTAGAGCACACGCTTCGTAAACTCTCCGCGTTGGTTTCTGGAGGATTTAGAAGTACACCTGGTTGAATCTAATTTGTCTAATAGTCATAATCCTCTTGTGCAAACATACATGAATTGTGGTGATATAAAATAGCCAAAATCTCAGTTAGGGTTGCCCAGTCACCTGACTCCGTATCCCCTCTTTCTTGCTCCTCTTTTCAATTCCCTCTTATCTCCATCCCATCTACTTCATCCGCCATCCAATCCAAATAGATCATCACCATGGACTACTCCAAACTCGTCGATGCAGAATTCACCCAGTTGCTGCCTAAAATCGAGGTAAGACGCTTCCTGTAGCTACTTCACAATCAACCGGTTAACCACAAGTAGCTACACGCTCACCTGACCGGGAGCATCAGCCGCCAATGTCTCCATGACATCTGGGTGCAGAAGAAGGCCCAGGATCCGGATTTATCAGTCGACGATCCATGGGTCATCATGCCCCCTGGCAAGGTGGACTATTCTCTCTCAACGTAGGCCTCCACCAAGCTCCTACTTCACGCATGATTGCAATGAAATCGACGCATGCATACTCAACCCCACCAATCCCAACATCCAAGATGCCTCAAGCTCAGCCAAACCCTCCAGGTTCTTCAACGTCTTCTCCCAATCCATCTACCACCTCTGCAACGACCTCCCCAGCATCGCCTACGCCACCACCTCCGTCCTCACTGACTTCCTGAACGACGGCGTCCGCTACCTCGAGCTCCGCACCATCCCCCGCCCCTCGCCCACCGCCGCCTTCACGCGCCACGAATACCTCGACACCGTGCTCACCACCATCGAGCAGTTCCGGCTCTCCAACCCCGACCTCACCATCGCCCTCATCCTCGCCCTCGACCGCGCCACCACCTCCGCGCCCGACGCCCTCGCCATCGTCGACCTGGCCCTCGCCCACCGCGCCCGCGGCATCGTGGGGCTCGACCTCTGCGGAAACCCTACCAAAGGGGACGTGGCGATCTACGGGCCCGCGTTCGCCAAAGCCAAGGAGCACGAGCTCGGCGTGACGCTGCATTTCGGGGAGGTGGCGCGCCCGGCGACGCCAGGGGAGCTGGAGACGCTGTTGGGGTTCGAGCCCGATCGCCTGGGCCATGTCATTCATGTGCCTGGGCCGGTGAAGGAGGAGATTGTGAGACGGCGTCTGGGGCTGGAGCTGTGTCTGTCGTGTAATGTGCACGCGCAGATGTTTGATGGCGGGTTCACGGATCATCATTTTGGGGAGTGGTGGAGGGGGGCTGAGTGTCCGGTTGTTCTGTGTGTATGTTGCCTCTTCTTTCTCCTTTCTTTCCATTCTTTCCCTTTCTCATGGGTCTGGAGAGGTGGAGCTGGGTTCAAGGATATGGTGTTAACTGAAGACTAGACCGACGACGTGGGATTCTTTTGCAGTCCCGTTTCCAACGAATATCGACTGGCCGCGGAGCACTTCGGACTCAGTCGCACCGACGTGCTGCGCATGTGCCGAGACTCAGTCGAGGTGATCTTCGGCGGGGAGGAGGAAAAGGCACGGCTCCGGGGGCTACTGGATGAGTTTGAAGCTGAGTATACGAAATGAGTTGACGTGAGACGATACGACCGAAATAGATGACTACAGAGCGAAGCATGAAAAGTGAGGATTGGTCATAACGCATAAATAGTCATACATGGCATATCAATATATGCATTTTCATAAAGGGGTATCAATCAATATCCCAACCTAGCCCTGCCATCTCATCTTTCCCTCCTTCAAAGTCTTGATCACTCCCAAAGGCATGAACTCTCTGTTCACAGCGGCCAGACCGCCGTATCGCCGAACCATCTCGCCCTGGTACAGCTCGGCGATCCACCGCCAGTAGGGCGACATGGTGGTCCAGTCTTCGGAGATGGCGCTGCGGGTTCCGGCGTCCTCGCCCAGGGACATCTGGTTGGCGCGCAGCTTCGGGGTCTGGTTGATGTCGACCTCGTCCGGGATGCGGATGAGATCGCGGTACGCCTGCAGGAGGGGGATGCTGAAGCTCTCGGCGTACTTGGTGTACTCGGCGAGGGACATGAACTCGGCAGAGGACTCCTCGTCGCTGTCCCTCCGTCCGCCCGACTTGTCGAACACCTCCTTCGCGGCGTAGTAGTCCTTCTCGTCTTCCAGGCGCGCCTTGTGGAGTCGGCCCAGCGGGGTCTTCTTGATGTCCTCGCGCATGGCGAGGAGCGGGACGTACGGGTTCAGGAGCTCCAGACCGCCCAGTTCGACGGGGAAGTAGAAGAAGCCCTCTGGGAGGTCGTGGATGTCGAACCGTTCGGCAATCATCTTGCGCAGGTGGTCGGTGACGCCACTGGGGCTGTCGGGGAACAGGGAGCGTTCGATGCGACTGAGAGTGGAGATGGCCATGTCGATGTGACTACGTCCGAAGCAGACGGCGGGTTTACCAAAGTTGTTGGCGAAGAAGCGCCCGAAGTAGCTGTTCCACGCCTGTATCCAGGCAAAGATGCTGGGACAGGCAGATATCTGACGCCGCAGCTCCTCGATGTGATTGTCGACCTGCTCCTGGTCGATGACGAATCGGCTTTCCTGCGCGTCGAGTTTCAGGAAGCCCCACCGGATATCGCCAGCAGGGAGCAAGTCGTCGGTCTTGGGCGTGGCTTGTTGCTTTGGATCATCTTTCTTCGCGTGTCGCACCGTGCCGGTCTTTTCCTCGTTGAATTCAAGACCCATCACCTGGGTGAACTCGGTCATGGCCTTCCACGCCTGAACGCAGGTCTGCTCGTGGCCCCAGAACCAGAAGTCGTCGTGCAGCCGGTACAGGAACGCGCCGTCCGTGTTTTTGTTCACGGTATAGTCCATGCAGAAGAGAACCGCTTCGCCAAAGCAATCGGACAGCGTGTGGCTCATGGGAATTCCACGCCGACGGACCTGGGTGGCGGCATCGGGTCCGTCCTGTGTGAATTTCAAGGGGGACTCAAGGAAGGTCCGGAAGAAATCGAGCCAGTTTTGGGGCATTCCGAAGTATTCCAGCACGGTCAACATCGTGGTGTGCGGAAGAGACGGCCCAAAGTACTTGAAGTCCGACCGAAGGGCCGTGAATTCTCCGTACTGGGTGGTGTGAATAAGGGATTCTGTGATCAGGAGATGGAGGAGGGAATGTTTCGTCTCTAGAGCGTTCTTGCGGGCCCTCTCTGTACTATATGTCGATCCAGCGTCACCTTCGTCGCCGTATTCCGGCACGTTCTCCTCCACAGACGAAGGCAGCTGGGTCATGAAATAGTTCGATTTGTACGTCCGCAGTCGATAGTCTTCCACACTGTAGATGCCAGACCCTTGATAGCCTCTCCCGGTGTCATGGAAATACTTGCTCTGCTGCCTCTTGACGCGCTTGGGTATGTTCGGGCTCTGCTTCTTCCAGGCGCGCGTGTTAACGAAGGCATCAAAAGCGAACCTAAACGTCACCGCCCATTTGACACCGAGGTACTGGAACAGGAGAGCGTCCAAGATATCTTCATCCATGAAAACCCGGTACTTGCCATTCAGCTGGCGGCGCATTTCGACCGGGATCCCCTCAGCCGGCCAGCTCCAGCTCTCCAGAGCAGCGAGACGCATGTTCAACACGTCCGCCACTTCCTGGGCGACAGCCGGGTTGCGCATGAACTCCTTGAGAATATTTGTCTTCTCCTTCGACAGCAGATCCGATCTCAACAACGCCTTGCTGACCCATCCCAGCTCGTCGACGGTAATCCACGTCCGCTTGGACGCGAGTTCCGTACCAAAGGACTTGATCTTCTCGCGCAGCTCCTTCAACGCCTGCTTCGACAACGCAGTCTCGGTGAAAAGCCGATCCAGATAGTCCCTAATCGCATCCCTGTCCACGTCCGCCTCCTTGAATACGTAATTCTCCCACGTCTCGCGCTGCTCGTGCATCTCCGCGCGGCCCACCGGCTCGCCTTCTCCGTCCTCAGCCGCCGCAGCGGGCTCCTCTTCCAGACTCGCCAGCCACTCGGTGACCAACTTACTGTAAAACGAAGCATGCTCATGTCGCAATTGAAGATAGCGCACTTCATTCTCCAGCTCGCCCACCCACTCCTTCAGACTGCGATCCGAGACCGAAAGATCGTAGCGACTCTGCAGCAGGAACCGACGAACATTGACGTGCGCAGCGCGTTCCGACCCGTCCCTCACGTCGCCCTCGTGGTCCGACTCGTCCACATCCAGGTCCTCCTTGTCATGTGCATCATTGGGGAACCCCTTGAGCTTGGTGACGCCTTCGAGCAAGACCTGGGCTTTGGATCGGAGATCGGGGGAGTTCCCGGCGGCCTGCAGAATCCTGGTGCGTTGCTTGTCAAACAGGACCCGCTGTTTGGAGAGTTCGCCGATTTTGATGGCGGTGATGGAGCGGAGGGTTTGGGGGAGAGCTCTTGAGGACATTTTGATGAAGCCCTGAACGGGTGGTTGCGGGGTTTTTGGTGATAGTAGAGAAGAAAGAAAGGAAGGAGTTGGGAGAAATCGGTAGAAAGGAGGGCAGAGAAGACCGAGAGAAACTCTCTGGGTGAAGAGCGAAGAGAGAAGAAAGAGGAGAGTTTTATTGATGATCGGCGGAGCTGCAGTGGAGCCGTGACTCAACGCTAAAAAGGGACGCCGATCGCCCAGATCCGGCCATGACATCATGTCAACATTCTTCTACTTCGAACTACTCATCAACACTACGCAGTATTCACTCGTTCTAACTCGATCCAGCAGTCATCATACTGCATCTCCAGATAGCTCCTCCCCCGCAGCTCTCCCACCGTCTTGATCTTCCATTTCTGAACGGTCGCCATCGCAGCTTGAGCGATTACAAGCCAGGCCAGGTCTTTTCCAGCGCAGCCTCGGGCCCCTTTGCTGAAAGCCACGAATTTGGAATCCATGTCTCGCCGCTGTGACTCATCGCCCAGCCATCGCTGTGGTAACCATTGGTCCGCCGTGTCACCCCAGATGTCCTGCGACCGGCCTAGAACGTACGTGTTGGCAGACACTCTCGTGCCCACAGGGAGCGGGGACCTCAATTTGGCAAAGACCGTCTCAGCGCCCGACCGGATGACGCGAGGAAATGCCGTGGGGAAGGCGGCGTGCAAACGGAGGGTTTCTTTGACCACGGCCTGTAGCTCCAGGGGAAGGGATGTAATGGACGATGACTCCTGCGTGTTGAAATCCGCTCCCGCCATTCGTAGTTTGTCTTGCCATACCTGGCCTTCCTCGGTTCCCAGCTGATACAAAAGTGCCGTGATTGTCGCAGCCGTGCTCCCCGGCCCTGCGAATACCAAGTTGAACGCCTCCGATAGAATTTCATCCTGACTCATCCGGTTGGCATCCTCCCGAGGAACTTCTAGCCAGCTTTTGAGGACCCCGGGCTGTTGATGTTGAACGACCTCTGCGGAGCGCCCGAAGATGGTTTCCCAAGAGGCTGCCAAGAGAGCAGGGAGGCCTATGATCTCACCTTTCGCATTGCGCACCGGTCTGCGAAGCAACGCGTCGATGGGCCGCGTGTTCATGATCCATCCAAACGCTGGCCAGAGGGAGAAGCTCCACGCCATTTTACTCATCTGGCGAAGGGCCAGTGAGACGCCCTCGCCGGCAGCATTGTCCGAGTACGGATGGGAGGCGAGAGCGGGTCCGAATATCACCTCCAGCGTGGTGTCCACGGTAAACTGGTGCACCAGAGGGGCCATGTTGACCGATTTCGCGGCAACCGAGGACGACGCTTCCACCCTGGAGAGCAGAACATTGACTTGCTTTGACACGATCGGCATGTACCTCGCTGACTTGGAGCTGGTGAGGACAGGCCCCAGTACCTTTCGTTTCTTCTGTCGGTGGGCGGCCTCTGATTCCGTAGCGAATATGCTCTTGGTCCGTTTGCTCTGGTCTCTGCCGAAGCCGTAGAAGTCATCCTTCTCGATGGATTTATTGAAACCGTAGATGACTTCGAAGTCCTCGAGAGTCGAGAATGAAAGCCAATTTGGCGCGACGCGTACTACAGGACCATATTGCTCGTGTAAACGCTGTTCCGTCAAGTGGTGCTGTCCACCAAGGAAGCTACAGAATCGCCTTTCCAGACTCCATAGTAAGCTTATGGGTGGTAGGTATGAATGCATTTGAACAGTAGAATTACAAACCATATATTAGTGATTTGAGCTAAAAACGGCCCTGGATATTCCGCGAGGGGGTGGAAATAACAGAGATAAACCACGCGGCTGAGGATGGCGACGCCGAGCAAGGACACAACGAGAGAAAACGGCATAAATGGTGTCGACATGATAGCTGAGAATCATAGCTCTTCTCAGCTCTTCATTAATTCGTGGTGATGGCAGGGAGTGAGATGCAGAATCTAAAGAGAAGCAATAACAAAGAAGAGGCAACGTCATCAAATCACGAGGGGCCCACGTGTGCTGCAGCATCGCCAAACCTTCCATCAACTATCTTCAGCTACACAGGGAATACGAAAGCCACACCCAAGCCTTCCGTATGATCTCACGGTCTAGAATGTCCATTCTCACTCTGTTTCCCTCTGCAACACGATGTCCTTGATCATCCCGGTGAATCCCTCGCCAATCCGCTTGAGTGGCGCCTCGATGGCAATGGGTGCCCATAGATGGCCTTGCCCATCTAATCCCAGTCGAGTGAAAAACTCCATGGAATCTGATTCCACGACGAACATCGTATGGGCACCTTTCCCGACTACGCGAACATCGGTCCAGGTGTTCAGCGGAAGGCTGTAATTCAGCGAGTATGCATTGCCGCCGCTTATGAAAGTCACGTTGGTGATAGATCCATTTCCGTTCGTGAGAATCGAGTCGGGGCCGGCGAAAAGATTCCCAGGGGCGTCTGACGTTGGTTTTACCGAGAATGACAACGTATAGTCCCTTCCTTTGCTGCCTAGAGGTGTCTCCAAGTAACACCCGTCGGAAAGTACCAGGGAGGAGCTTTGAATATCACACCCGTGTACTATACCATCGTACCCATTTCCAGATTCATCGGGGATGATTTGAGAATCCTCATCGAATGTGTACTGCAATATTGTATCGGTCTTGCTCCGGACCTGGCGGTCCAGGTTCTGCGCCGGTATTGCTGCATGCAGTTTCTCAAACACCGAATCATACTCATCTTCGAGCAAGTCTCCACCCCACTGTTTGTCACCCAGTGCAGGAAGCCTATCCCGCCAAGAATAGTAAGTTTCCAGGACAGTGGTAGCATTGGATCCGTAGTCATTCCACAGCGCCGCAACATGTCCAAGGACACGGTCGTTGTCCCGAGCAGGGTTTCTGGAAGCATCTTTCACGTCGAAAATATTGGGAGCAAATGCACCGCCGGCAGGGTTTCCGTGGAAGATGCGCGTCTTGTTCAGCTGCTGGGGGTAGCTCCCCGACCATTTAGCCACGATGTAGAACGCATCGTCTGAGTTGAGCACGTCGTAGCCGTTCTGAATAAAATCAGAATACGCATTGTCTTCAAAGTAGGCCCAATGTTGGATCGACACCTCGGTGGAAACATTGGCCCCTTCTTTGGGAGTGAAGGTACCCCATATCCTAATGTCTTTTCCTGACTCTTCTGTGATGTACGAGTTTAATTGATTGACAAATTTTGTGTAATCAGCGACCAGGTCCTTCTCGTATTCGTCTGCTCCGATGTGAACAGTCTTGCTGTGGAACCAAGGCAGGAACGTCTCCCATATCGCTTCCATGGTGGGAATAGTGTCTGGATGGCTGATGTTGAGCATACTCAGATCGTCGAGCGCCAATTCTGGCTGCCATTGTCCTATGACCAAGGCATGACCCGGTGCCTCGATTTCCGGTATGATCGTAACACCTCGCTGGGCACACTGTTGTTGGACACGATTGAATTGGTCGTAGGAATACGATTCATTGGCTCGTTTGTTTAATCCGGCCACGGCCGAGTCGTCGGACCAAAGGCGGAAAGCTGCGTATAGATCCATCGATTCTTCTCTTGAATATAGATCGACGTTGTTGTATAGATTGTCGCTGAGATGAACGTGAAACACGTTCTGCTTGAAGAATGAGAGATAAGAGCACATCTCGATCAAGAATTCGGGCGGGTAATAATGACGTCCAGCATCCAACTGGAACCAATTTCGTCTGTCAGCCATTGGGGGAGTAGTGCGATGGTATTTTCTTACCATAATGCCTCTATTCGCCCACCCAGGTGTATCTAGTCCGGATCCGTGTGGGAGCTTCTCTCCAGTCACCACGGCTGCCTGAATGAGAGACCGAGTCCCCCACCAAGCTCCCAGTGGACTTGCACCGGCAATTTCGATGCCGTTGCTGTGGATATTGAGAGAGTATGCTTCCGCAGTGGGACGTCCAGCGGCATCATGGAAACCAGTGTGGTTGGTCAGAGTAAGAAAAATCGAATTCGGCAAGGGATGCACGCCGAGATTGAGCGGCAGGCTCAGTCCTATTGAAGACTCGAGGTCCTCTTGGAAGGTCTCGGCGAATTGGTGGAGCGTTGGTGGTATCAACGTTTGTCCAGCGTGATCGACGGTGTTGGCATAGGCGACATCTACCACGATGCCGGTCAATTGGTCAAGGGAGTAGGTGTCATTGGTCTCGACAAAGGGCATGGTAGGAACTGTCACCAATCGAGTGTGTCCTGAGATAGGTGAGACTGGCTGCCAACAATTCAAGTGTCTGAATTTGGGGACAATTGGTCATACCCCTTGCACTCAGGGCGAGCAGCAGAGCTGAACCCCACGACCGATTCCAATGCATTGCGATGACTCAAGAGGAAAACTCCAATAACCGAGAGATACAGAGTGATCTACTCCTCGTCTACATCGCAAGGCAATATTTACAACCTGCGGGGACGAAGGGGAAGAAGGAGAGGGGAAGGCAGGAGCAGATCAGGCAAGCAAGGCGTCGATCCTTCATGTCACCTTCCTCCCTGGTCTCGAATCGACTTCATGGTACTTGGAGATACGACTGTCGTATTCAATAGACTGACTGGAGATGTTCTGCAACCTTTTTGAATTATTCTTATCCTTGGCCGTCAAAGCGGAAGGTGTGTACATCCTCGTCTTGGTAGCGCGAGTGGACTGCCTAGGGTAAGGCCTTCGCACTCGTAAATGCTGCATCAAATAGGCTTAGCAGGATTTTAGTATGCTAAAGTGCCGAAGCATTAATAATGATTTGTGCAACTATCTGGAGCTACTCCGGAGTATAGTAATCTCATTAGATAGCGGCTATGCTACCATCTGAAGGCACTTAACGTACTACCTGGTAGTCTAATGCTCCTGAATGACTACGAAGGACAAAGGTCTTGTGCTAGAGGTGTACTACGTAGCATCTAGTATTTTTCTGATATTCTTTTAGTATGTTGAACTCGGATTATCTAGTCTCTTATAACTCGCAGCTCCTGTCGTGGTTTGGCCCTGATCCTACTATGCCTATCATCAGTCCAGCCACTCTCTAATCCAGCCACGCATCCACTCCGGACGAATTACCTGCGACTCCTTTAATTCCTTGCTAAACCCTGCTGTCTTATCAGTCGAGAACCGCGCCACCCCGCTGGTGTCGACTCGACCAGCATTCGTCAGCAGCTGCTTGTAGAACCCGACTAACTTGGCTGCAGGATTCCGATCAATGTCAACTCCCACTCCCTCCGATCCGATCGAGGCTTGCAGTTTCCCAACCCACTCTTGCAAAGAAACGACGCTGACTTGCCCTGCTTGCGCATTCCGACCGGGCGTTTGCAACTCCTCTACAACGACGGGTATCATATCCTGCCACTGGACACGACGCGGATTCACGCAGTGGAAAACCCGAGCTCCCTTAGAACTGCCTTCAATCGCGTCCATGCGGAAATCTCCGGTGGCATTGGCAATCGAAAGTTCAGCCAGAATGGGCGCAAGGACATCCACAGGGATCCAGTCGATCTCGTCAAACTGCCCTTCGCCGCCCCCGAGGGAGGAAGGCAAGGCGCCCAGATCGAGCGAGCTAACAACCAAGCTGGGCAACCATTCGGACTTGTTCCAGCCGCGCGGATTCGTTGCAGTCCCGCAGATTTGACCGACGCGCGCAATCGCACAAGGTGTAGAGAGTTTCCGGCACGCGTAGTCCAGAATCCGCTCGGCGACGTACTTGCTCTCCCCGTAGCCCATGGTTGCTGTACACAGCGGGTCGGTAATGATTTCCTCGGGAATCCATGCGCCTGCGCCAGGCAGGGCCTTGTAGGAGCTGACGGCGGCGATGGAGGATAAGAACAGGAGGGATGGACGGCATCGGCCTTCCCGTGTGAGAGCGATCAGGTTCAGCAGCCCGGCAAGACTCGGCTTGAAGGAGTGCAGTGGCTGGATGAAGTTCACCGGCCAGGCGGCATGGATGATTTGCGTTACGGAGCTGACCAGGGCGTTGTAATCGTCGGCGTCAAGACCAAGTCTGTCTTTGGCTAGATCGACTGTAAGGAAGGTGACTTTCTCCTCGGAAAGAGCGTGAGTGAGATTCTTTCGCTTGTGGCCCGCAGCTTGGGAGGACCGGGGATCTTCCTCCTGAGGACGAGCACGGTTAAGACAATAGATGTGCGAAATCCCTGGGGTGGCTAGGAGGTGGTCGAGGAGGAATGACCCGACGATACCTGTCGAACCTGTCAAGATGATAACCTGTGGCACAGGGAGTGCCTGTGCTGCTATATCTGCAGTATTTGGGCCCGAAGCGAGTTGATCAATATGGTGCTCGTAACTGTGGAGCAGGCGCGACATGGTAATCATGCGATCATCCCCGGTGTCTGCAGGAGTATCGGAGTAAAGCACGGTCGCTAACCGATCGATTGACGCGCTCGCGTATATGGCACTTGGCGAGAGAAATACGGCTAGTGTAAACCGAATGGCAGCAGTAAGACGCAATGCCTGCAGTGAATCCATGCCCAAGGCGAAGAAGTCAGCGTGATTCTCGAACTCGCTCCAGGATGTCACTTCCGCAACTAGTGTTCGCAAAACCTGGATTGCTTCCTGCAGGCTGCTTAGTTTCTGCTTCGGGGGCTCCTGTATTTGCGTCTCCTCGTACAGAGCGTCAATCTCGTCCTGGTAGAGCTGGATAGTCCCCGCGCGCTGCACGGTGCCCTTCCCAGCCCGCAGCATGGGTTGTGCAGCATCCAGAACCAGGATCTTTGGCTTTGACACTTGTGCGTGTGCTGGACACTGAGCATTGGCTTCTTCAACAACCGGCCAGACTGCCTCAATCAGCTCAGCCTTTGCCGCATCGCTCAAGACCTCTGTCGTCACAGGCTCAATCAACAAACAGGCCTCGAAGCGCTGACTGCCGGCAACAAGCGCTGACCGGACATCCGGATGTCGCGAGACTTGCTGCTCAAACGTCACCGGGTTTGTCTTCTCGCCGTTCAGAAAGACAACAATATCATCCCGGCGGCCGCGGTGTCTCCAGAGGTTTGGAAGCGTCGGGTGAGGGCTGAACAGGTTCCTTGTCTCGTACTCGTCGAGACCCGGGAACATCGCAAAGATAGGCTGTGCCTCCAGATTTTGGGCTGACCGCACGAGGACCAGCTCGTGTAGGTCATCCATGCGCTGCCGGAACTGCGGCTGCACGGTTGGGTGGATGTAGAGATACTGCCAGGTCTCGGTGAAAGAGGGATCGGCGATGCGCAGCTGAGGGAGAGCAGAGAATTCGCTGGAGCCCAGCCCCGAGAAGACGGGGATCTCGGATGAAACGATCTTGCCTGCGGCTGATGGGAGAGCACCGCCCGTGTAGAAGATGTACTGGAGCTTGCTGGCGACGAGGTCCAGCGCAGCGGGGTCTTTGCTGAGATCATCGAGAATGACAGGGACGACGAACGCCCAGTTGAACGTGCCGTGTTTGACGGCCTCCAGGAAGGCATCGGTCGATGGGGGGCGGCCAGGAAGGGGCAAGACTGGGACACTCTGGCTGTACATTGACAAGATCATTGCGAAGCCCAGACCGGCAATCTAAAGATTCTGCTCTTAGATTTTTGACTGGAGTCAGACGGAGAAGGGAACTTACGTGGAAAGCCGGTAAGAAGGAGAACCACTCGCCCTGTAGGAAGTATTGATCGATGCGCGTCAGTCCATCGGGCGGCGGCAGAGTGGTGGCTGCGTACATGCGCCAGACAAACTCGTGGGTATAGATCAACGGCTTCGGAATGCCTGCACTATGTTAACAGCTAAGACCAGAACAGCATGGATGTGTCATATACATACCCGTGGACCCAGAAGTGTGCAGGACAAAGGCAGGCTCGTTCCGGGCCTCTTCGAATGTCTTTTCGTACGGGTACGCAGAAACATCCTGACTCGCGAGAAGATCGTCTAGGGATGGGATATGGATCACTTCGATCGGGTATTCACGCCGGAGGCTCGCAACGAACGGTGGCTCGGGGTCGGTGGTCACCAAGACGCGTGTATCCAAGCGCGAGAGAAGATGCTTCTGGGCTGCAATGCTGTTTCGGGGAGAAGGGAAAAATGGCTGGGTCGATTGTTAGCCGTCGAAATGCAGTTATATCATTCATCAGATGTCCAACCTTGTGTCCGGTCTTGATGGCTGCCAGGAGGACGATATGGTACCGAAGATCACCGGGACCCATATAAGCGAGGGTATCGAACATCCGACGGCTCCCAATGCTTGCGTCAAAGAGCCACGCCACGGAGTCCACGGCCTTGCGCATCTGGGAGTAGGTTGCAGCCCGGAATCCCTGTTCGTAGGAGGTGGGCGAGACGGGGAACTTGGCCCATACTTGGTCTGGCTGGCGTGCTGCACGGTGGTCAAGGAGGGCAGGCAGAAGCCTTGGTTCTTGGAAGTCCGTGGAGTTGCTCATGATGGGCAGTGCAGTCATTGAATCTGGCATATGCCTGGAGTGCGGCACTTTCAACAGGCCAGCACCTGGATTTATACCGAGGATTGTGGCCCTCTTACAGTCCAGAGCTGGCGACGCCATGAGGGATCATTGGGTACGGAGGCTTGCATCCCAGACAAAGAACGGTATGCTATGCTGGTCCCATCCAGGCTGAGCCTCAGTGGAACAGACATACTAGTGCTGACTGAAGGCTAACATTACAGCGTATCCATGAGCAATCAGACCAGGATTGAGTGTTGGAAATGTAGTCCGGCATGAGCGGAATCCCTTAGTGATTCTACTATCGAACCCGCTTTACATAGTGCCATAAGGCTCTGACGCCGGTGATGATATATATTATATGGTCCCCAAACCGTCGGCACCGATGGCTGGCTAAACAATATAATCTCGTGGGGTGAGCTAAAATGGGTCAGCCCTAGATGGTTAACTAGGAACTAGTAGGGTAACTTGTGTGATTTGTAGCTTACTGAACTAGTGGCCTGGTATGCCGGACTTCCGATAGCCTCACCTGCCAACTATTATTGCTCCTCATATGAACCACACCACCTGTCCATGGAGTTGATTTCTTTGTCGTTCTGGAGTAGTTGGAGGACTGTAGGTAGATGCAGTTGGCTCCATCTGCCTCATGATTGGATGCTCAGCGCCACCGACCGGCTGAAAACTCCACCGCGAGGAATTCCAGAGCTGAACTCCGCTCGACCTCTCCAAGCAGTTCAAGGGCAGCCACGTTCATCTCGTCCCCGACTCAGCATTAGCCTCCTAGACGAACAGGACAAACAGCCCGTATCGAACCCTCATTTCCACGAGATTCTACCGCCCTTGACCGCGCACCACTACGAGTCAAAGAATGAGGAGCTCTCCGCCACGGTAGACTCGCAAGATCGATCTACGACAACGAATCGATGGCGATGGACTTTGTTTTCATCAATGTGCGCGAGCCGAAAGATGCCCTGCAGCTAGCTAAAGAGCCTGAGATCCGCTCCCACGTGGCTCGCTATCAATGGAAACAGATCGAGAATCGTCCGTCGCATCCCACGCGGAAGGAAAACGCAAAGGCACCGGAGAAACGACCTCGGTCGACATGCATCGATCTGGATGGCTCCGATTTGCAGACTCGGGATGGTCCGTTCCCCGATGCGACGACGACTCAGCCTGCAACACCCTTTGGCGTAGTCCAGGCCGCCATCTCGATCCCGCCGCCGCTCGGTGGGATCCGCGTCGATCCTTTTCGATCTTACCCGATCTCCTTTCGGCCGTTCCTGCCACAGCTTGTGGATCACTGTAAGAAATAGCCATCTGTAGTTTGCCGCCGATGCGAGCGAACAGCTAACCGTGCCGCCGGCATCAGATCTCATGGGTATGGCGGTCGATATCCCCGAGCTAGACCAGCCCGGTAACCGGGGTCTTCTCCGAACCAGCTGGTTTCCGTTGGTAATGACCGAACCATCGCTTTTCCTGGTCATCATGTTGCTGGCCGGATCGCACTATGCCTCGGTGCAGGATCAGTCGGCGAACCTCAAGCTGGATCTTCTCCGTCTGCGGTGCGAGACCGTCAACGCCATCAACCACTCCTTGCAGTTCCAGCAGAAGGATGGCGTCAGCGACGCATTGGTGGGTGCCATCGCGAAGATGGCCAGCTACGAGGCCATGTTCGGCAGCATGGAGAACTACAGCGTGCACATGCATGGTCTCACTCGGGCGGTCGGTCTACGAGGCGGTCTCCCGTCGCTCGGACTGAACGGGCTCCTGCGGCGGATCGTAGTCTGGATAGACCGCAACGCGGCCTTCTTGCACGGATCGTCGCTCTATTTTCCTGGCGCGACCTTTGCGCCGGGGCAGGCCTTGCCGGATCCGAACCCTGGGCATTTCCTGGGAGCGTCCTGATCGTCACGGACATATCGGTGTATTTATGCAGTTTACGATGGAACGACCAGAAGATCTTTAGCCATAGAATCCACTTGCTTTCCCGCAGTAACCGGAATAGGACATCACCTTCTATCGCCTGACGTCGTTATTAAACCCAATTGGCCCTTTTTGGTGCAATCTGACTGAGGGCGACCAATCACAGTAGACTCTCTTCGGCAGATCGGATCCACAGAACACACTATGCCCGATCGGGATATCACATACTAACAAACTCACTGCTGCATCCGCATTTGGTCTCTCGGACTGGACGGAATTAAGGCCATTGCGGTGTCGAAACAAAGAGAACCTTAATGAGCTCATTCCACTGGATCTCGGCTTGTGTCGACTTATAAAAGGGTCCGGATAATCCCAATCAACCCGTCATACCACACCAAGCTCTCACCACTACCCACCTCGCCAATCGTCTATCATCTACCAATTCCTCACAATGTCTCTCACCGGCCAAGTCGCTCTCATCCCCGGCGGCGTCAAGAACCTCGGCGCCCAGACGGCCCGCGAACTGGCCGCCCAGGGCGCCAACCTGGCCCTGCACTACCACTCCGCCGGCAGCCAGTCCGACGCCTCCAGCCTCTCCGCCGAGCTGAAGCAGCAGTACCCGTCCCTGAAGATCGCAACCTACCAGGGCGATCTGACGCGCGCCGCCGCCGTGACCAAGCTGTTCCAAGACACGCTGAAGGACTTTGGCAAGATCGACATCGTCGTGAACACCGTCGGCAAGGTGCTGAAGAAGCCGATCACCGAGATTAGCGAGGAGGAGTACGATGAGATGTTTGCGTATGTGCCCTCGCCCCCTTCTCTCCTGGGTATCCCATTCCAGACCACCGTAATAACAAGTCCTTCCACACCGCAGCATCAACTCCAAAACCGCCTTCTTCGTCCTCAAAGAAGCCGCCGCGCACGTCTCCGACGGCGGCAAGATCATCACCATCGTGACGGCCCTGCTGGGCGCCTTCACGGGCTTCTACACCTCCTACGCCGGCAGCAAGGCTCCCGTGGAACACTTTACCCGGTATGTCTGTCCCGTTTTCTCGGGAGCGAAAGCCCCTCCCAGGCAAAGAAAGCAGTACTAATCCCATTGGAAACGACAGAGGCGTCTGCAAGGAACTTCAATCGCGCCGCGTCAGCGTGAACAACGTGGCTCCGGGGCCGATGGATACGCGTATGTCTCTCCCTCCTTCTTACTCTCTTGCGCCTGAATCTATTGGGCAAAAGCTAACCAGATCGCGACTCTAGCATTCTTCTACCCCCAGGAGTCTCCCGAGGCCGTCGAGTTCCACAAAGCCAACGGCATGGGCAACCGCCTCACCATGGTGCAGGACATCGCGCCGATCATCCGCTTCCTCTGCACCGAGGGGACCTGGATCACCGGGCAAACGATCTTTGCGAACGGTGGATATACCACTCGTTAGAGAGTTGGTTGGTTTTTAACCGATGGTTATGGTTTTGTATTAGCGGGAATATATTATATTACGGGACAAATTTAATAAAAAGATGTCATGTTCATTTCTCATATCATGTGCAGAATCAATATCAAGTCTAGTGTTCCGCCGGTGGCCTTTCAATCATCGACTCGACCGGACCAAAAGTCATGGGGTATAAATTTTACAAACAGAACCCTTCCAATCGCATATGTACAAAATATTTCGCGTCTAGAGGGCGGCGGCCGATCCCGCCTTGGCTCCCTTCTGGTCGGGAGACGGCGCGAATCCCAGATCCGTGGGATCGTCCGTCTTCGGCGTCGCGTCCCCGTCGTACGGGTACGGCTCGACTTCCTCGCCGTAGGCGACGGACAGGTTGTCGACATCGACGTCGACCTCGTTCCAGGTCTCGCTGGTGGCCGGCACCGGCCAGAATCGGGTCAGGATGTAGTACATGGTGAACGAGACGATCACGCCGGAGAAGTAGTTGATGTTGTAAATGTACTGGGCGCCCACCGGCACGGTGCGGCCCACGGCGCCGGCGAACCCGACGATGTTGACGAGGATGCCCGCCAGGTAGGAGGCGTATGCCTGCCACGAGAAGCCGTACACGTATCGGTAGGGCGAGTTTTTCCGGGCCGTGTACAGGTCCTTGACCTGCAAGTAACCCTTGCGGACGATGTAGTAGTCGCAGATCATCGGCCCGGCGATGGAGGACAGGAAGATAGAATAGGCGGAGAGATACGTGGTGAACTGGTTGGATGAAGACACCAAGTTCCACTACGTTTCAAGTTAGCCGAGAGATCACTCCAAAGCAAGATGACCAGGAAGCTTACCGGGCACATGGCCAAGCCGACGGCGGCGCAGACGTAACTACCACGTCGGATCGTGATGTATCGGGGAAGCAGCGCGGTCATGTCGGTACCAGCCGAGACCGAGTTGGCCGAAATGTTAGTGCCCAGCTGGGCCAAAGCGAAGCCCGTCGCGATCACAAAGATCCCAAAGCGCTCGGCAGAGCTCGCGCCTTCCAAGAACATGTTCAAGAGGTCGAGAGGATTCCACACCATCTCCCCTCCGAAGATCACAGCCGACGAGGACGACGCAATGATGCCGATGAATGAAGTAATCCCGAAGCCGATGGGGATAGTGAACAACTGGGACCACAGCGCATCCTTGGGCTTGTATGCAAACCTCGAGAAGTCGGGATCGTTGACGATCAGAGTAGCAAAGTTTCCCAGGCAGCTCATGATCGCCTTCACCACTGCCCAGGCCAACGCACTGCCATGCACGGTATTGGGCTGATGCACGATCGGCCCGATGCCATTGGCACGGCTGATAGACCAGGCGAAAAAGGCAATGGCCGCAATGGGGGAGTAGATGGCCTTGACGGTGAAGAGATGCCGGATTTTGTGGACGGGAAACCAGAGCGCGGGCAGCGAGAGGAGCCAAAAGAGGAAAAAGCTCACGAAACCCTTGGTATCGACCCCGGAACTTTCGGGGATGCTGTTGGGCAGGTTGGCATAGCTGGGCCAGATGGCGCTAATCATAATGGTCACACACTGGCCTGTTGGGTTGGATGCGTCAGAACTGTGTCATTGCGAGTATCGAATGGTCTGGCTCTCACCTCCGATGTAGCCCTGCACCCCGTACCAAATGACCGCCATGGCCGCCCGGTTGAAAACGGGCCAGAACGATCCCCAGATTCCAAACGTTGACCGACATACCACGGGGAAGGAGATGTGATAGACGGCACCGATGCGACCTGTCAAGCAAACAAAACACGCGGCTATAAAATAGCCTATCCAGACACAGAGCCAGGACTGCCACCAGGACAGTCCATCTACAATCATGGACGAGGAGATCATCCAAGTGTTCTGGTCCAGCCGTTAGTTAGCCTTCCGCGAAGCTTTCCGAGGAGCCGGTTCCGAGGGTCAGATCACATACAATGTTCAAGGAATCTGCAATCCAAAACGCAATAAAATTGTACCATCTCCACTGACGACGTTCGGGTTCAACTGCATCCGACGAAAAGCAGGAATTGGCACACGGTCAGCTGGCTGATCCACGACGGGAGAACGACCCTCGGAGAAGGCACGAGGAAAGGAAATAGGTAGCACAAGGGCGTCTCGAAGGAAATCGTCGGCCAGTGTCAGAATCTCACCTGGCCGTAAGTCATGGTTGGTCAACATCAGTTGCGTATTGGTCAACCCAGGCTCCGACGGCACCTCGAGCTTCTCGACCCATTGCCTCATTCGAGCCATGATGCAATGACGGCAATGACACACTCGCCGGGAGGGAATCCAGAGGGGATCGGATTGAGGAAGAGAAATGAGGAAGCGAGATCAAGCAGAGGCGAGATGTCGAGAGAGCGTCGAGGGCCGCGAAGGACCGGGGGGGGGTGTCAGGATATAAAACCGAAAGAACGCGAGGCCCAAGGACAGCGGTGACCGGGCAGGTCATACCTATCGTCTTGTCCCATCTCATAATCATATCATGTTTCTCTTTGACCCTCCTTTAGTCACGACGGACAACGAACGGGCGACAGCCATATCGTCATGATCGACTGGGAGCCAATCAGGGCGGCGACAGGGTGATATCGAGCCATATCAGCTGTTATCATGAGAGGCCGGGATGGGATCCCTGACGAGTCAAAATTATGGGGGACGACGATAAGCCGAGTGCCAATAGGTTGTCGCAGCCCTCCTCGAGCCACGGGGCGCTGGGCAGACGGGATTTTCGGTTGCTCGATTCGCTCGAGTAAGAGCAAACGTTATCAGCGATAGGAATCCACTTTGGCTGCTTGCGGAGAAGACGGTGGATCGGGGCGTATCTACCTGGTAGGTAATCACTTACTCGATGCCATCGAGTCACCACCGCCGCCGCTCCACCCGCTCGCGGCGGATTGGCTGCGGCCCTCCGGTCGGTCGTCGGGAAGTCCGGGGTGGTCGTCACGTGAGCCTCCGACCGGAGTCCTCTTTATCTGGAGTTTTATCTGGAGTTCCAGACTTTGTCGTCTTCTCCTACACTAGTCGCCCCCGGGTTCTCGGGGTATCCATCCTGTGAAGATTCCACCGTGCATCAAACAACTCGCAAAGTGTGGTATATTATGCGCTAAAATCAACCGCCCTCCGTTCTATCCGTCTATCGCCCCCATCAGATGAACTATGAACTATGAACAATGAACAAGAAACAATGAACGTGAATGATCTACCCCTGGTTCCACTTGCCAAACTTCATATAATCATCGTACAACCCCTTGAACACCGCCCGTCCTGACACGTCCAGGCCGGCATTCAGCGCCCGCATCGTATCCCGCGACATGACGTCCAGCACCGAGTACAACCCCGGCATGATGGCCGCCTTGACCTCGGGCGCTAGCGTCCCCCGTAAGGAGCTTTGCGCATACTCCATAACCAGGTACTGCAGGTACTGCCCCGCAATCCGTTTGGCCTTCTTGGTCTGGTCCGTCAGCCCCTCGTAGCCCACCCCGGACTGCGTCGGTCGCGACACCGCCGATACCGTGGGATCGCACAGGGAGGTGAGAAGTCGCGTGAAGTGCACCGCATGGGCCGCGTCGAGGGAAGCCAGCCAGAAAGGTTGTTCGGCCTGTCGCTTCTCCGAGAGCATGGATCGGCTGCGCTTGCGGGATCGAGCAAACAGGCAATTCAGCAGTCGCTGCATGGCAGGAAGGATGAGGTGGAACCGTCCTCCCAGCTTCTGGCGATGGATGCTCAGAAGAGCCCCCATGATCCGGCAGAGTCGGATGTAGATCGTGGCCGAGAATTCCGGGTTGATGCGCGGCCCGGCTTTGGAGGCGCACACTGCAACGCAGGCCAGCAGACCATCGATGTTCCATTGACTGATGCAGCGCGTATGGTTGCGCAGCAGGATGTCCAGGCACTCGGTGCCGAAGGTGAATTGCTCGATCGATTTGCTGCGCGACACCGACTCCGTCACCGCCGTACACAAGAGTGACAGCTCCCGAGCCGCATCATTGTCCTTGTCTTCAACGGGGGCAAGAGATGCCACGGCCAGCCCGCAGATGAGCAGGTGGTATTCGGCACTGTCGCCGAGGAACCCAAGCTCCCGAATATCGCGGATCACGCGGGTAAGCTCGTCCGACGTCAAAGATCGGAACCGTGCACTTGTCGACCGAATAAACAGACGTTGCTCTTCGCCGTACATTTGTCGCAGCGGAAGGGCTTCTGCATACTGGATGACAGGGAGCGTAATGCTCTTGTCCGCGCCCCGACCGGCGAGAACGCGACGCCGGATCAGTCGTCGTAGGGAGGACCCGGAGTCGATGGATTTTTCCACGTAGCTTTCAATCTTAGACAGAAACTTTTCCACCTCCGTGTGATCGGTGGCAAGATCTTCGAAATCCTCCAGTGCGTCGAGGATCTTGATCAGCGTGATGGTTTCCTCGAGCTTCTGCTTCTTGCATTTGTCTTTGACGGACTTCACCTCCGCCACGACAAGCTCAAACACCTTCTGCCGACAGCTTGCCAGCTCTTCCTCGTCAAAGATGCCGGAAAGACTCTTGCGATGAAGCCAAAGCTGGGACAGCGATATCCGGATGAAGAAACAGTCCATTGAGTCGCGATCGATCGATCGTAATTTGGATGCCTTGGAGGATACCTTGCGATACATCTTCTTGAACATTTTGCGGCGGTCGTCCTCGGACAAGACCAGCAGTTTCGCCACGATGGCTCGGTGTAGATTGCGGAACGCTTTCATGATCTGGAGATCAACGTCGCTTCCTCGCAAGGAAACGGCTTTGGCCACGGTCCACATTGGCTCCCAGTCGCTGGTGAGAATGGCTGCAGACTTGGGCATGTCGGCCAGCTTCGCCATCAAGGACAGTAGCCCCACGGTGACTTCGGGCGTGCTGACTTCCTGCAAAACAACGTTTTGCATCAGATCCAAGAGAACTGCTCTTTGATGACGGGTGACAAGCGGGGCGGGGATCCTCTGAAGACTCTCGACATATAGCTGGCGGTTTGAGGTAGCGTCTTTAACGGGCCCCGTGAGCACGTGTATCAAGTCCGCGACAATTATGGGGGCATTGAAGAGATATTCGTGGCAAACAACGCTAACCCATGCTTGCAAGAATCTCGCTCCCGCCGGAGCAGTTTCTAGGATGGACGACGATGGGTTGTATTGTGATGTCGCCAAGGTGAGCACATGCTGAAGCAAAGACCGGCGACTGTCAATCTCGATAACGGGCCAAATCTCCGGACTCCGAACGATAGCCAGGAAATAAGCCAGAGCAAGGGTGATGGGAGAAGTAAGAGTCTCGGCCCGCCCATCCCATGGGGAGTCCATCGACTGCAAAGCATCCTTCGTGGAGCTCGATCGAAGAAAGCTTGCGACGTCCTTTGTGAGTGTGTTGAACTTGTCGACATTGCTAGATTCGGGAGATGCTTTGACCGAGGCGAGGGTAAATCGGTATGCCTCAAAACACTCCAACGGGGCACACGGCTTCTGCACCTGATCCTTCTGATGGCGCCGGATCGATTTGGCGGCAGCATCCGTGAATCCCATGATCGTAGCACCACGGTTGCCATCAGCAAACTGGCCATTATTTTCGAGGAGATTTCGAACAAGTCTCCATAACCGCCACCTCCAATGGAGGCTCTGTTTCGAAGGCAAGGTGGAGGCCAACGTTTCAATGACGACGTCCAAGTCTTCATTTGAGGCCGTAGAATACAACGTGCGACTTCTCAGGCCCGCCTCTAGAATCAAAAACTGGGCGTAGGCTGTAGGTGTAGCCGATATCTTACCATCTTTGCCCTTGACTTCTGCAGCCGCGGCGTGCATCTGCGCTGCAGCATGCGCATGGGTGAGAGGATTGCGCATCAGTTCACTGTAAATGTTGCAAACATCGTCATCCTCCCAGACAGAAAACAGGCTCAAGTTGCTGTCCTGCGATCGCGCCTCCTCGATATTAATTAGCTGCTCGGTCCACAACTGCATGAATGTTGCCAAATCTCGGGCAGCCACAAATCCTCGCAACAAGGGAATCACGATGCCATTCTTTATAACGTCGTAACTTTCATGAGTGCGGGGCACGCCACTGCGCCAATGTAAATGAACTTTCTCAAGTAGAGCTTTGAGAAGTTTGGTCGAATCAGGTAGGCCAGAGTTGGGCAAAAAGATGTCGGCACCCAGGTCAATAAGCAACGTCGTGAGGCTCCACTCAACTTGCGCCAAACCATCCTTCAGCACGCCCGTGTACACAGCATGCGTAAGCAAGGTATGGAGAGATAGCTGCACATTCCGAGAAAGAACCACGCGGAAAAGACGTTCAAGGATGCCGACGAATTCTGGGAGGTAAATATTTGCATCTTCTGCCTTCACGATCCAATACGCAAGCTCAGCAACAGCCACAAACAGGGTCTCTAGCCACGGAGCCTCGTGTGTCTGCCTTCGAAATGTGTCTCTGGGCACCGAACGAGATGCGATGTCAAAGAATTCTGGTAATAATTCCGCAGTCTTCCATAGCGTCTTTGTCGTAGTGTTTGTGCTTTCGCCAGTGGCGCCAGCGGAGTCCGCCCCACACAGAATCGGCTTGAAAGTGTCGGAAACGGGCTTGACTGGACTCCAGTCCGGCTCACTCGCCGAATAATCTATGCCGGAGCCTCCTCGGTCGTAAAATGCTGCTCGAGCTGGGAGCACCACGTGAAGGGCAATCAAACGCTCCACCCCCTGTAGAACTTGGGCTCTCTCGTCCGTGTCTAGTCGGACAGATCGCACGCAGAGGTGCAATCTCAATGCACTCTGGAAGCAAACCTTGGCAAAAGATTCCTACTAAGTGTTAGCACCTGGAGAATCCCAGTTATCCTAATCATCCAAACTTACGTTACTTGATCCACTGTCTGAGTCATTTCGGCGATAAGATCTCAGTTCCCACAGCTCCAATACTGCCGGAAGCACATACAAAAGATGTTGCAGATCGGTCGTCTTCCGCGCGTGAGAGAATTGGTTAGTGGCCACAGCAGCAATCCTGAACGACTTGCCCAACGTCAAAGCAATCGATTCGGGCTCTCCCTTCAGAGCATGTCTCAAGTGAGCGCTGGCCACTTCCTCAATCCCCAATGTCCGACTGGCCAGGTTGACCAGACTGTACAAGCAATCCAGGGCGCGAATGAAGGTCAAGAAACACGAAGTCGGCGTTTGCGGCTGTTCATCGATGTCCATGGCATCTGGTTCTCCATCACCGGGCCTCTTCCTTTTGGTTCCCTTCTTGTCGTACTTCCCCGCGTCCTGCGTCGAATCGCTGAGCGTCTTGCTCGATTCCGAGTCCGAGCGAAGAAACTCCGTCGTCCCATTCTCCAGTCCGGCAAAAACGTCGTCCTCCAAGTCGGTGATCGCGTGGCTGAGGATGCCCAAGAATTTCTGATCTTTCAGTGTAATCGCCAACGTCTTCGGGGGGATCAGGTCAATGAGCTGTCGCAACAACAGAAACGAGGCAGGCTCGACGCGGTAGTTCTTGCCCGCCTTCAGCTTCTTCAGCAGCCATCGCAGCACCCATTCTTCCTTCGGAGCGGCCTTGGTCTGGATATGAGGGGTTCGGTTGATTTCGGGGTGACTCGCGCACAGGGCCAGGTCGAGTCCAATTATCTGGGCGGCCTCATTCAGCTGAACAGTCGGAGAGCCGGAGCCCTTTTCGAGTCGAAGTAGAGCCTCTTGCGACGAGCGCGGACGCTGGAGAGAAACACAGTACAATTTAGCCGGATATACATTTTTCAAGGACCCCATGGAGAGAACAGCAGGCAGGAACGTGCAAAGCAAACAAGAGGAAACCCACCTCCGCAACAGACGGCATTTCGGAGAGCGATCGAATGACAATCTAGAACCGTCCGATCGGGGAGTATCCAAGGTGGTCGCGCGGGTCAAGTCGACATAACCCGTGGGAGCAGGGAATCAATCGAGGAGAAGGGAAAAAAAAGTAGGCGCGCCCGTGACGCCAGACCACCGCCAAGACCGGGTTTTTCCCCGACCGCCTTTGGCCCGGCAGAGCTCGACCTTCCCGATCGCTTCCATCGTCGCTCTCCCTGTCTGCTCCTCTTCATTCCTGCGTTTCATTGGCATTGCTCTGCCCTCGCCTCTGTTTTTGTTACCCCTCCGTCGTCTACTGCAGACCGTGTGTTCCCCCGTCCCGGTGCTCTGGAGGTCCGCACTAACGCTCCGGTCGCAGATCTATCACAATGGCCGACAACAACGGTTCCCAGCCCATCGCCCGGGCCACTAAGCCCGTCAGTGAGGCGTTGCTGAACGAGAAGGTATGGTCTACGCCCGATGAGAATTCAATGCCTTACGTCAATGGCCTTCCGCGTGGCCTGTGGTTATACTCGGAACAACGAGGACTCGTGCGATCTTGAAAATGTTTGAGCGTCGGGCTAACACGGAACGTCTATGGCTACGATAATAATAGTGGGACCGCGCCATCTCCTCCATGATCATCCGCTCCTCCCTCGGTCTTTCTTTCGGTGTTGTCTTCTCTGTGCTCCTGTTCAAGCGGAGGGCTTGGCCCGCGTGGGTCGGTCTGGGTTTCGGTGCCGGACGTGCGTGGGAAGAGGCTGATTGTATGTTCAATATCCCGAGTTCGATGGCAGGGCTACCTGTCTCGCTATTATCTGGGGGAACTGGTGATCGTTGCTAACGGCTGTCTTGTAGCTTCTTTCCGTCGGGGCGACTCGCCCGTGAGAGACGCTCTGCGTAAGTAAAGGGTCAACATCTGGTTGTGTATGATACCTGTATAGCCGGAGGGAATCAAATTAGATTGAGGTGCCATCCCCTGCAGTTTAGATGGAAGACTCTAGACTTGACCTATATTTTGACGCAATTCATCCTTGTTATACCAGCCTTTTAGGCGTGTTCTTCATGTGGTTCAGCTGATCGGGAGAATGTCGGTTTTTGCAAGTCAAATACATCACGCGCCAATTCTGGCGATGATTCTAACGGAGAAGAAAAGTTCTTGATAACGGCAAATATCTATGCCTAGGATTCATTCGGGCATTCTCGTCCAGACAGAAATAAGCTTTCAAAAACCAATAAGCCACCATCTATCAAAAGATATATATACTGAGAAATCACAGCCGATATAGATATGTAGAGGCCAGAAGCAACACAGATTAAGAAGAAAGAGAGGGGAGGACAACGCGACTTTTTGAATTTGGAAGAAATAGACTGACGTAACAAGCAAAGAAAAGCAAGAAAAACAGTTCTAGTGTCCAGCATCTATGCGGGGGTATCATGATCATCAGTCGTCCGAATGGCAGGCTCGACATCGAAAAGTAAACAAGAAAAGGGGAAATATGTGCATGGGTAGAATCAGAAGACTCAAATAGCAGAAAGGCTTTAGAGCATGGATGTTGAAGAGGGAGGAATGCCGCTCATAGCATCACCCTTATAAGTGCTGCTGTCCGGCTCCCCTGCCGTCACCGTTGTAGCTTCGATACTAGCTGCAGTTGTGGCCTCCAAAGAAAAGCCATCATGGCCACTGTGGGTGAGGCAGCCAACACAACAACAGTCATTCCCACACTGGCAACTTCCCGTCACATCAGAGCACCCAGATGGCAATCCTACCGGATATTCAAGAGTGTAATACTCCGAAGGCTCCATGAGATTTTGTCCGGATGTGTACTCGGCAGGTGGTGAGGAATAGCCATTGCTGAGCTGGTTCGAGGTCGTACCCAATTCTCCATAAGTCTGCATGCCCATGTGTGGCGTGCTGCTGGGCATGGTATGATTAAACGCTGGAAGTGAATAATCCACCGGTGGCACACCTGGATAGTTGCCATGTACTGGTGGGCTTTGAAAACCGTTGAATCCTTCTAGGGTTTGCTCTCCATCGAGGGCAACCAACAAGCCCATTTCTTGAACGTGCTGTCTCGTTGTATTGTTGAAAGGATGAGAAGCACAACCAAGGCACTGACAACCTTCGCCGCAGCTACAGTCATGAGCAGGTTCGTTGTCGAAGCTACCCGGTGTCGGGTGAAGGTTTTGCGGCTCGTGCGGCAGGGACGATGGCAAGACAGACTGGTTGAATTCGATGTTGCTAGAAATGCCACCGTTGGGAAACCCGAAAGAGCCATTCGATGGCATTTGAGACAGGTAGTTGTGATGATATGCAGAGGTTCCAGTCTGCGGCTGGTCAAATGAGAAAGGGCCGATGTATTGATTCTGTCCAGTTGCTTGAAAGTCCTGCCAGGGAGAGAAGGGTGGTGCCGATACTGGGGTATAAGAGTTCCCATTCAGCGATGAAGTATAGGAAACATCCCGACGTTCGCTTGACTCCCCCTCGAAGTGGCCATTCTTTACGGGAGAATCGGACTTTTTGCAACAACTCTTTGGTTGGGGCGGTGGTGTCGGCTGCTTCGACTTCCCCGAACAACAGCTCCCACCTTGAGGTTTAGTATTCTCCGGCAGAGTCGCTCTTTGGGGCTGGAAAGCACCTGGGGTGTCGGCACCAAGACCCAAGCTATCTGGAGAATTGCCTGAGTATGGAGACAGGCCGCTTGGCTTTCCATTTACTGTCTGCTGCTCCTTGAAGTCCGGGATCGAATGCAGGGCTTTCGCGATAGTTTCTGGAGCCGTTTTGACTTGTCGCTTGGAAGACTTTTGGATTTTTCCAGGACCAGGAGACGGTGTAGGAGCAAGAGGAGCTGGGGTTGGAGTCATGGCCGGAGCTGGATCGCCCGGGTCCACGGGTACTTGATATACTGGTCTACATAGACAAGTAGTTCCTGTGCGATAGGGTCAGATGTTAGGCGATCCCCAAAATGACGATCCAAAACCACTGACCTTTTGGTATGCGGATCATAAACGCATACGACTTTTGACAGCTGCACGTGCCTTTCGGGTGAGGGCATTTAGCAAGAGGTCGCCCGGCTTTGGGGACTTTCATCATCAGCCTATCGAAATGCTGACATTTTGAGGAGCGATGGCCACGAATACACGGCTCGCTAAACACACCGACGCAGATCCAGATCAGTCCAGTGTCCACCGATGAGCGACTGCGAGTGACTTCTTACCATGACCATTTAGCGCCTTCTTCGTCCAAAGGCATATTGCCAGAATGATGATCGTGTGAGCAAACTCAAACAGAAAGCATCTGTCGCCCACAGGCCTGAGGATATCGATTGAGAAGTGCGCCGCGACGACACACCTATCGTTGCCAGAGAAAACTTGCTCAAAAAGGAGCGCCTACTCCACCGCAACCAATGCGGTGTCTGACCTTGGCCTCCACCTCGAGAATCACTCAGAAATTAATGCGACACCCCCTGAATCGGCTGAAATTTCATCGGGACCCTATTCGCGTTACAATATTAGGTCCAGAATGTTGGATTCAAGAGATCGCGGTAACCCGTGGACCAGCGCGACGTCTATGATAACGAGACTGGCGGGCGGGACGAATCGGTTCACTTCGGGGCAAGCGAATGGTCTGATGCGACGACGCAGTCCGAGGCCAATACAAGAGCAGAAGGCGTAAGCGGACGTCGGCGAACGGGATTATTAAAGAACAGCAGCTGGATGGGCTTTTAGTTTCCCACATGCCCCGCTAGAAGACAAGTGAACGGCGAGGAAGTGCGGGGAGGCACAAATGCAATCCAATCGACGCCTCGACGGAATGTGAAGATTGGATTGCATAATCAGGCCTGGCGGCACGGGCCTCAGGCACGTGTGGATACCTCGACACCTCGACACCTCGGTGCCTGTGTCGCTGCCTTTATGCCTGAGGCTTGGCACCGGCCTGCAAATCGGCGGAGTTCGACGTCCAGAATTCGGTCTTTGCATCACCACGACGATCCGCGAATTGTTGGGCTCTGCCGTATCTCGCTCCTCGGATTCTTCTTCGGTCATATCGTCTCTTCGTCTCTCACATCTCAATGCCCAACGAAGGCCGTGATCCCGCCGGCCAGGAGCCGAGCAACTCGGTCTCGCGCGCGCGGGACTATTTCTCCATCCCTGCTCCGATCAAACGCATCTTCGACCAATTTCCTCTCGTCACACTCCCTCCTAATGACCTTCCTCAGCGCACGGGGACATCTCGCCGCGGAAACAGCCTCTTTGTTTTCACAGACGCAGCAGGAGCCCGCCGGGGTCGACCGTCGTTCAACCCGCAATGTCTCAAGTGGCAGGTTTGTCATTTACCCCGGCATCATACACGTTGATTGAGCGCTTGTTCCTCACACCTCTTCGCTTTTTTCTATAGGCCTACTTGAAATTTGTCGGGATCGACTTCGACATCGTTACATCGAACAACCACGCGTCGCCTACCGGTGCCCTTCCTTTCCTTCTCCCCGCTCAGTCGCTGCAAGCCAATGCCCCGATACCTTCCAACAAACTACAAAAATGGGCCATTGAGCAAGTACACTGTGAGGAGGAACAGCAGCTCGACGTGCGCTTTGAGGTCTATGCATCGCTGCTAGACCACCGGATACGGAATGCTTGGGTGCGTGGTCTTGACCGGGAATATCTATGCTCAAATAATTACTGACTTCAAAATAGCTGTACTCCCTCTATTTGGATGAAGCAAACTTCGAGGCCGTGGCAAAGCGACTCTACGTGAAACCCGCGACGACCAATTCGCTGGTCCGGGCCACTCTTTCTTTACAACTCCAACAGGCCGCTCGGGAAGAAATCCTCAAGTCGTCGCAGTATATCGATGTCAGTGCGCTGGAGGCGGAGGCGGCCGATGCATTTGAGGCCCTCTCAACGCTTCTCGGGGACCAGCTCCACTTCTTCGGTCGATCGAACCCAGGATTGTTCGATGCCAGTGTGTTCGCATACACACACCTAATCCTAGACGAGGGAATGGGGTGGAAACGCAATCGACTGGGGCAGCTATTGCAGCAGCATGAAAATCTTGTACAACACCGTGAACGCCTACTCAAATTCTTCTAAGCTGGGACTGAATAAGTGGGCACTGTCTTTGGCTGCGCTCGTTCAAACCACCCAGATGTCTTAATCATGTATATTACTAGCATTCACAATCGTCAGGCCTCGAGAACCCATAAACCAGGGCCTTGAATCCAGCAAGAAAGAAAGAAAACTTCATACAGCATTCCTCCTAAAACAAATTCCAAACCACACCTTGATGCCAATCCATTTTTTCGCTCTCCTGCCCAGCACCTCTGCCATATTCTCATCCACCGTCCTTTCGCGCACCCTCTCCCCATCCACCTCCTCGACCGTGAACCCGGCCTTCTGCGCCGCATCCACCACCTCGTCCACCGTATGCGAATAGCTCGTCGGCCGAATCTTCGTGCCCGTCGCCGCATCCACAAACCCAGCCTGGCTGATCGCTCCCATGTCCGAATGCATATTCGTGACCAACAAATATCCCCCCGGCACCACCAGTGCCGCTGCTCCCTCAAAGAACTGCGCCACGGGAATATGCTCCAGCACCAGCGTCGAGATCACCCCCGCAGCACCCACAGCACATCCCGGCGGTCGAGGCGGCGACTGCAGCAGATCGAACGTATCCAGCGACACGCACACGTCCTCGACACTCGTCTCTTTGCGGATCGTCTGCCGCGCAACCTCCAACATCCCTGGCGAGGCATCCACCCCGACGATTTCGGTGCCCGGGGTAGCCAGTTTCGCTAACTGGAGGGTATTTCGACCGGTGCCGCAGCCTAGGTCGACGAGCTTTCTTGAGTTGGTAGACGCTGCTCGACTTAGAAAGGTCGGAAGCAATCGGCTCATCTCAATGGTATCAAGGGCCTGCAGGAAGTTTCCGTCGGTGTCGTAGACCTGGATAATTTAGTTATTTTTAGTAATCCAATAAACCATCTCATCTACTTCTATAACCAATCGAATCGCAAATTATCATTGTATTGTACATACCTCTGCCCATCGATTATACGCCTCGACAGTCTCCACATACTCAACCGGCTTAGAACCTGGGGTATTGGTATGACTCGCCAATGTATTCTGGATGGTATTCGCCATGATGCTTGCTGCAGAAGTTTCGGGTGCAAAATAAATCACAGCAGAAAAAGCTTGGAACCAAATATAAGAAGAAAGAAAAAAAAAAACCTTTCCGTAAAAAAAAAAAAAAAGCACTTAGTAGTTTTCGTCCAGAAGAGCCACCTGATGAGTCATATTTTGACTCCTCGATACGAAGAATGTTCCGAGGTTACCTGCATATGGGATTTTGGGCGTTAGCGCCTTCTGCAGGGTACGGAACACGTTCGGATCCTGCATGGGACATGTAGATTCATGTCAATTGCCACTGGCTGCATCGGCTTGCAGTAGACACGTTTAAATGACAAACCCCGAGCACGAGACGATGTGCTTGAAAGAATACAGCTTTGGATAGAATGCATTTTATATTAGAAACTGTATTGATGAAGCTGAAGGCTGATTCCATTTTACATCATCGGTCGAGATAAGCAGGTCATTGCTCTCGCGCGGTCACAAACATGAGACATGAGACATGACATCAGGATAAAAGAAAAAGGCTCATAAGTCATAGGTATGAAGGAGAGACATGATAGTGAGCATGAGAAGAGGAAGCAAGTCGGTGGCAAAGACCGTACCAGACGGGATAAGAGAAATGCAGAAGTAACAAGACAGAGAACATGAAAGAACGAAGACAATGACACAAGGAAATCGAGTGTAACAGAACCAGAGGCAAAGACATAGACAAGCCAGCCAACAATTCCATACACCATACACGCTTCATCGCTGAATATACAGAAAGAAATTAAAGAGAATAAGCAAGTGAAGCAGAAAAAAAGAATGGGTCAAGGTCAGACGGCGCATCTCAGACCTGCTAGCAAACCGTTGCCCCGAACGGCGCAGTCTCCTTAAGATCCTCTACCAGGTCTGCCACATTGTTCAAATATCTTCCCAGCAGGGATTGCTTTTCGTCGGTTGTGCGCGTATCTCGCGGGACTTTCGAATGGGACTGAGCGGGTGCGTGGACGCTTCTCGATACCGGCGCGGCCAATTTGCTTGGGCTGCGCTGATGGCCACCCACTGCGGTATTGGGTGCACTGACCGCTACGCCGTTCGGCATTAGCGGCGTTTCCGGCATCAGATAAAAGTACAGGAATTCGACCAGTTTGAGTTTCACTTCGCGGGAGGTTGCGCGTTGTTTGAAAAGCGACGTCACCGTGAGGAGTCCATCGAGATCCTCAAACGTGCGGGTATTGGTGGGATGGTCCAGAAGCGCGGTCACCAGGGTGAGGAGTGTCGCGGATTGGATGGCGGGGCAGTTGATCGGGTCGAGGAGGTCCAATAGTAGGTTCATGTAAATTTCGCGCGCGAAAAGCGTCCGCGACGGAGGGTGGAGAAGAAGCGCGCCTTGGATCAAGTCGAGGGTGGAGATGATGAGAAGGTCGTTGGTGCCGTTGCTGCCTCGGCCAAGGAGATGTTCCAGGCACGTCACCAGACGCATTGCCACTGTTCGGACCTCGTCAACATCGGAATCATTTGGGTAACCCAGCAGTCGGCTTCACGCCGGGTCGGACTGGCTCCTTACCGTTCCATTGAAACCCCTCCTGCAGCTTGAAGAATTCTCTGAATGCGGGATCATCTTTGAGCTCCGAGAGGGCCTTGGGCACCGGTTGTGGAGCTCCAAAGGATAGAAGCGACCTCCGTTTGTCAGACGCCGGCTGTTTCGACTTGGATAAACATATTTGTGCGAGAAGGCCTTCGACCTGGCGTAACCCTTTGCGAACTTTGCTTGGCTCGTACGAGGAGAGATAATCAAACGAATGGGCCAACAAGGTCTCCATTGGGCGGGAAAGATGATGTGTAAAACCAGAGAATAGGAGATAAAAACGGCTTTGTGATGGGTAACAATGCGAGGATGCAAACGGGCAGAAGAAAGAAAAAAAGAAAAAATGGAGAAATGGGAGACAGCAAAGATGAAGCTCGGCCCCTGTGCCAAGAAGGAGATGACGGTGTTTATTATCTAGAACAGGGCCAGAAGGAGAAAATAGAACACGCTCCGGCCAGGCCAGGGACCCCAGGACCCTAATTTAATTGGAATTATTGACGATAGAGAATAGCTTGTTCGCGAAAAATAACCCTTTTACCCAAGTTGTCGCTCATCTTCAGCTGATCGTGCCGACAGCAGCACTAGTGAGCGTTTAGTGCTTCTGCCCCCCACATCTGGCAGGAAAACTTGCGATGGTTGCCCCGGGAAACGCGCGGTCGTCATCAGCTTGGGGGCGCTTGGAGGAAGCCGGATGGTTAAGATAAGGTGTTGGCTGCTGCCATGATGTCAGGTTCAGCAGCGCCACATGCTCCCCAAACAAAGCCCCGATTGTTTGATCTTATTTCCGGGCCTTCTCCGTTGGCCACATCCGCATCTCAATTATTCCAACACTACTGCGTGTTGTCGCCCGAAGGTTGACCCGAAACGAGGCCCCAAGTTTGCGATCCCTCGCTGCGGGAGGTCTCAAATGGAGGGGTGGCTCCTTGCATGTTCGCTTAGAGAGTCACATTGTCCATCCCTAGCCGGTGACACAGTGAAAGTGGCTGCAGCCTACCCCGGTCGAACTTGTCGGAGTCCGGAGTATTCGTGTTATGGGGGGTGATGCTGATGGGGATGGAGAAGCAAAGCCAAGAAGCCGGCGAGACGAAGGAGCGCCACCGCCTTTGTCGGGCACGTGATCTGCATGTGATCTGGCGGGCGCCAGCGTCTCCCCGCATGTCTTCATTGGTGGTCTTCTGATGCCTGCAGCTCTCTATATAACACCTCCTCTTTCCCAACATGACCAGGCCGGTCGCTTCTCTTTGCCGCCGGGTTCTTGATAACTGAACATCTGGCTCTCTCTTTGATTCCACTCACCGACAGGGCAGGAACGACCGGCAAAGTCCACCATGTCGTCCTCGGAATCTTCTTCCTTCCATCCCCCCACTTCTATTCCTCCGCGCACAAGCTCAGCTGGTATGGTCGACTGCATTCATTCACACCCCTATTTATCGCGCATTTTTAACGGGTTGACGGCAATCCCGGAAACAGGTCGCCTATCTATGAACGGAGACTCTCTTCAAACGAACATGGATCCTTCGCGCCGGCACACCCGCAACGTGTCCAGCTTGGATGGGACGAAACACAAGGATGGCCAATGGTCTCACGAGAACGAGCGCATCTTGATGGGGCCCTATGACTACATGGTACAACACCCGGGTAAGGACATTCGACGGCAGCTCATAAACGCCTTCGATGCCTGGCTGAAGGTTCCCTCGGAGAGTCTCGTGATCATCAACAAGGTGGTAGCCATGCTGCACACGGCTTCGTTATTGTACGATGAACCCCCTCCACCCCCGCATGACAACTCCGAGGCCGACACTAATGGAACGCTCCCATCGGATAGAATCGACGACGTCGAAGACGACTCTGTCCTCCGGCGTGGAATTCCCGTGGCCCACAACATATTTGGCACCGCGCAAACCATCAATTCGGCGAACTACGTGTATTTCCTGGCTCTCCAAGAGGTCCAGAAGTTGAACAACCCTACGGCGATCAACATCTACGTTCAGGAACTACTCAATCTTCACCGTGGTCAGGGGATGGACCTCTTTTGGCGAGACACGCTCACTTGCCCCAGCGAGGAGGAATACCTGGAGATGGTCGGGAATAAAACCGGGGGTCTGTTCCGACTGGCGGTGAAATTGATGCAGGCCGAAAGTAGCACGGGGAAGGACTGTGTGAGCCTGGTCAACGTGCTAGGATTGATCTTCCAGATCTGTGATGACTACCTGAACCTGTCCAACACCACATACACCAAACATAAAGGTCTCTGCGAGGACCTTACGGAGGGGAAATTCTCGTTCCCCATCATACACAGCATTCGCTCGAACCCCAAAAACCTCCAGCTTATCAACATTCTCAAGCAGCGGACTAAGGATGACGAGGTCAAGTTGTATGCAAGAAGCTATATGGAGAGCACCGGCAGCTTTACACACACGCAGGAAGTAGTTCGGGATCTGCATAAGAAGGCGTTGAAGCTGATAGACGACATCGAGGCCAGCGGGACTGGTAAGAATCCCGAGGGGCGTGATGATGGCGAGATGGTACGATTGATCCTCAACAAGATCACCGAGGCGACATTGAACGCCGATGGGCCCAGTCAATAGGCTGGGCTAGTTTTCTCGTCTACGTTCTACTAAACATGTGCCCTCTCGAGCGGGACCATCACTTATCATTTGGCAGCCTGTGCAATCATCGTTCCTCCTTAATATTCTCTACATTGGCGCTATTAATAATGACCGTGACGAATCTTCTATTACTCAAAAAAGATCCTCATGTATTGTGATCTCTAACCGTAACCCGTAATTTCCATCCGGCAGGCGTAAAAGTTTAGTATATAAGAGGTATGTAAGCTCTTTTGTTGAACCCCAGAAAAAGAAACCAAGCGCCCCTGGGTATAATGATCCAAAATTCGCATGAATAATCCATTCATACTCCAGGAAAAATAAGACAGTACCGTCATCCACCAATATTCCATGTCATCCAAAATATTATAGCCAATATGTATCGATTGTACCATGCGCTTTCCTACATAACCACACAGCAAGCCTTCTCCAGCTTGCGCATGACGCGCGGAAGAACGGCGTTGACCACCTGTTCCACAGGGTCCTGCTGCTGCTGCTGTTGCTGCTCGTGTTGTGGTTGCTGGTGATGCGGCTGCTGGTGCTGTTGTCCGGGGTACTGGTGTTGCGAAGGATAACCACCGGAGGAGGGCATATCAGCCGGTCCGCCGGTGAGATTGACGTAGATCCGTCCGGCATTCTCCTCGGTGGAGTACTGGAGGCCGAGTTCGCGACAGACTTGTTCGACGCGGGGCTTGATCTTCTGCACATGGTGCGCGGAGTGATTACCTTTTCCGACGATTCTGTTGGTGCAGCAGATGGAGCGATCGTTAGCACCTGTAGCCACAGACATAAAGCCAACATTGCTGGCCCAATGAGAAGGAAGGGGTGGATGTCTGAACGCACACATGAAGATGGTTCTGGCCGTGCTGCCGCGCATATTTAATGCGCTCTTCCAGGATCTCCTCGGCCTCCTCCACGAATTGACCGTGCAGATCGATGGTATCAGGCTCGACGCGCCCATTGGCGTTGTTCTCGCGGAAAATGAACTCGGATGCCTGGCGGTTGTATTCCTCCATTTTGCGACCGTGGGCTTTGCCCTGTTCCGACAGTTCTTTGGCCCCTGCGCCGTCGCCATTGCTGTACGCTTCTTGAGACTATGCAGGACGATGCATCACGTTAGCTTCCTTCGCAATCTCTTTCTGATTGTCTCCGGACTGGCGTCAAGCCGACGAGGGAGGGAGGTGGGAACGGTGGTCAGGGCAGGCAGAGGGTTGGCGCACCCGTTGAAAACACGAGCCGCGCTTCGAGGCCTCTTGTCTCGCTAGGTCGCGGAGGCGATCATATTCTGCTTCGGCATCGCCGCTCTGTTCATGATTGAAGGCTGTCGGTAGGCACGAATGGAGTCAGGCATGAGTTAGCGAAGCGTGGGAGGGAATTGGGATGGAAGGGTATCAGTTCGCACCCCGAGGGCCCATGTGTGACATTTCGTGCATTTTCGGCAATTATATCGAGACCAAGAGACTATATATAGGAGATTGGCAATAATAGATGTCAATCATATAGGAAAAAACAAGAGAATATGATAATTAAGACGGATTATAGGGTCCAAGCACGGTCTGGTTAGAGTAGAGAGGGAAGAAAGATCGGATCGGGATCGAAGGCGGGAAGCCCTAGATTCCTTTCCACGATTTCGACGCAGTGGAGCATCCAAGGACCAAGGTTCACGCTTGGGTTCTTGCTGCGGTTGCCTCCCACGAATTCCACAGATTGATTCATACAGGATATTCTCTCTGCCTTGCAAGACTCAGAATGTCCGTGAACAGTACCAAGTGCTATATATCGAGGTGTGGTTAGTCGCTAGAACCAGTTTAGTTCCCCTTAGCGCTTGGCATTACAGGATAGACTCCAGAAAGATATCTTCTGTTGCGCCATCAATTTTAATCCAATTCTGTTTCCCCCCTTTCTCTTTGCTTCCCTGCTGCCCGTATGATTCTGATGGGGCTACCGATCTTTTGTTTGCCCCTCTTGTTGCAGCACCCTCCTTCTGTTGACTGACGTTATATTATGTTGGAGCTGCTACTGCAGTCTTAAGCACGAAGGAAGTCTTGACCCATTAACTTGCTTTTCCATTGCCTACTAGGTATGGAGAAATTCTTCAGACATAAAAATAAATCCTAATAGCCTCCAAGTCAAAGAAGCCATCCTTCCATGCTGGGGTTCCTATCGGTTTCCGCCCACCATCTATACCAGTCAGGCGCCTTTGCTAAACCCCAAACAATCCATTGCATATTCGACCATTCATCAGTAGGGTCGGTTGGATAGGCGGTCATCAAATTGTAAATGGTACTAGAGTGGTCAGTCTTGCAACCGCTAAAATGATAAAAAGAAACCGACATTGTGCCTGAGAGACTATCCCAAAACAAGCTTGACACATCGCCGAATGGTCGAAACCCATTGGCAACACATTCCCTTGAACTGATTAGTAGGTCTCCTTCATTTAGGGAAACCGATCACTCACCTCCATGCAGCTGCGAAGGCGTATCGAATTTTATCACGCTCCTGGGACTCTAGACTCCAGAACCTGGCAGAATATAACTGCTTTCCTGGGGCTTTTTCGATGACGAGATAGAGAATAGACCCCCCTGGAAGCATACCAGTGTGGTCTTGCGATTCACTTTTCATGTCCAAAAGACGCGCAGTTGATTGTACATCTCTTTCCCGAAAGGTACTATAAGCATCTAACATAAGTTGTCCATAGGAGGGAATTTTCTGAGATGCCTGACGGGCTAAACTGTCGGGTTTCGCGCCTGCATATGGAACTCTTAAACATTGTGAGCAAGGAACCAAATGGAGTGGTGGGGGGTATGGTATACTGCATAGCAATCCTCATAAAAGCTGTTTTAGTTGGATGATCTACATTTTCACACTTGAAAGTCCCGTAAGCGCCACTGATAGCATCTGGAAAGTCTTTCATTTCGCCTGCGGTGAACTGGTTGTTCTTATCGCGCAGCTTTGCGGTCAGGCGCCAACGAGTGTTGGAGTTGGCAAAGGAAACAACCTTTCCAATCCAGCTCTTGTCAAAAAGCTTTGTCTCCATTGTTTTGACCAGGGAGGTTGAGGTATAGTGGGAGAAAGCTCATATTGAGGGTGTTGTCATTGGCGATGTGACGATGACTGTGGTTTGGTAGGGTCATTCTGTCGACACCCCGAGAAACTCCGTATTTGCGGGAGGAATCAATAGTGTCCCAAACGACCGGGTGTGAATGCTGTCATTATGCCATGTCATGTTGGCCTGAAGATGCAACCTCCCCCTACGGAAGCGAATGTCGGACACACTTCACTAGCAAATGCATGGGGCTAGTTCTAGTGAATTCCCCGGCCCAGACCACAATTCACTAACCACGGAGTCGACCCTCTAGTCAGGGTTATCTAAGCCCAGGTGTCGCAAAAACGCAATAGCGCCAACTTGTGGTCAATAGTGGTGCAAGCGACCCAATTTTACGGACGTTCTGATTTGCGATGACTTGCAGACCGCGTGAAGCCGACAGAGATTATTCATGGCAGCCCGCCACGAGGTCCGAAAGGAACAGCAACTAGAAGCACTAGGCGGTGGGGATAGAGTCTTTTAGTCCGATCACAGAACCACGGATGACGGTGCGGTCGGGTTTATCATACCCACGGAAGAAGACGAGAAGAATGGAGCAAGAACCAGCCACTGTGAATCAGTTTGAAGCAGGGGGAGAAACCGGCGAATTTTTTGAACTCCGAAAGGATGTTTGGGATGTTTGGGATGTTTGGGATGTTTGGGATGTTTGGGCTGTTTGGGCTGTTTTGGATGCTTGGGCTGTTTCCAAGTGAGTCGAAACTCGTCTGGGTTCGACGGCAGGCCGCAGCGAGAGATGATCCAGACCTGATCGCTAGACCATCCAGTCCAGTACATATCTCCGGGCTGGTGGGTTCCCTTTGGAATTTTGTGATTCTTGTTTCTGGTGCGGAGAGAGGGAAGGAGAAGATCGACGGCAGTTAACAAGTGGAGATCTTACGATACCTGGTCTTACGGAGTACTACGGATACTACGGAGTGCATCAACTAGTGACTCCATGGGTTTAGTATGGGAAATCCGAAATGGAGGAGGTTCAATTCTGGCGGAGTTTAAAGGTCAGCCACTGCGTACAGGCACACGTGGGAAAAAAGCAATGCAGGCTGCCCCTTGAGCTTCTGGAAGTCCGAGAGAATGTCGGGCAGAGAGGCATCAAGCGCATTGTGTTGAATCATGCGGTGCCTCTTCCAGGTGCCTGGCGATCAGACGCTGCAGTGTCGGATCTCCACTAGTGGCGGCACTTGAAACTTGCAGCAGTTGAATTCGCCTCCCGGCAAAACCCAATGGCATCGTCGGCCTCCTGCGTCATGGGCTCATGGGCTCATGGACATGGGCTCATGGAGTACCGGGACAACTCCTGGATGGCCGGCGTACCCCGTATTCCTGCATCTCGCGATGGAGATGCGCGGTGGTTTTATATCGACCTACCTAGTCCATCTTAGTCTAGTCGACGTCCTGTGCGGAAGCAGCAGATCTGCATGGTCGGGAAATTAAATTAAGCCAGCGTTACCGACGAGCATTATTCATCAGGAGACACTTGCAGGCTGATTCCCTGTCCCGTTCGTCAGCAGGCGCTAAATGCTCTCTCCCGGTTCGTCTTCGAGTTCTCGAGAAGGGGATTTACAGCAGACGCAGGAGACGATGGGGCGACCGTTTCTTCCAGCGGATTCCTCGTGGCCCGACGGAAGGATTCGCCGTAATCCAGTGTCATTCTACAAAGAGTATTTCAAGATTCCCTCGTGTGTGAAATGCCGTTACATACTGGTCGCTTCCTGGCCGACGCAGCAGGATGCTTTAATAGAAATAATAAGCTCGGGGCCACCCAGCGAGAAAGGGGAGGGCCGACGGAATATTGTCATTGGCCTGTCGAGCGGGGGCACCCCACCGACACCCCTGACGCGCGCGGCCAATAAGAATGCAGAAGACGGTAAGCGCGCCCCACCTCAGAGCCAAAAGCCCCACCGCCCCCTATTGACGATCCAGTAGGATTGCGGTTATCGTTCCAGAAAAAAAGGAAAGCCGGCGTGCCCCCTCCGACTCTCTGTTTTTCCCCCTGCTCGCTTTCTCTTTGGCTGCGTCCCCTCGGCCTTCTCACTTTCGTCGCTCGCTCTCACTGCTTTTTCTCTATCACGCCCCTCTTTCCCAATCCTTCGCCCCTTACTGAGCTTATCCTTGTCGCCTCAGCCTCTCGCTTTTGCTCCGGCTTTCTCTCCTTCTGACTCTCTTTTTCCAGTTTCCACCCACTTTCCCTTCTCACTCCTTCCCTCTCCCATTCCCCCCCCAGACTCGTTTTCTTCAGGCATTCCATCCGTCTGCTCGGTGGTCCGACACCTGATCAGAGTCCAGGATATCCGTCTGGTTTTATTCCTTTCCTTTCCTTTCTTTTTCCCCCTTTCTTTCTTTTTCCCTCTAGTGTAATTTTTCCCTTCCCTCGCTGCCGATTTTCTGGGGTGGTCACGATTGGTGTATTACTGTTTCACCTTCCGCCTCCTTTCCGCCCAGTCCAGCTCGCGCGCTTATAATTGATTTTTTCCTCCTTGCCTCCCTCCCGGCTTTGGACGGTCGCTTGGCTCTCTAAGTAATATCTCTCGCCATTGCGTTGGATTTCCTCATTTCTTCCGTCGCGTTGAAATAGGCAATCCTTCTTTTTTCACGCGAGAAGAGTTCGTGTCTGGTGAGTCGCTCGTTCTGGCAGTCTGCCTTGTCCATGTCTCCCCTGCTCCTCCTTCCCCCCCGAATAATCCCTCAAACCCACCCCCAGCCTGGTTGGATGGGTCGGCTGCGCTCCCTTGCATCTGCACTCGGAGACAAGGCTGTCATGATTTGCATTGGATTTTCTTATTCGGATGTTTCGTTGGGGATTTTACCGCCGGTGGCTCGCACCCGTGCTGTACCACGTTCAGCGTTGCCGACGGCATGGCCTGAAGATTACCGGACCCGGAGAATTCCCTTTTGCTGACATCTCGCCCTCGACAGGTTTTCACCGAACCCTGTGACACTTCCATCCACCACTACCACTACTACCTTTTCGCCGATTCATTCCTGTCTCTTTCCGACCACTTTCTTTGATTACCGCCAAAATGGGTTGTGGAATGAGTACCGAAGATAAGGAGGGCAAGGCCCGCAACGAGGAGATCGAGAACCAGCTCAAGCGGGACAAGATGTTGCAGCGAAACGAGATTAAAATGCTTCTGCTCGGTACGCAGCCCTTCCCCTCAAGCCGATCCCGGACATAGATACCCTGTATCGCAATGGAGGAAGACAAACCCGACAGGTGGTTGATGAGCGCCCTTGGTTAACTGAGTGTCCACAGGAGCTGGAGAGTCCGGCAAGTCGACCATTCTGAAGCAGATGAAGTTGATCCACGAGGGTGGATACTCGCGCGATGAACGGGAATCCTTCAAGGAGATCATCTACAGCAACACGGTTCAGTCGATGCGTGTCATCTTGGAGGCCATGGAATCGCTGGAGCTCCCGCTGGAGGATGCCCGCCACGAATACCACGTGCAGACGGTCTTCATGCAGCCCGCTCAGATCGAGGGTGACAGCCTGCCCCCGGAGGTTGGCAGTGCCATCGGCGCTCTCTGGCGCGACACCGGTGTCCAGGAGTGCTTCAAGCGGTCTCGCGAATACCAGCTTAACGACTCGGCTAAATAGTGAGTGCGACCGTGGATCTGACGTGAAGTCTAGTGTTCGCTAACCCGACTTGTCCAGCTACTTTGATGCCATCGACCGCATCGCTCAGCCCGACTACCTTCCTACGGACCAGGATGTTCTGCGCTCGCGTGTCAAGACGACCGGTATCACCGAGACCACTTTCCTCATTGGCGACCTGACGTACCGCATGTTCGATGTCGGTGGTCAACGTTCCGAACGGAAGAAGTGGATTCACTGCTTCGAGAACGTCACTACCATCCTGTTCCTGGTCGCCATCTCCGAGTACGACCAGCTGCTGTTCGAAGATGAGACCGTCAACCGTATGCAGGAAGCGCTCACCCTGTTCGACTCGATCTGCAACTCGCGTTGGTTCGTCAAGACGTCCATCATTCTCTTCCTGAACAAGATCGATCGTTTCAAGGAGAAGCTGCCCGTCAGCCCCATGAAGAACTACTTCCCCGACTACGAGGGCGGTGCCGACTATGCCGCCGCTTGCGATTACATCCTCAACCGCTTCGTGTCTCTCAACCAGGCCGAACAAAAACAGATCTACACCCACTTCACATGTGCCACTGACACCACGCAAATCAGATTCGTTATGGCCGCTGTAAATGGTAGGTTTTTCGCAGTCCCAACACTTGCAACGTGCATGGGAACATAAGCTAACGTAACACCTTAGATATCATCATCCAAGAGAACCTCCGACTGTGTGGTCTGATCTAATGATCGGTATGCTTTGATCGAGTGCCGGTGTCTCGACATTTCAACTCGATGCTACATGGTTTTGTAATTTTTTTTCGATGCTTGGAGATGTGTTCCGCAAACCTAGTCTCTTTTCCTCTTTCTTTTTCCCTTTCTCATTTCTCAAAGATCCTGGCGTTCAGACATTCATTTGTCTATTTTACTAATTATTCCCTTTTATTATTTCTTTTGTCTTGAAATGATATCTAGCCGGCTCTTTGTTCTCAGCATTACCGATATCCATCCATGACACAGAGCAGGAGTTTTTCCTCATTCTATTCGTTCCTCTTTTTATCCGATCCTGCTCCTTGGGCAAGTCGGTTATCTGTGGACTTAGCAGGACCTTGACAGCCTGTGGTTTATGCCCCCTTTTTCCCCACCTTGATTCCTCGAAATGTCCGTGTTTTCTTTTGGTTTTTGTGTATTTTGAGTACCCACCTCTCTTTCTGGTCTTTTTTCTTTTCCCTGTCAGAATTTCTCATGTGTTTTTTTTTTTTTTTTTTTTATTTGATTTTTGAAGCTGGATATCCCATCATCTCTTGGTGCCCTCGCCATCAAACTTGTGTGTAATTATATCTCACGCATCTTTTCTTGGTCTGACGTTCACTGAGAGACTTGAACGACGACGGGCACGGGGGAATGACAGGGTACGTGGATTATCATGTCTTCTTCATGTGTCATGCCGGATCGTCATCAGAGTTTTTCTTTTTTAAAGGATTGTGAAATATTTACATCTGTTCTGCTTATAGTCTTTTGCGCCTTCCCTTGTCCAGTGCACCCATCCTGTACGGAGTGGATAAAACAGTATATCAATAAGCTCTATAAACATTCAATTGATAGATAGGAAAATCTATCCTCGTGGTATCTCGAAACAGATCGCCTCTCTGGGGAAGCAAAACGCCCAAACTCCATGCGGGACGACAAATGGTTCTAGAATCGCAGCTTAGGCCCCAGAAACACGATCAACACCGCCACAACCCATAACCCCAGAATCCACGCATACAGCATCATCCGTCCCCACCAGCCCTTCCCTTCCGTCATGCGCCGCAACATCCCCATCCGCCGCTCCGCAGCCTGCATGTTCCCCGTCGTGCGGTCCAGCCCGTCCACCGCGCGCGAGAGAACCGACTTCTCCGAGTCCAGCGACGTCTGGAACGCCTGCGACGACGACTTCAGCTGACTGGCCAGCGAGAGCAGCGAGCTCGTCAGGTCCTCCTGTTCCGCTCGGTGCGTCGACAGCGTTTGCTCTGTGTCCTGGGCCTTCGAGGCGGAGGTGGATGACGAGGGGCCCTCGAATCCCGTCGCTTTCGCACTCGACTCCGGAGACGACGGAGACGCCATGTGTCGGTTTCGTAGCGTCGCTGTTGGGGAGGCGATAGGTGCCGCGGTCATTGTCGCTGGCGTGGGTGTCGCCGTAGCCGTAGCTGTAGCTGTAGCTGTCGGTGTCGCTGTGATCGTCGTCTCTCCATCACCACCTAGCTCCTGCTTTTCCTCTCGCTCCTGCTCATGTGCCTTCTCTTCCTCCTCCTCCTCTTCCTTCCCTAATTCATTCTCCGTACTGCTCTCCTCCGGCGTACCCAGTAAATCCTCCCCGTCTATGGACTCCTCATCGTGATCGTCATAGCCACCGGAAGAAGAAGCCCGCGCCTCCGCCTCGGCGGTGATCTCTTCGAGGAGAGTCTGCAGCCGTTTCAGCGTCTCCTGGTGTCGCTGGACTTCGGTCTGGAGGGTATGTCGGCGGTCGAGAGGTTTCGTGGTGGGGATGCTGCGCTCGAGGGAGTGGAGGTTTGAACGGGCGTATTCGATATTCTGGATTAGATGCGGTCAGCTTCTATTCTGTGTAGGTTCTATTAAACTGGATATCATCCATATTGGTGACGAGAGTCTGTTATAGACCTGTATAGGGTATACAATAAACAATACCCCCCAAGCGGAGCCAACCACGCCGAAGCTATCATAGAACAGATAAAAGGGGGAAGGAAGAAAAAACATACCGCTCCGACCCTCATCCTCTGAAACTCCGACTTCCGCAGCCCGACGAGGTCCGCTCCCGGCGAGAGGAGATTATGTTCGAGGCGGGTGAGCAGCCGCGAGACGCTGAGGACAGCGAGGTCGGCGTCGTTGGTGTTCGGCGCGGAGGCCGCGAGCGTGGTTATGGTCATGGCGTGGGTTCCGTGGGCTGGATGGTGTTGTTTTTCTCTGGCTGGGGATTTGCACTCCAGGGGGTAGTGAGGGGGGAGGAGGAGAGAGGTGGGTGGAGGAGTCGGGCATGAACGAATGGATGGAGCTTCTGCTGCTGGCTGGACAAGTTGCGATGCATCTACCTGATGGATGACTAAGCCGATAGAGTGGGCTTGGGCGAAGGTGGGGTTTCGAGGTGGGTTTTTGTCTGGCGTCCATGTGATGTTGTGATTTGGGATGTCTTTGGTCAGTATTCTGGCATTTATCTTGTGAATATTGGGGTTTGATTCGATTCGTGGGCGTTGTTGTGGTTGAGCACTTGAGGTCTCTCGGTCTTCTATATGGATGTTCCTGGCTTTGTATCACTCGCTCGAGCGAATTCCTTTCCTCCACTAGAATCTAGACCTGCATTAAATAAGATGACATCTGGGGAGCGTGCAAATATTTATGGACCCTACGTAGAAACATTGTTCTGGGTGAGAGATGAAATTATTTTACTCTTTGGGTACTAGTATATAGTCTTGCGCGTCAGATCATTTATTCCAGAATATCTTCGAAAGCGCACGCCGCTAGCATATCTAGATTATCCTGAACAAGACTCCAAGGGATAGTATCGGAAGGAGTTAAGGTGCGGTAGCCACCGTCGGATCTGCAAAGGAGAAGATTGAACTTTGAATAGCGGCCTCGATATGAGAAGTCTCCCCAAGCGAGTACCTGGAGATTTGAAAGACCATCAGCACCGAATGCCCACTGCGCAAAATTGTAGATGTCCTCGGTCTTGTATGGAAAATCTGATTCGGCTTTAGATCCATCGAACTCTTGGCTGTAGATTGGAGAAGTGGAATTAGCTTACCTTCGCCATATTTATAGGCATAAAAAGACTGGGAAAACCAGTTGGGTTGACGAGAGCCGAACAGTCTATCAAGAACCACTCCACTTGTCCTGATGTGTATCATTTTACATGACGGCTTTGGCTGCATCATTTGCAAGTAACGTGTCTAGTTATCTGTTAGTTCTCCGTAGTCATACGAAATCCAAGACCCGCGATCGATGCATACCAATTTCCTCGGTGCCATAGACGATCCAAAGCAAGTTAGTTGCTTTTTTTGAAGCATGTGCTTCAAAGGCAAAGACCATGGTATATCTCCATCGATGAGGTTCTGCCCGCCCCTATCCATCAGATTATGTATAACAAAACGCCTGAGATGACAATGACTTGACAGTCTGTCCGTGAGAGTGGTCCAGTCGATAGGCACAGGAAGAGCGAGATAGAGGGACTCTAAGTCGGAAACGTATTGAAGGAAATTGCAGATCGTCTCCGTGATGTGCAAGTATGCAGCCCTACGAATACTATCGAGATCGAGAGCAAGTTCGAAGGATTTCAGTTTCATTGGCTTTTCGAGTATCATTCCCACCCACTCAAAAGACCCCGGGCAGTTCCGTAACTTGAGACTCTTTAGCTGTCCGACATTGAAAGCATAGGCCATTTCCATGCCGGTGTGATAAAAGGATACTCCCGACAGATGAAGACTCTCAAGTGATGAAAAAATGACCGTCTTGTCTCGGAGCTGGATGTTGAGCACCCTTTGCGAGAAGAAGTTGTCAGGAATCGGTGTGCGCTGGGGACTCTGTTGGCGGTATCCATAAGCCCAAATATCCTCCGCACGATCCCAGGTCAGAAGATCAAGTGTAAGTGATTGAATTTGATGGCCATGAGCCCTGACACATTGTCGGACGGATTCAAAGTCGGTATATCGACACAAACCCCTCCAATCAAGTGACCGTAATTCTCTAACCTGGACAAGATCTACATAGTTCTGCGAGCTGTTGGTTGCACCACATTCACCATCGGTGATTAAGGCAATGCGTTGGATGCGTTTTTGGTTGCTGAGAACAGAATTGAAGAGGGCCTCAGGAATACATGTTCCTACCTCCCACCTAGACTCGCGTAAGCGGGCTGCAGAGGATAGAAAATGCAATACTAACCGGAAAGCTCGTAACTGATCATCTGAAAACCTTAGAGAGTCCATCGCAGAATTCAAATTCATTAGACTGTCCATTCTGGGCCCCTGCGCTAGTTTGTTAACTGTCTGGCTTCCAAAGGCCTGGTGTCAAACACCAATGCCTTTACCAACCTTATCCGTATTCTCATCGGTATTTGTATCATTCAAACTTTCATTGTTCTGTAGCAATAAAGCCAGCCCATCTTGGACAGCCTCATCAATGGAATTCCCATTAAGGCCGTGATGTATGCAGCGATATTCGATTCGCTCATGGATTGGAACGTAGAAAGCGAGCTCTTGGGTGCACTTCAGATTGTTGGATGATATCGCCTCCAGAGTCGTAGTGAACTTCTCTAATGATAGTTCTGGGGCGGATAGAATAAGGGATCGATATAGATGGGGAACGGCGATATCATGGAGGCGCGTGCTGACTTCACAAAGCCGCTTTAGGTCCCTATGGCTGGCAATCTTCAACGGTAGGCAGCATTTTGATTATGCTGGTCCAGAGGACAAGGCATGAGGGGAAAGTAAAGTAGGGAGTGCTGGAGGTAAACAATGAAGGTTGGGCGGTGGCAGAACTCAGGACGGGCTTTTGCGTCCCAGCCAGACAGAGCTGAATGTCATGAGATTCTGAGAAACACAACGGGTTCGGATATTATTGTTGCACTGGTTGCAACCATGGCGGAGGAGCTCTAAAGCGATCTGCGGGTGGAGCCCGAGCGACTGAGCTGGTGGGCCCATTTAGTTATGCCCAACGGACACTCAAGACTTATCTTGTTTTCCGGTGTTTGCGCAATGCTTGATGATCCAGGGATGATGTCGAATTTGATCCACAGATATTCTCAGATCTGAATCAAGGAGAAGTAGCTTCACTGCAGTTAGTGACCAATTAATCCTCTATCTCGAAGATGACTCTCACCTTCTTGATAAGATCTTTGGCTTCAGGGCTGACAAAAGAGGGAATGCTCATGTCCCCCCTGGCGATTCGCCGCTGGGTCATAATCGGTGTATCCTCGAACGGCGCGCTTCCAACCAGGAACTCGTACATCAAAACTCCCAGGGCCCATAGATCCACCTTCTCATCATAGGGCTTCGAGCTTTTCTTTGGATCGACCATCTCAGGAGGCAAGTAGTCCAGTGTTCCACACATCGTCTGCCTACGACCACTTGGCGCATGGACACTCCAGCCAAAATCTGACATCTTCAGCTCTCCGTGAAGACCGACCAGAATGTTCTCCGGCTTAATGTCCCGGTGAATAACATGCTTGCGATGCAAGTATTGCAAAGCATTCGCCATTTGGGCAATGTAGTGGGCCGCCTTCCACTCTGGAAAACGGTTCTCTTTCTGCAAGTGCTTGTATAATTCCCCTTTGCCGGCATACTCGAGAATCAAGATTATTCGCTCCCGATCGTGAAAGTGGCCGTATAACTGCAGGATGTTGGGATGGCGCAAGTTGCTTTGGATCTCGATTTCACGAGCCACCTGTTTCTCGACCCTCCCTTGTCGGATCTCATCCTTGTGTAGCACCTTCAGCGCACAAACAAACCCACTCTGTCGTTCTCGCGCAAGATATACTCGTCCAAACTTCCCCTTTCCCAGCGGTCGGCCAACCTCGAACATGCCTAGATGGAACACCTTAGGGACCGGTTGTTTAATAAGATTTGGAGAAGGTTCCTCTGCCTTCACCACTGGATCGGGTGTCTCTGACGAAGCAGCAAAAGGGGTGTTTCGAGATCGGGAAAGAGCTCGTCCGCCTTTTGTTTCGGCGACTTGGGGAGCGAGACGATGGCTGGTCGGGCTTTGTCCCTCGACATCACGAGAATTAGGTTGTTTTTCTACCTCGGACGCTGCGTCTGGCTTTTGGGACACAACAATAGACAGGGGATGTCGACCTCGGGAAGGAGATTGTAGGTATTTGGATTGAGGCACTTGAGAGATGGCATGATTGACGGTTGTGATAGTTCCTTCACCTGGCTTCTGCGTCGAAATGACCGAGAGGGGCTTTCGAGTTCGCCGGAGAGTTCTTCCACCATTTTCTTGAGCCGCTTGAGGGGTGACAGGCTCGGTAATTGTGCAATTTTGTTTATAGATCTCAGCCTTTGGGCCTTTTGTTGGTCGGGTTTTGTCCGATGGATGGGTGCTGGCGGATGCAATCTGCTCCCTGTCAGCAGCTGTGCACTCAACACATATTACAAGGGCGTCACGGAGCGAACTTGCCTTGGACTTCTGATGTGGATCGATTTTGTTGTATCCGCTATTCTCATCCTGAACAGACAAGTCCCTGAAATGTGCTTCTAGCGCCTTGGTCGCCATGGTGGCTCTGTATCGTTTCTGCGTTGTTTGAGTTCAGTAAAATGAGATGGTCAACGGATTTGACGGATTCCAAGAAGATGCGATTTCAGAGGCTTTAATGGCCGATGATAAGTAGAAAGGAGTATCATTGTTTGGGGAACTGATATGTTATCGAAGCACAGGGATAGTCTGGTGTTGCCATGGTAGCCGTCGCAATGGTGCAGGTCTGACCGCATTGATCAGTACTATTCGGGATACTTCTGGAAGGGCCTTGCCAATTAATAGATTTAAGTTACAGGAAGACATCTGTCTTGGCATACAGCCCAAGAATTACTGGCTGATAAGTGTTATATCTGATCTATCTCAAAGGATGGCTATACAAGTTAAGTGAAATGAAGGGGTCCTACTAGTTTTAGAGAAAAGGTAGGCTAACTACGCATAACATATCTAGTAGCAGTAGATGTCGCAGAGACTAAATTATTTACTAGACGAATCTTTACTTACCCTATCCGCCAATAACTAACTATAAAAGTTCAAGACCGTTGGAAGAGAACTTATATCTAGGATTCTATAATTCTCCCTAGATTCAGATTTTATCTATTCACAGCCCATAGATTCTAGATTGAAACCCTTCCCATTCTAAATCATCATTAGCTCCTCTTCGGGCATTTGGGATAGAAAAACATCAGTTCATGTAGATGGGACAAAACATCAAAATCACAAACAGCGCACCCAACACGGCCGTCAGAGCGGGCATTAGGACGATAGTCTACCTTGAGAATATTGCTGCCATTGCGCCAACGAAGCGTAATACCAGTATTTCTATGAAACCGGGCGTTTGAAGTTAATGGGCTTTGACCATTCATTAACATGACTCTAGAATGTAGTCCCAATGTCTAGCGTGTAGACTGGCATATTATTGGAAGCAGAACCACCAACGTAGAAGTATCACTTGTCAGCACTGGCTCCACATTCCGGGTTGAACCCGGTTCTGTAATCGATCGAGATGCAGCAGCGTATACTCCGTGCATCCGTTAATTTGAATAGTCCCGCGGAAATGCTAGATGCGTTGACGCAGATTAATCCCCCTCAGGTGATGTCTTCGTTTTCTGGATGAAATTCGACTCGATTTCTTGTTTCGCATTTCACGATAGGTGGCTAGCCGGTCTGCCGATACGGTGGCGACGATAGAGCAGAAGAGGCAAGCATGAGGGCTGCAGCTGGCCAACAGGGTAGAGTGGAATGTGGGTTCGACTTCTCCTTGATTGCTGCTTGACCCTCGGAGATGCAGGAAAAGTCAAAGGCGCAGACTGTCAGTAGACCCGTCCAGACACGTGGATAGCGCGTGACACCTTCGGACCTTCAGGCAATGATTTGCCACTATAAATAAAACCGCCCGCGGAATGTATCCGGAAGATGATTAATTATGATAGTGTGATCGTATGCATCGACTCATCTCATCTCACCCGGGAGTGGAGTTGGTTTCGCCGGGCGAAGGATGAGGCTTATGCTTGTCTTGTACGGATCTTCTCGCCAAGGCTTGTACAGATCTCGCCACCAGAAAACCTTTCTTCGCTAGTTGCATCGTAATTTCATTAGCGACCAATCTCGTCAATCATTAATGTGACTCAGAAAATGATAGTATATATATGTCTTGTCTCGGAAACAGAAAAAAAGAAAAAGAACAACCACTCCGCCACCCATTTTAGGCATCGTTATTCGTGGTGAGTCTGCGCCCCCGTAGCAGCCTGAAAGTATGTCCAGTATAGACGAGACTACAGCGACACTTTCAATGAAAATGATGTATATAGCAGAACAGAAAGAAGCCACAAAACATTCAGGGAGAACAAGAGAAAACAGGAACCGGAAGAGGGGAAATAAAAAAGGGAAACCGGGGGGAAATAGGAAAGGAAAAACCTGTTTCTAGCGATATTCGACCATGAGTCGTCTCCAAGTCCGGACGCCTTCCTCATCCACGTCGTAGAGCTGCTGAACGACCTGACTCCGCTTTTGAACTGATTGGGCCCTGTCTAGATCTGACAGGCCGACAAACTCTTCAGGAGTCTCTTCTGTACGCCACCCTGTCGGTGAGAGTGCGATGTGCTGCGGATCTTCGGACCCCCGGCGAGACGCATCAGATCCCTCAGAGAATGAACCAGAGCGATAGCTGTCATTGGTGTGCGAGGTAGTCGGGCGACTATCACTGGAGCTCGCGCTGAACGAGGCCATATAAGCAGCTGAGGACTGGGAACTTTGGTCTTCCGGATACGATTGCTTGTCCTTGCCACTCCGCTCTCGGCCTATCATGGCGGCGAGATAGCCACTCGAGGGCAAAGGAGCCAACTGAGACAAAGGCTGCAGGATATCACAGGCCGAGGGCATTCTGGTGACATCGTGGGATGAGCCTTTGGGATAGGGCACCCCTTGGCCCACTGGGGCTTTGCCACCAGATCTGTCGGGCAAAGGAGGCTGCGGATCCATTTGTTTCTCGGGTAGAACGAATCTGCCCTGTCGTCGACGCCTGATCCGTTGAACGAGAACTAGAATGCAAGCGACGCAAGCCACGGGAAATGTGATTCCGAACAGAAAGACTTGAAGATCTCGGGAGACGGCCAAAATTTCATTCTCATGCCCCATCGCCTGGGACTTTCGCCTCCTTGGTTGACAAACACTCTCGGCTGCCTGATGCCACTGGTCAGGAATGAATCAGCTGGACTGATTTAGCAACACGGCCGAATATCGAGTTGGTTGGAGTGAAACTGTGTAACGTTGTTCTTATGCCGACTGCGTGGGCCGCGGAGAGAGAAGCCTCTGAAAGAGAGTACTAAAGGAATAAAATTAAGAAGAATAGAAATGGATGGCAATATAGTAGATATAAAAAAATAATAAACGAATATCAGGAGCGAAGCAAGAAGCTGGTGGCTCGGATAAGATATCGCTTGTGATGGAGAGGAACTATGTGAAGAGGTATCTGGGAGATCTTTATAACCGCACGCTCTGGGCCGGCCAAGGTCCTGAATCAAAAGCAAATAAAAGTAAACCCCCCTCGTCTCAGAAGTAACGCGGGCAGAGGACCATTCCCTAATAACATTCCAATGGACACCTCTAGAACTCCACCATGCAGGGACACCTACACAACCCGGTGGACTGGAGTCATTTTTGTAGCACACCCGCCATCCCTGCTTGGGACTGCTAGAGGGGAAAGCGAGGGCGAGGGGTCCAGTCCAGCTGTGTCATGATCAGCCACGAGAACCTATGCAGTGGGCGGAATCCACGAGAGTAGATTCCAACCGCAAATGCACCCCGATCATAGGACCAGGGTGGTCGAAGAATTCGGGAAGAACGTCTCCAGACCAGTCGAGTTCAGCTCGACTGCGGGTGCGCCACCTGCGCCGTCGATTATGGGCCTAAAGAGCTAGTTCATTAGGGGCGAATTAGCCAGGCTAGCGAAACGAACTAGTTTGGAGCAGGCACCGCAGTAAGGCTAGGCTTGAGGCTCGATCCCTGGCAAATCGATCGAGGAGAAGGCATCCCGATCAGGGAAGTGGAGGGCTCATGATGCAGAAGACCGTGTTCACTTCCCCTGGAGTCCGTCCGGAGGTTGAAGACGAAAGACGGATGGAGACAAAATCGCGAGAGGGCAAAAAGACCCAAATACGCGTGACCCTTTCCATACCGTATGGTATCCCGCAGTCACCGGATCTCCTCATTTCCCTCTCTTCCAAAGTCTTCCTTTCTTTCTCTTCTCTCCATCAAACCTGGAAAAAACCAGAATCATCAGAATTGCATCCCCCATTCCTCGTGTCTGCTTCTCCTCAGCTCAGCCTCGACCCCTCCATCGATCTGTGTACGTCGGCGTCAATTGCAGATCAGTCTTGTCCTCCACCGTTCGCATTGACACGACGGTGTTATGCCGGTGGAGCATCAGCTCGCCATTGCATGGATTAATCAATTAGGCCCCAGCAAGCCGTTGTGACACTTAATATAACAGCACCCGCTCGTCTCTCCACTCGTCAGATCCGTCTGATGCGGTCCGGCGTTTTCAGCACTGGAATCTCTGCGGCGATCGCCTGTGGCGTCATCTGCTTGGAACTCATTCGTCTGGTTGATTGGCCTAGTAATGTGCCTTTTCTAAGATGCCGATCCACTCCCACACACACCGCACACTCTCTTCTTCTGCCTCTGACTTTCAGCAGTTCAGATCTTGTATCTCGTTGAAAATGCTTCGCCCCCTCTCAACCCAACAACCGGGTCGTCTTCAACGCAGGTTGTCGATCTATCTAAACTCTATGTCCATTCCAAATACTGACAATAATGCCCCACCAATGGAACTCCGCGGGGCTAGAAGTGTGTATTCGGGCGTCGCTCTTTTTGACAAGCCACTTACGCAAAAACGGAAATGCTCATTGCTCAGACCATATGAAATACGCGGGACGGAGAAGGGAAAAAAATAAACAAATAACAGGGGGATATGACCTATAGCTTGGCGGAGATCTTGTTCTTCTCCATCTCATCTTTCGCCCGCTCTCGAAGCTGTTTCCGTAAGATTTTGCCCGACGGGTTCTTGGGAATTGCGTCAATAAAGACGACTCCGCCGGTAATTCGCTTGATCACAGACACTTTCCCGTTCATAAACTCCACAATGTCTGCTTCAGTGGCGTTTTGCTCGGGCCTCAGTGCTATATATGCACGAGGACGTTCATCATCATTTCTATTCGCCGACGATTGATGCGTTAGCGATTTTTCAGTTGGCCACACATCCCCGATGTGAAGGGAAGATTCGCCGACTTACACTGGCACGCCAATGACTGCAGCGTCGGCAACTGCAGGATGTTCCAACAAGAGAGCTTCGAGCTCGGCGGGGGCAACCTGATTGCCTTTCACTTTGATCAGCTCCTAACACCACGTCCTGCTGTTAGTATGGAATTTTGACGGCGCGATTGGACTAGAAGAGGCGATGGCAATTTCAGTGTTGCGAGGCTTACCTTCTTGCGGTCAACCACATGGAATTTGCCCTCGTCATTTACAAAGGCAATATCCCCTGTCTTCAGCCAACCATCGGTCGTTTTTGTCTCCTTGGTTGCCTCTGGATTCCGCCAGTACCCTTTCATGACGTTTTGCCCTCGAACCCAAAGCTCTCCGCGTTGGTTTCGTCCCAGCTCGGTGACTCCGTCATCGGCCATGATCTTTGCCTCGCAATTGGCATTCAGCTCACCAACCGAAGCCGTATGGCTTTTCTCCATCGGGTGCCAGCCGAGCAACGAGCAGGTCGTCCTGCGAATCACGTTAGTCCACACCGTTGCCACCGCGCGAGTCTCGAACCATCGAAAAGGCGAAAACATACTCTGTCATCCCCCATCCTTGTTTGATGTTGATGCGTCCAGGCTCCCAGAGGGCCTCGACCTCTTCGCAAACCTCTCTGCCTAGGGGAGCTGCGCCACTCGAGATCTTTTCGATGCTGCTGAGATCATACTTGCCACTCCTCACTAAAGGGTGTTTGGCAATGGCGACCACCACCGGTGGCACTATGATGAGCTCCGATATCCGGAACTTCTCCGTGTACTCGAGCATCTTGACGAAATCAAACCGGGGCATGATATACACCGGTACTTCTCGGCTTAGTGCTGCCGCGATGAAGATATTCTGCGCCATTGCATGATACATCGGTAGGAAGCAGAGCCATCGTGCACGATTTTGTTTTTCCTTCCACGTCGGATCCAGGTAGAATAGGTAATTGTACTGCAGCATGTTGGCGACATAGTTCTTGTGTGTGATTTCCACTCCTTTGGGCCTCCCCGTGGTCCCACTCGAGTAATTCAGTGCCAGCGTGCGCCCGGCCGCTTCGGGCGTCGACAGATCGTCCCAGACATATCTACTTCCCTCGTCGATGGACGCTATCAACTCCCCCCAATAACGACAACCTTGCTGGCCTTGGCCCTGTCCGTCAAAAACCGCGTTGTTGAAAACAAACACTTGATCCCGGGACATGCCTGCCAGCCGGGCAGCCTCGATCCCCGTATCGAGACTCCCCTCAGCGCAAATGAGGTAGGTTGCACCGCTATCCTGCAGCTGATAGGCCAATTCTCTCGCTACGTACGTGGGATTGGCACCGGAGAAGATTCCCCCCGCCATGATGATACCCATGAAGACGACCGGGAAAAACAGGTCATTGCCGGAGAATAGTATGACCCGGTCCCCCGTCTGGAGGCCCGATTTGCGTAACCCAGCAGCAAACCGTTTACTCCAAAGCCGGAAGTCGTGTGTCGTGAAGTAGTGCGTCTCCGAACGAGCTGCTTCAGAGAAACACCGATGCGTTTGCGAGAGGGGATGAGAGGGAGAGGTAAAGAGGAGCGATGCCAGGTGCGTATCCGGGATGTCGAGGTGCCAACGTGATTTGAACGGCATGGTGTCTTGTGTCTTGTGTCTTGAGTGTCTTGATACTCAGGGTGATGGTAAGTAATGATCAACACGAAACAAAGAACAGAAGTCTAGGAATTAAACAAGTCAAGAGAAGGTCAAAGTCAGATGAAATCCCAAAAGGGGACGGCTGAAGGTGAGAAGATATTAATATGAAATCCGGCCAGCGTCCATTTGGAGAAGTGCCGTCTACGCAAGCCATGCATCGCCAATGAGAAGCAGGAAAGCACGCACCCAAGACGGGCAGGCAAACCCCCGTGGAGACAAAGCTTCTCCCCGCATTCTGGTCGGTTATGCCCTTCCGGCGGGTACCAATCATGATGCAATCAGGGCAGATCCCGAGGAGCAACCACTGGATGACCTCGGACCTGGGTTAACTTCGCTTCGCTTCTGGAACAAGGAACATCCCTGCGTGGAGATCCTGGTCGGAGGGTTTCTCTTTGTCACCAGACTAGGTTAGGGTCTGCGAAGGTGCGGATTTATTCCGATCTGCGAGTTCTTTCTCCTCTGGCTTATTTCTGTAGAAGAATGGATTGCTTTAGGCGTTTGTCTAATGTAACAAAAAATAATAGATTTCTACACCCCCAGTCCATTTGGCCGATCGCAAACGATGCTATTTTTGATAGGGAACGAACCCTTCATCAAGGGCAAAAAAAAAAAGAACACTGAGATAAATCAAAATATGGCTTGAACATTATCAATCATTATGATGCTTCCTCCCCTCCAAGGCACACCAGCGCTGCCTTCAATTCGTTCACGATCTTCTCCTCCAGCCGGTTCTCTGCGCTCGAAGCAGCATCCGCCGGCTTCTGTCGCATCAGCTCCACCTCCTTGTCACTGGTGGCGACGATTCGGGCCCGGAGGCTCGATCGGCGCTCCAGAAGCTCCTCGATGTCCTCCTTGACCTGGGCTTTGTCCCACCGGAGATCCTGGATCGCATCGGCGTCCACACCCGCACTGGGCCCTGCTTCCCGGAATCGGCCGAGGATGAAAGAGATCAACGCAAGCGAGTAGGCCTCTGACGCCATGCTTGAACTGATCTTGTTGCGCGTAGTGGTAGATGTCGAGATGGCTTTGCGCCCGGCAGAAAAGGACTCGGAGGCTCGCGTGAGCTGGCCCTCGAATTGATTAAGGAACGCGGCAACCTCTGGCGCAGTGCGAATGACATGGAAGAGGAGGTTCAGGCACAGCGGGAGAATGCCGTTGGTCCAGATTGAATAGATCCGAGGGACGGGGTCCAAAGGTCCGAAACCTTGGGGTTGTCGGAGGAGGTTTGTCAACCGACATGTGGAGAGTCTGGCAAGGATCGCCTCGACGGCGAGGTGTTCCGCCAGCATAGGTATGGTGGAGAGTTTGACGAGGAAGGAAATACTAAGGTCACCATATACAGGGTCGCCGGCGACCGCCAGCTGATCGGCCCACGAGAACAATGCTGTCGCATGGCGAGCTATGTCGTTGTCGGCGATGTGATAGACAACGTGTTCAAACAAGCGATCGACGTTCTTCACTTGCAGACAACTCTGCAGAATGGCCGTTAAAATAGCAAAGTCTTTAGGCGTGCACTTGTCCGGTTGCTCATGCAAGTACGTCGTCAAGGACTTGAATCCTTGCGCCACCACGGTCTTAACGACCTCAACGACCAGTCCTAGATCAGACGAGATCTCGGCCTTCTTGCTGAGGGTTTCGGGAACTGGTCGAGTAGGCAGGTCAAGATGGAACTGAAGAGCCAGGAATAGAACGTTGAGCATCGATCGGTAATACTCGGTGTCGTCGTTGATGAGCGCATCCTCGTACGTTGCACGGCGACTGCGCAGTGCCTCCCAGACGACCGCGAGCAAGCTAAACACTTCGGAGCCCTTTGCGCCACTCTCAACAAGCCGCTGGACTAGTACTTGAGCGAAATCCACCCTTGTCTGTTGAACCCTCTCGAAGATCGCTTCCTGGGGGGCGGTGGTGTTGGCCTCTAGACAACTCCGAGCAACCAGGGCCATCGATTTCTGAATTTCACGATCAATCATGAAATCCGCACAGTGCTCCGTGGCAAAGAACTTCCAGCTATGAAGCAGACGCTGCAGTAGAGGGGGATAATAGTCAGATACCATTCAAAGAGATGGTGTGGGAGGTACATACCACTTGAGCCTCAACGAGGGACAGATTGAGATTAGCCCGCTCAAATTCCTGAGCAAACCCTTGGTTTCGTGTTCCGGCCCAGGCAAAATCATACGAAAGAAGCTTCTCGCCCAGATGAATGTCGTAGCAGTACTCTTTCCCTAAAGAGCGGGGCTGTAGTTGCGTTCGTTTGAAGTCGGAAAGTTTGCACCCGGGGTATCGCATCTCAAAATTCCTCCTCAAATTCGCGTGCAGAGATGCATTGTATCTTGAAACCTCGACGGCATCCTTTGCATACCAGGACACCAATGGAATTAGCGTCTTGTAAAACGTTCGATCCCGCATCTCTTTGGCGGAATGGAGGTAGACGGCGAAAAGATCGGCAACAACAGCCGCAATCTGCGTGGCAAAGATTTGCTCTCCCACGGGTAACGAAGAAATTTTTAACTTGGAGACATAATGCACAATGTTGTTGAAGAACTGCGAATGCTTCTTTAACTCAAAGGTCGCCCAGGGCCAATTTTCTTGCGCCTGGGAGACAAACTCCAGCAGTGCGAGTGAGATTTGGGGTTCTAATTGTTCGATGTTGGAAAACATATCGAGAGCCATCTTCAAGAACGGGGCTCCTCTCATTGCGGGGGCCTTTTGACCACCAAATGTCTTTTTCAACGTCTGACGAGGGGAAGAGCCGGTGAGAATGTAGACAGCAAGCCACTGCTGGCGCTTGCTGACCAGAGTTGACAGCATGTGCCACACAGCCAGTTGCAACCCGCGATCACTTAGAGGTTTGTCGAACTGAGACAAGACGTCGAGGAAGAGGCAAGAAGATTCGGCTCCTAGATGACCAACCAACGAAGGGGGTTCATTCGCCGGGTCCAGAGCAGCTCCCGATACCAAGGTATCGAGCAGGGAGATAACAGGGAGTCGGTAGGCATCATGAAGCGCATATAACTTGACAAGAACTGGTGTTGCCTTGAACAGTTGTTCTTCTAACAATGACGGTGGACTCTCGACCAGCTGGGCTGCCTGCAAAAGTCTGGTTGAGAGCTCCAATGTTGATAATACCTGGCCTTCGACCAGGGTTAAATATCGCAGATATAGGGTGGGGGGTGTCTGGAGACCATCAACGATAAGTCTAAGAATAGGGTTGAATGGAAGGTCGGCTGCGGAACGAGGGCGGAGGACATCCAGTAGATAAGTCGCCGACGAAGAGAATATGCCAGTTGCTTTGGCATCAAGCTTAGCTGAGTCGTTGGCCCCATAGACGAAGTACAAGATTCGTTCGAACGTCTTGGCAAGGGTGGCGTTGAGCTCGAATCTCTGCTCCGGCTTATTGAACCGCCAATTGATGCTGCTGTTGTAGACCTCGACCATTGGCCGAACGAAATTGAGCAAGGCTCCTCTCATCATATGAGACGGAACTCCGGAGGTCCAGTCAGAAACAGCCAATATCTTGCCACCCATGACGTTCGGACTTTTTCTTAGTATGGCACGAGAGGCAGCATCGTCCACGACGGCCTCGAATAGACGGATGCAGGCGAGAAGAAAAGGGTAATCAGCCGAAGTCACTTCCAACCCTGAAACGATCACGGTCATAATGCCGCCCTTTCCATCGGAACCAAGCAAGTCACTTCGGCAAAGTAACGGCCACACTCTGCCGGGTAACACTGTAATCAGAGCGCAAATAAAACGCAAACAGGCGATGGTAGATTCTAGAACGCTGTCCGATCCTGTCTTAGTGCTCATGCTGGAGAGGTTGCGTTCGAATATCTCAAAAATAACGGAGATGATATCGCTTTGACGGGCCAATCCATCACTTGCAAGCTCCAGGATTCTCTTGGCGCCAGAATCATTGTCCCTTTGCGTTTCCCTGGTAGCCACTAGAAGATCTGCTAACAAGCCTATGGCCTCTGCGCTAGAGTCTTCGCCCCCTTCGATCAAAGACCCTCCGCTTTCATTCCATTGCTCAAGCCAACTTCCAAGATAGCTTAGGCAAGAGTATTGGTGTTGCCACATAACGACCGCGGGCTTAGATTCAGATACCACCTGGCCAATTGTTGCAGCAGGGACCTGAGACGAGCCGGTAACAATCAGAGCATTGCTAGGGTGATGGTCCGGGATTTCATGTTGAGCACCAAAGCTTATCATTGGGAGCGACTGAACAAGTGTAACAAGGTTTGCGTTCTCGTCTTCTCGGATTGTCTCATAGCCTTGGAAAGTGGCGGGGACCATTTGAGTGAATGTTTCCATGCTCTCCAATTCATTGATGAGGTCGGGGAGACCCTCTTCGTTGACGATGTCTTTGCTAATGAGAGCCCGGCACAATCTCAAGAATGGGACCATTTCGTACGGAAAGCGCGAACGTGCTACGCGAAAGATGCTATTCATCAGAACATCGTCCTTCCTGAATATGGAGCGTGGGTCACTGGGTTGAGCTGGAAGAGTGTTTGGAAGCCAGGAAGATCCTGCGGAAGGCCCGGAAAGAATTGCTAGCACCGACTCCACGACCTCAGGGGAATAATCCATGTAGATCATGACACTCCGAATGAGATCTAAGAGTGCCGCTCGAGTCCACTGGTTCGTGAATGCATCATCAACAGCTGATGTAGATCCAAGACTTGTCGCTAACGAGATAATTGCATCAATCGCCGAATTCTTCACGGTCTCGGATGTAAGAAGATCAATTGATTCATCAGTTGTGAATCTGGGTGTCCGCACACAGTCGAGCAACTCCTCGTACAAAGAGGTGTCAGAAGCACCATCGCCGGCATGGGGTGTATTCGACTGGAAAGAGTCAACTGCAGTGTGAAATTGCTCCAGCTCTCGAGTTTCTTTATCAGTAAGAGCGAGTTCCCTCATGGTATGCAGGATTAAACCCCACGAGAAGGCCGCGGGGTTAGCGATCTGGGACGCCAAACCCTCGTGAACAAAAATTTCATTAATTTTGCCGATTTTTTCCCTGGAGAGGAAATAGGGGGACTGGGCAGGATCGTTGGCCGGAGTTTTGTTGATGATGGATTGCACAGTGAGAGGCAGTTTCAAAAAAGCGAGTGTCGTCAGGCATACAAAGCCCTGGAGCGGTAGCAAGACCTCTATAGGATTTTTGCAAGGCTATTCCGGGTCAGCCTACGGTAAGACAAGGTGGAAAGATGGAAGAGGTAAGAAAACTTACGACTTGAAGAGGCTCCAAAAAGCTGTAATCCCTCATTAGTTCAAGCCAAGACAACTGAAGCTCCCCCGCAGGGATTTCTGTGGATGCCTGGAGCTGTAGAAACAAAATCTGCAGGATATGCAGCGTTTCTTCAACAAGGGTTGTCCTCCACATATCTTCCGTGGCCTCGTTGCTTTCAGCAAGCCCCAGCCAACCACCATCACCCTCCAGAGCAGTGAGTCGATCTCGAGTGGCCTTGATGCATGCCTGGACAAACGTGGACCACCCTTCTCCGGCAAGTTGTTTTTCGAAGACGGTTTCTGCGAGTTCGCATAATTGGGTACTCCGCTCATTCTGGCCTTGCTCGATGGTTCTTTCATTGGTTTTGCTGCCAAGAAGAATGGCGAGGAGTTTCCTGGCGGTTTTGACGATATGGCCCCTTTCCAGCAAGTAAATATTGCGCAACCGCAAGCGCCGGTTTTCGATGGATTCGAAAAGAGAGGCATCGTCCTTGAACCCAGCATTTGGGTTCAAAATTTCGGCGAAACTGGGCCCCGCCAGCGACACGCGAAAGTTTTCAGCGCCCGTCGCACCTTGCAAGCTTGAGGTTTCCTCCTCCGCAAACCCCGACAGTAATCGCGTAGCCGGACGGTTCTGCCATTCCAGAACTGCTATTCGAAGTGCACTGATCTCGTCGATGCCGGCTTTCTGGCTGAGCCATAGGGCGTCCTCTTTTATTTCCTTTAAGTTGTATGATGCTTGCGCAGACGTTTCTGCATGGATCGCCGCCGTTTTCGATTCGAAGTCCGTCTTAGACTTTGCAGATGGGGGGGAAAATGGACTCAAACAATTCGAAAGCAGCTGGATGCTTTCTGGGCGCGATAAAAATGCGTGTAGCGTGCCCGCGTCATCGACGGTATCTTCTGGGGAACACGCATAGAGAAAAGCTCCCTTCCAAGATCTACATACGGGAAGAAAAAAGCACCAAGATTAGCCACGAACACAGACGGGGAAGCAAATGCGCGTACAAAAGCTGAACGTCCCCGGAGAAGCACTTGTCCAGGGACGGAAAATAGGCTTCCGGGGCGGGAGCCATTGGCGGAACAGCTATATCATTCTAGGTCCTTGACAGACTCAGGCGGAAAGAAGGGGGGGGTCGGAGATGAAAGAAGTCGCAATGGCGCAGCGAGAAGGCAGGAATAGCACGATGGAGCTTCGGCGGGAACTCAAGAATATTCAAGGAGCGCTTTTTCCCCGGAGGTCAACATTGCCTATCTGGGCCTAGTCGAAGGCGGTGAGAGTGTTTTGCACCGTTTGCCTGCCCGCCCCGATGCGGAAGTCCCCTCGCATTCGCAGCATCTTGAGTCACTCTTCGTGTGACCCTCTTCTCTGCCCAACTCCCGGGAAAAGGTATGCTGTCTCCTTCGCCGGTGGGGTCCTGTCATCTAACGCTGTCTTTTCTTCTTCTCTTTGCTAGACCTAGACTTCCGCTATGACGGGCTCCGATCTTGTCGACCATTCCCCCCGCCATCCCACCAAAGCTGCGCAGCGGGCCAGCGCCTCCAATGTCATTCTCATTGACAATTACGACTCCTTCACCTGGAATGTCTATCAGTACCTGGTCCTGGAGGGTGCGACGGTGAAGGTCTTCCGCAATGACGAAATCTCTCTGGAAGAACTGATTGCCAAAAAGCCGACTCATTTGGTCATCAGCCCGGGTCCAGGTCACCCAGAGTCTGACGCCGGAATAAGCAACGCTGCCATTCAACATTTCAGCGGAAAAGTCCCGGTGTTTGGAGTGTGCATGGGCCAACAATGCATCATCTTTTCTCATGGAGGAAAGGTTGACGTGACTGGTGAGATCCTGCATGGCAAAACCTCGCAATTGAAGCATGACGGCAGGGGGGCATACGAAGGACTGCCCTCTTCTCTTGATGTGACTAGGTATCATTCCCTGGCTGGAACGCACTCGACCGTCCCAGACTGTCTGGAAGTGTCATCTTATGCCGAGCTGCACGATAACAGTGGCAAAACTGTCATCATGGGGGTTAGACACAAGCAGCTTGCCGTAGAAGGTGTTCAGTTTCATCCCGAGAGTATCCTTACGGAGCACGGTCGGACTATGTTCAGGAACTTCCTTTCTCTGACCGCAGGCACTTGGGAAGCAAACGGGAAGCCGTCTGGTGGAAACACCACGGCCGCTCTGAGCGGTACTCCTAAGGCAGACAAGAAGGCGTCTATTCTCGAAAAGATCTATGACCGCCGCAAAGCCGCTGTTACCATCCAGAAGAACATTCCTTCTCAACGCCCGGCGGATCTGCAGGCTGCGTACGATCTCAACATTGCGCCCCCGCAAATTTCTTTTCCCGTCCGACTAAGACAATCATCCTATCCGCTATCTCTTATGGCTGAAATCAAGCGCGCTTCCCCTTCCAAAGGTATGATAGCGGAAACGGCATGTGCGCCTGCACAAGCTCGGCAATACGCGAAGGCAGGGGCCAGTGTTATCTCCGTCCTCACAGAGCCGGATTGGTTCAAAGGTAGCATTGATGATTTGCGTGCCGTCCGCCAGAGTCTAGAAGGGCTCACGAACCGGCCTGCAGTGTTGCGGAAAGAATTCGTTTTTGACGAATATCAGATTTTGGAAGCACGCCTCGCTGGTGCTGACACTGTTCTGCTCATCGTGAAAATGCTCGATGTTGAACTTCTTACCCGACTATACCACTACTCCAAGAGCCTTGGAATGGAACCCCTAGTTGAAGTTAACACTCCTGAGGAGATGAAGATTGCGGTCGATCTTGGCTCTCAGGTCATTGGTGTCAACAACAGAGATCTCACTAGCTTCGAGGTTGATCTGGGTACCACGAGCCGACTCATGGATCAGGTGCCTGAAAGCACTATTGTGTGCGCTCTGAGTGGTATTTCCGGGCCCAAGGATGTAGAGGCTTACAAGAAGGAAGGTGTCAAGGCCATTCTCGTTGGCGAGGCCCTCATGCGGGCACCAGACACCTCTGCCTTCGTTTCGGAGTTGCTTGGAGGAAGCACGGAGAAAACCTCTAAGACGACACCTAAGTCACCGCTTGTGAAGATCTGCGGTACGCGAACCGAAGAGGGTGCACGAGCTGCAATCGAGGCCGGGGCAGATTTGATTGGTATCATCCAAGTACAAGGGCGAAAGCGGCTTGTTCCGGATGACGTTGCCTTGGGTATTTCTCGAGTGGTTAAGTCAACCCAGCGCCCTGCCTCTCAGTCAACGGTCGCCTCCCAAGAAGTATCAAGTGCGACATCCATTGATTACTTTGATCATTCCGCCAATGCCTTGCGTCATCCTCACCGAGCCCTACTTGTGGGTGTATTCCAAAATCAGCCGTTGTCGTATGTCCTGGCTCAACAACAAAAGTTGGAACTCGATGTTGTCCAACTTCATGGTTCTGAGCCACTTGAGTGGGCTAGTTTAATACCTGTGCCTGTCATCCGCAAATTTGCTCTCGATGAGGCTGGGATTGCACGGAGAGCTTACCACAGCTTGCCTCTGTTGGACTCTGGAGCGGGTGGGTCTGGCGAATTGCTCGACCAGTCTCGCGTTCAGCAGACCCTAGAAGGTGACAAGGGTCTGCGTGTCATTCTTGCCGGGGGCTTGGATCCTACGAATGTGGCTAGCACGATCAAGAAGCTGGGTGAGTCGGGTCGCAAGGTCGTTGGAGTCGACGTCAGTTCTGGCGTCGAATCCGATGGCGCTCAGGATCCCAGCAAGATCCGTGCTTTTGTGCAAGCAGTGAAAGCCCTTCAACTATAGTTTTCACCCGTTAGAATGTGGGATGTCATATCATCCGAAAGTGACGCTTCTCTATGCCTCTACGATGGTATTTCATGAGCTTATCTTTGTTTTTGCAAAAATGCTTTTTTGATATGTAGAAAGATCACCTACTTTCGGGCTGCGTTGAACGACTTGAGGCGAATCTCATTCAATCTCATGTATTTCGGGTTTCAAAAAACATCAGATAAATAATCACATTCATATCATCTTTCGGACACCTCTCCGTGTAGGCTTCTACATACTCTTTCCCACCTCATCTGTCACTCTCCGTCTCTCCTCTCTTCTCTTCTCTCAGTCCACCTTTCCCCTTCATTGCCTCCTACATTCATAGTGGATCATATCATCGCTCACATTTGCCCAATAACACTAGCACGATGAAAGAACCATTCAAGAAAGTTCATCTGTGCTCTTTTGGCCACTTCGGTGGAAATGGTGACAAGATCCCTCAGTGGGTACGAGCCAATGGAGGACAATATTCGAAAAAGTCAGCCAGGATGTAACTCATCTTGTCACCACAAAGGAGGCATTCAAGAGGAATGTCGAGGCCGGTATACAAGCAGTCTCTAGTCAGTCGGTCAGCGAAACATTTACTAATTGATGTCCTCGTGGGCAGTGCGAAAGGCCAAGCGCCTCAAAGCCAAAATCGTTTCCTACGACTGGCTCGAGGACTCATTGATGTCCAAGAGCCGAGCTCCCAAGCGCGAAGGACCGTATCTTCTGGAAACCATACTCAAAAACGAACAGAAAAGGGCCGACGCCAAAGCAAAGGCTCAAAAGGCTTCAAAGCAACAGGCGAAGACCAAGGCGAAACAGACCGGTATTACTGCATCAATCTCAAGTCTCAGGAAGAGTGTCTGCTAATGTTAGGTTAAGTCAAATCAAAAGACCCTTTTGCGGCTGGTTCTAGGGCTGTTAAGAAAGGCACTGCAACAAGTATGTGTTGACGTTCAGAGTGGCCTGGGAAATAGGGAGCTAACTCCAAGGTACCTGTAGCCGACTATCACATCTATACAGACAAGGGTGTGACTTACACTGCGACGCTCACTCGTCCGACTATTCAAGCGACTCGGGAGAAATACCAGCTCAAGGTACGGTAGACCGACGTGGTTTTATTCTCTTTTACCTTCCTCTCCAAAAGCCTAGTACTCACAATATATAGATCTATGAACTCGCCAGCGATCCCATCACTTACGCCACCCATGTCAAATACACGCGCACCGGGAAATCCAAAATTGAGCTCATAGCTCCAATTGGAAGCACTCTGTCAGTCGCTATGTCGGCATTCAAACAATTTTTCGAGGAACAGACCGGCAAGAGATGGGAGGATCGACTGAACGGTCTGGCACCCGAGCGCAAACGAGACAGTGATGGCAACACTCTTCCAATATCCGACGGCTGGTTTTACCATGAGCAAAATACTAGCATCATTTCTAACTATCTCCGGGAAGGGCCTCGGGCTGACGAGGCGTCGACAGTGACCGCTTCGGACGACAGTACAGACGACGGTACAGCCGGCGGGGATGAAGATGCAGAATCACAGTCCATCGGGGAAATGATGGCCATACACGATGAGAATTAGTTATTGGCACGGACGGACTAGATTTGCGGGTTTTGATTCAAATGGAAGGGGCTTCATGGCGCTGCAAATGGTTTTTTTTCCCCCTAGTTTGTGAACAGCGCTGTCCAGATGCATTTACTTACTTGGGAACTGATCTTCATTCTTTTGTTGCGAACAATATCTACTTCTCCTTGTGTTGATGGCGATTTAGTGCTTATAGTTGAGTTGCCAATGCCATCAATTTTGCATGGCCCATTACTGCAGCGCAGACAGCGTCATGACATCTCCGAGAGAATAAAAAAGTAGAACGTCAAAGTTCCATTTCTTCCATATGGGTATAGTATAATATGAACAGGAACGAACTGCCAAATGCTAGCCTTTTATATCACCACATAACACCTCATGCGCCCAGAAACTTGTTGCTTTTGCCTTCGTAAGATATCTTACACACTGTCGCCATGTCGTGGAGACAGTTGCCCGGATGCAGAACCATTTAAAGGTAATCCTTCTTCTTGCTGGTCCGAGTGTATTGCGTAAGGGCCCACTCAACATCGCCGCTAGAGCCCTTCTCTAGCGATCCTCCCCGAATCTCGAAGAGTCTCATTGTCATTCGCGGCCCGACTTCCGCCAATTCAACGTCCCGATACCCGGTCTTGACGAAAACGTGGTGTCGCACCTCGATGCTGTCTTCCTTGTTCACGAAGCTGACAACGCGGTTGCCAACCTTTCCGGCCTCGCGGGGAGGGAAGAGGTGTTTGAGGATTTGAACAACACGAGCACCCAATCGCGTTTTGAAGCCTTCGAAGACCAGATGAGGGTAACTTTCCGAGACGGTTCCGCGGGCGGAGTTGGGGATATCGGCACGGAGGACGACATTGTGCAATGAGAAACTGGCAGTCGGACCATGAGGAAGATGCGAGATGGTCATGGCCGTAGGAGTTCCACGATGCTCATGGAGAAGGATCATGTCGGTCAGCGCCGCCGCATTTGCGCTGGACATGAGGTCGGGGAGAACGAGATTTCCACGGTTCAGTCGAATGGAAGTTGGAAGAAGCAATCGGATTTCCTTAGCAAATGCTCCCAGACGAACGGAAGGAGAGCGAGAGGTGGTGACAATAGGGCGAGGATCGACAATTCCGGAGGTGAGGGCGTATTCATCGTCAAGATCCAACAGGTCGGACTCCTTGTTTTTCCTATCTTCGGGGTTTAACGATTCGTCGTACTTGAAATCTTCACGTAGTTGTTTATCGTCTGCGATAGAGGGATCAAGCGGTTTTCCGGAGGCCAGCGACGCCTTCAGCTGGGCTCTTTTCTCGGCGATAGAGGCATCGCGGAGAAGCAGAGCTCTCCGATAGAGATAATCTCGACGTTCACGGGCTTGACGGCGCTAGAGGAGAGTCAGAAAGTTTGACGACAACCAAAGAACATCCAATGAACGGTGATTTCAACAAGAACGTACCAGCATCTTTATTTCGTGAGGGTGAGTTGAAGGTCTGGCCGAGGAAAGTTGGGGTTCGCCGATAAAAAAAAAAAAGCGGGCAACTTTTTTCGACTGCGCAAGTGGTCCGCCGAGGCCGCCGGAGTGTGTGGGATTTGGCGGCGAAGAGTCCGATCAAAGGTGAGCCGATCGCAAATCACTCCAATATCCTGCCATCCCGGACGAACCCGGTTCACTTGGGCTACTTATAGTGACGGAGTGAATTGTGTGGATTGTCACATTGATTTTGGCTGGCTATGTCAGTATTCCCTTGAACTAAATCCAATTCAATCCACCACTGACTTGGTCCTTAGTCACTCATTCCTTTTGCCCCTCTGCTGTGGCACGCTGGGTTATCGAGCAAAGCTGGTTTTCTTTTACAACTAGACGGAACGACTGGCGTGTCCTTCACATTCCTTTTCTTTGAGCGACTTTTTCCATTTCTATCTCGATTTGCAATCGTCTTGCTCCGGTCATTCGTGCTACATCGGACACTGTTCCCTTTCCCACGTTTCTCGAGTCTTCCATCAACCGATTACGAATCGCCAACGTACGTGAACGCCGGTAAACCGTGGAATCTCAGCATTCAGACCGATAATGGCCGCTGCCAACGATGACGTTACAACTGGGGAGCTGGAAGAGACCCCTCTCAACATGAGCGGAGGTCCTCGCCCGCGCAGACATGATGATGACGACGAAGGATCTGATAATGGCGACGACGACGTTGAAAGCACGACGAGTGCCCCGGTCGCAGGGGACTCAAAGACTCAAGGGAATTCCGAGGAGGAGAAGGAGCTCCCCCCGCATGCATGCGCGTAAGTATATCCAACTTTAAATGTTCGCACGGCCAGCTGGATCCCCCCGCTAATCGGTGGCATTGTAAAGTTACTGTGGTATTCATAATGCCGGTAGCGTTGTCAAGTGTCTATCATGCAGCAAGTGGTTCTGCAGCGCTCGTGGCAACACTTCCTCCTCCCACATTGTCAACCACCTTGTCCGAGCTCGACACAAAGAAGTACAACTGCACCCGGCTTCGGCCATCGGGGAAACGATATTAGAGTGCTACAACTGTGGAACCAAGAATGTTTTTCTCCTTGGTTTCATTCCTGCGAAATCCGATACTGTTGTCGTGCTATTGTGTCGTCAGCCTTGTGCCGCCATGCCTTCGGGCAAGGATATGAACTGGGATACTTCGCGCTGGCAGCCCTTGATTGAAGATCGCTCGTTCTTGCCGTGGCTCGTGGGCGCTCCTTCGGATCAGGAACAACTCCGCGCCCGTCACCTTAGTCCACAGTTGATTGCCAAGTTGGAGGAGATGTGGAAGGAGAACTCACAGGCGACCTTTTCGGACCTCGAGAAGGCCACGGCCGTGGATGACGAACCCGCCCCCGTTCTTCTGCGCTATGATGACGCCTTCCAGTATCAGAACATTTTCGGACCGCTCGTCAAGATTGAAGCCGACTACGACCGTAAATTGAAAGAATCTCAATCTCAGGATGGTCTGATCGTGCGGTGGGATCTCGGTCTGAACAACAAGCATCTAGCCAGCTTCCTGCTGCCGAAACTTGAACTTGGCGATGTCAAACTTGCCGTGGGTGACGAAATGCGCCTCAAATATACCGGCGAATTGCGCGCCAAGTGGGAAGGGGTTGGCTACGTTATCAAGATCCCGAACAACCAGTCCGACGAGGTAACTATTGAGTTGCGGGCAAAGGGTGACCACAAATCAGTGCCTACGGAATGCACGCACAACTTCACTGCGGACTATGTTTGGAAATCGACATCTTTCGATCGTATGCAACTCGCCATGAAAACGTTCGCTGTCGATGAAATGAGTGTGTCCGGCTATATCTTCCATCGCCTTCTTGGACACGAGGTCGCTGCCGCACCCATGAAGACTCAAATGCCCAAGAAGTTCAGTGTCCCTGGACTTCCAGAACTGAATGGCAGTCAGATCAACGCTGTCAAGAGTGTCCTGCAGAGGCCTCTGAGTTTGATCCAGGGTCCTCCTGGAACGGGAAAGACTGTTACTTCCGCTACTATCATCTACCATCTCGCCAAGCTCAACGGAGGTCAGGTCTTAGTTTGCGCTCCCTCCAACGTTGCGGTGGATCAACTTTGCGAGCGTATCCACCGCACTGGCCTTAAGACCGTGCGTGTGACCGCGAAGTCGCGAGAAGATGTGGAGTCCCCAGTTGGCTTCTTATCTCTACATGAACAAGTTCGCCTGAACGATACCAACATCGAACTCGTGAAACTCAATCAACTTAAATCCGAACTTGGGGAATTGTCCAGTCAGGATGAAAAGCGCTTGAAGCAACTTACCCGTTCGGCGGAGCGCGAAATCTTGAACAATGCCGACGTCATCTGCTGCACTTGCGTTGGTGCCGGTGATCCTCGTCTTGCTAAGCTTAAATTCCGAACTGTTTTGATTGATGAGTCTACCCAATCTGCCGAGCCTGAGTGCATGATTCCATTGGTCTTGGGTTGCAAGCAAGTGGTTCTCGTTGGTGATCACCAACAACTTGGTCCTGTCATCATGAACAAGAAGGCAGCCAAGGCTGGTCTCAACCAATCTCTTTTCGAGCGACTTGTCATTTTAGGGTGCTCTCCCATTCGGCTGAACGTCCAGTATCGTATGCACCCATGCCTCTCTGAATTCCCGTCCAACATGTTCTACGAGGGTTCTTTACAGAACGGTATTTCCTCTATCGAACGACTTCGCCGTGATGTTGACTTCCCTTGGCCCATTGGCGACAACCCGATGATGTTTTGGTCCAATCTAGGAAATGAGGAAATCTCGGCCTCGGGTACATCCTATCTCAACCGTACCGAAGCAACTAATGTGGAGAAGATTGTCACCCGCTTTTTCAAGGCTGGTGTTCAGCCCCAGGACATTGGTATCATCACTCCTTACGAAGGACAGCGCAGCTACATTGTCAGCTCTATGCAGGCCAATGGTACCTTCAAGAAGGAGCACTACAAGGAAATCGAAGTCGCATCGGTTGATGCTTTCCAGGGAAGAGAAAAGGACTTTATCATTCTTTCCTGCGTGCGATCCAATGATCACCAAGGTATTGGTTTCTTGAGTGACCCGCGTCGTCTCAACGTTGCACTTACTCGAGCGAAATACGGATTGGCAATTCTTGGAAACCCGAAGGTGCTGTCCAAGCATCCTTTGTGGAACTGTCTCCTCCAGCACTTCAAAGAACGCCACTGCTTGGTGGAGGGTCCTCTATCAAACCTGCAGGAATCTTTGATTCAATTCAGCCGACCCAAGCAAGCTTACCGAGGACCTCAGCGTTTCCAAATGGCCTATAACCACGCGTCCAATGCCACCAACGGAGCCATGAATGGAAGAAATGGCCAACGCAACGATTTCCATGACACTGGTTCTGTGATCGGCTACATTCCGGACGATGTATCTTCGGTTCACTCCTCGGCCCTTGGCGGAGTCGGCATCCCTTCAGGCTACCCTCCCATGTTTCAGAACTTCGCCGACTCTTGGCCCGCTCTCCCTGGTGCTCGTCGGGCCAATGGCAACAGAGGAAAGGGCGCACCTAGTGTCGCGGGTGAATCTGTCGCAGCTACCGAGTCCGATGTCACCGGAAGCGTTATCGATGGCAGAAGTGTGGATCAGGGCGGTGTGAGTCTGGCTGGATTGAGCATTCATGACATGAGCAAGCAGCCCAGTCTCAGCCAGTCCGACCGATTGAAGCGTTACGTGGAGTCTGGAGGGCGTGAGCCCTACAAAGCTGGCGTCCCTGACAGCGGCAGCATCTTCGGGGGAAGCTCTGCGAGCATTCGTGTCACGCGTGGCGTCCCCGGTCAAATCCATGATGACGACGATACGCGCAGTGTTTCCACTGCCTTTGCAAGCCAGGTTGGGGGGAATTACGACTGATTTGACTCATGTCACGGCCTGTGCCATATAGACTGGCATTACAAGCATACTTGCTGTCATTCCCGTGACTAGGGAGACAACTGTTCGCGGAATTATTGGACCATCCACAAATGGCTCGATATCCTGAGGGTGTACAGTCTGTCAAGGGGCCTCGTTGGGCCTGACAGCTGTACATTTCAGGGTAGTGTCGGCGAGAGCAAAGTCTCAATCATAGGTGGGAAATGGAAGGTATTCTTCACTTGATGTTCTTCCGCGGTGCCTTTTATCGATATCAACGGGGCTCTGTTGGTATTCCACAGCAGTCTGAGGGGCGATTGGCATTGGGGATGCGACCGCTTTCGGTATTTAGTAGCAGGGATCTGGTGTCCGTGGAATGATGTGGAAAGGGCCGCAACCTTCCAGCAAGACAGGCTGTATTTGCTGTGTAGGGAGGAGTCTTGCTGGTGAAGTCAGAGCAGGATTCTGGGAATTTTCCCGACGCACTCCATTCAGTCTGCGTCTGCAGTCATCTCTCGCTATCTCCAGGCTGCGGTCAAATTCCGGATTTCCGCGGAAGTGGATGAGAATGAGCTCATCGCCGCAGATGCTATGAAATGGTTCTCGCCCTCTTAATTTGCTTGTTTATGCTTGTCACGACTCAATTGAATCCTTTTGCTTTATGTGGCACTGTTATGGCGATGCAGGGGATGCTAAAATTAACCCGCGATGGGAAAGTCATGCCTCATTCCTGTCAAGCTCCTTTTGTGTCCTCGGCCTTCTTGGCACGGGGCTTCGTCTAACTATCAGCCTCATGTTTTAACTGTTGTTATGCTCTCGCAATGAATCCAACTATAGTCATTCGTTTTCACCGCCATCCTATCATGAAGCCTGTATCTAGGACGTACGTGTTCGTAGAAACGTCCATCCACCCCAGCCATGCAACTGCCCCGATCAATCTCCGATGTTTAGACTTGGCCAGCCATTCTTTCTCCAAGCAATCTCTACGGAGTGATGCGTTTACTTGGCGAGCAGTAGGCAACTAGAATTCGTGCATCCTGGGCAACTGGGGGTTTAAGATTGAATATTTATATATAGATCGCCCTGGGGTCTGGGAGCACGGGGGCGCCGACTAGCCCGGCTTGACAACCTTAATGCAAGTTGTAACCGCGAGGATGCCGGGGCTCAGCCACCCTGTCATCAACCATAACTGGACCTCGTTGCGTGTTATTGGTCTGGGTGATATTCGGAATCCCCGCCGAATTTGATATCCAGTGCTGCGCCACTCCGTCCGAATGATCGACTATCTTTATTCTTGGGCAGCGGGCTCTAACGTCTAGCACTTCAGCAATAAAGAATTGCGATGCCTAGGATGGAGTATGGAGGCTGATTCGGGTGATCTTTATCGTCTACCGTTGCTTGGAGTTCTATCTTTAAACGTGGGGGGATGTATGCCTGCAGCTAGAATATGCATAGTTCTCGAACTCAGCCTTCAGATGATCCCAAGAAATAAGAGAGAAAAGGAAAGAAAAGAAGAACAAAGAGCAAATAAAAATAATCTGCATACGTCTCGTAGAGCCGTAGATCAGATGAGAAATCAAACTGCTTGGCATCTGAATGCGATCTATAGTCTGAAAACTCTCCTCGCAGGGGTCGAAACACAGGACACGATTTAGAAATATGACGCACGATGTGTAGAATCCCTGGTGTTCGTCACCCAATCAGGGATATTGTCGAAGGCTTCTGCAGCTGGGGTGCGCCAATCTCATCCATCACCGAGGTGGACCCAACTCCTTGCTTTATTTTAGCCTCTGCCGTGAGTTGGATGGCATTGGATCCCAATCCGACCTGCCACCGGATGGATTTGCCTGCTACAGGCGAATGCGACAATCAGCGGTCGATTGGGCCAGAAGAGTTGGTCACCGCTACCTCTCGATGACGGAGCCCTTTGGTACCTTAGGCACCGCTCCACCGAGGGTCATGCCTGCTCCATCCCGACGTGGCCCGGCAGCTGCAGCAAATGTTGTTGCGATTCCACGGACAAAGAAATTCAAGAACAAGCCTCCCGCATGACGAGTCGATCGAGTAGGGACTACACGAGTGTCCGCGCGATGACCTCTACAGCAGGGGCTCCGCTAAGAATAACCTAGAATAAGGCGGTGTGGCTGAGGAACCGCGCCCTGGCCACGTGCCCACACGCTCATTGGCGGGCAGTCACGAGGCGTGGCGGCTGCCGTTTCGGGTCCTGACAATTCAGGCGCGCACCGCACCTTCCTCAGCTCAGCTTCTCCATCTACCTGATCAAAATCCGAGGGCTATCTGGTTGCCTGATATCATCTCCCCGGCCATGACTCACTCCTAGTCGAGGCCTAAAAAGCGCGTCAAATACCCATTCCTTGACGAGACCACTCCTAGCGCCAACATTTTGGTCCTGCCCAGTAGATCTCCAGGCATTCGCCGCCTTCGTAGTTGAGCCAGCGCCTACAAATACAACGGCGCGTCTCCGTCGGTCAGACCACAAGTGACGGCTTTCCCGGCTGAATGTTATGATTTACGACCCCCTCCGTTTCAGCTAGTTGCTCCATACATTATTGTTATTAATTCTCACTGCGCCTTCCCTCACCCAGCCATCCCACCGAGGTTCGCCCAGCTTACATAACGGCGAGTGGCGTGCCAAGACCCGTCCATTAGTCACCGTCGCCTGGCGCCTTAATGCCTTGTTTCCTTAAAAATTCGGCACCCCCCGTATTCCGAGTAAGGAACCTACACTCTTGCGGTGGCTCTGACTCGACGCGACCGTCCACCTCACGTCCTCGCCCGTGCCTTCGATACTGATCTTTTTGTGCGCAGTTCGCTTGTTATTGAGGAAGACGTCGCCTGGTTCCTCTTTTTGTGCGCGTCTCTCCATCTCCCAGGAACCCGCCTCATTGCAATTGACGGCGGGGTTGCAACTGCGATATGGGTGACGGTTCTGATTACCCAAGTCCACGAAGCGAAGGTCCCGGCGGACCTACATCTGTTCTCGTCGCAGCTCAAGACTCTCTCTCTCCCGCTCCTAAGATGACCGATCAACTCTCCCCCAATTTCATGGAAGGGGCTCGCCCGCGACTGTCGGTGAGACGCGCGCGGGATCCGCCCAAGAACGCTGCCGGCCAAATCTATTGCGACCACCACGAGTGCCACCAGGCCCCTCCGACGTTTCGTCGTCCGTGTGAATGGAAGTGAGTCGATTCCTCCCACCTCCCGTTCATCCCGGGAATCCGCGCAGCTGACCTAATCCCCTTCCCTAGTAAACACATGGACAAGCATGACCGTCCCTACAAATGCCTCGAGCCCGGATGCGATAAGATCCAAGGCTTTACCTACTCGGGCGGACTGCTGAGGCACCAGCGCGAGGTGCATAAGAAGAACATCAATGCCAAGAAACCGCTGATGTGTCCCTACACCGACTGCAATCGCAGCACGGGCAATGGCTTTACGCGTCAAGAGAACCTGAAGGAACATTTGCGCCGTCGCCACATGCACCCCGAAAATGGCACTGTGTCCGATCTGCCTATTGTCCCCACGTCCGAGCTCGACGGCACTGCTTCTCTTCCCCCGGCGCCTCCTTCCATCAAGAGGAAGCGCGATTCCATTGATGAAGACCCGACCGTCGAATCCGTCGAATTGCCCGAGGATGACGAGGGGGAAGATGAGCAGAACGGTGTGGATCTGCGCAACGAATTGAAGAGACTGCGTCGCGAAGTCCAAGAGAAGGACCGCCGCTTGGAGGAACTGGAAAGGATTGTTTCCGGATTGCAGCAAGCCATCCCTCAAACTGCACCTGCTCAGGGATAGCGCGCTGCTTGATACAGTATTCTCCTTTCTTTTTTCTGTTATCATCATGAGAGATTATCGTGCTTTGCTCTTTGCTTGTTGGTTTTCTGTCTGCTTTTTTTCTAATCTTTTCTTCTTCGTCTTGTCATGTCGTGTTTTGCATTCTGAGGGCGTTTTCACATGCAAAGTCCGGGCCCTGGGGCTTGCATTCATTGCTACAACATCAATGGGAGGTTATATGGATCGGTCTACATCTGAGGACGCATGGATCTGCGAAGCAGCTCTGAAGAGTATGGCGTTTTACTTGAGGTCGATAACACGGACCAAATGGTGTTTCTTTCGTTTTTTTTTCTTCTTTCTTTTCTTTTTCCTATTCATGATTTCCTTTTTCTTTACCCTTCTATTACCTGAAATATACCCAGGCGTTTTCCCTCCCTTTTTCTTTTCTTTTCCTCCTCTCTGCAGCTTCCTTGTGCTTCTAACCTTTCCCCCGTCTCTACTTTTCACGCTTGAATGCTTCGGTATAAGCTGGAGAATATGCTTTGTAAACTCTCGGATGTCTAGTCTGTTGAAGCATAAGATTGTATTTTTAATTTGTTCGGGAAGTGGTTCGCAAATGGATGAACGTCTTTTGACATGTATTCGTTCTAGACCAAATTAATACCTCACTGACTGAGGACAAATCCTTTCGTTTTGACTATCCATCATACTAGTAGGCTCTTGGTGGATATCACTTGTGTTGTGCTTACCCAATTACTTCTAGCTTCCATAGTAGTGCGTGTCTTGGAAACCTACTTCTTTATGCCAATAATTTATCCGATGGTTTCATTGGATAGATAGAACAGTCTCCTTGGGAATTAGTGTGATGAGAGTTGTGTCATATTGCCTATTAAGTAGCATGACCTCGAAAGCTCCATACAGTCCGAATTTTCACCTTTAGGAGTGGGCTGAAGCTGGCGTGGCGATACCCTATCTAGGACGCTTGATTAGTTGGTCAGGATAGAGACCAGTTACACTGTTCTGCTTCTCTGCGCATATGATTGGCGCAAAGCATACCGGCTGTGGCAATGGCTCTCCGGTTTATTCGCAGAGCGAGTGCCTATCGTGCCTGGCGCCTGAAAGTCGTCCATACATACCAAGGCTAGATGAAACGAATAGGCCCAATTCTGTGGGCCTGTGCTAGGAAGCAGATGGAACAGCGCATAGCACCCTATTGCCACCGACAGGATACCCCACGCCACCTCTTCGCCTAGAGCACCAAATGTACAGCAATAAGGCGAAGATTAGCCGGCTCTTTACAGCCTAGCAAGAAGAAAAGGCATCATCTCGACCGAAAGAAATCCCGCCCCCCCCTTGCCCGAGGCGCGTGAGCTCCAGATAGATCTACCGAGACTCTTGACCAACAAATCCCTACATCCTAGGTGGCTGTCAGTAGCGTTCCTCAAATTAAGCGCCGTATCACCTACCGGTAGCAGCCTATCAAGGCTGCAAGAGCCCAACTAAGCACACAGACCATGTCATGTATGACAGTCCATGACTCACAGTGGTCCATCTGAGTCAGTATCATCACGAGTCGCCCGGCGCACGTTGCCCCTTGTTCCGCACAGAGATGCGTTGATTTGGCCGCGGGCTTCCGGCCTGAGGCAAGCATCAAAAACGCCTGGCCCCGTGATGCTGTCATGTGAATGGAGGCCTGAGGCAGTAAGGCGTAAGAGGCACAGCCGAATCGGGAATTGTGAACACAAACTGGATGCTGAGTCAGCAGCACATGCTGTGCCGCCTGCCTGGTTGGTGCCTTGCGCGACGGACCTGAAGGGAAATCACGTTGGCGAATAAGCTGAAGAGAAAGTAGAAACCAAGTAGGAAGGGAAAGCAACCTTGGAATCATCCTTGCCTGCTTCCACTTTGTTCTTTGTTCTTTGTTCTGCCGGCAACAAAGCTGGGCTGCGGTGCACATCCTTGATTGATCTGTTGCATTGCTTGGTCTCCCTCCACGAGTGAATGATCACATCTTCCGCGATTACTATCATTATGATCAACCGCAGAGCTTAATCACTTTTCTTCCATACTTTCTCTATTCCTCCTCTAGTCGACACTTTCGACTATCGGGACACTTCCTACAAACTTCAAGGCCCATTTCCATTCAATCTCCTGGCAGGCTTTCTACATTGTGTGTAACCGGGAGACTCCTCGAGGGCTTTCATAACATGGCTCTTCCTTCGCGTTGCACGGAGGCTCCAATGTCTCAACAGCCCAGCACTCATTATGTCCGCACCCATGAATATGTTGCTGGCGCTGGGCGAGTCCAGCGGACAAACTTTTACGCTCTGGCAGGTATCGATTCTCAAATCGGGGTCCAGCTGGAACCCGTCAGCTCAGACTCCCATTGTTTCCCCGAGGGCGAATTCGTCCCGCCAGGCTTCTTTGAGAGAGTTCATTCGGATATGTTTGCGTTGCCGCCACGCATGAATGACTGGAAATACCACATGCGCCGAGAGGCCCAAATGATCCTCCCTTTCCTTTATCTGGGTCCGTGGGCTTGCTTGAAAGATCGAGTCTGGCTGGAAAGAGAGGGGTTCACGCTACTCCTCGCCGTTCGGGACCAGCGATTGGCACATGCTCGATTGATTTCTGGCGAAAAGGCCGCCATGGAGCTGGGAATCGAAACGTGCGCAGTGGACACGGTGGATAATCAGGACCTCATAACGGCGCTGCCTCGTGCGATCCGCTTGATCAACGATCATGTCTCTACTCCGGCAAATGCGCAGTCTCACAATTCGTCGCGCCGCAAAATTCTCTTGTTCTGTGAGACAGGGAATGGTCATTCGGCTGGGGTGTTGGTTGCATACCTGATGGCAATGTTCAACTTGAAATTTCACCAGGCATTGCAGATCGCCCATCTGCAGCGCTTCTGTATCGACATAGACGAGCCATTGAAGAATCTACTTTTATCGTTCGAGTCGATCCTGGCGGCTAAGAGAGATGTCGAAAGCTCGAGGAGAATGGCATCGGCGAACCCCGGCCTGGCGACTCTGACTACTACGAATAGAAAAAGAGACCTTGAGGACCCCAACGACATGGAGGACAGTATGGATATGGATGGCCACGATGGTCTCTTTCCTGCACGACGGGGTACAGCGCCGTTCCAGGATCGCTGAGAGTACATTGTGTGTTTTTGTTGGCGTACAGCATGGCGTTTGAGAGCGATTGGCCCATGGTTTTTCTGTTGATGGTGACATTGGAGACATTTGATTTATGAGCCCCTCTCTGGGTTTCTCTTCTTCTTGTACAACCTTTTCTTTCCTATTATTTTCGGGTGTCTTTCTTTTCTTCTTCGTTACAAAAAGCAATCGGAATATTTAGGCATGAAGCAATGGGATACTTAGCTTTAGGAATACTCCGGTCTATAAGCTGGATTACTCCGAGGTCATTAACCTCTGACTACTAAACAATGCCTTTTATTTCACATTACTTCTGCCATTTTTCACTGCAAGCAGGCTCCTGGTGGTGTTTGTTGGCTTTAATTCTTCTTCCCTAAAGAGGCAAGTGCCTTAATTTCACTCAATGACGGTCGCCTTCACTCTTGACCACCTTTTTCTGTCTTCCAGATGGGCTCTTCCGTTATCTTCACTACCATCTAGGTGTCAAATAAAGTATTTATAGGCTGCATCCCTTATCTTTTCATTGTGATTTCAATGTGATTATCTTCATCCATTTAACCTCTGCACAAATCCATGTGCGATCGATCACCATGAGGCTTCGCAGCAGTATCCGCCCGCCCAAACGGTTCAATTCTGAGGATTATGAAGCTCCTTTCTCACAGGTTTCCTTACGTCGACCCCAAAAAGACATAGAAAGACCACCTATCATTGAATTTAATCCCAACTTGCCGCCGGCCGCATTCCCGACTTTGGACAAGCCCCGGGTTCCTGGATCGAACGATGGCAACATTGACACTCCTCAGGATGATTTGGACAGTGAGGTTGACTTCGACGACATCACGTTTGCTGAGATCGAGAATCTCAAAGCCAGCAATGGGCCCCTGAATCCAATCTACGTGAGGAACATGAATTTGATGGCAAACGCAGGCCGACCCTCATCACATACGGATCACGACGTGGAAGATACCGCTTGGGGCTCAATTTTTGATGACTTTGACCAAGAATTCCCCCTGGCAAGTGAATCCATGACCCTCCCTCCTATCCTTACTCAGTGGCCTCAACCAGGCACGGATCCGTTGCTGACTATGCCTAATAAGCCTGCTCCCCTGATCCCAGATCCAGAATGGAGCGATATGCCTATTTCTCTCAGAGTTGAGATATTCAGTAACCTTCTCGAGTCGCTCAGCTGGCCACAGGCATGCAACCAGTTGGGACTTAATGTCCAAGATCAAATTCAACTCCAAAAGAAGTGGGCCGAGCGGGACAAGCAGGTCGACGACGAAGATGAACTACTGGCAGAGATGCGAGCGCAGCAGCTGAGGGAGTCGATGCGAGTCGACAACAGTTCTCCGAATCATGATTTGAAGTCGCTTCAGACGAGAATGCAGGAAATAGGCGACGATGCCATTAGCAGGCTGAGAAGGAGACCTCAGGCAAAGCACTTGATGTGCAACACCGACGATATCGCTATTGCCAGGAGATTCCTAGACAAACAGGGGCTGAACCCCAGACTTATCGGGGAATGGAGCAACAGCATTCCCGTTGTCGAGGGCTATAAAGAAGGAGAAAACGACAACCATTGGATGGCAGGAACCTTTGAGTGGACTTTGGAACCATTTGGTATTAGAATCAGTGAATCGCCTTTCGGTTCTACCCCTGCTAGGGACAACGCAGCTACTTGGAACGAATCCACCGAGTCAACACCTTCCAGGACATCAGTCATTGATAGTTTCGGGACAGAACCTTCAGTCAGTCCAATAGACACGGTCCGACGTCGAAGCGGTGTTGTTAATCCTGCTCCCAGGTGGATCAACGACCCAACCTCGAGTTCGTGGCGGCCCTCTCCATCCAGCGCACTTGTTAATCTGAGCATTGGCACGGAGCGAGCTGCTCAAATTCACCCGGCAAGATCGGTTCGTCAAAACCCTCCACAGGACTGCGTCTCTGAGAACCCCACCCCGACAGTAGGTGATGCTGCTACTGATACTCCTGATACGAGAACAGCCCTAGCCCCAGCCCCAGCCCCAATCCCAAAACCAGCTTCAACTAGCTCCCAGAAGCCAGTACGGCGAACATTGGGTGGGAATTGGTCATATTTGTCTGCTGCGCCCAATCCGAATCTTAGGAGGACCTCCACTAGACGCCCGCGGAAGAGACCGGACGAAGTCAAATCAGGCGCGAGAAAAGAGAATCCCAGGGCTGATCGTGGCAGCATTGAGCAGCGATGTGCCGCTCCTCAGCCAGGGGAGAGCTTTTTACCTAGGGCTCGGCCAAAATTAACCAGAACTTTGTCAGACCCATCCTCGAGCATCCCGACAACCTACCGGGGATTACCAACCTTCAACACAGAGACGTCAGAAGCAGCTTTACCCGTCCTGCCAGAAAACAGGAGAGAAGAAGCCGATGATATGACAACCACGCCCCCAACCTCTGATACCCGGCCAACTGCACAGACATCTGAAAGCGAAGTCGCGAACGGTGCAATGGAACTGGACGAAACGGAATTATACGAAATGGAATTGGACGAATTGGACGAGATGGATGAAGTGGTTCTTGTCCCATCCGGCCCTTCGGCCTAGTCTATTTCAAAGCCCAAAAACCGGGCATTCAATCGTACTAAGTTGCTCAATCTGAATCTAGCATCGGTTCTTGTACATACTTCACGTCTGATGAGCATCATGACTTATGATTTGTAATTTTCATTTCGTGTACAGTTTTTTTCTTTTTTCTTTTTCTTTTTCTAGCATGAAACATATCATGGCGTTTTACATCAATCTAAATGAATGAAACATTATTTGAAGCTAGCATATTTCCTTTCCCATAAAAATGCATACCGAGTAATAGATGTAGATGTCGATATAGTCCGATGGCGCCGGAAACCCATTTAGAGGTGGTCCGTGCGGCGAACGCGAAAAACCCGCGTCAACCAAAGAACGACCTGCGAACGCGTTCCTTGCATCGCTCTGAGCGACCCATTCCTCTCTTGGCACTGGCGTCATTCACAGGCTCTTTGTTCCCGGCATTGCAGCTCTTTTTATATATAGGGACTTTCCCGGAGTGAATCTTTCTGTGTTCAAGTGGTGAACGACCCACGCCACCAAGGGACTTCGCTGCCCTTCTCCTAACCCACTGACCCCTGCACTGCTATGGGGATCTTTTAGCTTTACTATCCTATCTGACTACCGAAACCATGTCCAACCCCGACACCCCGATTACCCTGGCGGAATCGCAGGGCGAAAGTGCCCTGCGCCAGGACTCCACGCAACCATCCTCCCCGGCCACTGACGCCGGCGATCGGTACACCAAGCCCCCATCGGACGAAAAGATGAACGGACCGGAAGAGACCGAGGAGATGGACAGCGGGTCGAAAGCGCTCATGACGCTTTTGAAATCGAGTGAAGTGCGTTCATACCCGGAGCCCTTGTCTCAAGCGCGGAGAGAGGGAGGCAAAGTTGCTGATGTTGGCCTCTTTCGCATGTGATTTCTAGGTGTTTGTAGCTATCATGGCAGATCGGATGAAGGAACAGCAGGAAGAAGCGAGACAAGAAGCGGCGAAGCAGCAGAAGCAGCAGACTTCGGAGACGAAGAAGAAGCCCGTTGCTTCTAAGGAACCGGCCCCGAAGCGCGAGACCCGCACGAGTGCGCGACGCAGTACAGCGAGTGAACAGGCCTCCGCCGAGAAGACAGAACCTGACGACCAAGCGGAGCAAAAGCCGAAACGAGGCCGAGGCAGGAAGCCTGTGCCTGCAAAGGGCAATGCGATCTCGAACTACTTCAAGAAAGCGGATGTGAAGGTTTCGGAGGACAACCCGACGGTCAAGGAGGCTTTGGAACATGCTGCGGATGAGTATGAGGCGAACCCTACGGCGTTGGGTGGACAGGAGCTTGTTGCCACGCAGCAGCCGGACTTGGTCACTGGGGGAAAGATGAGACAATATCAATTGGAAGGGCTGGAATGGCTCAAGTCGCTTTGGATGAATGGCTTGTGCGGAATTCTGGCGGACGAGATGGGTCTTGGTAAAACCGTCCAGGCTATCTCTTTGATTGCCTTTTTCAAGGAGAAGAAGATCTCGGGCCCCTTCTTGATAGCCGCGCCTCTAAGTACCGTGAGCAATTGGGTAGACGAATTCGCAAGATGGACTCCGGATATCAAGACCGTGTTGTACCACGGCAGCAAAGATGAGCGTGCAGAGATCCGGAGGGAGTTTATGAACCCGAAGAATCAGAGAGACATGGATTTTCCGGTGGTCTGTACCTCCTATGAAATATCCATGAATGATCGGAAGTTCCTTTCGCAATACCAATGGCGTTACATAATTGTGGTATGTATTGTGATTTGACCAGAAGGATCAGCTGCTAAAGACAACACAGGATGAGGGACATCGTCTGAAGAACATGAACTGCCGGCTTATCAAAGAGCTGCTCACCTACAATTCCGCCAACAGACTACTTATCACGGGCACGCCGCTACAGAACAATATAACCGAGCTATGGTCGCTACTGCATTTCTTGCTGCCAGAGATCTTCAATGATCTGAACAGTTTCCAAAGCTGGTTTGACTTCTCCTCAATGCTGGACAATAATGGTCAGACCGATGTCATCGAGCGTCGAAAGCGAAGCCTGGTCTCCACGATGCACTCCATCTTGAAGCCTTTCCTACTGAGACGCGTGAAAACCGATGTGGAAACCTCTCTGCCCAAGAAACGCGAATATATTCTTTACGCGCCTCTAACGGCTGAACAGAAAGATTTATACCGGGAAATTTTGAATGGGACGGGGCGTCAATACCTCGAAGATAAAGCTCGGGAGAGGCTATTCGCTCGCAATGAGAGGCTGTCGCGCTCAGGAAGCGTGAAACGAAGCGCTGATAGCAGCGGATACACCACTCCCAATAAAAGTCTCAAGTCGAGTCGTGGTTCGACGCCCGCCAGTGCCTCCGGATCTACTCGCAGAAACCGAGGGCCGCAGACTTACAAGGAACTAAGTGACCGTGAATTCAATGCGAAGCTTCGAAGGCTCGAGCAAGGCATTGAGGATGATTTGGACATTGAAGGCCCTGGCGAAAGCGAGGAAGAAGAGATCGAACGGGCGAAGACGATCAAGCTCGCAAGTAAGTCACACTCCTAGAAATCCGGCACCGCTGTGGCTCCGATCTGGCTCCTAACACCAAGTCACCCAATCCAGAGAAAGAGATCGCCCAGAAGAAGATGCAAAACCCCGTCATGCAAGCCCGTCTAGCATGTAACTCCCCACACAACTTCTACTGGCCCTGGGAAGACGGTCCCATCGACAAATCGCTCGTTACTGCCTCGGGGAAAATGCTTCTCCTCGACCGCCTGGTCCCCTGTCTTCTCAAAAAGGGCCACAAAATTCTCATCTTCTCCCAATTCAAAACCCAACTCGACCTCCTTCAGGACTGGGCCACGCAGCTCCGCTCCTGGCACTGCTGTCGCATCGACGGCGCGATCAGCCAGGCCGACCGCCAGGCCCAGATCAAAGCCTTCAACACCGATCCTCGATACAAGCTCTTTCTTCTCAGCACGCGTGCCGGCGGCCAAGGCATCAACCTGACGGCCGCAGACACGGTCATCCTATACGATTCCGACTGGAACCCGCAGCAGGATCTCCAGGCCCAGGATCGAGCCCATCGCATCGGACAGACCAAACCCGTGATCGTCTACCGGCTCGCCACAAAGGGCACCGTCGAGCAGACGCTCCTCGAGAAAGCCGACTCGAAGCGCCGTCTAGAGCGACTCGTCATCCAGAAGGGGAAGTTCAAGAACCTTCTCGACACCGGCGCCGGCATGAACCAGAACGACGTCGACGATCTCCGAAAAGCCCTCGGGGAGGATGAATACGAGCTCTTTGAAGCGGGCGCCGATCCCTCGGGCCTCCTGTCCCAGAAGGACCTGGACATTTTGACGGATCGCAGCGAGGAGGCCTATGCGCGTGCTGAGAAGGGTCTGGACCAGAGCGGACCGGCGTTCTTGGCCGTGGAGACGAAACGAGACGGAGGTGGTCTGATGGCTCAGATCGCCGGGAAATAAACGGAGTTTATTCTCTTTCTGTTGCCATTGTACCAATAGACCATCCCACCCCCTTTGCATTAATTGATATGGAAACTCCGTTCGTTGGAGGGAGTCGGTTGGTGCCGGCGTTGAGGTACTGCTATACGCATTGGACTTTTGAGCCTGCTGGAGAAGACACAAGTTGGTTCATGTTTTTCTGGGGGAAAATTATGCACTGTACATTAGATGTGATATGTAGTACAACAGGAGCATGTGGGGGTGGATCCTCTAATCAATTTAAATCATTCCAAGACAAAAAAAGAAAAGAACGAAAGAAAGAAAACATGAAAACATCCATTTAGCGCCTGATGCTCCTCGCCAAAGAAATGGCTATACACAGACTGACAAGCGTCAGAAGCAGAAACTCCCACGAAGCAAGAAATAGGGGGAAACGGGGGAAATATGCAATACAGGAACCAAGAAAGGATAGGAATTGAGAGCTCAATTCCAGGTGACGCTCTACCGAGATGCTCGCTCTTCCTCGGCCTGTCTTCGCAAGTCGGCCAGGGCCTCTTTCCGTTGCGCGAGGTGGCTCTTTAACCCTTCCACCTGCTCCCCAACGGCCTTGACATCTTCCCCGAGTCGTTCGACGTTCTGGCCCTCCTTGGACCGGCCCGTGCCTTCACGCAGCTCCCGGAGCTCGCGTTCCTTGTACTCCAGCAGCTGCAGGGCCTCCTTCTTGATGAGAACCCAGTTGGATCGACCGTCGTTCCTGGGCTGGTCGCGTCGGCCTTCCGATGCCTTTCTGGCGGAATCGAGCTTGGACTCGATCTCCGCGAGCTCGCGCCTCAAGCGGACCCGCTCCCACTCCTCGTCCTGGATCGTTTCGCTGAAATCCGTTCCCTTGGGGGTGTAGGACGTTTTGCCGCCCGCGCCCAATCGGCTCAGATACGTATCGCCAAACTTGGCTTTCCGGCCAGAGCGTGTCTCCGATTCTCCGTTCGAGCCCCATTTCTGCGACGGACGAGCATTGTCCAGTTGGTAGTCGATCTTGTTGTTTTCGAACGAGGCGCGCAAAGAAGCCGGGATGGAGCGGGGAATGCGAACGCCCTCGTGTCGGTAATTCAGGATGTGCAGGAACGCAAGGGTCGCGTCTTTATTGATTGACGAGGACGCGGAGGGGTTCACCAGGTTCCAGGCGGAGCGGATGTCGGTATCGGGGACGTCGAGGGAATCGTAGAGGGGCTGTAATGATTCGACTGAATAGTACAAGATCGTGGTTAGCTATGTGGAGGACGATCAAGAGCCTTAAGGGGGTGCTCAGATGCAAGGTAGACGGTGACGTACATGCGATTTCCCCGCGGTGGTTCTTGTTCGCGGAGTAGATCTCTTCGTACTTGGTCTTGTCGGCCGGGTTCATGTACCAGTCAAATCCATCTTTAAGGCCTGGCGTGTCATCTTCGTCTTCTATCCGTTCGAATTGCTCCTGGCTACCTAGAGCACGGGTGGCGTGGACGAGATGGGCCTTGGATTCAGGGACGAGCCAATCGGGCAGGACGGCGGGGACATTTTGAAGTTCCTATTTATTTTAATGTTAAGCCTCGATCTTTCCGGTTCAGGTATTCCAATGACCGCAAAAGAAGCTCGCAAGAAGACCGTGACTCGAAGCGCCGATGTGCCGGTTGGGGCGGAGCGGGAATCTACTCCGTGGAAGCAGTAGGGGGGTAACGTACCCCGTTGACAACGTCAAAGATCAATCGCATCGCAACGCAAAACTCCTCGAAATCCAATTCTCCATCGCCGTCGACATCTGCCAGGTCCCAGACCTTCTCTAGCTGCTCATCGCGAAGCCGACTGTTCCTGAGCACCGAGGCCGCTTGGGAGTTGTTCAAACGCGGCTGGCCATTGGCTAGCGATGCGAAGATCTCCCAGTATCGCTCGATCTCCCACTGCTCGATTTTCTTGGTCGACATACTGGAATTGAAGTGGCCGCTGCCTTTCTTGCGGGGGAATTTGGACTCGAGCCGTGAGACGCTGCGGAGGGGAAGTCGTACTGGGGGTGTTCGTGATGATGGAGGTGGCCAGTCAGGTGTGTGTTTAACCGCTTTGGGCATCCCGCAGTCCGCCCCGGCTTCGTCGGATCAACGACGGTCCGGCTATAGTATACTCTGGAGTACTTCGGACAAAGAATAGTGACTGGTAGTGCATTGATCATGAGTTGCTATGGAGTACATTCATTGGCAATTGCTGTATAGTACATGGCCCAAGCATTTACGGCTCTACGTTGGCATGGGCGGAGTGGAGGATTACCCTGTGCGTGGTCAAGTCCACCGCTAGCTAGTATCCAAGTCAGGAGGATGCGACTGCTCCTAAGCAGATCCTAATTCGTCATGCCTCCTTCTTTGAAGATTTTTCTTCCTCTTTCTTTTTCTGTATCAGCAGTTGCTCTTCCACCTGTACAATCGCTCGTTCGGCTTCCAGGGCCAGCTCGGGCGCATCCAGTATCGATGCCAATTTTTTGGCATCCTTCATACGGAGTAAAAGTGTGTCTTTGCTGTTTTCCACGTCCTCCGCCATTTGGAGAACGGGCTTTTCTCGAGGGATGTTTTCTAATGCACGCGAGACTCTCTTCGCGTACAATTGTTCAAGCGCGGGATATGAGACCGGTTTGAGCAAGTTCTTCTCGACCAGGAACTCCAAGTGTCTGGAGCCATTCAATGCTTTTTGGGCTGTCAGTACACAGAGTGGAAGTCCAGGTCCAAAGGTAAACATACCTCGCCAATGCGACCAACCTCGGTACGCAAGGTAAAAGAAAGGGACATTAGGGATCCTACGGAAACACCCAGCATTTCACCGGTTAGAAATCTCATATCCGATAGACAGTGCGATCACAGATCATCGGCACATACAAAGGAATCAACCCAATCGGGGCCGTGATAGGGGCTGCAAGGAAGCTCCACCACATTTTCTTGCGATGCAAATCTTGTCGCTCAGTTGCAATCGCCCGCAAAAGGGCCTGGAGCTTCTCCTCTTTGATCGCGTTGCCCGGGAAAAGCACGTCCACCGGCTGTGACCCATGCGACGGATCGAGTCGTCGTTGGGCACTGAGCGAAGGGATACTCTTGAGCCCCCATTCTTCAAAGGGGATACGCTGCTGGACACGATTTCCCCAGGAGACGAGGTGTTTTTTCCAACCTTTATCAGCCTCCTCCCATCGAGCCCAGGTCTGAGCGACCTTGCTTGTGACACGGTCGGTCAGGGAAACCTTCTTGGAGACTTCCTTGCTGAAAGTTCGCGAATAAATTAGAGCTCGCCGTGTCGAGATCGGGATGATGAAGAGTCGCATCGCGACGGGCGACCCTTAATTTCCCTTCCTTCTTTCGTTTTAACGTTCGGGAAGTAAGCAGGCGGAAAAAAAGCTAGGTAGGGATTGCTGGCTAGGGAGGACTATCGATCGACTAGACGAAAGAACCGATGGAAGGGAGCGTACGAAAGAAACATTCCTCCTGGTGGGTAATGAACAAAACCAGGGTTGTAGGGCGAAGCGATGGTGTAGCTCCCTGCGGTCCTCTCTCTGCCTTGATCATCAAAGGTGGATGTGGATAAACTCTTCGTGGGTCGTCCGCAACCAGAGAGACGTCATTCTGCCGCCTGCGCCCACCGCCCGTGTATTGTACGGTATTCATACGGTATTATGGTGTGACCGCCAGCCGTATCGTCGGTATGGCACTGTACGGCGTCATCGTCCGTCTCGATACCGCGCAGGCGTCGCAGGTACTTCCGAATGGGCGCCGGTTATCGCCGCCCAGCAGGTATCGAGTACATCCAGGCCCCGACTACTCCCTGGCCGTCCAGTTCAAAGCTCAAGCTTCTTCTCTACGCGCCCAGAGGACGTTGGTCGTGCCTTGCCTGAAGTTTCAATCTCGGCGTCACACCCTTCTCCCATAGTCCGAATTCAAGTCCAAAGTTCGACCCAGTTTCCACAGAAACCTTGTAACCCCCCTCCGCCTGAAAGGGAAAGGAAATGAGGCGATGCAGACTAGATCCGTCCGATCCTCCCACAACTTCCGACAGCCCGACGCAATCTCACCCCGGAACCACCTTCGAACTCTTGAGAGGCAATGGCACAGGATGTGGACCATTCGCTTCTCCAGTCTCCAGGTTCCCAACCTTCTTTAGATAATCGGCCGTCGGAGATTCCGTCGCCTGCAAAATGGACCTCGGGACCGTCCACCCTCGCTCCCAACGGGCAGTACGGCGATCGCCAGCCCTTGGAGCCCTTTCCAAATGGTACGATGGACCAGGTTTCTACCATGTCGTACATCCCCGAGGAATCGGAGATGGAAAACGGCGTCGTCTCTCCACCGCAACAGAAAAAGTCAAGGACCCTGCCCGGTATGTAAACCCACTTGGGATAAGACCCTTCCTGCACGGAGCGCTACTGATGCCGATGAGCATGCAGCCTGGATTCGGTCGGTCGAGGACCTGGAAGATGAACCAGAAGCCACGGCCACGTCGCGTCTATTACCTGCGAATCCCGATGAAGCCGTCGTTGCCCAGCACAATCATTCGCCCCATGCGACCAGAAGGCCGGATCCTCCGTACGCAGATCGCGGCAGCTTGGAGGATGGGCGCGCTATATCCCCCCGGCGTGAGTCGCGCTGGAAGAATTTCTCGAAGGAAATAGCCTATCCACGAGAACCCGGGGTGGAAGAAAAGGCCGTGACGCCGGAATGGCTGAATGAAAATCATGGCGACTACTCGCAGCCCTGGCGCGGGCAGCGCGCCTCGTGGGAATGCGAAGATACTGAGGATCCGCTGAGGAAGAAACGGCGCAGAGAAATCTGGTTCAAGCGCTTCCACAACACCCTTCTGAAGAGCCCTATCGTCCCGCTCATCTTCCGATTAACCGTATGGTGTTTCTCGCTCACTGCTCTGGCCCTTGGAGGCTCGATTCAGCATCTGTCCCAGGAATACGTTCATCCTCAAGGCCCTTCCGCTTTGATGGCCATTATCGTCGATGCGGTCGCTCTAGTCTACCTCATTTACATCACATGGGATGAGTACACTTCCAAGCCATTGGGCTTGCGTTCTCCCTCGGCGAAGGCACGACTTGTTCTCTTGGATATCTTCTTCATCGTCTTCGATTCGGCCAATCTGAGCTTGGCCTTTGAGTCCTTATCCACCATAAGTGGCGCCTGTACGGTGGGAGAGATCAACCAAGAGATCACTCCCAAGAATGACCGGATATGCGACCGGCAAATAGCCCTCGCATCGGTGCTCTTGATTGCTTTGTTGGCTTGGCTTACAACATTTGCCATCAGCGTCCTCAGGTAGGATCTGAACCCATCTTTTCCGTCACTCGCGATGCTAACCATTCCCTCCCAAATCAGACTTGTAGAGCGCGCGGCTAACTAGATGTCGTTTGGTTTGCTATGTTGACCTATATCACCGGGCTTGATTCACTTCTAATCTTCTAGTTTTTTTGTTTCTTTTTTATTTATTCTTCTTTCTCTTCACTACCCTTTTCCTACGTACATGACTTATCTTCCATTCGATTTCCTTTGATTTTGCTTTTTTCTGTGATACCTACTACTTTTTCCTCTTCGTCTTCATCTTCTTTTCCTTCCTTTCTTTTCCTTTTCTCTTTCCTATACTCACTGTTTTCTTTTCCTTTCTTTACTTGTCGGGTGGTGCTAGGATCTTTGATGATGTTTTGAATACCATGCTATGGCCTTGCGATCTGAGAACTATGTACAACTATGTTGAATGTCGAAATACACGTGTGGAATGACCGGAGAACGTAGTAGTCTACGCATGCATCACCGGGCCATCTGGTCCATATAACGGATCCCCGTGAAACCAATCCAGCTTTTCGATCGAACGAGCCTTGCCTTCCTCGCCCGGCTGTCCGTAGCACATGTCCCATTCCTTCCCCGGGGGGTAGGCTCCAACCATCTGGAAACCCTCTCCGCTCCCAATGTCCTCGAGCAGTCGGTGGCCCACGCCGGCGGGGACAATGATCAAATCCCCCTTCTCGACGATCGGCTCGAATCGATCCGGATTCTTTTCGCCGCCAAAACAAAGGCGGGCGCGACCGGCAACGACGCCCAAAACCTCGTGGGTGGTGCTGTGATAGTGGGTTTGCCGGTACATGCTATAGACCCACTGTGGCATGACCTCGCCAACCTCCTCCAAACGAGCGGCCAGGTCCCTTGATGATGCATTGAAGGCTTGGTGGTAGATCATGAGCGGTTTAGACTGGATGGAAGTGTTAGGGATAGAGTCCCATTGAGGGATCTGCCGCGACGTGACGTGCACATCGGTCTGAGATCTGAAGGACATGACGGGACTTGTCTGTGTAAGGGAGCAATGCGCAGTTAAATCCGAACGGAAGGGGGAAAGAGAGCTTGAAGCTGGTCGGTCTTGAGCATCGCAGCATCGCAGCATCTCACGGTGACGTCATTGTTCAGATGAACGCGGAGACTCCAGGCAATACATCTTCCATAGTTGGAGAGATCCGGGGAGCCGGTTTCGATCTCTGGAATTTCCCTGGAGCATGGTCCTGCAAGGCTTATCATGACGGGCCCACAATCCACCTGTTACATGTACAGTTGACAGTCATTCGAATACTTTAAGGAGTGTGCACCTTGCGAGGGCAGACAGTCGACGCGTTGCTGCTTGCGGACACACCACTGCTACCCACGCTGCCCTGTCGTCACTCAACCACGATAGAAGTGAAAGAGCAAGAGCCTGTTCCTCTCAGTCGGAGGGGCATTCCAACCTCCGGAGTAGAGTTAAAAAGACTTATCTCACTTCTTACTCTGACTTACTCAGAAGGACAGAGATCAGGCTGTCGCGCCGGCTGACCGCCTGCCGCAACGGGCGGCTCATTATCCCCCACGGCGACCGCCCAACGCCACGCCTTTTCGCTCCCTCCAACGCTCCCTCGCTCGCTCGCTCTCGCTCTGACGTCCTCTGATCCCTCCGTTGTAGGCGCATTCCGTCTCCTTGTCTGTCTCTTCTGTCGTCCCTGTGGCTAGTGTTCAAGCGCGCGACTGTCTCCCTACCTTGGCAACGATCCTAAGGTAGCCTTGACAATCATCGCCGCCGCTGCCTTAACCGCCCACCGCCGAACCTCCAAGGCAGTTGTCTCAGCAAGCTCTATTATGTACGTTGGATTCGATCTACTTTGAACCCTGGTGCCTGCTTTCCTTTGTCTCTCGATACTCCCTTTCCTGCAATAGCCAGGTTCGCCCTCACGCCGTGGTCATCCCCCTCGGCGGTCACAACTCATCTTCGGCGCTAACCTTATATCACTTAACAGTCGTGTTCTCATCTCCGGTATACGCGCCCACCAGAAGCAATATGCCTCCTCTTGTTCCGCAGACACCCCAAAAGGACGATCTTGATCAAACGTGGGTTTTTCCGGCCCCAGTCATGCCGTGACTCGAGGTGATCGAGGCGCGGTCCCGTCTTAGAATTCGTGCTAACCTCGCGTAGATGGACGTTCTTGGAAAGGGGCATCGACAGCGTCATGCTGAAGTTGGAGGACGGGGTGGATATGAAGACTGTAAGTGTTGCGGCCTCCGTCGTTTGGTTGAATGTCAAATTCCCGAAAGTACGACGATCATGCTAACGTTGCCGGTCTCTCTGCTTAGTACATGGCTTTATATACGTGCGTTCATCTTTTTTCTTTTTCCCAATCATTCGCCCTAGCTCTCTTTCGTTGGCTGATCGGATAACAGCGCAGTCCATAACTTTTGCACGTCGCAAAAGGCAGTCGGAGGTAACCCCAATCTAAACGCACACCGTGGTGGTACGAACGTTCCCCTTCACTCTCTTAACGCCCGCGTGGCCCGGGCTAACTCGATCGACAGCACACCTACTAGGTGAGGAGCTATACAAGCTGCTAGGGGAATACCTTTCGCGCCACCTCGATGCGGTTCATAATGAATCCAAAGGCCATACCGAAGAAGCACTGCTTGCCTTCTACATTCGCGAATGGTCTCGTTATACGACTGCGGCCAAGTACATAAACCATCTCTTCAAATACCTCAATCGTCACTGGGTAAAACGGGAAATCGACGAAGGCAAGAAGAATGTGTACGACGTGTATACTCTACACTTGGTCAAGTGGAAAGATGATTTCTTCCTCAAGATTCATGACAAGGTCATGGAAGCGGTCTTGAACCTTGTCGAGAAGCAGCGGAATGGCGAGACGATCGAGCAATCGCAGATCAAGAGTATCGTGGATTCATTCGTTTCGTTGGGTCTCGACGAAAGTGACAGCACCAAGTCTACTCTGGAAGTCTACCGGTTTTACTTCGAACGGCCATTCATCGCTGCCACTCGGAGTTACTACGAAAACGAGTCTCGGCAATTCGTGGCAGAGAACAGTGTGGTTGAGTACATGAAGAAGGCAGATGCCCGTCTCGACGAAGAGAAAGCCCGTGTTGGCTTGTATCTGCACCCGGATATCTCTAAGCATCTCACGGATACCTGCTTGGATGTTCTCGTCACTGCTCACTCCGAGCTTCTCCGGGACGAGTTCCAAGTTCTTTTGGATAATGAACGCCAGGACGACCTGGCCCGTATGTACCGACTCTTGTCGCGCATCAAAGACGGTCTGGACCCTCTGCGAACGAAATTCGAGACACATGTTAGGAAAGCTGGTCATGCTGCGGTCGAGAAGGTTGCTGCAGAAGGCGAGGCGTTTGAGCCTAAGATGTATGTGGATGCGTTGTTGCAAGTTCACACCCGGTACCAAAGCCTGGTGAACGAGGCCTTCAATGGCGAGTCCGAGTTTGTCCGATCTTTAGACAATGCCTGCCGAGAGTTTGTCAACCGCAATCAGATCTGCGCTTCCAGTTCGACGAAATCGCCGGAACTGCTGGCCAAGTACACCGACTCGTTGCTCAAGAAGGGGTCGAAGGCTGCCGAAGAATCCGAGGTCGAGGAGATGCTGGTTCAGATCATGACCGTCTTCAAGTACATTGAGGATAAGGATGTTTTCCAGAAATTCTATTCCAAAATGCTGGCCAAGCGATTGGTCCATGTCAGCTCGGTGTCGGACGACGCGGAAACCAGTATGATCAGCAAACTCAAGGAAGCCTGTGGTTTTGAATACACGAATAAGCTGCAGCGAATGTTCCAGGACATCCAGATCTCGAAGGACCTCAACGCCAGCTATAAGGACTGGCAAGAGAGGGCCCTAGACGACGACGATCGAAAGAGACTGGTAGACACCCATTTCCAGATTCTGGGAACTGGATTCTGGCCCCTTCAGGCTCCCTCGACGGACTTCCTGGCACCGCCAGAAATTGTCAAGACTGCCGAACGCTTCCAGAGCTTCTATTTCGACAAGCACAACGGTCGCAAGCTGACCTGGCTTTGGCAATTGTGCAAGGGCGAAATCAAGACGAATTACATCAAGAACACCAAGGTCCCTTACACTTTCCAGGTGTCGACCTTCCAAATGGGTATCTTGTTGCTGTTCAATGAAAACGACACTCTGGAATACTCCGACATCCAAAAGGCCACGTCGCTTGCCCCGGAAATTCTTGAGCCAAACCTGGGTATCCTTCTCAAAGCCAAGGTTCTTATCATCGGCCCTGAGGGCTCCAAGCCGGGTCCTGGCACGACATTCACCTTGAACTATAACTTCAAGCACAAGAAAATCAAGGTCAATCTAAACATTCAAATCAAATCCGAACAGAAGGTCGAGTCGGACGACACGCACAAGACGATAGAGGAGGACCGTAAGCTGCTGCTCCAGGTACGTTTGAGCTCCCTTTTCCACATCCCCCAAATCCCATCCATCTAACCGATTCCGTCACAGTCTGCTATCGTTCGCATTATGAAGTCGCGGAAGAAGATGCGACACGTCGTGCTCGTCCAGGAGGTAATTCAGCAGGTGAAATCCCGCTTTCCTCCCAAGATTCCCGACATCAAAAAGAACATTGAGGCCCTCATGGAGAAGGATTATATAGAGCGTTTGGATGGTGATGAAATCGCGTACATTGCATAATCCTCCCCTTTCCCCCAACTTCCCCATTTCTTCCTATACACTATTCCATTCCTTCCAGCCTTTGGTCTCTCACATCACTTGTGTTAGCGTCGGTTTTCATGGTTTTTTTTTTCATCATCCTCATACTTCTTAAATTTTTCCCCGTCCCCATTATCAAGTTGGTCTTACGGTTCTCTCCTGCAATAAAACCAGCACCTTTCTATAGGAGAACATAGCTTTCTTCGTATCACTTTCTTATTCTTTTGCCCCTCTTTTCTTGCCTCATACCTTAGCGCTGATGAGGAGAAATGATAACCCAAATCTATCGACCAAAAATGACCACGTTTGCTCTGCATTTCTTTTCCAATTTATCTGCTTGCGCTTCCCTGGGTTCTACTCCGTTCACTTTCTATTTCATCTTACGAATAAAGATCCGATCCCATTTTAGTATAGATGATGTCAAGAAAAAATGCCGACTGGTCTTCAGAGAAGCAAGATTGATTGGATTATCAATTATTCGTTCTGGTTCTGGTTCTGGTTCTGTTTATGCGATCGTCGTAATGCGAAACATGCTAAGTATGCCACAAGTTGTTGCCCCTTTGCCCTTTGCGAGGGGGTTCCCCAATGCCAGCGTATATATCCGTTTGTGTAGATCGACAATGTGATGTGCAGTTTACATAATATAAAAAAAGGTATTCAAAGACAAGAGAAGAAAGACGATGGCGAAAGAAGATGGAAAGAAAAATAGAAATGAAAAGAAGAGAAATGTGTACAAGCTCGGTCCTCCCTCGGGGTATCAAAGCCCCTCTGGAAAACAGAAGGGCGTAACAAAGAGACGGACAAGGAGAGCTGATCACAAATGCACCATCACCATCGTTATGGGAATTTGGGATGCAGATTAGAATTAATTGTTAGATGCGTCTTTTCATCAAGGCAGCCATCACGTCGTGTTCAGTACAGCTGGAGGAAAAGGAAATAAGCAGTCGTTTCATGTGCTTGGGTGTAGAATTATGGGAATCCGATCCCCCTTTTTTTGCCATCGTTTCTTATTTGCCGGCAGATGTGCTAGATGTCTCCAAAGGCGGTTCTTCGGTGACAGCTCGCTGCTGGGGGAGCGAATCGCCAGTTTTGGTTTGATCCTCTGATGCGTCCTTGGCGGCATCGGCACTTTTCTCGACAATTGGGGGTGATTTCGGCTCTTCAGGAATCTGAGTTGTTGTGAGATCGTTGGCTTTGGGCTCGGGTTGGGTTGTGGACTCGCTAGCCTGCAGATCGGCAGGGTCTGGAGTATCGTCGCCGAGGATGGAGGCCTCTCTTGACAACGGAGATCTCGGGTAGACGTTTTCATCGTTGTTTTCGCTACTTCCGTCATCCTTCTTCTGCGAGGAGGATCCAAACTCCCCGCTCTCTCGTCTGAGAAGAATGTTGCTCCATCTCTTTCTTCGGCTGCCGCTGCGGGACAGGGAGTGTGAATCCTCACTGCGTTGCGCTTGCATCGACTGCCGTCTTCCTCGTTCCGCGTCATTGGTCTCCGCTGCGCTCGCCAATGTTGTCGTTGATGGGGACTTGATCGAGGATGGAGAAGACGGAGAGGAGGGAGGCGGTTTTTTCTCCTGCCACTCTTTCCGCTTCTCGCTGGCCCACGTTGTCCACGAGTTGAGATATGCGCCTGCGCGCTGACCCACGGCACCAACAGACGTCTGGGCCGGCGGGGCATCCGCGGGGGGCGCTTTGCGGCCGGCGAACCAGGACGAGCCACTCGTAGAAGTAACAGATGCTGTATCGGAAGGTGAAAATGGCGGCGAGGAGCCTTTGTCGATTGAGGACCGCTGCGACTGGGGTGTCTTCTCCTCGGTCTTTTTCCGCTGTGCTTCCCGCATTGACTCAATGTCATTCCAAAAGCTGTTGAACGCGGCGCTCACTTTCTTCTGGCCCGCGCCCAGGTGCCTATTGAAAGCCTCACGGCCTTCTCGCACTCGCTCATCCAGGTGAAGATCGGCGACTTGTTGCGATAGCCGACGCTGGACGTCGTCGATCGTCAGGCCTCCTGCACACGGGTGACGGGGCTCAACGATCGAGAACAAAAGCGCGTCAGAGGTCAAACGATTAAATAGACCATAATTCGGTGTGTTTTGCCACAGTGTCAGGAACTCAGAGTTGAATTCCAGGGCCGGATCGCCCTCGATGTTGAATGCATCGAGTTGGGCCTTGCTCTTGCGGCCCGGATCTCCGGCGTTAAACGAATTCAGGTCCTCGTGGTATTTCATGCAAGCAAGCAACGCAAGTAGATACTCCTCAAACTGCAGTCGGATGAATTCCTCGGATCCCATGTACCCGTGAGTCTTTGGCTGCTGCGGGTGTGCTTCATCCCACGTGTCGTTGATGATCGAAGTGAGAAGGTCAATCCACCGCCTATCAGCAACCGAGAGAGTCAATGCCGTCCGAAGAGCAGGGTTTGAGATATTGATGGTATCTTCGTCAAGCTATAACAGAGTCAGTTATACACAAGGCGGAAAATGCAGCTGTGCTCCCTTCTTACGTTGATTAAAATATCACTATAGCGATCTTTCTGTTGAAGAAGGAGCGAATTCGTAGAACCAACGACGTATGATTTTGTTCCATCGTCTGCTAGCAGATCCAGCTGCTGTAGTGGTGTATAAGGTCCAAACATGCTGCCCTGGGAAGAAGTCAGAAGAGTACGATTTCTTTTTGAAGATCTTGATCCTAACCTTTCCAAAAATCTGCAATGGCAAACCCATGTATGCAAGCACTGCAACAATTAGCACATGTGTCGTCACTTCACTATAGCTAAGGACATACAAGAGTTCCTGTCACTTGTCTTCAGAGAAGTCGGTTTTTCGACAGTTTGCGCATACGTATCGGCAGCCGGGTCGGCGCAATCTTCCAAGCGATTCATGAGGCCCGGTATCAAAGAGATCAGTGAGAACTGGATCATGCAGAGACGTTCGCATCTTGAGCCAAAGAAAAGCATCTGTAAGGGGTCAGATCATATGTAAAGAACTGTATGCGCGTATGAGAGATCCGTACCTTCGGCTGCAAGAGTAGAGCCTTGAAGAGAACCAGAGTTTGGTATTTGAACTCGTGGATCATTTCTCGCAGCGATAATCCTTGGACGGGTTAGCATAACGAGCCCCGCGATCATGAAGCGTTTTCTTCCTTACCAAAAGTCTGATCCTTCGACGCTTCATTTGTCTTCACGCTGATTACCAAGCTCTCCCGGAATTTCTACAGAATTCCCTCCGTCAGCGCCCGCCCGAATCATCGGCCATCATTGAGAACACACCTTCAAGATGTCAATATCCGAAAAGTCCCTGCGGTCACGCGAGTCGTTAGCCCAAATGCGCCCCGGCACTGCACTGCGGACAGACAACATACCGCTGCGCGAACCACGCCGATGTCACCATTGACAATTTCTCCCTCAGCTGACCCAAGCTCTGAGGGGTATCCGTTATCACCACCACTGCCTTCTGCACGGTAGATCGGGTCACATCTGGCGGGCGATAGGTAAGGATGTTCGAGTCGATCTGCCTCGAGCAGGCAATGCCAAATAGGGATGTCGCCGGTTCTGTGGCGGTCTCCTTGCGGCGGAGGGTGAAATACGAGAACTCCTCGGTCGACCTGAGAAATCAAGATCGCGTCAATAACTCCGGGCGTGTTTTTCAAAGGTTTCTGAAGATACGGAGAGAGGTCGAATCGTACATATGAGCTCCGTCCGATAGCGCCATGAATGGCAAGAGGGACCAGTCGTTCTCCGCCGCAGGATCGGTTCCATCTTCTCCAAAGCATCGTTCGATTTCCGGGCCCCTAAGTGTGAACAAAAACACAATATACGTTAGTCGATCTGGCCGTGCGACTGGAGGACAGACCATCCCATGGCCGAGTGGGTTTTGGGGTGGGCAGAGGGGGGGGGGGGGGGGGGGCTTTTTTTCCCTTGAAGAACAAGGTCGCAAGGAACGTAGTCAATTAAGCAGGGGGGCGGTTAAAGAATGTCAAACGTGCTCATTCTTCCCATGCAGCCTCCGCAAGACAGACTTTTTTTTGTCTTTGAAATGACTTACCTCGCATGGTGAAAATCTATTACCAAGACAATGGGCTCCTGGCCACTTGGAGGGCGAGACATGATGTAGATTCCGTCCGCGATATAGATGAGACTCGAAGAAAATGACACGTCCAAGGACCAAAGCCTTCCAAGAGAAATGGGGCACCCTGCCAGACCCAAAAGAAAAAGAAAATAAGAGCACGAGGAAGGCCGGCGTGAGCTCACGTGCGACCAGCTAGACAGACGGCCGTTGACCCCGGAGTCGAGAGGATGGTTCCATCGCCTTGAAACCAGGGGAAATGAGGTGCAGCAGATCGGTGCCTCGGCGGGCGGTGACAAAGTCGGAGATTGATTGACGCAGGTCGTCGCCCCGCAGCCAATAATGGGGCCGATGATGTCGTAGGGACGATCAGGGCTGAAGGATTCCGATTCTCCCAGGGATGGGCTTCGATGGGACGGCGGTGGTGGCAGAACTACGCCGTCATGGCGGGGGAGCGAAATTAGATTAACTTGTGCAGATTCCCAATGATCCATTTATTAGATAACAGTTTATCTATCACTTTCATTCAATCGAGAGGCTAACAACACCAGAAAATCCACGGGTTCATCAGTCATGAACCAGCCAAAATAATATGTATGAGAAAAAAGAACCAGAAGAGAAAAAGAAAAAGAAAAAGAAACATTTGGTCGTGGTACAAAACGCAGTTCGTCCCCCAAGAGTCCCCACTCTAGCGAGGAATAGATGGCCAGAAGAGTCCCCTCCCCAACTGCAAGCGCATTTACGCCTCAGAACGGAGGGCAGGGGGAACACGATGAAAGTAAGAGAGAATCAGGGGTGGCGGAGACAATCTGGGACTGCATTCGTAGGGTGGCAAGAATCTCCTCATTATCACGCGACACCGCCGTTATATCTCCTCTTGCCATCAGTAATAGTATTAAGTATAGTGGACCCCCTCATGCAAAGCTCTGGCCATTCCCAACCCCCTCGACAAGAGCTTGACCGGCGTCGTTGCCTTGTTCGATGTTGTGGAAGTCGAGGATCTCGGAGTACCTGCGCATCGAGAGTCAGCCAAAGTAACCGAGAGGGTTGCCGAACTAATTGACATGGGGATACGCACATCATGATTTTCCAGGTGTCCACCGGTAGCTCGGCATCATTGAATGACCAATCGAACTTCTCTTGCGCCTCGGGTTCATCGGTCGGGTCATGGTAGGGGGCCAGGTACTCGTGCGCAAGGGCATCGCCGGCACGGATTCTCTTCTTGGGCGCAAATACAAGCATCCGCTCCAGGAGGTCGACCGCTATACAATGTTAGTACATGGCACAAAACTTCTCCACCAACTAATCGTCTCCAGAAAATCGAATGTTAAGACGTACCATCCGGGTCGGCGTTCTTGAATTTGTTGGCGAGAGGCTGACGTTCTCGTTTGGGCAACGACTTGACAAATCGCAATGTCTAGACGGGCGGTTAGCAGCAGTTCCAGGGCATTGGCGCCCGGAGCAGGGTGCATCGTGCTCACATTTTCGCTGCAGATGGTGTCAATCACATCATCCGGCGGGGTGCCCAGGAGTTCTGTGATGATGGAAAACTGGTTGACGTGATCCTTTCCGGGGAACAGAGGCTTTCCCTCCAGCATCTCCGCAAAGATGCAGGCTGCACTCCAGATATCCACCTCCACGTCGTACTTTTGCCACGTGAGCATAATCTCGGGCGCGCGATAGTACCTTGTCGATACATAACCGGTCATCTGTGGGTCTTGGATACGGGCAAGTCCAAAGTCGCAGATCTTCAGATCGCAGTTTTCGTTGATGAGGATGTTGCTGGGTTTGAGGTCGCGATGAACAACGCCGGCCGAATGAACGAATTTCAGCCCTCGCTGCAGCCAGTTAGCGATAACCGGGGGAACCCGAGGGGGAACTATCGCCACCACACACCAGAATCTGATACAGGAAATACTGAATAAACTGCTTCTCCAATGGCCGGGAGGTGAGCAGTCGGTGCAGGTCGGTTCCCAACAGCTCGGTCACGAAGTAGCTGTGGCGGGTAGTTAGCAAGACAAAATCCCGAATTTCTGGCAGCCCGCCTCCACGGGCCTAGGCTGCATACATGTCTTCCAGCGGAGAAATGAAAATATCGCTCAGGCTGATGATCTGCTCGGAATTGATGAGATTAGTACTTATGTGACGATGGCGAGGTGGGGGGCGGCGTGTTGACGCCGTGGCCAACGAACATTTTCATGGCGCAGGTGCTTCAACAACTTCAGTTCCCGATACGTTCTCTTGGACAAAACCGGCGTGCTAAATGGTTTCATAATCTTTTTGACGGCGACCGGTTGCGCAGTCAATTGGTCCTTCGCAGAGCTGTTTCCCTCGGGGGGTTTGCGTGTCAGCCCACGATGCCTAACGAGGGGCAGGGAGTGCCGTGCAAGTGAGGGGTTCTCCGCCATACCAGACCAGACCAAACGCCCCCATTCCCACCGGTTGCAGGTCGGTGTACCTGTACACGAAGCGGATGATTAGCTTGGAGCGATGCATCGATCAAGAGAGAGGATTCGAAAGCGTACCTGCTGGTGATCTCGAAGGTGGTGCCGAAGATCTGGGCACGCACGAATTCCGCCATTTTGGATCACGGACGGGGAGACGACCACAGCCCAGGGGAGAGAGAGTTGCTGTTGGAGGGGGGGTAATTTCAGGAGAAGAGGGGCTGAGGAACTTTTATTTCGCGTCGACGCGAAAGAAAGAGCCGGGGAAGCAGAAAGGGAAAGACGACGGACAGAGGCAGGGGAGGGGAGAAAGGAAAAACCGACGACGATAATCAGAACCAACGACGCTGACGGCAGAGAGAGGAAGCAAAAGCCGTCGGTGGCGCCCAGCAAGAAGAAGGTGTGTGGGGAAACCGACCGTCTCTTGGATTTGCTCCGTTCGAGTCTCCGGCCTCACGACCGATGACGTTCGCGACCGAGAGGGTTTTGTCGGCCACGCGGTGTTCTCGCTGTCTGGCCTACCGGTCAACCGACATTGGTTGGAAGACGATTCCTCTGGATCCCGGTTTTTCCTACTTGACTCCGTCCATCCCCCCTTTCTTCGTGATCGATAGGACTATCTAGATGTCTGGCTTATATAAACGGGCGGTCGGGGCTTTCTTTTTTTTTCCAGGGCACGACCCGACTCATGGATCGTCTACGGAGTACTACGTACAACTGGGCCTTGGCTCGTTTCCGGCCTTTTTTTGTTTCATTTTATTGGATTTATTTTTGTGGTGGTTCTTTCCCTTGGGCTTGAAGAGTCATTCATTTCACGACCGAACAGATTGATGGTCTTGGAATGTACGGTGCATCCTCCTCAATCGAAAGGTTCTACCAGGGTTAAACCGCCGTTGCACTGGTTTGTAGGGTTGCACAGGACAGAAGTACTAGAAGAATCTTGCGAGATAAACATGCCATTATCCATGTCGCCGTAATCCATCGAGAACCAAGTTCCATGATTTCCGGAAAGCGGTGACCGCTCGATGATATCATAGTCCGGCTCTGCCAGGGAACAACAGAAAAAAATCGACCAAAACTCCGTCAGGAATAGTCTTGCTTAGTCACGGTGTCAGCTGACTCAGCGTTATGGGGTCTCGATTGTAGCATTTCTCTGTTCTTAATCTCCTTCTGATTCCTCATTTCTGCTCGATGGCTGGGCTTCTTCCGTCTCCACAATAATCAGCACGTTCCCCTAGCCATGCGAGATGTTCCTCATTGACTTGACATGGGTTCGTTACAGATTGTCAGATATGGTTTGAGGAAAAGGGCTGTACCCACCCATCCTTGACGACTGCTATTTATAATGAGAGCCGATCTTACGTGTAGTCAGGAACACAATATAGCCATCTGCGGATCCCATAATCAAGCATTCGGCAAGATCTTACCGTGGGAGGCTGTATGTACTGTTTTCGCCATAGAAAAAACAGCTAGATAGGGATGTCCTAGCTTTAGACTATATGGTACGGATAGGATTTCCATTTAGTCGGTGTATACGCTGTCAAAGAGCCTCCGATGAGCAGGGCCTCGAAATGTATAAAAGTTGGAAATCCCAAGGTCAGATGGCCCGTGGTAGCTAGCCATTTTACAGACCATCTGCACATGTAACCAGTTTGCAGGAGTCGATTCAAGTTCCTTTGATATCGATGTCTATCTAGGTGTCAAGAATCCGCAGGTGTCTTGTAGGCACTTATCGTGTACACGCTGTTCCCAGATATTTTTCACCAAATGCCCGAGCTCAGATGCTGCGAGAGCCCAGACTAAAGAGTACACCTCGAGCGACGGGCGGATATGTATATAGGTGCATTGTACACCGTACCTACATTGCACCTGTGAAATAGTGAATTAGCGATGCGGAGATGCGCTTCCTCAACGGTAGATACCTGCCTCAATAGTCGACATACGTCGATTTCATCATCGACTGTGGGGCGGATCTGTCCAACTTGCATATTCCACCCACTTCGTGTCGTGTACCGTACAGTTGTCCTTCATGCCATTCCAGCATCACGGCTGTATGGTATCGCCTGAATCAGTCAGTTGGGATCCTGGTCGGCACCTATATGGCCATGTGCTCCGTAAATCGGCAGTAGGCTACAAGATAATAAAAATAGTAATAATGCCTGGCTTCCGCGACTTTGTAACCTCCCTAAGCACTAGTTAGCCGCCTTCTTTCCACCCCCCGCCTCTTTCATCGAGTCGGCGGGCCCAAGCGCCCCGAACAACAAAGAACTACTATATGAAGGTTTGAAATGAGGTGTCAAGTTGATGGCAATCCTTTCTCTTCTCTTTGACTTCTTCTCCTTTCCTGATCTCTCGCCCCTTATCCGGAGAATATGATCCAGCTTTCCTTGAACCTCCCCCTTTTTTGCATGTTCTTTTGGGGTTAGTAACTCTCGAGTTCCTCTTGGCTTGAGCAGAATTTGGCTCGACATCCGTACTAGTACGGAGTACCTCAAAGATACCGGGCACTGTACGGAATGTGGTGTACGCAGTAAAGATAATTCCGGTCTGGGCCTCGTAAAGAAATGCATATTCTTTCCTCTTCTCTAAGAAAAAGTAGAAAGAAAAAGAGAGAGAAATAAAAATAAAAACCAGTCTATTCAAACCCAAGCACATGAAACTCGCGTATCACATCCTAGCGAGGTCAATCGTAGGGTCCGTAATGTGATTCCCCTTGCTGTATTACCCTCCCATTCTCTTTTTTGGGTCGTTGCGGGCGAGGTTATTATTGGGACGCCGATGAATAAATTTAGATCCAGCGCGATCCCCCCTCCCAGGAGGCCATTCGCCAATCAGGGGCACGAGTGGCATAGCCCCAGCCTTGACATTTTCCCCCAGGCGCATAGAAATGTACCGGATACCCAATCTGGCCAGCCCGGTAGGACAGAAGGTTCAAGGCAGGTCTTGTTTGAGGTTTGAGGATGTCAGAGATGCATGAGATTGTTACATCTGCACTGTTGAGCTCTGTTTGGCATTATCCAGTTTCGTAGCACTTATGATGAGTATTATGATCTGGGGGGCTGAGGCTTTGTGGCCGGGGAAGAAAGAAAGAGAGAGAGAGAGAGAGAGAGAGAGAGAGAGAGAGAGAGAGAGGGAAAAATACAATGAGGAAAGGGTGGCGTCCGCTAAAGGGTCGGCCATACGCAGTACAGCAATACCAGAAGGGATCCCATCCTTCACGGTAAGAATCGGTTTTACGGATACCTCACCGTACATGTACATGTACATGCTGGGGCAGCCCGGGGCCACTTCGTACGGAGTACCGCCTCGAGTATGTAATCCACTCTCCATCGGGTCTACTCATGTATATGACGATTAAGAACATCCACTATTTGCCCAGAGTAATAACTAATAACTAATTACCGCCGGCGCCCAATTAACCGTTCTTCTTATTCCCCCCCATTCACCACCTGATGATCCGAACGACTTAATCGACTGACGCTCCCGGTCACGGATCATCCCCATCTCCCTCCGATCGTCTGTTCTCATTATTTGCTACGCCCACGCCTCCTGACCCCCCCCCCGATTTGCTTACATTATCTCGAGAGAGATCCGCGATCCCATCCGCTCTCCCACATCATTCACCCCGATCGACCAGCTACCCTGCCCTTTTTTAGCGTCGCCTCGTCACTCTCGCTCAACCTCTTGCTCCGCAGTCGAAATCCTGTCGCCCCTCTTTCTCTGTCAACCACCTGGACGCATACCCTCCGACTGATTCCCTCTAGCCTCTCCTCTCCTCTTTCCCCCCTGCCGCCGTTCGTCTCCCTGGTTTCATCACCTGCGTCACGAGCCTTCCACCTCCGCCCCCGGGAGCTTGCAGTGCCTCGCTCAGGCCTTCATCCGACAAACCCAGAACCCTTCCGCCGTCACCCTGGATCTGCCCTCTGTGCGCCGCGTTTGATTCCAGCCTAGTCACGTTTGATCTTCGAGCGCCGAACCCAACTCCTCCCCTTTTACTTCCGTCGGTTGATCCCGCTCCTCGCTGGACCGCGCTTCCGCTCGTTCGCCGCCAATTCCTCCGAGTTCCTGCCCAGGAACCTCTCTCCCTCCGCGACAACCCCAGCAGCCGGTGTCGGGTGTCGGTGTCTTTACAGGTTGAATGAAGTGTCATCTTCGCGGACAGCCCATGATTTAACGCTTCGTCGTCGAGAATAGCCGAGAAGATGGGTTCGTGTATGAGTTCAGAGTCGTCGGAGTATTCGGAGCAAAGAAAGAAGAGTCAAGCGATCGATCGCAAGCTAGATGAGGACTCGAGGAAGTTACGGAGAGAATGCAAGATCTTGCTACTCGGTATGTTTGCGCTTCCCTCGAAACTGGTGTTTCCCCTTTGTCTGACAGGTGTTTTTTCTTTTCTTGCTTGGTGCCAGGCTCCGGAGAAAGCGGCAAATCAACAATCGTCAAACAAATGAAAATCATCCATCAAAATGGTTATACAGTGGAGGAGTTGGCTTTGTATCGCTTAACGGTATACAAGAATCTAATGGATTGCGTCAAGTCGCTCATCGGAGCCTACCACCAATTCTCCCTCGAACCGTCAAGTCAAAAGGTCCGCGATTACATTCAGTTTCTTTCCGATTACAACATCGACCCGGATCCGAACACGGCATTGGACCCTAAGGTCGGAGATGCGATAACGTATATATGGAGCGACCCGTGTACCTCGGTAGCCCTGGAACATCAAAATGAGTTCTATTTGATGGACTCCGCTCCATAGTAAGCATGGTGGACTTCCGCATGTTTTGATACGGCTTGGTACTAACAGGTCTTTTTTCTTGCTAGCTTCTTCGAAGAGGCAAAACGGATCGCATCCCCGGACTACATTCCCAACGTGAACGACGTGCTTCGCGCAAGAACGAAGACAACAGGTATATACGAAACCAGGTTTTCTATGGGTCAACTAAGTATACAGTATGTTGAATTCCTGTCCACGCGACATCTTGATGCTTACAAGTTCGGCAGCATGTTCGACGTGGGTGGCCAGCGCAGCGAGCGAAAGAAGTGGATTCATTGTTTCGAAAATGTTACGTCTATCATTTTCTGTGTGGCACTAAGTGAATATGACCAAGTATTACTAGAAGAAAGCAACCAGGTATGTGACTACAATGGATGGTTAACGCATGTGGAGACTAATTCTCATCAAAAAGAATCGAATGATGGAGAGCCTGGTACTTTTTGATTCCGTCGTTAATTCTCGATGGTTTATGCGAACGAGTATCATTCTCTTTTTGAACAAGGTGGATCTTTTCCGACAAAAGCTTCCTCGTTCACCTCTGAGCACCTACTTCCCGGATTACTCCGGCGGTAACGATGTCAATCGGGCTGCCAAATACCTTCTGTGGAGGTTCAATCAGGTAAATCGGGCACACCTGAATCTCTACCCTCAGTAAGTTCCGCCCTCCGATCAACATGGCACATATGTCAGATGTGAAGACCTAACATCAAACCACGCGTAGTCTGACACAGGCAACCGACACTACGAATATCCGACTCGTGTTCGCGGCTGTTAAAGAAACAATCCTACAGAATGCTCTGAAAGACTCGGGCATTCTATAGAGACGATTCGGCTCTCTCGACTCGAGGCATTATACGCTTTTAGGGCAAGGTTGTCAAAAACCAAACCTGCCACGCTCTGATCACGGCTTTACGTTCTCTCCTACTAATCACCACCATTTCCCTTCCCTTGTCTTTTTCTGTTGTTTTTCTTCATCCAATACTCCCTTATGTTTAGTGGATAGGCATCGGCGTTGCGGTGCTAGTCTCATCTCAGTTCAACATGTTAGGCGCTGGGTTGGGTCATACTGGATCACTGTGGCTAGGTGTCTCCTATCCTCACATCCTTTTTGATTTTTATTTCTCTTTCAGGCGGGTATATTTGGTGTCTTTTTTTATCTTATCTTATTTTATTCGCTGTTTTCTTTTTCCAACCCTTTTCCTGCTTTTGTTTGGCCTGGGATTTGATGAGCATGTTCTGAAGAAAAAAAAGTTTTATTTCCCTCGGCTTACTTTTGCATATAGCCCGTGCGAGGTTTTTTCTTTTTCTTATTTCCCCCCTGATATCCTTTCCTTTTCTATACGCAACGGGGGTTTTGTCTTGTCTCAGCTTGTTTCATCGATATTCGACATTTTTCGCATCCCGTGGTGGTTTCCCTTTTTGACAGTTGCTTGCAATTACTGCGAACTATACCATTCAATGTTAGCGTGTTCTTTTCCGCCGAATGTGTTATCCATCGGATTTTTTCTACCTTATTATTCTTGACATTCTCGCCGTCACTAGCATGCGTGGTTATTGGAATAAGGGCGAGGGGTCGGCCTCGATGAGAGGTCTTTCTAAATCTCTACCATTACCCCGGGCATGTTTGGATCGAGAAGACCGGGGTTTCTGGGGCCATCTCTAGAGGCCAGAGAAGGATAGATGATTAAATTAAGAGGCTTCACGTTGATCTTGGTCTTTGGGGGAAGAAGCAATGAGGTCAAAAAGAAATCCTGTCGGTATCTTTTTGGTGGGTGATGTAGGTAGTAGTAGTAGTAGCCCTTGCAGCATGAGAGAGCAGCAAAAGAAAAAAAGAAATTCAGATCTCCGATACGGGGAATCGAACCCCGAGCTGCCGCGGATCTTTGGACTTTCAGTACATGAAAGGCGGCGATGTTAGCCGTTACACCATATCGGATTGATTGATGTAAAGAGAGTCAATCTTTGAGTATATGAGGGCCACATTATCTAATGCTCTTGCGGAAGCAGCAAAGTGATCTTAAACAGTTCTTGATGCTTGCGGTTCTATGGGCTCGGAATCTCCCATTGGTATGTAGGATTCTATTTTAGCATTAGAAAAAGCCAATTTCAATTCCAGTCGGACCTTGTGCTACCCTTGTACGGTATACTACCAAGAGATGTCTAAGAATTGAATGGTCCCCTATTTTGCGTAGACAGTGGAGTATACTCCGTATGTATCAGATTCAGGAGGTAGGACCAACTCCCACCACGTTACGAAGCAGTGGGTCTACGCTGAAACTGCGGAGACCGTGTCGTCTCGGGTTTGTATCAAGCGCTGGAGTTGAAATGACTTGCCTGTTTTAACGTTTACATCGCCTGGTAATAAAAGCGCTTAGTCTCGGACTGAAAATAAAGTTGAGACATGACTTCAGGTGTTTCTAGAAAACATAAGAACTGCCAAATGGGCTCCGATATATAGGTAAATTAACAAGAGATCCATCGTGACTGCGGCATAAGATCTCTCTAATTAATAGCCAAGGCCTAGATCTTAGTTATCATACATCTCCTCTATGATGCTCTATCCTTTCCTTCTCTTCCCTCTCCATCTCCTTCCATTTTATCTCCTTCATCCTTTGAATCCACTCCATAGTATAGTCATCTGGGTCCCAAGTGAGACGCCATGTGTTCCTCTCTTTGAGCTTCAAATCCACATAATCCTCTATGAGCTCCTTCTCTCCAGGTTCTAAGAGATAAAGTCTCTTCCGCCATACATCGCAAATATTGTCGTCTGCATTTGGTGTCCCCCCCAAAGAACCGCTGATCAATCTTTTCCCAATATATCGCGTCGAAGGCAAAATTGTTTCTTGCAGCGTACATGATCCAAAAGTCCCCGCTCTGCCAACTGTCCCACATCCGACTAGACAGCCGCTGGCCTTCAACTAGCTGCTTCTTCTGGATTGCCTCGTCTTCGCATTTCCGCATGGCCTCAAGAAACGTCTGAAGCGCTTTCTCATACTCCGTGCACCAATCATCCAGACCGTCAGGCCAATCTTCTGGCTTTTTAAGAAGAAGCCACCAAGGCGGCGCATAGGTAAACTCGACTGGGGCAGTATAGGTAAACTCCCAATCGACGACTCCAACGATATCTTCGTTTTCATCGACGAGGACATTTTCGGGTCGAAAATCGTCACACCAGACTTGGAATGGGCCATCGTCGTGCAATATCCATTGCTTCCTTTGCTCCGGGTCTCGAACAAGTTTCCGGAAGAGAAATCTAGCGACAAATTTGCGCCGCAAAGTATCCGCTAGTAGGTCAGTGTCGACATCCGCCTCTATAACAGCCTCATTCCTTTGGCTTTTGAGGTGTGAGATATGCAGCTCTGCCAGGGCTTCAAAGTACGACGAAGCTTTATCGTACATAGTAGTCGGTAGTTTCGATCGGGGCAGTGTTCCTAACTGGACAATTTCGTTCATGGAATAGGACAGCGGCCGGGATCGTACTTCCCATGTAGAACTATCGTTCTTGTGCAGGGATCCTATTCGGCTGAAGGAGAGAGTAGCTAGCGAAAGAACAATCTTGGCTAGTTTTGCATACAAAGCTTCTAGCCTGGCCGGCTTCAGGCCTGGATTAAGTACAGGAGGCTGCCCTGCTTGGCGTCCCGGTGTCTCCAAAAGATCCGCCATACTTCCTTTGTGGTGGACATGGTTCATGATGATAAAAGGACCCAAGTCCGAGGGACTCTCTTTTGTCTCTGTTGAACCAAAGACAAAAGGCACTGGAATTGGCATTTTATCTGCAGTTTGCTCCAAGATAAATTGCATGATAGAGACCTCGTTGCGGACTTTTTCTTCGGGAAACATTACAGCGCCGGGCACTGGGAATCGTATAACCGCGCCGAAATTGCTGGTGAAGTTCATTTTGAAACAGGTATTGAAACCGCCTGTGGAGAGGAATCCGAACAGTTCCCATTCAAGGTTGCTGAACTCTTCGGAAAGAATGGTTCCAATGTCATTGTAGATGCCCCCATCGGTGCGAAGGAGTTCTAGCCAGTCGTTCCAGATCTGGGTGCTTATGGCCCATGCAACGTCATCGTAGGACTTGCATGTGGGCATTTTGGGTTCCGTTTTCGAGATATATTGGTGCTTTTTCAATCTAGCGTGTCGTGGGCTCGATTGGGTTGATATCGCTAGTTGGTTTATAGAAGTGACGTACTACTACGTACGCGACGACACGTAGATCTGCGTCGGAAACTGAAAACTACATATATATATTCCGGATACAGGCACCTCCAATGGATATGAATAGTGAATCGAACGACAACAGCATTTGGTCTGTCTATCATCTGTCAACACCAAAGCCGGAACACAGATTAAGACACCGGGAAATCTATCATGACCAGTCGCTGCGTAGGACAAGGGTTCGCGATATCTCTAACCTAACCGGGATGGAGGTTGTCTGTCATACGCAGTACAATTTGGGAGGTGCCTGGTTGTTCTCGAGCTAAATTTAGACCGGAGCTAGTAGTTTTAAACCGGAGGGGTAGAGTGAGGCCGAAGAAGCCGAGATTACGGCTGGTGCGGACGAGATGGACGAGAAACAAAAAGATGAAGATTTTCCCTACCAGTATGAGAGGGAGTAATTGAAGATGGAGGGAGCGGAGAGGAGAACAAAAAGAAAAAAGAAATGACTCCGATACGGGGAATCGAACCCCGAGCTGCCGCGGATCTTTGCTTTCAGTAGATGAAAGGCGGCGATGTTAGCCGTTACACCATATCGGATTGTTATGATTACAGCGGGCATATTATCGCCTATGACCCCTTGCAACCAACCTCCAACGTACCGTTCTACAGAGTATACGGCGTTCTCCTCTTTCGACTCTGTCGCCTTACGCTCCATCCCCTGTCAATGGATATTATTCCGTATAGAATGGTTTCCCCTTCTTGATTTTACATGACTTTCTCCCATCTCATGCTGGGCTGTCAACTGATTCTTGATGGGAAATTGCCAACCAGGCCACGGGGTGCAATGGCAGCATTCTATCTTCTGATGATTTCCCGGACAGAAATCCCTAGGAACCCTGTTGCGGGGCAAGGAGCTTTGACGCCGACCTTGGAGAAAAGGCACTTCAACCAGGATTAGCAGACTGCACGGACGGCATCGCATGACCTGGATCGACGCGGTCTGACGGACGACGTTCCCCTTCCCCGCTTCGTGCGCATCCGGACGGCCCTGACGTCGTCGCCCTTCGAGATGTCGTCGACATCAGGCAATCCACCAGGTTGGCCACCAGAGACATGTCGTGCTATACCACAGCATGCTAAGGGAGCCAAAGAGGGCCAAGGAGGGCTAAAGATCGTTACACTAGGCAGGAGAGATATAATCCGAAGGACGGAAGCTCCCAGCGCGGCATCCCGGCACCCGCCCGCCAATCAGTCGCGATGGGCTGGTCTGGAATTCTGACGTTTGGGGCTTGCTTTAGCTCTTCAAGGTCTTTTGTCCTGCTCCTTGTTTTTGCCTCCCCGTGAATCGCAACCCCGCCCACTTCACTGTCAAACGAGGGGGGGCCGTCGTCAACTGCAGAGTACTCGGTAGGTATATAATGTCTCTCGTCTGCCGGCTCTCGTTCCCCTCTTTCCTTTGTTGTCGCGACACCGGGAGGAGCCTTCCTTGACTTCCCCTCCGTATTGCTAGCATCCTAGTATCAATCCATTGCGCTGTTCTATCCTTCCTCTGCCATCTCTCTATCCCGTTAGACTTGAATCATTCCGTTGTCGCATACATATCGCCCGTCCTTCATTCCGTATCTTTACATTCACTCATCCACACCCGCCGCCATGACCGAGGAACGCCGTGAGAGAAGACCCTCGGTCGGTGCTCCTGTCTCCGAGCTCCAGGGTCCCATTGGCCCCGGCTTCAGTCGGCCCAAGCACAAGAGAACCTACACGGGCTTTGGTCCGGCGGAGACCAAGAGCGTCGAGGCCAGCATCCCCGAGCCGCTGAGAGAATTGTGAGCTCCGCCATCCTGCCCAAGACCACCAGAGTCCTTGAGAACTCAGCTGACCCAATGTCGCACAAAGATGGAGGAACTACGTGGGTCAACACCAGACGCACCCTAGCTCCCCTGCCCCTGGTGAATTGCCATACTGATCAGACCGCACCCGGCCAGTCCGTCCGTGGCTTTACCAGCAAGGAAGATTTTGAGGTATGCGAGCTGAAATGAACCTCATGCCGAGGCTTGCTAATCCTTGCACCAGAAAGAATTGGTCCGCCATGTCGAAACCACCTTGGCTCGGTCTCTGTACAACTGTGATGAGCTGTATGTCTGGTCCTCGGCGGTCACGCATAGTCTTCATGTACCAAGAACCTAACATTACATGCAGTGCCGCATACTCGGGAACCGCGCTGGCCTTTCGAGATCGTTTGATTATTGACTGGAATAAAACCCAGCAACGCCAGTCCTTCACAGACCAGAAAAGGGTGTACTGTATGTGGGACCTGATGGCAGAGGTGGCCGGCAATATCGCTGACGATCTTCCCTAGACCTCTCGCTCGAGTTTCTGATGGGAAGGGCACTGGACAATGCCATGCTCAACGTGGAAATGAAGGATATTGCCAGAGGTAAAAATTGGCCCAAGACCCGATTGCACTACCGCATGACTGAACAAAAACAACCAGAGGGATTGAAGGACCTTGGCTTCCGGATCGAAGACGTTGTCAACCAGGAACATGACGCCGCCTTGGGAAACGGAGGCTTAGGTCGCCTGGCCGCGTGCTTTCTCGACAGCATGGCGACGCTGAACTATCCCGCCTGGGGCTATGGCTTGCGTTACCGCTATGGGATCTTCAAACAAGAGATCGTGAACGGTTATCAAGTGGAGATCCCCGATTACTGGCTTGACTTCAACCCGTGGGAATTTCCTCGACATGAGATCACCGTTGACATCCAGTTCTACGGCTGGGTGCGGAAATATGAGAATGAACACGGGAAAACCGTCCACTCGTGGCAAGATGGTGAGATCGTTCAAGCGATCGCCTACGACATGCCCATTCCGGGTTATGGAACCAGCACAACGAACAACCTTCGACTCTGGTCCAGCAAGGCAAGCAGCGGAGAATTTGATTTCCAGAAGTTCAATGCTGGCGACTACGAAAGTGCAGTGGCTGAACAACAGCGCGCAGAGACTATCTCCGCCGTTTTGTACCCCAACGACAATCTCGAGAGAGGTAAGGAACTCAGGTTGAAGCAGCAATACTTCTGGTGCGCTGCTTCATTGCATGACATCGTTCGGCGGTTCAAGAAGACCCAGAGACCATGGAGCGATTTTGCAGACCAGATTGCTATCCAGCTTAATGATACCCACCCTACCCTGGCCATAGTTGAGCTGCAGCGCATCTTGATTGATCAGGAGGGTCTGGAATGGGACGAGGCCTGGAACATCGTGACGAGTACCTTTGGTTACACCAACCATACTGTCTTGCCCGAGGCATTGGAGAAATGGTCTGTTCCATTGTTGCAGAACCTCCTCCCTCGACACATGCAAATCATCTTCGACATCAACTTGTTTTTCTTACACTCCGTGGAGAAGAGGTTCCCGGATGACCGGGACTTGCTCTCTCGGGTGTCAATCATCGAAGAATCGCACCCAAAGATGGTTCGCATGGCCTACATAGCAATCATTGGTTCCCACAAGGTCAACGGAGTGGCAGAGCTGCATTCCGATCTACTCAAGACCACGCTATTCAAGGACTTCGTTCAAATCTATGGACCCGACAAGTTCACTAACGTCACCAACGGTATCACCCCTCGCCGCTGGTTGCACCAGGCCAACCCACGGCTTTCGGAGCTAATCGCCTCGAAGCTCGGTGGACGCGAGTTCTTGACGGACCTGACACTGCTCGACAAACTGGAAGCGTTCGTCGATGACAAGGAATTCCGCAAGGAATGGGAAGAGATCAAGACTGCGAACAAGATCCGTCTTGCGAAGCACATCAAGGACACCACTGGCTACAGCGTCAACCCCACTGCCTTGTTCGACATCCAAGTGAAGCGTATCCACGAGTATAAGCGCCAGCAGCTTAATATTTTTGGAGTGATTCACAGATATCTGACAATCAAAGCCATGTCCCCTGAAGAAAGGAAGCAAGTCTTGCCCCGAGTGTCCATCATCGGTGGAAAGGCGGCCCCGGGCTATTGGATGGCCAAGACCGTGATCCATCTCGTCAACAACGTTGCGTCCGTCGTAAACAACGATCCGGATATTGGCGATCTCTTGAAAGTGATCTTTGTTCAGGACTACAATGTTAGCAAAGCCGAGTTGATTTGCCCCGCCTCGGACATCAGCGAGCACATCTCAACGGCTGGCACTGAGGGTAGCGGAACGAGCAACATGAAATTTGTGCTGAATGGTGGTTTGATCATCGGAACCTGCGATGGTGCTAATGTAATTCCAACCCTTTCCCCTTTTGGATATTCATGGTTCACTGACACCGTCCAGATCGAGATCACTCGTGAGATTGGCGAGCAGAACATATTCTTATTCGGAAACTTGGCGGAGGATGTCGAGGAGCTCCGCCACCGACATCTTTACGGCGATTTCCAGCTCGATTCTCATCTCGCCAAGGTCTTTGATGCCATCCGAAGCGGCACGTTCGGCGACCCCGGCGATTTCTCCGCGCTCATTGCGTCCATCGCGGAGCATGGCGATTACTACCTAGTCTCGGATGATTTCAACTCGTACATCACCACGCAGAAAATGGTGGACGAGGCGTTCAAAGACCGAGACGAGTGGCTCGCCAAATCCATCACCAGCGTAGCTCGCATGGGCTTCTTCTCCACCGATCGTGTGATCAATGAATATGCAGACAGCATCTGGAACGTGGAGCCTCTGGCTGTGAAAGACTAGATCACTTACTACTATCCTTGCATGTATTGTTCCTGTCTGTCATCTCATTTCTTCTTGCTTTTGGGGTTCATTCCTTACTTGGTCTGGATTGCGAGCATGCTTTCGCGTGTCTGTTTATAGCATAACTACGACGGATGTTTTGATGACCATCAGAGCCTTTTGTGATTCCCTTCGTATCTCGTAGAAAGATAATATTGTGAGGATAGAAGTATCTAGGTGACCATCGACAACCCCAAGATATCTACCAAAACCGCGCTAAGGTACATGTAATCGTGAAGTCGCCAACATAATCGAGGAAGAGAAGAAAGGGAATAAGGACTGTCACTTTATATATGGTGCCCGAATTTCTAGCCCCAAAAGAAACCAAAACCAAAGGAACACCTCATCTAGCTGGTCCCGAATCTAGGAAGCACTCAATTCAGTAACCCGTTTCCGTAGTTCCGGGACAGCACGAAGGTGGAGATCCAGCTCTTCTTTCTCACTGTGGGGCAGCTTTGTTAGCAATGGCACTTAAAAAATACAGACAGGCACAGGGGGCACAGGGGGAGGGGGTGTAATAGAAAAATGGCAGGGTAACGTACTCTTCCAACTTCAGTCTTCGTTCCCAGTCCAACCCGGTGAAGATGTAACTGCCCTGGCCGTCGAACTGCAGGATCTTCTTGTGATATTTCCAGAGACTCCGGCGATGCGACACGGTCATCAGGGTGGTGCCGAGCTTCTTGGCCGTCTCGTACATGACGCGCTCGATTTCCAGGGTCACGGAGGAGGTGCATTCGTCCAGGATGGCGAATTTGGGCCGGTGGTAGAAGAGCCGGGCCATGGCGATGCGCTGCTGGAGACCGCCGGAGAGCACGTCGCGCCATTCCTCCTCGGCGTCCCAGCCGTCGGGCCGGTCGACGACCGAGGCGATTTCCACGATGGAGAGGATCTCGTACAGATCGGCGTCGGTGATGCCCTTGGCGCGCATCTCGCGCAGTCCGTCCGGGTAGATGACCTGCTGGCGCAGGGTGCCGCGGGAGAGGTACGGTCGTTGCGGGATGTAGAAGATCTCGTCGAAACGGGGTTTCTTGACGGTGCCGCCGTAGACGGGCCAGAGGCCACCGAGGATTCGGAAGAGGGAGGATTTGCCGCAGCCGTTGGGGCCGACGATGAGAAGATGGTCGCCTGGGTGGACGGTGAAGGAGAGCTTGCGGACTAGGACATCGCCGTTGGGGGAGACGATCGGAACGTCGCTGAATTCAATGGAGTCGCTTTCTTCGATAACGCCGCGGCCGGAGAGGACGGCGGCGTTTTCTTCAGTCGAGGCGGAGGAGACGAGTTTCTTTTCGAATCGCCCGGCGAGGAGATCGTCCATGACCTCCATGAGGGAGGAGACACGGGCTGTGTGGCCAGCGAGTTCGGAGATTTCTTTGTAGGAGAACATTAGGCGACCAAATGCGTCAGATGACGAGAGGAGCATTCTCCTATTTGTAACAAAGCCTGTTGAATCGAATTAGCTCCTTAAGTCGGGGGGAGGGTGAATAGGACACTTGAAATGAAGAACCACTCACTTTCCGTTCGATCACCCATGGTCTGGCTAACTTGACCGGGGATCTTGATGAAAACGGGTACACTGCAAAGGATCAAACCGAGAGCGCCCCAGAAGTATTTGATCACGAAGTCTTCCATAAAGCCATGGTACAACCGTCTCCGCAGAATGCGGTTCACATGCTTGATCAGTGTGAAATACCCCTTGTCAAGCGTGTCCTTCTCCGCTTCGTGTCCGTGATAGAGGGCGATTTCCTCGCTATAGTCTATCAGTCTTGAATGAAGGAATCGGAATTCTCCCTCCAGACGGGCTTCGTCGGCCACATATTTGCCGAATGGAGGTGTTAGTGCGCGCATGACATTGGCCGACAGCTGGACCAAAAGACCCATGATGAACAAGCCCTCGCTGCCCACACTTTTCGACAGTGAATAGTTATAGATGGCCATATCGAGAACAGGCTTGGCCAGGTTTGAATAAAGCTCCGCCAGGCTGTCTGAGAACCGAGAAACGTCCACCGTGATGAGTTGATCGGGGTTTTTGACTCGGTCGTCCAAAGCCGAGATCGCATAGAACGTCATGTTGGTAAGGTACTTCTCATGTATGTGGTCCGTGAGGCGCTTGCGATAGCTCAGGGCAAGTCTGCATTGGTGGTAGGACAGCTAGAAATCGGATCAGCACAATGTTATTCATTCCGTACAAGCCAGGCTCGGCCACCGGTCGGACATACCATGGAATTTGTGAAAGTCGCAGGAACCGCGACGATCATCCACCATACCAGACCCAGCAAGAAGTCTTTCCCTCGCCCTCTCACCAAGTTACTGACGAGCCTCCCATCCAGCTCGGCCACGTACAGACTGAGCACCGTCCGAAGCACCAGGAACACGCTGTGACCGATCAACAGTCGGAACTCCTTGCTCCGCCAGCCGGGAATCACGATCTTGAGCAATCGAAGAAGGTTCCTGAAGAATTCGCGATTGACCCCGACCTTTTTCCGCGGTCGCTCCTCGGCATCGTCCAGGCTGTTGGTGCCTGGTCGTTTCCGCAGCTCCACCTGGTGCCGCGAAGCGGCTTTCTGTTCGGAAATGGCATTATGGATGCGCTTGGCTAGAGACGCGAAAAAGGCCACATAGGCGGCGCGAGTTATCCCGACCCGATGGCGAAGGTATAGAGACGTTAAGCTGGAGAGGGTTTGGCGAATGGAGCGCTCGGGAGGAAGGAGTTTGGATTGAGCAGCCATCACGACGGCGGGTTTACGGACTGCGCATAGAAGATAGGACCGATGTTAACCAGAATCAACGAAGGGCCCCATGGCCGAAAACACACGGCGAGAGTGGAGATGCGATAGATCGGTGATGAAGAAGATAGGAGTAGGAAGAGAAAGAGAAGGAGTGGGAGGAGGAAGAGGGAGGGAGAGAGGAGAGGCCGCGGGCGATGACATCGGGGGGGAATGCCAAGGCCTGACATGTGAACGTCTCCCCGGCTTTCTGGGGAAGCCGAGGAAGTGGATCTACGGAGTATATCATGATATCAGGTATGATCACTCCCCGAGAAAACGTCAGAGGCGCCCTGGTAGACAGGCAACTTTCGCAGAACAATAGAAGGCTATGTACAGTTTGGTGCATTTGACCCCGGGGGATTTCTCCCACCAGAGCAGAAAGCAGCAGTAGAAGCAGCATTCAACCGCAAGATCAAAGCTAGATTACAAATGGAACTTAAATGGAGGCCACGCCGGTCGCTCCCGGACGGGCGAATGAAGAATTACTAGATGGTGAAACAAATGGAACAGCGAGGCAATAGTCGCTGGTCTGGCTTTCCTCCTCATGATGATGGCGACCCCTCGGGCTCAGCCTTGGGCGACGGGCTGTCATGATCGGGTATCGGAGACGCGGTCCTTTTCCCACTGTTGATCTGAGCGGCAATCTGACTCTGTTTGAACTTCTCGAAGGCCTCAGTATCCTGCCTCTGGATGGCCCAAAGTTCATCCACGGTCGACCCGAGCTCCCCGAAAGCCTTGTCCGCTCCGACGCTCTCGAAATGGGACCGGGCCTGATCTTCATGCAGCCGATCGAGCTTCTCGCGAAGGGCGGAAACGTGGGAATCGTTGAAAGAGAGGGAGGAATCCTCGGCTGCGGGATCGAAAGTAGGACTGAGGAATCCGCGCCGAATGTTTTGTCCAAGACGGTGCGCATGGCCTTCCTCGGATGTCAACGCCCGCGAATGGAGAGAAGTGATCGAGCTGGACCGGGATAGTCGGACGGCATAGTGATCCGTGTCCTCGTCATCGACAGCAGCGTCATCGGCTGAATTGCCGAAGGGCGGGATACCAGGGACAAGCGGGCCATTTCCATCCTCACCGGAGTTTTGTGAGCTCGTTTCGGCATTGATAGATATGACGGGCTGCGGCACGATGCGCGTCTCTGGATATTCATCCTCAAATCGCTGGATCATCCTGTGTAGGGTGAAGTCAAGGAACTGGAGACGTCCTGTTGTCAAAGTTGTTAGCGCCACATCCCGGCCTAGAAAAGAATATCGAAGGGGAAACATACTGTAGTTGGCGTCGTTGCCGGCTCTATCTTCACGAACAAGGGCCGACTGAATCCTGGTCCGAATGTTGCGAGCCGAATCCAGTAGGTTCTTTGACATGTCGCGAGGACGCTTGGTCATATAGGACCTGGACTTTCTGTGTCTAGGTGTCGTAGTACCACTGGGCGGACCGGACTGATCTCCTGGCAAATGATGGTCCAGGTTTCCAAGACATACACCGAGAGCTTTGACGACACCTGTGCCTCCAATAACATAGTCCTCATCGGGAGCGGGTTCGTCATCCTCCTCACAGGGCTCATCCCCGCCAATGTTTCCGACAATGTGCTGTAGAATCTCTGGCACCGGTACGGTGTCTCGTGCCGCCGAAGTATCGGCCGGCTCAGAAAGTTCCGCCTCGATAGCGCCCCGTTCCAGGTTCTGGAGGCAATAAGCCACGATCTGAGATGCGAGAGCTTTGACAACTTCGTTGTTTTCTGCACTAGGCACTTCAATATCGACCGCTATGATGGACCGCGACACTCGTACCGCAGCCATCAAGGAAGCATATATAGCACAGGCTTCCTCCTGGCTGGCGGGGTCTGTTGCAGCGGCCAGTGATGTGATCAATGGGTTCTCCAATATGTTCAAGTGGCATAAACTAGGACATTCCGGTAGCACTTCTGCAAGGGCAATCGCATGATCCGCAGAAATATTCACATCGGCCAAGTGTATGCGTTTTAACGAAGGCATCTTTGGCAGGAAGCGTCTGAACGTGGCCAACGCATCTGGCTGCCGTGAAAAAAGCTCCGGGTTATGGGAGAAGTCAATGAAACGGAGGTCGGAGAGGCGGGTCAGTCCCTGGAATAATGGGTATATGGCAGACGGTGTAAGAGCACAGTCTGCAAGACTGAGTGCGTAAAGCGGTTGACCTTTCTGAATAGCGGAAGTAATCAAGTCTAGATGATCACAGATAGGGTTTCCACCCAGGTCCAAACCCTCGCATTTTCCTGATTTGAAGCAGCTAACAATGTGCTCCAAACCCTCCCTTGTTAGCTCATTGTTGGCAAAGCCAAGCCTCCTCAAGCCAACAGTAGTGGCTGCATCACAAATCTTCTTGACCCCTTCCGTGGTGGGTTTACATTCGCTCATCAGCAACTCCTCCAGGTGATCGCCGCCAAAGCGCTCGGCAAGCGAATTAGCGAATGTCTCTGCAAGATCAAGAGGCTTATCGGTAGGACTGAGGTCACTGAGCGTAGCAGGAGTTTTTGGGAATGGAATGCCGGACAAATCGATGGCCTTCAAAGATTTTGAGAGGTGAATAAAAAGACAGATGTGGCGCCATCCCTCCTTGCCAATCTTTGGGTTGTCCTTTAGAGACAGTTTCTCCACAACACTGAACCGCTCTGGCCTCTCTAAGGGCTGAGGTTCGGATTTCCTGGCTCGTCTGCGCCTGTTTCTCATATGCTCTGCAGATTTCGTTGAGAGAAGGGCGGCAAGGATTGCCCGTACCGAGTCATCTGTCAAAGCACATTTTTCAAGAATAAGTTTTCGAACTGGAACAAGAGCCAGCCAATCACTGAAGGTGGCAGTATCCTGGGAAGTCATGGGGAAGTTGGTTAAGTCAAGGACGCCGACGGTGCCTGGAGATTCCGCAAGTGTGGACGAAGGAGAAGAGATCTCGTCAACAATCCTCTTCAGTACAGGCGTCTCCCGTAGTTGGCAGCAACGTCGGTAGATCCGAACTGGATCCGTTGTGGGATGACTTTGCGTTTTAGAGCGCGAGGCACCAGGTAATGGTGGCCGAGTGTCATCTTCATCATCAGCAGTCAGTTGCATTGGTATCGACCCATTCGCCTCTGCTTGTCTCCGTTTTCTCTCTTTTCGTTCTTTTCGCTCCTCCTCCGACCGCTTCTTTTTCTCCTGCTTTCTCGTAGGTTCCTTGTGCTCACCAGTTGGTTTGGCATCGTTTTGAGAGGCCTCTGGTACGGCCGCGGTCTTTGAGGGGCTCGTACCACTATCTGAACCTTGTTTATCCTTTTCGGCCGCTGCTGCCTGGGGATGCTTGAAAGCAGAAGCTTCGTCTCGCTCCTTGGATTTCGAGTTTGACCTTTTCACCTTCGGGCCATTTAAATCGGGGACTACCCGTCGCTTGCTGTTTGCCGAGGGGCTCTCTTCATCGGACTCACGACGAGATATCCCAGCAATCTCGACGTCGACCGAAAAGGCAACGCGCCGTAGCTTAGCCTGATTCAAAGCCGGAATCTTACAGCGATCCCGATCCTGGTCCAAATTCATCACGCGACGCTCACAGACAGTGCCGTTTTGATTTGACCGTCCTGATCCACCAGCGCCAGACGAGAGCTTCCGAAACGCATTGTGAAGGAAAGAAGGTCCCTTGGGCGAGGTCGAAACAATCGAGTTATAATCATCCTTCTTCTCGTCCTCCTTGTCCTTGGGAGAATACGCTGCACCAAATGGGTTATGCATATCAAGTTTTGAGGCCGGCGAGCTTGCCTTGGGGGTTGGCTGTCCCTTCAAACTAGACTGCGACGGAGGCGTCGACCCCGAGGAAAACTTGGAGCTTAAACTCGAAATCCATGAATTCCTCCTGCCAACAATCGGCTTCGGCGCGCTCTTTTGAGGGACCGGCGTCGTCCCAGCGCCTTTCCCATCTGCCGACTTGTCATCTGGTTTCGCGCCGTTTTCCGCCTCAGGGGCCGGTCTAGTTTCCGTCGCAGGTGCCGGCTGTTGCTGAGAGGGTTGCGGAGGTTTTCGATCGACGGAGGATGTCCTCTCCGGTTTCGATTTCGATGCGACGGAGGTCTCGGAATCGGGGTTCGGCCGATCGCTAACGATAGAGGATGCCGACTTGCAGCGAGACAAGTTGTCTGGACTTCGATTAGAGTCACGTTCACACTGCGAGCCAGATGGCGACCGAGGTCCACGCTTACCTTTCTGCGTGTGGTGAAGCCAGCTGACATCCACGGTTTCAACTCCCTCCATAATGAACATGGGGACCGCCGGTCTTCCGGAGCTAGGTGTTCAGAGGATGGTCGGGGGTCCAGGTAAAGTATATGAGTTGGGAACGGAGAATATTAGGTACCCTCATGTACAGCGCATACTTGGGTTGGTTTGCTGGCTATGTGAGAGTCGAGAAGGTCGAGCGATAAAAGGCCCCGGAAAAAAATGCAATAAGATCTGTTCCTCTCCAGCGAAAAGTTACAAACATTCGAGGTCGGATTGTTCCATTACGGCATGGCGGCGGAGCATGCTGGACATGGTGTGTTGGATGGAAGAGAACACTGGCAGCGGAGATGGAGCGAGGGTAATGCTCGATAATTAAGAGGGGATGGGAGAGAATCACGAAATGAAAGACAAACAAGGAGCCCGGGGGTGGGAATGGGACGGAAAGAAAAGGGAAGCGAAGGGCAGGAAAGAAGCCGTTGCGAAGTGACGAAGATAGAGAGAGAGAGATGGTTCGATCGTACCGGGAGGTACGGTACGGTAAGTGGGCGAATGGCGTAGGGAGGAAAGCCCGGTGGGTCGGTGTAATCTGGTATAATCTGGTGTAATGCTGGTACCGGAGTACTTCCAGTCTTCCACGGGGAGTGTTCCCTGCGCAGTCCTGCTGTTCAGCGGTGTTCACTTGCTCACAGAAGGGCTGATCCCCTGGCCATTGCCACTCCCGGCGTCCACCCTTCATCCCTCACACGACACGCCGCCAAGACTTCCATCGAAACTGCCACCGGAATTCCTAGTCCTGTGCTGCCCCACAACTCGATCGATAGTCCTTGGATGATGGGCCTTTTGGGTATCATATACGGACTGGCGGAGTCACGCCCTACACTCCGGTCCTAGCCCTTTCTTTTAGTCCGGATTGGTTCCAACCGTTGGACAGGAGAAAAAAAAAAAAAGGGTAACTGGTGGATTGTGTTCTCGTCGCCCATGGATCGCTCTTCTTTTCCAGCCAACGTGTTGGCGTGATAATGGCCGTTGTCATGGAAGGAATCAGGGTCGATTAACCAGTGGTGGCTTGATATGACGTAGACATTTACCGCTGGATGAGATGATCGGTGCATGATTTGAGATACAATGACACTTACTACAGCGTATGTACCAGGTTGAATCACTCCCCGTCTATACTCCGTAGCCTACAAAAGGTAGAAGTCCTATGGAAAAAGGTTGTTCGTTGTCTTCAGAAAGATCGTTCTCCAATCAGAGCGAAGCTATATGTAGACCCGACAAATCCGGGATCTTTTTTTTTCTTTCCCACTCTGTGTGAGACAAATCTTGTGTGTCAGATTGATTTTGAAGTATCTGTATGACAGACCGCGTCTTGGATGGATAAAAAAAAGAAAAGAAAAACAAGCATTCATGGGTACTGGATGCGTTGTCTCTCATCTAGTCCACCATACTGGTGCCACACTGAACAGGTCAAGCAATTCCTGTCTACTCATTTTGAGTTGCACCCGGTGAACCTCACATCGAATGTTGCTTCTTATTATTGCTCAAACCCTAGCACTATTCTGGAATGAGTCCACGATGCCAATTCCGGTTGGCTCGCTAGAAATTCCCGCGTGTGATATCCCACGTCCACCGGCCGGCATATCATCTCAGCAGAGAATTATCCGTGGACGCATGCAACGAGAACTCTCGCAAGTTGACAGGACGAAAAGCCCGTAAGAACTGCCGACCAAATCATCGAGCCGATCTATGGCGTAATGACCGCCCAACCGCACCTGAAGATCGTCAACCAAAATCAGGTGATGGGTGGGTCGAAGACTAAAAAATAGTCTCACTTAACGGCACTCGGTCTAGTGTCTAGACTCCAGAGGAGGCCATCTTCCTGACCGTACGCAGTACGACCGGTCGACCCAGGTATGCCAGGGAGAAGACCACGGCGTAAAACCGCACAGAGACACCGGGCAGTCCCTGGCAAGCCATGCCAACCGCCCAATCCGGAGGGCCGGATGCCCTCTTGGGAAAGATGTTCCGACGGAGGTGCCCTCGATGCATGTTGCCCGAACGGGGCAGCCAAGGCATTTTAGGGCAACGGGGCTTTGTGGGTGTTACACACCGCCTGCCGGGTTCTGGTGGGGCGTGAAAATTGTACTCCACGCTCCATTTGGCCCACCACAAGTTTACAATGGTACTAAAGTCCGCAGTCGACCATTGGGAATTATTGGGATTGTTACCGGAGCAGATTCTGAATGATTCTCAAAAATTAAATGAAATTCTGGTAGTATTACCATCCCATAATTGCTCCGAGTTGACAAAAAACAAAATCCCTGGATATAACAGACACGGTCGTAACAATTCATCAAATCTACAAGAGAAGGAATGCTCAATGGACAAGAAGAAACATAATTCCCTCTTGCGATTGATCTTTTTTTTGTTGGTTCAGAAGTAAACTTTTGTTTTGACTATCGTACCCATTAAGAAAAGATATCAAGCCGATTGACCACTTTACGCGGCAAGCTCACGGATCTTCTGCTCAACACGGGCCTTCTTCTCGTCGTGAGAAAGCTTCTTCTGCTGGTACTTCTTGCTCTCGGCCTTCCACTGCTCCTTGGTCTTCTTGGAGTCGGCATCCTCGTCCTTCTTGAAGGGGTCCTCACGGATGGCCTTGTGGGCCTCGGTGTAGAGCTCCTCGATGTCACCAGCCTCGACGCCAGCGTCAACGTACTTGTGGAACTGGCCACGGAAACGCTCCTCATCGTCGTCGGCAAGACCCTCCATGTACTCGGCGACGTGGCCACCGAAGATGTAGTTGCGGAGAGTCTCGGCGTCGAGCTCCTCGGACTCGATGTCGAAGCCGGGGAAACGGTTCTCGGAGTGGGGAACGTAGACACCACCGTCGGAGGCACCCTTCATGGCAGCGAAGACACGGGCACCGGTGGAGGTACGGGCAAGACCAACGTCAAGGAAGGCCTTGAAGGGGCGGCGGCTGCCGTCGTCGGTCTCGGCGGCCTCGGTGAGGGTGTACTCGCCGTCAGCCTCCTCAACGCCGGTGAACTGCTCGTCAAGGCCGAGCTTCTTCAGGGTACGGCGGGCAAGGAGCAGACCGGTGGCGTAGGCGGAGGCCCAGTTGGTCAGACCGTTGGTGATGCCATAGCGCTTGAGCTCGTGGGCGTAGGCGCTGGCGAAGACCTTGTCACCGGAGATCTCAGAGTAGACGATCTGAGTGATGATGTCGCGGTTGGTGAAGCGCACAACGAGGCGGTACTTGGGAGCGTTGTACTTGTTCTTGGCCTGGGTGATCAGGCGCTTACGGGCATAGTAGTCGGTTTTACCCTCTCTTCTGCGGCGGTACTTGGTCTGGTAGCGGCTGTGAATGGGTTAGCACGATGATTTCTTGGGAATTCTTTTTTTTTTGTTAGAATCTTGGGGGATGGCTTACCTGAAGTACGCGCTGCTCTTGACAGTCTTGTGGTAAGGCTACAAGGAGACAGCCGAGTCAGCAATTTACGCTTCAGAAATTTCGTCCGAAGCAACTTGCAGGGACCCGTAGAAATCCAGCCCCAGAGCGCGAAAATCGCAACTCTTCAGGAGATGAAGGGGAAACTGAATCATAATATGGAGGGGTTCATCCGCCTGGGATGAAAATCCAACTCACCATCTTGACTATTGCCGCTGGCTGATGACCCGGATGTCGACGTTGGCTGAGGAGGAAAAGGAAGAGAAATTCGTGGGCTGCTTTTGTGGATGTCTTCGCTTAGCGTGGCTGCATCCCGTCGCAAAACCGGGGTCGGCGACGACCACGGCCTACAGAACAGAACTCGCCGGGACACTGGAAAAGTTTTGGTACTACAGTGCATTATTATCTGTTAAGTCGGCAAAATAATATTCTACCTACGGACTTTGATTAATGGTATAAATCTCCAGGCTCTATTGTGAAAATCTCGCCATTCTGATCAACCAACGAGTCCCTCGTTTTGTTGCCACCCGATCTTATCTTAGTGTGCAACCTGGTGGCCTCAGGCAGAAAGCCGGGTTTCTGGAAGCCCCCCAACGTACGCAGTGGATCTCTTGCTGCCCCCGATACGGAGTAGAAGAGTATGGGATGCTGTGAGCCACTCCGTTCTCTTAAACCGAGTTTCTCGGGGCTCGTCGGAAGTCGGCAAGGAAGCAGGCTTTGTAGAAGCTGCATGATACCGAGTTTGAACGAAATGACCAGCGATGTAAGGAATCTGCGTCGTGACGACAGACCAGTTTTGGGGTTGAGCATCGTACAGACAAGATCCACTCAATTAGTGTGCATTGTTTCTATTGCGAGGTTGGTCTTATCATTCGAGAGCCAAACGGGAACCGCATTTTATGCATGAAAGTATACTCCAACCCCCCAAATCTTGATAAATATCCAGCATGTCCGGTTTATGGTGTGTATGTCGCATAGTAGGTCCATGTAGGGCCACCAAGTGGTCGATTTAGTCCCTCATAGTTTAGCCCTGTCCTGAGTCTCCAAAAGTTGAAGCCCAGTGATTTTCTCGAGCTCCCTGACTGCATCTTGCGTCTTCCCAAGGTTGACCTTGACCGTTCTCATCCCGGCCTTCTTTGCTCCCTTTAAGTTTTCCCCTATGTCGTCGAAGAACACAATGTCAGATGCCTTGGCGCCCTCCATTCCCCTTTTCTTCGCCATCGCATCCATCTCGTTCACCGCAGCCTCGTAGATCTGGGGATCGGGTTTCCTGAGTCCTGTATGGGCCGATGAAATAAAAAAGTCGAACGGCGCCCTGATGTTGGCGCTATCGTTATTATACGGATGACCATCAGGGAACCGAATCGTGTTAGACAGAGCGCCGAGAATGAATTTGCCCGATTCCTTCAATTTCCGCAGCGCGGGAAACATATAAGGATCCGGCTCGCGGGATATCCGCATCATTTCCCAGAAGAGCCATTCTGCATCTAATTCCGGCAAGGGAGGGAGGACCGAGGCGTCGCCCGCCGGCTCCTTTTGGCGGGTTTCATGGAACCTCCGCCACAGCTCTGGGCTCTTGAGGTCTGAATTGAACGCCGTGAAGAAGTTGGCGTCCAGTTTGATTTCGCCGCGCTCTAGTCGGTGCCAGCTGCCGTTGGGCGAGGTGCGTGAAATGCTGAAGTTTACCCATCCGGTGGGAATTTTGTTGGCAATTTCGTAATCCAGGATCGCTTGGAACGGTGACACAACCTATCATCCTATGAGCTTCGCGGCTGGGTATTCGGCTTTGAGGATAGATTGGCCTTACACACACGCCTCCGATATCAAAGAGTAGGCCTAATGGCTGTTGATTGTCTGCCATGATGGGTTCACTGTGAGGGGACTGTCCTTGATAAGTAAATTGTAATAGTTGAATGTGTAAAGCTCCCAGAGATCTGGTTTCAATATTTCATGAATCTAGAGCAAACCGATCATGGTTGTCGCTCGTAGTTTTGGGGAAAATAATGGATGGGGTCCTTGGACAGGTGAGAATTGCCGAGGTTAGATAGCCCCAGATTATGCCGTAGTATACAGAGCCGAGGGAGGTCGACCGGATCGGCAAAATAGCGCCGCGTATAGTCTTATTTACTGTTCAAGAAGAATTGGATGCTCAAGAAGAATTAGGCAGTCCATTTATCAATTTTTATCACCGGCAGCAGACTGTCAGGCAAACCAGCGCGCCCATCACTACTTGCAAGTCCCGTGAAGAATGGCGCCAGTCACGTGACATCGTTATCGATAGACGATCTTCTTTTGCTTTCCCTTTGGCTTCTCCACGGCGCGCAATGCCATCGCGATGGCGCAATGGACTCGACTCGAACCGTACCCGAATTGAAATCCTCCTTCCTCCGGACGCAAGTGCGCATCCTGTCGGAAAGTCTCGAGGCGCCCGAGAACTGGAAACAATATGCGACCGACCCGGAGAACGACGAACTGACTGATAAGGTGGTGGGAGATGTTTTGCAGAAATGTACGGCCACTCCGGGTCTCCAATTGCTTCATACGGTTCTACTTACGGTTCCCGGGCGACCGTGCTGGAATGACGCCGGATATTCGATTCTTAATCTAACTGGCATCTAGTGAACGCGGCTTTGAAACAGCATAACCGGATTGTTTACTCGTCGCAGGCGATCCATCATGTCGCACAGCAAATCGCCAGTCTCTACTGGAAAACGATCACCCAGGCTTCGCGCAACCAGCATTCTCTCGAGAGGGGGGTCGAGAAGACAGTGGATTTGTCAAGTCATATGTACGTTTTGCCCATTTGCCTTCTCCCTTGCCTCTGAAGGCCGTTCCGCTGACCCGTCGCGACGCGTGTTAGGAATATCACTCAGTTACCGGTGGAATTAAGTGATCCCTCTGCAAGCGAGGAGGATCGTCTCAGGTCTGATACTCCCACCCTTCAGCTATGGCGGATGTAGCCATCATCTGACTGGCGGGCATCCAGGTATCAACAACTCCGCGAACGCCTGATCGGCCTCGACAACCGACGACAACAGCGACAGCGGCGCCTAGACCAGCTGCGACAGTTACAACATCTGCTCGAACCGTTCCAAGAACCCCAAGAAAACATCCAGCCAAACCTTGTCACTCGAGATGGAGAGCTGATGCAGGAACTTGAGAAAATGAGAATGTTGACTGCACGGGTTGGAGGCCGGATTCATCAAAGTCAGCGGCCAGACAGTAGCCAGGAGAGGACGGCAACGTATTCTCTGGGGTCTGATGAAAAGATAGCAGCCTTATTTGATATGATGTAATGAATGAATGGATTGTATACACTGGGGTGGGCCAAGGCAGGCACCTACTACAGCAACCTGGAAAAAAAAAATAAAAATAATAATAAAGAACAGAGAGAAGAAGACAAGAAGAGTCTAGGCAAGGCGACGAATAATAAGAAGCTTAAGGATTAGGCAACTACAGCATCCGTCATAATATTATTAGAATCATCATGTTCATACCGATCTAGTCTGTGGAAGTTATGTATACAGCCGAAACTACCGGCCTAGACCAGTAACACAAATGCATGGGACACTCCCTAAATCTCCTTGCACTACAGGCTGCAAACCTCACACGATCGTTTGTTTTTTATTTTTATTTTTTTTCTCGTCTAGTGCAAGGGGTGCAAAATTGGAAACAAGTTGATTGCAGCTGCAGCCATCCCCGGCCTTGGGAGTGTGACAGGAAGGAGGAAGCCGAGCATAAAAATAAAAAAGGTTAAAATGCGAGTGATCCAATCCGTTCAAATAAGATTAAGTAGAATAGGAAAGAAACCCTCTCTCCTGCCATCCACCAGCACTGATTTCCTGTCCACCTTCACCGTTGTGCATCCCCATGTTCTCCCGTGCCATCGGTCTGGCCTCTGAATCGTTGCACCCTTTGCATCCTTTGCACGATTTGCACCTTTTGCAGCGATGATGGAACCAATCAGCGTGCCCAACGAGGGCCTTCGGAGCTCCGCTTCCGACGTTCCGGCGCTTGGCCGAACGGGGCGTGACAGCAGCCTGAGGCCATCCGGGCTTCTGCCGTTCCCAGCTTTAGCGTCTCCGACTACGACTCCTTTGACCACTTCTTCCTCCGCTAATCATAATAGTATTACCACTACTCTTAATACCGCTACGGCTAATCTGATTACTCCCACTCTCACTCCGACTCCTGGCCCTGGCCCTGTCCCTGGCCCTCTCCCTACCAATCACCTGCCTGAAAGTGAAACCCCACGTGGATCCGGCACCATCGACGCGTCTACTTCCTCCCCTTCTTCCAGGGCACCTTTTGTGCGTGGGCATCGTCGTCGCTCTACCCACGTTACTCGTCGTGACCTTGAGAAATTCCGCAAAGAGGTCCTGGGCGTCGAACCTCCTGAATTCGACTTCGATCTCGGCAGCTCCGGCAGTGGCGCCCCCAACCCGACTCACGACCCGCAGCTCGAATCTCTGAACCGAGCCTTTGACGACGCCGCCATGTCCCTGAACAGCAGCGGTGGCATGACAAGCAGTAGTCCCGGTTCGGCTATGTTCGCCAGCTACGCCGATTCCTCCGGCCCTCCCAACATGGCCAACGTGCCTCGTCAGTCGATGTCCCCCGCAATGCTGCACAACCCTGCCCAGGCCAACGGGGGCGGAATGGCCGGTATGAATGGCGGAATACCGATGAACGCGGGTCACCAGATGGATCTTCATCAGCTCTACGACATGGTGCTGGAACTGAGCGAGGTGCTGAAGAACAACCGCGAGATGACCAAGGGCATTGTCACCAGTGCGGACGAGATCATGGTATGCTGTTCTGTTCGGCCGACCCGCGACCCAGGCTGACCAACTCTCTAGAGACGATCTTCTGCGGATGGGCCTGTCCAGAATCTTCATCAGGTGAATGGCGAAATCACGGGTGAGTAGGCCCCTATCGTGGGTCGTTTCCGCAAACATCGTTAACGTGTCCTTTTTAGCCGCCCGGATCGCTGAACTTGAGCGCGCCCTTGCCAAAGAAAAACGTACCGTCGAGGTTCTGAAAAACGAGCAGGCGGAGAATACCAAACTTATCGGTGATTACGAGGCGGCTGTTGGCACCATGGTGGAACAAATCCGAAACTACTGCCAGAACAACAACATGAACTACCTGGCTCAGAAGCGTCACTACAACAACCTTCTTCAGGCTGAACGAGATGCGCATTTGGAAAGTCGGTTGGATCGCGATTATTGGCACGCGCAGACCATGAAATGCGCCGAGATGATCCGCACGGCCTACCGTCTACGCTGCGAGGAAGAAGAAATGCCCGTCCGTGTGATTGCGGGTTTGCAGAATGAAGTCCGTGCCTATCGCAATGCCCTCGGCATGGAACCGGAGAGGCCGGAAGAGGAGTTTGGATGGGAGGTCTTGAAAGACGTGCCGGCGGGTCTCGAATGAGATGAGAAATGACAACCTTTTGACGGATCTTTTGATTTTTGTTCTGACGACAAGGCGTTTTTGGTGCGATTCTTTGGCAAGCACTGGCATGGCATGTTTCAGGTGAAGATACCCTTCTTATCTTTGCATATTGTATTCTATCTATATCCCTTCATGTCTTCTTTTTCAACTGTTTATGCTTTCCCCCGTTTGTATTCAACCCTCAGGATATTTATCTGGTTATCTTTTGGGTATCCGGGTTTTGCGATCATGATCTGTGAACTTGGATCAATTGCGATATGTTTCTATTCTGCATTGCGAGGGTGTGTTTTCATGTACATTAATCATTCGTGGATGGACTTTCGGCTCATTCACTCGACGGGATTCCCAACAACCAATTGCAATACCTTCATACAGACTTTGCATAGTCAAGTAGCCAGTCCCATATATCATATATATACACTCTATCCCTGCTGTCCATTCTCTACTCCTTGTAAAACACCTCGTCCAGAACCTTCCACCACCCAGGCCCTTCAGCACTGCCCACCGCACCAGGAATCGGACTCTCCTAGACCAACATCAGCACCATGGCACATACACAAAGAACCGAAGACCAGAAAGGGAAAGATAGTGAAATGTATAAATACCTGCATCCCATCCGTCAAGGCCCACCAGTCCCTCACTTTCGGATTCGCCTTCATACGCTGCATATCGCCGTCAAAGTCCTCTCCTACGTATTTGAACGTCGCGAAGAGCGTCCTGTCATTGTCGAAGAAGATCGAATCTGTAATGTCCGTCAATCAGCCTTTCATCCTTTTGAATTTCCTCGCGTGCAGAAAGCTAGTAGCTAGGCGGACGGATCGAATGCAATGGGACTTACAATCCACAATATTGCAATCCTCGATCTGCCGCAATACCTCGGGCCAGACGTTCGCGTGGCATTCCTTGTAAGCGGCCACGGCGCTGGGCTTGAGATGCACGATTTGCGCGATGCGTTTGGTAGGCATTGTGGTTGTGTATGGAGGGATGGGTCTCGGTGGGATGATGTGACGGTATAAGGATGGAGAGGTAGGCCGATTGATTATTTATTTGAAGATACAGGGAAGAGAGGTAGAAAGGACGAAGAGAGAAGTCGATTTAGATCAATTGAGGTGTTGGTGTTGTTGCTGGCTTTCCCCTCATTGCAACCCACTCTCGGGGTGCTTTAACCCGAGAGGTGGGATGTTCGTTTGTTCGGCATGTCATTGGAATGGAATGGATTGTGCATGGATCTGCGTTCATGGGTGTTTTTAGCTGCTTAGGGCTTGGCTCTTTACTTCTACTTCATGGGATGGTTTGTTAGAAATACAACCCATGGTCATGATGTACACAAACATATAAATAGCGCAAGTCACGTATCTATAATTCTCAAACCCAGTTCCTGCCGGTACGGTGTGTAAATGTAGGAGAAATAATTACATAAATAGAAAACATCATTATGGACATAACCTGAAAACATCACATCAATAGCAACATCACGTCGTTTATCGCATCATCTGGCTCTTGGGGACCGGTCGAATCCACGCAACGGCAAGGTTGGCGGCAATGACGATTACTCCGATGATCCAAAGCGACCGAGCATAGTGATTGCCGTTGTATCGGAAGATAATGGCAAAAATGATACCTCCAAGGTTACCCATTCCTCCAACGGCGCCGGAGACGACTCCTGTCAATAGCTGTTAGCATTTGCCGCGCTTGTAGGTGCGAGTCGAGGTGAAGTGTCTTACCATTGGCAAAGGGGTGAACATGAGGCACAACGGCGAAGTTCGCACCGTTGCATGCCTCAAGGAAGAAGCCCAGCCCAGCCGTCAGTCCAAACATGGTTGCTTCGCTCTTGGGGTTGGAAAGTCCCATTGCCAGCTGGAAGGCACCCATGACAACGCCCAAGAAGGATAGGAAAAGCTTCTTCGACCACACCGATTGTGTATAGTGGTAGAGCATGTCGGCAATGAACCCACCAGCCGGTCGGAAGACAACGTTGAGAAGGCCGAACATAGCGGCCCATCTGCCTGACTGGGTCTGGCCCATGTGAGGGAAGTTTTCGGAATAGAATTCGCCCAGGATGGAGTTAATGGCGAGCTCGGCTCCGAAGGAGCAAGCGTATGGAATAGCTACGGCTGCGGTGGAGAGACTGAAGAAGACTTTCAAGCCCTCTCTGCGGGTAGGGGCGACGACAGTGTCATTCTTCAGGGCGTCAAACTGTCCGATCATTTGACCTTCGTTGTCCACCGAATTGGGCGATTGCGTGCCTTTCTTTTCCACATCTGCTACGACATTCGTGACAGATGGCGGACCAGAAGGTCGAGTAGATGGGTTGCCCGAGCTGAGATCGACGATGTTGTTGCTGTCCTCTGGCCGTCTGTTCTCACGGACCCAGATATGACGCTCTGACCATTTACCTGTGGGCGTGTCTTCGCAGGTGAAAAGCATACCCAAGGATACACCCACAATGATGATGAAAGGAATCACATAGGCAACACGCCATGCTTTATGTGAGGGAAGGCCTTGGGCGGAGATGAGGGAGTCGTAGATGGCAGGCATAACAAAGCTGGAGAAGTCAATATGTTAGTCGATATGATCTCAAGGCTCTCCTAAAGGTGTAGATCTTACTAAGTAATTCCACCACCGGCATTTCCCCAACCAGCCGCCAGGGAATTGGCAGTTCCAACGATCTTTTTATCGAAGAAGCCCGTGCACCACACTTGACAGGGGACGAAAGTGCCCCCGAGAATACCAACAAAGAACCGTAGTGCAATCAGACCTTGGGCATTTGTGACAAGACCCGCCATTGCGGTTGGGATAGAACCACATAATAGCAGCCCAATGAAAACCAATCGAGGCCCATAGCGATCGCATAATGGCCCGGCAACAAATCTGACAAGCAGTCTGAACGAGCATGATTAGCAAGATTCTCAAGAGAGATCGAATAAGCATCTTACGTCGCAAGCAGTGCAACAATGTTCGAATTCGCGACCTGAGCCTGGGTCATATTCAGGTCTTCTCGGATCGTGACAGTCAACTGAAGATAACTTGTCAGAAGGTGTTATACCACAGCGGAACAAGACCGAGGGAGATACTGACCAGAGGCGGAAATGCATACCACGACAGGAAGGCCACCATGAAACCGAGCCATGAGAAGAAGAAAACTCTTCCATACTGGTCAAACGGATTGAGGACGGGAATTGACAAGGCTTTCCGATTACTGGGGTTGATCTCTGGAGAAAGAACAAGTGATTTGACGAAATCCATCGTCGGGTTGAGTTGATACTAGAAGTATGGAAGAAAAATAGACAGATTCAGGGAAACAATATATCAGACACAAAAAATTATAAATAACAGAATGTTAACTGCACCACCAAGGGAAATAAATGGTAATGATTTGATAAGTGAGAAAAAAAAGTGCTAGGGAAGGAGCTGATGTTTGATATTCATGAACTAGAAGAAACCAAGGCTCATATATAGGATAGCCACGTCGGCTTGATATTTGACGTCAAGTGTCCCGGATCATACTCTTGAGTTGATATGCGGTCTATCTCATGAGTGATAGTATCTGCACGACATATCACAGTTTGTTTCCAAGAAAATAGAGATTAGAAATGACTGTAAGCGGTGGATGTCTCTTGGATATTCGTAACGGGAACCGAATGAGAACTCTATCTTTCCCCTCTGATTTGATGACCCACCGGGGGGATTGGCTCTGACAAAGAGGGCCTGTGGTATTGGATCGAGCTTTGCTAGGCGTTACGCCTCTCAGACACTGGCATGTGAGTTCAAGAAGGAAGCAAACCAAAGCTCCTACACTGACCCGAGAGATAAGGGCATGCTTTCTGTCAGCCAACTCCGCGGCACTCTGGTTAACCCCCAGTCATTCCGGGGGCGAGAATCGGCCCAGCGATCGACATCCTTGAGAACTCTTGGTCGATGATAACTCGAATGCATCCCATTGGGTCCCGCTCGGACCGTTCGGGTTGTTCATATCGTCAGGGAAGCCGAGCCAGAGTCGCGTAGCGCGTATAGATCTTCCGGGTCCGAGTCCGGGGCGAGGAGGACGAGAACGACGAGAACGAGGACGAGGGTCGAGCAGAGCTCCGCGGAAATACTCAGGGCAGAAGTCCACTTCTTTTAAGCTGGTCGATGGAGACGGGGAAGGAGAAGGAAGAGATAAGGTGGTGAGGGCAGCTCCACCGCTATCTCTGTTTATCTCGTTAATAAAGCAGCAGGCAGTGACTGGTCGAGGCTCAGCAGCAAAAGATAAGCTCCTCGTTGGCTGCCGGTAACGTGACGGGCCCTTGCCCTAAAACTCTCGGCCACGTGCATCGATGCCTTCCTGCCTTGCGAAGAGTCGATCGATGCTCTCCTGGAAAGTGCGTAGTTTAGGCATACAGGATACGCTGGTGGTGTCGAGGTAAGGACTAGTAGGTAGACAATGATGCATCGTGAGAATTATTGCATTCTGTAGACGAACTACCGTCTATATGCGATTCGAATCAGACACTTTTACGCCCCCCTCCCTATGCTAGATACTATCGTTTGAACCATGAATCATCAGAGCCTCCTCTACCAGTCAATCGTCTTATGGGATGGTTGCGTTGTGTTGCAAATCTGAGCGGCTTTCTCGCCTGCTTTCTTCCCGCGCATCCCTTTGTATCTCTTGTCAAATTTCTGGAATGGATCCGTCGCCTCTCCCTTCTTCACCTTCCACTTTTCCGTCCCGAGGACCGAGTCCAGCTCTTCGACCGGAGGGAGCTTCAAGTAGATCCAACCGTCGTCTCGCTCCTCGATGGGGAAGGTAGCGATGTTCATGCTTTCGTCATTGGAGCACCGTCCGGCCTGCTCCCCGTTGAGTTCGAAATTGCGTTTGTGGTAGGGACAAGAAACCCAGTATTTGCCCGCATCGTCATCACCAATAAGTCCATCCGAAAGGACAAACGCACGCTTGTGGGGACACATCTGTTGCGTTGCGTAATATTTGCCCTTGACCTTGAAGATCGCTAACTGGGTATCTCCGCGTTTCACATTGGCCGATGAGATCGCCGGAGGCCCGTCCGAGAAATGGTCAGTCTTGATCATAGGTTGCCACGAGAGACTAGACCACTGATGGTTCTTAAAGTCTTCACTTTGAGCGGCATCCTTCGGCCAATAGGTAGGACGCTGCTGATCACGTTCCTGAACAACCTCAACCGTCTCCAGTGTCTCATCGGTGTTGGCAAACTGCTGGAAGAATTTGCGCCGCTTGGGGTTTCTAATCGTCTCGGTCCACTCGCAGAAGTAACTGCTGACGAGCTCTTCCATTTGCTGCTCCATCTCTGCGCCTATGCCCAGCTTGTCGTCAACGACGACTTCTCTCAAGTAGTTGATTCCACCGGGAAGATTCTCGATCCATCGCGCGGTCCGTTGCAGTTTATCTGCAGTTCGGATGTAGAAAATGAGATAACGGTCAATGATTTGAGTAACCTGCTCTGGAGGTACGTCTTTCGCGAGTAGCTCGGAATGTCGTGGTTTTGCGCCTCCGTTACCGCCAACAAAGATGTTGTACCCTTTCTCGGTCGAAATCAAACCGAAGCTGACACTCGTTAGCCTTTTTTCTTTGTCAAAGAGAATCATATCATGATTCAGAACTTACTCTTTGTTTTGCGCCTCAGCACATTCTCTCACACAGCCAGATACAGCACCCTTAAGCTTATGGGGAGCTCGAATACTTTTATAGCGCTCCTCTAGTCGAATGGCCATCCCAACACTGTCGCCAATACCAAACCGGCACCAAGTAGTTCCAACACAGCTCTGTGGAAGGAAATCAGTTTTTAGCCCGTATTATTGAGAAAAGCGGAATACGCACCTTGATAGTACGAAGAGACTTGGCATACGCATGGCCGCTCTCCATGCCGGCATTGACTAATTCGGTCCAGATGTCAAGCAAATCCTGCTTTTTGGCTCCAAACATGTCAATTCGCTGAGCACCCGTAATCTTGCAGTAAAGATTGAACTTCTTCGCCACTTGTCCAATGGTGATTAGCTTGTCTGCCGTTATCTCGCCACCAGGAACACGAGGAACAACGGAAAAGGTTCCATTTCTTTGGATGTTGGCGAGAAATCTGTCGTTTGTGTCCTGGAGTTCATGATATTCCTTGTCCATGACATGGCCATTGAAAAGACTTGCAAGGATTGATGCGATAGCTGGCTTGCATAGCTCACAGCCCAACGAATCAGGGCTTTTGCCGACCGCTTTCATAATATCTCCAAAGGTTCTCAGCCCCTTGATTGCGACAATATTGTAAAGATCGGCTCGCGAGTACGGAACATGAACGCATACTGAGTAAATATTAGCACATGGTCAGATACATTTCAGCAAGATACTTACAGTTGTTCGATACTTCTTGACCCATGTCCAGCATGGTCTTGTTGAAAATGGACTGCACCAAAGGCATGCAGCCACCGCAGCCGGTTCCTGCTTTGGTGCATGACTTGACCTCGCCAATTGACTTGCATGTACCATTTTTGACGTTCGAAACAACGTCGCCTTTGGAAACATTGTGGCACGAGCAAATCTGGGTATCATCGTCTCTGTAAGATGGCATGATTAGTGCGATGACCGGCATTAACAATTGGGTATACAGGGCACTAACAGGTCGTCGGCATTTTCGTCCCCATCTTTCTGCGCCCCCAGAATAAACTGACTTGGAGGTACCTCCAGCTGCTTCTGACCCTTCACCATCTGATTCAGCTTGATATAATCCTTGGTGTCTCCAATCATCATCCCACCAAGTAAGTATTTCCCATCCATGGTGAATAAGTACTTCTTGTAGATGCCACCGAATGGATCCTTATATGTCAGAGCCTTCACAGGCGAATCCCTCTCACCTTCCTCGGCTGTTGAGAGGCCTGTCGTGGTTGGCGGACGCTGACCCGGAAGAAATTTGGGCCCATCTCTATCTGCGAAGAAGTCGCCGAAGCTGGCAACGTCAACACCCAAAAGCTTCAACTTTGTGCTCAGATCCGGTCGCTTGAAACTTTTGGGCTTCTTATCTGAATTAGTCAAGTTGAATGATAATACGTCAGCCATTTCAATGCCGGGCGCGATGATTCCGAATGTCTGATTCTCCCAGCTGGCACACTCTCCAATGGCGTAGATATCGGGAATAGAGGTCTGCAGACTGTAGAACAGATTAGATCACAACTTGAGTGCACAAAGTGCATCAATCAAATACCTCTCATTGATCACAAATCCTCCTCGTTTTGCCTGCTGAATACCTGCAGCATTGCCTAGCTCATCTCGAGGGCGCACGCCAATCTATGGCCTGTCTCAGCAAGTTGGGACCGCAAGGGACAAGATCTGTCAAATCACTTACTGCAAAACATATGCAAGAGCAGCTGATCTCATCTCCATCTTCGAACACGATGCCCGTCACATTGTTGTCGTCGTCGGTGTTGATTTTTGCTACTCGCTTTTCGTGCAGCACATCTAGGCCTAGCTCTCTAATCTTTCGAGTTACTAGGGTGCCGGCATCGCCGTCGAGCTGTCTTGCCAATACCCATTTGTTGCGATCAATGAGCTTTACATTGCCGAAATCTTGCAAATCGGTCATTGCCTTTGCTGCTTCCAGGCCTAATAGGCCACCCCCTACTGTGACTCCCGTCTCCCCCTTATGCATGGACGCGAACTCGATTAATCGTTCGAGATCGGAGATTGTCCGGTAGACAAAAATGCCCTTCGCATCGTGACCAGGGGTATGTGTAGGAAGTACTGCATCGGAGCCAGTGGCAAGAACCAGGATGTCGTAATTGATGGTGTCACCGGTCGACGTCCTTACTGTTTTGTGTTCGGGGTAGATATCGGTCACTCGAGTGTTGAGGTGGTAGTCAAAGGAACGGTCCTTGAAAGATCCGTACTGGAAACGTTCAGAGTCAATCCAGCAACCCAAAGAAAAAAGAGAAAAAAAAGGTAAAAGAAAAAGAAAAAAGAAAGAGAGAGATTTCGTGGACTGCTTACCCATTCCTTCGGATTGAGGTACAAATCTTCAATCTTCCGATGTTCGAAGAACGAGGAAAGTCCGACACGATTGTAGGCGACGTGGGACTCCTCTCCAATCACGACGATATCGTAGTTCCGCCTTTCAGCATCTTGCTTGACAATCTTTTCACTGGAAGCGACAAACTGTGATTAGCACGAAGAACCGATTCAGATGGTCAGGTTCACTGAAAGCAATCGGTCGACCTACATGAATGAGATAGCCACCATCCCCAAACCCACGACTACAATCTTCTGACGTTTGTTCAGGCCATTACTGTGGACACCCGTATCAAGGATTGCGTCAATTGGCTGAACAGGGTAAAGGCCATCGACGGGTTGAACTGGCTGAAGGCCGTTGTGGCCGCTGCCATTGACGGCCTCCGCGTCCCTGAGCCCATCTAGCAAGGGCATTGTAGCGCAGAGTAGAGTCCAGTATGGTAGAATACTTGGGATGAAAGAAGAAGAACTCGATTCCAGCTATGTATATAGACTAAACATCATCGCCAAGGGGCCATGCGTCGAGGGCCATCAGGAGACCGGCGAGCTTCGTTTCTCCGTGGCATTTGGAAGTTCGGAACCCAGGCAATGGTTGACTAGAACGAATGGGCCAATGTCGGATTGTAATCAGCGATCTCGCCGCACGCATCGCATATGTCGGGACGTGAAACGACGAGGAATCAGACGACATGAGTGGATCGATAAGGGGCAAGTAGAAGGTGGTTGCATCTCCGCGGAGGTCACTGGACGGGTTAGTCATGATCGACGCATGCTTATCTCTCGCTCTGCCGATGACACTTCCTTCGTTTCTCTTGGCCTTGATCGTTCATGCTGTGATGACCAACGCCTTCGCGTCCACTCGACGATAAGCAGATTTGCTATCGGCTGCGACGCTTCGACGGGATTATAGCGACTCCCAGGATCCCCCGCCTGCGTTCGCCTGCGCGCGCTCACTTTCCCTCCCCTTGATCCAGTCGGAATGCGGCGCATGTGAGGGAATTAGTTCTACACCAACAGAAGCACACAATGCATGCATAATGTCAATAATCCTGTACTCTGCGCTCCGTACAGAGGACATGAGCTTAATTCCCGCAACCTTTGGAATGTATGAACATGGCCTAGGGCTACTGCCACAATTTCACCACTGTCGGTCTAGATGGCCGGCGAGAAAAATCCCTCACTAGGGCATACCAACGGCGCCATAACCACGGCATTTTCACCAGGCGGCCTTAAGCTTTTCGAGTCTCACAGGAAAACCACCATGCCTTGGAAGTCCGATGGAGACCCTAAAATGGACCATCCGCGGAGATCCATCGAGATAGGGCCGTGAGTGGATCTCTGGATAATGGGCTCCGCTGGACCGCACGGCTGTCTTTCTCCGAGGCTCTCACACGGTCCAAAATTCCAATAATCATCCCGTGAACTAGTTCAAACGCCGATGGCTGGGTTCATGGGACGCCATAATAATGCGAATACATTCTTTTAGTGCTGTCGACTGTCTCGCCCCGGCAATACGTCTCCTCAAATTTGTCTTATGAACGAGGCTGTACGGATATCTCCTGACCGATGTCTCCTGTTGTACTCTAGTTTTTTCTTCCACCAAACCCCACCGTAATAATGGCGACTCTTACTGAGGTCTGGTCGAGGACTCTCGCCCCGAATGATCTCTTGTTCAAGTCGACCCCAATCAAGGTCAAAGAAGAGGAGACTTCAACCGTTGACCTAGAGGATATTCCTCTGCCGCCTCCTTCAAAAAGACCGACGGAGGTGCTGAGCATAGACAAGAATACCCCGGATAATCATGTGCCTCGCGATCCTCGGCTTCTTAGATTGACGGGTGTGCATCCGTTCAATGTCGAGCCTCCTCTTACGGATCTTTACAAAGAAGGTATACATCACGTTCCTGCTTAGGGTTCCTTTGCTTGTGGAACCATACCCAGACTGGAGTTGTAGATCAACATTGCTTACGTCTTGAAAGGGTTTCTCACCTCACCGGAACTCTTCTATGTCAGAAACCATGGCCCGGTCCCTTTCGTGAAGGACGAAGATATCCTCAGCTGGGAAATTAGCATTGAAGGGTAGATGCTCCTATTCATGCATGTGTTTTCCAAACAACTAAATATCATCAGGCTGGTCGAAAAACCATTAGTCTTGAGCTTCCGTCAAGTTCTGCAGCACTATGACCAAATAACAGCACCGATCACCCTCGTTTGTGCCGGCAATAGGCGAAAAGAGCAGAACACTGTACGAAAATCAAAAGGCTTCTCATGGGGTTCGGCCGCATTGTCAACGGCCCTCTTCACGGGTCCCTTGATGTCTGATATTCTCCGAAGTGCCAAACCACTGCGCAAAGCCAAATATGTCTGCATGGAGGGGGCAGACAAATTGGTATGTCGTCCTGATCACTATGTCGAGCGTCGATGCTGACCGTGCTTTAGCCCAACGGACACTATGGGACATCTGTCAAGCTGAACTGGGCCATGGACCCTAACAGGGGAATCATGCTTGCTCATAAGATGAATGGAGAATCTCTTCGACCTGACCATGGTCGCCCACTGAGAGCTGTTGTCCCGGGCCAAATTGGTGGTCGGAGCGTCAAGTGGTTGAAAAAATTGATCTTGACTGATGAACCAAGCGATAACTGGTATCATATAAATGATAACCGTGTCCTGCCGTAAGTTGCTTATATCATTATTCAATATCCCATCTAATCATACGACAGAACCATGGTATCTCCCGAAATGGCATCGAGCGACCCAAAGTGGTGGCGTGATGACCGTTACGCTATATATGACCTCAACGTCAATTCGTCCGTTGTTTATCCGGAAAACAACGAAGAATTAAACATCGCATCAGCTGGACCCTCATATACCGTGAAAGGCTATGCGTATGCCGGGGGTGGTAGAAGAGTCACTAGGGTGGAAGTTTCGGTGGATAAGGGCAAGAGTATGCACCCTAACGGATCTGTCTGAGTCATATATCGACTAACATGCTTGATAGATTGGCGCTTGGCAGAGATCCATTACGCAGAGGACAAATACCGTGATTTCGAAGGAGACCTCTTTGGTGGAAAAGTGGATATGTCCTGGCGAGAGTCATGTTTTTGTTGGTGTTTCTGGTCTCTGAGCATCGCCATTCCCGAGCTCGAAAATAGCGATGCTATAATCGTGAGGGCAATGGACGAAGCGTTGAGTATCCAACCGCGCGACATGTACTGGTCTGTCCTGGGGATGATGAACAACCCTTGGTTTCGGGTCACGATCACCAAAGAGAACGGGGTCTTGAAATTCGAACACCCAACACACCCTACCATGCCTGGTGGATGGATGGAGCGTGTTAAGAAGTCCGGAGGCAATCTGCTCAACGGGAATTGGGGCGAGATACAAGAGGGAGAACAACCAATTGCCCCTGAACCTGTGAAGGAAATCAACATGAAGAAGGAAGGGTTGAAGCGAGAGATCAACCTGGAAGAGTTCAAGAGTCAGTCAAGTGAACAAAAGCCATGGTTTATCGTTAATGGCGAGGTTTACGATGGCACGGCATTCCTCGAAGGTCATCCTGGAGGAGCGCAGAGTATTATCTCCTCTGCCGGCCTTGATGTCTCCGAGGACTTTCTTGCAATCCGTAAGTACATTTTGATATCCGAGAAGTCGGTCTGATACTAATACACCCTGTAGACAGCGAGACAGCGAAGGCAATGATGCCGGATTATCACATCGGAACAATGGACAAAGCATCTCTGGACGTACTCAAGAACGACGTCTCATCAAGTCCGGACGAAATACGCGCAGAGTTTCTCCAGTCAAGGTCATGGACCAAGGCAACACTTTCGAAAAAGACCGACATATCATGGGACACTCGCATTTTCACATTCGACCTTGAACATGGCAAGCAAACACTAGGCTTGCCAATCGGCCAACATCTTATGCTTAAAGTTTCAGATGCAGCATCTGAAAGCGGAGCCATAATTCGATCCTACACCCCGATGTCAGAAACCGGCAAAGAAGGGTCGATGGACTTGCTAGTCAAGATATACTTCGCAAGTCCTACTATTCCAGGCGGCAAAATGACTACCGCCCTAGACAAGCTCTCCCTAGGCTCGGTGGTCGAGTGCAAAGGGCCAACAGGAAGATTCGAGTACCTCGGAAACGGCCGAGTTCTCATCAGCGGCAAAGAACGACATGTTAACTCCTTCGTCATGATCTGCGGCGGAACCGGGATCACGCCAATCTTCCAAGTTCTGCGTGCCGTCATGCAGGATCAGCAGGATCGCACCTCGTGTGTTGTTCTGAACGGGAACAGACAGGAAGAAGACATTCTTTGCAAGACTGAGCTTGACGCACTGGAAGCGTCCGACAGCAGTAAATGCAAGGTGATACACACTCTGAGCAAAGCTCCAGACTCTTGGACGGGCCGACGAGGACGTATCTCAGCAGATATTCTCAAGGAGTATGCAGGTTCTGATGACCAGAGCATGGTTCTTGTTTGTGGACCAGAGGCCATGGAGAAGTCTGCGCGGGAAATCCTCCTGACGCAAGGATGGGCAGAACAGAATCTCCATTTCTTTTAGGAAATCTTTTGAACGATGAATATGTTTTAACGTGGAAGGCATGGCGTTTTTTGGGACGGGTTTTATTATGTACTGTACACACTCAATTCACGAATTGATACACGTTCACGGAAATATGAATGAATATTCTTACCAGATGATTCTTGACAAGCGATTGGTCCACATTGGTTGAATACCAGGCATGGAACTGATCGTGTGCTCTATTTGCAAAATGTATATCGTTCTATCAGTAGACTAATAATACTTCTTAACATCCAGCCGCGCCAGAAGGTGTTCAAAAACACTCGTCGAATCCCTGGATGCGAAGGATGTACCAGACCGACCTAGAGACTTCGAAGACGCCTTGATGCCATCCAGATTGCGCAGATAGCCGACGAATGCCGATGTTTGTTTCCGGAAAACAGCATACAGCCGACGCACGGTGATTTCACTCTCATGGCGCACACCACGCATGCCGTCAAGCCTTGACAAGGGGGCAAAATTGAGGATTGTGGAGAAGATGCCCTCAAGTAGCTTCGCCGCTTCCGTGTGTCTTTTGCTGAGAAAGAGTGCAAAAAGCATCTGATCCAGGATATCTTCGTGGTAGTCACGGAGTCGATGAACAGACTGAGCCGCTTCTATAGTGCCGTCGACATTGCCCTTATCGAGGCAAGACTCGATTTTCGACAGGGTATCTTGAAATCGTTGCCACGTTGATCCCACTCCGATGTGGAAACAATAATCGCCCAAGGCGAGGACGAAATGTTGGCAGTCAACACGGAAACGTTGAAGCACATTTCGCGTATCTCCGGAGAGAGAATCTCTGGCGGTCGAATCACGAATGAGGCCTTTGACAACAGAAACCATTCGAAGGAGTCGGAGTAGGTGTTTGAACAACCGGTCATACTTGTTCAGAGACTGATGAGTGATGATCTCTTCCAGCCCATCTGATGGCTTATATGATAAACGGAGAAAATCCAGGGCTTCGATGGCATTTGGATCTTTGCATTTCACGATCTCTTCGTCCGTCAGATCCCTGATAGAGAAGTTCAGGCCACCCGGTAACTCTGTGTCTCTGCGAAACTCAGCGTTTCCTGAGCTCTCTGAGCGATCATCTGCATTGCGACAGTCGTTTAACAGGCCTATGAGCACCAGTCGTAGCTCCGAACTTGCTGGAGGCCATGTGTCACGGCTTCCCAGGCGCAAGCCGGTGTGAACGCCGCCTCGGACCACCCCGGACTTTCGCTCACCACTTTCCATTTCTGGATCGAAAAGTGAGTGAGACAAGCGAGATGTAAAATATCCATCTCCAAGGAGCTGGAAACGCCATTGCAAAGTAAGATGGTATCTAATTTTGTGTTCCTTGAACAAAAGATGAAGACAAGAGAAGTCAATCAGCAGTGCCTGAGAGGAAAGTAACGGTGCAAGTGATAAGTAAAGCGAGGAGATTAAATCTGGCCCAAAGCGACTCGTGTGACCTTGCTGTAACGCTAGATCTGATGTTTCTGTTTCCTTAAGAATTTGGCCAATCTTATCATTTTCGATGGAGGACGGGTTTGCAAGTAAGCCTTTCAGATTCTGTTCATCGTCGATGTCGAACAAATCGAAGGTATCCGCAATCACATCATTGTCTTTGTCGCCGGATGAAATATGTGTGATAGACTGTGTTGATGCCTCCTCCAAGCCTTCCCCGTTGTTATACCTCAGTATTTCAGTTCGAAGTTTCTTTTCGTACTCATAGGCCTTGTTCTGTATTCTCTCAATGTCGTTCCAAGCGCTGACACATTGAAGTTTAAGCGAATGAGCGGTGGAGGTCGTACTCGCAAGGGGATGCTGTGGACGAAATCGTCTGAGAAGTCGAAGGCTTTGTCCGCTCTCGAAGATCAGCTGTGCTTGATCTGTCGGAATGAAAGATGGCATTTGATCAGGGCGATATCTGAAATCGATTCTTGGCGTCTTTGAAACGCCCTTGGCATCTTCGTCATGGGATTCTAAGGAGATGAAGCTTTTGCCCTTATCTGCCAACTCCATCAATGCCGAGGTTTCCGGACGGAAGCCAATCCAAGTTTCCACATAGCTCAAGAAAGGTTCAATTATTCGAACCACAACCTCACGGAAGAGATCTTCGAGTTGACCGAAGGTGTGAGAATAATGAGCAGCCTGGCCAAGAATAATGGAAATCAAATGTGCCTCTGAGACAGCGTGTTCAGCAGCCTCGACCATATTCGCTAACGCACTTACCAGCTCACCGCTTCGCTGAAACAATGACTTTATCTGGATGAGGGACACGAGGTTCTTCGAGTGTTTCGTGAGTTCTTTTTCGAGTGTGTACATGATCACCGCCGTGGCACTTGAAAGCGCAGAAAGAGCCGAGAGATCGCGAGATTTGGAAGGTTTTTTGGCGAGGAAATCGCGTATCCTTTGCATATCTGATCCACAGGCAAGCAGCTCATCTGTCAAGCTCCTCAGAGCTAAAACGCTAACACCAGTTATGCGTATGTTTCCGAGTACCTGCTCGAATTTCCGCCGGTCTCGATTGTAGCGGAAAAAGATGGAGCTCCAGCCCAATCCCAGCTTGAATAGAGATTGAAAGAGGACGTCATTCCGCACAATGCGCTGTGGATCCCCGGGATCCTTTGGTGCGGACTGACGAGCCAACGATCCATCAAAGCCTTTGGCGCCGGATTCGCTGAAGTATGCGGAGGGGGGCTCACGGTGCCATCGGTGCTGATAACTCTCCCATGACTTCAATGTTCTTTGGTTGCCAAAATAGTGACTGAAGGTCTCAGGACCCCAAATATCCTCTAATACATCGTCTTCTTGTTGGTCAGCGTCGATAATCGATCGGCCATCGCTGGATGCATCGACAGTGGACTCCGGTTGTTGTTCCAGATCAAATGGGTCGAATTCGAAGGGATTTAGACTGGGAAGCTTGGGTTCTTTTCCGTTAAACAAATCCAGTGGGCTTTTGAAGAAGCTACTGGTTACATCTGAATGGCAGAAAAACGGTTAGTTCTCCAATTGTAGTTTCGAGGAATCCCAACTAAAGGTATGTACCAGGCAGGTCATGGTTCCATGACAAGGGCTCCAGCGGTTGGAGGGACTGCAAGGTGAAATTGGAGATCTTCCAAAGACCCAGACTTGAAAAAGGATTGACGCCATCATCCTCGGGGTCCATGATCATCGAAACATGGCGCATGCGGCACCCAGAACCACGGACAAGAGGTCTATCGCTTTGACAACGATTAATTCATTAGTTATGCCACAAGTCCGTCGACGCGTGGGCGGCGCGAGATCACGCCGCACTAGCTATAAGTGGATTAGCGCCTCCCCGACCTGCGCCCGGACCACCGCTTGATTCGCGAAACCGACGCAGAAGCATTTCCTTGAGTCCTTAATTGCCCCCCCATTGCTAAGAATATCCAAACGATCCTTGCTTCCCTTGTACCCGCGACGCTCAGAACTCCCTCGAAAGTGCGACCACGATGCCCCCTCGAAAGAAACCGAAGCTTGCCGCCCCGTCCGAATCCTCGAACACCCCCGGCAATGAGAGCGCAACGCAGCCAAACGTGGACTACGACCCCGTCACGGACCCATGGACCGATGAACAGGAGACGGCCTTGTTGAAGGGCATCATCAAATGGAAGCCTGTCGGTTCGTTCAGTCTCCCGTCTGTGAAGCAGCGGAGCTGGTACTAATGCGATTGTTCTCCTAAGGCATGCACAAGCATTTTCGCATGATCGCCATCTCAGAGTTTATGAAGAGCCAAGGATATGCGCCTCCCCACGCGGAACATACTCGAATACCTGGAATCTGGAAGAAGCTCGGAACGTTATACAATCTTCCTGCGCTGGACGAACGGGTATGTAGCCGACATTGAAAGGGACCCGTCTGCAAAGTACTCACGCTGATACTTTTTTATCGGGATCGCAGGAAGACTCGTTGATCACCGACACCACCGATGACGTCGAAAACTCTAAGGAACTATACTGCCCCTTCGATCTCCCCGAGGATGAATACGGGGACTTGATGTTTGAAAGGCGACTTGCGATGGAAGGCTCCGTGTCCCCAGTCAACAGCCCCCATCCAGAATCCAGGCGAGGCAGCACCGTGGCGGATACAGACGGTTAGTCACATACGCTCCTTTGATCTCTAATTGTTCTAACTTTCATCTTTGGATTCGCGTACAGAACCACGATCCTCTCCCGCCCCCTCACGAGGAAGAAAGCCAGGTCGTGGTGGTCGTCCATCAACGCGTGGTACACGTTCGTCGCGACTTCACATGGAGGTTGAACCCAGGAGGAAACGGTCAGGCACTGGCGAGGAGGATGGGGACTCTGAAGAAACCACTCCCAATGACGATGGCGATGAGGACGGCACAGATGGTGCGAAGGATGATAGCGAAGGGGAGGACGATGTCGACGACGGTGGAGGCTCTCCAACCACGAGAAGCACACGGGCCCAAACATCCCGCTCGAAACAGAAGGGCAGAGGTGCGCCAACGGGACCAAGAAGAGGAGCTCGAAGGCGCTAGCATAAATGGATCCCCAGGTTCTCTTTTCTTTCCATTATTTTCCATTATGTCCCCCCACGATACCTTGGCGAACATCAGGATGGCGTTTTCTGTATTTTATGGATCCAATGGTCACAGCCGAGGCAAATACGATTTGTTCATGCGCTTTCAACGCATTCATTACTACTTCAGTCTCTTACAAATGCTTGAAACAACCGCCAAATCGTTTGTTCTGTCATGGGAAGAATGATTCGCCAAGCAGCACACGTCAACACAAGACCACCAGATCGAAGGCCAATGCGCCTAGCATCTTAATAAATACATTTGAGTACGTATAATAGATCACGTTATATGGTCTAAAATCATTCACAGGCTAAAAGGAGACAATCAAGGGAAATAGTACACGATGTTGACCGAATCCCTTACAGACGCTTCATGATGGCCTCAGCGTATTCGCTGGTCTTAGCCTTGCCGCCCAAGTCGCCGGTGAGAGCCTAGTATTTGCGCATTAGTCAATCTGTCATATTTTTCCGAGAGCGGGGATTAGAGCGTCTTACCTTTCCTTCGGAAAGGGTGTCGAAGGTAGCCTTCTGGATACGAGCAGCGTGGTCGGTGAGACCCATGTGCTGCAGCATCATGATACTGCTCAGAAGAAGAGCGGTGGGGTTGGCAAGACCCTTGCCAGCGATGTCGGGGGCGGAACCGTGGACGGCCTCGAAGATCGAGCACTCGTCACCAATGTTACCGGAGGGGGTCAGACCGAGACCACCGATCAGACCGGCGCACATATCCGACAGGATGTCACCGTACAGGTTGGGCATGACCAGAACCTTGTCGTTGTAGGGGGTGGGGTCGGTGACGATCTTCAGGCAAGAGTTGTCCAGCAGCTCAGCGTCGAATTCGACATCGGGGAACTCCTTGGCGATATCGCGGGCAAGGTTCAGGAAAAGACCGTCGGACATCTTCATGATGGTGGCCTTGTGCACCACGCGGACCTTCTTCTTGTTGATGGAGCGAGCGTACTGGAAGGCGAAACGCAGCACACGCTCGGAGGCCTCCTTGGTGATAAGCTTGATGCTCTGCACGACACCATCGACAACGACGTGCTCGATACCAGAGTATTCACCCTCGGTGTTCTCACGGATCAGGACGGTGTCGACGTTGTCGTAGGGGGTCTTGTAGCCAGCGACGGATCGGCAGGGACGGACGTTGGCGAACAGGTTGAAGGTACGACGGAGGGTAAGGTTCAGAGAAACATGTCCCTTGCCAACGGGGGTCTTTACAAGAGAAAAGAGAGGATGGTCTCAGCAACAGCAATCATCAAGATGCAAGAATGGCACAAGAACACTTACAGCAAGGGGACCCTTGAGCGCAACGTAGTTCTTCTGCACGCTCCGGATGGCATCGTCAGGGATGGCGGTCTTGCCATCCTTCAAGATGGGGGTCACATCGACGGGCTCCCACTTGACGGGGGCCTGTACGAATTTTTAGCATTCCGAGTTCACATCCCGGGTTGAGAGGCTGAAGCGTACGTTTGCGGCAGCGAAGATGTCCTTGACGGACTGCGAGATTTCGGGGCCAATGCCGTCACCCTCAATCAGAGTCACGGTGTATTTTCCCTAGCGAGGCGATCACATTGTCAGAAACCACGTTGCAGACAGAATTGAAACGTTGTTGGCGGAGGCGATCGAATAAATGGTTGTAGCGCGAGGGAGGCCGGAAAACCTCGGGCCAAGGGAAGAAAATCCCAGAACAAAAAAAAGTAAAATATCGGTCGGGCGACATACATCGGTATCCTTCTGTCCCTTGAACTTGGCGACACGCTCATCGGCAGCAGAGGCGTAACCACGCAGCTAGACATCGAAATTAGCACGAGACAGGCATTGGCACCCCCAGCGAGAGGGGGACAACGGAGGTTCGCTGGTTACCTGCGAAAAAGGCGAAGCGATTCTAGGGGAGACCCGGGTTGTCCGCAGGCATTGGCGGGCGGGCAGGACGAAGTTCCGAGCGGCAAACATGGTGACAGGAGCCCGGGGACGGCAGCAAACAATGAAAGAGGGGAGATGGGGGAGAGAGGAATGAAAGGATGGGGGGTGGGAGGGAAGAGGGAGCGTGTGCGGGAAGAAGTCGAAGAACGAGAGATTGGAAGTTCTCGGCACCCGGTCCGTCCGGCTTGGATGCTGCCGTGTTCGGTCCCCCAGTCCACTTGGTGTCTTCCTTAGATCAGATAACGCCGCCCTCCCATCTGCTCCCCCCGTTGGCACTCCGACCCAGTGACCCTACGTGCGGTGGCTTTGCCCTCTAGCTTCTCCACCTGTGCAGCTGCTGCGCGTGCTTCCCTGCACGGGATTGCGCCCTTGTTGACTGATCGCTTCTGACCGCCGTGGATCGCTGCCTGCCTCGTGTCCCAGACGCCCCCTCGACACGTTGCCGAAACAATGGCCGATTCCGACGTCGCCAACTTCTACAACCTCCCTTCCGAGTACCCCGAGGAATGGCCCGCCGAGCTCGACGAGAGCGAGGATTCCGAGGATGAGACCCTTCAACGCCGGGGCTCGCGATCCCGATACTTCGCCCTCGAACGCAGCAACAGTGGTCGGAAAGGGCCCAATCTGGGCTCGTTCAAGGGGAAAACCGCGAGGGACAATCTCGTCAAAATGGACGAGCCCGATCCCTTGGGCTCCGGAGACTCCGTCTTCAAGATCTTGAAGAAACGAGGGTTGTCCCTGGAGGAGGAGGGTCGTTTGCGCAATCGGTTCTTGCTCTCGTCTACGTCGTTCTCCCCGGCTCTCTTCCTCTCGCAGGCGCACTCGGACGCATCCATCAAGTCACTCCTCAGTGGTCTTGATTTCCTTTCGCGATCCATCGATCAGAAGTCGGCTTCGCTGAAGGTCCTCGTCGAGGCCAATTTCGAGCGGTTCGTTCGAGCCAAAGCGACCATCGATAGTGTCTATACAGAGATGAGGAACCAAGGGAGGGAACAGAACACGTCCGTACAACAGGCTCATCGCAGGTCGGGGCATTTTCGGAATTATTCGGGGGGGATGCAACCAGTTCCCTCGCCCGCTCCGTCAGACTCGGCACCCGGGAAGAACGCTCTCACCAAAGAGAGCGAGTATGGCCTCAAGGGTATCCGTGTTCCCTTGCTGGAGGCTTCTGTGAAAGCCGAGGAAGTGTGGGGTCCCGCACTGGGAGGCCGTGAAAGGGAGCAAGCGCTGAAATCGGTGGTTGATGCGATGGAGAAACACCGCGACGTCTACGAAATAGGCGGGATGCTTTCGAAATCCATCAAGCAGAGAGACTACGATTCGGTCTTTGAGCAGTATACGAAGGCAAGAACTCTGGCAAAAGAAGCTAAGAACCTCGCCGACAGGGCGATTAGCAAACACCGGCCCTTGACGGATGAAGATACGCATTTGATTCTGGCCATGGGGCGAATGTGGATGGATGTCGATCAGCAATTACAGGTGTTCAAACGTGATCTCTGGAGACGTCTCGGCGATGCGCCTACAACCTCGACAACGGTAACGGCATCCGGGCCGGTTGAGGAACACATGGAGCTTATAGGTGCCTTACTGGAGCTGGGCGTGGACGACAACCCCATCTGGGTGTGGCTTCTCAGTCGGTACAACTTTCTGAAAACCAAAATCACCACGTTCTGCGAACGCTGCAAAACGGAGATTGAAATTCTTCGGCGCAGACTCGCCAGCGGGGAGAAACCAAGTCCTCGAGCAGTGGCATCGTATCTTCGACTGGCGCCGCGCGACAATTCCAAAGATACGCAAGACATGTTGGATACTGATCAGATTATTGAGCTCTGGGATTGCGTGCATACCTACCTCAACAGGCTGCTGTCGTCGCAGGGCGGTATTCTGGGAGAAGTGTTGGATTTTTGGGAAGCGGCACAGTCTTTCCTCGACGGGAGCAAGCAAAAGTTGCTCCCTGCCGGATTTGAAGGGGAAAGCCGGAAGCACCACCGGCTCTCAAGCACCGACTCGAGGGACTTGCAGAAAGGTGTTGTCGAGCTTGTTAACCTCATTCGAGAAAGTGTCCTCTCGTTATTTGCCGACCCTCCGTTGGAGGATATCTCTCTACTCACGTCGCCAATATCGCCGCCAAGTCCCAACACGCCGTTCGGGGTGACACCCACGGGGTCCCGGTTCAAGCTTGATCCCAAAAACATGCCGTTTCCCACGCCAAAGAGCGGCGAACACTGGGAGGATTTCGCATTCTGGCCACCATTCTCCAATGCGCTCAGTGGCGTCCATTATTTGGGCCAGTTCTTGGTCATCATCGGAACGGCGGCGAGTGAAATGGCCGCCTTGGGTCCAGTGTCAAGCAATGGCAACGCACATGGTCTTCTCAAGGCGCTTGTCAGTGTCGCCCGGGAGCGCGCGGTGCGAGTGGTGTGCTCTGCCTGGGGCAGAGACGCAGAAGTCTGCAAGCTGATGGAGGATTGGACACGCGACCCGGAGAGTAGGGACCTCACGAAAATGCCCAGCTTATTTGTCGCCTTTGAGAATGCAATCCTTGGGGGGATGCAAAAGATTCTCTATGTCTCGGAGGCCATGGTCAAATCCGGTGATGTAGACATCGTGACGCAGCCTCCAACCAAGCTTCTTCAAATGGTGCGCACCCAGTTTGTCTCCAGCGTCTACAAAGCCCTCAGCGGTCTCGTGGAGAATGCAGAGCACCCTACCGCGCCCGAAGAGGACAACGAATGGGTTCTCGCTGGGTCGACGCGCAACCGCTCTGGAATCTCGTCCGTTTTCGTGGCAGACGCTGTCGATGCCCACAACAGAGTAAGTTAGAGCCACAAGTTTGGGATACCCGGGAGAACCAGCTGACAACTCGCTAGAATGTGCGCATCCTCCTTACTCTCTCAAACATCAAATCCCTCCAGACCGACTTTGTGCCCCAGTTGGTTGCGAACTTCGAAACCTCTTTCTCCGTGAAGTTGACGGACGAAGCCAAAACCATCCGCGACGTGCTCAGTCAAATCGACAACCGCCTATTCCAGTCCTACACAAACCCAACGATCAGTACCTTGAACACGACGATCTTCAATGGAATCACAGCCGCTGATTGGGAACCCTCCGTCGCTCGTCCCGACCAAGTGCGGCCCTACGTGTACGACACCTTGTTGACGCTGGTGCTTGTCCACACGGAGATATCGACTACCATTCCCTCTAGCGCCTTGGCCTCGACGCGCTCCTCAACCTCATCGGCATCGACTCCGTCCGCCCTGCTCTCCGTCGTGCTCACCCATCTTCTGGCACAGGTTTCCTCGTCCCTCCTGAATTCTTTCAGCTCGCGATCATCGTACACACTTCCTGCCCTGATGCAGGCCACTCTAGACACGGAATACATTGCACAAACCATGTCGCAGTACACCACCGATGAGGCATCGGCTCTACAAAGTCAAATCTACGTTGAACTCGACCGTCGCACATCTCACGAAGCTCGGGCCCGGCTTCAATCCGAACTGGGTGAAATGAGAGGGATTCTCAAGAGATTGCGGGAAAGAACCAAGGGAGAGTTTGCTTGCTTCAGGAGATCAAAGGGCAGCGGGGGCCAGAAGGCATCGGCGTAGTTATAACCTGTTGTTTAAGGGTTGTATATAGTCAAATCTAGAATCTATTCCCTCAACGTCAACGTCATAGGTTGCAGGTCCAGTCTGCGGCGGGAAAAAAGAGAAAAAAAAAATAGAAATCAAGTTAGGGTATCATTGACAAAACTTTTGTTCCACCGTAAGCCATCTCTATGTCTGGCCAACCATTCTTTGCACGCGATCTAATAACACCTTGCTTTCCCGACCCAGTCTTCTTTTACCAAACTGATCCGGCCGTCTGGCACGAGACATGTCCTCTCGGTTTTTCTGTTTAAACTCGCGATCCTCCCTCCGCTTCTCGGCTTCCTGTCGACGCTTTTCGGCGGCTTCCATCTCTTTGGTGAACGCAGACCGTTTGGGCTTCTTCTGTCGGCGGTCCCGAGGTTGCGAACGCTCTGGTTTGGGAGTCGGTTCCGGGGCCGGCTCATTCAACATCGCCAGTCGATCCGGATGAAGCTCTAAGGTGGCGGACTCCGGCGACTGCTCGTCCCCTTGTTCCTTCTGAGTGTCGGCATCGGCGTCGGCGATCGCATAGGTCGGCTTGTGTTGACCGGCGGCTTCCTCTTCAGCCTTGACTTTGGCGTAGGCTTTCTTGACTTTGGCTTTTTGGATCAGGTCGGACTTAATCTTTTGGGCTGCATGGTTGGGAGACGTTAGCCGGCCGAACGACACGGGATAGGGCGCCAAACTCTGCCCCAAACGAAAGTGGAATACTGAAAAACGGGGTCGGACTCACTCTTTCGACGATAGGTGCCATCGGGTAGATTTGCAGGGCCGACAGAGAAGCCCTTTCTCTTCTTGGCCGGAGCTTCAGGATTCCGCGATTCGGGGTTTGCATCAGTGTCTCGGGTGCGTTTGGGCGCCATGACGAGATGATTGGGACCAGGAAAATTCCTCAAGGTGTCTGTACAACTGGCTCCGATGAAATTGGAGCGGTGAGTTGGGCAACAATCGTCAGAGTCAACGTGGCGAGGGAATTTTGTTGACGAAAGGATGGCCGGTCTAGAGAAAAAAAAAAAAAAAAAAAAGGCGGATCGGAGAAAACGGGGCAGGTTTGGCGCAAGATCGGGGATGGGCTGCTGGTCGGGCTTCAAATTATAATCAGAATAGGTGGATAGACGGCGACAGGGAAGAGACAGCCAAGATGTTTCTTGGGCCACGTCGATAATCCTCCTCCCAGTAAATCCGCAGTAGGTGGTAAGGTACACCTAGGTAGGTACTTAGCAGGAACTACAGAAGAGGGCGATACCGACGGTAACTTACAGCTGCCTGAGGCACCACCGGGTAATGGTGGAGATCCTCATGACCGCCCGTTTTCCGTCTTCCTCATCTTCTGACAAGAAGTCAATGACTGATTCATTGAAGGATTAAATCATGGTGGCCGGCTAAGAATCATAATCAGTTCATCCTTGACTCATTTTCCCCACCCCTTTTCTACCCCGGTCCCCTTTGTCCTTTTCCTTTCCCTCTTCTTTCTATTTAACCTTCCAACCCTCCCCTCCCCTCCCTCCGATGCCGATCTTTTGCGGTCATACAATCCTACTCCACTGTGCTTGAAACTTGAGCGACCTCCGCCACCGGCTCCCTGCCTGCCACCGAAACACCTCTCGTCGGCCTCTCTTGCTCGCCCTCTCCTGATCGGCCTCGTTTCTCCAGAACACTCGCCCTGCGGTTGCGATGATTGAGCTTTCATCCGCCCATTCCGCCCATCCCCATTCCCGGTGATCATGCCTATCTTTCAGGATCCGGATCGCCAGCAGTATTACGACTTATGGTCCGATGACCACCATGGCCCCGACGAGGATGCTCGGCAACATGCGTCACCCTCTTGGAAACAGTACCAGAACAATCTGCCCCGGTTCGATCGCTCTGAAGGGGGTGACATCTTTCCCGACGACAGGTCGTGGCCGGAGTATCCTTTATCGGGCCTGCGTGCCAGCGATCGAGAGGAATTGATACGCTATCTTAAGGGCACCGATTCTTCCCCGTGGGTGCCACAAAGCTCGGTATGTCTACCACCGCTTTGATGCTTATTATCGGCTGTGGGCCGCTTTTTGCGCATTTACTCATCCACGCCATTATTCTATAGTTCGGAGACCCGAGTGCCGGCCACTTTCTCTCTGATGAGCCCGAATACATGGAGAATCGACCCTTTGAGCGAAGTCTACCCAACGATAACCCTCGTCAAAATGATCAGGAACTAGGATCGCCGGCCGATATAGTACGCCCAAGATCAGCGTTACATTCGGGCGATTTTCGAGAAGGCGCCGGAGAACAGAACGGTCAGCAACAATTACCTCCATCTCCTATACCGCGAACGAGTGTTGGCCCGCAATTTCCTCCCCTGAGTTCTTCGCCTACAACGCCATGGTTTGCGGTCCCGACTCGTCCGTCTGCTGGAAGAGCAGTGCCGACAACTCGCTCTCGAGCTCCCTCTTTGGGATCATTCTCCTCCAGCTACGTCCTGAAGGCTCCGACAAGTCCATTGGTTTACCAGGCAAACAATACAGACTTGGACTTTTCCCCTAGGACGGAGTGCGCGGATCAAACAGGATTCTCGGAAAAGGCAAATCGTCGCCGAACGCTGCCCCCAGAAACGTTCCGGCATCTCCAATCGTCTCCTACTGCTCATCGAGGCGCATTGACTTTCCAAAATGGCCATCCTCTTGGCGGATGGAATGAACAACACTCTCACAGAGGATATAATCCTCGACGGTCTTTGACATCGACATATAGTCTCCAGCTGGCGTCATCGGTCCAGACGCCTTCTCCAAGGGCTCGAAGACTCTCGATCACCTCGGAATCTTCGCCCAGGCCACATGCCTCGCTAGTCGGCTCATACGAGGAGTCTATTCTCCGTGGACGAATGTCCATGAACCCGTCCAAGCCCCTGGACTTCACCGCGCAGATCGGCGTGCTTGGTAAAAGCAAATGTAAATCAAGTCTCAAGTGCCCGCCCCACGTCACGGTTCCTTTCCCGGCGGTTTTCTACAGCTATCCTACGTCTGGTTACGGGCGGTCGATTTCGGACGACAATCCCAGTCCCTACGTCGGTTTGATCGACCTCGATAATTCTCTTCCCAGGGACACGTCAGCCAGCAGCCGACGTCGCCGACACCATCCAAGCCCTGCGGGTCCTTGCGGCGATCAAAGCACGGAGAACAATTTGCCCCCGAAACTTGCCGACCAAGACGCTTTACGTAAACGCGAAAAAAGGCATCGACGGGCCGAGTCTCCCAAATGCCCTCCCGGCGGCTGTTATAGGATACCACAGCAGGGCCAGTTGCAGATCATGATCAAGAACCCAAACAAGACGGCCGTAAAGTTGTTTCTTGTTCCCTATGACTTGAGTGACATGGAACCCGGGACGAAGACATTTATCCGGCAAAGAAGCTATTCTGCTGGTCCTATCATTGACATGCCACTAACTGCTAGAAAGAATTACGGTACTGACCGCCCCGAGGCGTCGTTGAATCCCACCGAGGACCCCAAAGACAAGCCCATCTTGAGATACTTGATTCATCTGAACATCTGCTGTCCATCCAGGGGCCGGTTCTACCTGCACTCGAGTATTCGCGTGGTGTTTGCCAACCGCGTCCCCGACGGCAAGGAACAGCTGCGCAACGAAATCCAACATCCCGATCCGCGATACACCCCGTACAAGCCCATCCGGGACGTCAACCATTCGCACGCGGTCCCCAAACCGGCGGTGGACCGAGGATTCCAACGGTCGGCTGCGAATCACGAGCCGATCGTGACTTATGACGCTCGCCGCCCCTCCAGCGACTTGGCCGAAAATTCGTTGGCGATACCGTCCCCAATGCGAAGAGATATGGTGAATCATGGGCAGTCCCACTCCATGCAGCACAATGCCCACCCTTTCCAACCCATCCCGTCTTTGAGAGAGGAGATGTTCTCCTTGCACGATCTGGATTCCATCGAATCACATCGTCTCGATGAAGGTCGATACCACAAGCTCAACAAAGGGGACATCGGCTACGGTGGCTACCCCTCTGTCAGTGGTTCCGAGGCCGGGGAAAGCCTGTTGGCCAAAAGATTAAGAGGGCTCGATGTTCACAAGCATGATTGCCCCAATCTCCACTAACGGCGAACTCGATCACTTTTATAATACCCCTCCCGGGGTGTGAACAGTATTTTCATTTCTCTTATAATCACTTTCCTCCACTCCTTCGTCGGTATATTATCATTCAAGCCATATTCTGATGCAGGGCACACAGCTGGGGCCCAACTAACCACACAGTGTTCATCTACATAAGATGCAGGCTCATCTCCCATCGCTCTTCAGCGAGACATTCCTGATGGCGATCTGTCTGTCACTGGACATTTTTATATCTTCTCTCTTCATTATTGTACATGTCAGGCGTACAGGGCTCGCAACAATACCCATTTTTCTTCAGTTGAACCAGATTCATATCATCTCTGCCTCATGCATTACCTCGCGCGGAGAGCTTTGTCGATATTCCATAGTGAAGGACATGACGAGCAGGCATATCTCCGATTCCGGGCATTGAGACAGTTCTACAAATGCACATTCCATGAGGTTTAATATAACACTTTCTCTACAATCTCGAATGATCATAAGGTACCTACCTATTCTAGAGTCGTAATTATCCTCTCCAAGTACTGGGCAGCAGAACTCCTGCAATCATTTTGTATGTCAAATAACACGATGTTCTATCCTTCCTTCCTCGTCACGGCGGTGGTTTGTTCGATTTGCATCCACACGCCTTTTTCTTCGACTCCTCATTCTCCCTCTCTGATTCCTTCTGGTATGCCGTTTTTTCCCGCGACTCTATATAACCATGTGCTCTGCGATGTCTTCTTGTCGGTTTCCTCCGATTCCACTCGTTGATTTTCTTCGATCCGAAAGACGAGAAGGAACATAATGAGACCCCAAAGGCAAGTAAGCGTCTCCGCAGATTGTCCGGTGGAGCAATCCCGCCTAGACCAGGATCAGCCGGCGTCTCTCTACTCCTACATGTGTGCAGGTGCCTCTTTTGAGTTCTTCCCGGGAAACCATCATCATCTCATCCGTTGCACCACCTAGGACATCACCACCGACACGATGACCGAATCTTCTGAGAAACAAGGACAACTACAATCGATCCCTCGAGCCACCGCCGCCCCGCCCCGCGATGCCAGTCCTGCCGAAGCAAAAGAATCGATACGCCTCCGCGCAGACATCCCCACCCCCAAACTCCGCTTTCATGTCAATGATATACGCCACCCTGCCTTCCAGTCATTTCTTTCGCTGATCCCTGATCTCCAATCCGTCCTCGACACCGCCCTCTCCGCCATCATCCAAAACCTCTATACCGTTCCACCCCTCCGCCCTTCATCACGCATCACCCCGTCTCCCCAGCCCAATCTCCCCAGGCCTATCTTCCACCCTAGCGTGCCCCCAACCCGGTCCGTAACGCTCCTCCTCCGCGACATCGGCGGCGTCGCATACACCACAGGAACCGAGCTCGATAATGACCACAAGGAGATCCATCTCTCGCTCTCGTACATCCACACCTCGACCCGCAAAGCGGACCCCACCGCCGAGCTCCGCGGCGTGCTCACCCACGAGCTAGTCCACTGCTACCAACACACTGCTCCAGCCGGCAGCACGAACCGCCACCCACCGGGCGGTTTAATCGAGGGCATTGCGGATTTTGTCCGGCTTAAGGCCGGCCTGGCGCCTCCGCACTGGAAACGTCCGACCTCGGCCCAGGACCGCCCCGAGAATTGGGACCAGGGGTATCAGCATACGGCGTACTTCCTGGCGTGGCTGGAGGACGTCCGCGTCGGGCCGGGCGCCATCGGCATGTTGAACGATCGGCTGCTGCGAGTGGGCTACTATGTGCACAAGGGCAACGAGGATTCCGACGCGGGGGGAAGTCGCGAAACGGACTTCTGGGAGGCGCTGTTTGGGTCACGCATCGAGGACCTTTGGCATGCGTATGGCGTCTATCTAGACCGTCTTGGGGAGGGGAACGATGGAGACAGAGACGATGGTGCTTGGCAGGATGAGATTGTCAATCCTGAGTAGTTGGTTACGTTTGGTTGCTGATCGGGGTTGTGGAAGAGTCATTTGAGCCGTTTCTGACATCTACAAATCAATACCGTTATCGCGTAGTGAGAAATAACAGTAATTAAAGAAACACGTTAGATATATCTATATACCGATGCAATTATTTCTATCAGCATGCCAATGCAGCAGTACTTTTCAAGAGTGGTGACTCGCACAACTACCCTCATTCCACCTGGTGAAGGAAAGGCAGGAGCAGAGAATCGAACAGAGACAGAACTGATCAAAAACAAAACCAACCACACAGAAGAAGAAAAAAAAAAAAAAAAAAAAAAAAAAAGCCAACCAAAAAGACATTGGTAAGAATAGAATAGATTTCCCATACTGTACAAAACCTGATCTTGCAAATGTAAATATGAAATAAACCAAATATGTTGTGGTTCTTTGCCGCCATCCAGCCGACAGACACCCACATCTAATAATATGACATCCTCCCCACATTGAAACGTATCATTCTTGCCAACCCACCCGGGCCCGGTTTCCTCCGTTCTTATACAATAACCTCGCCCAAGTCGACGTGGACGGGCTTCCAGGGGGCGGCTCCCTCCTCTTCCATCGAGCTGGGAACGCGCACGTTCAAGGGGCTATATAGATACCATCCCTTGAGAGCAGCCACGGCAGCCCTGGACCGAGCCTCGAGTAGACTGGCGCCAGCGCCCTCGCCCAGCTTGTCCTGACCGGAGAAGATGCCAACGTTGAACACGGGGTGTCTGCTCTTACGGCCAGTCTCGCTGATGATCTTCGCCACGGGGGGTTCGAAGTTTTCCCGCGCACACAGGCGAGACAGGTCACGGGCTGGCTGGGAGAAGTTGAACAATTCGGAGATGTTGAGGTGTCGGGAGAGGAAGTGTTGTTCGAAGAAGCGCTTCGCCGCGGGTCGGCCGGCATGCAGGTAGATCGAGCCCATCACGGCCCGCACGAAGGTGGCGCTGGCCTGCTCGGCGGTGACCCCCTGGGTGTTCAGAGCCTCCTCGCCGGACATCTTAGCCGGATCGCCGAATTCATTGTCGTAGACCACGCGAGAGGTGACCGACTTTCTCCACGACTTCCGGTGCTCATTGGGCCTCTGTGTGCCGGTGATTGGCTCCGCGTCCAGGTCGGTGCCAGGGAGTACTCGCTTGAACTGCAGGAGACCAGGGTCCACCTCGCCGCCCGGAACAGCGGCCATTTCGACACCCCACTCTCTGGCCATGGCTGCAAGCGTTTTCGGACCAACGTATGCATACATGGCGGCAAAGATGACCGTGAGAGGAAGGCGAGGGTATGTGCAAAGGAGGTGTTCGGACGTGTAGTGGGTAAGGAGGTCATGGCCAAGGGTGGCCAACGATTCATTGTTGAAGTTGGGGCTGGGATCGGCCGACGAGTCCACGAGAGAGCGGGCTAAGGTCTCGAGAGGTAATCGCGAAGGAAGGTAGAGTCGTGCATGGAGCGCAGCAAGTTTGGCGGACTCCCGGGCGGCCTCGACCGGCGGAGAAGGGTAGATGTGTCTGGACTGTTTTTGCGGATGGGAAGGGGGCAGATGTGAGCCCACCAATTGCTCGTCGACCAATGGATCATTCTCGACGGGCAGGGCCGAGGATCCGGCCGTCGATTGGTGTCGAAGACCGTACGAAAGATGTTGCTGCAGGCGGCCTCCAGTCCGGGCCCGCGGCGTTCGGAGGGCCGAACTGCTCCATCGCAGGAGCTGCAGCCTCTTCATCTGGGCAACGGGGGGGTGAGCGGGGGGCCTGAAGGCAGGGGATCGACCAAGGAAAGAAAAAGAGGATGACTGCTCGAGACGTGGCGGGTTGGCTCGTCCGGGGGTGAATCGCGTTGGAACTTTTTGGCCGCTGGAGAAAAGTTGAGCTTCGGTCGAAGTCACGGGGTCTGGCTGTCGTGTGAGAACGGGCGCCCAGCCGCTAGGCCGCATCGGGCACTAGCGCCGCGGCGCCTGCGAGGAACGTCGACGGCCATTTCGGCTTCATCCCGCCCAGAACCACGCTTTTTGCAGCGAGCCATTGCCCACGTCTATCTCTCTCGAACGTCCGATTTAGCCCGATCAACATGGGTGGAGGCGGCAAGATCCCGTATGTCCTTCTCGACCCCTGCCTGATCGTGTCGCGCCTGGTCACTAACCCGCTGGCTTGCGCAGATACCCCAAGGAAGTCTGGTCTCCCGCCGGAGGCTGGTACGCTCAGCCTGCGAACTGGAGGGTGAACACGGCCATCATGGGGGCGGCCGTCATTGGAGTTGCTGCCGTCACTTGGAGCCTCAGCGCCGACCGCGAGCGTCGGGAAAAGATGCCAGAGCCCGGCAGATTCTTTCCTAGTCGCTAGTAAGTCTTATCTGTTCCCTTCCGCTTGGGCATGCTCGACATGATTTTTGGCTCAATATACACAATGCTGATCATCCCCGTTCTCCCTTCTCAGCTGGAGCCGACAGATTATCGAACACGAGAGAGCTTCGAAGCAGGATTCATAAAGCGGCGCACGGAATATAAACAAGATTGGAAATCGTGGAGGGATACTATGGCAAATGACGGGTTTTTTTGTTTCATATTCTTGTGGGCTGTACGACAATAGAAGGGCGTTCTTCAATCCGTTCAATTGATCTGGAAATGCTTCCGAGGAGACTCTTCGACGCTTTTATACAATCGCTGGGTGTACAGACGGACCCGTTCCGTGAATTCAGTCTCGTTCCAAAGCTCCCTCCCTTCAGTAGAAGTAGACATCCGGGGCACCCCGATTTGCTCCACCACGAAACTGGCGGCAACAGTGGCAAACACCAAAGCCTCTAGGATGTGGTCACGGTCTCCATTTGCTTTCAGGGCATCCTTCCAGTTCACAGACGATGCAAAGACAGACCCGATAACGCGAGTCGGCCCTTCTCCAGCACCCACCAATCCTTGCGCCAATGCCCCCAGGAAGGAATTCCCGGCGCCTGTGGGATCGACCACAGGGGAAGACCCGGAGGCAGCAGGCTGATGATACGCGGGTAGCCAGATTCTCTGGGCTCTAGAGTATGAATAGCTTCCGTCCTTTCCAGCCCGAATGACCAAGTGCCCGGCTCCGTCGGGTCCGATGCCAGACTCCAGGATCCTCCTCACTATATCCTGGCCAAACTGTTCATCTTCGCACCATCCGGACTGGCCAAACATCAGTCCTAACTCTAGTTCATTAGGACTTACCACGTCTACGACTCGGTTCGCAGCGAAGAACATCTCCTGTTCTTCCGGGGTGCAGAGGTCGGGCACGGGCTCCCAGACAAAGATCGGTCGTTCCAGGGGGGAGGAAGCCTGGCTACCTCGTTGCAATTCTTCTCGACGTCGGAGGATTTCTTGCACAATGGAGATACATCTGGACGCGGAGCAGACCATGTGGAATGTCTTCGAGAGAACTTGGGAGTCTGACAGCATGTGCGGTTCCAATCGTAACTTTGGGGTCAGATACTTGAAGTCTATTCCTCGTTAACATTCTAACGATACCCACTGTCGAACAAGCAAGGGACCTAGGGAGTGCTAACCTCGTTTCTCGTTATGACCGTAGCCGTTCCATGCTCTGGTGGTCAATCGCCCCGGATCTTCTCTAATCATGCAGTCGGTGTCCCATGCCTTGATAGTATTTAAGACCTCCTGGGGAAAGTCTGAGCCGACATCGACAATCCAACTCACAGACCGAGCAAGTTCTTTCCCCGCGGCGAGACGCGCGCCCACGACTGCAAAGGAGGCCGCACCGCCGAGGATGTTCTTCACGTCGGGCCTAATCCCACCAAATTCGATATCATCTGTTCCCGGTGAGGAAGGACATGAGCATGCGAGCCAATGCAACTGTTGGCTCCACGGGCGAATGGGGCCATACCAAGAATGAACATGCCCAGCGTACAGAACCCGACATGACTGTCGGGTAAGGTACCGTGGCTGGTTTCTTCTGCCATGCTTTGGGAAGTCGTCAGCAGCAGATAAGGGAAAGAAAGGACTCTTGAGTCAGGGAGCGGGGTTACCCAGGATGTCTTATCGCCATGAAGGACCACTACGGAGCGCTGCATAGTACCCAACTACAGACAGTGCGGCATACATACGGTACCTACACTGACTGCCCGGTTACGGCCTGATACACACAACGTCATGGCAAACCGCAGCGATATCGGCCTCGTGCTGTATGGTACGGTAAAAGGGCCCACACCCCGTGGAGCTTGTCCGCCTCAGGCAGAGATCAGGAGCATCATCGCCTTCTGAGAACCGACACCGTTGCAACTCCTGGATCTCTCCGGCGCTCGAACCCTCCTTCATCCCCCCCTTGGAGAAGGCTTTGACTACCTGCTTGCACCCCACTCGGGTCAATTCCTATCTTTATTTTGGATAGCAATTTGCGTCCGTCTTATCTAAGTTCAAGTCTTCAGGATACCGCCTCCTTGCCTAGGGGCCTTGCAAACATGGCGACTGGCAGCCACATGCATAATTTAACTACTCTGATCAAGCGGTATGTTCCTGCATCTGAGGATGCATTGCAGTTTGCCTCTGGGTCATCTGCTTATCCAATTTACCTCATCCTATGTGTGCCAACATGGAGCCCTCCATGTCGCGTCAGCTCACTAATTAACATTCACCAAACAGGCTGGAAGCCGCAACCTCCCGCCTGGAGGACATGGCGATGTCGTTGGATGATCCCCATTCTCCCAAGGCCGCGGAATCCGCCGCCGCACCGACACCTCTAGCTGCCGAAGCCCCCAAAGCAGCTGCTGCTCCCGCCCCTGCAGCACCTACCGTCCCGCCGCAAATCCAAGACTTCGACGCTCTGATCAACAAAGATGTCCAGAACTTCGTGGATCTCGGAAACACAATCGGGGGCCTTGTGGCAGAACAGGTGGGATAGCCGTGCATAGTTCTCCAGGGCGTAGACAAGAACACTTTGCTGACCCGCCGATAGTCGAACGCGGTCCTGCAAGCCTTCAAGGCGGAGCGAACCTACCTTTACGTTTCGACGAAGGCGAAGAAGCCGGAACCGCAGCCCCCAGAGCTCATGACGGAACTCCACAATGCGTCCGATAGCATCAACATGGTTCGCGAGTCTAACCGGCCGTCCCCTCTTTTCAACCACCTCAGCGCGGTCGCCGAGGGCATCGTCGCCCTGGGCTGGTTTTTCGAATCCAAGCCGGCGGACTTTGTGAGCGAGATTGTGGGCGGTATTGAATACTATGGCAACAAAGTTTTGAAGGACTACAAGGAGAAGTGCGTACTTGGGGTGCCGTGCAAGAATCGTGATGGAAGCTAACATGCTACCAGAGACCGCACCCACGTCCAGTACATTCAGGCATACTATCAAATCTTCAAGTCGCTTGCCGCGTACCTCAAGCAGCACTATCCCAAGGGACTGACATGGAATGATCAGAGTGGCATTGAAGCCCACGAGGCTCTCAGGCAGGTCAAGGGCGGCACTGGCTCTGCCCCTGCTCCTGGTGGTGCAGCGCCCCCTCCGCCCCCTCCCCCTCCTGTACCGACGCTCAATGTGCCTGGCGGAGTTCCCCCTCCGCCGCCGCCGCCTCCGCCTCCCGGCGCTGCTCCCGCGCCCAGTCAATCCGCGGATATGTCAGCAGTCTTTGCTCAGCTGAACCAAGGCGATGCCATCACTTCGAATCTCCGCAAGGTCGACAAGTCTGAAATGACCCACAAGAACCCTGGTCTTCGTGCCGGCTCTACGGTTCCCGAGGGCCAGGGTAGCAGTGCCTCGCGGTCCAAGTCTCCCGCCCCAAGCAAGAAGCCCAAGCCCGAGAACATGCGGTCTCGTAAGCCCCCTCGCAAGGAGCTTGAGGGCAACAAGTGGTTCATCGAGAATTTCGATACCCCCGGCGAGATTGTCGAGATCCCCGCGCAGCAAAACCACTCCATCCTCATCTCCCGATGCAACAAGACCATCGTGAAGTTGTCCAGCAAGGCGAACGCCATCTCCATCGACAACTGCACCGGCCTCTCCCTCATCGTCGACTCGCTCGTTTCCAGTCTCGATGTCATCAAATCGCCGAAGTTCGCCCTCCAGATTGACGGGGTCGTTCCCACACTGTTGCTGGATCAAGTCGACGGGGCCGTCGTCTACCTCAACCACAAAAGTCTGGGCACGGAGGTCTTCTCCAGCAAATGCTCCGCCATCAACGTCATGCTTCCTCCTCCCGAGGGCACCGACGAAGATACCAAGGAGTGCCCTGTTCCCGAGCAGATCAAGACGTATGTCAAAGACGGGGTCCTGGTCAGCGAAATTGTCGAGCACGCTGGCTAGACTGGAGGTCAAGCGTGCCTCTAGCCCTCCTCCGCCTTCTCTCTCTTTCTCTCCCCCCCTTTTGGTTTTAGAAAATCATGGATAATCTTGAATATATCTGCTCTCAATGATGATTTTTCATCGCCTCGGCGGCTTGCATTACTCGATGGCAGGCACCGTGGGGTTCCTTCCGTCGCGTTCTTCGCGTTCATTTACGACAAGTCCGGTGGTTCTGTCGCCGTATCTGTATTTTAGAATATTAAGTAGATAATTCTGCAACACCTTCCCTGACGCCGAGAAGAGACACTACCGTAGGTCCTGTAGTGGACCGGTCGATCGTACCGATTAGCTCCTGACTCCGACGTCCTGCAGAGACCGAGGTCCCACCCGGCCCGTCAGCCTGAGGCTCGCAGTCCCGCGCCTGGCCCAAGCGCGGTTTGATTGGTTTCCACGGATGACGATGGCGGCGGGTAAACAAAAAAAAAAAGCTCCGGCGACCCTCAGGGATGCAACCACCACCACCTTCCTTCCTTCCTCTTTCTTCACCTCCGCAACCCTCTCACACCACCTCCTCTCCCACACCACCGTCAAGAAAGCCGTACTCTGCATCGACTCGCAGCCGGCTCTCCTCTATTTTATTTCTTTACCGGCTTCATTATTGTAGTTGGAGAGTGGGCCGTGCGGAGTGCGGAGCGCTTATCGCTTATCAGGCATTGTTGCGACAAGCTCCTTTTCTCTCCTCCATCTCTCGCCGCGACTCGCATTATCCTCGACTACGCTTTCCTCAAGATCGCTCCTAACGGACGACGTCCTTTCCCTTCACAACACCTCCGGTACGTGCTTTCCTTGTCCTCAATGCCCTCGTCCTTCAAGAGAGCGCTCTCGCTCTCCCCCCGTCTTCTGTTTCTTTCTTCTCCTCTTCACCCATCTTGCTCTCAAGCGTCCGTAACTGTAGATTCGTGCTCTTCGTCAAGCTTACCATCATGGCTCTTCAGTTTCTTCTCGACTTGCTCGCTCGGGTCACCACCCACCTCACTCTTCTCTTCACTGCCCTCTTCACTTCTTTCTTCACTTCTCTCTTCAAACCTGCTCTTGCTCTCATCGACTCCGTTTTCGACTTCGTTGCCTCCCTGAGAGGCCTTGCTCGTGATTTCATTTCTTTTGTTTTTCGTTGTGTTAGTTTCGTTCTTGCTTCTGTTTCCCTTGCTCGTGATTGCGTTCGTGCGTTGAGATTGTTTGTTTCTGAAACTGTTACTTCCCTTGTTGCGTTGCTTAACTCCACAATATACATTGGGGAGACTCTCGTTACTTCGGTTATCGAGACAATCCGCATTGTCAAAAAAATTGTTCTTGGTTTTGTCGTTTCATTTCTCGAGTTTTTGCGTTCTGTGAAGCGTTCCATCTTGGACTGGGCTACCTTTATTGTTGGCTCGGTCAGGTCAGCTAGGCAGTTTTCGTTGGATGCTGTCGCTTTCACCCAGTTGTTTGTTTTCAGTTGCTACATCTACACACTCGATTGGCTTTATTCGGTGAAGTATTCCGTGGAGCTTTTCATTCGCACTTCCCTTGTTTTCTTTCCCCTGTGCTTTTTTTATGCCCTTGATTCACTCCAAGCGTTCTTCTCTGATTCCCTTGCTTATGTTGCATCTTTTTCTCGTGATCTCGTTTTCCCACTCAGGGCTTACGCAAGGCCGCTCAAGCTTTATGCTCTTGGTCTCGTGAATTCTCTCAGAGATTCTGTGACCCGTGCCTCAACTTCTATCACTGCTGCAAAGATCTCGGTAAGCACTCGCATCGCTCGTATCAAGGCCTCTTTCACGGGTGCAGTTGATTCTATCCACGGTCGTTTCTCAAAATCTGTTACCACTCTGAAGACTTGGGCTTCTTCAGTCAGAGATTCGGTTTCTTTGTTCAAGACCCGTGCCTTTACTTCCGTCACTGCTGCGAGAACCTCGGCTACCACTCGCATCGCCAGTGCTAAGGCCGCTTTTACGGGTGCAGTTGATTCTGCAAAGACCCGCGTCACCACTGCGAGAACTTCGACTTCCGATCGCATCACCACTGTCAAATCTGCTTGCACGGACTCAGTTGCCGTTGCCCGGTCGTTCGTCTCGGACACTACTCTACCTTTCTTCCAGTCTTTGCTCGTGATCCCGGCCTTCTTGCTTTCTGCTTTCTGCATATTCATCGCAAGAATCACCCTCGGCCTCTTCCATTCCGCCATCTTCTACTCGACAGTCGAAGGGTTCAGATCGATTCTGGCCATCCTGCGTGCAATGGAGCCCAAAACAGAGAGGCTGCTGGAACGACTGAGAGACGCCAATGCCTCCTTGGATGCCAAGGTAGACAGCCTCCTTGCAGTCAAGGCGGACATCAAGCAAAACAATGTCCCCGTGGGCGCAGTGCAGGGGCTTTTTGACGCAATCAAAATCGGCATCAGCTCGAACTACACACGATTCTGCGGAGCAGCCTTCTCAACCGCCGGCAACCTCACAAAACGACTATTCAGCCAACAACAGCAACATCTCGTGGCTACGTATGCTCGAATCCTCTATCCTGTTCTCCTCGAACGCCTCGGGGATCAAAAGGAACGAATCCGAAATCACGCCTCGCAAGCATTCGTCGACTTCTGGCCTGCAGCCCAGGATGAAGTCCAAGAAATCGTGCTTGTCACCGCCCTGAAAGGGAAGAACCCCCGGGCCAAACAAATGGCTACATCGTGGCTGTTAATTGTGCGTTCTCTTGTTCCCTGCTTCCTTTCGTCTAACTGATTGTTTGTCGCAGATGGTCAACAAATATGGAATCGCGTTCCGGCGTTACCTTTCGGACGTGTGCGGCTGTCTTGAAGATGCCGATCTCTCCGTCCGAGAGACGGCAAAATCGGTTCTTGTCGAACTTTTTATGTAAGATCCGCATGCCTAGCTTTTCGTTCCTTGTCATTTCCTTCCTGCTTGGTTTTCGTGAGAATGATGACTGACTAGCGTTCCAGAAACCAAGACAACGAATCCAAACTTTACCTCAAGCGCACCATGGAGAGAAGGGTTGATCTACCTCGGAAGGCCACTCGAGATTGGATCCTGTCGCAAATTGGCCCCATTGAGGATCCCGAAGAACCGTCTTTCTCTCAAGGAATGACCGAGCACCGCGACCTGCTGGTCGTTCGCCGCGACATACGGCGTGCTGAGGAGGAAAACGCTTTGGCCTTGCAAGAGCAGAAGGTTGCAATGCTTGAACAGCAGCTCGAAAAGAACCAGGCTCCTCTCGAAGATCTCCGCAAACGGGCCAACTTCGGCGAAAAATTGGACGTCGAAGTTCTGCAACAGGATGTACCTCGATCGAAGACCCCACTCCCATCCTTGCCGCCTTTCAAACCCGTGGCGCAGTCTAATGCCCCTAAAGTCCAGCCCTTCTTTGTCCGCTCGGCCGATCAACTGGAGGATATCTTCCGGGAAATGGCCCCTTATTTCGAAGGCCGCGAAAGTGAAGAGAACTGGTCTCAGAGAGAGAAGTCGGTTATCACTCTCCGACGAATGATCGGCGGTAATGCACCTCAGGACTATCCGCAGATAGTCCACGCCAGCTTCAAGATCCATCTCGATGGAATTTTCAAGACAGTCCTTTCACTTCGCACCACCGTGTCCTCGAATGGTCTTTACCTTGTCACCGATATGGCTCGCTTGCTTGGTCCGGGTATCGACAACATGGTAGAGATCATCATCCAGAACTTACTGAAGGTCTGCGTTGTGTCTAAGAAGATCGCATCGCAGAATGCGAACAACGCCGTTGATGCGGTCATGGCGAACGTTTCTTACAAAGAGCGCCTCTTGCAGCACATCCACAGTTCCACCTCCGATAGAAACGTTAACCTCCGTCTTTTCGCCGCCGGTTGGTTGCGGACCATCATCAACCGACACCCATCGATCAAGGCTGCCATTGAACATGGCAACGGACTGAACTTGATCACAGCGTCAATCAAGATCGGTCTCAAGGATGCTAATCCAAGAGTCAAAGACGAGATGCGTCACACTTATTGGACTTTCTACGTGGTCTGGCCCGCCAAAGCAGAAAGGTGAGTTTCCTTCCGCCCCTCCTTTGGCAATGGCATGCTAACATTCGAACAGTATTGCATCCGATCTAGATCCGAAATCGAAGAGCCTCCTGGACAAAAGCGCACACAACCCAAAGACTCGAGTTGCCGGCACATCCACAACCGAAAACAATCCTGTGGCCGCAGCTCCCGAGGCCGGCCGTCCCACCCTCCGATCGGTTATCGCTGCCCAGAAACGGGTCCATCTCAAAGGCAAGGCACCCGAAGTCCTCCAAGACAAGGCACCCGAAGTCCCCCAAGACAGGGCACCCGAAGTCCTCAAAGACAAGGCACCCGAAGTCCTCAAAGACAAGGCACCCGAAGTCCTCAAAGACAAGGCACCCGAAGTCCTCAAAGACAGGGCACCCGAAGAGTCGCCTGCCCTTGCAGGGCCTTCGACCCTTCACTTGGCGCCTGTGCGGCCAAGGCGTTTCAAGTTGAGGGGGCAGCAAGAAAAGATGAACGAGACAGGATATGCACAATCTGTGATGACGGACAACGATGATAGGTCATGCGATAACGATGGAGGAATTTCTGAAACACAACGGGGCAAGATGCCCATGCGCGATGTCAGCGGAATTACTCACGCCAGCGAAACCAGTCGAGCCAGCGAAGCCACTCAAGGATCCGCATCTACCTGTCTTGAGAACATGGTGGTTTTTGATCCATGCCGGATTGCCAGACTTTCGGAGGAACCAGATCTCGCTAGGACCCCGTTCCAATCGGGCAAGCCCTACACTAGATGCGTGCAGACCGGCAAACCAGAACGTGTGGCGAGCAGCGAGATAGGCCATAGACAAGCAAGTCAGATGGCACGCGTGTGTAGCAGCTGGAGCTCAGTCGATGGCTCAAGAGTGACCAGCAACGAAATTGATTCACTTCCATCAAGTGAGGCGGCACACGTGCCCAGTAACGACATGAGTTCAATGCGATCGGGATCTGGCGGATCGATAAGCATTGCACAAACCGACCCAGGTACTCCACCATTCAACTTGGATGACTACTTTGATGATTCCTTACTATCGGAGAACTTTGTGTGGAAGGATGACAATGGGAATTGGCTTTATGATGCGTCGCCATCACCCGATCAGATCGAACAACTTCAGCAAGCGGTGCCCAATGTGCGACGATCCTCCCTCAGAGTCCCGAGTTCCAATGGCGAGTGGCCTCAGGCAATGCCCCGTGTGCGGCGAGTATCATTCCGAGTCCCAAGTCCCGACGAGGATCCAAGGTGGCAGCGGGCGCTCTTAGAGCGCACGGATGAGGACTCCAACCGCAGAGTAAGTACCCCTTCTTCTCAAGATTCCAACCGATCGCAGCACTTGCTCGATAGGGGGATCCAGCTGATCCGTAGCAATAGAATGGATCCGCACGGGTTCAGGAAGCTGCGGAGCGTAATGGGGTCCGCCACGGCAACACTGTCCGAAGGTCAGCACAATGAATTGGCAGACGCTCTATTGGGCGCGTTGGTGCGGGGGCACGGCACTGGGGGGGCAGACACTTCGCTCCTCCCACTTCTTGACGTGCTCGAGCATACATTATTCTTATGCAATGGGGCATTCTTACACCACACATCTACGGGGGGGGCGCGTCTATATTATCAAACGATTTCGTCTTTCCTGGAGACCAGAGGACGCTGCGATGCTTCGGGTTATTTTGCTGTCCGCCTCGACGAAATCGCATCGCGGATTGTTTCGACCGAGCTGGACCAGGGGACGTTCGACTCCATTCAGGCTATTCTTGACGCCATTTCAGACAAAAAAGAAGAAAAAAATGTGATTACAATGGGTCTCATGTTATTGGCAGGGGCTCTTCATCGGCGAAATGCCTCGGGCTTAGGCCTCCCGGAGAGCATCGTGCAGGGGATCGGATCACTCGTTGCTGGAAGACTTGAAGACGGACATGCGGAGGTGCGTCGACTAGCCATCCAGTCGTGTGTTCACCTCAAGGCACTGATTGGGGATGAAGAAAAATTTTGGTCGTTCTTTGGAACCCCTTCAACGGGGACTCGTAACCTCCTGGCCTACTATCTGGCCAGAGGTTGAGACTTTTTTGTTTTCTTTTTGGTTCTGTGTTGCATTTTGTGTCTTTGTTTTTTTTTGGGGGGGGGAGGCATTGCATTGTGTTTTTTGGTGTTGATACCACTTTGGTTTTCTTGTTTTTGGGCTCACAAAAAAGCTGTGTATACTTTACGTTTTGTATGGATAAGCCACGAAAAAGAAACAATCAGAATGCGCGGTCCCTGTTTCTTATCTTTTGAATTCCTTTCTCTCGTACTCCATTGCCAAAGCCTCGGCCTCGAGGCGATTCATCTCGTTTCTGTTGTTCGGACGCATTGTGAAGGTCCGATACCCCTGCATTCTCCATCCTTGATCGGAAGAGAAGATCGAGACGGCGGCCATTTATCCAACAGGGACGTTCCTTGTCTGTGGGGATCAGAGGCTGCGAGATAAAATGACTGGCGAGCGGGTGTTTAGCCAAGGTGGTAGTAGTAGTAGTAGTAGTAGTAGTAGTAGTAGTAGTAGTAGATTCCGGTTGTTTCATGGCTCGTTCCGCATCGCATGTCATGTAACCTTGCCTATATAGTCAAGGTCATCTTCGCAGTAGATAGTTGCTCAGAGATCTCGATTCATTCACTTGATTCATTTCGACCATTTATTTGGTCATCCATTCATTCATTCATTCCACTGCCATCACGATTATATAGACCCCCAACGAAGGGTGGCCCTGCGTGCTGTAGCCATCGTGAGGCTTGAGGGCCCTCTAATGGCCAAAAATCCAGGGCAATTGGCTAGTAGAAGTGACAGAAGAGAAAAAGAGAAAGAAACGGACAAAGGAGAAGAAGAAGAAGAAGAAAAGGCAGAGGTAGGTGACTTAGCCCTCACTGTGGGCAGATTGAAGTGTAGAAGCCCGTGGCATCCAGGAGATGTTCCAGGTCTGTCCGCGACACCTTACGAGCCTCTCGGCAGAACACATATAGCCTATATGCGATATTAGCTAGGAGGTTTAGAAAGAAATAATTAGACTATATAAGGCCCTGGGGGCTAATTTTCGGATAATAACACCTAGGACACTAGACAAGATAATGGCTCTTGTAACAATTAATCTAGTAGACTGAAAAAGCGAGAGCCTTTGGTAGCGTACACATTACGACGTTTATTTCTTTTTGTTTTCCTATCTAGTAGCTATCCATAAAGGAATTCCACCAGAAACAGGAGGAGAAGCATTACTCATAACGGGCGCCGCAACAGGGAGTCGACCCCCTCGAGTAGCGTACACTTTACCATAGCGCTATCTAATATATATAAAAAGCATACGTAACCCATTTTTTCGGGGCAATTAGCCACCTCTAAGAGCCAGAGGCTATCTTGACTATATACCTACACCCTGTCCTCAAGAAGATTCTGGTCCACTGCACTCTGGGCAAGTCTGTTGCTTCTAGGATGGAAGGAACTGACGCTTAATTTTAGCCAACCATTTAAAGTATGCAGAGAGCCGCAGAGGATGCAGCTGCATGTAAGGCCAGCAAGGCATCCTATCATCTGCCCCAAAACACGTGTCCTTGACTTCAAGTAATTGCCTGTGTTTATATGATGCAACCGCTTGCTAGAAGAACCCGGACCTGTTGTAATGTTTAACTCATTATTTATAGAGGTTGGTCAGTTCTAGTCGTTCTCCGTACCCCCTGGGACCACAATATCAAGACCACAACAGCTGACATCGGAAGCATCGGGGAGGCGAATTGATTCTAGGCAGGACCGATCATCGGCGATATCCAATGACGTTTGTCTGGCGAATCTGATTAGATGCCGATCAGATTAGATCCAGGCTCTTTTTCCCCCTTTTTTTTCTCTTTTCTTTGGGTGCTGCCCCTTTACGGAGTATCCGAGGTGTCCACCATCAACCTCATCCTACCACGGGCAAAAAGTTGAAGGGCCACTGTCGGGAGGATTCGAGATTAATCGGTTCGTTTGCTTTCTCGCTTGTCTTCTTCGACTCTCCGGTCGAGAGGCGTTCTGTTATGTAAGCGTCTCCACCATAAGGTGATGGAGGGACTACGCTGTCCGGCTGTACGGCGTCGATATGAACCATGGGGAGAGGATTCGTAGACCCTTTCCCCGATCGCCCCCTTAATTGTTCTCGAAAAACTGAAAAGAGAGGAGAGGACGGGAAGTCCAGGAAAATGAAGCCAAGTCCCCCAAGACACTAGTCGTCCGTAGCAGGCCGGACCGGGACTGACTAATACGGAGTAATAGTTACAAATCAGGGGTCGTTCAGCACCGCGATTTATCAATCAATCAGATTAGATAAAAGGAACAGAAATCGTTTGACTTCACTCGGTCGGGCTTTATCGATCCTAGTCCATTGATGGAGACATCTCCCCCCAAAAAAATCAATTCGAGTCCAAGACCAAGCCCAGATGGACCCGGATCCGAGGCGAGATCGAGCAGCAGAGAAAACCCGGGAGGGGAGTCTCCATAATTTCATCATCCGTCGCGGTTGGTTTTGCCATCGACGAAATTTTCTCCCTCCATTTTTTCCCCTTCATTTTGGGCAGCGACTAACTAGCGAGTAACGACTAGCGACCACCAGGATCGGAGTAACTACGGAGTAAAACGATGTGTCATCTTGGACGATCCATGTAGCAAGCAGCAATCTACGGAGTCGCACAAGGTAGGGAGGAAGAAGACGGACGAAAGTGGTCGAAAAGGAAACGCGACGATGATTGGCGGCGCGAGTTATCAGATGAGAAGCTCCCGGACGGCCACGTCCCAGTCGGCTGTGGCGTAGCCCTTGGCGTGTAGGTAGACTGTGAAGGTAATTATGCAAAAAAAAAGCGAAAGAAAAAAAAAAAGACTCAGCCAAGGAACTGGCGTAAAAAATTATCAATCAATCCGATCAGTCGAATCCCTCGGTTACGCCCATTTCAGGTACCGCAACGAACCGCCGCTCCACTGGCGCTCGCCAATCATTCCCTCGCATTGTCGCTGCGTCTCTGCAGAAATTGTTTTCTCCATCCAAAACCCACCCGGACACAGAGCCATTATTATCAGATGGCCACCGCAACCCACTCGCGCCCTCCCCTCGGCCGCCCGTCTCTCCTCCCTCCCCTGCCAAGTGGAGTTCTGCTCTCTTTCTTCCTTGGGCCCTCGTCGTTCTGGGACCCTCTTTTCCCTCTCCTAGACTCTTTCGCACTCGGCCTGCAGCCCATGGCTTCGACTAACTTTCAGCGCCGGTTCTTAGCTAGGGCCGCAACCGGAGCCGTTGACATGGTAAAAGGATATTCCCCTCCTCTCTAGACGGGTGTCATTAGTAGCCTACACTTGTGCGAGCTACCTGGCTCTCTTTTTATTTTTCCTTTTTTTCTCCCCCCCGTCTTCTTCTTCTTCTTCTTCTTCTTCCTTTCCCTTCCCCCTCTCTTCTTCCTTCCCGTTTCCTTCCCTCTCCCCCTTTATCGTCATTGCTTTTGGTTAGTGAGGGATGCTCCTTGGAGACATGAGCTGAGTGATCCGTTTCACTCTCGACCCATTGTGAATTGTCGTCATCCTGGTTGAAGCGACTGGTGGAATGCAGAAAAGTTTCTTCGCGGTCCTACCAGAATAGTGCTACGAACCAGACCATTTCTTCTTTTTTTCCTTTCTTCTTTCCAGAACTCATCTCCCTGGCATTGCCCGCATTGATCGATCCGAACGATACTGAAGCGATTCATATATACGTCTGCATCCGCGGACCATGTCACAGAAGACACCTCCGCCCGAGAATGGGCAGGAAACGCCCAATGCGTCTGGCGAGGGCCAGCAATCTAAGTTTGTACGTTATTCCACCGCCCGGGTTCCTTGGCTGCACGGCATCTGTCGGAGGCAGAGGGAGTCGATGTACTGACGACGTGTCTGCTCCCAGATGCAACAATTGAAGGGATACATCCCCACCAAAGCGGATTGGGGCAAGTGTTTCTCGTATGTCCGACTGCTGTTTTCCCTGGACTACACCATGACCGATGTTTTCCTCATCATTGCCGGTGTGATCTTCGCCATTGCGGGAGGCGTTCCTTTCCCCTTGCTCGGTATCGTCTTCGGTGATCTCATCAACGACATGAACTCCACCACCTGCGCCAGCTCCGACAATGCGTCGGGAGAACTGTCGGACAGCGTGCGCACGAAGGTGCTGTACGTCATCTACATTACCATCGCCAACTTCTGCTTTATCTACATCCACACGTCCTGCTGGTGCACGGTGAGTGAACGGCTGGCGCGTCGCTACCGGCGCCGATACTTCGAGAGTGTCATCAAGCAGGAGGCGAACTTCATCGAATCGCTTCCGTCCGGTGATATTATCTCTCGTCTGGTCGGTGACATCGAAGTCGTGCAGTCGGGAACGTCGGAAAAGGTCGGCCTGGTCATCACAACCATCTCGTATTTCGTGGCGTCCTACGTTGTTGCCTTTATCAAGGTGCCTAAGATTGCGGGAATGCTGATCTCCGTCGTCCCTTGCTTCATGCTGATGTCGCTGATCGGAGGCCACTATATCAAAAAATACGCCGGACGCATTGCAGAGAATGCGAATGCGGCCACGTCCATCGCCACTTCCAGTTTGTCCCACCTGACTCTGGTCCACGCCTTCAATGCCAATGATCGTCTGGAGTCTCGATTTGCCAGCTATCTCTCGCAGTCGCATAAGGATGCGCTCAAGAAGGCCTGTACCCATGCTGCGCAGCTCGGTTTCCTTTACTTCGTCGCCTATTCCGCCAACGCCCTGGCCTTCTGGGAGGGTGCGCAGATGATCTCTCACTCCGTCGACAATGACAACAATGGTGTTTCGGTCGGTGCTGTGTACACTGTCATTTTCGTCCTTATCGACGCCTCCTTTATCCTGAGTCAGGTGGCACCTTTCATCCACGTTTTCGCCTCGGCCGCTGGCGCCTCGGAGAGGCTTCTGACCGTCATCAACCGGCCCTCGGCCATCGACGGAACGTCGGACGACGGCGACAAATCGGCCACCTTTGGCGAAGATGATATCGAGTTCCACGACGTTCACTTCACGTATCCCTCCCGCCCGGATGTTCCCGTGCTGCAGGGAACCAGCTTCGTCATCCCGCCCAAGAAGCACACGGCCATCGTTGGACCTTCTGGTGGCGGCAAGTCGACCGTGGTCTCCCTTCTGGAACGATTCTACGACCCCAAATCTGGCAAGCTGACGATCGGTGGCAAGGACTTCCGCGATCTCAACGTTCGCTATTTACGAGGTAACATCGGTTTTGTGCAGCAAGAGCCGTCGCTGCTGGATCGCTCCATCCTGGAAAACATCGCCTACGGCATGGTCTCTTCGGCCGCCGAGAAACACCAACGCTTGGCCCCGTTTATTCTGGACTCCAGCCTGCCCGAACTCGCGGAGAAGATCAGGAATGGCACGTCGGAGAAGGACGCTCTTTCCCACTGCGATGCTTCCGTCACCGAGATTGTCGACCTGGTGAAAGAGGCGACCGCCGCGTCCAATGCGTTGAACTTCATTGAGGCCTTGCCTCACGGGCTTGCGACCAGCGTGGGAACGGCAGGAAACCAACTCAGTGGTGGCCAGAAGCAGCGTATCGCGCTCGCCCGAGCGCTCGTGCGTGAGCCAACTCTGCTCATCTTGGACGAAGCGACGGCTGCCTTGGACTCGACTAGTGAGCAACTGATCCAGGCAGCACTGGCCAAGGTCTCCGAGCGCGTGACCACGGTGTCCATCGCTCATCGTCTCGCCACGGCCAAGGACGCTCACAAGATCGTCGTCGTCCAGAGCGGCCGGGTGACGGAGGAAGGCCCCCACGCCGACTTGGTCGCGCAAGGTGGTGTCTATGCCGAGATGGTGCGCCTGCAGAATCTGGGCAAGTTGAGCGCCGAAGACCTCCAAGGCTCGGATGATGCGATCCGCGTCTCTTCGGACAATCAATCTGCATCGGGACTTTCCAAGCGCACGGATGATAAGGAGCCATATGTCGGCGTCAGCGCATCGGACGTCACGGAAGACACCGTGGTTGGAGAAACGCCGCCCGGGTCCAAGGACGGCAAAGACGACGACAAGAAAAAGAAGAAGAAAAACAAGCGCTCGACATGGTTCAGTACCAAGTATATCTTCTCTCTCGTCCGGGCAAACCTGCCCCTGATCTTCCTGGGTCTCGGCATGTCTTGCATTATCGGTGGCAGTTATTCGGCCGAGGCAGTCGTGTTTGGTCATACCGTGGGCAGCTTGAGTCCCTGCAGAGCTGCAGAAGACATCAGCGACAGTGGAAACTTTTACGGGCTGCTGTTCTTCATTCTGGCCCTGGTCGAGTTGACCGCCAACGTGGTGGGCGGTGCTGCCTTCGGCTGGGCCGCCGACAAGATCCTCTACCGCATCCGAGTCTTGTCTTTGCGCTCGCTGCTCAGCCAGACGGTGCAGTGGCATGGCATGGAGGATCGCACGCCGGGAACCCTCATCACCTACATCACCGGTGATGCCTCGGCTCTAGGTGGAATCACCGGTTCCACCATCGGTCTCCTTCTCGCCACGGCCGTGAACCTGGTAGCCGGTCTGGTAATCTCGTTTGCGATCGCCTGGAAGATCACCATCGTCCTGTTCCCGACTATCCCCGTGCTCCTGGTGGCGGGTATGATGAAGCTCCGTGTCCAGGCCAAGTTCGCCGAGCGTCATCAGAAGGCCTTCGCGAAGGCCACCGCGATCACGGTGGAGGCAGTCGACAACATCCGGGCAGTCTCGGCCTTCTCCCTGGAGAAGCAGTCCTACGAGGTCTTCGGCCGGGCGCTGAAGCATCCCTACCGCGAGACGATGAAGGCCATCGCTCACGGAAATGTGTGGCTGGCGCTGGCATTCAGTATCAGCAACCTGGTCTACGCGCTCGCCTACTGGTGGGGATCCCGCCAGATCGCGGAGGGGCGCTACTCGCAGACGCAGTTCTTCATTGTGCTGCCCGCGCTGCTGTTCAGTACGCAGTCTTGCGGGCAGATGTTCGCTCTCGCCCCCGACATCTCCAAGGCCAAGGTGGCCTCGTCCAACATCGTTGAGCTGCTGAACACCCGCTCCGCCGAGGAGGAGATGGCGCCCAATTCGTCGCGCAGCCAGCAGCCCTCCAGCAGTCTGCTCGAGGAGAAGGCTGCGGCCCAGGACCTGGAGGCCTCGGACGGGGCTCGGACGACGCGTTCGCGGACGTCGGACAGCGCCATCGGCGCCCAGCTCCGCGGCGTGCATTTCACCTATCCCAATCGACCGGAACGGCCGATCCTGCGGGGTCTTGACATCAACATCCGACCGGGACAGTTCTGCGCGCTGGTCGGACCCAGTGGATCGGGTAAATCCACTACGTTCGCCATGCTGGAGCGGTTCTACCGGCCCTCGCTCGGATCGGTGGTCATCGACGGCGTGGACGTGACGCGGCAACTGGGGACGGAATTCCGCGACGATATCGCGCTGGTGCCGCAGGAGAACGTGCTCTTCGAGGGCACCGTGGCCTTCAACATCGGCCTGGGCGCGTGCCCCGGACACGAGCCCACGCAGGCGGAAATCGAGGAGGCGTGCCGCATGGCCAACATCCACGACGTGATCACGAGTCTGCCCCAGGGATACGAGACGATGTGCAGTCACGACGGCAAGCAGTTCTCCGGCGGACAGCGACAGCGCCTGTCGATTGCGCGGGCGCTGGTGCGCCGACCGCGCATGCTGCTGCTGGACGAGTCCACCAGCGCGCTGGACGTCGAGTCCGAGAAACGGATCCAGGAGGCTCTGGCGACGTTGGCCGGCCGCACGACCATCGTGGCGATTGCGCATCGGTTGAACACCATCCACCGCGCCGATCAGATCTTCTTGATCGAAGAGGGCCGGTGCGTGGAGCAGGGAACGCATCAGGAGTTGATCCAGCGCAGCGAGACGTACCGAACCAGCGTGATCCACCAGTCTCTCGAGACCTGATCTCTCAGTCTATCTGAATGGACAGCATCGATTCTCTCGAGATCGGGAGATCTTACGACACCAACACATACATTTATACACCCACCCACCCCCCTATATATATATATACCCATGGACTTTTAATATTTGAGGAGAGGGCGACCTGCGACAGGCATGACGGAGCAGGGGGAAAAAGACAGAGCGAGCAGGATAGATAGATTTGGAGCCCAAAAGCCTCGTGTTGATTGAATCTAGAGAGTTGGGAAAGTGATTGGAAACGGGCGTTGCGGGAATGCAGTGATTTTGAATAATTGCCAATGCTAGTCGAATCATCATTCATCCATGATCAATAAAGATTAAAGACACGAAAAACTGCGTAGTGAATGGAGGATCGACGAGCGGAGCTAATAATAAATGCCAGACGCACTAGACGGCGTGAGGTGGCCGAGGGGCTCTCGTTCCCGCCGGCGCGAGTTTATCTGAAACCGTCGCTCACCGTGTTTCATTTTCCCTTCTGCCTCTCCCTCGTCCTCTTCCATCTCTTCCCATCTCATCCCATCTCATCCCATCGCGTCTCGTCTCGTCTCGTCTCGTCTCTTTCTCTCCCTCGTCGGTCTTTTCCCCCCTGTTCCTGCTCGCCCCCCCTCCGTCATCCCCCCGTCGTCTCATCGCTGATTGCCTCGTGTTATTCTCCTCTCTGTGTTCTGGCCTTTCTCTTCATTCCCCTGAATTGGTTCCTTTTTTTTTTTCTTTTTTCTTTTTTTTTTCTTTTTCTTTTTCTGTTTCTTTTTCTTTTTTTGGATCCTGCATCTGTTTCGACTTGCTCGTCCAGCCTCTCCTCCCCTCCATTCGGCACGGTTCCTTCTGCTATATTGCCTCGTCCAGATCGACGTCTAGACGGCGTCCTGCATGGTATAGTGGCCCCCCCCTCTCTGGTGCTTACGGGGTTGTTGGTTCTGCGGTGTAGAAGTCACTTTTAGTCCCCGGTCTGTCTCGGTCTCTGTCACCCCTGCTGGCTTTGCGGTGCTGGGATTCCGGGGTTGTTTGTGATTGGATTTTTTTTTATTCTATTCTATTCTTTTTTTTCATCCATGTGTCTTTTCTTTTCTTTTTCTTTTTTTCCCCCTTGTCACCCGTCCCCCTCTCCTGCTCGGTCTTGTCCAGAATAATGGTCCTTGTCGATCGTAACACTAATGTGGATCTTCGCTTTGGTGCTCGCAACAGGCTCGATAAGTCGTCGTCGATTCGTTACCTGGCTTTCTCCTGTGGAAATTGCCCTCCTTCCTCCCGCGCGCGGTCCTGTTTCATTTCCCATCGCCGACCTGATCTCGACCTGGACTCGGTCCTTCCCCTGGTCTTCGTCTAATCAATAATCAATAATCAATCAATCGACATACACCTTTCCCGTCGGATGCGCGTTCTGATCTGAACCACCACCCCTCCCTCTCTCTCCCACCCCCTCCCACCTCGACTCGTCTTGGCTATAGCCTCCGCGGGCGCGCCCCGGGCGTCGTCACTTTCACTTCGCCGCCCTTCCGCATCTAGACGACCTCTCGGTCGCCATCTCCCTTCTTCCTCGTCGAAATGGAGTCTCCCGCCGCCTACCCCGAATCTCCGATGGAGCAGGATGACGTGCCGGTCCCTTGCAAGGGCTGTGGCGAGGTATGCCAGACCGATTGATTGCTTGGGGACGGGATGGATTCGGGGTATAGAACAGTATAGCTGACCAGTCGCTTCCTCCGATTCTTTCTAGATCCTGGAAGAGGGAAAAGCATTTGAACTTGGTAAGCGACCCGTGAGACTTTGTGCGTTGGAATTACACCGGTGGCTGACAACCCCTTGCTCTTCTTCTGTAGCCGGGAACCGATGGCATATCGAATGTTTTTGCTGCAGCACTTGCGGCACCCTGCTTGATTCGGACGCCCACCTTCTGCTTCTTGGAGATGGCTCGTTAATCTGCAGCAATTGTACCTACAGCTGCAGCTCCTGCAACAACAAGATCGAGGACTTGGCCATTCTGACCGGAGAACAAGCCTTTTGTTCCCAATGTTTTCGATGCCGCAACTGTAAAAAGAAGATTGAAAACCTGCGCTATGCGCGGACCTCCCAGGGTATCTTCTGCATGGACTGTCATGAGTCCCTAATGCAGCGCCGCCGAAAGCGCAACCGTGCCGTTCCCCCCTCCGCCAAAAAACAAGCCCCCAACGTGAAGCTGGACAAGTCCCTACCCTCGTTGCCTCCCGAGGAGGCCGAATCCCTGTCACGGTCCACCGAAGATCCTGCTGCCGATGCCTACGCAGGTGCAACTACCGAAGTGGCTTCTCGAGGGGCGGGGCCTGCGCTGGACGCTGGAAGAACTCTGCCTTCTTCTTCCCCGCATAACCATCAGGGTGAGGATTTAAACAGAACCCCCCCCCCCCCAAAATTCCATTACTCTGCTATGATCCCTCAATAGTGTGGCTGACTAGGTCGCTGTTTGTCAATAGAAAACTTAATCCTTCCCTCGAGCACGTACCGCAGCAACCGTCACTCCGTGGTTCCGCGAGAAGCTGAAGCAGACGGTGGAGGAGAGTTTCTCATACCGGTCGCCTTTGACCCTGCGGAAGAGCAACGATCCCAAGGGCAGTCATCCCAAGAGTCTGGCACCGACGCCAACAAGCATCTACACAAATCTCCCCGGGAAGGATACGAGCCCGCCAGCTCAGAGAGCTCGTCCCCTCACATCGCCTACCAGGAGAAGGGTCGTGAGCGTCCGGAGATCGACCATGCTCACTGGCACCAGGGCGAGGCCGCCATGGGTGCGAATGGCTCTACGCGGAGCTCCCGATCTGACCTGCCCTCGGGCGCCCACGAGACGAGCACCTTCTCCACTCCGAGCCCGGAAAGCACCAAATCGTCGACCACTCTCCAGAGGGATGGTTCGACTGCGGACTCGCAACGATCCACGGCCGTGGAAAGCGCCACTACGCTCCCAAGCCGGCCGTCGCATGAACTTCGCCGACTACACGAGAACGGAGGATCGTTGGACTCGGCACGATCATTCCTTTCCTCCACCAGCATCCAGAACCTTCCCAAGCGGGGAGACTCGCTGCATCAGTTCCCTCGAAAGGATTCCGGCGCTTCGCCACGTCCGCAGGCGACCAGCCCGGTCGAGCAGTGGCATGAACGCAGCAGGAGCACGCCCAAGGTTGCCGAATCCCCGCGCACTCCTCACGGCGAGGTCAACCAGGAACAATTCAAACCCCCGCGCCCGAACTCGATCAGCACCGTTCAACAACTGGATCGGGCGGGATCTCCGTCCTTGCTGCGCTCCGGAGGCGGCGATCTCGCTACGGACGATGATATGGCTCGGATCATGGGCTCGGACGATCCCCACGCGGCTCAGACCAACGAGTCCTTCCTGCGTCGCATGTCAAACTCGGTACGCCATGGCCGGAGCTTCAGCGACAAGGGTTCTCGTATGGCTCGGGATTCAAAGTCACCCAAGTCGCCGGTTAACGGAACCACGTTCCAGGAAGCTCAGAGCCCCTCCGCGGGCTCTCCAGAGAGCGGAGGCTCCGAAGAAGTTGCGTGGTTGCGCAGTGAGTTGCGCAAGGAGCGCCAGCGTGTCTTGGAACGCGAGCAGAAGATCGCCGAGATGGAAGCAATGTTGAACGCGACCGCCGATGTCAAGCAGGTCAACACGGAACTCAGTGAAAAGCGATCGACGATGGTGGTCCTGGATGCTCAGAAGGAAATCGTGATGCGGGAACTCTCGGTGCTGACGGACCACCTGGAGGCCGAGAGGCGCGGCGCCAGCGGCCCCTTGGATCTTGGGAAATTGACCAACCATGTGCTCCGGGAATTCGTCGAGTCTATCCAGAAACTGAAGGATTCTTTCACACCGCAGATCGAAGAGCTGGTTCAGAAACGGAACGACACCGCGGAGGAACTGGCCAATCTGAACCGCATGAAGGACAAGAGCTTCCAGGAGTTTGAGCAACTCTCGTCGAAGAACGCGCAGCTGGCCGAGCTGAACAACCAGCTGGTGCATCAGATTCAAGAATTGTACAAGGCGAACAACTCCTCGGACGGCAACCGCGGCGCGAACGGGCTCGGCATCTATTCCCACGGAAAGGAGAAGTCCTTATCGTCCATCGATGCGCTGAAGGCAGCCAACAGCGAATTGGCCCCGTCGGTATCGGCTGCCAATGTATCCGAAGAGGCCGAACCCGCTACCATCGTTCCCGGTCCTCAAGTCGTCAGCATCCGCAAGGGACAACCCCGTAAGTTCAACTGGAAGAAGGGAGGTCAGAACGTGGCCAAGGGAGTCACCAAGGGCATCAAGGGTGCCTTTATGTCGAGTGAAAATGCGGCCCCAACCGAACCCAGTCCCGGTTTGCCTCGCTCTCAGACCCAGGACCCCAGTCGCCAAGGATTCGGGTTCTTTGGAAATCAGCGCAACAAGCAGACGGGTACTAGAATCCCCCAAACGGATAGCGTTCCGGTTCTGGCAGAAAGTACTCCGAACGGTAAGTTCTGGCGCCTCTTGTCTTTTCTCTTGCAGCCTTGGATTCTGATCGTCTTTAGGACTTTTTGGTACCGACTTGGAACAGCGCATGGAGCATGAAAAGAGCATCATCCCCGCCATTATCACCCGGTGTATCCAGGAGGTTGAGTTGCGAGGTGAGTTCCTCCTCGAGTCATTCCCAACCAAGTAATCGTCTAACTCATCATCACTTTGAACAGGCATGGATATGGAAGGTATTTACCGTAAATCGGGGGCTAGTTCGGCGATCCAAACCATCCGTGACGGGTTTGAAAGGTCTCCTCAAGATTACGATATTTCAGATCCTGATCTCGACATTCATGCCGTCACGTCGGCGCTGAAGCAGTACTTCCGGAAACTGCCTACGCCTCTCATTACCTACGAAGTCTACGAAAAGGTGATCGACTCGGGTGACATCACCTCGCAGTCCGCACGGATCGAGAATCTGCAGAAGAGCCTTGGCGAGCTGCCTCGAGTTCATCAGGACGTGCTGGAGTTCCTGGTGTTCCACTTGAAGCGAGTGGTTGAGCGTGAGAAGGAGAATTTGATGACCAGCCAGAACATCGCCGTCGTGTTTGCTCCGACGATCATGAGGCCACAGAGTTTGGCCCGGGAGATGACGGACGTTCAGAAGAAGAACGAGGTCTTGAAATTCTTGGTAGATAACTGTCAAGAGATTTTCATGGGTATGCAGGGCTGAATCTCTTTTTGAGTCATATGAAAAAGCCTGGTTTTTACCTGGTCTGGAATCAGGGATTTCGAGGCGTTTCTTTTCTTCCCCCTTTTTTCTCCTCATCTTTCTATCTGCTTGTTTTCCTTCTCCATTCGCATTGAAATTTTGGAGAAAAGGGGGATATCTCGCTATTCAGATTTGTTCGGCGTTAGAAATACCCCCTCTAAACATGGCCTCTTCGACAGCTTGTACATACATATATCCTGTTGGGAATGGTTTCCCATGCATCCACTCATCATCATCATCATCGATATCACCGTCTTCCCAATCCCTGGGTCCCATTTTTCTCTCTATCTCTCTTCTCTCCATCCCCCTCCCTCTGATGATCTGCTCCTCACGCTCGATACCCTTTTTCTTCGTGTCCTTTGCAATACCATACGCTCTTGTAATCTCGTCATTCTTATATCCTTTGGTCTCGATTCCGCAGGCTCGAAGCTAGTTGTCCTTTGCTTTTCTGTTCTCTGCTCTCCGTGGTGCGGATGTTTGAACATATTCTCGTTGCGTTTCTTTCCTTTTCTTTTTCCTTGTTTCCCGCATTTTATAGTTTCTGTGGTTTCTCGTCAGTGCGGTTTCGTTTTCTGTGTGTTCTATCTATCTAATCCACGAGCTTGAAGGGGTTTACCAGGGGGAACTACAGTACCATTCATTAGCTTGGTTTATGGGGAAGGGAGGAATGGGGACTGGGCGCAGATGCAAGCGAATACTATAATAATTCTCTGAAACTCCTGGTCCGCAGTAGTTACCGATAGACGTGGTATTGTGGGCAGTACAGCTAAGACGAGAGTAGGTGAAGATTGAAGGCTGAAAAGGAAAAGGATATATTGTGGAATAGATAAGGTCCATAATAACTACATAGCATTACACATGTACAAACCACCTAGAAGGTTTCGTCCTCTAATCGCTCCACTCGTCGGATGACGCTGGGACTCTGTTCTTCGGGCACGTCGTCGGTGGTGTCGTTTGCACCGGCAGTGAAGAGGAGGTCCTCGACGATGCGCTTGGATGCTTCTTTGGCTGGAACGGATATTCGGGTTAGCAGGGCGTTCAAGACGGTACCATGAGGTAGTGACTTGTAAAGAAAGGAGGGAAAGGACTAACCAGGCGTTCTCATCAGTCGACTCTGCGGGATATGGAACTGCATCGTCTTGGGAGGACTAGGTCCAAGATCCATATCGTCATCGTCACCAAAATCGTCATCGCTGTCAAAGCCAGATTGATATCTTCCTCCACCTTTGGCAGGCGTCAAAACGCTCAATCCGGGTTGCGGAGTAATACGCATGTGATTACTGCTTGGGCGCCTCTTCCGGCCCGTACCGGGTGTCCTGGCCTTGAGCGGCGAGGAGAAGATCTCGGCGTGGAGTTGAGGAGCTTCCGGCTCGGGACTCGAGAGCGGGGAATCATCGAAGCCGTACTTGGACTTGGATGTCGACGGTTTCGGAGTGACGGTGAATTTGGGGCGACTGCCTCCACCGCCATAGCCCTTTCCAAGGGGTGTAGCTTGAACGCGGTACGTTCGATCCTGAAGACGGTGCATCACCGGGTCGTGGTCTTTTTGGTGGCTCATCGGATCGTCGTCCGCGTAGGCTCCGCGCTCGATAAAGGGGGAGGAAGACATGGGGTCGTCGAACGTGTGGTTTGAGTTGTAGGTATGATCCTGCGGTCGGGATGGCGTCTTGCCCGGCGTCGATGGGAGCATGGAATCTTCGCCCTCGAAATGCGGCTCGGGCTCATGGTAAGGGGAGGGGTGGGCGATGGACGAAGTCACGGTGGTGTCATTTTCGGGTTGGGCGTGTCTGTCAAGCTGGGCGCGGGGCGTGCTGTGAGATGATAGGTTGAGATCGGTAAGTTCGAGATCGTCGGCTCGGTGGCGCTCGGAGGACGGGGTTTCGTAGGACACGCTTTCATCGAGTTCGCTCTTCGTCACGTCCTCCTCTGTCATTGTTTGTTCTTGCATCGTGGACTCATCGGGCTTCTCCTCGTAGCCGGAGAGCGAGACATTGGCGCTTGCTTCGAAGAATTGTTTCCAGAACTGCGATGATCGGGTTAGGGAGGTTGATTAAGTGGCGGCGGGGTTGGAGGAGAGCGGGTTTTAAACGCACCTTTGCGCCTTGCCAGACATCTTTCGAGTGGTCTGCATATTGTTCCACCAGAGGGAGGATACTACTGGTGACGATGCGGTGGGCTTGGCTGAAATTGTGATCAATCTCTACAGAGACGGTGGTGGTTAGCTCCTGGGGCAGATGTCCGATTGTTTACCATACAACCATACATACCCTGCAACGTGAGCGTAATGGATTGTTCGAGTTTTTCCAATTCCTCGGTGAGCGTCAGGGGACGCTGCGCGATCGAAGAGGGGCGAGACATGGTCACGCCGGGGGAGAGGGGAGATGCAGAGGGGGCGATGTCGAGATGGAAGAGGAGGAAGAGAAGAGACGCGGAGGGGAAAACAACGGAATGCCCAAAGCGGATGCGATGTAGGGCTGGTGGATAAGGGCCCGCCGGTCACGTGGAGGCGCAGCGGGGAACGGCGTGACCTGCCTGACTTCCATGACATGACGCTGACACTCTCCTCGCCTGCTGCCTACACCAGAGCCGAGGACGCTATGTCGCCCGTTGCGAAAGGTGAGTGCCAGCGGCTATGGTCGATATCTCCTTTCGATCAATCTCCTTGCTGTTTCTACCGCCTAGACTCCTCTACTACCTAACTACTGGCACGTCTTCCGCCCCAGCCGGGCGGTGTGCTTATCAGTAGTGGTAGTTGGAGTAAGGGTGGAGCGCTTCGCCGTTGCTGTGGACTAACATCGACCAAGGAGTTATTATTACCGTGTCGGCCCTCGTGGCGGCGGGCATAGCTGTTTACGAGTCGCCTCAGTTTCGACAATGGGTCGATAATTCGCGACGGAAGATCGCGGTGGCGCTGCACCACCTCGGCGATGAAATCCAACCGCGAAACGCTACGTCATCCCCCAGTCAAGACATCTCCATGACCGAAGAACTGGGTCCCGAAGCCGAAGAACGACGGCGACTGGCTCGGGAGGACATTCAGAACCGACGCTCCATGCTTGAAGAGCATCGTAAAAGACGGCGGAGTGCCGGTCCAGGGTCGTTCGATGCCCTGGTTGACGACGAGGGTCGGCTGTTGAGAGCGGAGGCTTCGGATGCGAACAACGGATCGTTGGCAAACTCAACCGCCGTGGAACTGGCGACGTCGCAGGTTGTTCAGCGCGGTGGCAAGCAACAGACCGATTTGTCGACGCCTTTGCTTGCCGAAGGGGAGCCCGCGAGCTCGAACGCGAACGCTTCCACCGAGAATGATCAATTGCACGTTGCTATCCCGCCGCCGAATCCCCAATCCGCTACACTGATAAACTACACACCTACTTCAGAGGCCTCGGAGATGACTTTCTCGACGTCGACCATGGACAATTCAGAGCATGCGGGGCAATCTCGTTCACGGTCCTCCTCGTCCAGTCGCACCGAGGATCAGCCTGAAGTCCTCTTCGCTCATCCCGGTCTGACGGCTAATGACACCAATCAAGACATGAGGTCCCCTTTCTCCGATCTCTCCGAGCTCGACCCCGCCAGCTTCGAACATCGCGAGCGCCCCTCCACGCCATCCTCGTCCAGCGGCTTCAGTCATATTCACGCGTCTGCCGATGACACGTCGGATGGCACTTTGAGTGACTTGGGACAATCGACCGGAGCGGTGACTCCAGCCAGTTGGTCGGAGGTTGGCAGTGTCATCAGCCACGACGATTTCAACACTAACCACCACGGGCTGTAATCGCGCGGGGAGAGAGCTGTATAGACTAATCAAGTGTTCGGGCGGGCGCCACGGGAATTCTGCTTAGGGTCTGAGGCGTTTTCTTTGTTTCCTTTCTGCATTGCCTTCTTGCTTGGGACCTTCGGGATATCAGGGGTTTGTTTCTTTTGTGTAGGTATCTGTAGAGATTATTGCTAACACTGGACTTGGTTAACTCCGGGGAATTCTCTTGTTTGGGGGGGTTTTAACAGGAGTTGGTTCTCGTAGCATCCATGAAGCAGCACAACCTATGAAGGCCTGACGCACATTATTAATCCCCCATGCAGGGGTTATGCATAAGTTGCGCATGGAAGCAGCAACAGCCTCAATTTTCTGGCCTCGGTCCAGGTCCCACTGCGATTAAATATTATTAGTTGGAGTGACCAAACATGAAAATAAGCCAAACTTCCCATGGAACCGACGGATTATTAACCTGCAGCGCCGGCGGGGACACCAAGTCACAGGTACATGCGCTGGCACGGAGAAGGGCGGCGGTGCCAAGTACAGGGTACCTCCGAGCAGATGAGCCTCGGCTGTCGGCTCTGCCTGACATCACTTGACTTGACCGTCTCTGCTGCTCCACGCCGTATTTCATTCGGCCTCTCCTTTCTCCATCTCCTTTGAACTTCTATCATCCTTGGATTTCCTCCTAGAATTGATTCGGGTCGGTAGTTGTCTTGCATTTCGTGTATTGAACCCAACCCAGTGCCCCCCTGTTAACCGTTACCTGTCAAATATATTTAGTTGCTTCGACTCCACTTCATTCTTCCGCCATGGCCACAGATCGTTTGAGCTCTATTCTGAGCCACCTCAAGCCGTCAGGGGGCAACGGACTCTCGACTATGTAAGTGCACCGAGGATACTTATGGCCGTTTCAATTCTGACTTTGTAACCCCCGCAGCACCCAGAAGAACCCCGACGATGTTGTCATTACTCTTGCCCTGCGCACTCCCCTTGCCAAGGCCGTCAAGGGTGGCTTCAAGGACACGGAACTCGATTTCCTCGTCTACTCGCTGTTGAAGGAGGTGCTGTCCAAATCGAAGGTGGACCCTGCATTGATTGAGGATGTCTGCCTGGGTAACGTACGTCGTCCTGCACCTGCCTGCATCTTTCCGCGGGAAGGAAGCGTAACCGTCTTCCCCGCTCTCTCTCTCTCTCATACAACACCACATCCAGCATTTCCAGAACAACATCACCAATATACGACCGCTGACCGGATCAACAGGTCAATGACGGCAAAGCCGCATACCTCGTCCGCGCCGCCTCCCTGGCCGCCGGGATCCCGCACACCGCCGGCGGCTCGTCGGTCAACCGGTTCTGCTCGTCGGGTCTGAAAGCCGTGCAGGACATCGCCAACCAGATCTCCCTGGGTGCCATCGATGTCGGCGTGGCGGTCGGTGCGGAGCTGATGTCCGCGCCGGGCGAGCGCATCACCAAGCCGTTCAACGAGGAGGTGCTTCGCAACCAGGAGGCCGCCGACTGCATGCAGCCGATGGGCCAGACGTCTGAGAACGTCGGCGCCGACTTCAACATCCCGCGAGCCGTGCAGGACAAGTATGCGGCCGAGTCGTATCGGCGGGCCGAGGAGGCCCAGAAGGCCGGCTGGTTCGATGACGAGATCGTGCCCATCACCACCAAGGTGAAGGATCCCAAGACCGGCGAGGTCAAGGAGATCGTGGTGTCCAAGGACGAGGGCATCCGGTATGGCACGACGGCCGAATCGCTGGGCAAGATCCGTCCTGCGTTCCCCCAGTTCGGAGATAAGAGTACCGGTGGAAACTCGAGTCAGGTTACCGATGGTGGTATGTGATGCTTTTTATTTCTGACGCCCGATTACTTTCCAAGTCTTTGCTCGAGTGCTAATGTCTCCTGTCTCGAACAGCCGCCGCCGTCCTCCTCATGCGCCGCTCGAAGGCCATCGAACTGAACCAGCCCATCCTGGCCAAGTTCTGCGGCGCCACGGTCGCCGGTGTCCCGCCCCGTATCATGGGCATCGGGCCCACCGCCGCCATCCCCAAGCTGCTGACCAAGTTCAACCTCACCAAGGAGGACATCGACATCTTCGAGATCAACGAGGCGTTTGCCTCCATGGCCGTCTACTGCCTGGACAACCTGGGTCTGGAGCACGCCAAGGTGAACCCGCGCGGCGGCGCCATCGCCCTGGGTCACCCGCTGGGAGCGACGGGGGCGCGCCAGATCTGTACGGTTCTGAGCGAGGCGCGACGCACCAAGAAGAAGATCCTGGTGACGAGTATGTGTATCGGCACGGGACAGGGTATGGCTGGGTTGTTTGTCAATGAGCAGGTTTAGGTTCGTTCTGTACGATGGAAGTGATGACTTATAGTATGGTTTTCAAAAAGTGGACAAATGATTGGATTCAATGCTTCGGTTATTAGCTCCGTTTATTAACGTAAATGTGTCTATGTATGTTGTAGTCATGCCTCGTAAATAGTGGTCCCTAGATGGTATCAGATCAGGCATCCTTCTCTCTCTCCTTTCTCATCCTCTCCTCCGCCGCTCTGGCCATCATCTCCCTGCGACTACGACTTCCTCCGACATCATCACCACCACTTGCTCCTTCTCCAGCAGTCCTCCCGCCACCAGCACTACTACCACCACTTCCACCCAACACGAACTCGCCTCCAGTCCACCCACACTCATCGAACACCTCCCCCTCATCCTCCATGGCCTGCCAATCCCCAGGATTATAAAAGTCATTCTCCGTCAACCGCTGACCACCATGCTTCCAATCAGCCCGGTCGACCTCGCGCTCGATCTGCGCCGTCAAGTCCCAGAAGTCCCGATCGTGGTCGCTGAAGACGCAGTGCGCCAGCTCGTGGCACAGCGTCTTCCGAATCGTCCGGTAGTCGCGGTAGCCGTCGTAGGCATCCGTGCGCAGCCGCAGCTCGATCACCTGGCCCTTGTTGCGGTTCAGGCCCAGCGTGCGCGAGTCCTGCGTCGTGTGCTCGATGGGATCCATTTCCGTCAGCAGCGGCACGGAGAACCGGTGCTTGGCCATGGCGGTGCGGATGCCTGGGTCATCGCGCAGACGGGCGAGGAACTGCTGCGAGCGAGATGGGTTTGGGAGGTACGAGAGAGGGAGGAGTCGGTGGAAGGTGTATGAGTTGTCGCCGCCCCCGCCGGAGAGGGTGTGGATGCCGCCGCGGGACCGGGAGGCGCTGGCACTGGCGGCTTTCCGTTGCTGTTGGCGGGAGGCGGAGAGCGCCGCGGCGCGGGCCTCGTCGCGTTGCCGTGTCGCCTCGCCCTGGGCGTTCAGCTGGGCGATGTCTTTGGCTGGGGTGCCGAGGAGGGTGATTTTGAGGCGCGGCGAGTCGAGCGGGATCAGCGCGTCGAGACGGGTGGCGGCAAAAGGGGGTTTCTGAAGCCCCGGTTTCGGGGAGATGAGAAGTTTTTGGTTCTCGACGGGGATTTGCAATGTGGAGGAGAGGAGGGAGGCGAGGTCTTGGAGGGTTGCGGTGGATGGGAGGGAAATAGGATGCGATTTGCCGCTATGGTGGATTGTGAGGGATAAGGAGGGCTTTTCTTCGTCCATTTTCTGGTATTTCTGCTGCTGCTACTGCTGCTGCTGTTGAGTTATATTCTGTGGGCAAAAGGGTCGAGAGATGAAGAACGAGCTGAGGATAGAGGGTATGTACAGCGCCAGGTGCAGAGGCGAGATGACGAATGGATAAATCGATGGATGTAAATCAGAAGGCGGCCTTCGATCGACTTCCACGGCGATTGGGTTTGTCAGCCGGAGATAACGATAAGCCCATGTCACGTGGAAGTGCTGGCCTGGGTGCCTGGGGCAGCGATCGAGTGGCGCCCCTGGAAAGATCGTCGCGGCCACGGGGGATCAGCGCAGCTTAAATCGGGATGATCTCACAACTCCTCGACCGACTGCCCCTCAGTGGCGGAGACAATGCAGTGCAATAGGCAGGCCTTGTCTACCCAGTCCCCACAATCGGTAGGGCAGACCAATGCTGCCTGGAGAAGGTCACACCGAGATCTAAAATTCGGCGCGTTACACAGGAGTACGGCAGAGGCAGTCTGTATTCAACCCTATCCTAACTCGGAAGGTGTTCAGTCGATTGTTGCAAATCAAACGCTCTTAAAATATATACGGATGGTTGCATATGTAGTCCAAAATAATTCCAGGCAGAAAATCGCACAAAAAGGCCCCCAAAAAAGCATTACCCGCTGACGCCATCCAACGAGGGTCCCAGTACCCTCAAGTGCAAAACTCCAAGCTGTAACACAATGTATGGTACGAATGTAGATGATTGCTCCCCAGAAATGGATATAGTAGAATCTCGAGATGGTTAGGATGATTAAAAAGATGGGCATGTTTTTGTTCAGCCAAAAATCATCGAGAAGAATGAGATGGCTCGCTTTTCATACTGGCGGTCGTCTTTGCTGTCCTTGTCACCGGAGGTCGAGGGTTTATCAAGAACCCACTCCTCGAGATTCGGACGCCAGGTGTGACTAGCAGAAACAGGTCAGTTGCAGGGGTGGCCACCGTCATTCAAGGCAACTTACTTGTGGAAATGGGTCGACGTCAAGGCCTTGTCATTGTATTCATCAATCAACACCGCCTTGTATTGGAACGGCACTTTGGCCGACACCCCTTCAAAGGTCGTCCTCCGGAGGGGGTATATATCGTCCGTTTGATACTTGTGGTTGTTCTTGCACTGCCACATGTCGGGTTTGTTGGAATCCAAATGACTCAGACCGGTGATATCGATATACAGCCCCGTTCGCATATCAATCCAGCGCGCGTCGATGATGTTCAATCCTTGGCCGCGTTCGCGCTGTCGAGCCCACGGATTAATGTCGAGAAGGTAGCTGAGCTCGGGGTCGCGGCGTCTAGGCTTATATCGAACAATGGTCTGGTTGTACCGATCGGCGAGGCGGAGCAAGGTGGTATCGGTCACCTGAGTGTCGATATCCCAGTCCCAGGGCATGACCTAGAAAGAGAAGGAGAGGTGAGCGAACGAACCCCCGGTGACACAAGCACGACGTCGGGGGGTCTGATATCCCTTACCTTGCCGTTCCACCACCACCCCAAAAGGGTGCCGTGTGCGATCCAGGTCTCGAGCCCGTTGTCGTCGAAAAAGTTCAGATAGGCACGGATCATGTGCGTCAAGGTCTGTGACCGCTCCTCGTCGGGCACGGGCTCGGTGAAAAATCGGGTATCATAGTGGCCGAGGATATCGTCGCGGCCGGGCTCGTGGAAATATTTAAATTCGGCGGACTTGTTCAGTCCGTACTTCTCCCACAGGACATCTCGGTCTCTCGGGTTGAGAGTGCTATCGGTGCTACGCTCTGCGATCCCCTCGAACGGATCGGGGTAGGCCACGGCCAGCGCAACCCAGAGCGCACAGACGCAGATCAGAACCCCCCGCGGAATCATCTCGGACGCTGGATGGGGGTCTTGGGCGATTCAAATGGAGGTGGCGAAGAGTTTGCGGCAGGCAGAATCATGCCTCGGCTCGCATTCTGGGGTCGACGGAAGAGGGGGTGGAAATAGGCTCCAGGAGGGGTCGAGGGCGGGATGACGATATATAGAAGAGGGTTTGGAAGATAAAGGGAGGAAAGAGAAAAAGGGAAAAATAGCGTCGGACGATAAGGAGGGTGGGAAACAGGATGGAGAATGCGCCAAGGTCTAATGCAGAGTTGGATTTATAGCTGCATAGCCTCTATGGTATCGATCGATGAATTGCGAAGGATGCTCCAGATAGTGGTGAAAAAATAAAACAGGAGGAAGGGTAAGGAAACAGATGCAGGTGAGAAGAAGATTACAAAAGAAACGAAAGAAAGATTGATTGAACGATCAAGATCTAAAGACCCGGAGGAAGAGGGTAGAGAACGAGAGAACGAGAGAGGGGGAGAGCGAGGAAGAGAAGGAAAGAGGAAAGGATTGGCACAAGACCAGCTCCCCAAGAAGGAAAAACGAAGACAGCGTCAGGCCCTACAGCGATCCGGGCAATCCGCGGCTCTACTCGACCAGCCCAACTGCCTTGGCATCGGCGTTCGAGAGGGGATTTATGATTATCAACCAAGAGGACAGACTGGGAAAAACAGAAGGCAGAAAAAAAAAAAATAAGTTCGGCGGGGCGGAAAAGATCAGGACTCCACTAGTTGTGCTCAGTGGTATTTTAGTAAAAACAGCTACTATTTCGGTCTTGGATGAAGATGCACGGAACACAGAAAAAAAAAAAGGAACGAGGCATTGCGCTCGTAATCGTATCGACCAGAACCATGGATCCAACGACATCAATCAAGCATCGCATCGGAATGGCCTTGCGTGCCAACATGCCTCGACAGGCTCCACCGATCGATCTCATGGTTCTTTGCTTCCTGATGCCAGGACATATCCCATCCCAATGATCACATCACATTTGCCGTCACCGCTAGTGTTGGCCCCGTTCGATCTCCTGGGCTGTCTGGCCTCGGGCGCATGTTTTCTTTTTCTTTTTCTTTCTTTTTTTTCGGTGTCTCCGTCAGCGACCATCCAGGAGGAAAGGGATACCTGAATCATGTCCTCTATAGTGAAAACAATCGAATCAATATGAAATATCGAATCATTGGGATTTGCACGAACTCCCCTTTTCCGTGCTGTCAAGTTGCCAAGGGGCGCTCGGGTCCACTTGGAACCGTTGGAATCGACAGTTCGAATGCGACCCTCGACAGGGGGCGGTTTCGGACGCTGCGAGTTTCGGTGTTGCCTACCAGCCGAGACATGCTGGAGGATTATTGCTTACGGAGTACGGAGACACACTAGCAGGGATCATGGATTATTTCGACGGCTTCCTCAACCGAGTCAACCCGGAGGAGTTCATCTCTGCTGGCGTCATATATTCAAAGACTTACTATTTTCGGCATCCACTTCCTCGATGGTCTAACGGTCATGATTTCCGCTTGTCACTCAGCAGAGAACAAGCGCGGGAGACCTGGGTTCGACTCCCAGTCGGGGAGATTTCTTTTTTTTCGCTCTGAAAAAACACTCGCATCGCAGGTCTACTTGTATGCAATAATATCTTTTTTTTTTGTTTGAGTGAATTTAATTACCTCGTACCCTGCCGAGCTATCGCGAGACCTCCAAAACATGGGGTTTAAGCAGATGTGATGTTAATTACGAAGAAACCACTGGTGCGCTTTAGCTGGCCATAGTATATGGTCAGAAATACAGGTCAAGTTAGCACGGGTGAGCGGCTACTTCCTGACTGTCGGGTGGCAACATTATTGTCCGGAGCTGTCCCGGAAGATATATATCATGGACGAATGATACGTGGCAACCACCTGGAACATTTTGTCTAGCAATGTGTTTTCCCGGGCTGAAGGGTGAAAAATCAAAAAGCAAAAAGAAATCTCCCCGACTGGGAGTCGAACCCAGGTCTCCCGCGCTTGTTCTCTGCTGAGTGACAAGCGGAAATCATGACCGTTAGACCATCGAGGATTTGATATGTTACGTTTCTCCTACTTTGACATCATAAACAAAGAAGCCCTTGTTCCACAATTGTATAGTGATCAAATCATTGAGACTACTTCAATTCCGGCAAGACAGCATAGCCAGGCAGTGTCATGGCAGTTGGAATGGAATCCATTATTGACCCCGAGTATGTGGTACCTAAAATAAGGCCCTGAAGGAATTACATTCGCCAAGACTCCATTCATTGTTCGTCTCATGGGATCCTAATGCCTTCTGCCAGCAGTCATCCCATCCTATAGCTGTACACTTGGTGGTAATTTCGGACCATACCGTGCACTTAACATTCCTTTTCTGAAATGGTTAACGAATATTCGGCCATGCGTGGTCCGAGATCACCACACTCAGCATATGCGGCAGGTGCGACCTGTTGACCTCGGCACTTTGGATTCCGTGTTTCCAGCAACGCTCCCCAAACCGGTATTGACTGGTCTTTCTATGGGCATCGAACATATCTTGCCGAGGGAAAATTGAAGTCACGCAGCTCCCCTGACAAGCCTCGAGAGAGGAACAACAAGCGTCTCCTTCTGGCCGGGATACTGTCTGCACTCAATAGTAGCTGTTGATACAGGTTACAGAGAAGACATCACGACTCATTCCAGAGACCTAGGCCAGCCACAGTGGTCGCTCTCTTTCTTATTCTTCGTCGCCGAGTTCTCTGTCATTATCCTACCACGGTATCTGAACTGAAAGGTTTCTCATGCGCCTGGTTCCTCCTGACAGACATCGTGTCGTGACATCGCTAACACTGACATGTTGCCAGGGAAAAGTTTCCGCCACAAGATCCACGTTTCCTCCAGCGACAGATAACCGGGAACTTCTCTATTTATCTCGGCCAAACAGCGATGAACAATGTTGAAATTATCTCCGACTTCGGTGTACTCCGTGGCAATAGAGCGTTCACCTTCGCCTTGCGCAATTCTCAAGATGAGCCACCTACTCCTGTGCTGAGAATTAGGATTGACCTTGATGGCAACATTGATAACACACCATCCTATGCTTCTTTCTTTGACCTTCAAGCAAGCCCCGGCGCTCGTGGAGACACATCGGGTAATATTGCGGTCGTTTCCGAGGATCCAAGCCGATATGTCGAAGGTGAGGAATCACCAACCTCTTCTCACAGCCCTTGCAGCGTGTCGTAGTCTTTCGCTAGTCACCGATTGGCTTCTACACTGATTCATCGGGCCGCTTTTATGGTGGGGTTTCATTAGTCTTGACTGGGCGCCGAAAATGTCGGTGGGATGCTAGCATCGAGCTGGCGCTATCTTGAACCCGCCGTGAAAAGATAAATGCACCTATCCTTAAGATAGCATTCAGTTTCAGTAGGCGGCCTGATTGTATTCTGCTGGAAACAATGGCTACTTGAAGTTTATTCCTGGATTTGGGCGGTCATCACGAAACCAAAAGGTGGAATTGATAAATCAAGGCGCAAATGTGCGGACCGATGAGTGGGAAGGTTGAGATGGATTTGGGATTAGACCAAGGTTGAAACAAGATAACTGCCCGAAAGTAGGTGTTATACCCTGCCTAATAATGAACTTGTCACTTAGTTGCCCCACACCTTCGGTCTGGGTCGGCCACATCAGAAGACAAGAGTAAAAAGGTGAAGAGTATACATTGGAGGCTCGCCTCCGTTTCCTGTTGCGGTTTAGTTCGTCCAGTGACCCACACATCGTGTACATACTCCGGAGATAGTTGCACCTGGAACATACTTTAATACTACCCAGCGTCATGGGCACAAGAGGTGGTGCAAGATAATTGCCATTATAAAACGGTCCTAGCGTATTGAAGTCGCCCATCAACAAAGTCCATGGACTTGACCAACCCATGGCTATACTCGTCCAACACAGATACGCCAGAGTACATTCTGGCCAGGCCGACCCGTTCTAATGATGTGGGGTGATACAGTGAGTGATAAAGCGATGAAAAAAGTACTAGATCTCACGAAAAAAAAAAAAAAATTAAAATAGACCTCATCATAACCTAAAGCAAATTGCAGCGAATCACAATTCGCGCTTGAAAATCGCGGGCTTTAGGTCGACTCTTTCATCCAAACAATAGCGTGAACCGCCAACGACGACGGTCGAGGACGGTCGGGAGCTTGCCATAGAACAGCCACAATCGCATCCTGGTAAGAAATTGGCGGCTAGTACCTGCTTTGCATCGATTGGCAGCAGAGCCGCGGCCACCACCGACATCCATGATGGCCGCAGGAAAGGAAGAAAAGAATGCTTTGTGCTTGAGAATCGGCGAGTCCGGGCCGGATGTTTGTTCTGTTTGCAGGAAATTAGTGCGGGGGTCAGCTGACCTGCGATCACTGGAGGCGACGGCGCCCAATCAGAAGGCGGGAGGCAGCCCTAGACGAAGCGGCCGGTCATGTGACGCACAATCCACATTCCCGGTCCCAAATGAACATTGAGAATCTTCCCGACCCTCACGACAACCGTCCGAGTTCAATCACGACCCCCCCAAGGAGCCTCTTTCAAGATGACCATCCAGAACCGCGGTGCGTGAATCTCTACCGGCGCTTTTTTTCGAATCCGACCGAGCGTGCCATGCTGATGGATTTTTTTAGGTCTCGCTTCTTCGCGCCGGAAGTCGCGCGCGGCGCACTTCAATGCTCCCTCGAGCCAGCGCCGTGTGATCATGAGTGCTCACCTCTCCAAGGAGCTCCAGGCCAAGTACAATGTACGTTCGATTTACACCTGAAAGCGATTCTAGCAACCACCCGAGGAACGGAAGAAAACGAGGCATGGAGGGATACAAAGCGCATGGTTTTTAACACAGATTTTCCCGATAGGTCCGCTCCATCCCCATCCGCCGCGACGACGAAGTTACCGTTATGAGGGGCTCCCAGAAGGGCCGTGAGGGCAAGGTCACCAGCGTCTACCGTCTGAAGTGGGCCATCCACGTTGAGCGTGTTGTTCGCGAGAAGAGCAACGGCCAAAGCGTTCCTCTTCCTCTCGCTCCCTCGAACGTCGTCATCACCAAGCTCAAGCTTGACAAGGACCGTGAGCAGATCCTCGAGCGCATCGGCAAGGGTCGCGAGGCCGTCAAGAGCAAGTCTGCTTAAGGGTTTTTCTTTCTCTGGGGTTCAAGTTCATTTACAATAGCGGTGATTGTAACGAGGGGATTTCTAGATGACTCGAAAAAAATGCGAGATCCAACCTACGATCAGGATACATCTACTGAAAATAGATGGATTGTGATGAAACAAAAATAAAAAATTTAATGTCCTCTACCTTGAGCTAACAAAGGGCATTGGTTCATACGTAGTTTCTGCATCTACGGCATTCTGGTCATTGATATTGGGGCGTGGAAACCGTCAATCTATCCAATCACCCAGGCAGCCCTTACGCGCAACAGCCCAACCCATGCTCGCCATTGTTATGTTCAAGGTCCATCCCATCGCCCGATTTCCACGAATTCCTTGTCTCCAGCGACACTTTTCTCATGCAGCACACTTCGCCGTTTGATATCATGGTCGAACATGCGTTTACTGGCTATCTTCGACGGGACCTCCGGTGCTCAACATTACCATGCACCTACTCATGCTCTTGTGTCTTCACCTCCAACAAGATGCGGTGTTTTGAGGCCTGGTTCAGGCGTCTGCGATGCTCTCTCGGAGATACAGTCGTCATTGCATGAGAAGTGTCCCGCAGTCATTGGCTCGTAGTTGATCTAGATCACTCGTAGAACCTCCGTCTAGGGAATAGGGTTGAACCTACCGTTGAAGAACAACCTGCCACGTGATATCGCCATTTGACTTCCTGCCCGCGTATGCAGAGGGTGTTTCTTCCTACACAGCTTTTCTCGTTCAACCTAATCATTCTGAACACCTCTGGGCAATGAATGGGGGACGACAGGGCATGCTAGATCACAGCGAACATCGAGCTCCTTCGGAATACAATGGCCCTCATGGGTATCCTTCGCCGGGTGTGAGGTTTTTTTACCTCCGTTGGAATGCCTTACTGAACCAACAACTTAGGGAGGCTAATGCTGACCTCGCAGGCAATCGATGTTTTTTATGACAGAGTGCAACTTCCCCTGCCCTTCCTATCACGTTTCGGGTTTACTGATAATGACGAAAAGGCAAGCAACTCCGGCGATTACCCTTAAACCGTTAACCTATACATGGTCACGCCATAATGTCTTCAGCATGCCACCCTTATTGCACTGGCTTCGCCATCTGGTGGCGTTCCACATGGCGTCTGTTACCTCCTGTGATCGATATTTGCTTTCCTGGGTTGAGAATAAAGATGGACACTCCGCAAATTGGTTCTTCAACAGCTTATTTCCAATTGAATTCAGCACGAGAACCCGGAGCATGTCTATTTTCTACGTCATCAGAGTGAAGAAGAGATACGAAGAACAGTCGACGACCTCCACTTATTCACGTATCGGTATCTCATCGACAAACCACGCACCCGGACACAAGGAAGAAGAGATCTGGGCGAAAGTTCTGTCTGCAGGAGCTACCGATAAGGTATTCTTGGGCGGTTTCATACAAGTTTCTTCGGGACTACGGTATTTGTCTGTCTGGGATTATTATTCTCGGTCGAAACCAGCCATTGTCTTTCTGTGTGTCTCAACTGACTTCTGGGGATGTTGGGCAAACACATTTAGGTCTCATCCGACCCCCGTCTCGGACACGGTCTACTTCAGCACGGCTGTTCTTGTCCCGACATTGCGGTGCATTCCTTCGTGGTGGTTGTGGAAAGGTATATCATATGACAATGCTGGCATGCTAGGCTTCGACCTGACACTGGAGTTGCCTGAGGAGAATGGAGTCTTTGGCCCACCATCTCAAGCCAGGTTAAGAAAACTCGCCGATTAGTGGTAAAATCGACATCGAAAGAGCGGGGATTTTTCGACCACCATTTTCTCGATGACTGCGGAGGTTATCGGACATATACTTTGTTGAACCCTGTGGATATCTTCTCTGGCCAATTGTCAAATGCTCCACCCTCGCGGAGCTAAAGGGTATACCGTGACTTTCCTTATGCGCAGCGCATTGGTTGTGGACTAGCTCGTTAGATCGTACAGGCCCCTGATGATGGGCTTGGAACACAGGTCAGGTCGAATAAGTTCGCGGGTTGGTTCTCCAATCTACAAGGCCACATGCGATTGGTATCGCAGACAAATTGGGTCATCACGCTCAGTATAGATAAAGGGAACATGGCGTTTTCTGTTTGGAATTGGTAAGCACACGAGAGAGGATAGGACGAATCCCGACACCGTGCCCGGGAGTCTTCTATTGATGGGGATCCTCTGAGGCCCGTGGAATTTCTCTTGGTCCTCTTCGCATGTTGAAGGATGTACTGGCGTTTCGATCTTCTTTAACCACCCTGGTTTTGTGCCCTGCCGCCTTTTTTCATTGATCAGTTATTCGGGATGGTTCTGCATACCTCCCTCGGCTATGAAGCTAATGTATAGGCCTGCATCAACTCACATCATGTAAGTAGGGCTTGCCGAGCACCATTGACGACACTCCTTCGGTTTTTGCATTATTATGAGGAAATTACGTTGTCATTTCTCATACAAGTACCTGGTGGCTATCGCTATTGAGGGCCATATACTCTTCTGCCACCAATTTCTATCAACCCCGCGATTTTACTGTCAACCATCTACGTCGCCTGCTCAACATCACCCCGGCTGACAACCTCGATGATGTGAGCAGAGTTTTCCCGCTTTCGACATCGTATAGTAGCGCTGTGCAGCAGACTACCCACGCCATCCTGCATCGGTATATCCTGAGCGTTTAAGAACAAATTTACTTCGATATAGCGTTATCTAAGACGACCGTTAGCCTCCCCGGTGAATTCATGTACCTTCTACTTGAAGCGCCCACGATAGCATCCGTCGATCTTGCCTATGGCGATGGCCGGACTTGGGCCGATATATGGACATATCTTCTGTAACTCGGCGAGTGTTTGTTTCTCGGTCTATCTATGTAGATTCCCAGCGGTGTTGCTTTCCAACAGAGAAATTGGAATGCGAGCCAGTGAGGGTAGTCTGTACATTGCATAGAAATAAAGCTAGCATACTGGCAATCTTGTTCTACTGCTATCCAGCGAACTTGGAGGGTAGTGAGTGTACCTTGGGATAATGAGTATACGAGAACAACACAGGCATGCTATTCGGATATAAAAAGCAACACCCCTCTCCGGCAATGCTTCTCTCTGCACGGCTACTCTGGGTTCGACAGCAACTTGAAGAGGAAGAAAAAAAAAGAAATATCAGAAACAACCAAGCAAAAAAATCAAAAAGAAAACTCCCCGACTGGGAGTCGAACCCAGGTCTCCCGCGCTTGTACCTTGTGAGATGACAAGCGGAAATCATGACCGTTAGACCATCGAGGAAGTGGATAGAGTTTTTGATGCTATTTTGACGCTATGGGAAGGAGCCCCGCGAGTTGGCGATGTGGGTGCGGTCTGAGATCCACATAGCCCTGATAGTGCCGTTGGGACTGGTGATGGGGGATGTATTTTCTTCTGAGGTTCTGTTGTTTCTTAAATGCTTGTTTGACTGGTGGATGGGGCTATTCTGGCAGCAAAAGCGAGCATGGGTGGTGTTTTTATGCTGTGCTTCGCGGGTGCTTTATATATCCCTCTGCCGGAAGGCTACCCATAAACAACGCGCGGGGAAGAAAGATCCGGGTCCCAGTAAAATAAACACGGTCTGATCATGGTAATACCCATCAAGCGTACCCCGTTATACAGAAATATATCAGCCAACCAATCGCCACTCTGATTATCTATGCCAGTACCAGGCCGGGCGAGACCGTCGGACGAGGGCTTCTACAGCAGAACCCAAGAGACCGGGTCTTCACCATCCTATAGCAGACAAACAATAATCAGAAGAAAGCAAACGAGATAGATCTGGCACCATGGGCAAAGTATATATATACATACCTAAGAAATAAAAATAGAGAAAAAGAAAAAGAACAAGTCCACTAGAAGAACGAGTGGATCGAGGAAAAAAAGAAATCTCCCCGACTGGGAGTCGAACCCAGGTCTCCCGCGCTTGTTCTCTGTTGAGTGACAAGCGGAAATCATGACCGTTAGACCATCGAGGATTGGAGATATTGAAGCCGTGAGAATAATGCTACATGAGCCTAAAAAAAGTCCCAGCAAAAAGATCAGATGATAACTCCTTGCTCGAAACAATCCCTAGCCGACTACTCCTCCTTCTCCTCTTCTCGTCAACCGAGTTGCTACAGAACCCGAGTATCTACAAGCTACGACCAGCAACGTTACCCGCATGGAGATCTGCTCATGAAAAAAAATATTCGCGCCTTTGTATTCACATCCGGGTACTTTTTGTTTCGCCAGTCTATCCACATGTCATGTCTAAGTCTTTCGAAAGTCGTTCGTACAGGGTTCCCTCCCCTTGATCTTCCCGCTTGCGTTCCGGCGATTGTCGGTCTCTCGCTCGATCCTGATGACGGATGCCCAGTGTGAGAGAAAAGGGTCTTTGTCAATCGGATACATCCAGACGCCAACAATTTTAAACGAGAAACCCGGGGTCCTTTTCGTCTACATCGTCTTGCCACATCGTGGTCACAGAAAGGAAGGGGTAAAAAAGAAACGCAAAAGGTAAGGAGAAAGGTGAGAAAGAAAACAAAAAAAGAAAAATATAACATCAGGGTGTTTTAACGTAAATTGATATTGTTCATGGCCATTGTCATCCAGCTGCATAAGCAAGTCGTCGTCCTCCATGTCAAAAAAGCACAGAAAGAAAAGAAAATAAACGAGATATCATGATCACGAAAGGGAAGACTTGTTTACTGCTTCTCCTCGGTCTCACCGGAGGGAGTGGCGTCACCGCTAGCGGGAGCATCCTTCATATCGGCATCACCCTCGGGCTTCTTCGAGGCCTCCTCGGCCTTCTTGGCCTCTTCCTCAGCCTTGCGCTGGGCTTCTTGCTCAGCGCGCTTCTTGGCGGCCTCCTCCTCCTGAGCCTTCAGGACGGCCTGGCGCTCGGCATCCGCTTTCTCCCTGTAGCGCTGGACGATGGGGCCAGCAATGAAGCGGATCTCGTCAAGCTTGGCCACGTAAATGGACTTGGTGGTGTCCTCGCCGTCCTCATAGAGCCAGTCCTGCACACGAGTTGATTAGCATGATGTTCCTGGTTCTTGTGCAAAGGAAAGCTATCTTACCTCGAGGTCCATAAGCTTGGAGCGCAGCTTCTCCTTCTCCTCCTCGCTGGCAAACTCGGAGTACACTCCGTCAAGCTTGTCGCGCATCTCATAGATGGTGGCCTCCAGCTCGTTCTTCTTCTCGTCGGTCTCGGCGATCAGCTTGTCTTCCATGTACATGGCGTTCTCGCGCTCGGTCCAGGCCTCCCGAACCGTCTGGTCAATGGAGGGGCTGCCGGTGGAAATCGGCAGGTCGCCCTTGCGAACCTGCTTCTTGACCTTGCGGGTCTTCTTGGGCTGCTCGTCGCCGTTGGGAGCATCGGTGTCCATAGCCTGATGGGAAAAAAGAGTCAGCCACATGCATCCCCAAATTTAAAGAAAGGATACTTACATCACCCTTGCCCTCCTCGGGAACGGGCTCCTCAACCTCCATATCCTCGACATAGTATCCGGACTCGACGTTCAGGATACCGTGCAGGTTAAGTCTGGCCTTGAGCTTGCAGATCATGAAGTCGTCGTTGGCATCGGCCTTGACGCCCTTGACGGAGAAGCGGCCAACCCAGGGGTTGATCTTGCCGGGCAGCATCTCGGGCTTGGCGTAGCGAGCCTCAAGGTCGAAAGGCTGCTTGCGGTAGAAAGTGAGGATCTTGGTCGAAGGCATAACGTTGCCACGGTTGAAGACAGTCAGGCTGGTGTCCTCATCGGGAATGTCTGCCGACTGCTCCCAAGTGAATTCGATGGGGTAGTTGACAATGTCGTGCACGGAGAAGTCACGGACACGGAAAACGGGGGAGAGGATGGCACAGCTGAAGGCGCAGCCACGAGCGATGGCCTCATCCTGGTTAAGCGTGAAGGAAAGGTTCTTGCCGAAGAACTTGGTGACGGCATCCTTGATGGCCGGCACACGAGTGCAGCCACCGACCATCTCGATGTGGTCGATGTCCTCGGGCTTGAGCTTGGCCTCGGCGAGGGCCTCCTCCAGAGGAGCGGTAACCCGGTCGAGGAGGGGCTTGATCATGACCTCCAGCTCCTCACGCTTGACGATGGCGCGGACGTCAACGTCATCCATCAGGGACTCGATGCTCATGGGAGCGGCGGGGTTGGCCGAAAGGACCTTCTTCATCTTCTCGGCAGTGGCGAGGGTACGGGACCAGGCCTTGGGGTGAGTGCGAACGTCGATCTTGAAGTTCGTCTTGAACTCGTCGGCGAAGTGCTCGGTCAGAGCGCGGTCGAAGTCACGACCACCGAAGTGACGGTCATAAGCGGTCGACTTGACGTTGAGCTCACCCTTGCGGAACTCGACGATCGAAGCGGTGTAGTCACTGTGGCCGATGTCGACGAACATGACGCGGCGGGGCTTCTCCTCGGGGCCGGGCAGGTCCAGCTTGGTGATACCGTATCCGAGGGCGGTGGCCGTCGTGTCGTTGACCAGGCGCAAAGCCTTGAGGCCAGCAATCTCGGCGGCATCGAGCATGGCCCGGCGCTGGACATCAGTGAACCAAGCGGGAACGCTGATGGTGACATCGGAGACAGGAAGCTTCAGCTCCTTGGCGGTGATGTCTCTGATCTTGGTCAGGTACATGGCCACGAGCTGAGTGGCCGAGAACTTCTCCTTCTTGCCAAGGTAGTTCACCTCAACACCGGCCTGGCCATTGACGTCACAGATGGTAGCGCTGTTGTACTGCTGCTCCAGCTGGACATCGGGGTCGTTGAACGAGCGGCCAATCAACCGCTTGAGGTTGCCGACCGTGTTCTTGAGGTTGGAAGTCTCTTGCGTCTTTGCGGCCTCACCCAGGGCTCGGCTGCGGGCATTGAATCCGACCAGGGAACTGCAGGGAAGACCAGTCAGCGTTGGCTCTTTTATGCCTATCAGAAAATCACCCAGCCGGGAAACTGGCGAGTGACGGGGATGGGAGGGGGATCAAAGGACATACGGAGTCGATCTGTTCGAGACTTCATTGGTGATCTATTCCAAGCGAAATGCACAAAGAGAAGTCAGCGCTGCGATCCCGACAGATGAAAACGAAAGCGGTGGAGCACCCTTCAAGAGAAAGAGGCCCAACGGTCGAGATAGCACAAGGAACCTAGCGGCAGGGAGGTGATACGCACAATATCGATGCCCTTGTTGCGGGCAACACCAATCTTGGTGCTCTGGGCACCGAAATCTATTCCGACAACACTCATTGTCTGTGAAGATTTCTGTGATACGGGGGAGAGGGTAGGAGGAAGGAGGAAGTGCGGTAAGTAGGGAGGGGAGGAAGTAGGGTGGTATCAAGAAAGTTGGAAGGGAAAAAAAAAAATAGGTTGGGCAGGTTCCCGAGTCCAGGGAAAAGAGCGGGCGGCGGAAGAGGAGGGGAGAATAATTTGCAAGCAGGCAACGCCACTATCGGGCGGTGATCGAATGGGTGTGGCTAAGTAGGGCCCGACGTGGGCTCTTCTGGCTCGTCCAGCGGGGTCGATCAGTCCAATCGAGGCGCAACCAAAGTGGTACGCTGAATTGTGCAGGCGCGAGGCGGGTATCGGGCTTGAATTGGGAAATAACCACTGCTAATCACAGAAACCACAGGAATCATGGAGCAGAGCAGCTCTGGCTGGCATCTGGCAGAATAAAAGGCCCGGCTGAATCGATTGGAACCTTCTGGCTGCTGCTGGATTCTTCCCGCCGCTCACCGCCCCGCCTGGCCCTGCAGAAAGTGGGCCTCACCGCCTTGGCGGGGTTGCGGCGCCTTATCGATTACCGAGTTTTTTAGCTCATCGCTTGCTCCCATTGGAGCCATGGGAGCCCCGTTACCTAATGCCATTGCAGCCCTCGTCCTTTCGAGACACGCTTCGATATTTCTTAAGCTATGGAAACTCCGAATTACATCAGTGTTGGGGTTTCCCCACTAAGAAAGAGAAAAAAAAAAAGTCCCACTATCTTGGCCCCCGCTCAGGGGAAAGCCAGAACAAAATATACCAACCGGTTCCAAGGTAACTAACAAGAATGGTGGCCCTAGGGAGATAACAAAAAACAGCAACGACAACAAAAAGAACATGACTCAGAAAGCTCGTGGGAATATCAGTCAATATCAATCTAACCCGACGTGCCTGGTCGACCTGGGGGATCATTCGAGGTGCGGCTGATCAAGACGGTGCGATGCCCGGGTTACGTGGCAGTCGCCAAATCCTTCTCGACGGCGTGCTCATGTGGTGTGAGCAGCTAGACCATGTGCTCCGGATCCCTTGGCATCTGGGTCCGCGTCGGTCTGTTTGCTCGACGTCCCGGCCGAGGCCGCTGCAGCATTCGAGACATCCTAGTCGCACCGCTGGGAATGGGCGGATGCTCCGGGTCTTGTGACGCCTGCGCAACGCGAGGTGTCCCATCCGTTAACTCGCAGGTGGAATCCACCGATAGCCAATGTTCATGAACATTTGGTTCACCCAACTGTGATCTCTCGCGGCATCCACTGGCCTGTACACATGTTTCGTCCGCGCTGCCCGCATGGTGACACGCGATCGTGCTTTGAGGAAGCACCCGGATGCCCTCTACGGGGAGTGGGAGAGACATGGAATTGGAATCCGAATCGGACGTGAAGACTGACTCGGAGGAACCGTCCGGATGTAAGCCTATGCGTGGCACACTTGGAAGAGGTGTCATGGTACTGGCTAGAGGGATTCCGGAGCCATCTACGATGGTAACGGGGTAACTGCCAGGCTGTGGGGACGCAGAAAATCGTCCTCTGAGATTCTCCGACGGGTGAACGGGCACCGTTCGCTTTTCGGTGTTTAGCCGGAACGTATCGACCTCCACATTTAGCTCGTCGCCTTGAGCCCTGGCCAGCTCAACTGCCTGCTCCGGTGTCGTGTTTTTATCGGCTTTGGCGGCATCGGCCCGAGGGCCTCCCCACGTACGCTGCCCTGAAGTGAATATCCCATACACTAGGAACAGCCAATTGAACAGAGGCATCAGGATGAACATCAGCAGATAGAGCAACGCTTTCAATCGTCTGAGCTTGATGGCCAGATAGAACATGAGCGAGTAATTGAGAACCAGGGACACGCTTATGATGATAAGAGGTAAACCGTGAAGCCGGCCCGATGTCATGATGAGGGATACGGTCTGAACGAGGAAGAGCAGCGTGGTTGTACGCATCATATCGTTCATAAACCGAATGATACACAACAACGGATAGCGCTTCCACAGTCTGATATCGGTCAGCAAACAGACTTCATTGGTAATGTAGCCAAGAAACCATCGTCGCCGTTGCTTCATCAGGGCAGAGAATGTCTGGACTGCGGTTGTCTTGCAAAATGCACTCGTACACAATTGGATTTGGTAGCGCTCTTTTGCGCCGATCATAAAGAGGTGTGTGAGCCAGCGATCTTCTCCCAAGTAACACTTTCCATAGTCAAAGAGATCTTCGCATCGCTCGGCTTTATCGGCAAAATAGTACTTGGACATCTTGCGGAATGCGGAAAACCGGAGGATTGTCAATGCCCCGGGAAGACAGGTCACAGCGCCACAGCCCGACTCTACGGACCGTTCAAAGAATTGTCCATGGATATACTCCAGATCTTGCAACAAGGTCAATAGCTTGTTTTTCTCCGTGGTCGATGTAATGATGCCCGTCATTGCCAGCATTTTCCGCTTGCACCTCGGCTTGAGCTCCATGTCGTACACGAAGTTCTGCAAGCAGAATTTATCCAGGAAGCAATCGGAATCAATGAAAAGCATAAACAAGTCATCGTGCTGCTGGCTGTATTCGAAATACATTTTGTCGACCAATTTGAACGTTTGTTGTTGACAGTGTCGCTTGCCTCCATGTACGAAGCGAGATACGGTCATTTTCACGCCCTTGTATGTCACGTCGATACTCTGCGGGTAGCTTTCCAATGCTATCGGAACCCCAAGGTGGTGGATGACTTGCAAGTAGGATTCGTCCATGGTGACCCCGTCATATGAAATAAACAGATGGATACGGCACTTCGGATACTCGCTGTTGACCACCGAATCAATGGTTTTGATCAGCTCCGAAGGAGGTTCCTGGTATACTGGCATGACGATGACGATCTTAGGCGCGGTGCGGTTGGCAAAGGCCTGTTTTATTTTCTCCGGCCGCCGCGAGGATGTTGTTATGATCAATCTGCCAACGCAAACAGACCAGGGCACAGCAAGTAGCACGGTGAAAGCTCCAAGGGCAAACCATTGGACGAAAGTAACGAGTTCAGGGGGCCAATGCCGCGAAATTTGCTGTGGAAAGGGAATCGTAAAGACCAATACCGGCAGAAATATGCCCCTTGACGGAAATACATTCAGTATCGCATCCATTTCCGGAGCCCCCCATAACTAAGTGCCTTACCTGAAAAAGAAAAGGAGAACCATCATACTAGCCGCAAGGATCCGGCTGCTCAAGCGATCCGCTTTTTGATAAACCTTGACTAGGCAGTATAAGAACGCGGCAAGCAAAAGGAGCAATTCAAAGGCTGCGGCTAATAGCACCGGTGTGACCACTGCTAAGTACACAATCTAGCAGCACCGTCAGAGGATGGCTTGCAAATATGATCAAACGTAACTTACATCCTCAATATGCCATGGATCTGGTCCTTCGACGCTTGCCATCGTGACAGGTCCTGTGAGATTCCCGTTATGTATAACGACCAACGAAAATATATCCGCTCGGGGAAGGGAGAAGTATATAAACGGAAGGCAATACGCGAAGCCTAAGCAACGAGAACATTAGATCGACATGCAATGGGTTCCAGACTGGTACTTGGGGAACTCACTTGCTATTTTCTAGGACACTTGTGCAAAAAGGAGAACCAGAGCGAGGTCATTTTAGGAACCAGTTAGGCGATTTTAGAGAATCTAGCGCCTTGAAGAGTGCATGTCAGCCCTTGAATTTTGAACGAACATCGATGATAACATGGCCAGACTTACCTGAAAGACCGGTGACTTGAACCGAAAGCCGTTCACTTCGGATACCAAGAGCGCACAGTATGCTATACGACGGGGGACCGATGCAAATTAAGATATACGATCTATGTTTGACATAGTCGAGGCACAAGCCAGGTTCAGACGAGCAATCGAGACATCGAGACATTGAGACACGCTTCGCAAAGGCAGAGCCAGAAGGCAGCTGTCCTGGCCCCCAAAGAGGCAGGTGCCCTGTGTGGCCGGGCAGCAGAGCGAGGTGCACCCGAGCAGAGTCCGCACGGTTCTATACTGGTAAAAGAAGAGATGGCCTTGGACGAGCAATGCCGCCAAGTCACGACATCTTTTGTTGGGTCCGGAAGATGACCCCTTCTCGTTGGAGTCAATCTCGGTCTGAAACGGAGTGGTGTGTTGTGGATATAGAAATACTCTGTTTCATTGTGGCTCAATCATTATGCCCTGGTGATAGCTACGAAACGAGAGTCTGCTTAGTTTATTGTCAGCCTGAAGTGCCCATATTCAGATGCGCAGGAATTCTTTTATGCATTAAAAAATCTGTAGTCCTTCCGCATGGCAGTATATCCAAGCTTGGCAAGAGGGCATCGGTTCCATCTTCCACACTGCGCGTCGGGACTCATCCATCTTCTTCCATCACTTGTCCATCACTTCCCACCTGCCATCAGTATCCTCTCGCGGCCCTCAAACAAACTTCCAGTTTCAGTGATACGCAACCTGATGTTTATGTTATCATTCCAGTTTTCTCTTAACCCTCTCCTCACCCAGGCTCGTGCGCCATCGATCAAGGCATTGTTGTATCTGGCTGTCGATTTTCTAGTAAAGATCACAATTTCTCTCATCCCAGTCTTGATCAAGCATGTCCTGTGAGTGATGTCATGTTTCTTCCATGCTGTGAATTGCAACTTCTTTTCCCAACCTACTCCTGGGCTGATCACTGGTTGGACATAGACGTGTCACTTTCAAACGGCAGCCTGCTAGGCCAATGTCTCAAATTAATACCTTGACGATGAGATCCTCAAAATTCTCCAGCGGTATTCTTGAAGATAAAGGAGATGAGAACACAGAGATGATAACGCAGAGATGATGAGCTGTGTGGAACATGTGCTGACCCTCCTTGTCTTTGCTTGCTACGGCACTATCTTATTTCTGACGGCCAGCCACATTTTCGAAAGTACGATACAGACGATGTGCTCAGTCTCATTTTACCGGAGGCAAGACCTGGCTTACCTTTCCCCTTTGAGCTACGAGTTAGCACTGCCAAGTGGTCGGAGCCGGAAAAGAATACCGTCCAGGATCTAGGCGCCGTCTTCTTCCAACGAGCCTGGAGTAAGGTACATATGAGAATGTGCACCCCTGCAGGCGCTATGTAGACACCGGAACGAGCTCGCAACGCCCCTCCAAAATCCCGTCATCTAGCGATATTCAGTCATCTGGCTGCCTAACGGGTTTCCCGCCGAATAAATACCACCCATTTTGGCCGATAATAACTCGAAGAATACAACGCCAAATCAATATTTAACCTCGATGGCCGAAAATAATACAATCTACTGGACCGAATCCAGTTTTGGCCCCACAGACAGTGATCGATTTGACTTCACGCCCCTCTTCGAAAATACTATTTTGTCGATTCTGCCCTCCGTCATTTTTGTGATTCTGACGCCCCAGCGCCTACTGTGGTTGACGAGACAGCCGCGCAAAGTTAATAAAAACTGGCGCTCGTTTTTCAAGCTGGTAGAACCTGTGATAGTCTTCATTCTGATACAACGCTGACATATTCCCATCTCTTCCAGGGAGTGATCACTGTGTACAACATCCTGCAACTCAGTGTCCTGCTGTACTGGACGGCAGGACCACTAAAAACCACCAAAGCTCAGATTGCAGCCGCAGCTCTAGCTTTAGTTAGTGGTGTTGTGCTTTTAGGTTTATCCTACACCGAGCATACTCGCTCGGTGAGACCATCAACACTCATCGACGTTTACTTGCTATTTACTCTAATTTTCGATTGCGCTATTGTGAGAACTTCATGGACTCTCCAGGGAAGGGGCATAGTGGCGAAGCTGCTGACTTCTACCGTTGCAATTAAATGTCTCATCCTTGTAATGGAAGGATGGGAGAAAAGGGGGATTCTCTACCCGCAGTACAGGTGCCTTTCTCCAGAGGCGACAAGTGGGATATACAGCCGTAGCATTTTTTGGTGGCTCAATCCGCTGATGAAGATTGGTTTTGACCGGTTCATCACATATCAGGATCTGTAAGAGGAGATCCTTTTACCTGTGTTTTGATCACTTGTTGACTATTTTATAGGTATCCTATTGATGATAATTTGGCTGCGAAGAGCCTACTGACTAAAATAGAGAATGCTTGGAACTCAGGTAAGGCATCGATGGATTCACAAGACAAAAAATACTCATTGTTATCCTAGCCAATCAAGCAAAGAATAATTCACTTTTTTGGTTGACTCTGTGGACCACCAAGTCCGCATTTATATCAGGCATCTTTGCCCGTGTCTGCCTAATAGCCTTCAAATATACCCAGCCATTTCTTATCGAACGTACAGTCGGGTTCGGTAGTGACCTGTCTCAACCGGAAAGCATTGGCTGGGGGTTAACGGGCGCATGGTTTTTGGTCTTCGTTGGACTGGCAGTGAGTCTCTTATCCTATGAATTATAGGAAATGCTTCCTGACATAAGATCAGATCTCCACTGGAGCGTTTTACCATGCCACATATCGGTGATTATACTTTCGTATATATATAGCTCTTGCTCGACTAACACTGATACATCAGATTAGTTACGTCAGTCAGAGGTAGCCTGGTCAGCCTGGTATACTCTAAGACATTAGACCTCAGTGTCACAGCACTAGATGAGTCAGGTACAATGCTTTCTCTTACTCCTGCAGCCAGTGCTCTAACCGGGCCATTATAGTTGCAGTGACACTCATGTCTACTGATTCGGAGAATATTTGCCAGGGTTTTGCAAATTTACATGAGGTCTGGGCGGCCCCGGTAGAGTGTGCAGTAGCTCTTTTTCTGCTGTACAGGCAGCTCGAAATGGCCTTCTTGGCCCCTATGGTAGTGGCAATAAGTAGGTTTTGGCGCATACCATGGAAGATGATGAATTGACTGGCAATCAGTTGCTACCTTTGGGATAATGGGTCTCGCAAAATATATGGGAAACGCTCAAAAGACATGGGTTCGTGCAATTCAAACTCGTGTCGATGTCACGGCATCTATGCTCGCTTCAATGAAGGCAAGTTAGTGATAACAGATTACTCAAACAGTGTTCTAATCAAAAGCCGTGTTTATAGGAAGTCAAAATGCTTGGCCTTACGGACACATTAACTGAGAAGGTTCAAAATCTACGCGTGAGCGAGTTAAGATTCTCAAAATGGGCCCGAAAACTGTTGTGTCTCCGAGTGTTGCTTGGTATAGATACAGCCCCAACCTGTACTATGGCCAGGCTAACGGTGATTAGGATCTAGCTTAAGGACGATTGCACCACTGGCTACATTTGCGACCTTCGTAATACTTTCGAATAGCACAGGAAAACCCTTGGACACTGCATCGGCATATTCCTCACTCTCCCTCATATATCTGCTCGCGGACCCAATGGCTACCATGATCCGGACCATACCAATGATTAGCACGGCAATGGCCTGCTTCGACCGCATCCAGGCCTTCCTTCTATCTGAAAGTTGCAAAGATCACCGACTTCCTTTGAGCGAAAGCAGCTCAAACTTGGGTAGTGTGCATTCCAAACCCACTGCGCCGAATACTGCTACCAATTTAGTCGAGCTGCGGCCTCTAGCAGATGCAAGAGGCTTACGCTTCGGTGATCCGCTGATGATAATCACAAATGCTTGCTTTGGATGGACTGATTCAGAGCCAAAAGTCCTGGACGATATCTCTTGTACAATACGAAAGGGCCAGTTCACTTTTATCGTGGGCAGTGTGGGGTCGGGAAAAAGTAGCCTCGTGAAGCTGATGCTTGGAGAGATCCGGCCATCCAAGGGGTTTGTGTACACTGGTATCCAGGACATAGCCTATGCCGGTCAAACGCCTTGGATACAGAACATGACCCTACGGGCCAACATAATAGGCGTTTCTAGTTACGACGATGCCTGGTATAACAAGGTCGCTCAAGCATGCGCGCTTGAAAAAGACATCATGGACCTTCCCAATGGAGACTACACAAAGGTAGGCACTGGAGGAGTTTCGCTGAGTGGTGGGCAGAAACAACGACTAGCGCTTGCAAGAGTGGTATATTCGAAGAAAGAGATTGTGTTCTTGGACGATGTTTTCGCCGGCCAGGATGCCGCCACCGAGGAGCATATTCACCAAATGCTCTTTGCGAACAGGGGCCTGTTCCGACAGATGGGAACGACGGTTGTCTGTATCACTAACGCAAGTAAGGGTTTCGAGAAAGCATCACTTACCCACATGAAACATCACTGACCACCTCAACAGTTCATCGACTGTCTCATGCGGACCATGTAATTGCCTTAAGTGATAGGGGTCGCGTCTTGCACCAGGGATCTTTCGAAAAGCTTCAGACAGATACTGATTTTTTCGAAGATTTGAACGTCAAGCAAAATGGAACCTTGAACGCTGACAGTGACCTCGCTATGTCTAGCACATCACAATCCGGAATTACTAGACCGCACGCAGTGGACGAAGAGGTCGAATCTTCTAAGCGCATGTTTGGAGAGCTTGCCATATACGGTTATTATTTCGGTTCCATGCCGGCATGGCACTCGTTGCTTCTTGTTGCAATGGTTATACTGCATGGTGGTGGCTATAAGATGACGGAACTGCTGCTCAGCTTCTGGACAGGCCATGCAGTCATTGCCAACGAAACAACCAACAACTTTTATGTCGGACTTTACGGATTGCTTTCTGGTCTGGCAGTTCTGGGGATCATTGGAGCTGCAGTTTTATTTCTCATTTTTATGGTGCCGCACAGCTCTGAGGTTCTCCACGCTCGATTATTGAAAACCGTCATGGAAGCGCCTTTGTCTTTTTTCACCCGGACGGATATCGGGGTCACGACTAACCGGTTCAGTCAGGACATGTCTGTAGTTGACACAGAATTACCATTTGCCTTGATTGATTTATGTCTGAACTTGGCCATTGCACTCTTTGCCGCGGTGCTCATGTGTGTCTTCTCTGGCTATTTTGCAGCGATTTTCCCTTTTGTTCTGTTCCTCTGTTGGCGTGAGTTTTTGATACCTGATGTTGACTCCTGCCACGAGGTCCGTTGCTAACATCGAATGACAGTCCTTCAGAAATTCTATCTCCGGACATCACGCCAGGTCCGAGTCCTCGATCTGGAAGCGAAATCCCCACTATTCACGCAGTTCCTCGAGACCCTCCTAGGACTGTCAACCGTGAGAGCGTTTGGTTGGGAGAGGAACTTTCAAGAGAACCACCTCGAGCTTTTAGACGCATCTCAACGCCCTTATTATTTGCTTTTTTGCATTCAACGCTGGCTAGCACTCGTGCTGGATCTCATGGTTGCTGCCATGGCTACGATTCTGATGGTGTTGGTCGTGAAGCTAAGATCGCAGTTTGCTCCGCAATTTGTGGGATTGGCGCTCCTTAACGTGACATCATTTAATGAATCCCTAGCTTTGATTATCAAAGGCTGGACGATGCTAGAAACGTCATTCGGTGCCATCGCGCGTCTGAAGCAATTCTGCGGAGAGACTGAGACCGAGAACCTGCCTTTGGAGGTGTCACCCGTGCCCGAGGGCTGGCCGTTACATGGCCATATATCTATTAAAAACATGACCGCCTCCTACAGTCCAGCATCCGAGCCAGTTCTGCATAGCATCGACCTGGACATCCCTGCCGGCTTCAAAGTCGGAATCTGTGGCCGCAGTGGTAGTGGCAAGAGCTCTCTCATAGCCTGTCTTCTCCGAATGATTGAGCTTTCTCCAGAATCAAGCATCAAGATCGACGGAATTGACATCGCGACACTCCCACGCCAGGCCGTCCGATCCATGGTTGCAGTTGTACCACAGCATCCATTCTTCTTGAAACAGACCAGCGTTCGAGAAAATCTCACCTTGCAGGGGCAGCGAAACGACGAAGAGATCCACACCGTCCTACGTCGTTTGAAACTAGAAGATCTGGTGAAAAGCATGGGTGGACTCGACGCTGTGCTAGATGTTGAGCGACTCTCTCAGGGCCAATGCCAGTTTTTCTGCCTCGCCAGAGCCATGTTAAGTAATAAGAAAATCATCCTTCTCGACGAGGCGAGCAGCAACGTGGATGAAAAGTCCGAGATGTTGATTCGGAAGGCTGTTCGTGAGCAATTCGCTGGATGCACCGTGATCGCAATCGCCCATCGACTAGGCGCTGTGGTGGACTTTGACCGGGTCGTCGTGATGGATTCTGGCCGGATCATCGAATGGGATGAACCTGGGGCCTTGCTGCAGCGTGATAGTTATTTTAAGCGGCTTTGGGATCTAGGGTCTGGATAGTTGTGGGGACCATTGTGTTTATAGGATGAGTTCAGATAGATCCCTAGGAATAGGAAATAGGAAACATTAGGCATGGGACGCGCTAACCCCATCCAGAAGCCACTTACCTAAGCAGTGCCCGCCTGCTGCCTCAGGTGTCGAAGCCTGCAGCTCCGCATCGAAAAAGAAAATTTCCCCCGCCGCGCATGAATTTATTTTTTAATTGATTTCATTTCACTCTTGCTGCTCCGGAGAAAGGGACGACACTCTTCCCATCCATTCTTCTCTCCGTCCCCTTAGGTATGGATTTCCTCTGCGCTCGACAGTTTCCCCATCCCTTGCACTTTGAAAGCGCGGACTCTCCGTCCGAATCATTCGCCGTGTCGCGCGTGTAGAGCGGCCCTTTACCCGACTGCTCGCATGCGCCTTTATTTTGTTCTCACTCTGGCTTTGCTGAATACGAAGCTACTATGAGTCAGATCGGCTAACATGTTCCTGAATATTACAGTTTTTTTTTTTTTTTTTTTTACATTTAAAAATCTTTTCCTGCCTTTCTCTTACCTCTAATTCCTAGACCTTGAGTCACATCGCACACTTACACAATGTCCGACGAACAGAAGAACGTCAACGCCGACGCGGCGCAGGATGTCCAGAACGTGCTCGCTGAGCTGAAGGGCGACGGCGAGGCCCCCGCCAACGGTGCCGAGAAGAAGGAAGAGCAGGCCCCTACAGAGGATGCCGAGGAAGCTCGCATTGTCGCCGCGGCCGCAAAGCTGGGTGAGAAGTCGGAGAAGGCTGAAGACCAGAAGGACAACAAGACCCAGGAGGGCGAGTCTCGCGACAACAACAACAACAGAAACAACAACAACCGGGGTCGCAACGAGCGGTTCCAGCGCCGCAACAACGCCAAGTTCGACCCCAGCTCGCAGCAGATCACGGACGACCCCGTCGAGATTCGCAAGCAGGTCGAATTCTACTTCTCCGACTCCAACCTGCCCATGGACAAGTTCCTGCTCGGCAAGGTCGGCGGCAGCAGCAACCACTCCGTGCCTCTGGAGCTCCTGCACTCGTTCAAGCGCATGCGCCGCTTCCAGCCCTTCAGCGCCATCGTCGAGGCCCTCAAGTCGTCCGAGACCCTGGAGCTGACCGAGAAGGAGACCGCGGTGCGCCGGAAGACCCCGCTGCCCGAGTCGGTGACGGATTCGCACGACCCCAGCGTCGTCAAGGTGTTCGAGGACAAGGCCATGGACCGCAGCGTCTACGCCAAGGGCTTCGGCGAGGAGGGCCCCACCACCCAGCTCGAGATCGAATCCTTCTTCGCGCCCTACGGCCCCACGAACGCCATCCGTCTGCGTCGTGCGCACGACAAGACCTTCAAGGGAAGCGTCTTCGTTGAGTTCGAGACCGAAGACAAGCAGAAGGCCTTCCTTGCCCTGGACCCCAAGCCCCAGTGGAAGGGCCAGGACCTGCTGATCAAGAGCAAGAAGGAGTACTGCGAAGAGAAGGTCCGGGATATCGAGGCCGGTCGCATCAAGCCCAGCAACGGCCGTGGACGTGGGCGCGGTGGTGGATTCCGTGGTCGCGGCCGGGGTCGTGGCGGCGATAACAAGCGCGACTGGCGTGAGCGCCGGGCCGAGGACCAGAAGAAGGGCTTCGAGGAGCGCAAGGAGGTCCAGAAGGACTCTCGGTAAGACCCCATCCACACCTCTAGAATGCTTCAATAACTCACACATTACCCCCAGTGGTGTCCCCGTGATCCAGAGCACCTCCACCGAGTCGGGCCAGAAGCGTGGTCGCGAGGACGAATCGGCCGCCAACGGCGACCACCCGGCCAAGAAGGTTGACGCGAAGGAGTAATGATATCCAGATGTAATTTGAATGTAAAGCATGGGTTGTTTGCGGTATGAAAGAAAAAGGGAATCTTTGGGGGCCCGAATGGCGTTTTTTCCAAAAATCTTGTGTATTTTGCTCCATTGACAGAACCATTTCATCTTGCTAGACTTAAGTCATCCCGTCTCATAATCATATACTTCACTTGTAGGACTCGTGGGTAATCCATCAAAACTCCAAATCATAAGCCAACGTATCCTCACACAACTCCTCCCTCAACTTATGAACCCTATCATCACAATCAGCCAGCATCCCACCCACCCAACCAACCCCCATAGCAAAGAAAACAACACGAGAAGGGGTGGGGAAGGAAAAAAGAAAACATACTCCAAATGCGCCGGATGGCTCGCATACCCCTCGACATGGGCCGGCGAGTCCAAGACCGCGACAAGACCCATATCGAAGCCCTTGGCGCGAGGCACGGAGATGGGCAGCGGCTGGTTCGTCTTCAGGGACACGAGGCCGGGGATCTTGCCCACCATTGCTTGGGACACGCGCGACCAGTTTTCGAGCTGGGCGGGCGTGACGCCTTGTTTGAGGCGGAAGAGGACTGTGATTTTGTTTAGTGGGGTTGGGTTAGTTTTTTGGATTGAGTGCGGGTGGTTTTTGTTTTTCTTTCTTTGTGAAAATGGAAAATAGGCAGGATGGAAGACGTACCGATGTGATAGACGGGCATTGTTCTGGGAGGCAGAGAGATAGAAGCGAGAAAGAGTTAAGAGGGATGGAGTCACTGGATGAGGGGTTTAATATTGCGGAGAATCGCGGAGGGGAGAAATCGGGGCGTCTCCGATCCTGGCGGGGAAGTTGTCGATGGTCTTTGGACATCATCTTCCAGATAGAGGAGTTTACTCTCATAGTGTAACGATAGTGTATAGTTAGACAATTAGACATATGCAATTCATTGCTCTTCCCGAATCGTCTCGTGGGATATCTAGTATCTACAGCCAACCCCCAAGTATAGAGAATCATTTCTTCTTCTTGGTCTTGTCCACCGTGTCCACCCATTGCGACTTGAGCCCTCGTCGGGACAGCGCCGTCTCCAATGCACGTCGCTGATCTCCCTGCACGAGAACCTCCATCACGCCCTTGGGCGCCCCGTTGGCTTGGGTCACGCTAGTGCTGCTGGCGCACTTCTTCTGCAGCTCCTCGGCCAGCAAGCTCGGAATGATGCCGAAGACCTCTAGGTTGGAGACCCGCGTAACGGTCTTCGAGCCCGTTCGACGCTCCAGAATCACGTTGGCCTTGGGGGCTACCCCAGGCCGGGGTTTCACATCGGCCAGCGTTTGTCCGGCCCGGAGAATCACGTAGTATCTGTTCAACAGGCCGTTGTCTTCCACGATTCGCTTCAGGAGGCCGTCGCGCGTGGTCTTTCCGCGGGCGACGGTGCTTTTGTCCTCGGCGGACGAAGATGTGAAGATGCTATTGGCGAGGAAGGGGTTGAGGTTGATGATGCGGCGGTTTTCCTTGCTGACGATTGGAGGGTTCTGAGCCTGGAGATATTTGTCCAGCGCGTTGGAGACGTCCGTGTACTTGTAATAGTTGTTGGGGTCGGTGCTGGATAACGCTGCAAAGAGAGTCGGCACGACCTTGGGCGTTGGGCGGTAGAGCGTTTGGACGGTGAGCGTTTGGCCAACGGCAGGGTCGCCTCCATCAGCCTCGGGCTTCTTGGCTCCAGCTGCGCCGGACTTCCCAGCGCTCTCGAGGGCGTTTTTGTTAGGAAGTCGGTAAGGGACAAACTGTTCCACGCGGCGGTCATTAAAGTCCACATCCAAGATGATGGTCTCTTGACCATTGCGGTCCTTGGACTTGACTAGTCGCTGCTTGTCCAAATACTTGATGAATTTCTTGACGTTCTTCCAGCTCGTCTTCTTGATCTGATAGAATTGCGCTTGCTGTGCCGTGTATATAGGAAGGAATGGCGTGATCATGTTCGAGATGAGAGCGGAGGGTTGGATGGGGAGGGATAGACCGTGGTTTGGGGATGAGGGATTGTCTTGCTTGAGCTTGTGCAAGGAGTAAAGGAATGCCTTTTCAAAGGCCTCGTCAATTTCTGCGCATGGTTAGCAGCCGTGAAGAAGTAACGGAGGTTGTATGCAGGGGATACCTTTCATAGAAGGCTCCTTTTCCACCGGAGCTGCTTCCGTCTCCTCGGGCTCATCCTCGGGGGTTTCGCCTAGAGGCTCCTCCTGCCCTTCGGTTTGGCCGGCGTCCTTTTCAGCCAACGTCAAATCATCCAAGCTCTCCTGGACCTCCTCTGCACCTTCCTCCTCACTCTCGAGATCCTCGTCCCAGCCCTCGATATACTCCGGAGACGGTTGTCCAGGTCGGGAAGATGAACTCCAAGCCCACAACTCATCTCCCTCCCAATGCAAGCCTCGGACTGCATGTCCCTTCGAGCCCTGGACTTCCCCGAGGGCCGAAATATCAATCTCGCAGATCCCCACAAACAACGGCACCGTATGCCGGTCCAGACCCGCCACCGCAATCACGGCTCCCTTGACCGCACGCTCGGGGAACGGCGGCTCATTCGCCAACCCGGGTGTCATCAGATCGGCGCCTCCACGCAGCTTCTGCATCACGAAATCCGGAGTGTGCACCAGGGGAACCAGGTTGGGATTATTCCACAGCGTGTAGACGGTGGGGTATAGGCGTCCATCGGCACCGGGGCCGTGGTCCAGCCTGAACCACAGAATCCGCTCTTCATTCCCTCCATGTGATCCGACGTACACTGTGCCCTGCACCTCCTTCAGCTGAGGTCCCGCCGTCGTCGTGAAGCGCGCGGACAGCGAATTATCGGGGAGAAGAGCATTTCGGACGGTGGTGAGACTCGGCGCGGTGGTGGCCGATGCGCTGGAGTCTTCCGCTGGGGTGTTGGAGGGAACTTCGATCTTGTAATCGCTGATGATTTGGTCGGCGATTTTTCGACGATCGGAAGACCGCAGAGGGGACAGGTTTTTGATCTATGAAGGACAGAGTTAGCGCTTGTGGTCGAGGAAGAGAATCCACGATTTTGTTCGCATCGGAGAAGCAATGCGGGGGAGGGGTAGCCGACCGTGGGCTTCTTTTTGAACATGGCGAGGGATCAGAGTAGGATAAGGTAGGATGCCTGTTCCTAGACAGATTTGGTTTTCTAGAATCAATGAGCCTTTCCTTTTTCCAATGAGACCGCGTTAATGAGGAGGTTGTTTACAAGACTTTCTTATCGGAGGGCACTGGACAGCCATGACATATTTGGAAGGCGGTCTACATAAAACCGGCAGAACTTCTCTACAATCCAAAACACTTGATCTTGTTTTGTCCTTCATCTTCTTGTCGGTAGATAATTGGGGAGACAGCCCTGGCCAAAGAGGGGGGGATCCAGATGGCCTGAGACTCGAGCGAGCACGACTGGTGATGCTTACAGTATACCCACTCCGTCTCATGTAGTTGCACTGTATTTACAATCACCCAGGCAGCCATCAAATGCATGCAATGCATCAATATCAGTCATCCTTTGAGTTTGGACCATGTGATATTGCCATCTCAAACGTTGAGATTGGAAGCGATTGATCATTAACATGCAGCTTCGGAGGCCGAAGCGATCCGTCACTCCGGGGTGTATAACATGCCAGATGCCTCACCTCTGCCGTAGCTCACCCATTCCAAGTTCAACGCCTCCCACGTTGCTAAAGACAACAACATGCCTGCGTCCCCAAGAACCATCTCCGTCTTCGGCGCCACAGGCCTACAAGGCGGCTCCGTGGTCCGCTCTTTGTTGAGAGACAAAATCTCAAGCTTCAAAGTCCGAGCCATCACAAGAGACACGTCCTCCGAAAAGGCTCAGACGCTACACAGGCTCGGCGCCGAACTAGTTCAGGCCGATGGCTGGAACCAGGGGGAAGTCCGGGACGCTGTCTCTGGCTCGTGGGCGGCCTTTGTGAATACCAATTCCGATGATCCGGTCTGTATACCTTGTTTTGTGTTCTTCAGGGACCTCCGTTGATAGGGTTGTGCAATTCAAGATCTTCCTGAACCCGGAAGGCCCGACAGAATTCGAACTGGGCAAGTCCATTATCGACGGGATTTGCAGCGCAAGGGTGAAGAATGTTATCCTCAGTACAATGAAGCCTGCTGGGGAGGCGACCGGGGGCAAACTGGCAATCAGGACGATGGATAGTACGCATCTACTCTTATTTGCAAAGTCCCCACGTCCGAGATGCAGGTGCTGACTCCTGTTCCCAGTGAAAGCACGCATTGAATGCTATGCGAAACAGACCGGCAACTTCGACACAATCTGCTCCGTCCACGCAGGCTGGTACTACGAGTTTTTTCTCTCTGAAACAATGGCGCACCTCCACAGCGGATTTCCTTACCATCCGGACCGCGAGGGCTACTTGAGCCTACATTTGCCGCGATGGGGAGACGAAAAGGACGAGGGGGTGCCGTTCTTAGCTACTGCCGATGACTTTGGAGATATCGTTCATGGGATGCTGCTCGATATAGAGGCGAGCAATGGGAAGCACATTCAGGGTGTGAGTGAGATTTTCACTCTGCCGGAATTCGTGGACATTTATGCTCGAGGTACGTCTCTTCACCCGGGTGTTGGATGCATCAATGAGAAAAATGGCTGACTGGCTTGCCTGTATACATGTGTAGTCACGGGGGAAAAAGCTCGATATGTCCCACTGCCTTCATGGGAGCGGTTGGGCGAGGGAATTCCGGAGATGGAAGACGCCCGGTTACTCTTTGCGTATGGCGAGCTGACTGGCGGCCGTTATTTTGGAAATGAGCCCTCGTCCACCGCAGAAGCAGCTTCATTGAAGAGGCTGGCAGCGAGTGCTCAGGGGAAAGATGGCGGTGATTTGCAGTTGACTACGCTTGCTTCTTTCTTTGAGAGACATTTCAAGAATAACGAGGAGGCGTGAGAGTTCTGGCAATGGATATGGCATTTAGTGGCAAGCCCATAGTAGCAGCCCTAGCACTTCAACTCAATTTCCAAGTCCAAGTGCCTCCCTGGGATCTTTCAAGTCCACCCATCCATGAAAGGGCTCACTGGCCGCGAATCCAAGGCGCTGCATAACCTCAGGTGAGTACTGGGCCAGCTGCTCCTTACTCAGGGTAAGATACTGGTTCTCTTCCTGTTGACGGCAATCCGGGTTAGCGGGCCAAAGGACCCCATGCTTATCGGCAGGGGGATTTCAAAAGAGCATACCTGTCTCAAGTACCCCTTGGTATAGAACGCCGAATAGATCGTCCTTTCTCTGTCCGACCGATTCGCCGATCCGCCGTGAAAACACGATGCGAGCATCACAAACGCATCGCCCGGCTCCAACCCCACAGGAACCGCCATCCCCTCGTCTGGCCTCCTCTCGGTATCCCAGAGATGTGAACCGGGAATGAACCGTGTAGCACCGTTCTTCTGGTTTGTCTGCGTAGCCGCAACGAAGATCCCCACGGCCGCATCCCTGCCGGGCTGGTATTCCTGCGCGCTAATGGCAGGGAGTCGATGATGCAGGCCCATGTCGTCGCGGTGGAGCTTCTGGGGCTCGTTCCCGGGGTGGTTGGAAATGGCGATAGCGGCGTTGAGCTGTGGCTTGGAGGTAAAAATCTCCTGGCTTTCGGTGCCGTACCAGCAGGTGTATGTGGAGGTGAGGAGGTGGTCGCAGATCTCGAGGAAAAGAGGATTGCAGGCGATGTTGGTGATAAAGGAAGGAGATTTGGCTGCGATACTGGAGACTACCCGGCTTTTGGTGCTGAAGAGGGAGTCGCTCTCCCAGAAGGAGGAGAAATGGGGGGTTAGATCGGTGGATATCTGCGAGAGGATATCCGGGGGGATGAGGTTGCAGAGGACGATGCCTCCATCTCGGGCGAGGGAATCGAGGGCCTCGTTGGCTGTAGCGATGTGTGCGTCGAGTCTTTGGAGCATTGCTACGGACGGGTGGATGGATTGGACAGGTAGCTAACAGGACAAGTGAGATGAAGAATGAAGACTATACTGTTGCTCGCCGGAGACTCCGACTGGGAACCAGGAAGCCAGGGAGATATGTATCTATCTTATGCCAGCCCTACTCTCCCTAGCTGGCAAGCATGCCCGGAACCACTCCTCCAAACGCAACAGCCTAGCCTGACCACCTTCCTTTCCCTGTGCCTCAACTGCCAATCTTTTGAGCTTCAAGGCCGTGTCCGTCTCGGTGGGCACGTCACCGAAATATCGCCCCCCGGTTGCCTGCGTAAATGCAAAAAGCAGTCGATGGTCGTCCAACTCAGGGATCCCCTGCCCAAAATCCTCCCAGGACCCAAGCGGGATGTATCTGGCTTTCTGCCCGGTAGCTGCAAGCCATTGTTAGAGCGATCGATCAAATGAAAGGCCAGGAGAAAAAGAAATGATCCGGCGCGCGTTACACGGTGAGAGATTGGATTACCTACCGTCCTCAAAAGCTGCAGTAACATCCTCAAAACTCAAAACGTCGCTTGTAGCAGGGATGGACTTCCCATTCCATTCCTCCGGCTGGAGTAACACGCCATGCACGATGTCCCCAAAGTCATGCGTGACACTCACAAAGGAAGGCAACTCGACGTCTCCCCAGACCGGGGGCCGGAACGTAAAGTATCCATCTGAGTCCTGGACCAAGGGAAAACCCCCGAATACGTCCGCGGTGGAGCGGTCGAGGAACTGCTCGAAGTACCAGGCTGCGTAGATGCCGCAGATGGTGGTGAAGTGGTTCGTTGCGTGGGCGTATCTCAGGGCGCGGTATTTCACTGCTTCCCAGTTACCACTGATTAACCAGCAAGGGAGTCTACTGGAGTACGTACTTTCCATGGGCTTGATGAAAAGCTTCCCCTGGGTCTGCTCCAGCGAAGAGGCAAAGCAGCTATACACGAGATGCTGCACACCAGCAGCGCCCAGGCAGTCGATGATCGTCCGACCAAGATCCAACTCCGTTGGTCCGTCGGGTTGGAGAAACGACTAGCCAGTCAATATCGGATCGAGTCTCGCCAATATCAGAGAGGTTCAGGAAAGCCAGGCTCACCGGATCATCCGAGTTGGTATTCACAAACGCAGCCCAGCTCCCAGCAAACGCCCTGGTCAACGCATCTCGATCCCACCCGTCAGCATGGACGATCTCGGCGCCGAGTGCAGCCAGCGATCTGGCAGCGGCGGAATCTGGATGGCGACTGACGGCACGGACGTGGAAGTTTGAAATCCGGTCGGCGAGGAGCGACCGTGCCACGGCCCCAGCCTGCTTGCCTGTGCCGAAGACGGTGATTATGCGGCGTGCAGAGGTTGGATCTGGAGGCATTGGAACTGTTTCTGATGTTGGGGGTTGGAACGATGCTCGGTGCTGAGCGGAAGGGGAACAGAGTCCGGACAGGAGGGGGTTTAACAAGAGCAGGTTTGTATCGGATCTATTCCCGATTCTAATAAGAAGCAGCGTTTTGGGTTGCCCTTGAGAGATCGGAGGGCCCAGATACTCCGTACTCCGCAGTTGGCATTCGGATGACGTCGAGAAGACGAGTCTTTTCTCGGTGAGAATTGCTGTTCTGACTGAGCTGTCAGGTCTTTTTCGGAATTGGAGAAACATAGCTACTGGATCGATCTATCCACATGTGCCATTGCTCATAGCGCTGGTCCGATACGACGCCAAAAAGTCAATATACCTCTTCATCAGGACCTGCCCCAGAACCGGAAACTCCAGCTTTCCCCCCGGATATCCTGCCAAAGCCCTTTCTGTATTGGTGGTCTCGTACGTGGGCATGCTCTCGTAGAGCTCCCACCGCGTCAGATTGTGTCGCACCTTTTCTACCAACATGGGCTGCAGAGGCTTCAGACGCTCGGGCGTGCACTCCAGCAGTTTCGCGATCCATTCGCCGTATGGAAGCGCTTTGATTGGACATTCACTAGCCCTCGCCACTAGCTCCATCGATGAATCCATGTCGATGGATGCCTTGGGATCGGAAGGGACAAAGTGGTATGCATGCCCGAGACACGATGCATTGGAGGCGATATGCAACAACGCCGCATTGACATAGTCCACTGGAACAAACTCCTTGCGCTGCCTCGGGAGGTGCGGATAGCATTGCATCTCTTGACAGGACTGGATAAGGCGGCTGAAGAAGTCGTCTGGATTGCATGCCCCAGTCTGACTATGGCCGGTGATGAAACCTGGTCGATAGATTGCTATCGGAGCACCTCGATCCATGAGACGACGGAGAAGCTGCTCAACCACCCATTGGCTTTGGGCGTAGCCGTGATCGTACGGGAGTGCCTTGAGATGTGGAGTGAGCGCCTCGTCTTCGTGCACTACTTTCGTGCCGTTAATGGATCCGGTTGGACCGAAGCAGGAGATGCTGGACATGTAATGGATTGACTTGGGGCGGCCTGAAAAGGCGAGTCGAATGACATTCAGCGTTCCAATGGTGTTGGCCGGACGATGCAATGAGTAGGGCTGCGTATAGTTGACGCGGGCACCGAGGTGGAAGATAACGCTGGCCCAGTTGGCGACCTGGTTGAAGCGCTCCAGGCCGAGGCCTAGGTGTCTGTCTTCTAGATTGCCAGGGAAGACTACTAGCTTCTTATTCATGAATCCTTTTTCCTCCCAGAGGTGGTACTTGTGCATGGCTTTCCGAAGGCGTTGCGTTGCCTCGGCGGTATTGGATCCACGGACAAGACACCCAACTTGGTGTACATCAGGCCTGCGCAGCAACTCTGCCAGCATAAATGATCCCACGAACCCGGTCGCCCCGGTTATAAAGACCCGACCCTCGAGGTCACTAGTCCAGTCCACTGGGGCCTGGGACGAGATGCATACATCATCGGCGAGACGGGAGTCGGCCAGCCAGATGTTGCGTTCATCACGGATTGTCTCACGGGGATCAGCGCCAGTGCCGGCGCGCTTTTCGGCAAAAGCAGCCAGTGATCCGAACGTTGAGTGGTCGTAAAGCGCCAGGAGAGGAACTTCCACGCCGCACTCACGTCGAATCTGGCTTATGAGTAGAGATGCTTGCAGCGATGTGCCCCCTAGAGTGAAGAAATCATCACCGTCTTGATAGGTGTAGCCCCGGGACGGAGGTAGGATACGAGCCCACAACCTACTCAGTGTCGTCCTGATATCCTCAGACTTTGCGCTCTTCAGAAGAGCGCTCGGGGCCTGCCACCGGTTGCGGAAGAGCTGCACCAAGCCTTTTCGATCCACCTTTGCGTGACTGTTCAAGGGAAACTTTGAAACGAGCTCCAAGTGCTGCGGGATCATGTAGTCGGGGAGTATCTTGGCCAGTAACTGCTTGGCTTGAGAAGTCTCGGTGGAGCTGGAGGGGTCCGAGAGGATGACATAGGCAACTAACAAAGAGCCCGCACCTTGCTGTAGCTCTGGGACGTGGAGGGCAATAGCTTCAGAGAATAGACCGGTCCGGAGAAGCCCGCTCTCGACTGCACCCAGGTCGACCCTGAACCCGCGGATTTTGACCTGGTGGTCTACCCGGCCAATGTAGTCAATCTGGCCGTCCTTGCGTTTGCGTACGATGTCTCCTGTGTGGTAGAGTCGGACGGGCTCTCCAGACGCAGTCATGCCCTGGACAGTCGTAAACGCAGCCGAGTTCCTTTTGGGATCGTTAATATACCCAGCAGACACACCCGGGCCTCCAATCCAGAGCTCTCCTTCATCAACCTCCCGGCCTGCCTCGTCTGCAATGTAGATCACTGTACGGCCTATCGCACTGCCAATACTGACAGTGCCAGCCTCGACGTCCTCAAGACTGACCTGCCGCGCCAGGCTCCAAACACAACACTCCGTCGGCCCATAAGCGTTGACTAACGTCACCGGCGGACCACCTCTAAGAACCCGGCCTATTGCTGCTGCATTCGCGGCCTCTCCTCCAATCAAGTAGATCCGCAGCTTCGCAAACGCCCAAGGACACGTCGTAGCGGCTAGGTTAAGCAGGGCAGACGTGGTTGCCATCACCGTGATACCGAGCTGAGTGATATGGCTTGCCATAAGCGGGAGGTCCAAAAGAACCATCCTATGGAGCACAGCAATGCGCGCGCCTCTCAGCAGCGGACCCCAGATATCGAATAACGAGACGTCAAAGCTGCTGTTGTTGACATGTGCGACGACATCGTCCCGCCTTACTGGTTCCAAGGGCGCGTGGTAAACAGCATGAAGTATAGACCGCGCTGCAATCCCAACTGCTTTTGGGTCGCTGGTTGTTCCGGATGTATGAATGATGTGCGTGCGGTGGTTGAGATCCGTACAGACCGGGTACACCGGTTTCGCCTCTTCTGCCGGCATATCAGGCACGCCCCAGCCCACCAGAATCCGAGAGAACGGCAGGTTTCTCGCGCCGTTTGGTGCGTCGACGAGGGCCGTCTTTGCTCCAAGGCGCTGTAGCCGTTGTGTAATCAACTCGTCCGATAGATTTGGATCGAGAGGAACGCAACTTCCCCCGGCATACACCACAGCCATCTGGGCCACGATGTACGCCACACCATGCTGAACGACAATCCCCACGGGCTCCTCTCGGGAAACGGTCTCTTTGGACAGGGCCCCGGCCAAACGACAGGCCAAGAAATGCAGTTCTCTGTATGTGACCGATACTTCCCCATCGACGACCGCAACGGATGTAGCAGACTGCTGGGCCTGGCAAAAGAAGAGTTGTCCCAGGCCCTGGTTGCGAGTCACGGCCGAGTCGTAGTCTTGTGGTGGTAGCGTGGTAATGGCCATAGTATTGGTGCAGTGGTGTTGCAGATCCGGATACCCCGAAATGCTCCTAGTTGAACAGGAGAAGGTTTATATCTCATTCACCATCACCGGTAGGCCTCTACCTACTGCATCTCTTCCCGGTGCTCCGGTGAAGCAGGGCGATTTTCTTTTTCTCGGTCGAGGGCCACGACCTGGCAAACATACGTGCCCCCAGCAGGTGGTTGGCTGACATTTGTTGCATGCTGCAGTCATAACTCTCCTGATCCGGTGATGTACATCGAGTGTTCTGGTATTTGTCTTACCCCGGAGATATCAGCCAGCAGCTCCGTTCCGCAAGATTGTTTGGGCAAGTCGGTGACCGTGGTGACTCGGGATGTGGCAAAGAATCTCACCGGAAGCCCGTCAGAGAACATGAAGCAAGTCCATATACACATCGTCAGTTCCGTTCGAAATGATAGTTACGCAATCTCACCAACCCTCCTCAGCGCATCCCCAATCCACCGTCTCACAATACTTTCATCTTCCAGCCCAACATTCAACCGAATCATATGCTTCGGCAATCCATACTTCTCGCACATCTCCTCATCCCAAGCCGAATACGTAAGCTCGCCATACGGCACCGCCATGGTAAAAGTTGCCTCAAAGCTCGCAGACTTGCAGCACCCCAGTCTATCATAGAAAGCAGCTGCAGCTATCACGACGATGGTGTTCCCGTTGATCGCCAGACTAAGCAAAACCAAATAACATCAGTTGGGAAACTGGGAGTTAGGGGCGCATGAAACTAAGAATCAATTACCTCCTAACCATAACATTCGCAGCCCCATTAAACAGCTTGGTCAGACTGCTCATCGCCGCATCCACGTAGGGCAGTATGTCGACGTTAATCGACGTTAACAAAGTTCCCCATCGTCTCATCACAGGCAACGATGAACCCATATTCTTGGACCAGAGCATGGATACGCTGAAGATCGGGTGACTCGAGCTTCACGGAGCTCTGTCCCTGGGCGGTATAATGTATATGCTGTGGCCACCGAGCGGGCCAGAACGACGCGAATTGCTAGAGGAGGACCGACGGGGGGTGTGGAGGCCGAAAGAGAGAGGCTTGTACGGTCGCTGCGGGTAGCTCGGTTCCGTGGGTTGATGTGTTGCAGATTGGGATTGTACTAATTGTGGATTGGACGCTGGCGAGGGCTTTGTAGATAGATTCTGCATCGTGGACGGCCCTCTGAGGTTTGCAGAGGGGCGACGCGAAGAGGCGTTGTTGGTGGGGGGAGAAATCCGACGCAATTCGAGGTTTTTCTTTATTCCAGGCATCTACACATGATGGACCACAGCGATGAAGAAAATTACAAGGAACAAAATGGAGGCTTGAAAGTCCAAAAAATGAATTTTTCTAGTTACACACGTAAGGATCTCGGATCCATTAGATATAAAATGGTAGAATGTAGACTCAAACCATTCGAGTGGAATGTGGCAGGGAAAGAACGTCTATTCGGTTCGTAACCCGGTTGTCTGTGACCTGAGAAATAATTTAGGCAGAGACGTCACGGGCGTGCTTCTTGTCGGTGACCAACCACGAGAAGGTCTCGCTGAGCAGGTTGAGGAACTGGTCGGCCGAGAGCGAGTTGAAGTACTCGGTCAGGCTGCTGCTGGAGGTGCCGGAGGGAGCGGGAGCGCTGGAGTCAGAGCTGCCGGTCTCGGTGGAGGCGGCGGCGGTGGTCTGGCTGGGGGCGTCCTGGACCTTGGTCTGCTGGGCAGGAGTGCCGGTGACGGTCACGCTGGCGACAGCGGTCGAGGTCTGGTAAGCGGTAGCAGTGCTGGTCTGGGCACCACCGGCACCACCGGCAGCGGCCGTGGTGGAGGGAGCGGCAGTGGCGGAGGGAGCAGCGCTGGAGCTGGCGGAGCCGCTGGAGCCGGAGCCGGAGCCGGAAGAGGCGCCAGAGTACAGAGCAGGTCCGGGGATCTCGTAGGAGTCAAGGCTGGAGTAGATGCTGATGAGGATGCCGGGGTCGGAGTCGGTGTAGAGCTTGGTACCAAGGGTGCCCTCGGGCTTGTCGCTGCCGCCACCGGTGACCTTCAGGTTGAAGCACTGGGGGTAGTTCTGGGCGCCGTCCTTGTTGCCGGCGGAGTGGAGACCGATGATTTCGTGACGGAGGACGTAGTTGCCGGCGGCAATGCTGTCGGGGACGGTGACGGTCCAGCTGTTGTTGTTGCTGATCAGCTCGTCGGAAGCCCAGGTTCCGGGGACGTCGCTGTCGTCAACGAGACCCTTCTCGTCGATCTTGAAGAACTCAAGGGAGGTCTTGTCGACCTTGGAGCAGTCGCCGTTGCAGTTGGCCAGGTAGGTGATGACGGGGCCGTGGTGAGACTCGGGCCACTCGGTCCACTGCAGCTCAACCTTGCCACCGGCAGCGATCTCAGCAGAGATGGCACCGGGCTTAGCGCTCTTGTGGCAGATGATGTCGGCGTTGGAGTAGTCGCTGCCGTCAACGAAGCCCAGGTCGGTGGCCTCGGTGGACCATCCGATGGTGTCGGGGGGGCTGTCGGTGTAGGCGTAGGAGGTGACGATGTATCCTCCGTAGTACTTGCCGTCGACAACGGCACCCGAGACGTAACCGTGACCGGCGACCAGGGCGGCCGATCCGAGGACAACACCAGCGATCTTAGCGATAGACATGTTGCTTGTTGTGATGATGATTAACGCACAGCGTAATCGAGTTAAGAGACCGAATGGGGTGGATAATAAAGAATGACGAAACGAATGGTCTTCAGTCAATGAAGCCGAAAAGAGAAAAATGAGAGAATGGAAGGTTCTGAGACCCTGAGGAAGAAAGGAATGCGGTGGTGATGAGAAGGAAGAAAGAGAAGTCGGCTCAGCATCGTGAAGGACCGGGTTTTTATATGATTGTGGCCGTTGCCCATCGGTCTGTCTCCTTCGGCCATCGCCAACCCCCCCGCCGGCGCTCAGACCAGGACGGTGTGCTTGGAACAATTAATGAAAGGTTCGTCGCAGGCGTTAATGCGGCACTCTGATAGATTGTCTGACAGCTCTTCTCAGATCTCACTGGTTCGGAGCCCCTCTGATAGGTGGAGAATCGGCGCGATATGGCCACGGAGTCTGAGATTGATGAAAGACAAGCACCGGGGCCTTGCCCAAGGACGCGCCGGCAAGTTCCAGCGTTGAAGAACGAGTCCACTCCACCAGGAACCGGGACTATTTGCAGGCTAGCGCTGCCCACACCGACCAGGACGAAGACCGCATCGCAGGCCTTCAGCCCTTCACCATCGCGAGTCGGCGAGTCAGGGGTGGAGCCCCGTTCCTGGCGCTTGCCTGCGACAGTCTAGGTTTCAACCTTGAGCTAGTCTTCTCCGCCCTGCCAAGAATCAATATTAAAACCTCTGCCTCGTGGTTCGGGCAATTTGCCATTCTCGTACCTGATTGAGGATAGATCACGAGAATCGTGGTGATATTAATGATCTGGGCGCGTATTCGGAGATTTGCACAAGAAAGCCAAGTGCTTGGGGGGTTCGCGAAAGGAAAATCGGGAAGATGCGATGGCAGCCGCTTCGGTCGGCCAAATCAGCTGGGCTCCACGTGCCCTCCGCTGCCCTACTTTCTCCGACGCTCTCCCTGATATTCCCATTCCTCCGGAGTCTTTCCATTCTGTTGTTGCACTATTCTCCATAGTCTCTCCCCCTTGGATCATCCGGCTCCATCTGCAACCCTGACGAATTCCACTTGCCTTGCTAGCAAATAGCAGTACCGTTAATGGCGCCATGATCCCATCCTGTCACGCCGCATTAATAAAATCCGAATATTAATAGTTGTGATACGTTCGACTCGGCGAAGGAGATTAGGGGGTAAATTGCAGGAGCCCCCATCGAGACCCTCCTTGGCATCTCCTAACGGTGGTCGGTCTTTGTGATTTAGGCCCTATTAGCGTCATGCTGATTTACCCGTGGCGTCTGGACCATGCTCATCCGGTCGATGGCTCGATGACCAGCTACGAAAATGACGGCATTAACCGGCATCCCGGTTGATTGCTTTCATTTAGTTCCTAGGGCCAAGGGATCCCCTCTTTCTCATCCTGTACGCAGTATAGGGGCTTCCATCGACTAAGCGCCCTCGGGGAAGCGTCGGCGCGATCCAAGACAGGAGAAGCCGTCAGCTCGGTGGCGACTTGGCTCATATATTGATTAATATATGAAGTGGGACTGTGATCCGGGTTGCATGCAACTATCACCTCCTTAGACTGAAACATCTAACGGCTGGCGTTGCCGCCATGTCTGACTCGAGCCCGTCCGTTCGAATCCGCTTGTGACCCGTTGCGATCAATCCAAGCTTTTGCTCGTACTACATAGGGCACTTCCGGATACTCGCCGACAGATGAAACGACCGTGGGCGGTATATAGGGGAGCAGCTCTTCCCTTTCATCTAACAACACGGTTTATGCTTAAATCGCATGGCTGGCCCGGCAGTGCTGTCGGTTTTATTTTATTTTTTATTTATTTTTTGGGGGCCCGCACTTTATTCTGTACAGCTTTCCGGAGGAATCTAGAAAGTCCAAATAATTGTGCAGGATGGGGGCCATCATTTCTAGCGAAATCAGGACGTCTTGCTCGTAGGTACTTTTGCTTGCTGGGCAAATTAAAGCGAAAATTATCTGGGGCGAGAGATAATCGCAACAAGCGCCACAAATGCCAGTGCTCGACTGGAATCTACGGGGTATTAGATACTCCCTAAACTCGGTGTCCACGGAGCTTCAGGCTGAATATCAGGATTTGTAGACTCCTGTATGGGCTCAAAGCATTATGAGCCTAGTACTCCGTCTGTCGTTTATAAGCTCGACGGTGCCTAGTTGATGGGTCGGATGAGGTACCCTGTGTACTCCATGTGTCTCACAGCAATCATTTTCTACTTTCTATAAATAAACTACACTCATATATTGTCATGTAGTAGGAATCACTTTCGATACCTCGTCAGTCTTATCCGGACAGCAGGGTTAAAATGTAGGTACGGTTGTGCTTGTATCTAAAGTTGCCTTGACGGATCAACTAGGAATCTTTCTCCGTCTTGTTCTTGAATGGTCTCGAGTACGTACTCAGGGATACAACGCTCATGCAGGTGCACTGCAGCAGCGTTAATGCAAGAGAGACTATGATAATGTCTAGGTGTTTTTGACACCGGTCTAGACTTGGTGATCGACTACTCCGCACAAGAGTAGATAGGTTTATCCCAAGATTTCATTTTGCTGAACACTCGATGGGTATACACTTTGTTGTTCAATATGCAATGGACCTACTCCGTAGTTATAGAGAAATCGTTTAGGTGGTTTGAGTTCTTATACTCCATACTCTGGCAAACACGAAAAAGTGTGGGAGGCGTCGACGGGTGGTCTTCTATCATATATATACCTGCAGCCCGTTGTCGTCAGGCGGCGCAGATAACCCGGACGAAATAACCGAATTGTATCCTTGACGGTCCGAATCGCCCGAAAGCAAGCAGATCTACCAATGCCACGGCGTATGTATAAGCCCATAAAGATCGGCCTAGCCACCGAAAGTGAGACACCATGGATGAATCCCGTAGTGATATTACCTTTATGGACGCTTGAAGCGAGCGAACCAAGACGCAAAGTTCGTATCTTACTCCGACATCGACCGACAAAGAGGTGTGATCGCCGACGACGGAGCTGCTAGCCCTGTAAGGCATGCATTCGGCCTGTCAAGTCTGTCGAGTCGGGAATTGAGAGCCAATGATTCGCTCCCCATGGGTTAGTTAGATGCATGAATTCAGACCGTCCCTCGCAATTCACGGCAAAGATCGAGGCAACGTGCTTATCATTTGAATCTGGCCGGCGCAGACAGTACGGCGGCTGATTCCCTGCCTCGTACTACCCAATAAGACGTTCAGATATCCCCATACTGATTAGACGGAGGGACTTGTGCACGCACGGTCGTCAGCGACAGGCGGGATGGCGTAACCCCGGAGGGCTAGTCAGAGCATGACGAATGGCCTCTTTCGGCGTCACGGTGCAGATGAGAAGTTAGGACAAACCAAGGGATGACGGTTGTGAGCATCGTATTCAACGCCGCCCGACCAGGAGGGCAGTCCGATGACTCAAATATTCTGTTGAGAGCCTGAAGGAGCAGGAGCTGTTTTTAGTCAGCGGTAACTTTACCGTCGCCCAGACGGCACCAGTCCCAATTGGGCGAGGCCGTTAGTCATCCACGGACGGAAGCGCGCGGCCACCAATCAGCGGCCGCCCGTTGCGCGAATTGAAATTCGGCTGCCTGGTTAATCCGGCCGCCATGTGTCCCGATTGACCCTAGCGCCGTGTACCGTCACTGGCGTACCGCTGGCAGTGTTTCAATCTTACCGTCTGTCAATTTGCAGGACGTGCCTGAGGTATACCAGGACTTGCCCCTTTCTTATCGCTTCGTCGCCTCGTTGCCTCCACGCTGACTCGACGCAGCCCTTCGAGTGTGCGCATCGAGAGTATCCAGAGGTGCCACGGACTACGTCGACTGCTTTCTTGCTGAGGGCACCATCCGAAGTACCCAGTACCACACACCGCAATCAATAATAAATCAATCCAATCCCTTTTTGGCGCCCACCGCCTCGGACCCTCGCCGCTCTAGTTTTTCCTTCCTTCTCCCCTTTCCCAGCCAGGACGACTGCGCCGCCCCGTCTCCGCCCTTACGCCGACCTTACCTTACTTTTCTCTTCCCCAGAACATTATCTCACCCTTCCCCTCAATCCGTCGATCCGTCTGATACTCCGACTCGGCTGCCTTCGATTTAGTTCGATGAGGGGTGCTGTCAGTCTGAAAGGTTGGACCTGTGCGCCCTGAGCGACCGTCACTTCTTGCTGAGCCGGCCAATTCTGTGCCGACCGTCTTTTTCAACCCTGCTTGTACGATCGGTGTGAGAACGCGGTGATTTGTTTGGACCTGGGAAGACAACTCCAAGGACTCTACTCGGCGTTGCCAGCCCTCATAAATCCTCCTTGGTCCGGTGCGTTTCCTCGGACACTCAAGGATGGGACCGGCTGAGGCTGCCTCTTCGCCCGTGTTCCCCGTCTTGGACCCGATCGTTGTCGACGACGACATGGACGCCGCCTACCAGGACCCCAATCTCGACTTTCTGGACCCGTCAGGCCTGTCTGCTACGACCGAGAGTGCTGGCCGAGACTTCGACGACCTCTTTGCCCGTTCCACGTCTTCCCGCACCGTCACCGACTCGGAATCCACGTGTTTGTCGCCGGCGGACTTGTCTGCGAAGCGACCGTACCCCGAAGCCGACCTGCTGAAGCCTAGCGTCGTGAAATCAGATTCCCCCGCGGAATCGCCCGATGATTCGAGTCGCAGTTCGTCCTCAGAGTCGCCCCGCAACCACATTCGAACCTCGTCGCACGCCTCGAGCGCCGTGTACAGCGAGAATCCAAACATGCCTTTCGGCTACACGACGGAGGATTGGATAAACCCGGAGTTGATGCCGGTCAAGGAGGAGGACTCTTTCTCTTTTGATCCGTCCGTGTCGCTCATCGATGGCCAATTTGGCACGGAGCCGGATCCCACCGAGAATGTCATGATGAACTCCGCCTTCGATTTCGAAAGCGCCGCCAGTAGTCCGAGTCCGTTGAAGACCGATCCGCCTCCGCAACCAACCCAACGGAACTCCAAGAGCCATTTTCGCAGCGCATCTAATCTCACCGCTCGGCAATCGTCATCTCCGGTAAGGCTCTCCGTCAGGATTCACGCATAACTCAAACTCCCTTCGCTGACCTTGATTGTTTTTGAAGAATTTCTCAGCAGGATCCTCTTACTTCAACATCGGTACCAAAGAGCCGTCCCCGTTTTCGGCCTCGAAGTTCCCCGTCAAAGTCAAATCCCCCTCGAACCAGTGGGGAAGCCCTTCCCCCTCTTCACTTCTAGAGGAAAGCTTTGGTGGAATCAATATGAACGGCAGTTCCCCTTTGAATTCAGGATTGAATTTCCCACCTACCGCATTTAATTTTGGCCTCAACTTTGCGCCGTCTCCCGCACCAAGCACTGTCAAGCCGGAATCCCCCCAGCGTCATATGTTGACCGTTCATCCGACGTCTCTCAAGTCCCGCGTGGAAACACAGATCCCTATCCGATTGACACTCTTCCCGTTGCCCACCGGCGTCAGGAAAGTAAGGCTTCCTAGCCATACGATCTCGAAACCGAAATTCCTCGCGCCTGCGTCCGCCGAACGGTCCGCCGAAGTCGTCGAATTGCACACCAGTCTTGTTTGTACAAGTGCAATGCAGGACCAAGTAAAACTCAAGAAGGCGTTTGCTCGCGCGAGAGGCGAGGATCGCTACCGTTCGTCGAGTTCGAGTCCCCAAACACTTAGCGACCTGCCGGAAGACGAGAAACCTCTGGATGGCGGCGAAGTGAAGATCTGCACCGGTTGTATCCAGCGTGAACGGAAGCGGGCTTTTCGGAAGAAGCAGAGAAAACCGGAGGAAGACGAACTGTTCCAGAAAGACGAAGAGAAGAGAGTTATCGTTTTTAACACAAATGAGATCAAAGAGTGGACCGAGCCGTCTAAAAACTCCATGCCCGGATATGGGGACGCTCCAGGACCTATCATTCCCGCCGGCGCAATGCAGGTCGAATTGCCTATGCGAATCGCGTGCTATTGCCGGCACCAGAATGAGAAGCTTGGATTCCAGTACGTCATCCTTTGCTGTTCTTTTTACCCTCTTCTTCCGTTTTCTTTTCGACTGACATATCTTTGTGTAGGGTCATCTTTACGGTGAAGGACTATAAGGACAATGTTATTGCCCAGGCAATCACTAACTCGATCATGATCACCGATGACCACAAGACCCACGCGCCCCCTGCGGCCCCGGCACCTGGACCCTCCCCTGCTTTGCCAGATGGGACACAACTCCCCGGTGTTGGTGTCTTCCCGTCAGGCCCTAGCGTTGAGCAAGGAAAGGCGCCCCAGCAGGCACCATCGCCATCCGCAACTGATCTTCAAGGGTTGCAGCAAAGGTTCAACTCCCAATACCAGCTCAACGGGGGTTCTTTCTCTTTGTCGCAAACCCAGACAAACGGCGCCGGGCCATCCAACTCGCAACCCTCTCGGAGTCTCTCCCGCCAAACGTCACCGAACGATTTCCAGGGACCGATGAGCAAGCGGCGCAAACATAGCAACTCCGGACGGGTCCCATCGGAGTTGACCATGACCAAGCTCGAAGGCGTGCAGTCTTCTGCCGGCGTCTCCAATACATCGGGTCTGGGCAACGACACCCAGTTTTCGGCCCCGCGTGGATTTGCTTCTCCTGTCGAAAGGCCTTTTGTCACGTCGACCGGGATGTCAAATCAATTTGCAACTGGCCCACCGACACCTGGCAGCGGTGACAACAACCCGTTTTTCAACCCCTCCGCGCAACAAAGCCTGGATAGTTTCATTCAGCAGCAGCTGATGTCCGCCCCCAACTCGGCCCAACCGAGCCGTCCTGGGACACCTGGGGGTTCTTCTCGCAACACGTTCCAAGACCAGAGTCTCAACCTTTCATTGGGCCCGAGCCCCTCGACTCCCATGTGGCCGCCCATAACCAACGCCGGCAACCGATTGCCTTCCGTCATTCACAAGCTGGTCCCTGCCGAGGGTTCTATCACGGGAGGGACAGAAGTAACGCTCTTAGGAAGTGGCTTCTATCCTGGTATGGAGGTTGTTTTCGGTGATACATTGGCCACGACGACCACATTCTGGGGCGATAAATGTCTTAATTGCTTGACTCCGCCTTCGCTCCATCCCGGCATGGTGGCAGTCGTTTTCAAGCATGAGCATCCTACTTTTGGTCAACTGCAACCAGCTCAGCCCCTGATGCCTAAACAGCAGCAATTCTTCCGCTATGTGGATGACCGCGAACTGCAAATGTACCGTCTTGCCCTCGGCATTCTCGGACAGAAACTCGGAAGTCAAGCAGATGCGTTCCAGACGGCACAACAAATCATGGGTAGCGATACGAAATCCATGTTTAATCTTCCAAAGGATTTCCAGGGCAGCTCGGGCGGCCATCAGCGCCAGGTCCCTGGATGGGAGTCGCAGGGCGAACTGAGTGACCTGGATTCGAAGATGTTGACCTATCTCGAGTTCATTGACCTCGATGACAACCCACGCCCGCCCAAGTACAACAGCCGCGGCGGAACTGGCCAAACCCTTCTTCATTTTGCGTCCTCTCTGGGGCTTACCCGATTTGTTGCGGGGCTTCTTGCCAGAGGCGCAAACCCGGACGTGCAAGATAGCACTGGCAACACACCCATGCATTTGGCAGCTCTGAATGGTCATGCCCACATTGTTCATCGACTGCGCCTGGCTGGTGCTAATGTCAACGCCCGTAGTGTTCGAGGCTTCACTCCGGCTGACCTGGCCACGACATTGTCGGCGCACCAAGCGGCTCTGGTTCCTGCGCGTCACTACCGCTCGCGTAGCGTTGGGTCCCTGACCTCGTCGCGACGCAGGCATAGCAGCTCGGCCTCGCTCCATTCCATGTGGGAGTCTTCTTCAGGCTCCTTTGATAATGCCGTTGACGATTCTGATGATGAGGAAGAGACTGAGGAGGACGAGGACGACGTCGGGTTCCCAGCGTCACGACGGGCAAGCGTTCATCAAGATGCACCCCCTCCGATCTCGCCCCCTGAACAATCGAGGCCCGAGGAAGATGCACGGCCATTTTCTCCGCCGGCGGCCCTCGTTGCTTGGCGAAACCAGCTTCAGGCCCAGATCAACCAATTCCAGCAGAGCGTTTCCAATGCGTTCCCTAACCTGCCTGCTTTGCCGCCTATGCCGGCTCTGCCCGACTACCAGGCTCATCCGATGATGCGACGCATTACGAACCTCGTCCCGCACCGGCCCACGACTTCGCGGTCGGCGAAGGACGGCTGGTGGGACATGCTGACGGGTAACTCTGCCCCTAACCCTACCGAGTTACCCTCCTACGAAGATCTCTTCCCAGACCAAGAGGAGGACGAGGCAGAAGCGGCGCGAGTCAAGAAATCAAGCATGCTGCAAGCAGCGACGGAGGCTGCTTTGGACCAGCATTTCGAAGCCCAGGTCCTCGAACAAGCCAGCTCGTCCCAGGCCCCTACGGCCAAGCAGGACAAGGATGACCTCAAAGACATCCGCATTGGCCGTAAAGTGATCTCTCGTGAACAGCAGAAGCACCTCCGGGAGCAGCAGGCTCAGAGAATGAAGGGACTTGGCAACGACCGGAACCTCTACTTTATTTGGGTAAGTGTTTGATCATCCTACGTCGTCTCCTTCCAATCGCTAATTTATGCCATAGATACCTCTTTTGATCCTGGTTATCGGTGCCTGGATTCGCAGCTACGTTCCAGGTATATGGCAGGGATTCTCCAGTGGGTACGAGTTTGTCAAGTCTCGCTATGCGCAACGCGCCCTGGATATCGGGGCCTAGGTTTCTTTCCCTCCTGCATCATTTCCTTTTTTCAACCCCCTCTTACCCTCTACTGACCTCTCTGTCTTTTCCTTCCCTCCCTTCCCCCGTTCCCTCAAATCTCTTTCACTATTTTCTTTACCCCCGCACACTTTTTTTTGGATGTTGTTTTGAGCCAGGGCGTTCATGTCCCCCGGGTGGGAAATACAAATGGGCCTGTTTTCTTTTGTTTTACCAATTACTTGCATAATGATGGGATATGACTTTGATCTTGATTGGGTTGCACGACTGTTTTGAAATGCTGTACAAAGTCGTTCATTGTTTTTTCAGGAGGATTTGATTAGTCGGTGAATGTGGTGATGTGTATACACTGAAATTGTGCGTGTGTATATAGCAGTTTCTTCTGTTACGGTTATAATCTTTCCAAATCTTGAATGTAAATCATCTGTCCATCGCGTTCTATAGTAGATAATGCCAAGACCAGGCACATGGCGGCGTGGGAGCCGCAACGCGGAGAAGACCCTCTCGCTCGTCCACCACCGCATGGCCTCCAGCCCCCTCCTCCCTTGTCATTCCTCCCTGTCCTTTCCGCCACCCCCAGAATCTCTTTTCTCTATCCCCAGAGCGGAATGATCCTTGGGAGTCGCTCAATTTATCCCGGATAGTGCTCGGGGAAAATGGACCCATCACCACAGGCGGGCTCAAGCAGTGTCACTGGTAAGTAGCGCTCCGGAGAATAAGGGGGAATGCAGGTCGCTTACCTTCGCTCGCAATGCTCCAGTCGAATACACCGATCCCTCCGGACTGTTCTCTCTGGTGCAGCCTGTCATCGCCGACAAATTCCCGCTGAAGAACCTCCACTGGAAGTCCCCCACGCGTCCCGTCCGATCGATCGAATCCCTTCGCATTGGTTTCGTCCCGGCCGCCAATGAAGCCGACGAGCGCAAGTCCTCCAGCGACACCGCAAGAGGGGCAGTGACGCACCGGCGACATCAGATTCCTGGCCTCCGCCAAACGCCCTATTTGAAAATATTCCTCCTTCGCTGCGACGATAATGACACCTACAAGAGCACCGCGAGGAAGGCCTTGCGCGAGTGGATCAAGAACCATGCCTCCATGTCGCATTCCTCCGTTCCATCCAGCAGCCAGGAGAAACACGATGCCTTTGAATGGCTGATTCTGCATGTTGTCCAGGACGGCGACGGCACCGAGAAGGCGGCTTCGTCCTCGAAATGGGGCCGCACCACCACAACGGTGCTCGAGAAGATCAGGGCGGATTTCAATGGCGCTTCGAAGACGGCGGTGGACCGTGTAGCTCAGCTGCGACTGCCCAAGGCTGGAAGTACGCGGAAGCTGCCCGAGCTGGCTGACCAGATCGAGGACTTCGTGGACAAAACCAAGAATGCGATCCTGACGTCCTTCGATTCACGAGTGGCACAGTATGAGGAGGATATCAAGGAGAAGGATTCGCAGCGAAGCTTGCCTGGCTGGAACTTCTGTACGTTCTTTATACTGAAGGAAGGACTGGCCAGGGGCTTCGAGAATGTCGGCTTGTTCGAGGATGCGTTACTTGGGTACGACGAGCTCGCCGTCGGGTTGGATACCGCAATCGAGGAACAGCTCGAGGGTAGCAGCGAACAGCATGGCAGTGCTTTCTTGATGTGCAGCAAAGATTGGCAAGAGAAGGCCAAGGCGGCCTTGGAGTCGAAGGACTCATTTCATCAAGACGAGAATGAAGACGAGCCGGTGCCGATTCCAGACCTCGACGCCCAGGATTTCCCAATCGAATCCACCAAGAAGTCCTATCGCGAGATGATCCTGGCGAGCGATATCTCCATTTTCGACTTCCGCACATATCTCTATTCCAGACAGGTAACACTGCTTCTGAGGGCGGCTAGGGCTCCTTCTCTGGCCAACAGCGAGCCGGATGTGAGCCAAAACTCGACCAAAACACCGAAGAAGCCGGAAGACATGTTGCTCCTATCCGAGATCTGCGAGCGATCTACAGAATTCATCGGTCTCGCAGCGCGAACCCTTCGATACGACTTGGAGACTGGACTGGCTGATGTGGACAACCCCGCTAAGCCGGATGTGATCAACAACTTGGTTTCGTCATGGGCATATGCTGCTGCGCGGCAAATTCTGTCCCAAACATACACCGTGGCCCTCGTGCTTCCCGAATCCTCTTTGCAAACCATCAGTAAAGCAGTGGACGGCGCCGCTTCTGCGGAGTCCAAGTCCGATCTTCCTAGACGGTCGAGCTCGTTAGTGACGCCAAATGCAACACGCCCGGCCCGGTCAAACACTGAGAGTGGCCCGCCAGATGCGATCACGTCTGTTCACTCCCGCTCTAGTAACGATGCGCCGAAACTCGCACCACCGATAACCCCTAAAACAGGGTCCGAGCAGTTGGCGTCCGGGCGAGGGGAGCTATACTTGATGGCCCGACGGGAGCTAGAGGAGATTGCTGAGCGATGCGGATGGAAGGAGAAATGGAACAATCTCGACCTCCTCTTTGACGACGAGAAAGAGGCGGATATGGATGAGGTGTCATTAGATGACGAGACGCCGAAGTCGACCGAGGAATCACAATCTGCTCGCACGCTTTCCGGCGTCGAACTACCTAGCCTAACTGCCGCTCTTCGGTCGAGAAAGTCATTCCGTCACCACTACGAGACTCTGACCGACTCGATGTATCGGCATCATATCACGGCGAATCGCACTTACTCGGCCCAAATGGCCCTGGCCGACATGGCTCTCTTACGGTTCCGACAGAGTGATTACGGCGTTGCGGCGTCTTATTTCCATCAGATCACCCCGTTTTACGGCAGCAAACGCTGGATCGTCCTGGAGGGGGTCATGTTGGAGCTTTATGCACGATGCCTTCGCGAGTTGAAACGGACGGAGGAATATACCCGGGTGGTCCTCCGTCTCCTTGCGAAATTCGCCGTCTATACGCAGTCGTACTTGAGCCCCCGGCAAAAGACACTGGATGCCTCGGCGATATTTGCGGAGAAGACGCTGGCGTCTCAGTATGTCGAGGAGCTGTTCGAGGTTGCTAGCACGCTACAGAAGGAGGTTCCCGCTCCATTGACGGATTTCTTTGCGGATCTAGAGGTGAACCCGGCTATCATACATTATGAGGACAAGGATGGGTTCCAGTTGCAGCTCTGTATACGATTCATGTTAGGTAAACGGATCAACATCGATTCAATGAAAATTCGACTGGTCAGTGGCAGCAGTGGCCACGCCAGTGAACATTGGGTCGAGGCTCCGACTAAAACCACCATCAAATCATCCCCGACCAAGATTCTGGTCGACTCCACGGTACGTCCGCTTGCTGAACCTCATGGGCTCCTACGCGCTGACATTGGAACAGACTACGCTACACGGCAAATACTTTGTTGACCGGGTTGAAGTGCGAGCGGGCAACATCCTGTTCACCTGGGGTGGTGGGAAGCACGCATCTCTTCCAATTGGATTCAGGGAAGCTGTAGATGCCGAAGAGGATCGGCAATCTATCTACTGCTACCCACCCCCCCGAGGACTTCAGGCCAAGATCGAGTCACCTCATATGATCAACCTAGAGGAAATGCGAACACTGGAGCTGGCGCTGAACAGCGGATGGAACGACATCAAGGCGGGCAACATTCGCGTGCGGCCTGCCACGGCTGGGTTGCGATTGCGTATCACCGAAGCCCAAGTGGTGGAGGGAGATATTAAAATCACCGCCAACGGTGATGGCGGAAACATTGAATTCACCAATCTGGCACCGGACTCGTTCGTCCGATTCAGAATTCCTTATACCGTCGAGGAGCATCACCCGATACTCTCCGCTCGTGCCGAAGTTGGATACGAGACCGGCCACGGGCGATTCTCATACTGCTCGACCCATAATGTCAACTCGGCCCTTCCGATCAGCGTGAACGTGCAGGACACATTCAAAGACCGCGTGCTTTTCTCTCGCTTCACCATCAGCCCGGCCATGATGATCCCGCTGCGGATCCTGAAATGCGAGATCCCCAGCTCGGACATCTACCAGGTGCAATCCAACATCGGCGATTCGACGGCGCTCAGCGTGTTCCCCAAGCAGCCCGCCTCGCTGCTGTACAAGATCCAGCAGCGGGAAGACAGCGTGCAGTCACCGGGGTCAAGGCGGTCCCTCCGGCTCAGCGTGGATTTCACCTGCGTGGACGACGAGTGCTTGAACGCCATCGAGGAAACCTTCCGAAGCAGTATTGCGGAGAGCAAGTTCCGACCGTACACGGCACTGCTGACGACGCACCTCCTGGAGGCATTCCGCACGCAGGTGCCGACGTCGGAATTGGAGATCGTCGGGCTGGTGCGCGAGGTGGAAACGCTGCCGTATGCCAGCGTGAGATGGGAAGGATTATTGGATACGCTGAAGGAGCCCATGCAGGAATTGAAAGCATGGCTCCAAGAATGGCACCAGGTAAGCGATACGCACACGTCCTCGCCCTTCTCCCATTCGGTCTACGCCCCCCAGCAGCGAGGGTTGGTTGCTACGCAGGAATTTCGAATACTAATCATTCCGGCACCATCAGGACCATCCCACGATCAGTCTCCCCAACCAACCATCCATTCCACGTCGCCACATCGTCATCCCCGTGGACATCCCGGAGATCCAGGTCGTACACACGGCGGAGCTGCAGCTCACGAATCTCGTCGATCAGCCACCACACGCCGCCGTGGGGCAGATGATCGCCGCCGAACTCCGGCTGCGACATACGAGACGGTGGTGTTCGCCGCAGCATCGCGAGAACGGCGGCGGCCCGCTGGAATTCTCGTATGAGATCCACGCCAACCCGGACCTGTGGCTGGTGGGCGGGCGACGACGCGGCAACTTCACGGCCGACGAGGGCGAGACGACGACGTTCGCCGTGATGCTGCTGCCCCAGAAACCGGGTCACCTGCTTCTGCCGGGGGTGGAGATCCGCACGTACGTCCCGGCGTCGAGTACGAGCTCGACCACGTCGACGACTGCGGCGACGACGACCAACGCAGCGGCAGTCAGCGGACCGGCGGGGCTGCAGCGGCGGCAGATCGCGTGCGAGGTGGACTATCGCAACCACGGCGAGACGGTGCAGGTGTTACCGGATCTGCGGGCGACGACGGTCAGCCTGAGTCTGTCGGGAGGCAGCCACGGGGGCGCCTGGCTGATCGACTCGGAGCGACGGGTGCATGTATAGCGGGTGAATGCCAATGCCTTGACGAGATACCGCGGACTACGATGTATAGTATAACGAAGCGTGCCGACTAGACAGTACAGTAGAAATGCGAAGCATACGGAGTATAGAGGGATGCAGTATTCGGCCGGGAGATGCAAATTTTCAAGAAGGCGGGCAAAGTTACGGTTAGCGCCGGGAGTGACAGAAATTTAACCCCGTAAACATTCAAAGTAGAGAGAATTAAAGAAAACTAAAACAAAAAGGGGCCCCACCGGCCCGGCCCAATCTCAACAAAATGGCGTTTGCGTTCCCCAACAAGATTCGGGCGATCGGTCTGTGTCAATCCTCCCAGACCTCCGCAGGCATCTACTTACTACTCTCTCGACTGCGTAGGGACTGCAGGCAATCACATGCGGGATGCAGCCCTTCTCTCAGCTCGCCTCATTCTACGACGGCAGAGTTCTAGCTAGAAAGTGTGATCCCGATCGATAGGGAGAACCAATTGCGTCCATGGCATGGTGCACCTGAGTCAATGCCTCTCCACGATGCACCATCCCCGAAAAGGGAGCTCGTTGGGGATAGGGATTGGCGCTTCGCAATGCGATCTCATCTCGCGACATCCCTCGCACGGAGTCGATAACCACATGTGAAGCGCAGCCCGATGCAACGAGGCCCCCCGGACAAACCAATCCGAGCCATCTCCGAGCACCTGACTAAGAGACCGGAAGCATATGATACCTCGGAAGGGGCAGGGAGTCAATTTGCAATTGCATCCCAATCGCGAGAGAAACCGCGCAAACTGTAAAAATAAAAAGCAAAAAAAAAAAAAAAAAAAAAAAAAAAAAAAAAAAAAAAAAAAAAAAAAAAAAAAAAGGAATTGTTGAGAAGCCAAGATCGCCGCGGGTGGAGCCTCTTGGCGCCGTGGACGATGCGGATTGGCGCGTGGCCGTGGGGGGCGATCCCCAGTCCCGGGTCTTGATTTGGCTCCAGGGATTCACTCCATTCATTCCATCCATGCCATGCGAGCAGGATTCTCTCGCCTGTATTGTGTAGACTAGGATTGTAGCAGAGTGGCTCGATGCACGGTGGACTGACAGAGGAAAGCCGGATTCCGAGAGCTCGACAAATCATCTGGTCCCGAGTGACAAGCCCCAGGAGGGTTGCGAAGAACCGTGGGTAGAGTCCACCCCGTCATCCACCGCAAGGCGAGTGGCGTGTCTTTCCCGATTGCGCTGCAGAGGCTGCACCAGTCACCGCGACGGCATTTGCAGAGGAACCCGCATTGCTCTGCAGGGCGAGTGGGCTGAAAACCTCGGCTGAAGGGATTGACCGCTGGAGTTGCCAGAGGACAGAGGGACAGTGGTTGGTGGTGGAAGAAAATAAAGTAAGGAAAAGTAAGGACGTCGAACGATCCCCGCCAATCAGCGCCACCCCAACGGAATCTCGAATTCCCCTGGCGAGACGAAAATTACCCGTCGTGCCTGCCTTCCCTGGACTTCTGGCCGATTGCCCCTTCGAGCTTTTTTTTTTTTTTTTTTTTTTTGTCTTTCTTTTGGTTTTTCCTTTTTCAAGGCGCATGGATTTCCTTTTGTCGTCTCGCCGCTGATCGTCGTCCTTTTTCTTCCTTTCTCCCCCCTCCCTCTGGCTGCTTCCTTCTCTCCTCGGCTGGCTTTTCTTCAGCTGCTTTCTTTCTTTTTTTCCTCACCTCTCAATCCCTCATTGTCTCCCTCCCCTTTGTGCCAACCGTTCCAAAGGGCATCCTTCCATCCCTAGGAGACGCTCTCTCTTTCTCTCTTCCTCATCTCCTTATCTCTCCGGACGGTCAGGAAGCTTCATCTGCAAACTTTCCCTATCACGCTGGACCCATAGGTAAGCTTGCTCAGCTTTAACTCGCCCTGTCCTCCCCACACGCTGGTATTAAAAAGAGCTCGGGTGCTGGGCTTTTACCTCTGGCTTTTCCTCTCTTGCCTTCAGCTGGCCACCATCACATGGATTCCTGACGATTTCCCTGGCTGACCACTTCCAGAGACTTGATCTAGTCCCTTGACCACCCGTCCACAACCTCTCCAAGATGTCTTCCACTGCTCTCCCCAAGCGCGTGGCGCTGCACCGTAACCCGACCACCGACTCCTCCGTGCCGAGCTCGGTCTCCGTCTCTCCTATGGCGAGCCCTCGTCAGTCTCCCTCGTCGACCTCGCTGTCCTCCATGGCCTCCGACGCGGAACCCTCCAAGATGCTGGACACCTATGGCAACGAGTTCAAGATCCCCGACTTCACCATCAAGCAGATCCGTGACGCCATCCCCGCTCACTGCTTCGAACGCTCCGCCGCCACCAGTCTGTACTATGTCTTCCGCGACGTGGCCATGCTGGGCTCCATCTTCTATGCCTTCCACAATTATGTCACTCCCGAGACCATCCCCTCCATGCCGCTCCGCGTGGCGCTGTGGACTCTGTACACCGTCGTGCAGGGAATGATCGCCACCGGCGTGTGGGTGCTGGCTCACGAGTGTGGTCACCAGGCCTTCTCCCCCTCCAAGGTGCTGAACGACACCGTTGGCTGGATCTGCCACTCCGCTCTGCTGGTCCCCTACTTCTCCTGGAAGATCTCCCACGGCAAGCACCACAAGGCCACCGGTAACCTGGCCCGTGACATGGTGTTCGTCCCCAAGACCCGCGATGAATATGCCTCCCGCGTCGGCAAGGCCCTGCACGAGTTGAACGAATTGATGGAGGAGACTCCCCTGGCCACCGCCTCCACCCTCCTGCTGCAGCAGCTGTTCGGATGGCCCATGTACCTGCTCACCAACGTCACCGGTCACAACAACCACGAGCGTCAGCCCGAGGGCCGGGGCAAGGGCAAGAAGAACGGATACTTTGGCGGTGTCAACCACTTCAACCCCTCCAGCCCCCTGTACGAGGCCAAGGATGCCAAGTTGATCGCCCTGAGTGACCTGGGTCTCGCCATCGTCGGCAGCGTTCTCTACTACATCGGTTCGACCCACGGCTGGCTCAACCTGCTGGTGTGGTACGGAATCCCCTACCTCTGGGTCAACCACTGGCTCGGTAAGTTCTATCCCTCTCGTTAGCCTTGAACGAGTCCTCGATCAAAAGGGGGCATTGTCATAGCAAAGATACTAACGGTGTTTCAGTTGCCATCACCTACCTTCAGCACACCGACCCCAGTCTCCCCCACTACCGCCCCGAGGTGTGGAACTTCGCCCGTGGTGCCGCTGCCACCATTGACCGCGACTTTGGCTTCGTCGGTCGCCACATCTTCCACGGAATCATCGAGACCCACGTCCTCCACCACTATGTCAGCAACATCCCCTTCTACAACGCCGACGAGGCCAGCGAGGCCATCAAGAAGGTCATGGGCCAGCACTACCGCACCGAAGCCCACACCGGCTGGACTGGATTCTTCAAGGCTATGTGGACCAGCTCTCGCGTCTGCCAATGGGTCGAGCCCACCGAGGGTGCCCAGGGTGAAGCCGAGGGCGTGCTGTTCTACCGCAACATCAACGGTGTTGGTGTGCCTCCCGCCAAGGTTGCTGCCAAATAGACGAGCTCCCTTTGTCTGGATTCATAAAAACAGTGAAAGAAAAAATAAAGGAAAAAGAGAATCTTCACCACCCCACTTCGCGGTGCTGTCGCAGGATCGAAACAGGGCCACGGAATACGACCCTCGATTTGCCATCTCATAGAGCAACGTCAAATCCGATAAAAAGACCAGTCGTCACGGGTTGGTTCGAAGTTCGAAGGCGTATAGGGGCGGACAGGATTGTCGATGTATCACACATGTTATAATTGCCGTTAATGTGGGGAGTTTTTGTTTGGAGGCATGACTTTTGAATCATACTTCATAGCATATATCTGTCATGTGTTGTTCTGTTTTAGCAGCGAGAATTAGAATTGATTCCATCTCAAACATTCGTCTCTTCAAATCGTACGAGTGACGTGAACCGGTGAATCGCCATCTTCGGACAGAGGGGCAGGCAAGCAAATCGAACGCTTCCCGAAAGAAAGCCAGAAAGAAAAAGTCGGACCCAAAAAAGGAACTCAGCTGAAGTCAATCCGCCCAGCAGACCAGGCAGAAAGATAAAGAGAGAAGAAAGGGAAATGAAAGAACGAAAAAACCGGAGCGAAACTGCGGGGACACTAAGAGGACTAACCACGCATCGTGCAACACTTCCTTTCTTCCCTGCGCGGGTTGCCCGGCTTCCGCGACCCGCCGGACCCCACGACGTCATGGCAGCAGGCAAGTTACACGGCGAGTAATGGAACAGACAAAGAATAATGCGATCGGACCAGTGGGAGGTAAGGTCGGGAGTATGAATGAAGTAAGAGATGTTCATGAACGAATCGTAGGAGATCCCTCGTCGTATTCGTATACCGTGCTTATTCTGTTCTCGCTCTTCACACGGATAGATGGATTAGATTGGCTGTCGACTATAACTCTAAGATTCTTTAGATCGGTCTAGCTATATCACTCCGCGAATTCCTCCTTTCTCGATGGTGAATTCGACTTCGTCTTCGATGTCGCCTGTCGCCGCGATCCTGCCGGCGGACCAGGGCGCAAAGACCAGTTTCATGGTCCGGCGGATGGGACGGTCCGGTGGTGGCAGCGGGGAGGATGGAGGAAGTGGGATCTGGGGGTGAGAGTTTGGTTTTGCGGGGTCCTCTTGCACGGGGGGAGGGACAGGGATGGACCCTGGGGTGGTGGTGGGTTCGAGGTCTTTGGGAATGGGAACAGGGTTGGTTGGGAGGTCGGGATCGGCGCTGTGGTTTGAAGGGATTGGCTTCTGCTCGTTCTCGGTGGCATCGTCATCGTCATCGTCATCCTCATCCTCATTCGTCTTTGTGTTTTCACGTTCCTTCTCAGCTGGGTGCGCGGGTACATCTGGGTTATAGGCGGGCAAGTTCTGGTTCACGTTGAAATTCGGATTCGGGAGATCGAAGCCAGGATCCACCAGTGCCGGCAGCTCTTCCTTTTTCAAGGTAATCCGACATGCGATCTGAGTTAACCAGACCATTCCCAGCGCCGGGGTCTTGGGTGTCGACCTTTGAAAGCCAGGAAAATACCCTCGGGCAAAAGATTGCGGAACGTCACCCCATCCTGTGAAGAAACGCTGCTGATGGTCAAGACTCAGGATCTCGTTGCGCACGGGGTTTCCGACGAGATAGGACCCGTCGAAGTTCTGCTGTTGCTGCTGCTGCGGGTCGTCTTCGATGGCATATGGTGACGAGGGGAAGGCAGGGGGCGAGGAGGGAAAGATGGCGTTATGTTGAGAGAGTTCGATGTTCCCCGATTCCGGGGGTCGATGTCGAGGTAGAGGGGATGCGACGGGTTCGCGATTGGACGACGGAGGTGGTTGAAGATGCTGTTGCTGATGCGGCGTCGACGGTAACGAATTCGCACCAGCAAGCGCGTTCCGAAAGAACGGATTTGAAACCCCTTCCGGGCCTTCAAACCGATCCGAAACCTGGTTCGCCACAACAATCGCGATGTCCTCCTTCGCGGCGAGGTTGCGCAGCAACTGCCCCAGTTTCGCCAGCTCCCACGATCGGGTCGACAGGCCCAGGACGCTGGTGGAGGTGTGTTCGGCGCGATAGTTGGAGGTGATCGAATCGATGACCACGAGGCCGACATTGTATCGGCTGATGGCGACGGGGAGTTGGTAGTTGAGGATGTGGTCCTGGGTCTCGAGGTCCATTGCGTTGATGGACAGCACATTTTGTAAGGACGGGGCATCGTCGCGCGACAGGCTAGAGAGGTACGGATGGCACTCCAAGAGCTGGGAGAGGCGCGGCGTCGATAGAGGCGCTTCGGTCGAGATGTAGATGGCGGATTTCCCTAGACCACGGGGCGAAGGGAGTTGCACCGACAGGAGGAGGGTAAGGAGGAATTGAGTTTTGCCGCTGGCGCTGTTGATATAAATTAGCTCATATGCTTCCCTGGGTCGCTCGCAGAGATCGCGGTAGACAACGCACCTCTCGCCGGTCACCTCCGTCACGTAACCCGTGGGGATTCCACCGCCAGCCAGCAGCGCGTCCAGCGCGGGGTCGAGGGTGCTGATGACGCCCCATTGCGAAAGATCGAGTCTATTGGAGGCCCCCGGAGTCAGAGGCGCGTCGAAATTAATGCTGGAACTGGGCTCTGCGGTGTCCGGGCCAGCGGATTCCTCGAAGCCAACATCGTGATGAAGGGCCTTGACGACGTGCGACGACAAACGGCGCACGTCGGCTGGCGGTACGTGGGCACGCCTGGCTATTTCCAGAGAATCAAGAGTGATCAGGTCGACCGTGTTGAGATGGGCTCTCTCGAGAGGAGGCAGGATATGGGAGTAGGGTTTGGAAGGGAAGTCCGGGAGGACTGATAGAAGATCCATGGAAGAGGGAAAAGGAAGAGGAATTGGCAAATGTGAGGTCATCCGCGCGGTGTCGCTGCGGGCCAATCAGCGGGCGGCTTTTGTTTTCATATACCATCACCAACTTGGTGAACAATGGATACTATATTGTAGTAAGGTATCTAGCATTATATCTAGGATTCTATCTGACACATTTAACACGGCATGATCTATATATCTACAGTTTACTCGCCCTCTCTTCTTCCTGCCGCTCTCCCCGCCAAAACGCCTGAATCGCCCCCCAGTACCGAGCCGCGTCCTCCTGAATCAGCGCGCAATGCGGACTATCCCGAAACATTAAGCCCTCTGCCTGAAATCCCTGGGACCTTGCCTCGTCTACATGCGCCCGGACGTCATACCAGGGCACCATGTCATCCGCCGCCGAATACAGATACAGCCGCGGAGCAGACCCAAACACCGTCCGATCATTCATCTGCTCTCGTAACTGACGCACCGAGTGCATGAAACCCGCACGCTGCAGGCCAAAGATCGCCGCGATGGACGGGTAGAGCAGCACACTCTCGAAAGTTCCCAGGGGAAACGCCTTGGGAAACGACACCGCGGCCGCATTGTACATGCGCAGGAAGGAATCGTCCCCGGGACAGCAGTCGAAGATGACGGCCTGAACCGGTAGATGTCGCAGCCCTCTTTGCCCTTCATCCTCACCCATGGACAGCGCTAACTGGACCGCCGTGTTGCATCCTCCGTGCGAAAAGATATGAAGTAAAGCTCCCGGCCCCGGCCCGGGACTGGCATTGGTATCGCCGCCGACGCCCTCAGGCCCCAAGATCCGACGGATGGCGTCCCGGGCAGGCTTCAGACGGGCGCGGACGGCGGCGAAGGAGCGCACGCTGATATCGAGAATGTGGGTGGTGATGAGAAGAATGCATGAATGCGGGTAGAGATGGAGGTAGGGGGCGACGTATTTGTTGATGTGTCGGGGGATGGCGCCTCCGACCCACGTGCACAGAATGATCAGGGGAGGATCCTCGCGAGGCCGACGGTCATTGAGCTGAGGCTCGTAGAGAAAGACGTTGTTGGCCAGGGGCCGGAGAGGTTCGAACGGGGACATGGCTGCGATGCGGTGCTACCATGATGAAACAATTCGAGGGGTGAAGGATTCGTTGCTGCCGAAGCGACGGCGCTTCCGAGGCGAGAATCTCATCTCGACGCGATCACTGCCGGATTGGAAATAACTGGGTGTTCATCTTTGCTCGACTGTTGAATTGTCAATGAACTAGTAATTCTCATATGGTCTAGCAATATATTGCTACTATATCGGATGGTATTATTGCCATGGGAGTCTAAGTTCAATGCCAATGCAGCAAAACAGGTTTTATCGTCTCATTTCCTTAGCTATAAGTAGCACCAATCTTCATTCTATAGCTTATGGTTCTCCTTTAAACCTCAACTTAGTCTTTTCTATCTGAATCATCCGCCTTGTGCCCATAATATCCAACATAAACAAAGAACAAAAGAGAGCACCAGAAATGACTTCATCCGCTTCAGATATGTTCTTCCCTGGAAACCAGAACCCAAAACTGCGTGAAGATATCATCAATCGCCTAGAGAAAACAAATGTCATATCTCGCCAGCTTGTTCAAGTATGGCAAAAAATAAAAATCACTGAACAAGGTTTTTTTGCCGATCACGACCTCAAAACACTTGGTATCCAGCTATCAACTTTCGATCTTGAATCACCCACCCCAACCAAAGATACCAGGTTCTACAATCCTCTTTCAGAACTCCCAAATATTGACTGGGGCAAAGTGCAGTTTTCTGAATGGACAGAAGGTTATATCGAGGAATCACGTCGCATTAATATTACCTTTCTAAGTCTCTCGAATCGGCTTACAGAAGCCTGGCTCAGAAGCAACGACGAAACGCCTTTTGCCTACTGGAAGTAGGTTATCAATTCTAAGCTGCTATACTAGCAGGGTTCAGAAACTTACTGATTTTCCTTTATGATTAGGTACCTCATAGAGAGGCCAGCTATCGCGACAGGAGAACACACACCTGATGTCCCCTATGAATGGCAAACACACAGTGATGTCGGAGCAAAGTCTACCAATCTTTCTCACTGTATCTTTCGAATTTCCAATTATACTGAGCCTGAGGAACAACTCTCCCGCGGCGAACTCATAGCCATTGTGACATATATGAAGTGGAGAATGGTACAGATCAAACACATCCAACACTACCTTTTCCCTGTAAGTCTATCTAGATTCTATCATTAACCACGTGGGGTCTGTTGAATATCAAATATATACTAATCGATGTACTCCTAAGTCTTGGTGATTTCGATATTTCGGTCCAAAGCAAGGATTATCCAGGCATATCACAACGGGGAATCCCTCTCCATATCTCAAAGCAAATTTTATGACTTCAAGGAAAATATCAGAAACAATTATGAACTATTCATAAAATGGGTTTATAGTGGACCCTGTGGAGATACGATGACTCCCCTCACAGGTGTGGGTGAAACACTGGACAATGATATGATTGAGCAGGTGGACAGGATTTTGCAAGGTCGTCAGCTAAAATGAAACTCGCATTGCTGGCCTACCACTTTGAATATACTGGTTTATCTTCTAAGTGTTATTCCAAATCTCTTAGGTGTTCCTGGTAAGTATCAACTAAATAATATGATATATCACTGAATTCGTCGACCTGACAGTGAACAGATATGGCATTAAACAGCCTTATGCAAACGGAAATGTCTTTGGTGGTACGATTTGAGCATCGATGAGATAATGAACGTGGTGTTAGTGAAAAAGTAGCTCAACTATTAATTTTATCTTGAGCGAAAGCCTGTTGGTGCTTTAACCAGACGGTCCTCTATATAAGCACCCAAGTATCCACTAGATGATGTATTAGGTATCAATAATAACAATCTCGTACTCCGCTTTATTGCTTCTACTACGGCTACTCTTCTACTATTAAGATCTCTCGGTTTGATTCTCGTCTCCATGGCTGGACCTAATACAGATCGGTAGGGCTTATATTTGTATTGTAATCCCTACTATTTCGTGTTGAAGTAAACAAGAATCAGTCAGACGATAATCCGCGGAGCGACTGGTAATAACCATAACTTATTTTGATAAGAGGGGGTGGCGAAGTACCGAGTATAGAAAGATTGGTTTGATAGCAAAAATGCCTCAACGAGTTTTGATTCGGACGAAAATCATACGTCGACGAAATCCTCGCTCTCTTGAGGTGGGCAGAAAGGCAGCTTTATACGGAATAGATGACATACTGCAATGCTAAGCGGGAATGAAGCGCCTTCCCCGATTAGGAATGCTATACCGGATCCCGCAAGTTGCCGTCGCAGAATACGGAGTATAAGAGTATAACTCCGGATGATCGCTCAAATATCTGCGATACCATTAAGCTCGGCCAATTAATATCAGGATTTGATATGCGCTATCGAACTGCAGCCATTAGAGTTTATCTGCTGCATCAACTCGCAAAAATTGCTGAATCGAGTATGTATCGTCGGGTCTCCGGAGCATGTGGGCGATAGATAAATAGAGAGAAAGGGATAGACGCAAACAGAGAGAGTACATCGACACTCTCACGCAAGGACGATAAGACTACGCACCACTCCACGAGAATTTTAGAATTGAGAACTGGTATGTGCATATGTATTGTATGTATGTAGGTCTACTCCGTACTCATCCAGACATACATCTCTCGCTTGTTCGACTGTTTCAGGAGTGCTAACTGTGAGGGGGCTATGATACATCTGTATGCAGCACTCCGTATGGATGCTGAGGATAAAAGGTAGGGAGCGAACATTGCCACTCCGAGAATAGACCATTCTCGATGCATAATGGATAAGGCGTCGGGAATAAAGCGGGGAGGAAGGCACTCTGTATGAAGCATGATTCACGAGGACAGATAGATAGATATGATGCCATGAAGAATATTATGTATCGTGATCGATGGACACCTTGCATAAGGTGATTTGGAATGAGTCATTTTCTGGGACACGGTGAGGGAGAGCAGAGATCGCAGCCCGGAAGGGGAGGTCGCCATCGCTGGGAATGAATCAACAGCATCGCAGAAATCCAGGGATGGCACCGCATGAGATCATAGACCCTATCGACTAGCGAAGGTGGATCTCGAGATTGGAGACACGACCCTTTCTGCCTCTCCTCCCCTCTCTCCTTTTGGCACACAAAGGGGTCATGGACGAGTTGATGTATCACAAACTCGAGTGGCACCAATATGCTACTCCGTAGTCCGCCGCGCGGTCCAATCAGCAGATACCCCAGACAAATAACGGTCTGCTAGAACCCATGCAGCTTAGCGACTAGATAGACGGTTTCGGGATCTGTCTTGCATGGGATAGATAGAGATGCCCAACTCGATTATTTGTTGACCATCCCACTGGGATCTGATCAGTAACATCCCGATTCACGTAGGACAAAAGTACTTCCGGCTGCTCTCATTCGTGTCCCTTTGATGCCATTTGGAGGCTAGAGCAGCAACCCATGTCCTCGCTTTCACCGGGTAACAAAGCTAGACCGTCGATCGTGAGATGTGAGCACCTCGCTAACAGAGCTGACCGGGGCTTTCGCACGGCATAGCAATCTAAAAGAATGTTGCTCCTGGTAGATTTCCGAGAATGCCTGACTAATTGTAAATATGTCAATCACCTGTGGAGGCACCAGAGCAAATGTGATAGTGTCCACACGCAAAATACCAGTAGTTCTCGATGCCGACTGCTGCAAGCCAGCATCTCTTCTCGATTGGGAGGGAAAGTGAAGATTGGTATGTGCAACAACGGGTGACAGCTTTGTAGTACGAGAAACCGTCGGCCTTCTGCACCATACTACCTCGCTGGGTGGTACCAGGTGGTATCGACCGCCGGTTCATTCCACAAGCGAGTGTAGGTACGGTTGAAAGAAAGAACAAAAAAAAAAAAAAAAAAAAAAAAAAAAAAAAAAAAAAAAAAAAAAAAAAGAAAAAAAAAGAAAAGGAAACCTCACCCGAATACCAGGGGCAGTCATGTCCGTGTGATGGATTCGTACGCGAATGACCGAATGATCTCATTGTCCCCTCGTCTCAAGCAGTCAACATGACCCGTGCGACCCGATACGAAGATCCCATGCGGGTAGATCCGACAGTCTGGTTATTGGCGAGGCCGGACGCCCCGGGAATGATAGAGAATCCTGCGAGGGACATGCGCCCAGCATTTCTAGGCCCCCTGCCGATGTCTGTAGCGTGTCGTACTGTATGGTAAATGGGCAAGGACTCGAAGCAGGCCAGAGCAGGAATGGGTCTCATGGATTCGGACCCATGACAGAGCGCATTTCTTTCTACCCAGAACCAAAGAGTCTCTCAGACCGAGATCTGGACAAGCCGTGGGCTGCGGTCGTGTGCAACCCCAAAATCGCTTTTCCGCCTATCCGAGTTGGGATGGCAATCTTCTGGAAGACAGTCCGGTTGTCCTCATCGAGGCTGCCCAGCGCCAACTTCTAAGCGAAGTGTCTCAGGGTCACACCGGGCAGGAGTACAATCGTCGCCTGCAGATGTGCAGATGCTGCTGCTTACCTGGTGGGCCTAGCATCCCCTCCGGTGCCACACGAGACTTGTCGCCGTTAGGTCGCTCAATAATAATCCAACCCTGGTTCATCAAGTCACGATGCAGGGCGACTCAGATGTCATCCGTGGCCAACACTGTAACCCCTGCGAGTTCTCCCCGGTCCCGAGGATCTCTTAGTGCCGGCCGAAAGGACATTGGACGTCCAACCGTGCTCACACTGTCAGTGCAGACCCTGTCGAATTCATCAAACCACCCCGTCTAGTCGCGCTGACTACTCGGTAGGAAGAACTAGCCTGTCCCTGGATGGCACGGCGGATAAACCGATCGCAGAAGTCAAAATGATACGAATGGGGCCGCTCAGTCCATCCGGTGCGGACCGAAGTGGGGCGGCTTGAAACCTTTCCCAGTGAAAAATAAAAATGACAGCGAAGGGGGGGAACGGACCAGCTGGCGCCTGACTGCTGGTGGGCCTTCGGTTTCTGGAACCGTTTCCGCCGGCGAGGCCTTCGTCAGCAAACAGATTAATGGCGCCGGCGCATCGCCCGCCCAATCACGGGGCGGGATTCGGGGCCACATTTACCACCGTGCTGCTCTCGCGCTAGTCCGCGGTGGGAGTAGCGCTGCCCCGTCCACTCGCTCGAGGTCCGGCGATCGAATTCTCCTGAGGGGGGCTGGTTCAAACCCCGGGTCCTACTTACTTGGGCAGGGATCGCCCCGGGGTTTGCTCTCGTTCTTTGTTTATCGTCGACTCTCTCCAGCCGAGTTGATAGTCCTGAATTGATCTCCCTCGCTAGGTCCAATCCAAGGCAATAATTAGAAACCGGAGAATCCATCCCAGCAGACTCAGATTTGTTTGGACTTCCGGGTGCTGAGCAGAAATACCGATGGATGGTTTACCTACTGACCACCAGGTATCCCTTCGAGGGCGCATGTTTTGTCCCCCAAACTCTGGATATTGTTCCCCCCGCAGAGGCCAGTGGACGAGATACGGAGCACTCACCGTCGATATGCATCGTGTCCTGTACATGCGACGGATACGTAGGCCCTATCTGTGTGTATACGTAGCCGTGGCTTCCAGGAAGTGGCGGCCACTACGCAGTATAGAACATGAGGGGAATGACGGGTGTCTCTTCCACGTAGCTGGGTGAGCATCGGCACCGCCATTTGTCCCCATTCGGACCAAGAAAATGAAAGGATCAATAGGATCTCGCGAAAACCCAATGGATCGAACCCACGCCGCGATATCGACGGTCAGAATATCGGGTCGGATGACAGGTTTCATCCAGGCTGAATGCCACGACCGGACGGGGCCAATGATGCCGGCGCCTCGTTAGCCTGGTTCGGTGCAGAAAAGAATCTGCAGGATGGCTCGCACCTGGAAAGGAAGCGCGGCCAAGCTTGGGCCAGGTTGGCTGGCTTTCGAATCCTTTCAGTCATCCTTTTCCAGGCCTCTGGTGTTGGGTGTTCCGTCGGGCTGGGTATGGCAAACTCCCGGAGATTAATTTCGAATGAAACCTGGTATCGATACTGGAGGGTTACACACGCTGGTTGCCTTCAGTGAACACCTGTTTCACGGGACCTTCTTGCGTCAACTCTACCTTACCTTTACTCCGAGGCATGACAAACATGGGGTTCCGTAACTCTGTGTGCACTGCGGCGGAATAATATTTTTTGGAATAAAAAAAAAAAGAAAAAAAAAAAAAGAAAAGGTAATCTGCCTCGCTTCGAGGTTGACAGTTGACACTATATTCCACTAAACCCAGTAGTGGAAATCCATGGTAAATCTTCGGGGGGGGTTCAGGTCGCTGGTTACAGTCTGCTTCTGGTCCAACCAACTACACTCCGTCCGTCGCGACCGTTTTCCCACGGCTACTTTAGCCATGTTGGCAGTGGCTGGCTCAGGTCCATACTACATACAGAGTAGACGTGTTTTTAGTCAAAGTCACAGCCTACGGAGTAGTAGGTCACTACTGCGTATGCTCAAGCCTCAACATTGCCTCGAGGCTCATCAAAGTTCCAGAGTTAGCATACTAAATATAGAAGACCGACCACGTACAGAGTACCAGGGCCCAGGAAGACCATCCCGCGGTACTTTTTTCTCTCGATTCTTTTTGGTTATGATCTAAGGGCCCGGCGCTTGGAGGACTTTCCAACCGGGCTAAGGAAAATCGCATGATCCCAGGAGAGAACCAACGGCGAAAATAACCACCTTCCCCCCCACCCCCCAGGAAAAAAAAGAAAAAAGAAGAAATATTTCCAGACCACCTTCATTCGAATACAGCAACGCTAGGCCCAGCAGAGTTTGGCCCCGAAGGTTACTTGCCCATGCGGTGTAATAAATAATACGGAGGTGGAGACCGGCAAGAGTTCCAGGGTGGGGAGGTGGACCAACGAGCAGCGACAGGCCAGTCCCGTTGGCTTCAGTACCTGCCCTTTTAGGGCTTTTTCCTGGCGCCGATTAATTTTAAATCCCCCTCCTGGGCTCCCCCGAGTCCCACCGCCCAACTTTCCAGCCAGTCCAATGGGCTTCGGCCGACGGCTGCCTTCATGGGCGGCCCTTTTCCTGCTCGATCGGCCATTCTTCTTGCCCCTCCGCCTTTAGCTCGTATCCGTGCTGACCCAATGCCCACCCCTTTGGCTCAGTAGTGCCGCCTTAGCGCATCATTCGAGCAGCACTCGGTTCTCGATACGCCGCGCATACATCCATGGATACCTACGGAGTACCGAGTAGATAGACACTCCCGCAGGTACCTGCGCTTCCTTTTGTACGGAGTCCTGCGTGACTCCTCATCCCGTTCTGCGGAATGCGCTGGACCCCCCCGTCGAGACATCGTGTCGGTTAGCCTCTAGCCGCCTACGGATCTCCGTCTGCGATCCTGATAGGATTCCGGCGGGTTTGACAGCCCGTCCCGTAAGACAGGAACCCGGGTGTGGGCCACAGTAATTTTACCTGGGTTACCAGTTACTGGTCAGTCCAGCGTGGGCTCCTCCTGCTTCAGACCGGCCCACTGCAGCTCCTCCATGGGTCGCTCGGCGCCGGCCTTGCGCTCGGCCGGGCTGAGCTCGTGGTATCGCTGGACGAACCCGGAGCGGACCATGAGGATATCGCCGACCTTGATGTCGCCGCCTTGGGACTCCGGACGGAGGTCGATGCCCTGCGAAACGGCGCAGGCCTTCAGCTCCTCGAACGGGATGGCGTGCGCCGTGTAGGGGTCGTAGTGGTTGTTCTGGGTCTCGGCGTAGTGGCGGTAGTCGAGAAGGATACCGCGGCCGGCGATGCCGTGGTTAGCCCAGTCGTGGATGCCGCAGCGGTGATTGGCATCGTCACCAACTATATCGGCGGCAGTAGTCTGATGCGTGTTAGGGCAGACAATACCACGTGGAAGAGTGGATCGGAGCACGACTTACTCCGTTGTAAAATGACTTGCTGTCAATGTGGGCAAACTATGGTGGCACCGTTAGCTTCGCTGCCCGAGTCACGTCCGGACCGTGGTATTGGGTACATACATGTCGGAAACCGTCCCATTGGGTGCCGCTCTGCGTGTTCAAAGTATAAGTGTCGTCATATGCGATCTCAGGGACAAGACATTTGATATGATGCTGGAAGTGCTCGCGTCCAAAGGCCGGGTTCTCGGGGATGTTCACAGGGAGGCTGGAATTCGCCGACGGTGTTAACTGCCAACTCCGCGGACGGGATTTGCATCTCTCGGGCGACTCACTCCAATCGAACCATTTCTCCCGTCCGGATGTCGGCGGCGGCAGCCTTTACTCGCTGTGAAGTCAGGAGATTCAATCGGCCGAGCTAGGTGGCCACCAGTCAGCTTAGCTCACATGAGACATACATGGGAAGTATGAGATGATAGCTGATTTGTAATCCCGCATTGGGAAGGACGAAGGGTCTATCTGCGCAACTCACAGCATCGTCTTTGCCCCAAACCCAGGCTGCATCCTCCGGGGCGCCGGGTAGCTTGGGTAGTTCCTTGCGGGAGGGAAATTGCGCATTGTTGGGATCCCAGGGCAGGTTGTTCGGTGCTTGAACGGACATCTCGGGGGAGTTGGAGGTAGAAGATAGAGCAGAGACGGGGGCGGAGGGAGTCAAGGATTCAGTTAGTCTGCCGAGTCGTTCTGCGACGCGAGCCATCTTTGCGAGCGATCGTCAAGGGACCGGCTTTATATAGTTTTGGGCCAGACAGTTTTTCTGGGGCAACGTTGGGAATGGAGACTGTGGACTGGGGGAACGAGGAAGTTTGGGTCGAGTGGAGAGAGGGAGAGAGAGAGGAGAATAGAATAATGGACGCATTATTGAGACTTGATCCACTAGAGCCACAGCCGACTGGGGTGCTTGAGGGGGTATGACGGACGAGGAGGCGAAGACGCAAGAGACGAAGACTGGAGATCCTCCAATTCCCGTGACTGCCAATCAGGTGGCTTCCCTTGTTTGTCGCGTGCACGCCAAAGCCTCGTATGGAAATCCCCTCCTCATTCCCTTTCTTGCAAGGAAACACATGCTGGAGATCGAAGATGGCCAGGATTGACAATACCCCGTAGTCCTGAGGCGTCCCTCCATCCATGGTTGATTCCTCGCTTCCACGGCGGAGACCCGAGGTCCATCGGATGACGTTTCAGGCGGATAAACCGCCGATCGCTACACTCATTCTTACTCTTGGAGTCATATTGGCACCGGTAGACCAAGATGGTCTCCGTGTTTTTGGTTTTTTCTGGATTTTCAGTCACGGGCGAGTCTAGGGTGGAATCTCTTGCAATATGATACAGAACAGAATGGGTCACCCCTGGTGCTCGGCTCCGGAGGCCAAGGAAATCATACAGAGTGTGCAAGTAGGGAGAGGAATGAGAAAGATGTGAAAGATCACAAAGATCAAGGAATCAAGAGGCGGACGTCAATCGGCAAACGCCTCCTGGCCGCCCCTGTCCTGGTGTGTTCCGAATGCGTCGGATGTTAAATGACAAAACATGATCATCGTCCAGATGGAGGGATATGTAGGCGACGCTATCGAGGTCGCAACCTGCCCATATTCAGAAATCAAAAATAACGCCACAAAGTCGACACCGCATGAACCTCCCCATGCCCACCATGACCCAGTTCCCGTGTTGCTCCTAAACACAAGCAGAAAAAAAATAGAATAAAAAAGCTTGACCAGGGGAATGTGCCAAGAAGTATCAGTAGCAAGCTACCACCAGACGCCAGAGAATATCGCAAATCAAGATAAATAAAAACATGGAAGGACTCATTCACTTCCGGAGCGGGACATGTTCATCGCTAAGTGCATCATGAGAAAAGAAATTAGGTTGGAAGAAACGACATCCAGGAGAGATTAGGTCTGCGTGGGAACTCCGGTGGACTGAGAGACATTGCGGCCACCTCGGATGCCGCCGCCGCGTCCACGACCACCGTAGCCGCGGTTGTAACCACCACGTCCACGACCATAGCCACGGCCGCGGCCACGGCCACGGTAGCCACCGCGATAGCCGTCGACGCTGCCCTGACCGAAGGTTTCGATGTTGCGCTTCTCTTCTTCACCGCGCCATTCACGGCCACCGACGCGGCCGCCAGCTCCTTCTTCGCGGTCGCGAGCCTCGCTCGAGATGTTGTCAAAGAATGAGCTGGACTTGTTGTAGGGAGTGGCATCGCTGGCTCCACCAGCACTGGCAACTTCCGATACGTCGCCGTCCGGGAATTGAGGCTCAACCTCGTGGACCGGGGAACCAGTGGCAATGGCTTCCTTGAGCAGGTCCTGTTTGTTGAACCTGGCATTGGCCGTCTGAAAATCGTAGTCCGTGTCCGGAACTTCGACCTTCTTGTGTCCCTGGTATTGGGTGCGCTGGCCACCGCGTCCGCCGCGAGGGTGCTGATGATGACCACGCTGAGGTCGAGTGCCATCGTAAGGCTTCATTTCAGCCATCTGCCGCGTCAGGTTATCGACGGGCGCAGCTCCCGACTTCTGCTGGGGACCAGGCTGAGGCAGCTTGGCCATGGCGGCTGCAACCGCAGCAGTGGCCGCCCGGGTAGCTTCGGTAATCGCGGCCTGGGAGCCTTGAGGGACATTATTTCCAGGGGCTGCCGGAGCATTGGTTACAGGCGCCTTAGGAGCCGCGATGGGAATCGCCGGCTGCACGCGACCATTCCGTGGGCCGGTCGGGGGGACCTTGTTCAGTCCGGCGGGTGGGCCTTGGGCAGGTCCCGCAGATGCCTGTACGGCCTCGGCCACTGAAGGCTTGGACTCAACAGGGGGAGTAGGAGCAACCTGCGCCGGTGCGCCGGGTCCAGGAGTGGCATCACGGCTCGCAGGCTTGCTCACAGGCTTGTCTCCGACAGGCAGCTCGGACGTTGTCTTGGGCACGTTCATAGGGCCACCGGGGACAGGTCCTTGCCGCTGAGGAGGGGGTGTCTGATGTTGACCAGGAGGACCGATAGGCATCTGAGGTGGGAACTGGCCAGGACCCTGGGGGAAGCCTTGACCCGGAGGGGGGAACCATCCCGGCGGGGCGCCGTACGGCATGTTGGGGAATCCCGGTCCGGGAGGAAATCCAGGCGCTCCAAACCGTTGTCCATAGGGTGGGTAGAATCCTTGGAACTGGGGAGGTTGAGGATAGCCAGGAGGAACCGGGCGAGGTGCCCCGGGCTGTTGAGGGGGTTGGGAATGAGGAGGAAGTCCCTGAGGACCCGGTCCTGGTGGTCCTGGCGGTCCTTGTGCTTGTCCTGGTCCCGGTCCAGGTCGTGACATGCTCTGTTTTCGCTGACAGTTAGCAAAAAATTCTGACAGCTTCACTCGCGGTGATAGGTGCTAGGCACGGTGCCGAGTCCATGATCATATCAGAAGGAAGGCAACGGAAATATCCACATGGTTTTGCGCTCTCGGAACAGGTCTGTGTATTTACATCCGAAATATTTCATCATAAGATCATGTCGCCGACCGCGGGACGGTCGGTGGACTCGGGCACCGAGTAACTGGAGGGGTAGAATCGAGGGATTCGCCAGAATGGTGTAACTCACTCCAAGAATAGCAGGATCATCAGGCACCTGAGGAGGCTCAGGCTGTGGGGCTTCCTTCTCCTCGGCGACACTAATGTCCTTCACATCGCTACCACGGAACACAATGTATTCGTAGATGCTGGACGAAGGGGGGATTTCCTCGGCGGGGTTACCGCGTCGGCCTTCAGTGCCGAAAGAGACGACATTCTCGAGGGCTATTGTTGAAGCCTCGGGGTTGATCTCGTGTAAAGTACCAACATAGCTAGCCAGCAAGGTCAGCACGATCGCAAGGGCGAGGTGGAACGAGAGGCGACCCAAGCGAAGCACCGCTGGGAAAGGAATTGAACATACCGAATGTCACTCTTGGAGATCAGGTTGAACCGCTGACTGCCAGGTGTTAACTCCAGCCGAGCCGCACAAACCCTGGTTCAGACCAGTAGGCAGAAGACTGACCCTATTAAATGGTTCATATCCATGCTGACAGGGAGTGCTGCGCGTCAATCGCGCTGAGAGGGGAGGAGAAAACAATGAGAGAGGGAAGAAGAGAAGAGAAGAAGAAAGCGAGGGGGAGTGGGCGAGAATAAATAGGACGGGGAAAGGTGAGAAAGGGAGAGAAGAAGAGAGAAGACGAAGCGAGGATTTTGTGGAAAAGCTTGCGGGATACGGCGGACCGCAGGAGCTCCCGGCGCAGGTTGCCTGAAATTTCGGCGTCATGGCTCCACTTCTCTCTCTACAGCTCAGTCTAGTCAGTCCATTCAGTCCAGTTCATCTAACCCATCTATTCAATTCATTTCAATCGTCTAGTTGTCCCGTCATGTCTCGCTCTGACAATCCTGACCATTTCTTCCAAACCACGTTCGTCTGATCGCCACCAATTCCTCCCTACTTCCCGCATCGCTGATCTTTGCCCCTCCCCGGATTCCAGAGCGGCCCTCGACGAGCAGCAGCGAAAGGACGCAAAGTCTCGCAACACAAATGGCTCCCCTATCAAGCTACAGAGTAAAATACTGGCCGTCCAAGCCGACCCCGTGAATCCCGACGCCGTGTTCGTGGCCCAGAGTGGTGGCACCGTGAGAAAGGTCATACTTGAAGTAGGTGTGCCCGGTGTCCCGGCTTGATTCTGGATACCTCCGCAGGGTGCTTGTAACTAAGGCTCCTTCGGTGCTTGCGTTTGTTTTGTAGACAGGTGACACGGCTGCCATCTATAAAGGACCCTCGGCCCCCATCACGAGTCTCTGCTTCAGCCCCGACGGTCGGTCGTTGTTTGCTGGCTGCTGGGACAAATTGATTTGGAGCTGGGATGTGGCCTCGAGGGAACCGAAGCTAAAGTACGATGGCCATACCGATTTCGTAAGATCCGTCGCCAGCGCCAGACTCAATGGTCAGGACGTTCTCATTTCCGGAGGTGCCGATGCTCAAATCTTGGTTTTCGACATCGCCACGGGGAAGCGCATTTCGGTCCTGAAAGGCCACGCCAAGGGAATCCAGGACCTGGTGGTGGACCCCGTCTCGTTGGAGTCGGATGGCCAGGAATTCATCGTGTTCAGTGCGGGCAGTGACCGCGAAATCCGTCAATTCGATATTGCCACCGGAAGTCGGGATCTCACCGGCACCGATGCTTTGCTGGCTCACGACACCAACGTTTACAAACTCTTCTTCGATCGCGATGGCGACCTATGGACTGCGTCGGCGGATAAAACCACCAAGTGTCTGGTGAGGGAAGATGGGTGGAAGCCCAATCTCACCCTGACTCACCCCGACTTTGTGCGAGACGTGGTGGTTTACGAACAGGGCGGGTGGATCGTCACCGCATGCAGGGACGAGGAGGTCCGAGTGTGGAATCGATCGGTGGGTGGTCCATCTCCTTTTTTGGCATCTTGTCGCATGACCTTCTAACATCACTGGGAATTAGACTGGAAAACTTCACCACACCTTTTCGGGCCATTTCGAGGAAGTCAGCGGACTGGCGCTTGTCGGATCGACAGTAGTCAGCGTCAGTATCGATGCCACTATTCGACAGTGGTCTCTGAAACCCCAGGACCTTCAGGAAGCGGTGGAAAGGGCGAAGAAGACCACACCCGAGGAGGATGAACAACCGCAGAATTCAGGCTCGATGCTGACGGAGGAAGAAGAGCGAGAACTGGCCGAGCTGATGGGAGAGGACTGATCTGTTTCAACGTCCCTAGCTATAGTAATAAAATTTACAATGACGACCAAAAGAGACAGGGATCCGTTCGTACGAACTAAAACCCAAGGGCAAACAAGACATCAGGAACACGCATGGTCGTTCAGACCTGAGCTGCAGTCCCACCTCTTGGACGTAACAAGATCCGCATTTCGGCGCGCATCGAAACTCCGATGCAACGTCCTTGATCTCGACGGCATTGCAATATCAGCCAACCCTCGCAGAAGAAGGTCGCACAAGTTGACATCCGACACGGTGGCACCGCAGTTCAGCTATAGACAGACCCCCATAGACTCATCACACGTCAGACAGGCAACCAACTCCCCTATAACTACATTACCAACCGACCGACCAGCCCGACCAATGAATCCCCCCTTTTTCCCTGCCCTCCACCGCAGCCCTCCCTGTCATGCCCGCGATCAAAGCCATCCTCATCACCGGCTGTTCGGCGCACGGCATCGGCTCAGCACTGGCTCTCGCCCTGGCGCAACGGGGCCACCACGTCTTCGCGACGGCGCGCAACCCATCCAAGATCCCCATCTCGCTGGCGTCGCTCCCCAACGTGACGCCGCTGCAGCTGGACGTGACGTCGACCACGTCTGCGTCGGAAGCCGCCAAGGCCGTCGAGGACCACGGCGCCGGACTGGACATCCTCGTCAACAATGCCGGGTCGGGATATACGATGCCGCTGCTGGACGCGGACCTGGAGACGGCGCAGCAGGTCTACGAGACGAATGTTTGGGGCGCGGTTCGCACGGTGCAGGCGTTTGCGGGCCTGTTGATCGAGAAGCGCGGCCGCGTGGTGAACGTGTGTCGGGCGGATGCGGTGATGAATGCGCCGTGGGCGGGTGAGTCCTCATCCTCTAGGAATTGTGCGGTTCCTGCTCTGTCTGGGGGGCCTTTCTGACGTGGTCGATGGATTCTGACTTTCATGTGGGCATGTAGGAATCTACAACTCCTCCAAATCCGCTCTTGCCACCCTCTCCGCCACGCTGCGACTCGAGCTGGCGCCGTTGGGAGTCGCCGTGGATACGTTGATGGTCGGCGTGGTGCTGACCTCGTTCCACGGCAACGAACCGGAGTTCAACCTGCCGGTCTCCTCGCGCTACTCTGCCATCAAGGATATCATTGCGCGGCGGGCCGCCGGGATGACAGGACCGAAGGGATGTTCGATAGGCACGTTCGCCGAGTCGATAGTGGACGATGTGCTTGGAATTGAGCATTCGAAAGGGGTCGTACTGTGGAGGGGGCCTGGGTGTTTGGTGGTGAGGTTTGCTTCGGCGTTTGTGCCTAGATGGATGTCGGTAAGCTGTGCTCGGATTGTGCCCTGGTTATTTCAAGTGGTGTTGCTAATATGCTTAGGATCGGTTGGTATGTCATGGGCATGGGCTGGATGTGTTGGTGCGGCGGATTAAGAGATGAGGGCTACGCTGGATGGCTTCAATGTAGAAATAGATTGCTATCCTAAACGAAATGGGTTATCTTCAAAATCGCTAATCCAAACCAAGATTATCACGCTGGTATTATTCACTTGATGCCGCCTGACTGACATCCCATATCTGTTCTCCCGTTAGCTTTGCGGCTAGTCCAATGCACAATTCAGGCTGAAGCACATACCTCGATCATCGGCTTCGAATCGCGAGCCACCAACGCAACGATCCTATTCTCGTCGAGGAAGCCAAGCTTGAATACGGAGTGCGCGGTATCGTCGATCGTGGCGACGGTCTTTCCGCTCTCGATGTTACTCAGCAGGATCGAACCACCGGCACTCACCAACTTGGAACCGCGAACGTCAAAGGCCGCCACGGGGTCCTCATGAGCCTGGAATTTGGAGATCATGCGCGCAGGGGTATATAGTGACCAAACATGCACGAAGCCCGACGAGTCGGCCGTGATCAGGGTGGAATCCCCCAGGATCTGGGCTCTGCCAACGACGCCGGACGGCTCGTGAAGTACATCGAGACATTCCCTATCATATGGATAAGCGACCGAGAAGGAGAGAAAATGCACTTGGAATCATCAAAATGACTTACCCATCGTCAGCCCGCCAGATGCGCACCGTCTCATCCATTCCCCCGGTGACAATCATTTCGCCCTTGGGATCGATCGCCACGCAGTAGATCGCACCCTCATGGCCCTCCAGCTTGTGCAGACGCGAGTAATCCTTGGTGCTCCAGACATTCGCGAAGCCTTCACTGCCCGCGGACACGAAGGCGTTTGATAACGGGAAGACCTCCAGACTGCGAATGGTGCTGGTATGGCCGTACAAGATCTCGGTGAAATTTCCACTCTGGACATCCCAGACGCGAATCGTTGCGTCGCGGGATGCCGACAACAAGGTCTGCGTGCCATTTAGGAAGCGAAGCACGCGCACGGTCGATGTATGGCCTTTCAAGATCGGCCCGGGCTTTCTGGACGAATCGCTGCGTTAGCTCCCTTGAGATCTTCTAAGGTGCGACTGGGAGAGAGGATGTTTACCCCGTTGACAAATCCCAGGTTCGAATGTCGGCCTCGGTGCCTCCGCTGGCGAGCAAATTGCCCTGCACGGCGGTTGCCCAGACGGCGCCTTTGGTGCCCTCGAGAACATGTTTCTTGTTGCCTTGGGTGTCGTAGACGTGGATTTCGGAATTATCTAACGGGACGATGATGTGATCCTGAGAGATCTTGAGATCTGTTACGAGGGCGGTGCTGCCCGGGTCTGAGGTGATGGGTTCTGAGAGGAGACGGGACATGGTGCTTGATGCTCTGTATTTTCTAAGGCGTAGGGTGAAGATCGAGAGGTGGAGGTATGACCCTGGCGGATCAGGACGTTCTTATCTCGTTCGGTTGGGTCGGTCCAAAGTCCAACAAACCCCCACGTTTGTAGATCAGGCAACCGGGTTGTCCTTTCACTCAGGCTCACAGTTGACGCAACAGAATTTATCTTTCAAGTAGTCAAGTCCAGCGGGAGAGCGACAGGACGCAGTTTTATCCCAGACATCGGGGCTGATTGCATCCTCCATACGAGTAATGCTGATGTTATTCACTGCGGGCAACTGCGATGACGTCATACCTGGGTGCGACATTCAATTTTTAATTTTCCCCGAGGCAGTCAATCAACGTTGAGGTTTGGATGGACATTACGCAACTTCTCCGATTTCATTTCATTTGGTTTATTCACTCCCCATACCCACACAAACAAGCTGGGATGCTCCACCAGGAACTCCCGAGGGGCCCCTTTGAAGATCAAACTGGCTGTACAGAAGTACACTTTACGTCAGGGGAATTCTAACGAACTGCCGGCTGTCTGCCTAGTCTACTGTCAAACCATGGCAATACTATCAGGCTATGGGATGGACTAAGGACGGTAGTGGCGTGTGGAGATGGAGAACTGGAGATTCACCGACCGTGGGTCGAAGTATCAAGAGCATTTCTAGAACAATAGTATCCTTGTCAGATTATACCGAGTATGCGAAGAGAGAGTTGAGGATATCCCCAGTCTTATACTTCGAGGCGAATGACCGCGGAAGCCCTAAGAGGCAGACCCGCTAATTCGGCGACTTTCTCTGAAGTCGCCGAACAACCACTTCACTATTTCTCTTCATGATCGGTCCTTCTGCTGATCCACTAACTTAACTGAACTTATCTTCCAGCATGGACCACGATCAACCCAGCCCGGCGGCAACTCCCTCGGCTTCGGTGGCCTGCGTGAACTGTCGCGAGAAACATCTGAAATGCGATGGCAACGTGTCCGGCTGCACGCGGTGCCGAACCTTGAATCTCTACTGCTACTTTGTGCCATCGCGCCGCGGACGCAAATGTCGACCGGGTCCGATGCCGGGTGACTCTTTGCGGACCGAGTCACTCGGCGCTGCTGGTGATGTCTCACCGTGTGATCTCGACGCCGTGACCGAAAGGCGAGAGCCCCCTGGAATGGACAGCAACCATCTCGTCGGCCTATACTACCTTCATTTCCACCAGGCACATCCATTTCTGCCCCCACACGAGGTCTTCCTTCAGTCCTCCCCGCCAGCGTACCTCGTGAATCTGGTCGAATACGTCGGTTGGCATTATCTAGTCAACCCGGTACCGGATCGCACTACGTCTCTACGAGCAGCGGTCCAAGAGGCAGATCTCAGCATCGTCAAAGTCCAAGCCCTTCTTCTTCTGTCCATCATTCTGCACACCCGCCTGCATCCCACCGAAGCCAAAGAATGCCTGGCCCAGGCCATCCAATGCAGTCTAGAGCTCGGTCTCCATTACCGCGGGTTTTCGGATGCTCTGGAGACGCATAGTCCCGTGGGCGCAGAGAGCGCCCGACGCACGTGGTGGGAGATTTTCATCGTCGATACGCTCCTGGCCGCCGTGCAGGTCGAGGGATCGCTGCAGTTTACCCTAGAGACACCCGACGTGCCGCTGCCCTGCGCACAAGAAGACTACACCGGGGCTTTCTCGGGCGGCGGCCTGGTCTCAATCAGCGACATGGACCGCCAGGCGCTGCTCCACGACGATGCGGAATTCTCCTCCCCAGCGTACCGTGTCGAGGCGGCGGTCATCCTGCGCCGATGTCTTCTCGTCGGGACCACCCACGCCCCGCAGGAATCGGTGGACGTCCTCGACGCGACCATCACCTCGTGGTTCCATCGCGTGCAGTCGCCGTGCGGCAACCGTCCGCTCCTCCGGCACACGGGCGAAACGGACCAGATGATCTTCCAAGCAACGACGATTATGCATTGCGCGTCTATCTATCTCCATTTCCCCAAATCCTCACTCCTGGCGTTTCTGCCCATTACAGGCCGAATCTTCTGTGCCGGCCCGCCTGCTTTCTCCTCGATTGCTCTCAACCCGCAGATCCATACGGCCAAGGTCCTCGCTGCGGCTACGGGGCTGTCGAAGCTGGCTTCTCTTTCTTCGTCGGTTGTCGGACACACGCCGTTCTTTGTATGTACGCTGATTCTCAGCGCGATCATTCAACTGGCGGTGTTGTCGATCGAGGTCCCGCACACGACGAGTGCCGTGCGTCCTTACCTGGGGCTGAACATCGGGACGTTGAAAGCGATGAGGAGTCTGTGGGCCATCGCGGCTGTCTCTATGGAGCGGATTCGAAACGTAACGAAGGAAGTAGAAGACGTGCTGGCTGGTGGATGTTTGCCGCAACTCACCGACGATGACGCTGCCTGGTTGGATTGCATGACATGAAAGAATCGTAGATAGAATTCCCAGCTTCCTTCTAGACACTAAATACAAGAGACGCATCGAATCTACCCCTCGATCTCCGTCGCCGACACCACCGTCGCAAACGCATCGTCCAACTCACTCAACACCGTCGACACCAGCTCCTCCGCCTTGACGCCGGGGATATTGCGATCGCCAACGGCCTCGCTCGCCACCAACACGTCATATCCCAACTCGCTGCCGGCCCTCGCCGTCGTCGAAATACACACATGCGCCATGTACCCGACCAGCACGATCTTCTTGCCCACGGGACCCAACCCGCTCAGATACTCATGCAGATCGGTCTGCGCAAACGAGCTGGGGAAGTGCTTCGTGACGACCTTCTCGCCCGCCTGGGGCGTCAGCTCCTCGAATTCGCGCGCCAGGTCGGTGCCGGGCGTGAAGACCGGCGCGCCGGTGGGGGTCTCATGGACGACGTGCACGATGTTCTTGCCGTCGCCGCTGCGGCGGTAGCGGTTCAGCAGGTCGGAGATGACCTTGCGGCTGGCGGCGACGTGCTCGACGGTCAGCTTGCCCTGGGCGTATTCGTTCTGCGCGTCGATGATGATCAGGGTCGAGTCTTTGGTGGTGGCCTTTGAGCGGGGGAGGCCGATGGTCTGGCGGAAGGAGAGGGGGGACATTTTGATGATTTGAATGGATGTGAGAGCTTCTTGTGAATAGAAAAGGAGAATGAACTTGAAGGATGGATGACTGCGAGAAGAGGGAGGACAGGGCAGTATTTATGTGCTTGGGATGATGCGATGCGGGGAGGAGAGAAGAACCCCGATGATGATGTATAGAAATGGAGAAATGGAGAAAAGTTATCTAATCGGCCCCACTGTGGGAGCCGGTGGGAGCCGGTGGGATGCCGATGGGATGCCGGTGGGATTATCCTTGGGATGTACTCCATCATACATTGAACACGCCCTTCTAACGGCATATCGATGCTGAGATACCGCCAGCATGCGCTTCTACTGTCGCCATCCTGGCTGCAAATGCAGTTATCTGCGCAAGGAGCATCTCCGCCGACATGAAGCCCAGCATCGAGGCGAACAGTCCTCGTGCCCCGTCTGCAGCCGCGTTTTTTCGAGAAGGTAGTATATCCCACTTGACGGATCTAAATGGAGGTGAAATGCGCTGACCAAGACTCAGTGATACCCTGCGCCGACACATCCGACAAGACCACGCCGAGCAGGAGCAAATCCACGTGGTCCGCAGCACTCAAGCATGTCGACAATGCCGAGGGGCGAAGGTGCGCTGTCGAGGCGGGTATCCGTGTCAGCATTGCGAATTGAAACAGCTCGAATGCTCGTTCGAGAAGAGTCGACCCGACTCGAAAGAAAAAGATGATGAATCACCGTCGGGGACGCAGCCTGCGCAGCCATCAATCCTCTCCCGACTCGGCGACGCCGACGATATCCAACGCTACGTGCGCATCTATTTCGCCCATTTCCACCCCCAGTGGCCAATCCTGCACCGGGCGACCTTCAGCGTGGACCATGAGCCCGCCCTCCTGCTGTACGCGGTCGTCATGATCGGGCTGTGGGCCGGTGGCGAGGATCCCAACCGGCAGATGGCGCTGGATCTGCACCGATGGCTGGGGACGTGTATACGAGAACAACAGGTTAGTTGCAATCATCGTATTCATAATACATCGCGTAAGCCATATAAACTAACTCGAGCAGACAACATGGGAAGACCTCTCCTCCCAATCCGACACCCTCTCCTCAGCCTGGCCCATCGCCACCTACCAAGGCATTCTGCTCTACCTCATCTTCTCCCTGCGAATAGCCCCCCAAGAGCCCCGCTCATTCAACCTGAAAATCCAACTCTCCGCGCCGGACTACCAAATCCTAATTGCCCTCGTAAGCACCTGTCGCAGACACCACGTATTCTCCTACCCGGCCATGCTCGGCCGCTACCACTCGATCGAGTCCGTGACGTGCATCTGGGTCGGCGTGGAAGAGATCAAACGGTTCGGTCTGGCCCTGTACAAGGTCTCTCGGATATGCTGCGGCGCCTCTGAGGTCGGCGAGGATCGAGATCAGTTGCTGGGGCTGGCTGATTTGCAGTTTCCCGCGCCGGATGGGAACCATCTCTGGGAGGCGAGGTCGAATCCGGAGCTTATTTATTTGCTGGCGGGTATTAGACGGGATGGGCATCTGGCGAGGAGTCAATCTGGGAGGTGGATATCTGAGTGCGACGAGTTGCTTGGGGGGTGTGGGTTGGAGTGAATTATTTAAGCATGTTCCTGATATTACCACTAGACCAAAAGCCCAAGCTGGGCAATGGGTAGTCCTTGCAATATCTTATATGTCAACAAATTATACCCTTAGATTGGATTCAATAATTCTTGACTAATGTAGGATTTATATGACATCGCACCTAAAACCAAAATCTAACTTTTTGCGTCTATACTCTAGTCTTCTAACATCAAAGCACCGGTAATCAAACAACCCGAGTCTCAACCCCCGGCTCCAACCACCGCACCTTCTCCTGCACACCCGCCTTCTCGAAAACCTCCAACAGCTCAGCCTTATGCTGCGTGAAATGCTTCCATGACTCGAAATGAATCGGCACCATGATCTCCGCGCCCGTCACCCTCATAAAATGCGCCGCCTGCTTGCCATCGAACGTAATCTGCAAGAGCCCCTTCGGGTACGGGAACAGGGCATTCCCCAGGTTCAGCACCGCGACGCCGATATTCCACTTGTCTTTCATCCCGGCCAACTCGTCAATCCAGACCGTGTCGCCGGAGAAATACACCACGTTGGGCAGCCCATTCTCGCCCTTCCCGAAGGACTCCGCCTCCAGGATGAACCCGGTGACTTCGCCGCCGGGGAAGTGTTTACACGGGGTGCCAGTGATACGGAAGTGTTTGCCTGCGATGGTAGCGTCGACGGTCTGCCAGGGACGAAGGCCGACGACGCCTGGGCGCGGCTGCAGGTTGTTGGCGCCGTCCGGGGTGGTGAAGACGCGACGACCGTCGAGGAGCTGGCGGCCGAGGGGGTCGAGGTTATCGACGTGGTCTTCGTGGCTGAGGAGGACGGCGTCGATGGGAGGCAGGTCGTGGAGCTGGAGGGCCGGGTCTTCGGTGCTGTTCAGGACGGAGGGCGGCGGAACGCTCTCGAATCCGTAGTCCTGCAGGTTGGAGACCTTGGCCCAGCCGTCGTACTCGTACTGGGAGCCGCCGGGGCAGAAGACGGGGTCGGTGAGGAAGCGGATGCCGTCGATGTCGATGATCGCGGTGGCGGTGGTGATGTGGGTGATGGAGACGGTGCCTTGGAAGGAAGACATGGTTGGGGATAAGGTCTCAGGAGGCGAGAATGGATTTGGATTTGGATATTGATAGTGATGATGATGATGAAAACTCTTGAAAGGTTGAGAGTTTATATGCTTTCTCGACCGGTGCAATTTCTGCCTTGGTGGAGTGTGTGGACATCTCCCACCGGGGCATTAATAAGTTGATGGCAGAGTGGATATTGAAGCTGATAGAGCATGATTATTGATTAATCCATGACTAACAGACATTCCCATTACTCAGAGTTGGTAATTTAGATTAACATGAAGCCGGCATTGCAGATTCAGTTGTGGTAGATGTGGTTCTTGGGATGCCGGTGGGAGATGCACGGAAGATCATCCGACGGTGGGATGTGGGATAGACGACAGGGGCTTAGACCGCTTTATTAATCGGACAAGACCGAGCTCGAGTCTTAAAACAAAGGGTCTATAATGATTTTAATCTAATTTACTTATCTTGAGGCACTTACCTGGTTTTATCTCCTTGAATGAGTAATAACCCGTCCGCTGTCCTCGGTCCAGTAAACCATCTGCAAGCCGCTGCAGACCATGACAGCCACCGATACCATTGACGGAGGCTATGGCTGGGTTATCGTGTTTGCTGTCTTCTGGAACAATGCCCACGTCTGGGGAATCCTGTCCGTACGTTGTTAGTCCCCGTCCGAACGACCTCTCGCTGATTGGAAACAGAGCTATGGTGTTTTCCTGGCATATTTCACCTCTCATTCGGTATTCCCGCATAGCCGAGCTCTCGACTTCGCTTTGATTGGAGGATTATCTACCTCGCAGGCTCTCGTGATATCGCCCCTGATTACGACGATCCATCGTCGCTTTGGCCTCAGGGCCACCATAGGCCTCGGGGTCCTATTTGAGACCGCAGCCCTCCTGGGAGCATCGTGGAGCACCGAGATTTGGCAACTATATCTCAGCCAGGGGGTCTGTTTTGGATGGGGTCTCGGTCTGCAGTATCTCTCGACAACCGCCATCATTCCGCAGTGGTTCAACAAGAGGCGAAGTCTCGCGGCTGGCATCACAACCGCCGGAACCGGCACGGGCGGATTGATATATTCGCTTGCAGCTCACGCCATGCTCGATAATGTTGGCAGAAACTGGTCCTATCGAATTCTAGCGATCGTTCAATTTGTCGTGAACTCGATCTGTTTATTGCTTCTGCGTGACCGAAACTCAACCCGTCCGTCCGAAAAGCCGGGACGGTCAATCAACTTCAAGCTCGGGAAGAGATATGAGACATGGCTGTTTATCGCGTGGGGCTTTTTCAGCGTCATGGGCTTCATGGTAATTTGGTTTTCGCTGGCAACCTACGCTCGAAGTATCGGCCTGACTGCCAGCCAAGGGTCAACGATCACCGCTGTGATGAATGTCGGGCAAATGTTTGGGCGCCCTGCGGTAGGCTTTTCTAGCGATCGGATTGGCAGATTCAATGTTACCACTTTTGCCTCGTTCGTCAGCGGCGTGTTATGCCTGCTGCTGTGGGTATTTGCAAGAACATACGCCGCACTCACCTGCTTTGCACTATTTGCCGGGATATTGTTCGGTACATTCTGGACGGTGAGATGAGATCTTCACCCATATTGCGGTCACTAGCTAACGGGACTAAGGCTGTCGGTCCATTGGCCGCCGAAGTTGTCGGGCTTGATGAGCTTCAGTCGTGCCTGACCATCGCTTGGCTCGTCTGTTCTGTACCTGCAACCTGTAAGTCACGCCACACAGTAGTTCAGGTGTTTTTGGGCTGATTATCTCGCAGTCGGGGCGGCTATCGGGCTTGAACTTCGCACAACCGGAGAGCACGAGTATCTCCACACGCAGCTGTTCACCGGGTTCATGTATATTGCAGCGTCGATATGTACGCTCCTTCTTCGGGGATGGAAGATATCAGCCAATGATCGTGGAGTAGAGCAAGCCACTGTATTGGATGATGAAGCATCAGCTCCGGAGTCGAGAATGGGGAATAATGGAGAGGATATGTTACGTGCGACGGTTAGGCTAGAGAAGGTTTGATTCGGTTCATAAAAAAGATATAGATGCTTATATAGTTATACTCCGCTCGATAGCAATTAATGTTGATTTTCCTGGTCTGTCTTTCTCCTGCTGTAGTAGAGAGTTGCTGAGGTGACAGGAGAATATAGAAATGGAATGAATGCAGAAGGTCCGAATGGGCGCCACAAAGGTGTTAGCCTGATTTAGTCAGCTTCCCTTCTCCCTTGCGCGATTGTACGAATTGGAGATAACTGTTCCGAACTCAACGTTCAGACAATTATTTCCCGGAGTTCAAGGTCTTTGGGCTCTAGAATACTACATTCTCAACGGATATTGTTGCAACCTTCCCCACATGTCATGAACACACTTCTTCGGCAGTATGTCGGCTACTATTCGCTCTAAAATCGTCGACCTTGATGAATTAATTCCTATGCCTGGGGATATTCAACAGGAAGGTATGTGAATATCTAGGCAAGGTTCCCTATCTGTATAGCATCATTCCCTAACAGGTTATCGAAGACAAGGATGTGGAGTGTTTAATTCCATGGATATTTCGGCATGCCACTACTGCCGATGAGAAGAATGTGCTTGATTGGCCTAAAAATAACTAAAAATTTAGCGGCCTTTTTGACGACCTCCCTTCCTACTATACCAATCTGAAGGAGTAACAAATAAGTAAAGAGCATAATCCCGGTAACACAGATATTACAAACGCCCTGAAAGACAGGGAAACAGTCACACTGCCGAAAAGTGTCCGAGAAGCAGCGTTTTGGGCACTTTATAGGATCACAGGGTATGATGCTAAGGGCACTCATGAAACCCATCTATTGCAATCTTGAAGGTATCAAGCGTGGAGAACCTGAAAATTCAGTGAGTTTCTAGCCATTCCAACTCCTTCTGCGCATGACTAATTCATCCCAAGCTTCACTGCTTCTAGGTTCAAGTTGAAAAACACAATAGGTGGCAAGCAATTTGGCACTAGATTAGAAGGCGCAGTCACTCTTGGGCCGCGAGCTGAATGCCTGCCGTTAATACCTTACACCGGGGTATGTATCTAAACTATCTATTCCTTATGTGATTATGGTCTAATATTTGTAGTGGTTTGAAGGACAGACATGGAGTCAATTTCTGGGAGAAACTCTCAGTGTAATGTTGGGACAGCTTGCTGCCAGCATGAGTATACAAAGTGAAAGCAGGGGCTTCCAGGACCAGGAAACTTTTGCCATTGGCTTTCATGGACTTCATATCCATATTGCCTGCGGGGTTTTCACAGCCGATAGTATTTCCAAAGTGCAAAGAGAGGGGTGTTCTAAAGATGATATTTTTGACCTGAGTTTCACGCGGGGATATAATCTCTGTGTGAAGGAAGACTGGCTAGAAGCCACGCGTGCCTTGTCAAGGTTATTCCGATACCTCCTGAGCCGAGAGTCTAGACCTCCGGGGAAGTAATATCATCGAATACTACAGTACTATCAAGAATGATAAATAAATATTCTATGTAAGAAGAGGACCACTCAGCCTTTGCTTCCTCTATATCGTGAATGTTTCCTCATAGAGCCACTAGCTCACCTACGATAAGTCTATGATATCCGGGGTAATAAGTACCTAGGTAGTAGCCAACTACTTGCAAGGACCTAAATCAAGGCGATTCGGTCTTACAAGAATGATTGGTAGGGCTACCGAGTAGATTCTACCGATTGCGGATACCTTTGGCCTAATGGTCATTGAAACTCCCTCATACTAGTAGTACTGTCGTCTTGTTATGGCTTTGGAGCTCCTGCACATGTGGCCTTGTATGGCCTCGGCTGCTCGGGGTTTCCCAAGCTTCAATCTACAGCGTATATGAGGGATGCAGGGTTTTGGAAAAGCCCCCAGAAAAACGCACGTTTCTTTTGATATCATAATATCGGACCCTAGACTAATAAGAAGCGCTCGCTTACGCTGTAATGATTGTCAGGTGGACCAACGGCCCACTAAAATCAATCACCGCGGTAAGTAATGTCGGCAGACATGCTAGGCAGGCTGACCCTTTTTTTTACCGATATTAAAAATCTATATCTTTTTGAATGCGAGTTTAAATTACCTAAACAGCGAGAAGAATGGGGGCCACAGTTCCGGGAGTAAGAAAAAGACTCTGATCTGCTTAATTAAGCCTTTCGGGAGTTGGCGATTTACATGGGACCATAACTACATCGCCTATGAATACGTCGTAGATGGATAGCCCCGCCCTAACAAATCAAAATGCAAGATGTCTTCGTGGGATCCGAGAATCTCAAAGGCTTATTTGTCAGCCCATTAACAATCTATGAGGTTCATGATCCGGGGATTCCGCATACCAGTTCCAAGGACGGGTATATATTAGAACCCTTGAAACCGGGTTCGAATCTGGTTCCCTCTTCTGCGATGAAAAGCGACAGAAAAGAAAAATCACAATGCCTGCCGAAAGAAACAAACAATGGGTGATTCGCAGCTTCGCAAATACCTTCGACTGCCTGGAGACAAATGAAGCTCCGATACCGTCGGTGGGCGAGTACGACGTGCTCGTTAAGATCGAGGCTGTCTCGCTCAATTACCGAGATGCAAGCATCCCAATGGTCTGTCCTATCCTCTCGCGCTTTTGCCCTGTCTCGGGATATTGTTACCTCGTACGCCAGCAAGCTAACAGAATACAACACAGAACATGTACCCCTTTGAGTCCAAAAAGGATCTCATTCCATGCTCCGACGGTGCCGGAGTCGTCGTGCAAGTGGGCTCCAAAGTCACTCAATTCCGCCAGGGCGATCCGATCGCCTCCCTGTTCTTCGCAGGTCACATCTTCGGCGACTTGATAGCCGACGCCCACAAGACGGCGCTGGGCGGCTCCGTGGATGGTTGCCTTCAGCAGTACCGGGTCTTCAGCGAGCTGAGCCTGGTGCATGCTCCCCGTAATTTGACACCTCTTGAGACTAGCACCCTGCCCTGTGCTGCCATAACCGCTTGGAACGGTCTGTACGGTGTCAAGCCTCTCAAACCAGGACAGACAGTCCTGGTACAGGGGACGGGGGGAGTTTCGTTATTTGCGCTTCAGGTAATAGAGCCTTCTTTGTATGCGCAGGATTGGACGAGGGCTAACGCACGGCATTTGCAAAAAGTTCGCCAAAGCCGCCGGCGCAACGGCAATCGCTACAACCTCCTCCGCCGCCAAGGCGCAGCGTCTGAAGGAATTGGGAGCGGACCATGTCATTAACTACCGCGAGGATCCCAACTGGGGCGAGACAGCCCGGAAACTGACAAGACATGGCGTGGACCACGTCATTGAGGTGGGGGGTCCTAACACCCTGCGGCAGAGTCTCAAGTGTCTGAAGATGGAGGGTGTGGTGAGTGTTATTGGCTATGTAGGCGGCATGACCAGCACCCCGGGACAAGAACAACCCCCCCAGCTCTTGGACACTCTGACAGGGGCCTCCATTGTGCGCGGAATCCAGACCGGAAGTAAGGAGCAGATGCTGGACATGATCAAGGCCATCGAGGCAAGTGATATCAAGCCTGTGATGGATAAGCGTGTGTTTGGGTTTGGCGAGGCGCGCGAAGCGTTCCAGTATCTGTGGGATCAGAGGCATTTTGGAAAGGTGGTGATCAAGGTTGATTAGAGACAGTCTAGCCATAACTTCAACCTAGTATAGAAAATAAAATAAGGCACCCAGGCCAACTGCTGAGTCATCCACGTGACCGTCCGCGTCGATGACGCCAGCGAGCGCCGATCTCCCCGGATGCGGGCCTCGCAGTCTAACCGTCCAACCGCCCCGATCCTGCCATCCCACTTGTTCTTGTTCTTTCTGCTTCTTACTAGTCCTCCCTCTCGCCCTGGGTTCCCATTCTCGGACCCTTTCCCACTGGCTGGCTGCATCTTTTCACAACTCATCACACGCCCCTCTCTTAGCTCCCTGTCGGTGCCTCTCGGATCGGGACCGAGCGCATCTGTCTTTCGTCCCTTCCAGCGACTGACATCCTAGCTTGTTCTCCTTGCAGGATGGCCGCCCCGATGGACGTGCACTTGCATGCCGGTGGGACCGACGCGGATCCCAAGCTGGTCAACCGACTGCGCGATAGTCGATCCCCATATGTGAGTTATCATCGCCGTCGCAATCTCTGGAGAAACGACACTGACTGATCGAAAGGTTAGGGGCCACATGGATAATCCTGTCGCTTGGCAGCTATGGGATGCCGAGTCGATTGATTTGGCCCGGCGACACAACCGTCTCATCTTTCTCAGCATCGGGTACTCGGCCTGCCACTGTATGTTCTTTCTTCGATTCTTTTTGGGAGATGCGACCAGTCGACCTCGGTAGAAATCTAACTCGTGTACGACAGGGTGCCATGTTATGGAAAAAGAGTCGTTCATGTCGCCAGAGGTGGCATCGATCTTGAACGAATCTTTCATTCCTATCAAGGTCGACCGTGAGGAGCGACCGGATATCGATGACGTCTACATGAATTACGTTCAAGCGACCACCGGTTCGGGCGGATGGCCGTTAAACGTTTTTCTCACTCCAGACCTCGAGCCTGTGTTTGGCGGCACCTACTGGCCCGGTCCCAGCTCCTCTAGTTTACCCGGGAACGAGACAATTGGGTTTGTCGAAATTCTGGATAAACTCCGCGAGGTTTGGGAAACCCAGCAGCAACGGTGTCGCGAGAGTGCGAAAGAAATCACAAAGCAGCTACGGGAGTTTGCCGAAGAAGGGACGCATACGTATCAAGGGGATCGACCGTCAGATGAGGACTTGGACATTGAACTTCTGGAGGAGGCTTATCAACACTTTGTTTCCCGGTACGATTCCGTCCACGGAGGGTTCTCCCGATCGCCGAAATTTCCGACACCTGCGAACTTGAGCTTTTTGCTGCGTCTGAGAACCTACCCAGCCGCCGTGTCGGATGTCGTTGGGCAGGATGAATGCGAGAATGCTACCGCGATGGCAGTCAATACGCTCATCAACATGGCGCGCGGGGGTATTCGAGACCACATAGGCCACGGGTTTGCGCGGTACAGTGTCACGTCGAATTGGCTGCTGCCTCACTTCGAAAAAATGCTTTATGATCAAGCGCAGCTCTTGGATGTCTATGTGGATGCCTTCAAAATCACGCACAACCCAGAACTGCTGGGTGCCGTCTACGACTTGGCCACGTATCTGACAAGTAGTCCTATTCAATCGTCAACGGGTGCATTCAACTCGTCTGAAGATGCCGACAGCCTTCCAACCCCGAATGACACGGAGAAGCGAGAAGGCGCATTCTACGTCTGGACCTTGAAGGAACTGACGCAGGTGCTTGGCCAGCGAGATGCGGGAGTGTGTGCTCGCCATTGGGGTGTTCTTCCTGACGGAAATATCGCGCCGGAGCATGATCCGCACGACGAGTTCATGAATCAGAATGTATTATCGGTTAAGGTGACGCCCAGTAAGCTGGCTCGGGACTTTGGTCTTGGGGAGGACGAAGTGGTGAAGATTATTCGATCTGCCAAGCAGAAGCTCTGTGAATATCGGGAGAGAACCCGGGTGCGTCCCGATTTGGATGACAAAGTGATTGTTGCGTGGAATGGTTTGGCTATTGGAGCCCTTGCTAAGTGTAGCGCACTCTTTGAACATATTGAGAGCTCGAAGGCGCTCCAATGCCGGGAGGCTGCGGCCAAGGCAGCAGACTTCATCAAGAACACTCTTTTCGACAAGTCCACGGGAAAGCTCTGGCGTGTCTATCGTGATGGGGCAAAGGGTGACACTCCTGGATTTGCGGACGACTACGCCTATCTCATCGGCGGGCTATTGGACCTGTACGAGGCTACGTTTGATGATAGCTACCTACAATTTGCCGAGCAACTGCAAAGTATGATTGTCCAAACTGCGTTGTTTTCCGCTGATCATGCTAACCAATGCCTCAGAATATCTGAACCAAGAATTCATGGCTTTTGCCGGCTCAACACCCGCAGGGTACTACAGCACACCTTCCACACAGATACCAGGGATGCCCGGTCCTCTACTCCGATTAAAGACGGGAACTGAATCGGCCACGCCGTCCGTGAACGGTGTCATTGCCCGCAATCTACTTCGCCTCGCAAACCTACTGGAAGACGATGAGTATCGCACGCTGTCCCGCCAGACATGCCATTCATTTGCCGTGGAGATTTTGCAGCATCCGTTCCTTTACGTCGGCTTACTGGACGCGGTCGTTGGCTTAGAAGCCGGGTCGCGAAGCATCACAGGCGTATTCAGCACCGCTACCATCACAAACGCCCCTCAGCCGTCATCTAGTCTTCTCAGAAACTCAGAGGAGCCGACATCTGTTCGAGACTTACTCGTGCAAAAGATCCGGTCAGAAGCTGAGCCCGCATCATCCACCTCAACTACCACCACTTCTCTCGTCGATATCCGTCCCTCCCACGTGGGCGACTTTGTCGGCAATCCTTCGTTCTGGCTGAGGACTAGGAATCCTCTCTACAAGGATCTCAAGCCGTCAGACCCAGCGAAGAACTATCTACTCATTTGTGAGGGGGGGAAATGCACGACAATGGACATTTGAATTGTCGGTATGGATTTTTCGAGATATACCCTTGCAATTTACGGCCATTTCTGAATCAACCGATTCATTTGTGTAGATATGAGGGAATATGTTCTTGCTCAGGTTGCATAACGTCCCCTTGTTATTTCAAGGTTGTTCTTGTGATCTTGGTGTATTTCGTCATTTCTGGTCTTTGCATATTCTGGACACCCATTCGAGCCAACCTAATGATATCAAATGCTTAAGGAAACTTCCATTCACCCATAGTCTATGAGAATAGCATAAAAGTTTCGAGGAATGGAGTGCTTTGGTCGGCCCGTAGATTCCGAGGGTGCTGATTCATGATGGCCAGCAATGGGCTCATATGCCATCGCGCACTTGAGGCTCCTCGTACACTTTCATCTGTACAACATTTTCCATATCATTAATCAACTTTCCAATTATCTATTTTGGAGACGCGAAGTATCCAGTATTCGTTCTACATATTATATAATCGGCAAGCTTTGAGTATTCGTCATCGCAGTTTGCCATCCGTCCTTCCTGGTCCATAGCTTATGCATTTTCCGAGTTTCCAGATCCCTCTCCAATGATAGGGACAACATCGTCTCTTTCCTCCGGATACTCGGTATTCTCCCACCGTTCCCAGATCTTCGCGTCGCGACGCAACGATGTGACATTTTCCCAGATCAGACAGAAGGCAACCAGCGCCATGAGGATCGACATCATGGCGGTAATATCAAGGGAGTCGGCGAGGCCGAGAAGAACAATAATCAAGCCGGTGATAGGGCGCATGATGACTCGAAAATGCTGTGGGTCAGATTGATCAGCACTTGGATTATCTTCCAGTGGCCATTGAATTCTAGGTCTCAACACAACGACCTGTTCAGTGCTTACCTTTCCTAAGATCAACGTCCCCGGCGCATCCTTGGACTCGAACAGCAGCGCCAGTCCATATAGACAAAACATCCCCGTTCCCAAGCTCCCGCAGAGCAGCCACCGCTCTGCATCGCCGAACCGGTCCTCCGCCGCGCTGGCCGCCGCCACATGTCCACTTGCCAGCAGACTACCACTCAGGGGCAGATGCAATGTGATCCACGAGAACGCCGTGTACACCGAGTGTCGCATGGGATGGGTACCGTCCAGGGCGCCGTCATTATGCACATACAACCAGTTCAGACAGAAGGCGATAACGAGCGTCCAGACGGCGCGCAGCAGCCCAAGGTTCAACCCGATGGCAGCGGGGGACCCCACGACGATCTGGTACAGGAACTCGCCTAGCACGATGATATAGAAAGCGGCGAAGCGGTCGATTTCATGCGCGATGTCCACCGCGGTGGTGTACCGCGCCTTCAGCACCCGTTTCGCAGCAGGCGAGTAGCAAAAGATCCAGACGCATTGCTCGACGACGATGCCGACGGCTGCAGCGGCGATCTTCCCGCGGATCGACACGGACTTGACGTATAGCGGGATGTAGATGCAGAGGGCGAGCGTGGCGAGGAGACACCAGAGCCGTTGCTGCGCGCGGTGGTGGTAGCTGGCGAACGAGTAGAAGAGGTGCGCGGCGTTGCAGGAGAGTCGCGCGACCATGTACGCGGCGACGGTGGCGCGCATGGCGCCGAGGTCCTTGTCGACGAGAGTGGCGTTGTTGCCGTAGACGACGAGCACGGCCATCACCCAGAGGATGAGCACGCGTTGCAGCAGGTCGTCGTTGTAGAATGAGTTCATCAGTTCGCGCAGGTCGCTCCATACGTGCCAGGAGGGAGCTAGGATCAACTACATTCGGGATGTGTGAGTTGCAAGAACATACAATCCCCCAATTCAGGAGCGCATATACGGTTGCGCAAGTGGATCACACACAATGTACATGGCCAGACGCGCACCCGTGATATCCTCAGCCAACGACTCGGCGAAATTGGCCAGTATAGCGACGAACAGAAGATCGAGGAAGAGCTCGAAGCGACCTGCAGGAGATTCCAACCTCAGATCAGTCTCTACAATCTCTTGCGCTTTCAATTCACAGCGAAAAACACCCACCGGCCTGACGCTCCTCCTCCTGCCGCTTCACAAGCTTCCCATTCTCAAACCACTGCAGCGCCACGGGTTGGCGGAAGAGATAGCGCGGATTCGGCTGCGCATCGATGCCTGAGACGCCTGACATTTTCAGAAATCTGGAGACGCGGACGCAGAATGCGACTCGACGCGCGGAGGGATTCGCAGGGTAGAAAGTGAATGCGAGAAAAAAGAGCGACAGAAAAACCGAAGCAAAGGGAGGGAGGGGATGCGATCGCCGGATTAGGGTTTTTGTGGATCGCCTGGACCCAGCGATCGATGCTTGGTTTTGCTTGCTAAATTTTAATCCATGGAGCTTGGGAGCTAAGGAATTGGGTATGTCGATATATCTGTAAGATTTGACAAAGGGGAATACTGCTTGACTACATACACCCGTGATATCTAGATTCATTCCCTCTCAGTTTCACTGGCAATGGCAACCCAGGTGCGTATAGAGCGCGAGTGTTGATGCAATCCATTGCGATAGTTGAAGTGACCCGAAAAGGATATACCCATCCCCGCTAGTCCCAGATAGGAGGTCACATTCGAGTGGGCTGCTGGGCCTCCTCGGGCCAATTGCCTTGAGCAGAGCGAAGTACTCATTGAATAGTATAGGTCTCAAAAGTCCGTAATGAAAGGAAGTCTTCTATTTAACTCTGATATAAAAATACATCATAGAAAGAAATCGGTCCATAGTATGTACATGAATCGAATAACACATGCCGTATGATACACTGTCTGGGTAGTCTCATATCCCTGAGACTGTTCAAGATAACCTTGTTGGTCTCTATCCGGTCCCAGAGGAGAAAGTTTTGGTAATCTCAGAAAGACTGTCAATGCGTCCGAGAAGGAACTCAAGATGCCGGAAAGCGGTGCCAGGAGAGTATTGCGGGACCTCTGCAACGGAATCATGAGTCAGCTGCTGGCTATAATGACAAAAGAATATTGAAGATGGGGTATTGATATACTTACGGTGCCCAGAGAGATCCACTGTGGTGTAAGTTAAGCCGCGCTCGGTGTGAGTAGTGCCCAGGAAGCCGGAGCCAGCGTCGTGAGTCAAGGGCCGATCTTCATCGGTATCCGTTCGCGCCGCCTTTCCATAGAAGGGATGGTATGGAGCGAATAATGACTCCGTCGGGGGCTTCTGGAAACCCTGGTTCCCGTTCCAGGTCATGTTCTGGATTGTAGCGAGGGTGCCGTTCGCGATCAAGCGGAAGTCCAGCAGCCCGTGTCCGATGATGGTGTTGTTGGTGCGTTCGATCACGCTCGGCAAGGGCCCCAGAGCACTGGGCTCGGACTGATCCTCGTTATCTTCGCCCTGGAAGATGTCGTCTAGCGAGCAGGCGTGAAAGTCGATCGGCTGGGAGTTGATGGCTTTCTGGACGTCGCTGCGGTTGAAGTAGTTGCTGGGGCCGGCGTCGGTGGTTGGGAAGCCCATCACGTTCCAGAGGACGGGGCAGAAGTCGGTGATGTGGTAGATGTTGAAGCATGGGTTCACGTAGGTGGCTGCGTCGACGATGTCGGTCCAAATGTCACATCCGGGTCGGTCGGCGCTGGGGGCAGGCGGCAGAGCGCCGGATGGAGGGAACTGGAGAGCCTGGTCCATAAAATCAGCGTAGCCGCAGTCCCTGTGACGGCTGTTGATCTGGTGCATGAAGGTTTCGTTCAGACCCAGGACTGGCTGGTAGTGGTTGATCATGGGCACCGCGGGAGCTGTGACAGAAGGTCAGCATCACAAGGCTACTAGATCGATATACGGAGGTGCTGTCTCACGGTTGAACTGCGAGTTCTGTTCGTTGATGAGTGGATCATACAACAAAATCCCAGAGACATCAAAATACTCCGAATCTTCCTTGTCGAGCATAGCAGAGGCGAGGTAGGGAATGTACATTCCGGCGTAGCTCTCCCCGGTGAGGTAAACCTTGCGATTCTTCAGGTCGAATGTATCCACGAAACGTTTCCAGAAATCGATGAATTGTTTCGCAACATCTTCTTCATTCCATACAGTTGCAGGACCCAGCGATAAGCCCGTGCCTGCCGGCTGATCCACATAGACTATGTTGGTCAGGTTGTTCCAGGAATATGGGTTCTGGAAAGGGACGGAAGTGCCGGGCTGCCAGAGGAACGGGCCGTTCTCTTGAAGCAATCCGGCAAGGGAAGTACATCCAGGGCCTCCATTCAGCCAGATAGTGATCTGCTAGGGTCAGCATACTTTCGACTTTGTGGAACAAGAATGACCGTGGCAGCTTACCTCCTCGGAAGCATCAGGGTTGGTGGATGGAAAGAACCAAAAGTAGAGATTCGAGTCACCCGACGGTCTGTTAGACAGATACCCGGCATACGATTCACCAATGTCGAAGTCGACTTCCGGCAAGCCCGTCCCATTGACAGCAAATTCTATGCCTGTAAGTGAATGTCTCTCGTGTCGATGACTTGTCTCCTCACCTTTCGTCTTAGAATTTAGGTACGAGCTGTAGGCACCGACTGCTGAACTCAGCAGTAATATCGAACTGGTGAACATCTTTCACTTCTGTGAATAAACACAAGCTTGAGTGTCGGACCTTCAAGAAGCAACAGTCTGGACCGACAACGCTGCCTTTATTTCGTTCAGCTTTCCCGTCAACAGCTAGGGTTGCATCGAACGAGCCCACTCCCCTTACAAATCCGGTCAAGGCCCCCTCACTGCGAGTCAAAGGGGGTGAAACCGTGAATAAATGCACCGAGGCCATCTTCCCTTAGGACTATCATGCCCCTTGCGCCGGCTGTACACCTTCAAAACTAATAATTGGTTAATTGGGACCGACTGCACGGAAAATTCGTTTAAAAAGGGATAGACATCGGAAGGAGAGATACGTCACTTTTGATTTTCGCCTAAGCAATCGACCCTGGGCAATCGAATTGTACCAGGGCTGGTGAGACAATAAAAGGGACGAGTCTCCCATGCAGAGTCGAGGCTCTGACAGGCGTGGAATGTGTCGAGTCAGGCGATTCCAACTTCAGCCTGAGGCAGCCTGCCTAATGCGGGAGTTTCGAGAGACGTCGCATCAACTGATTCATTCGGATTTCATTCTATGCAAGACTTGAGTTAAGAGAAAAGGGCTATCTCATTGGAGTTAGGGGTTGTTCGTTATCATCCTGCGGCGAGTCTGCACCTACATCGCCTAGTACTTCGAAGCCAGGCGTCTCCGTAGTTAGGGATATAGGCAACGATATTCAGACCTGAAGATGATGATAACCCGAACTTCAATTGTTGAAGATGACCAGTCACCAATCAGACTTGTCACCTCCCCATTGGGCTCTCCAATGCAAGGGAGTGGAGTTATTGAGCCCTCCGTGCATATCAGGGGTGCGGTTCTTCATTGACACTCCTATTCTCGAACTCATTCCATTCCATATTTAAGCCGAAGAATTCCCATGCCAGCTGTCAGAATCTAATTCTCAGCTAGAATGAAAGGCCATACTCGGGATCTTCATGTCATAAACTAGGTCTTCCGCAGTGTTTTCGACATCCGTGCCGCAATATCGGTGTCTGCGATATGCTTCCCGGCGCCAAGTAAACTCCAAAGCAGGGAGAACGTCCTGCCGAAGGATCAACCTGTCTTCTGACTTGATTCAAGTGTCTTTTCCCTTGTCCAGCCTCTTTTTTTTCACCTTTCTCGTCCAGAACTTCCATCTCCGTCATTATGGCGCCCTTGTCTAGACCCCTTTGCTCAGGAAGTCGAGTAATGGAGTTAGGGCATGGAGAATAGATATCGAGGTACATATATTCAAGCATTCGGGCTCAACAGTCATGCCCGCACCACGAGGCTTCTTGGGGAAATTGGTCTTGTGACTCGGTACGCAGGATTTTTCTGACGACAATAACAATTACGGCCATGCATCGCCTTCAAGTACACTCGTCTTTCTGCAGCTGTCACAAAAGTCACCAAACACCGACCCAGTGTCGAATGTATGCCCGGAATATCAGGCACACAACCGCGGAAGCTCGTGGAGATATCCTCATATCCTCATTGCTCATTCCTCACGCTGTATGATCTACGGAGCTCAGGAGAAGACGCCGCGTCTAGGCTAGGCTAGTTAGCTTAATCCACCACTGCTCCCGTGCCCCGTCGAATGTTCCAGCACATTGCGGCAGCTCCATAGCTGCTGAAGGTGAAGAAATTAAGAAGGCAGATGGAGGCAGCAGGATTAGCCAATGACCCAGACCGAGGTGTCTGTCGGTCTGGAGGCCAGAGTCTAGACTAGACGCCAGGTCTGGCCCTTCTTCATGAGGTATCTACTTTAGCTACTGGGGTGATCCCCGCCCGCAAGAGACAATTCGCCCTTTTCAGTGTTGGTGAAATTACCGCGCTGATTGATCGGATGGCTGATGGACTTCTTGCCCCCGAATCCCGATGTTGGAGGCTTGGAGCAAGCGCCCGGGATCTTGACATGAAACGCGACACATCTAGTGACCTCATGCAGGGCTGGCGGGCTGGAAGCCCATAGATTGTGTAGCTCCGTACAACGTTTCATCACCGTTTGTTTGCAATAATACTCCGTAAATTGGTTGATTGCGACCATGAGCTGAGTGGGTCGGGCTGGAAGGACCGGGGATTTTCAGAGATTGTCAGTTGCCTCATGCATTTGGGTAGGGCGATGGGCTTGGAGGCTTGGAGCCAACCTTAGATTAACATGTAATATAACAGACTCCGGCTAAGAATTATTAGCTGCTTGGATGCCTGAGGTGTACAGAGTACAGGCCCAGGACAGTCGGTGACAGTCTGACGTGTGACCAGGCACAGAGCTATACGGAGTAGCCTATCAGTCAGTTCCTAATTTCTTTCCCCACTTTCTTGAAGAAATAAAGGGAAAAGGAAAAAGAAAAAAGAAAGAAAAAACTCAACATCCCTGTTGGCAGATCTCAACAACAGAGAAAGAAAAACAAAACAATCAGATAGCGTCGGGAGACGGAGCTGTCAAGCGATCAGCCAAGACAAAGGGTTGTCGAATAGGCACAAGCGGCCAAGACTCGGCAATGACACGAAGCCCACACGACTCGTTGCCCAAGTTGATCCGGCACGACAGAAGTCTGGACCGCCGAGGAATGTGCAGGATGGAGTCATCCGAGTGGGTTGGAGCGAGAGGGCTGTGGGAGCAGACCGGAGTCTGGACTGGGAAAATTCAGAAAATTCAGGAAGGCAAGCAGCTCGTCGCTTCGCCAGGATCCATGGCGGCCATGGGGCAAATCTCCGAGTGCAACAAAGGAGGCCAACGAGGCATCGGAAAGTGAAACGTTAGCGGGCGCCATTCGACTCCAGAATGAGCTGCCGAGTTGCCAAGTTTTGGTGGTTAATCATTTCCCGACCCCTGGATGTGGCCCGTTCATTTGCGCCCCTCCTCGTGGCGAGCCCGTGATTGGTGGGCGGCGTAAATTGCGGGTGGAGGGAATTAAAAAACAAACCTTTTTTTTATCATTTATTTATTTTCTTTTTTATTTTCTTTTTCTTTCTTTCTTTTTTTTTTTTTTTCCGTTTTCCAAAAAATACCAGAGACGAGACGGTCGGTCGGTCGGTCGGCCTGTACGGAGGGTTGATTCAATAATGACACCCGATGGCTGACACGGACGAGGCAGACTCGTTGACTCCGTGCTGTTTACTGATCACGCCGGCATTTGTTTTTGGGTCAGCGTTTTGTCCCTTATTTCGATCACTGCGATCAACACCGCTGTCTCACCCACGGTTCTGCGGTCCCGAGAAGAGGGTACGTCACAAGGACCCGGAGATAGGAGAATTACTCTGTGTAGCCACGATAGCCACGTTCCTCAGTGCGCCTGGGGGGGATTGAATTTCCCGCACATTAATCTCCCAACGTCGCCCAGAACGCCCCAGAATGTGACGGCAACTACGCGAGGGACGCCGGTGGATAAGAGATTAATATATTCAAGATTGGGATCACACTGGACGGTGTGATCCGATCCGACGCAACCACCTTGATTATATTAAATCGAGGAGCAGCTACCGGGCCTACCCAGTCGGTAGTCCGTAACACGCAGGATGGTGTGGTAATCAAACCTTGTCCCCTGAGTGGGGTCCTGCCGCTGGCCCCGGCGGCACCGCTGATTCGCCCACTCGCCGCCGGTGCCTGAAACGGGCGGGCATCCATGGGTGGTGATTTGTCCCGGACGGGCTTAGCGGGTCCAGGGGTACGGCATATCCTGACTAGCAGCTGGTCCTGCTCTGAACGCCATTCGCCGCACGCAAGCCCCGTGGTACAACCAAGTAAGATACCCGTCAGATCAGGGACGTTTGAAATTTCCCCTGCCATGAGCGAATTATCGGCGATGCGATCAGGGTTGGCTTCCTTGGCTTGCGATGGGCGTTTGTCAAAATCAAATGTCAGGGCTGGAGGATTCCTGCGAGAGGCCGATACAACTGGGGTTACCATCCGGAATGCTGCCTCCAAGTGGAGGGAACGGGTTCCTTAGGTTATAGACTAGATAGACTATGCCAGACGATCTCCGGTATGTGCGTCTGTGGTTGGGAAAATCCGCCAGGCAATCCAGGGGGGGAACAAAAGACAGAAAGAAACGCCGCTCCAGAGCCACAGCGCCAAAGCATTTCATTCACGGCAGCGTCTTTGGATGCCGCATTGTTATTGTTCCTCAAAGAAACGGCGGCCAGCTGGCGGGCGCATAAATTCGAGGGCGAAACCGAGATCGACCCCGTCGTCTGGAACATCATCCCAAAGCCAAAACCCAAGCTCAGGTCCTCCCCGGCCGTAAAATTAATTTGTCTTTAATTATTTCCAGATCGCGTGGCCCCACCGGGTTTACGCCGCCCTCTCCTTTCCCGTGATTACAGGGATCCAGCCGTGCCAGACTATATTATCACTTACTTCGCCCGCATCCTCTTCTTGTTCCTTCTCGCTCTCTGGCCTCAGTTTCCATCTTGCTCTCATCGCCATTGGCGCGCTTTTTTTCACTCCTTTGAAAAGTGTCCCAACGGCTGTCATTCTTTATTGTCGATATTGGAAACCTCCCCCCAAACGTACATAACAGCATCTCTCTCCCTTGACTGGCTAGTCCTGTCGCAGTCGATCTGCTCATTACCAGAAACTTCATTCTCCATACATTTTTGTTATCAAGGCTCTTTTTCCACTTCCCGGCGAAGTCATCGGACCCATCAACCACAGTCGACCTGTGAAGACATCTCGTGAAAAGAAAACCCGTTACATCACTTCCAACGTCAGCAACCATGCGTTCTTCTATGCTTCTGGGTGCGCTCTGCGCCGCCGGCGCCATGGCCTCTCCCATGGAAAAGCGTTCCTACGAGACGGACTGGACTATTGTCACCATCACCACCACCATCACCGCTCCCCTGTCTCCCGCGGCCCCGACGACGGCTCCCGCCCAGAAGGTGCAGGTCTCCGAATCTGTCTCCAGCGCTCCCGCTCCCGAGGTTGAGACGCAGCCTACCACTTCTTCGGAGCCTGCCCCCGCCCCGTCCACCTCCAGCCCGGCCGCCGTGTTCGTCGAGACCTCGAGTGAAGCTCCCGCTCCCGCTCCCGTGGAACCCACTACCACCGCCCAGCCCACGACGACCCAGGGAGGTGTGATTGACAACATCGAGGGTGCCTGGACCTCTGCCTGGTCTTCCGCCTGGACCATTCCTGCCGCCGAACCCACCACCAGCTCGTCCTCCTCCAGCTCGAGCTCGACCGCCGCGGAGGCCGCTCCCACCGGTTCCTACCAGAAGACCATCCTGCACAACCACAACATCCACCGTAGCAACCACTCGGCCACCGATCTCACCTGGTCCGCAGACCTTGTGGCCAGCGCCCAGGTTCTCGCTTCCCGCTGCGTCTATGAGCACGACACGTAAGATCGATCCCTTCCCTTTCCACGTTTGACCCCTGAAGAAAGAAAATAACCCGACTGACTGGTCTCGCAGGAGCATCAACGGTGGTGACTACGGTCAGAACATTGGATACGGAGTTGCCGAGAGCGACATTGGCTCTATGATTACCAACCTGATGTACAACGACGAGATGGGCTACTGGGACCAGTATGACCTGTACGACAAGGCCGACCCCGACATGTCTCTCTTCGAGAGCTGGGGTCACTTCAGTCAAATCGTCTGGAAGGGCACCACCCACGTTGGTTGCTCCACCGTGGTTTGCCCCAGCCTTGGCAACGTTGATGCGGCCACCTCGGTGCCGTTCACCGTCTGCAACTACAGCCCCCCTGGTAAGTCAAAGCCCGAATTCTTGCACCTTAGGGATTCTTCTAACATGCCTTTCTAGGCAACTATGCTGGTGAATATGCCGACAACGTGAAGCGTCCTCTTGGACAGAGCATGGTGACTGTCTAGATCTTTTCAAATGTCTTCACTTGACCAGAACAGGTGACCGTGATATCCCCGGATTGTTCGCTCGGAAATCCAACACAAATCCGTTTCGTGTGTGGGATGAATCTCCTGTTGTCAGTCATATTGTGAGCCATTGCCAATGGAAAAAGAAAAGAAAAATGGAGAAAGTCTCTGGCAATTGTCAGTGTCACCTAAATCTTCTTTGATTGTTTGTTACTTTTGATCTCTTCTCTCTGTCGGGCGAGGTGAAATTCCGTCGGAGGCTTGGCCTTGCCCGGGCTCGATGACGGATCTGCCCAGCGTCGGGTTCTCCACCGACGACCGGACCCAAACCAGCGCAGACCACCCCCGACGCTATCTTATTTTGCTTCTCTTGTGAATATTTTACCATTTGAACATTGGTCACGGTACATCAATGACAGCGACCCATCTATCTGGATTGTGCTTTCTTCTCATTGTTCCTTTTGATTGATTTCGTTCTGGTGCTTGGTGCATGAAAATCGGCGTCCTGGAAAAGAGTACCTATGAGATGGTCGAACGGCCAAATGATGAACATGAAATCCATGAGACGTGGAGTCTGCTCTGATCCGAGTATTTAAGCAATCTGGAATCATCGTCGATAGTAAATCCGAAGTAAAGCATCTACATGAAGTGGTAACCTCGTAGCTGTAGATTGCAGTGTCGAAGTCGTGGCTGCATGCGGCAGATGCACGTGACCGCCCATCTCCCCCGCCAGACGAACCAGAGTCTCTGCCTCTCTGATTTCCCTTCGTCCGAAACGTCATCACGGCCAACTCTGGTCGCATTCGAACTAGTGACAGCAAGCCTAATCGGGGCCATTCAGCCGGTCTCCATTCTCGATCTCACTCTGCGTTGTCACTTGCTGCTTGGAATGTGACATCGAGGCAGTCCGGTTCTCGATTGTCGTATACGAAGAAATTCATCTCACTTGCGCTGGGCAAGATACAACTGACGGCTTTCGACTCTTCTCAATTCAATGTATGTACTGTACTGCTCTGCCGGATCCCCCGAATCGTCTTGACTTCCTTCTCGGTGTCCCGCCACCGCAGGAAGTGATTACTGTTCGAACCCATGGCTCTGGCTTTCCCCGCCTTCCCCAGAAAGAAGCAAGAGGCAACCGGCTTTCCGCCGCCTTCATAGACACTTTTCTCTTAAGCTCCGGAGGTTTCTGGCTCTCAACTTTCGCCTGTATCCTGCCAGCTTCTAAAGGATGAATTTTTTTTAAACCCCTCGGCTATCTTCAGTGCGATCCTCTCGCAGATTTGCCTGTGATCCTGGGAACGTCGCATCTCTTGGCAGACGCAGAGCTCGCATAGTCCGATATTAACTATATTCCTTAGCCAGCAAGCTTCATCCGTTCCCCCGATCCTCCCTGCACTCTCCCAGGCCCTCGGGCACTTTACCCCGTCCAAGCGATCGACCGTGGTCCTAGGAGCTGCTGCAGACTTTCTCTCTATACTACTGTTTCACTCCCTGTAAGCGTCCCTTCCCCCGTTTGCCAATACCCTTCTTCCCTTCGTCCCGTGGCCGACTGCCTACTATGCTCCACCCCGCGCTCTCCAGTCACTCCCCGGACCATGGAGGGGTATCCCTATATATTCTCCCGGTCTCTAGATAAATAGCTCATCCTTCGATTTCTGGTTTTGATTTCTCCCCTCTATCTGCACCCATTCAATCTCTATTGCTTGCTATCTTTGCCCGCGTGGACTCACTACGACTGTCCCTGCCTCGTGATTCGGACTGGTCATGAGATAATCTCCATGCCCTCATACTGCCTACAAGATTGCCACTATTTCTACCGTAGCGCTCTACGCCTCCTCTCCATCCCCACCTTTCTCTCTTGTCGCTACGCCTAGTGGACTTCGGCTTGGATCTTGCGAATCTTCTCACTAATATGTCTTATTCAAACATGGCAGTTCGCCATTTCACGGCTCCGAAGCCGTTGGGGAACGCCATGACGTCTCCACGATCTCAGCCGTCTCTTGAGCCTAAGATCAAGCCCACCACGGTGGATGTCACGCCAAATGCCGACGAGCCCCCGAAGAAGCAGGGCTTGACCTTTGCGAATCAAGACTCTCTTCCTAAATTACCGGTCCCAGATCTTGAGAGCACCTGCAAGAAATATCTCGAGGCTTTGTCCGCCTTGCAAACCCCAAGGGAGCAGGAAGAGACAAGGGCGGCCGTTCAGGACTTCCTCAAGTCCGATGGCCCCGTCCTTCAAGAAAAGCTCAAGAACTATGCATCTTCCAAGACGAGCTATATTGAGCAGTTTTGTATGTCATTCGAGAGAGAAATGGGGATCCTTCTCGGACACTGACTAATAACGTCTTTTTAGGGTACGACTCTTATCTGAACTACGATAGTCGTGAGTGTTCTCTTTCGCAGCCCCGATCCCTCGCAACTTGCATTGTACTGATCCTCGACCGCAGCGGTTGTTCTGAACCTCAACCCATTCTTTCTGCTGGAGGATGATCCTACCCCGGCGCGGAATCACCAAGTCACCAGAGCGGCATCGCTGGTGATCTCGGCACTGTCTTTCGTCAGAGCCGTGAGGCGGGAGGAACTATCGCCTGATACGGTTCGCGGCACGCCACTCTGTATGTACCAGTACTCACGGCTGTTTGGAACGGCACGACTGCCCACGGAAAATGGATGTGTTATCAGCCAAGACCCCAACGCCAAACACGTTGTGGTGCTGTGCCGGGGCCAATTCTATTGGTTCGATGTTCTCGACGATAACAACGATCTAATCATGAATGAGAAGGATATCGCGGTGAATCTGCAGGTCATCATCGGGGATGCGGAGCAAACTCCTATCCAAGATGCCGCCAAGGGGGCCTTGGGTGTACTCAGCACGGAAAACCGCAAGGTGTGGTCTGGGTTGAGAGATATCATGACCAAGGATGAGGGTTCCAACAACGCGGAATGTTTGAACATTGTCGACACCGCTCTGTTCGTCCTCTGCCTGGATTACACCGAGCCTCACAGCACTTCTGAGCTGTGTGCCAACATGCTCTGCGGAACAAGCGAGGTCGTGAAGGGCGTGCAGGTTGGGACCTGTACCAACCGGTGGTACGATAAGCTTCAGATTATCGTGTGTCAGAACGGCAGTGCAGGTATCAACTTCGAACACACCGGGGTGGATGGCCACACGGTGTTACGATTCGCCAGTGACGTTTACACGGACACGATACTCCGCTTTGCCAGAACCATCAATGGTCAGGCTCCGAGCCTGTGGGCAACCACCAGCCCTGACCCGACTAAACGCGATCCCCGAAGCTTTGGCAATGTCAGCACCACTCCTCGGAAATTGGAGTGGGATATGGTTCCGGAGGTCAGCATCGCACTGCGCTTTGCCGAGTCTCACCTCTCCGATCTGCTCCAGCAACATGAGTTCCAAGTGCTGGACTTCGCTGGCTTCGGAAAGAACTTCATCACGTCGGCGGGATTCTCACCCGATGCGTTTATTCAAATGGCATTCCAAGCCGCCTACTACGGGCTGTACGGTCGCATCGAGAACACCTACGAGCCAGCAATGACCAAGGTTTTCTTGCACGGCCGGACAGAAGCAGTGCGGACCGTCACTAACGAGTGCGTTGATTTCGTCAAAACCTTCTGGGGCGACAACCCCCCGGAGCAAAAGATTAACGCTCTTCGGAAAGCGACCGAGAAGCATACGGCGATTACCAAGGAGTGCTCCAAGGGCCAGGGCCAGGATCGCCACCTCTACGCGATGTATTGCCTCTGGCAACGATCGTTCGACGAAGGCTCCTCTGCGGGCAACAGTGTGGAGGGTAGTTCCAACGGCTATTCCAGCCCCGTGGAAAACGGGTCCGCCATTGACTCCCCTAAATTGTCTGCGTCGATATCAGAAGACGGACTGTCGTCAGGCAGCTACGGACTACGCGCCATCCGTCCGGCGCCGCCCACGCCGGCGCTCTTTAGCGACCCGGGATGGGACAAGATCAACAACACGATCTTATCGACTTCAAACTGCGGCAACCCCTGTCTGCGACACTTTGGATTCGGGCCGACGTCTGCCGACGGCTTCGGAATCGGATACATCATCAAGGACGACTCGATCTCGTTCTGCGCGTCGTCCAAACACCGACAAACGGCACGCTTGATGCACACTCTGGAGACGTACTTGTTCGAAATCCGCAAGCTGCTGCGGATGACCACCCGCAAGGCCATGAGCCCGCGCACGAGTCGGGCTCGAGAGATGGAAATGATCACCGAGCGATCGCAGGGCGAGCACCGCCGAGGACGGATTGTCCGGGGCGACCCGACCCAGGTCAACCGGGGTGCCGATACGCCCACAACCGACAGCGGAGAACTGGAGGACGATGGCATGGGTGGATGTAAGTTTATTTTTGCCCCTAATCTTCTCCTGGCAGCTACTGACGCACGAATCAGATGGATTCTTCGACGCAGGGATGCTGCTCCATGCACTCAAAGGGCTGAATGCAGACCGGGAACGGACCGGGGATAAGCCTGAGAAACGTCGGTTCGTCGGAAAGAAACTCCGGCTGAATGAATATTGATCGAGCATGGATCTGGAAGGAGGCGCGCGGTAGTGCGACATCAGGGACTATGTCTGAGGAGGGCGCAGTGGTTTAGCAGTTGGCGCCGTATATTTATTTGATTATCAGTACTCCGTATATTCCGATCAGTCGAACCGATACCAATTACATTTGATTATGGCATGACAGTCCATTGCAACGCTGCTCCGTAAGATGCAAAATCTGCAATCTGCAGGGTAATTAATGACTTACTTCCGAGACACTAACTCTTTGCTACTCCGGAGTCGAGAGGTGAAACTTCGAGCCGTTGCTTTAGCGGCGGCGCGATCACACCATGTTCGAGTCGAACCGAGTCGAGTCTGGGGGCCTTGAGTCACCCGCCGATTGATTGATTAACTCGTTGTGGAGCCATGCATGCACGAGGGGGACGCTCGAGGATCCGAGGTGGCTGGCGACACAGAACCGCCCGTCAAATAGTCATGCAATGCAATCCATCTTGTCGACCCAGACCGAGCGTTTTAACCTTCACGCCACTAGAATGGATGCCCAAC